CGGGCAAAGCGGAAACATTGATTGATTGATTGATTGATTGATTGATTACAATGTGCATACGCTCTCGCTTTCCCTTGCACAAGCACGAATGTTCGCGCCTTACCGCTTTCTGATAACAATAGCTGTCTCGTACCTTAATGGCTTTTCAGAACAGTAGGTACCCTGCATGCGATTGACGATTATCCGATGTTAAGGTTTCGAGAGTGAGGCGTTTTGATCGATGATGTCTAGGTGTTTACGAGTATCTTCAACAGATAGTCCATAATTCACACGACTAATTATTCGAATAACAGCACTACCAACCCCCAAAAATGTAGAATCAGAAAGTGCATTGTAACAGCTAAGATCGGGATTGTAACGCCGTTGACGCTTTGGCTGTTCACACCTCTTGTCTCAACGGCGTGTCCGTTTAACCTTCGCAGTCCACATACGCCGCGCACGCGCGTCTGTATACGCGTAGGCAAATCACACACATTCGCACCCATCGATATGGACCTATGTATTGAATGATATTCAGGGACGGAGTATCTCCCGATCCATCTCCTCCGTGCTCCGAGCATTATTGCGGCGAAGCTCGACATTCGTGGTCGCCGACTTGAGCCACAGCGTCGGAACCGTGTGAAAGAAACGCGTGCGATTAACTTGTGATTTTTGCTTGTTAGCTTACGTGGGAAGGGTGGGATGGGGTGATCGATGATGAGGTTATTCGAGTTTCTCTTAATTTGGTTTTTTGGTTGTGAGGGACGAACGGACGGGAAGGGAGAATCGATAGTTTGTGATTTGTGTAGGTGTGTGTGTGGCACAGGCAAAGGCACGAGGAACTGCATTATTTCTTGCACATGTTTCAATAGTGAAAGTGGTTGTCCGAGGCGATTGTGTTTCTTCCATTTAATCATTGCAAACAATAATGAATTTCTATCGTGCGTCATCTTGGCAACGATCGTTCATGTCAGAAAACAGTGTGTCTAGTTGTCAAAAGGTGTATTGAAAAACCCACGAGCTTGCCGATCACATGCGGTGAAGATCTAATGGCCAAGCCAAAAATGATAGATATTCGGCGACAAGCTTGACTCGCAGGCTCTTTGATGGAAGTGATGTGTCTCTAGGGTCCATTTGACATGCGTTAACTAATGTTGTAGTATGAGAATCGTGTTAATGTGAGAGTCGGCCTTATTGTGGATCATACGGCATCTGTGTGCTTGGATTGTGTGTGGCGTCTGCACGTCACAACCTACTCATAACGTCGACGACATAAATTATATGTATCTTGAAAACACGGAGTAAATCTTCAGTTTTATATTATTCAGCCAAGAATTTCTACATGACATTGTCAAGGCCACAGCTCCTCGGTCCTCCACCCAGCATTCGCCCGTGTGCTCTCGTCAAACGTGTATCGAAAGCGACGGGCCGTTGCGGGATCGCTGATGTCGGTCTGCTCGACGACATCAGGGACGATGACGACAAGCCGGAAGTTCTTCCGGGCAGTTGTGTCGTGGAGATCGGTGACTTTGGCGCCTAGGGAGAGGTTCTGGGTGTCGTAGGAGGAGGTCACGGGATGGCCTGGGGGAGGGCCTTTGAAGGATCCTAAATGGTTATATTGTTAGATTGATGTCTTCACAAGCACAATAGAAACAGAAATTATGAAAAGAAATCTTGGATAACTGGACGATACCTTTAATCCCCGGCGACTGATTCCCAAAGTTGGCCGTGAGCTCTCTCCCCCAACTCCACCCCTCCACCCCCTCCTCATCCACAACCCTCATCCTCTTCCCAACCTCACTCTTCACGGTCCTCACCCCACTGCTCTCCTCCCCCTCGCCCTCCACATCCTCCGCAACGACGAACGCCCTCCCCCTAACCCTCCACTGCGTCCCCTTCTCCTCGCACCACCAAACCGCCTCGACGGGCCCGCCCCCACCACTCCCCCTCATCTGCTCCTCGCTCTCCGCATGGCCCGGCCCCGTGCCGAAGATCTGCGCGACCTTCTCCATCCGCGCGTCCGTCGTGAAGGTCGGGAGGTCGCTTTCGTAGGCCCGCGGGTTGCGCTCGGCGGGGTTGTGTTCGTTGTCCGGCAGCTCGGTGAAGAAGCCGCGGAAGATGCAGTACCGGGCGCGGGGTACGTAGGGCGTGGAGGATCCTGCGGGCGCGGTGGAGAGCGTGCTGAGGACGAATTGGGGCGGCTTCATGGAGGAGAGGTGCTGGTTGAAGAGGGATTTCCAGGGAGCTTGGGGGAGGGCGGAGGCTGGGGGGGCGGTGGTGGACATGGTGGTTAGGAGACGCGACAGGCGTCGTTGGAGGGAGGTGGAAGCTATGGTTGGTTTGTGGTGGTAGGTTGTAGGTTGTTGGTGTTGTAGGAGGCGGATTGGGAGGGTAGGTGAGGGTATAGCTGTGGAGGTGGGTGTTAAATGTTGTTGTTGTTTTGGTGATGATGGCTCGATGGGTGTGGTGTTTAGATGATGTCGTCATGCATCGAGGGCTAGTTGCAGAACGAAAGTGTAAGTTCTGGAGGTAAATCCTCGATTGCGGTCGATTGTCGACACGCCATTGCTATTCTTCACTTCCACGCAACGTTGAGAGCTCTATCTCATTCGATCATCATTGAAAGGAATAAAGCGATGGTGTTGAGCATGACGAGCAATACATGGGCTATTTCGAAACGCGATCTCATTCGCTGCGACGTTGTACGCCTTGGCAGGGCAGAGTGCAAGCAAAGGTGCACGGAGTACAACAGCTTCGGCTCGAGCGGCGCCACCATCTGATGAGTTCAGACACTGCGAAACATGAAGAAGCACTCGCCGAAACCAGATGCACCTAGGACCTCACTTAGATGATACCGACTCGCCTATTCATCATTGACCTATTCTTCTCGCCTGGAAAAGGAGGATGAAGATGATCTTGCAGCTTGCTTGCTATGCAACCCCTAGAAGCGTGATATACCCCAGTCCTGTTCCCCTTCAGCAGCAATGCAGTTTCAATACGGAACACAAACATATAACAGCCAGCGTTAAGAGCCGCATTGGGAGGCAGAAATGACCTTTTTCTATTTCTGCAACGGGGAACGATAGCAGGGTGACCCTTCGCAATAGCAGAGTCGGGCTGACCGTTTGATTTATTTCATGCGAGCATGCATCAACGCCCGATCATGTTTTGTTCTTGAGCTGTTGCTGTCTCTCTCTCTCTGCTCGCGTGCCCGGATCAAGCCGCCGAACATGGATGGATGGATTCATCACATCACAGCTACGTCGCCCTTGCTCGCGGACGTTTCGTCACCACCTTTTCACACATGCAATAATAAATCAGACTTGCTAAACCTCGTACTCGAGGCCATGTTCGAGACAAAGGGGGTTGAGCATGCTAGGGAGACGTGGATAGATTAAGAGGCATCAAGTGGCAGGCTTTGACGAGGAGTCGGGCGCTTGAGTCTCGAGGGTCTTCGAGCAACGAATGATCATTCAACAATCTCGGAGCGGCACATTGTGTTCGTACTCGGGAGACGCGAAGTATGGTGAACTGAAGGACGAAATGGAGACAAGCGGTCGACGTGTCCAATGTCGCTGGGGGGCGGGATGGTCAGGTGGCCTCGACATCTCCGAGTCCAAGGGCACCGAGGACGTGGTCCATTATGTATGCGATCAAGGACGAAGCAAGAAAGTAAAAGAAAGATCAAATAACTAGACAAGGCAGGAAAGACGGTGGCATGCGGCGAGGACTAAGCGACAGCATGTTGGGAATCAATGTTGAGCCGTTTCGATGATGATTGAACTTGCATAATGGACGGTGGGGCTGCTCACACCGCACCGCAACGGCATGAGATGATGCAGAATAGGCAGACAGCCTCCCCATACGATTTCTGAAGGCAATTACTGGAGGAGCAGAGCTGCGAAGAGGGGAGATGCGAGCGGAAGAGGCTGACTGGGGCTGATGCTTGTATGAGATGACTGCGTGTATTCGAGCATGGAAGTCTGCTGCCGCAATGAACGTAGGCGCTACATGTGCGGTGGAGGATGACGGGTTGAACATTAACGAGTAGATTGATTGGCATCTGTATCCGCGCAAGGCCCTGCTCTGTACAGAGTAGCGTGGCTTGGGCTGGAGTAATAATGCAATCTACCTACTGCGTTAACCATGTATGGCATTTAGTTGTGGTGGACAGACACGGGAGGGATGCAGATGCGAAGCTCCTCACTCGAATTCCAAGCGAACTCCGGCAGATCCGTCATTACTAACGACTCTCGGGGTTGTCAACACCTTGTCTTTCTTTCTTTCTTTCTTTCTTCCTTTCTTTCATTTCCAGTGCGCACACGTGCCGCAGGAGGGGTTATTACCATGACGGACATAATTGCAAGTTCTAGAGAGTCGAGACATGGAGATGGACGTCTGGTACTAAGAAACTGCCTTTGTGACCATGAATTGGGGATTGGTTCCGGTCAAAGATTCCCAAGTACCAGAGACTGTTGGGTGCATTATTGCCTAGGAGGGAATTGCACAATGATTAGCCATGGTACGGATGGGGTTTCTAGATCTGCGGTCTGCCCTGATGGCATGGCATGGCCCGTACCATAGAGTGGTGTACCGATGCATATGATGATCATCAACCTCTTCGTAACAACACACACACGCTGTATTCCGCTTCAGATGAGGGGAGGGGAGGGGGACATGATATGGCATATGGGATGGAGTAAGAGGCGCACTCCCTCATCTTTTATTTCCATCCACCCATGCAGCACCACCAACAACAACAACACCAACACTACCAGCACCATCTTCTACTCCGATAATCTCACACTCTCTTTCTTTCATGAGGCCTATCCCGCCGCAAGCCTACACGCACCGAAGGAAAGGATGAAAGAGAATCAATAGTAGATGGAGAGAACCATTACTGGGTCTATGCGTGACTGTGTATGCGGATGTATGTTGCGTTGTGTGTGTGTAATTGTGTATGTGTGAGGGGAGTGGAGAGGGAGGTATGCGACATGTTGCCCTGTCCCTGTCTGTCCTAGTAGTACTAGTCTACTGTCCAGGAGTCTAACCAATCAGAGGCTGAGAATGCTGATCGCATTTCGCTCCACCCAAACAGCCAGTCAAGACAAGACAAGACAAGACAACCCTGTCACTCAATTCAACTCTCTCTCGATCCCGGCCCTGGTCTTTTGCAAGGTAGATAATTAGAGAGAGTAGTCAAACTAGCTCGTAATGTATTGAGCTGCAGTGCATGCACTTGTTGGCCGTTGCTTGCTTGCTTTGCTTGCTGTATTACAGTTTGTACTGTGTAGTATGCGGGTGGACTGGTGGTATTAGTGATGGTTTGTACAGTGTAGGGTAGGGGAACAGGGACTGAGTAGACCAAGTCGACTAGGCATGCGGCTTCTCTCTTAAGGCAGTCAGTCCGCCCTCCCCCGGAACGCCTCCCTCCACTTCCACTTCCACTTGCCTACACTTTCCCTACACTTTCCCTACACTTACCCTACACTTGCTTCCACCTAAAGTAAACTCGCCCTCCCACACCCGCGCACCCGCACACCACACCCACCCACACACCCTCTTCTACCCTCTTCTCGCCTCTCATCTCACCTACAACTCACCCAACATCCTCACTTCCTCCTCCTCTTCTCTACCTCTTCTACTGACCACCACCACCACCCGTCGCCCATCTCCGTCCTCAACTGGTTGCGAATAACTTCCTATCTCCCATCGATCTCTTACACTCCACACTCCCGCCTGACGACTCTCCCGTCTTCCTGGCTGCCTCTGGCCGGGTTTGCACAACAAAACAGCCCACTTCCGATCTCGTTGATCGTAACTAACACTCACTCAATCACCTTCATCTATCACAAGCAGCACTTCCATCCCCCTCACAATGTCCGACATCGACAAGGCATTCACCTTCCTTCACGATAACATTCCATCATGGTTCACGGACATGGCTGGCATCGAGGAGAACCTCGTCCGTCTCCAGGCGGAAATGGCAAAGATCCCCTCCAGGACCGCACCCACCAAGAAGAGGACAGGCTCGATCGAATCTATAAGAGACATACATGACATAATTCCTGGACAAGGCCCGTCTTCCGACGCTCAGCAATGCCTCTCCGCGGCGCGCAAACGGAAGGCCCCATCCGTCATCTCCGGAAATGCCTCTGGCCCAGCCAAGTCCCGATCCAAGGCTATGATCATCGTCTTGTACGATGGCGAGATTCAGAAATCGTTTGAAAAGCTGGTAAGGGCCATCGGCACCGGGCGAAACATGTTGCGAAAGGCGAAGATGGCAGCCAAGATGGAGGAATTGGCCGCGCTTGCTGGCCCGGAGGACAGCTCAGATGACGATGACGCCGAAGACCCAGTCATGGCAAAGATTGGATATAGACCCCGAGTTGGGTTGACGTCGATGAGATCGAGGGGAATGATGAGAGGAACATTCGGCAATAACAACCCGGGCGCTATCACCTCATCGGAATTATTCGACACGACCGATAAATCATTGGAACAAGCACAGAGCCTATGTGAGAGGGCGGCACATCAGTCACTTCGTGAGGGCGATTGCCGAAAGGAACTTGCCGGCGTCCACCGACACTTCGAAAGTGTATTGATCACGGCCACGAAGGAGCACAGCAAGCGTGCCGCGCAGCGAAAGGAGGAATCGCAGGAAGAGTCCAAGACTGATGCAACCCCAACACTCGATGTGGCAGCTGCTAAACCCCTACACCCAACCGTGCGGCCCTCGCCCGCCGCGATCATCTCGTCGAAGGGTATCGACATAGAAGTCGACGATGATGAAGACGAGGAGGAGTTTGTCATGCCGCCTGTTCGACTAACTTCGCGCGCACGATAGTCCTGTACTTTCCCTTGGGGTTTTCTGTTGCGTTCGAGCGATGTCGTTTATTTTCTTTTCTTATTGGCCCAAGGGCCGGCGTTCACTGGATTCGAGGGAGGACACATTGGATGACCTTACGCAGAACACGAGCACATCAGCATAGCTTCCGTCGGCGCGGTGTCTGGCATTGTCTATATTATACAAAAACATCTTGCATGCCGATTATTTCGATTTCTTTTACTACGACTGGAACTCGCCATCTCACTGCCTTGGAGACACGTCGTTTATTTCGGAACGCACTTTATTGTTGGACCATGTCTGCTATATTACGGACTCATCTCTCGCTATAGGATTGTAATTAGTTTCTCTCATTGACTGGAAATCATATACCGTTAAACCATCATCGTCATCACCTCTCCTGCTATTGTGTAGCCACTTCTCGTGTAGGGTCTCCTCGCTTCTGTGAACTTCTTCCGTCTACTTATGCATGGCAATTGATACTTCCCACATCATCTCTTAGCACCACAAACCCTCCAAAATCGCCGAAGGGGTATTGTATTCGCAGAGGGTCGACGCTCTTTGAACACCAAAAACAATCGATGTAGCCGCAAGAGCTCATGGCAGTGACTGAATACTTGGCCATTAATATCCCAAGCCGCTGCAAAGCATTTTTAGAGGGCGTGAATCCGTCGTTAAAGCAGCGGTATCATTCAACTTATAGTGACTGGAGATACCTACACCGTTGTGCAATTAATCACGTTTTAACACTGGGGACCTTGATCATGTTCGAGTCCCTAGGTAGATCAAAATTGGTGATTTCCAAATGATGGCAGGATTGAGTAGGGAAAAAAGCATTTACAGCTATACTGAAATATGATCTACCGTAGACATATCTTGAGAGTAAATAGCGAAACCCTCCATTTTCTTGAGTTCTATGTTGTTTGTTGCCTTGACAGACGCATCGTGAACACTGATACTAAGCCCGATGCGGATTGGGTCCTTTTCGTCCATATGAAGTGTTTCAATCTGGTCCGTGCCTTCGACCATACAACACAATCCATTGTGCCATCGTCCAGACTATATACACGCATTCGAAACATGGATGCTACAGATGAGGAAGATTTGAAGCTTTTACGGGCCTCTGCTTCCCTACTGTCTGATCTCGAGAGCTTGCTTCTCAGTCTCGTGCGGAGACGAAGTCAGGATGGTACATTAGGCAGCATTCGCCAACATGTTCGGACTGAAGACTTGAGTCGAGTGTTGTCATTAGTATGTTCATTCTACATAAGATATATCAATTACTGACAAGGGACTAGATAGAACCATTCCAGGAAGATCCCCAACTTCTGGACACCCATCTCAAAAGATTCGTCCCGCCACTGGTAGATGCGTTTCTAGAGACATTACACGCACGCACCCGGGGCAAACCCAAGAAAAGATGCATCCCCCTTTCCCACGCCATCTGCCGAATCTTGAACCTTCTTTGCAAAGTCAGAGGCGAAAAGGTGATCAAAGGGATCTTGAACAACGAGCCCCGTTACCTCGAGCCGATTCTGCAGGCGTTTGAGAACGGGGAGAATTTCATCACGGCTGATGGGGAAGAGCTGCCGCAGTGGATCATTCCTTGGACTGAGCGTTACGTGCTGCTTCTTTGGCTGTCCCATCTTCTGCTCACTCCGTTTCCGCTGGCATCGATCTCTGCGACTGAGTCTTCGCAAGAGGTAGCTACTCAGTATAAGATTGAACTTCCGTCCGAAGCTCCTGGGATAACACTGCGTGTGATTGCGATATGTATGAAAGGACTCCAGTCGGCAACGAAAGAGCGGAGTGCCGCTGCACAGCTTTTGGTTAGGTTATGTGTCCGACCCGACATGCAAGAACTGGGACTGCTGCGTTCTTTCGTCAAGTGGTCACTGGCGTTCTTCACCACGATGTCTGAGGACTCTTCGGATATCCATGAATGTTTGGGCATTCTCAGTTTTATTTCTGGTCTGGTTACATCGGCGTCCAACGAAGAAATTGGATCCTTCCTCCCCAGTGTTTTCAGATTGTGCCAACAGATCATGAGTCAGGGTACTTTATCCTTTGTTCGATCTTCTGCTGTTGCCAGGAAGGTGACCCTTAAGGTGTTACGGAATGTGGTTGTACATGCTATTCAGTTCAGCGCAATGTCTAGCGATCTAGACACTACCACCGTCCTCGAAGAAACCATCGAACTCATGCTCGAGGCTCTCGCGGATGGAGACACGCCGGTTAGATATGCAGCCAGCAAAGGACTCAGTATTATCACTATGAAATTAGACCCTGAAATGGCTGGGGAGGTCGCCGAGGCTCTGCTGGGTTCATTCGAAGAGAACATCTATCTACAAGGGACAAAACGGAATCTGAGCGCAGTCGATCCTCTGCGCTGGCACGGGCTCACATTGACACTATCACACCTGCTCTACCGCAAGGCCCTTTCGCCCTCCCAACTCCCAGCCATCCTCAACGCGCTGCTCCTCGCACTTACATTCGAACAGCGCTCAGCAACCGGCGGGTCGATCGGCACCAACGTGCGCGATGCGGCTTGTTTCGGCATCTGGGCCCTTTCGCGACGATACAGTACGGATGAGTTGATGTCGGTCGACACGGCCTCCGTTCAGGCTTCAGTACACCACAAATCGTTGTCGATTCCGCAGGTTCTTGCCATCGAATTGCTCACGACCGCTTGTCTCGATCCAGCCGGGAATATCCGCCGAGGATCATCGGCAGCTTTGCAAGAGCTTATCGGGCGTCATCCTAATATTGTGGAAGAAGGGATTACGCTGGTACAAATTGTCGATTACCATGCTGTTGGCCTACGAGAGCGCGCGATGTGTGAAGTAGCGATCAAGGCAGGCGAGTTGCGACAGATATACTGGGATGTATTGTTTGAAAATCTCCTGACTTGGAGAGGAACTGGCTCTCTAGATGCGTCTTCCAGAGAATCCGCCGCTGTTGCCGTCGGCAGGATGGCACGAAGCAAGTCTGGCGAGGCCATCCATCACATGTCGGAGGAGATTTGTGCCAATTTGAAGCGCTTGAAGCCCAGAGAAATCGAGGAGCGTCAGGGATTGCTCTTATCACTCTCTTTGCTCTTGAAGCAGGCAACATCGCTACTTGCTGAGAATCAAGACTCTGCGAAGCCTCCCGTGGATCTTACTTATCTGTGGAGTCTTTTGACTGGTGCTTTGAACCTCGAAGACAAGTCGTTCATATCGCCCGCACTGCGCCCAGAGTTCACTGCATCGTCAATGTGCTCATTCTTGGGAGCACTAGCGGAGCACACCAGCCAAGTTCTTTACAATGAAGTGGAGATACCCACCCAGCAGGTCATCCGACTTCTCAATCTCTGTCTGGGTCGCCACGAGGAATCAGTGCTGGAAGCGATTCCGAAATCAGCGGGGTGCGTGTTGAGGATGTTGTCCAAAGCCTCCAACTCAGATGGAAACCTTCTTGTCTCCGACTGGCTCGATAGGTTGGAGAATGAAGCTTCATACAATGGCCTCCGATGTTCCGGGTTTGCTATCGCTCTGGGCGCCGCATACTCTGCTACATCCTCACCTGAGCTTGAGACCTTATCGGAACATCAGAACCGGATTATCAACGTTTTGACATTCAGATGCACAGTCGCAGTAGCCATCGAAGCCAGAACCGTGGCCCTGAAAGCCCTCGGCGTTCTCTTAAGCCACGCAGGGACCAATTCATCCTCGAGCGTCCTGCCCCAAAAGGCGCGAGACCAGGTCGTAAACGCTCTCCACATCGCCCTCAACGACTACACCGTCACCGAAAGGGGAGACGTCGGATCACTCGTTCGCCTAGAAGCCTTAAACACCATCGACACCGCCTGGACGTCCGGCCTTCTTCAAGGCTCCAATCTCGAGCAATCCCTCCGCGCAGACGTCCTCCGCCTCTCCCTCGAAAAACTCGACAAAGTCCGCACTCGCGCCGCCCTCGTCCTCGAAAACAGCAACGACCCGCTCTTCCACGGCATCGGCGCCGCAACCCTCGAGGGCGTATCATCCTACGCCTACTTCGCCCACGCACTATCTATTTTCACGCCCTCGCAGCCGACCGAAATCAAAGAGGCACTCTGCCTCGGCTTCATCAGCTCCGCGGGCATGGGCTCCGAATCCGTGGTCCAGAACTCGCGCGCTGCGCTCCTGGACGCTATCGACCGACTCCCACCACCAGAAAACGACGACGCAGACACCCTAACTTTCCTTGACATCGCAACCTGCTTCGTCGACCTCCTCCGCAAGTCCCTCGACAACGAGCGAACGCTCCTCCCCATCTTAGAAGTCTTCGCCTTCCTCTTCGACATGCGCGTCATGCAAAGCCTAGCCGGCACCTCGTTCAAGTACGTCGTCCCCATTCATCTCCCCCCCCACCCCTTTCCCTTACGTCTCTATTGAGATGAATATATACTGACACAAAGTCCGGGGAACTCAGTTTCCGAACCCTCCTCTCCCTAACCCAAAAATCCCACTTCAAGTCCACACACATGCAGAAACTCCACCTTTCTCTCGACGTGTACCGCGGTTTAGGCGACGTGGCGGCTACGAGGGAGGACACGGTCAAGAAGGTTGTGGGGATGCTGTTGCATCCGTTTCCTAAGGTACGTTTACTATTGCTCGCTGGGGAAGGAATTTAGACATATGTGGATGATTGCTAACGCGGGGAATAGATTCGCCTCACGGCCGCCGAGACGCTGTGGATTCTCACGAGGGAAGAGGGGCTTAAGAGACATGATTGGAGCCTGTCGACGAAGAGTCTGAAGGGTGTTGTTGAGGGGATTAGGGGGAAGGTTGTTTCTAGCGGGGCGTAGCATATCACACAGAGCATATCATACATAGCATACCTAGCATAGCACAGCAACATCCGAACGAAAGCTTTCATTACCCCTTCCGCACCATACTATTCAATCCCAAAAAGACCCCGAAGCCTCTCATCCGCCTCCACCAACCCCTTCTTCTCCTCCACCCAAACATCCCACAACCCCCCCTCCTCAACCCTAACCACCGCCTCCAACATCTCCACCACCTCCCTCAACGCCCCCTTCAACTCCTCCACTTCTCCCGTCTTTCCATCATCCTCAACACACCGTATCCACGCGAACGCGACCCCCCGCATGATCTCCCCCCGATGCAACCCCACCCTCGGCCACGCGTTCTCCATGACCCGGAGGTAGCAGCGCGCGGCCGTGACCATGAGCGGCGGGTACGCGAGGCCAAGGGGCTCGGCGAGGACGTCGGAGAGGAGGGCTGTGAGGGGTTGGAGGTGCGTTGTTGATGATATTCCCATTGCGGCGAGGAGGGGCGGGAGGTGGGATAGCAGGGTTTGGGCGAGGCGGGGGTGGGCGGTTGGGGGTGCGTGGAAGAGGGGGGAGAGGATGCCGGTGCGGAGGATTTTGGAGAGGGCGGTTGTGCGGGGGGTGGATTGGGGGGAGGAGGGTGAAGGGGGGTGCATGACGTTGGTGAGGGCGAGGAGGGCTGGGTGGACTTGGGAGAGGAGGGCTTGCGAGGAGGGTTCGGGGGTTAGGGTTGGGATGTAGGTGAAGAGTGGGAGGAGCGTTTCTTCGAAGACGGATCCAAGGCCGGTGCGTGAGAGGAGGGGTGAGGGGGTGCGTTGGAGGAGTCGGGTGAGCAGTTCGCAGCCGGTGGCTTTCCATTCTATCTCGATGTCGTCTGTCATTTTGAGGATGGGAGGTACGATTAGGCCCCAGTTCGTCTCTAATCCTTTGCCGTCTAGTGATGTTATTGACCATCTCAGTAGTTCAATTACAAAATAGTTCCTGTCGTCTTTCCAGGGCTCATTGCTAGTATCATCCGGGGACTTCGACTTCCCCCGTGTATCTCTGCTTGGCGCCTTGTGTCCCGCCGCCGTGAGGGTTGGGTTGGCGGTCTTAGCCTGCGAGAAAAGAGGGCGGACGGTAAGTGTGAGGAAGTGAGATGCGAGGCGGGAGGATAGCTCACTATTTCTGGTGGTCTTTACGGCCTCGATGGCCTCGGTGGGATCCTTGACTTCAGGATTACGGAGTTGCCAGGCCATCACAACGTCAAGGGCATCCTTCATCCATGGGCCAGGTTTGGTATTCAGTGCTTTGGCGAGCTCGGTACCGGTGATCAATGGCTTGAAGTTGTACGCATCAAGTAGTGAGTAGTCTGAGACCTGTTGGAGAAACAACGCGTACGACTTGAGAATGCCTGTGATCATGATCAGTTCTTGTCATCATGAAAGACGCATTGGACATACTCTCTCGTGAAATGGACTCTAGGACAATTTCGTAGAGCATGGAGAAAAGCACCTGCGTACGCCACGCAGGGCCCCAACGACGGATAGCCATTCCAAGTGTGTCCCGAGCAGTGGCATTCACGTCAGCCTTGCCTGCATTGCTTCGCCGTAATTGGGTTGCACATAGGTCAATGAGCTTTCGGATCTCCTCGCCGTCCCGTAATGAAGCAGTGATGGTATCACTGACTTTGTTAGGCGCTTTGAACCCCTCACGGGCCACCAGATGAGCAGCATAATAGGGTTTCTGTGTTGGCTTTTGGTGAGGAACAGTGGGGGCGTCTGCCCAAGGCATGACTGCTGCACATATCCAGGCTAAGTATTCTTCCTCTTTATCCCGGACTAGTGATTTGGCGATGATATCCGGTATGTCCGCACCGGGCTCCCGCAGAAGTGAATTGACAAAGAGGTATGCTCGGCGAAAATATTCAGTGTCTGGAGTCGGAGCAAGCTCACGTGTAGGATCTGTAAATATTGTCGCATAGAGTTTCAATCTGTCAATGAGCTCGAGCGCCATGAGCGGGTCGGGCCCTTTCAACATCTTCTCGAGCTCTATCCCCACCCGTTCGCGGCTGATCTTAATCTTGAGCGCTTCTCCTATCTCCTGGTTGCTCATTGCCTCCTCGGTTTTGGGGTCGATGACATAGTTCAGGCGGCTGGCAAATCGGATTAGACGCAGTACCCGTAATGGGTCATCCTTGAACGTTTGATAAGGCTCCAGGGGTGTCCGGATGACCTTTGCAGCGAGGTCATTGAAACCTCCTCCCGTGAAATCCTCGATCCGTGAAGTGTTCAAGTTGAAGAACATAGCATTGATGGTGGCATCACGCCGCATGGCGTCTTCTTCCGGTGTACCAAATTCCACAACAGGATTACGGCTGACCTCATTGTACGTCTCTTTTCTCAGATTGACAAGATCGATATCCAGGCCCATAATATTGGTAGTGGCAGTCTCTAGGTTCTTGGACTTCTCTGGATTTGCCTCGATTTTGTGAAGTCCAGGAGCTATTTTCCTGCTCTTTTTCTCCCCTCCTCCTTTGGCATTCGTTTGCTCTTTGGGCGAACCTTTTGCTTTCTCTTTGGTTTCCTCCTTCGGTTCGAGGCCATATTTTTCGGCATTCCCCGGAATTTCGAGATATTCAAGGATCTTCAATCCAAAGTGTTCGCCGGTCATTTTGTTAATGGCTACATCGATATCATGGCTCCCAACACCGAGCAATTTGTCTCGGACCCAACCGCCCGTAAATCGCAACACGATCTTCTCTTGCACCAGCTCCTCCGGAACCTTGACGGCTGATTCTAGTGGTCCTGAACCCGAATTTTCATCTATGTAAGCAGCCACATCTAACAGCAACTGACGGAGTCTAGTCTCGGTCTCTGTCAGTTGAATGGTAGTAGGATTTCCGTCCGTTTGTGAAGCCATGGTTCCGTACGGATGTATGGTGCGAGGAAATGATACGCTAGTTTTCCGCCTCTTTCGAGTCGGCTCTTCTGAAAGATCGGATGAGCGACTCCTTTCCCTCGACATGCGCTGGAAGTGGGCAATCTGTCTGGAATTCGTCCTGTTCTGGAACTGGAATGGAATAGATCTGACTAGGCTTCGACGTGCCAAGGGTTCACGTTTTAGGATGATGGGAATTAATCGAGAGGAAGAAAAATGGCCAAGACTCATCAACGGCATGCATGAGTCAAATTATTTTTGATGACTGGCTTGCCTCTTATATTCTCTAAGCGTGGACGAGATTTGGATTTTTGTAATATATGAGCATACGTCTGATAGCGCAACGACCCGAAACTGAAGGAAAGGGAGGGTGAGGAATGGGGGAAAAGCGTGAATGCTTGGTGTTGGTGTTGGTGTTTGTGGTGGGAGGGGAGTGAGTCCCTCTCTAACCAATGTTTTCGTCCGACCAATCAGAAAGCGTATCGGCCGCAATAACCCTGAATAGCCCTTCGTCACACTTCCATCTTCCACCTCACCCTATTTACTAGATACCGATCAATTCAGCATCTGCCCCTACGTCTACGAGCACCATTCCCCGCCTGCCGCCGCTGCCGATTACGTCCAGGACCGCCTACTCCTACGCGAATGCATGAGTGCGATATCATACCTCGCGCGCGCCATCAGTAATTCCTGGGCGCATCGCCCAAGCCCCCCATGACACCGCTGCAAGATGCCACTCCCAAACCCCCGAAGTATCCCGCAGACCTCGAGGCGTCAATGATACTCCCTAAACAACGCGCATCGCCTGCTTCCTCCCTCGGATCTCTACCTTATCGGACTTCGAATCCCTCGCTGCACAAGCTCTTTGAGTCAACTACCCTCCCCGCCTCAGGTTCGCGACCCAGCTCTGGCACTGCTACCCCCACTGCGTCCGCAATACCTGGCTCTGTCTTCTCTCCTGGATCACGACAAAATGGTGCTGGAACTCCCGGAGGTATGGCATCAGGTGTATCAGACGAGCACCGAAGGCTTATACAACAAGCGTTTGCACCCCATGTGGCTGTGCTGGCAGATATGCAGACCGAGGAGATGATTCGAGGGAAAGGGTTAACGGAAGGGCTCCTGCAGCTTCTACGGCCATTCGGGGAGTCAGTACCAGGGAAGGTTACAATAAGAGACAGTATTGGAAAGAGTGAGAGTTTTGAGGACTTCGGCATACGTTTCGTCAATCCGCATCACAGCCTCGGGGTTCCGCAAGTCCCTGTGCCCGGCCAAGGGTTACATATAGACACAACGAATGGACAGAGAGATGCTATACGGTCGTCATCAAGTTCAACAAGGCAGCGCAGTGTTGGAGGCGATGTTGCACAGATAGAGGAATTGGTCGACCGTCACCTGCAGTACTCCGAGTACAACTCTCATGGCATGGTCCCTGATTACCTCCATCAAGGAGATCTCGCTGCTCAGTCCGAGGGATCTTCATCGCCATTTTACACACTCTATCTGCGACGATTATTATCTGGACTGCCAATGGTTCCACATGAGACCTTTGCTCACCCCGTTGCGAGCATCATTGCAGTCAGTTCTCAGAATCCCAATCCTACCGAAGAGTTTAGAAGGCTCTATGCAAGGCAGCGGGAAGGCGATCTTCGGTTGCCGCAGTGGGTGGAAAATGATTATCTCCGCTATTATGTCTTGGTGCATGAAGAAGAGACTGGGGATATCGCCAAGTCGAACCAGCAGTTCGATTTAATGAAGCGCCATTTTGGGCTGAATTGCCATCTTCTCAGATTGAAGAGCCAACAGTGCATAGCTTCTGATGATGACGCGGTTCGTCTGCCTACTTGTGAATGGATGTCTGCCTCGGAAGAGCTGGCAGAGATCCAGAAGCGAGGTATGTATGAGTGGCAATCCCGACTGCAGACCTAATTCATGCGCCGGGAAAACAAGTACTAATCCTCTACCAGAAGCTACGGATGATATCACAGACCCCACGCCTTATATTCCAGACTCCGATGTGACTGCTATTCGAACATTTATTCGCGAGCTTGTTGCACAATCACTCGTACCCCAAATGGAGCGCCAAGTCTCTCAGTGGAACGAACAAGTCCTTGCAAGAAGGCGAGGAATATCTGGCCGCTTCATGTCTCTTTCAAAGCGTTGGACGGGCTTTGGTTCAAGCCGTAGCAGCTCGTCGCCCGCACTATCGAATTCAAACTACGATAGTTTGCAGGGATTCTATCGACCAGACTCCCCCGAAGCTTTGATGAGAAAGCTCGCGGATTACTCCTTCATGCTCCGTGACTGGAAATTGGCCTTGTCAACATATGACGTTCTGCGAACAGACTTCAACAACGACAAGGCCTGGCGACATTACGCTGGTGCCGCAGAAATGGCCGCCATATCGGCACTCATGTCCACTGCTCCCCTTACATCAAAGACAAGAACAGAAAATGTAGACACATGGCTCGAAGCTGCATCATATAGCTATACTGATCGCCAACGGAGCTCTGCCCCTTATTATGCTCTCCGAACGCTCGCCCTGGGCCTCGAACTCCTTCGCCTACGCACTGGTTCGGCACTGGACGACGCTGCACGATGGGCTTCTCGCATCATCGAAACCGGACTGGTTGGCACGATCGGAAGTGCCTTATTCACGGAGAGGGTCTCTGTCTGTCACGCTGCGCGGCCCGGTATTGGCCATTTCAAACTTGGCTCACGACACCGCAAGGCCGCTCTATGGTCTGTCATGGCAGCTGAAAAGTGGTTCTTACTCCACAAAGCCCTCCAAGCGGAGAGGTGCATAGACAACGCAATACAGCTATACACGTCAAACGACAACACGGATGTGCCCGTGAAGCTCCCCTTCTCGCAGATGCAAGCATTCATCGACGACCTACGCCGCCAGATTCTCGGCCTTCGATTATCAATAAAGGGTTATGATGAGGACCAGGAAGACTCAATAGTCGACCCAAGCCTCATCGTAGAAGAAGCAACCGAAACCCTTGACACAGTGTCCCGACCACAACGAAAGTCACTCATCGGTGCCACCGCGCCACCGATTGACGTGGGACCTCTCAGTCCAACACTTGAGAGATCGGAAAAGAAGGAAGACGATAATTTCGAATAAGCATGGAATGGCTATGGCAGCCGAATTTGGGGCCTCATCTTATCAACTAATTTTTTTCTCCCTTCTCTAGCAATTGTAGGGACCATGATTTGGCATCGCATTGGCGTTGGGATTCAAAGACTATTTTAACGACACTAAGTATAAGATGATGGATGGATGGATGGATGGATGGATGGAGGCGGCGTTGCGTTGCGTATTCTGGGATGTGTAGTTAGATGTAGGCTTGACATATATATTTATTGCATTGTGCTACGTTTCCTATTGAAGCATCCTTTGCTGCTTCGAAAATCCCTTTTACCTGGACACATCTGGCATGCCACCTAGTTGTGTAGCTTAGCATGACTATTGACATCTTCCGGCTCACGTTTCCCGTGAAGTTTTGCGCTTCTATGTTGTTACTACCAGTGTATTCTTAAGACATGTTCTGCCATTTCCCCTCTATATACAACACAGATACTAGAGCTTAAGGTAGAGTATATCCACCATCAATAATAATATTCGAACCGGTCATGTAGCATGCGGCATCGCTGGCCAAGAATACGTAGAGCTATTAAAAGAATCAGTCATGCTTTACTTGTGAGTATTCATTTGGAGCGCTTACCCCCCTGAGCTCCTCTGGCCTGCAAATTCGCTTTGCTGGTATCTGAGAGAGCCACAATTTTTGTAGGTCTTCCGGTTGCCTTGTCAACACTAGATCAATGAGTCAGTCATATTGAGATATCTTGAACACTAAGACCGACACGTACTCTCAGTCATGATGTATCCCGGTGAGACGCAGTTCACCCTTGCGAAATCCGTCCATTCTACTGCAAGACTCTTCGCGAGCTGAACCACAGCTGCTTTCGAAGCATTGTATCCAGCCTGTGTCTGTGGTACGTTCACCAGGTTCGCGCTGACCGACGCGGTAATGACCAAGTTTCCTCGTCCCTGTCTCTTGAAGATCTTCCCTGCTGCCGCGGCAGTCCACATTACACCTGTGTAGTTGACATCATTCACATAGGCCCAGTTCTCCTCTTCATAGTCAAGCGACGGCACGTTTTGGCAGACTCCTGCATTGGCTACCACAACGTCTAGTCGGCCGTTGCCGAACTCCTTCGCTATCCGCTCGAATGTCTCTAGAACATCAACACGCTTCGTCACATCAAGGTGATAGGCGGCAATCCGTTTGTTCGTCTGCTGAGCGATGCTAGCGGCGGTTTGCTCGGCGTCCTCTGCGGTGCGGTATGTGAATGCAACATCTGCGCCAGCTTCTGCAAGAGCTTGAACTACCTGACGGCCGATTCCTCGCGATCCGCCTGTGACTAGGGCCGTCTTTCCTTGGAGAGAGAACTGCTCTAGCACGGGTGTGGTCAGGTTTGGTTGATACAAAGGCATGTTGTTAAATTCCCGTGGAAGTTTAAAATCTCGGGGTTGTATCCTGGCAAGTTATCGTCGAGACAGTAAGTTGACTTTGTTGAGAGCTGGCGATGAAATTTCCCCTTGGACGCATCTCGATTATTAAAGAAATCATCTTTATATACTAAATCCCACCGAAGGTTCAAGACTAGTTTCTTTTCACGACAGTGTGCTGTTTTCTCTTATTCTCGTGGCATGTACTCCACTGGCGTTTCTGTGTTTAGCTACGTGCCCCGATACGGTGGTCTCGGATAGAGGGCATACTGGTCGGAGGCACTTCCTCGGAATCGACTATGCCCCGTGTCGAGTACCTGCGTTCTCCCTTTGAAATCTGCAAACTGACACGGAAGGGAATACTTCTTCGGCAAAGATGAAGGAAGTAACTGAGGTAGTGGTGCAGTTTACAGACAAGGAGATCGAGATTTGTAGGTGCTGGGACAAGGTGCATCTGTCTATATACACATATATGAGAGTATCAAAGTAGGAATTCTTTGAAGAAGCTAGAAAAGCCTTCCTTTAGAGCTGCAATGCAGGCTTATTTCAAACATACAGCATATCTACATACCTACAATATGTAAACCGACTGAGAAACTACCGGTAGTAGTGATCGATCAGCAATAAGTCAGTGATCGGGTCCAGTCACGTGCCACGTCAGCCGATTGTTCCAGCTTCACGCGCCAGTTTCGTGAGCCAATCAGAACGCATGAACCGAGCTGTGCGCGGATTCGTGCACAAGGCAATTTGGAATCTAAATCCGTTCCTCGTTTCGTTAAATAACCTCGTGCAGACATGTCTCAGTCTCGTCCACGGCTCACGCATGCATACCACGCGACAGAATAGCGCAAATCCACCTGACTGAATCTCATGTTGAACCTAAAGACACACTTTCACGAGCTATACTCGACATATAACAATGCTTCCTTCCACCAACATCGTAGACGTCTTTTGGCACCCAGCTGCAATTCTTTTACTTGCCTTCATATTCTTTTTCTGAGTTACAGGATGTCCATCTCGCTTGTCCTGCTATGCAGCTGTGTTGTCGTTTACATGCTCGATGTATTCGGAGTCATTGATGCGAGCGCGACCTGAAGTTCGAACAGAATCAAACATAGCTGACTCGATATCTTCCACGCGGCATCGATAAAGCCGACTCTAGTCTATGGCCATCAGTATCACAGTCACATAGGAGGCAGGCGATGCCGGCTTCAGGACTCCCGTGGCGTGTGAGAAGTGTCACTCAACGGGGTATCTGGCAATCCAACCATAAGACCGAAATAGTCAGGCGGAGCGACGTACCTTCAGCAGTATAGCCGATAACAATCTGAGTGTTATTGAGGGACTTCAGGATCCACATACTACCAACGATTGTTCCATTTGAAGATGTGGGACAAAAATCCATTTCGAAACCCGTATTCGGCCTTTCAAAGCCCATAGAGATCCAGGGACAGAGTTTATACAACGTCTTCCAGATAGTAGGCCCTTAGTCGCGGGATAACAACGGCATGTCGAATCGAACGAGCACGAAGAACTTCATAAAATGGGAAGAAGCATGCTACACGGCCATGGAAGGACTCATAGAAAAGACGTAATCAATTTGTCATTTGCTCAAAACTATCGAATGAACCAAATATTTACATGGCCAACACATTATCTGCTAAAACAAACATGTACAAAAGAAACCACTCTTGTCTTATCCCCTGGAACATCAAATGATGAAAAGAACGTAATCAGGTCAAAGACGAATAGCTTCAAGTGAGTGAGTGGTAACGGTGCCGATACTTAATTCTCGGGCTGCGGTTCGGGCGCAACTTTCAAGATAGAGGTGTCACCAACGGGCAAGGTCTCGGCATCAAGACGCGCGCGAGAGAGCCAGCGCACACTTGGCACGCCACGCTTCTGTAGGTTGGATGCAGAGGTGGCAGTAGGTGTGGCGGTTGCGATGGATGATGCTAGGGTAGCGAGTGTTGTGAGAGTTGCAGTTGCAGTTGCAGACTCGGAGACTGTGCTGGATGACAAAGTGAAGTTTTGGGGCAAGGTTCCGTTCAGAAGGAGTGCTTTGTCAAAGTCAATGATTATCAGTGAGGAATATTAGGAAGAGGAAACATACACGAGGGAACCCAAGTGGTGTTGAGGTTATCACCTTCAAACCTAATGCGAGCAGCTGGGCCACAGTTGGGAGGTTCGATGAGAACACCAGTCTGGGGGAAAGGGTCAAGAGGACCCCACAAGTTGCCGTCTTCATCGACACCAAGGCCGTTGGTGAGCCAGGACATCTGACTGAAGTCGTTGGCAGGAGGAGCTGTTCCTGGAATGTTCTGCTCTGCATGTACCCATACGTTGACGGGTTGGACATAGGTGCCAGCGAGAATACCGTTCTTAGTGGTGCGGGTCTTAGGAACACCGTTGATCTCCGCAACGACGCGGTAGTCACGAGCGTATCCGAAGAGAATGTCCGAGCGGTACTCGAATTTGTTTTGCTCGTTGCGGCCGCCACGAAGACCCATGGAGGCAATAATTCGGTCAGTGACGGCGCCAGTGCAGGGGTCGATATCCATGGCGTAGAGAGCCACTGTGGTTCTCGGGTTAGATGCGAAACCGACGAACTGTTATTTTTGTAAGCGCTCGTCCAAGTTTTGATTGCTTCGATACTTACTCGAGACTCTGCTATCTCAGTGTTGGGGTTGTTGTTGTCGATTCCCAAAAGTCCGAGCTCCATTCGAAGATAGACAAGATCACCCAAAGTAGTGATCATGACATTCTGCGCTACGATGCTGTAGGCAATCACCTCATTGCCACGGCGAATACCAGAGAAGGTTACAAAGTCACCAGGCAAGAATGGAGCCATGGATAACGGGTCTGGGGCATTACTGGATGTGTGCATTAGCGATACGGGAAGGCAAATCATGGAATCGGCTATGAGCTACTTACAATGTTCCGGACCCTCGGAATGGACGATTAGCAGCGGGGCAGAGAGGATCTGAGGCACTTCGAGGGATGCACATAGGGAAACCAGAGAATGAGGAGATGCTGGGGCTTTCATCGTCCGCAGTGAAGAAAGGTGCACCAGTATAGCCGATGGAGAAGACAGCATTAGGGTCACTGATGCGGACAGTTGGTCCAGAGACAATCTTCATGCTACCATCGGCGAAATCGATAGATTCAATGAAGCCACTGTTGAGCCCTTCAAAGAATTCATAGGCGAGGACTTGAGCTGCAATAGGGTGTCCGTTGATAAAGTTACCAATCACCTACAATTCCCAATGTCAGCAACATGTCATATGATGGAAAAGGGAATATAAGAACAGGCCTAGGAGACCGAAGCCACATACATTGACTTCGTAACCAATCATGGAGTCTTTATCAGCTACAAAGTCCTTCCAAGGGACATTGGCAGCAGGAAACTGAACCTGGAGGTTCTTTGGAATCTCCATATCGAAACCATTGATTGAAATGGTACCGCCGGTGTTGTAGGAGGCATCTGTTGCAGAGGCCCCTTCAAGACCACCTTGAATGAAAAGGGGTGCGTCCTGGGCCTGAACAGCTCGCGTGAAGAGCTGCAGACCGAGTACGATAAACGAAAGTGTGAATGAAGGCATATTGAACGAGTGATATTGAAAATCGCAACTAAGTGAAAACGAATGTTGATTGATGTTGTGAAGAACAATGAACGTGGATCTTGATGCCCTTTTATGTTGATGGTTCTACTGGAACTGTGTCGATGGTTGATTATTCCCGCCCGTCAATTACCGTTGTCAATCTTCTTTGATGCTCCTTTCGTCAAGTCATGCACCATACAGCTTCTTGGAAATATCGAATGTGCCTCCCAAGAATCATCTTCTTGCACCCTGCCGTGATACAACCTCAATCACACCTAGCATCCTGCATCGCGCAGGGGCTGTATTTGCTCTAAGAAGCACATTTACAATGGTAACATGGATTGAAGTGGAGAGTATGGTCGGGATATCTTTGGTGCGGCTCCGTTCTACAGTCACTGAATGTCTCAGGCCAAGCCCGCTCATGCGTCCGCGTGGCTGCTATACTGCGAAGTTAGCTACCTACAAAATCTTATGGCGTTGAGAAGTAAACTTTTTAGGGACACCCATGGGAACACCCATGATGCCAAGTTCAGAAGAGAATAGAAGAGGAAGAGTGTGAAATTGGCATGCCTATCCATAATAGTAAGGTTGATACAAAAGGATCACGAGCAAATGTTGTTGAAAGGGTTGTTGACTCGTAACATGATGTTGCCTGTTCCCTGAAATATTGCAGTAAGGTCCATTCATAACAATGTACGGATGAGTTCAGTTCCGGCGTCAGTAAGGCGATCTTTTTCGAGTATAAACTTTTGCCGGTAGAATAGGACAAGATGGATTTCTTTAGAATGATCACCTTCATGGTCAAAGAGACTTTCCGATCTGGCTTTTGAAAGCCAATCTCCCCAAATCAGCAACCCGCTAAGTCAATCGGCTCTCGTGGCCGTAATACGCCTCTAACTATAAAGCAATCCTTGGTACTCGTACACTGATCTTGAATCGTGTTGGTCCTTGAAGCGCGTAAGTTTGGATCCGTCCAACTGCCGTGCCTGCATGCTCCTGAAATCGACATGACCAATGCGGCTGATCACCCACCAACAGGTGCCAATAGCTCGACAAACCTACTTGGATGAACTTGACTAGTACCCTAACGTTGGAACCACAATGGCATTTCAGACCCTTCTAAGACCGTTCACCGGACAAGGGGTAACAGGACGGATCGGGCACGTGGGCCGGTCCGCAACCTCCACATTGACTCGATGGGATCCGAACACCTGGATCGCCACGTTACACCTTGCTTTCTTCTGCCGGCTATCCCACGTTTTTGTAGTATCAGGGAGTGTATATGGAAATCTCAACCGTGGCCCAGCCACTAAATCGCGGAACCGGGGCCGCGGGTGCAGCAAGCTCCGGACGAGACCGCAGACGAGCCTTGGCTTCGACTTAATTTTGGAAACGTCCTTCCCCGGCTGACATGTAAAGCTGGAGGGTATGCTATGGAATCATACGAATAAGTTATGTCCCTCGTCATAATTGGGTTCCGAGGAATAGGGATGGCGCCTGCAATGATCGAATGAAAATGAGGAAGCATGGCGACATGGATCAATGTCCATTGCTGCATTTCCTGGAAGCAGAACGAAGCGTTCGTCAGCCGACTCTGTAGAGGGAGCAGCTCGTATTGATTGAAACATGCACGAACAGGATCTGGGATGTTTGTGTGCTGGACCCGCCAGCCAATGAGCGTTGGATTGATTCGACCTCAGGTGAGCCGTCAGCGCCATTGCTGCTACTCGCCCCGGACCCACCGTCCGGATTGATCGTATCTTTAAGTTTGAGCCAACAAGTCTGTACTCATATCGAGGCTGTGGAATTAGCTTCTGCTGTAGAAGATCTCTATCTGCTCTATGATCTTGCAGTGTCAATCCTGGAGATGATGACAGTCGAGCTCAGTATCGTGGTTGCTTGCCTCATCGTCCTCCGCCGAAACTAGGCAAACATGTTCCTTGATCATACATTAATGAGTTTACCAACTTGTCGGTTCGTCCTCATTGATCCTTGATCTATTTCTTTTTACGGAAATTCTCCTTGGCGGTCCATTCGGATGCAAGAGACCACAATTCCAGACCATGGAGGTCGATGATCATTCCTTGATCTGTATTACTTGGCATACCAAAAGTGCACAAGTGCAGATTCTACTGTGAATTGGACCTGGAATCCGCACCATGCTAGTTGCGGGCCGACCCTGTGGCGAAGCATCACCCAAAATGGTTCACTTGACCGTGAACCTCGTGGTTTAGAAGGACGGATGGACGGTCCCGTGGCAGCTTATGCGAATGATGGTCCTGCAGCTAGGCGATCCGCTTGCTTTGCCGTGCAGAATCTCGCTTGTTCCCCTGAGGGTTCGGTGGAAATGATTTGGTAATGACTACAAGAAGAGGGACATATTCATGCATTGATCAGGTGGGGTTCGACTCTTGTACTCACGATCTCCTACTGCAAATGATCCGAACTAGACAGTATCAATGACGCTTTGCAAGCGTTATGATGATGAGTATCATGAAGCAGCTTAGATATGGTTCTCAATCACTATAGCCAAGCATTCGACCTCGTGTACTTTGAGTTCCAATCACCCACCATCTTAACGCTAGTAAGCTATCTTGATTCCTTCAAGCCCAGTGGCGACAAGTTTGTGTATCTTGGCAGGGCTGCAATTGGTCAAAAGGTTGACGAAGGGTGTAGTTCGTGACGCCTCAACCTACAGTCTATTCTCAACATTCGGTTTCTGCATGCACAGTCGCGTACCTCGCAGCATGCAGAGAACAGCTGAAAAATAGGAGATTATGATCAAGCTTCAAATGTGTTGCTTGACACAGAGAGGACTTGGCTATGGGAAATGTGGAGAACGCCATGTATTGGACTATCGAATCAGCGCATCCCTTGAAAATGTAACACTCAAAACTGACTCCAGTCACCAATTCTTCTCTTCTTGACATTGCATGGTTGGCACGGATTATTTTCGTTCATTCATTCATGAGTATGTTGGCTTCAAGGACCAGCATTGGAAAAGTCCGATAGTTCAATGGGGCATGCTACCGAGTTTGGCGATTAACGCGATATGTTATCGTTTTCGATGACAACGGAGGAAAGTTTGCCTGAAAAGCTTCAGTGCAGCTTCTAAACCCCTGAGATCAAATGGTCATCGATCATACCTTCATTGGTGACAACTTGATATTGGACTTCAAGATCGCGTTCTGTCAATGCTGCTTTCACTATTGATTTCTAATGTAACCTTTCATGCTGAAGTCCACTGGGTCTTCTCAGTCACTGAAGGCTCATAAGACGCCCGTATAACGGCATGTCTTGGCCATCTTACACCTTTAATTACGATACTTAGCGCTTCATATTTACTATCACATTCCAAGACATGTCCCACATGAGCGTTGAAAGTGGTGTGCTCTACTGGGCTGGCGCGAACGCTCTCTTGTCCTGCAGATGCGCCTCCCAGCCACAAATCCTCGGACTTTCCACATAGGTTCAGTCTCCCATGATGACCCAGCCCTCCAGATCAAGAGGGATTGGGAGCATGATGTAGGGAGCGGGGTTGGTGGCCCATGAGGTGATGGTGTGGTAATGAGGGTTGTTTCGAGAATCGATAGTTCCATGCGGAGTGATGAGAATGAGCGTCTATGTCCATTGACCGGACGAAATTGAGATTCGGCATTGCATCTTGCTCGACTTGGGAAGTATATTTGGTGGATTTGAAGTATAAGTATGACCGTCTGGTCTTCAAATCGAACAGCATCAGTGCCGACCATCACTCCTGATTTCACTGAGCCTTGATCAATTCTTTCCTGCTTCAAAGTCATTCATTTACAATATCATTACTTTCAAGATGATTTTCAAACTCAAACATTTGGCTATCGTACTCTCGCTTCTTGGCCAGAGTTACGGCCAGGATCGATTCTTCGACGAGACCCCCCAGGAAGAGAAGGATGCCTTGAAGGGCATCGTCGAAGACACCCCGCCTCCAGCCCAAGGCAGAAAGGGGAAATGGCTCTCTCCAGAGTATCCCCTGATTTACAAGACTCCACTTCCTATCCCACCCGTCAAGCAACCCAAGTAGTAAGTACCGTCGGTCTTTTTCTTCTATACAGATGGCTCATAGAACGACTATAGTAAGATCACCAACCCCGTAACAGGGAAGGAGATATGGTACTATGAGATGGAGATCAAGCCCTTCACTCATCAAGTCTACCCCAGCCTTCGTCCCGCACGACTTGTCGGGTACGATGGCATCTCCCCTGGCCCTACGATTATCGTACCCCGCGGCACTGAGTCCGTTGTCCGATTCATGAACAACGCGGATGCCGAGACTTCGGTCCATCTTCATGGCTCACCTTCGAGGGCTCCCTTCGATGGGTGGGCTGAGGATCTGACATTCCCTGGAGAGTACAAAGACTATTACTATCCCAACAACCAAGCCGCACGCTTCCTTTGGTACCACGACCATGCCATGCACATTGTAAGTTTCCTATACCCCATGTCTTCTTAATGATCACTTACAATCCCTATAGACTGCTGAGAATGCATACTTTGGCCAGGCCGGCGCATATCTCATCACTGATCCCGCCGAAGACGCCCTCGGACTACCCTCTGGATACGGCACATACGACATCCCCCTCGTCCTATCAGCCAAGATCTACAACAGCGACGGCACACTCCAAACCAGCAAGAACGAAGACGACAGTCTGTTCGGCGACATCATCCACGTCAACGGCCAACCATGGCCCTTCCTAAACGTCGAGCCACGAAAGTACCGCTTCCGCTTCCTCAACGCCGCCCTCTCCCGCACATTCGCCCTCTACTTCGTCAACGCCTTGAACACCAACGCCCGCCTGCCCTTCAAGGTCATCGCCTCCGACGCCGGGCTCCTCGAGTCCCCAGTCCAGACCTCCGACCTCTACATCTCAATGGCCGAGCGCTACGAAATCGTCTTCGACTTCTCGCAGTACGCCGGCCAAACCCTCGAACTCAAAAACTTCCCCAAAGCCAACGGCGTCGGCACCGAAGACGAATACGAAGCCACCGACAAAGTCATGCGCTTCATCGTCTCCTCCACGCCCGTCCCGGACACCAGCGTCGTGCCCACCACCCTCCGCACCGTCCCCTTCCCGCCCGCCTCCTCAGGCATCGACCACCACTTCCGGTTCCACCGCACCAACAGCGAGTGGCGCATCAACGACATCGGGTTCGCCGACGTGCAGAACCGCGTGCTCGCGAAGGTGCCGCGCGGCACCGTCGAGATCTGGGAGCTCGAGAACGGGTCAGGCGGCTGGACGCATCCGATCCACGTGCACCTCGTTGACTTCAAGGTGCTGTCGCGGACGGGGTCAGAGTCCACACGCAACGTGCTGGACTACGAATCGAAGGGGTTGAAGGATGTTGTTTGGCTAGGTCGCCACGAGACGGTGACGGTCGAGGCGCACTATGCGCCTTGGAACGGCGTGTATATGTTTCATTGCCATAATCTCATCCATGAGGACCAGGATATGATGGCTGCGTTCAACGTTACCGCGCTGCAGGGCTTCGGGTACAATGAGACGACGGATTTTGCGGATCCCATGGATGCGAGGTGGAGGGCGAGGCCGTATAATAAGGCGGATTTCACGAGTCGGTCGGGGATTTTCACGGAGCAGGCGATTAAGGGTGCGGTGGAGACGCTGGCGAGGCAGCAGCCGTATAGTGAGCTGGAGGAGGTGGAGCAGGCTTTGGATGACTTTTATAATAACCCGGCGCCGAAAAAACGGGAGGTTGAGGTCGCTGCTGGTCCTGTGCCACGGTACAGACGTTTTGTGGTGTAAGGTTGCTCGAGCTGAGATTTGGAATATCGTTCCTGTTGCCCTTAGGAGGACTTACCTGACTTCATGCTAATTACTGTTTCATTTGTCAATATGTAACCCACCCGCTTATTTTCAATCCCCTTTGTCAATATTTAGTACATCTAAGGTTTTCCACTTCCCTTGAGCGATTATGTGCCTGTGTGATCTGAAAACACCATGACCGATAAAGCTCAAGGATGAGGCAACTTCGTCTTTCTCACCACCTAGAGTTCCGCTGGGTCCAATATGTCTGGAATCTTTAATCTCTTGATATAAACCGAACGTTATCAACCCAGACCACCATGCTATCTCCAAGTATTCTTATCCTATACAACAACATCAGCCACTCCACAGTATATCATACCAACACCACCCTCCTCACCCTATTCCCAAAATCCCTCCTACCACCTCCTCATATCCTCCCTCCCCTCACCCTCCCTCCTACCGTCCCCCAAACTCCCTCCCCCCCAACCCCGGCGTAACAACCCCCTCCCCACTCCTCGCCGCCTCGACCTCCTCGGCCGTCGGCTCCCTCGGCACATCGACGATAACGCTCGGGTCCCTCGCCCGCTCCGCTATCATCTCCGCTCGCTTCTATTCCCTCACACCGTCAAATCAGCCCACGTACTCCCCATAGACAATCTTGAGGGGGAAAAGGATACGAATACATACCTCCCGAACAACCCTGCCCGCGTCGCCCGCTTCCCCGCCCTCGGCGAGGAACTCCGCTGCGATGTCGTCTTCCTCGCGGAGACTGGGCGATACGTTCGTGCCTGTCTTGCTGTCGTTGGATGCGGTGGTGGTGGTGGTGGTGGTGTCGAGTTCCACGGGGTCGTTTTCGTTGATGGCGGGCGTGGAGGTGGAGATGAAGGGGAGGGAGGGGGATATGAGGCCTGCGGAGGATTTGTGGGGGAAGGAGGATGGAGGCGGTGGGAGCGTGGTGGTTGAGGTTGAGGTGGTGGAGGGGGGAGATATGGGGTCTGGGGTTGTGGTTGTTGTTGGTGTTGTTTGGGAGGGGAGGGTTGTTGATGAGGTGGGCGGGGAGATGATGGGTTGTGGGGGGTTGGACGTGTCGGCCATGGTGGTTTGTTCGGCGGTATGGTGGTGAGACGTTGTTTGGAATATGGGAGTCGTTGGTTGTGGTGGTGATGGTGGTGGTGGTGGTTAAGTGGATTAGCGGAGGAGGAAGAGGAGGAAGAAGAAGTTAGGGAATGGCAGGATGTATTTGAAGAAGACAGCTGTACCGCAAGGCTGCTGGATGAGAGCGTGGTAGTGTTTCAGAAGAAGGACGAGTGGAAGGAAGAGAGAGGTATAGCCTTGTCACGGACTATGCGCTGTTCAGCCTCACGTCTTGTAAGTAACAACCTTGATTATTGGAAGTGCTAGGTAAGTGTTGTACCTCGTAGATAAAAGTAGGTTGGCCCCTGCTAAATCGTCGCCGCACGCTCTGCTTGGTTCAGGGTCCACAGGGTAAGCCTGTTAATATCTTGTCCCGCTGTACAACAGATGGATGGCGATCTTTCTATAGTTATTGTTTATTATAACGACAAACGCGGGGCAAAGTACGGCCGAGCTGGGTGTCAGCTCAGTCTCCACAGGTGACGTAGCAGAATCAGCCAGGATGGCTAGCATCGTGCTTCTTTCGACAATGTTTCAGCTGTGGCATCCATACTTGGTCAATATTATTGGCAAGCTCGAGATATGCGCGTATAATAGTAACTGGGCAATGGGCATGGGTCTGGACTTGCTTTTAGTACACTGCGGGAAGAGGCCCCATCATCATGCAGTTGAATGCACCCTTCGACTCGGTTAAGACGCGATCCAATCGGCGGCAATAGGGTGGCGAATGACTCGTGGAGCAAAGTACAATGGTCATGGGGCAGATCTTGAGAGGAGAGGAACGGTACCAAACGAGTGCTTCATAGCTGCGATTCGATATGCGGACATGTCGATGGCACGTGGCATTGGCATCAGTAGTAATACCATGGCCCTTTTCGACTGTTGTAGAGTACATGAACATCTAACCTCATTGCTGGTCTCTTTCGGCACACCAGCTCATATGCTTTCAACACTTTTCCTTGATTCAAAAAACACCCAGAAAATCCATACATGATATAACCGTTGAGTACGTTTCGACGTCCCTCGCGAAGAATCGTGATAGATTCATTTGCTCAATAAACTCCCTCATTGCGAAGTTATTCCCTCTTGGGTAGCACAAAGCCCAACGCGTATCCCCCTCCAGGAGATGTCTTCGGGTCGTGAGGTGCCTGCGATTCGTCAACTTGCCGACCCAAACGTATTGGGACCAGGTGTGCTCACTCCCATGAAAGGTCCCCCATTCACTGGCCCGTTCATTCCAGTCATTGAAAATGCTTCATTGTTGGTGTTACTCTGCTGTTGAGCTGACGTTGGAGATAAACCGTTGGGAACACTATCCGTCTGCATTCCCATGTCCATGGGGAAGAAGTTGTTCGTCGTATCCATACCAGGTCCCTGGATGTACGAATCCCAAGCGTTCTGCATCACGAGTTAAAATCATCTCTAAATATTAAATACGAAGTGCGGTAGGTACATACCCAATCAATGTTGGAAGTATCTGGGAGGTCCATATTTTGGAAACCAATACTTGCTCCGAAAAGATTAGAGAACGGACTGGGCGCATTGTCTGGTCCGCTAGTGACACCCGCGCCGAACTGGTTAGGGAATGCGGAGGTTTGCTGAGGGGCAGCGTCGTTTAAGATATTTGCCATGGAAGCAGGCACTGCAGGGTAGCGGGTGTCGAACATGTTCGCGGAATTGGGCGTCATGCCACCCGTGCTGAGCATGCCCAATGTCATAGCCGCTGAATGTTCTGGTGCAACATTCGAGTCATCCATGGGACTGGCGGATGGGAAAGATGAACCGGAAGCAGAGGAAAAGCTCTGCGGTGTTTGGCGGACTGTCTGATGTTGTTTGAGCTGCGTTAACATGACGGTAAGGGTGGTATGAGCCTTGTAGGCTTCCATAGAACCGTCTTTGAGACCCTCCCAGATCCCGACAGCTGTCTCTATGGCATCCAGCATTTCCTGGCATCTCTCGCGGCTCCAAGCGTAACCGTCACCAGGCGGACTTCGACCTGATCGCTCCACCCGCGCCATATGATAGAGATCCGAGGCAACGATCATGCCTGCAATTAGGAAGTCGTTGGAAGTCAACGAGGAAATGAACCACTTGACACTCCGTAACCGTCCTCCTGGCTGACATTCCCTGTGTAATGTCGCCTGATGTTGGAGCATGATCATAGCCGCATCGATTGATGCCTTACGAGAGTAGGTAAATCGGGCGTTGACCCTCGCAGCTGGAAGGTATTTCCGATGCAGCACAATAATGATCTTTAAGAACAGCAAGTCCAGAGTAAAGCGTTGCATAATGAGTGTTGAAGGATCCCGAGCAGACTCATCCATCGAGCGCATCGTCAACTGCGGTGACACTTGCGCATGAATTGTCCGTGCCTGTTCATCCATCTTCGTAACCTCTTCGTATGATGAACATGTCAGTGACTCGGTGAGTTCTATAGCTTCTCCTAGCTTGTACACAAGTCGTGTTCTGTTGATTAAGAATAACGTCGGAGTTGCCTCCGTTTCCGGCCTAGACGGGGGAAGAACCTTGATGTCCTCGTAGAGCTCGTCATCGTAAATGTTGCGAGGTATTTCTGTGTTGGTATCGCGTGGTCTTACAATTGGTGGCATGCCAGCCTGGGCTGAAAAGAGCAGATCCATCGATCGAATAGATGCCCATACTCGCCGTCGCATTTCGCCTTGGAACTCATTAATGCCAGCGTAAGGCCCAGCATCACGATGCAATCCCATCCGCATCGCTAGCCTGACAATGATGCCTGTGCTGATCAAGATACCCACTTCGGCATCTCGGCTGCGAGCGTAGTCGGCATAAATATGGAGGATGAGTGTTTCGAGCATGTTCATGATGGGTTGTGTGATGTCTGCCATAACGAGACATTGGGCAGTGAGTGTTCGGTACTCGCCTGACATTTCCCAAGTCTTATTCCTGTATTCTGGCGGCTCATCACCCGCACGGCTGTACGACTGCAGTGCTATACACATCATTGCGTATACCAGACCAAGCCAAATTATAGGTGTTTCAGTGGGATTTGCCCAATGTTGGTCGTATTGTTTTTGAAATGTGGGCCCATGTATGACATGGATTCCAGGGTCGTACGTATTGAAATATCGAGTGACCAGGATGTCAGCTGTCTGTTTGACTGGAAATCGTGCGAGAAGCTCTGCCTGTGTTGTGGGTTTTGCTGCACCGAAGAGGAACGCAGTGCCCGGGCTGATCTCTTCATTGTGGTTCGCTTGATATCGCTTCAGTTGTTCGTCGTACTGCTTCTTGTGCTCGGAGAAGTAACTCTTTACTTCAGATATCTGGGTCGAGTATCAACATCCGTTGTTTGATATCAAGCATCTGTGGTATACATACCTCCCCCAAAATGGCATACCAATGCGCCTCCGATGCAAAGATCGACCGGTTATTGTCCACCTTCATCACACCTATCGACTTGGTAACGTGCTCGACCTCACTCTCATCGCCTTCGTCATCTTCCTTAATCGATTCGGGGCCGTTCGACATGTCGTAGTTCTGATCCGGGGAGCTATTGCTATAACTGTCTGCGATGGCTGCCTGGGCAGCAGCCGGACCAGCACTCTGAGATCCATTGGTCATCAGTGAAAGAACAAGTCCTTCGAGACGGTCAATGCGATTTTGCATGTCATCAGGAGAAGCATTGGTGCCAGTGCTGGAAGAGCTCTTCTTGCGACTGCCCGGTGTTGCGTACGTACATGATGCGGTATCTCCCCGCTTGGTGCAGTTATCGCAGGGGTGACCGCGATTACATTTTAACCTGTGGCAGTCAGCATTGGTTATCGCTCCCGGAAACGGAACAAGCCTACTTCCTATGTCTACATGGCCCACAGGAAAGAGGAACCCGATTCCTCTTGCGCACGACCCTGAACTGGGGGTCTGGAGGGGACTGCCCAGCACTAGAGGGCGTCGTCGAGGGTGGTGTAGGCGGCATATTGTCGCGAAAGAACTCTTAATGGGGAGCGGAGTTTAGGTTGCTTAAGTCCGATAAAGACCAGCCAACTTGATATTGATACGGGGGTAGGCCGGAAGTAAGCAAATGGCCAAGAGAAATGTGCACTGGATCCAATGCTGCCTGTCAAGTGGGATTGCTGCAGCAATAAGTGGGAAGAAGATCGAGTCGAAGAAGGTTTCTCAATGGCGGGCCGCGTTGGCCTTAAATCTTTTTGGCGGAAGTACCTCGTAAGACCAGAAGCACGTTAGCGCGTGGGCTGAGTCTTTAAGAACGGGGAGCCCTTGGAATGATCGACCAGTCTTGCTGCTCCCCTATGATATCCTCCTTCCTTCTCACGTTCTTATCCCGGGTCTTCGTCTGTTCGATCCGGTCCCCCTTCCAGTTTCCAATGTTACTCGTTCCGCGGAGCCTCTTGTGTTGTACTGTACGTAGACTGCTGCAAACAACTCAAGTATCCACGCGCCCACTACGCACAGTGTCCTATCCTAGTCCTTGGAATGGTCCTGTAGCGATTGTCCTGGCCTGAAACTCGCAACGGTTCCGTCGTAGTTCAGGCGATAAGGCAGACGATGTGGTCGCAATCAATTCGTGGGCCGTTCTGAGTCTGCGCGAAAGACTTTAGGTATGAACGAGTACGAGTAGTTCCGGGGATGGGTACTTTGGGTGATGCAAAACTTGCAGGATCTCACCCCGCCGAGTCTGACGTAGCTCGATAGATAGCGCAGAGTCTCACGGTCGGGCCGGTCAGCGTAAGGCTCGGGAGGCTTAGTAAGGAGGAGTATCGTGAGCGACAGACACAATGGAAGTATTGATGCCTAGAGGAAGTATGCGCTCAGTGGCAGAGGGGGGTGGTCCACGAGGGAGTACGGGAGTAGAGTGGTGTTGATTGATGGGGAGGGGTGGGCGGTAAGGCATTTATCTCCGCACGCGAAAGGAACCTAGGCAAACCAAACCTACAGGGAAGGAGCGCATTTGGAACGCCCTTACGGTGCCAAGCCAGAGAACCATTCATCAATTTCAAATACTACTCGTAACTACCTAGGTACCATTGCCATACCTCGTACCCTAGAGGAAACTATGGCAAACAGGAGCACTATTGCATCCGTCAATCACAGTTGGCCATTCTTCCGCATCTTGATAAGCAATATCGTCGCTCCCCTATATCTACGAATACATGCACCAACTGTGTAGTTACATGGATGTCTGTATGTACAAGTATGACTCACACAATGTGTGGATACACTATTACTGCTACCACTAATTATTGCTGCTACTACTGCTGCTTTTGCTTCTAAGTCGATGCTCTTGCATATCTGAGTTCTGACTTTCGCTGCATCATTGCTGGAATATCTTGAAGCCATGTACCCGATGTGGCCAATCTCAGCACATACGAGGAATAAAGATTGCAGCTAGTTCCCACACATCAAAGCTTGTCGTCCACGTCCACTGGCGGCTTGTTCCGGTTACCCACTCATCCACTCTATGCGGGGCCTGGTCTCGACCTTCAGGCACCCTGGATGTAACTCTTGTATAATAGTATAACTACCGTCTATCACTACTTGCATCCCATATCCCCTGTCCAACATGTAGTGAGATTCATTTTCAACCTCTGATCATCATGATAGAAAAGAACCCTCTATAATCCACCACCTCCTCCTACTCCCTCCCACCCTTCCAATCCACCATCCTCCCCTCCCCTTCATCCCACCTAAACACCCCCCCATCCCCAACATTATACCGATAATAATTCTCCGTCCCCTCCCTCACCAACGCCCTCCTAAACGTGACATTGATCCTCCCCCTGCCCGCCGCCTCCCCCTTCCTCTTCGGCACACTATGTAGCCAATTCGCCTGCGTCGCTCCACGCATGAGCACCATATCGCCGCTCCCGAGCCCCAACTTCACCACCTTAAACTCCTCCCCCTCCCGGTCCTTGGGCGTAGGCGCCACGACGGGCTTATGCTTCATGAGGAAATCCCGCCGCGCGCCGAGGGAGAAGGACGCGATCGCGGGGTTCGCGCCCAGGAACCGCTCGTCGTCGCTGTGGTACGATATGCTGTCGTTGCCGTCGGCGTAGTAGTTCACGAGGCAGAAGTTGAAGGTTTCGCCGGTCGTGCCCTGCGTGAGCTTGCGGAGTGTGTCGAGGCATTGGGGGAGGGGGCGGGGTGTGCATTTGTAGCGGGTGCGCTCGATGGGTTTGTTGGTTTGGGCGTCTACGAGTGTGGCGACGCCGTCACCGTCTGGGGTGGGTGAGGTGAAGAGGGAGGTGGAGTCTACGCCGAAGACGGTGGTGAAGCGCGGGGTGTGGATTGTGGTGGTGATGTCGCCGCGCTTGATGTTGTAGACCACGCGTTGGAAGAAGAGCTCTTTGCGGAGGAAGTCGAAGAGGTCTGGGGCGATGGAGGAGGGGATGTAGGGTTGGTAGTAGATGAGGTCGAGGTCGCGTTGGTCGTTGATTGTTTGGCCTTCTTCTGCGGGCGCGAAGCCAAGTTGTTCAGCGATGGAGGGCGGGAGATGTGGGATCGGGAAGGGATATGATGGATGGTTTGATGTGGATGTTGATACCTCGTATTTGGGTTTCTTTGGTGTTGAGGGTTTGAAGAAGGAGTCGATTGCGCCGCGCTTCATGGTTGCTGGTGATTCGAAGGTCGTGTTGATATGGAGTGGTAGATATATTCTTTTTATATTGTCGATAGCACACGTCTGTAACTTCGTATAGAGCTTCTACTCTTCCCAGTGCAAAAAAGTCTGATAGCCTGAAGATTTCCACACAAAATTACAACAGTTTGTATGAAAACCCAAATCCCGCGATATCTCAATTCCCCAAAAAAACAAAACGTCAATCAATAAACGGTTTGCCAGACGCGACGCACGAAGTCTGGAACGACGCGACCATCTCCTCTCCGCAAATCAACTATCGATGACGTCGTCCATTTCACACTAACGCGAGGCTAAGAGCCCTGTAGGGCTGAAATCGTCAGGACGCGCTTCATGGGAGGAAATAGCAGGACACAAGAAATGTGAGAGAAATTTCTATACGACAGATCCGTTAATTTGACTGGTTTGCGGGCGGGTGTATGTACACTACCTCGTATAGGCAACGCTGACTTGGGCTTCGATATGAAGACACACATCGCCCTGGAATAACCAAGACTTAGATGGCAAAATTCAAATGCCAAAGTGTTTCCCTTACAAGAAATGAACATCGCAACGAGAGAAAATCTATGAAAAATGTCAAACACACATCTTTCGCGATCGAAGCTCCGAGATATATGCGAATGCGTTCATGAGGTTGAGGCAAAGAATGCCACCCGCCACTCGGACAATTATGATAAAACTTTTAGAAAGCGACAAGAGGTCCTGCGAAACATGAACCAATCAGAACCTTGATCAACAACATGGTTTCCAGCAACGCTGAACGTTCAATTTACGAGTACCATGAAGCAATCGTCAACAACGAACTTTTTTTCTAAAGGTCTTCACTGAATACGGGCTACGTGCAGATTTCGTGCTCAGTCAACGAATGTATTGGGGAGTTGTGAAATGATACTAGACGACGGAGGCCGTTAATTAAGACATGAAATTTGCATATCAGTTACCGTTGTTCATGTTTTTGATAGCATGCTCCGTAGTCGTAGACGATGCTCGAACCTTATCCGGGTCAAGCCCGAACCCTAGCGCCCCGTATCTGATCACAGGTGAATGCATCTAGCGATAGACACATACTTGAGCGCACCAGTCAGAGAAGAAGCAATGCCCCAAACTTCTCAGAACTATTCCGTGTTCAACTTGTTTCCCTGCAACGAGGACAGATCCATGCTGCAACAGTGTGACACTGCCTGTGCAATCTGAGATAACCGCGCCAGGTTCCTGTGGATCAATAATTCTGCAGGCCAATCAATCATAATGCTCGTAGTCTTCATGATCCGGATGACTCACTAATGGGATCTTCCTCAGTCCATGCAAGTGCAATGTTCATGAATCCCGAGAAGCAGACCCTTTGCACTCATGTTAGCAGAACAATTCATCAAAATGATAGAAAAGGAGATTTCCAACAATGCACCAAATCCGTGAAGCCGCGCTCGCTCAGACCACTTCTGGAAGCCGGTTGATTGGCGGTCTGCATCCATCGGCATGGCCCATAATGTGTACAGAACCAGTAGAGGCCCCGGAATCTCGACAAATGCCAAGTACATGTGTCCATCATCGCAGCCTGCACACATCTTCATCTTCCATGCGATCGTGGCAAGAAGCCAGATGCAGTTCGAAATGTGAAATACCGTCATCAGGGTCTTAGTCGTGCAGTGATGGCAGCCTGAGATTCGCCACATGCGCAAATAGGTCAGAGCCATGTCCAGTCGACAGATTGATAAGCTGATGGCGTAGGCGGCGACTAAGTAAGGGCTTTCTAGCTAAAACAAGAATGAGCTGCGGTGCCATTTTATCTATACGCTGTCGAGATACATACCCTCTTTAGCTGTCGGTAATACCCCAATTCTAGATTGGCGGAGGTACCGATAGCCGACGTAATCGCAAGCAATTGTAGGTAGTACAGCCAAAGGAAGAAGGCCAGTGAGAACAACACGAGATATCTCTCAATTTTGGACACCTGGCGAATCTTCTTTGATCTCTCTGGTTGCGTTGACCTATAGTTGAGGCATCGTATGCTGACCTGTACAACTGTAGTAACCACAAGGATAGAGGGATGTACAACTGTAGTAACCACAAGGATAGAGGGATAGACGGGAAGCGTCATAACTATTGAACAAGAGTTGAATCTCAAATCTGAAAGTAGACAGCTGGGTTGATGTTGTGTTGATCGAGAAGAGGTTGTGTTGATGGAGAAGAGATGCTCGGACGACCGAAAAATGTTGAGATATAGCCCAACGCATCTTCAGTCTAGGAAGGCGCAGCTTGACGTCCATTGCGACCGCCTGGTCACTAGCCAAGCCCCCAATGTCTCCTTCCTCAATTTCAGACATCTTCTGGTGATTCAGTCGTACGGACAGTCTAAAGCAATACTGGTGTCGGCATCACTACGGGACTTTATATGGACGTTTGACCCAAATTTTGATGAGGAGCGGCGGTGAGGATTGGCGGTGAGGAGTGCTGGCAAGCCATTTCTTCATTTGATACAGTTCTTTGAGAGCAATCAAACATTATGAATTAATCAGGCTCAAAAGAGCCACTAAAAGAGTGTAAATAGACTAAGTTCCAATTCCCTAGGTGACCAACAAGCCGAAAAGAATATGTAAAGAGAGGTTATGTGACGATTCATGTCATCATCAAAGCGAGAGTGTTGTCAGTCTATTCTATCCTTGAGCAACTCAACCACAATCTAGTAGTACTTGGGGTTCGCGGGGTCAGTCAAGTCGAAGATGACTGCGGAATGGGGCTTAGCACCACCGCGGTTGGTGTACTGGCTCGCAAAGTCGATGGACCTGTTGAAGCTGAGAGCACCGTTGGGGAGGATGTCAATCCACTGGGCCTTGAAGTCCGCAGGGGTGTTGACGACGCCGATTTCGCCGGTCTGGACGAAGTAGTCGGTGACGAGGAGGTTCTTCTTGTCGGGGGAGATCTTGACGTAGTGGGGTCCGACGATGCCTTGGTTCTCTTCGGGGTCATCGAGGCGCTTGACGTTGTTGAGGTCGGAGATGTCGAGGGCAGCGACGTGGTTACCGAGGGTAAGGGTGAAGTAGGCCCACTTTCCGTCGTCAGAGATGTCGGAGTAGATGGCAAGGTTGTCGCGGGCACGAGGACCAAGGTCGTAGAGGAGCTCGGCAACACCCTGTTGGCCTTGCGCATTCTTGCGGAAGGGATAGATGATCCAGACCGTACCGGGGCCAACAGCAGTAGCAAGAGCAGCAGACTCTGGGTTTCCAGGGATGAACTTGACGTCCTGGATGCCCTGGCCGTCGGGGATGGTGATAGTCGAGATGATCTTCTTGGTATCAAGCTCCCAAAGGCGGAGGGTGTTTGCCCTCTGGATGCCAATAGCAGAGGCAGGCTTGAGGATGGTGACAGGTACGACGAAATCAGATGTAAGAATGATCTTCTTGTTCCAGTCAACGGAAAGACCGTGAGGAGAGAATTGCTCGCCAAGGATGTTGAGAGTGGATCCGACATCTTCGGGCCATTCGTGAATGATGTTGAAGTTGGCATCCGTCTCTACTAGACGACCAGGAGAGCTACCCACGGCAGCTGATTGATAGTTAGAATCTGGTATCACGTTACAGCTGTCTGATTGACTTACATCCCATGTATGTGATCAAGAAACCTCCATCGGGCTTAGCACGGATTTCATCAGTGATGGATGAGAGAAGAGCACGGTTGCTCTTCTTGAACTTGGGCTGATAAGGGTTGGTAGTATCGAAGTAATAAGCAGTGTCCTGTGCGTAAATGGTTAGCATCGTCAGGCCTCATCCACCATTCAGAAGAACATACCTGAGTCTTGAGCAAGGACAAAAGACCACCTCCGACAAGTGTCTTTCCATCGAGGGAGGAACCAAGATGGTGAGGGCTGTTGCCACTGGAAGGCACATCGGTGATCCACAAAAGAGTGCCAAATGTGTCATCATCCAATGAGTACGTGGCAAGGAAGTCCTTGTGCTGATTGTCACCAGCACCTGTCCAGAAGTATCCGATCTTCTTCGGCTTGATATTCTGGTTTCCAGTGAAGGGCGGGCTGCTCAACGGGGGAGTTGGAACTTGCAAGATAGGCAACGGGGGAGCATTGCTTGCAAGTGGCTCAGTGACTCCTGGGATAGAAGGAATCAGAGGAGGAAGACTGAGGCCGCTGGCTGCGCCGGCCAAAATGGCGAACAGTGCTTTGGAATGCATATTGAAAGAATGAGGTAGGGTGAGAGAAGGTTAGAGCCTTATTGAGAAGATTATGAGCAAGTTCCTGTCGATTATCTAGGTCAAGTTGCTGATACTTATACATCCTAAATCTCCAGTGTTTCTCACATCTCGTTCGTCATTTTCTTCAACTCCAGTTTTTACACCATCTCATTGTCCATCTTCATCTCCTACATTGTTGTAGAAATGGTGTTATCAAGCCCTCAAGTGACGACGAATATCGAAAAATACAAGTACACGTCGAATCGATCGACAGGAGCATGAGGCAGACGATTGACCATCGGCGACCATTTCGGCCTCACTGGCACCGAAAGCACCACACGATTGCTTACGAAGGCCTAAAAGCGTAGACGAAAGACAACGGCATTTCCTGGGTGCATGGAGATCATCGGTCGAGGTCTGATTACAGTTAAGCCAGGGCTGAAACGGGATTGTTAGGGTCTCGTGGTATTGCTGTAGTGCTCAGCGGGTTTTCAAGATCCCGCTTTTGGCTGAGGTTTACCAAAATGGGAATACCAATCTGGACTGGTTTCTGAGAGCCCCATGCTGTCCTTACAGGTTTAGAGAGATCGACAGCAGTTGGAAATTTCCCGCACGATCGTGGCTGCAGCTATACGTGCAGCTAGTCATCAAAGTTATGGGGCACTGAATGCTTTTCAGAGATTAAAATATGCAATTGGCTAAGAGCCATGAAAAGTCTCCTCAAGCGGGCGAAGTGGGTATCGGGGGATATCAGTACTATTCGACAAGCGCCGTATCGCGCATCTTTGTGAATTGTTCCTCATACTCATCATCAGTAGGCTCAAAGCAAAAGCCTCAATGTACAGATTGTCTAGATACTTGAAGTCTAATGGAGATCTCGATCCTGCTTCAGGGGCTAAATCACATTATGAGAAAGATTGAACTGAACCTGGGCTGACAGATTGAGGTGTTCGCAGATGATCGGCCATGCAGCACAGCATGATCCAGGGAAACTTGAAAGTAATTAAACTCCAAATTGGGAATCTGTCAGGCACAGTGAAATGGCTTTGAGCAATCCGCATCTCGCGCTATGCTAATGCGACTACTATCGCGCTTAAACTGACAGATCATTGATGAGCAGACAGGAAACCGGAAATCTGGTCCGGAGCATTTACACAGTGACCTTGATGAGCTCTGTGCTTTTTCCTTACGGGAGCAATCCCAGGAAATCTAATCAGTTTGTCCTGTTGATGTACAGCAATGCCAGGGGCAATTGACATGCTCGAGGGCAGTGATTGGATCAGTAGGGGGTGAATAGACTATTTGCTTGGCTGCCGCTGACATGGAATGAGATGGGGAGGTAAACAATATTTTCCAGAATGGTGCAATTTGCCTATACAGGTTACAGACGGTAGGGGCACACATCCACGAGCTGTTGGTGGCCAAGGCGTGGTTCGTCCCGTATCCGTCTTTAAGCTCAAGTATGAGTGGAGGATCTGGAGAGCTTAGCCTAGCTTGTGAGCGATTGGGCTCGATGCGGGGAAGATCGACGCTCCCGGAACCAGCAAGCCACAACATCGCGACATCGCTTGGCAGAATCACGAACTCAACCTCCTCTGACAATCACAATCTTGATGGGAACGGATGCTGCATGGGCCGTGGGTGTACAGGTGCCAGTCTCATTCTTCGATGGCTGGGTATTGCAGGAAGACGTGATAAATTGCCTGTACCTGCGAATCGAACGTGGGGTAAATGAAGCAATGTTGTCATCGTACATCCGCATATATATTGAGCTCTGCTCGGGCTGAACGCCATTTTTGACTTTACTTGCTTCTTATCCCAGACACTCATTTTCAGGATGAAGTTCACGAGTCTGACAACTCTTCTCTTTGCGACCGCTGCTTTTGGAGGTGTTGTGAAGCGCGAGGAATCGCAATTCAAATTGGGGCAGCCAATTGACGGCAAGGGCAAAGGAGCACCAATCCTAGGTACGAAAACTTACCGCTTCATCATGTTTGAATACAGCTGACCAAATCAAGGTGGAACAAACAAAGACGTCGACCTGGCAAACCCTTCTAACCTGGGTGAGCAAAGTACCGATGCTGGTACGGTACCCAATTTGAAGTGGAGATTTTCCGATTCCAAGACGAAAATCTTCCCAGGTGGATGGGTCAGGGAGCAGGTAGACAATGACCTTCCTCAGAGCCATGACATTGCTGCAGCCCAACAACATCTGAAGAAGGGTGCCATTCGCGAGCTCCACTGGCACAGAGTTGTGAGTAATCTGACCGTCGCAACAAGAGAAGAATGCTAATAGGAATAGGCCGAGTGGGGTTTCGTGTATGCCGGCCGTGTTCTCGTCTCTGCTGTTGATGAGAACGGAAAATATCAAGTTGACATCCTCGAGTATGGAGACATCTGGTACTTCCCTAAGGGTCAAGCACATACTGTCCAGGGTCTCGACGATGAGAACGAGTATCTCCTAGTCTTCGATGACGGAGACTTCGATCGAGCCGGAACCACATTCAACCTCGATGACTGGATCGCAAGAACTCCCAAGCACATCCTGGCTAAGAACTTCGGTGTTCCCGAATCAGTCTTTGACAAGGTCCCTGAAAAGAATCCATACATCCTCAACAGCACATCCAGCACCCATAATGTTACAGGTGGCAACGGAGAGCTTGTTGGCAACAGCTCCTACGTCTACCACACTTTCCAACACCCATCCGAGCCTGTTGCTGGAGGCGGCGGTGTCTTCTACAAGATTGACTCAACCAACTTCCCCATCTCAACTACGATCGCATCTACTTTCGTCATTCTGGAGCCCGGGGGTTTGAGGGAATTGCACTGGCACCCAACCGTGAGTCGCACTCTTATTTATCTATAGACAGTATGACGCTAATCGATCTCTCCGTAGGCTGAGGAATGGCTATACTTCCACGAAGGTACTGCCCGAGCAACAGTATTCACGGGCAACGGCAACTCTCGCACCTTCGACTTCTCAGCGGGAGACACAGCAGTGTTCCCTGACAACAGTGGTAAGTGAAGATTGAATAACACTCGCTTCCAGTCGCTTACATATCTGAAGGGCATTACATCGAGAACACCTCGAAGGATCAGAACTTGACCTGGATTGAGATCTACAAGAGCGACCGCGTGGCCGACGTTTCCCTTACACAATGGCTCGCGCTGACCCCAGCTGATATCGCGGCGGCAGTACTTAAGGTCCCGATCGAGTTCGTCGAGACCTTGAAGAAGGAGAAGCAAGTCCTTATCAAGGGTTCGAAGTAGCATCAGCATCCAGCATAAAGCGCGCTTTTCTATTCTTCATCGGCCGCGATGGGTCGAACCCTTAAGTAGAGGCAGCATACCTCATATGAATCATCTGCCTGTAGGCTTGACGTCATTAATCATTAATAGTAATTGTATATTATTAATCACACATCTGCATTGAGCTTGTCGCACTAAATATTCTGGATGGTATATAGTGTCATCTTGGGGATCAGGATCGAGTGTGAATCCAAATCCTTGTTCCATCGAAATCCTTCGATGGAAGCGCTCCCAAGAGCGAATGCCACACAGTCGCAACAATCTCAGAACAAACACCTCAACCAGATCGCGTATGACTTGCAGCATCAGCACTTGAAACATGATCCCCAGCCTCCCGCCTCAGCGTATGATTTTCTTTGTTTGCCCAGCGTCGGCAAGGTGCATACCCGGGGACATTCCTTGCACGGGACCACGGCCTGCAAACAGGCGAAGTGGGCTATGCTTCGAATACTACGGTGATCATCAGAAACAGAGATGCTTTGGGGGGAACTCGTTGCTTTTCAGAGGGACGGAATAATGATTAACTTACAGATGAATGAAACCTAGTCATTAGAATGTGCATGAGGGACTGCAGTTATGAAAGACAGCAGCTTGCCGAGATGCGGCTAGGTGATTGGCTGAAACTGGGTTCTCTATGTGCCCCTAACTCTCAACCTTCAAAAGCAAATACACGATCTAGAACAACAGCAAAGACTACGTCAGGAAAGGCATGAGAAAGTCAGTTGTGCACTGAAACGAACCGAGAAGGTACATATCTTGCAAGGATGCATACCTAGCATACCTAGCCCTACGAAGCAATCTACCTGTCCCCATTCGGCAGTCGATTCATCCGCGCGCTCCTACAGCACCGCCCATGTGGCACAAGCAGAGAGACAGGTATGCAAGGCCCGCCTCATGACCCTCCCATACGCCTCTTTGTTGGCACGTTTGGATCTTGCAGAAGCAATCATCCCTGAGCATGTTGCCGGCCAGGAAACAAAATGAACCCTACAGCCTTGTGCTAGGGGCGACCTAGCAATTCCCATTCTCTCCGCTGCACTTTTTCATTTTTCCTGGAGATCGTCGCGAGACTTTTCTACATGGACGACCGCGATGCATATGTTTCTCAATAAGAGAGTAGCTTGTCCCTCTGGAAAGCTCTTCTATCAATGCGCGAGTCCTCAGTACCAAGGGTGTTGCTCGGTGGACGCTTGTCACTCGAACGGCTGCCCTGATGATGATCAAGGTATGTATCATCAATTGCGAAGCTGCGAAGAAAGCAGGAACAGGAACAAACAAACGCCTACAACACAGATATAATCTAGCAGGAGAAAAGCACTGCATCATATTTCGCGAGCCCTTAGCAATTGTGTAACTGGAAACGCAACAAGCAAACAAATCTTGCAAAACCGACCATCGCTGACTTGATGTCACAGCTACCACAACCTCAAAACCACCATCTCCAACACCAACCGCAAAACCCAGTCCACCGAATGCAACCCCTACAGTCGAAACTCTCGCATCCGTAGAAGGCGACAAGACCGTTTACATCACCGTCACCCACGAACCCCCCACTTCAACATCACTACCTGATTTCGCATCTCTCAATGCCTCCTCAAAACCACCAATTGGCCCCATAGTAGGCGGCGTCGTCGGCGGAACCACAATCATCATCATATCCCTCCTCCTCCTTCTCTTCTACCGACGCAAAAAGCGCCAAAACGAACAGCGTCGCGCGACGCTCCCACCCCCTTACCAAACCACAACCGACCCAGATATGTCTTCGCAGCTCTACAGCAGTACGTCATTTCCCCCTCTCTCCCTTCCCTAACATTCCATGCAACCCTGTCCCCATTTCCAGGAAGTCACTCGAAACTGACAAGTCGCACAAGGTGCAACGGTGGTCGCGGGATCTGAGACTAGCGAGAAGGCGGGTATACTCAGGGATGCGACGTCGAATTCGGATTCCACGTACGCCACCACAGACCCGGACGACGATCATGGTGCTGCGCGAAGCAGTCCTCGCCACATGCGCCACCGCGGCAGCGACAGCAATAGCAACGGCAGCAATAATAATAGCAGCAGCGGAGGGGACTCGTTGCCGCCACAGTTGGATGGCAGGATGGTGAGACCCATGACTGAGATTGGGGGCGGCGAGGTCCTTGGCGTCATTCCTGAGCTCCCTGCGGCGGAGCTCAGACAGGACCGCCGGCGAAGTCTCCGTCTGGACACTCACATTGCTGTGCGAAGAAGTATGGCGAGACAGTCGAGTTTGGAACCAGGGAGTCTTGGAAGTGGTGGTGGTGGTGGTGTGGAGAGCGATCGTCGGGTCGGGGGGAGATCGCAAGGGGAGGATGGGGCCGGGAGTGAAAGACATGACCACGTGATGAGCTGGATGCAGCTTTCTTCCCTGGCGAGAAAGGACAGCTCGGCGCGTCTGTCGCAGCCACATAATGCCCCCGATCACTCTGCGGCTGTGTGGGGAAACATGACAATGCCCAGAGCAGGGCATGGTCGCACGACATCGTGAAGCTATATGATTAATGTAACTTTCTAATTGTATAGATATAACATAGGGACAGATGATTGAACATCATTTTCTACATAGTTAGCGGCTCGAATACCTTAGGCATATATGGGTTGACAGGGGGAAACTCTTCACTTCCTCCTCGCGAGGACAAACAGTCTAGGATATCCCAAAAGCACTTTCCCATCTTCCAACTTGGTATACACTTCCGAAAGCCTCCTCTCATATTCCTTTTCAAACGCAACCTTCGCCTCTTCATCTCCCTCCATCCTCACGAGATACGGCCCCAGCCCAGTCGTAGCAACCCAATCTACAATCCCTCTCGCATCTTTGATGACGTGCTTGTACTCCGTCCGCCATATATTTACAGTGTCTGCCGAGGAAACGAGGACATTATACCACGATTCCGCTGCCTCGATGGGGTCGAGATCAGGTCGAGTCTTGTCGGCCAAGTCGCCGATTCGTACGTCAGTGAAGTACTTGGACCATGGCTTTGAAGGTTCAGACGCGACAGCTCGCATGAGAGAGTGTGTCGGCGCGTCATAGTTATCCGGGACCTGGATAGCGATCACGGAGCCTGTGGGGAGGGAGTTGAAGACTCGAGACACGGTCTCCAGTCGCTTGGGTGAACGTAGCCAGTGCACTGCAGCGTTCGAGAAGACCAGAACGGGACTTTGGTCGGACGATGATGGTAGAGTCCAGGCGCCGATATCGCCTTTGATGAACTCGGCGTTGGGGAGTGCTGCTCGTGCCTTTTCGAGCATGTCTGGTGATGTGTCGATGCCGGTGGCTTTGGCGTCAGGGAAGGCGGAAAGAAGAGCGGAGGTGCTGTTTCCTGGCCCACACCCGAGGTCGTAGATTCGTGTTGGGGGAGCTGGGAAGTGTTGGATCACTTGAGCGACGAGATCGTTGACAGGACGGGTGCGCTCGTTGCCGTATTTCATGTACTTGGTTGCTGACCAGTCATGCTTCTTAGCTTCTTGAGCCTGAGACATGGTTGCCGTTCTATGTAGGGAGCGGGTTTGTGACCAATTGATGCGTAGTCGGTTTTCTTCCCCTGGATGAATAGCTGATTGAGCTGTCGACCCAAGCCTGGACAGGAGAAGGAACTGAGGTTCACTTCTAGATGTTCGAATTGTTGAAATTGCGATCGAAAAATTTGGACGAACTCCTCGAAACATATCTCTTTTGCAAGCGTTGCCGAACTAGTACACTGTGTGTATAGAGATTGAAAGTCTAGAATGATACGCTACAGTAAATTAAAGCCAATGGCAAGCCGGCCATATATAAATATTGAGATGGAAGAGATGACGTTGGTAGACCGCGGCCGAGCGACTTCAGGAGGAGTGAGCTTCAGCCAATAACGTTGACGCGCTAAAAAAGTTGATGGTCTGCAGGTCAATGGATTGCCGCATTGGGAAATGCGCTTGTGGATCGATCAATGCAAGTGACGGAAAAACAACAACAGCGAGTGCAAGGAGAAGCGGATATGCAACTCTGCTGTCAAGCCGGCGGCATGAATGCTGAGTCCCAGTTGTCTGCAGTTACGATGGACCTCGCGCACCAAACATGATTTAGATATCTTATAAGTTGGGCAACCATTGGACAGAGTATTTCCAATTCCTATCATTGCAGTCTCATGCTGCATGTGGCTTTAGTTACAGGATGTATTCCTTACTGCGACCGACACCCCCTTTGATCATATGAAGGACTCTTCAGCGATTTACTCCGTTAATCCTTTTAGCTTGCCCATAAACCATCCATGAGTTGCGTGTTGCTAGTCTCCACACGCTGGCAATCCGACCAACAAGGAACGCCCTTGATGTTCTAATGTCACAATTTTCTGACCCCTATAGACTGTCTGTTGCCTTCAGTCGAAGAAGTTGATCAACCTCATCCTTGACAGCGGCGGCACACCTTGAAGTGACAGCCCGTGCATCTAAAGATATAGGCCAGCACATCATTGCACGTATCGCAGGTGGTATCACCTCGATCACGAAACACACGCTCGTATTGATGTTGGTGCGGAGGTGGGCGAGGTATAGGCTGATTGACGATATTTTCCTCGGTCCAAAGTGGGCATTTGCAGGTCCTCCACTTCGCCAAGCACGTGTAACAGAATTCATGGCGACAACGGCATCTATGTACTTGTTAGAGACGGCCGATAAGTCAGTAGTTGAATGAAGTAGTATGACTTACGTGATGTGAAAACAGCCAACATCAAGTTCTATCATGTTGCTGCAGCGTGGGCATGTCTTCCACTTCTTGACCTTGGCCACTTCCATCAGAGATTTTACGTTGACATCTTCTGGACACAGTCCCTGATGTTGTTTCGTTTTGCATGTTGTGCAAGTCTTCTGATGACAATGTCGGCACCTTGCAACATCTGAGGCGATGTCTGCAGGGACTACCCATTTTGCGCAGGCAGCATTTGAGCAGTAGGCCCTATTTGGTGTTTCCATTTCGGTCTTCTTTTCTAAAAAGCGAACCCAAGTCTCTGCCGTGAGATATTTCTCGCAATCGGAGGGCAAGATGGTTTTGGAGCAACAACGCGGGGGAAAGATTTCATGATCAGCGATCGAGGACTTGAACCACTCTTCTAGACAGTCGCGACACTGGGTACTCAGTTAGTCTGGCTCGTTACACGAGATATTTATGATGGATTTGGGGAAGGAATTCCAACTTACATATTTGTGGCTGTCCTTTTCATCCGGCATTTTGCAGGTTGATAGCAACTTGTGCACAGGCACAGGCTCTCTACAGACTGAGCACATTCCTTCCACATACTTGGTCGTGGTTGATCCATGGAGGCTGGAAAGGGAATATGGCTTGTTTTCACCAACATCTCCAAGCTTGGTACGTTTGTTGCTATCATCCTTATGTTGCTCTTGGCCACCCCTTTTTCTAGCAACATCATCGGGATGGTCTGTACCATCGGGGTTTCCTGTACCATCGGGGCTTTTTGCATCTTTGAGGCCCTGCTGAGAACTATTCTTGGGACTATCAATGGCGCCCTTGATGATGCTCATGTTATCCGGGACATTTGAGGCAGAACCAGACTGAAGAGCTGTAGAATGAGGTGCAAGACCAGCGTTGACAATGCCCTTTGGATCTTCTGGTGACGAAACCCCAGTGAGCGCCGTTCGCGGGGTTGCGTCCCCAGGGACCTTCGTCTCCTGAGAATTGGACGGGGGCTGCTTTTCGGGAGATTTCTGAGCAGAAGCGACCACAACAAGAATATCATTTGCGAGGCGCTCTACCTGCTTTAGAACACCTGATGATGCCTGCGGGAATTTGGGCTTATCATCCTGTTTGGCCGGCGCGGTGTGAGGCGCAGTATTCTCTCGAAGTGCTCCTGGGTTCTTAGTAGCCACTGGGCCCTTCCCGTGCACAGTCGAAGCAGGAGAAGCAGATGGTGCAACAGGTGGCTGAACAATCTGCTTGGCTGCCGTAGGCTGAAGTGAAGCAATTTGTCGAGGTACAGTCGAGTCCCTCATTTGAGGTACCACCTCTGCTTTCCTAACCTCTTGAGTTCCTAGAGCACTCGACGAAGGCTGAGATGTAGGTTGCTTAGTCGCCTGTCCGTTTCCAGTAGCCTGTGTCGCAGCACCCTGTCGAGTAAGGACCGAAAATCCATCCTGCATGACTTTGGCACGCTCATCTGCTTTCTAGATTTTCGGTTCACCAAACGAAGGCAGAGAAGTAGACGCCTGGGTCGGTTTTCTGACATTTGCACCTTGGGGGACATCATTCTGCCGAGGGGGACCTGGCTTCCCAGTCTTCTCCCCATTCGCGAAAGGGTTCAAAGGAGGCGACTTAGCTACCTGGTTAACAGTAGGCGCTTTCGGGACGCCGTTCGGTTGAGAAGGAAGTGCAGATGCACCTCCCTTCACTTTGGCCTGCCCATCTGCATTCCGACCCTTCGTATCACCTGACGAAGCCTTCGAAGTGGACGACTCGGCTGCTTTTCCGACAGCTGCGGCTTGAGGGACACCATTCTGCTTAGAAGCAGACTACTGCTCAGCGAACTTCACCCTCCCTGGACCCGCAGTCCTCCTCGGGGCAGCCGTCTCAGCTCGAACCGGTCCCCTTATGTCTCTGGCGTTCCTATCCCGTACGTCCCAAGCTGGCAGTCCCCCCAGCTCCCTCGCAATCGCATGGTCCCTCCTCGCGACCTGTTCCTCGACCAAAAGTCGTCGGAAAGTTCCCACGTTCTCGTTTTCGTCCCTCGTGAGACCGCGGGCCACGCCCTCGCTCATGTGAAGGTGAAGGCGTTGAACGAGTTCATCGCGCTGAGATTCGAGCGCTGGGATGGAGAATGGGTATGGTGAAGGAGAGGATGGGGATTGAAGGTGGTAGACAAGGGAGTTTCGGTGAGCGGTGAGGATCTCGTTGATATCCTGAATCTGAAGGCGGAGCGAGAGGGTTATGGAGAGACGGTCTGGGTCCATTGTGATGGAAGTGGTGAGGTGGAAGGTAGAGAGAGAGAAGTAGAAGGTAGAGAGAGAAGTAGAAGGTAGAGAGAGAGAAGTAGAAGGTAGGTGGTGAGAGGGGATAAGAGGGTTGGGAAGGCGCGGTTGGGAAGGTAAGATGGTGAGAGAAGGTGAAGGTGGTCGTGGAAATACACTGCCAAGACTTTCTCTATCAGACAAAACAAACAACAAGAGTGAGAAATGAGGAGAGCGAGAGAGACGCTACGACGAAGCTTGTTAGTAGAGATAGGTAGATCAATCACGTATACATGCAAGGAGCTCAAGAGAGAAGACGGATGATGAAGTGAAGAAAAACCCGATGAAGGACCTTGAATTGCCGTCTTATCAAAATGGAACCCGTTCGTCATCAGACTTGCACATGTGTTTTTTGGGCCTTTTTCTCGCTTTTGTTCGCCAATGCAACCAATTCCTCCTTCACTGCGCTGCGTCTTCGACAGTGCGTATACCGCATGTGTAGTACGTCCGCGATCATAACCTCTTTTGCCTTGCCTCGCCGTGGCATAGAACCCAATTGACTTTCAACAAATACATCCGGTGCCTCGTGGGCCTAAGCAAGTGCCGTGTGATGTCCGTGGCAGGCTTGCTCCGTTTGGCCAGAGTCTCCACCAAGGTGTCGACATCTTGCTGCTGGCCGAACATCGATTCCAACAACTTGGAATATACGAAACGCTTCCCACTCCTCAGGCTCTCCAACCAAGGCAACAACTCAATAAACCCTCCCTTCTCAATGTACAAGTGCAAACAAAAAGCAAAGATGGGAAATGGGGGGTGGCAGATGGCAGGCTTCATGTGCACATTGTAACTTACCCAAACGCCATTTCGATATGCCGCATTCAAAGTCGTGTCTCCCACTGGACAGAACCTCCTCCAAACAAGTAAGCCTAAAGAGAAGTCGTGAAGCCATGCCGCAAGAAATGCTCCAAGCGGAACGACAGGCTTTGCAAAGAGTTGCCGTGCCGAACCGATGACAAAGATTTTCGCTCAAGAAAGGTATCTCCGCAATGTTGGTATCTTTTTGCGAGGGTCGAAAATAGAAAAAATAAATCAGCTCCGTCCGTTACTCCGGTTATGGCAGGGCGCCAATTCTTTCATTAGCCTGCTCCGGCAGTGCCAAGCTGGGTTTGCTTTTGGATAGCTGGCCCTCGATAGCTATGGCGATGAGGTGACCCAGTCCGATGGCTTTCGGTCGAACCTGGGGCAGATTGGCCGTAGGGAGCGTGTGGCATGCTCAGATCGACATACGTCTGAGGGTTCGATGTTGCAAACGCAGGGTTGCTGCCGCCGCCAATAGGCCTGACCGAAGATTCACTAGAAAGGCCTTGTGGATTGTTGTCTGCCGACGTGATGTGAGGCGCATTGCGCTGGTCCTTTCGAGACGCAGGTCCAGACTGATTTCGAGGTGAGGGCATGGTAGATGGTGTGACGGGGTTCTTGCCGCGCTGCTCCCACTGCCGCATAATTTCCTTTGGCGTTAACTCGGGGGATGCAGCATCAGTCAGAAGCAAAAGAATGTCCTCTGGGATCTACAAGATGTTAGCAAACTAAGCTGAGACATATGTTGTTAGGTGATCTCACCTCGCAGAACTCATCGTTGTTTTCAATCAGTTCAAACACCACTCGTACGGCGCCTTGATCGACGTTCCTCATCTCCTTATCGTTGTTCTCTCGTAACAAGTTTGGTGCCATCACAGTAGCAATATTCCACGTATCCATCTTATTGCCCGTCTCTTCATCGACCGTATGGAATGAAGACACCCAGTTGAGAAAGCAGAATAATACTTCCATAGTATCGCGATGGGCCTTTGGAAGAAGACAACATACCAAGTGCAGCACCTTCTTGCGCTGGCTTTCGTCGGGAATGTCTACAGAGGTTAGTGTGATTCGTCCAATAGTGACGATAATCTTAAATCTTACCGTTAGCAGTCATGAAAAGACGATAGAGTTTGAGTGTGAGCACCGGGTCGGGCATCAAACGCAGGAAACGCTTGAGCAGATTGGCTAGGATGACGGGATTCTTTGAATTGAGATCCACTTGCTCGATGCCCTTTGCATCGATCTCCTCCTCAAGCTCTCGCAAAGCTTTCAGGTTGCCATTCTTACGGAAAACGCCCTCAATGGACATGTCCATACTTCGCATGGCAGTAACGGCATCCTGGAGAAGTGCCGGAACTTTCAGCGTGCCCGGGCCAACACCGTCAGTGGACTCCGCGCCGTACTTCTCCACAAGCATCTCCAGAGGTTGTCTGAATGTAGCTTTGTCGGATACGGGTTTCTCGACGATGGCATTCTTGCTCTTTGGTTTGGCTTTGTCGTTTTTGAAAGCTTTCCCTAATCCAATCTTGCCCCAAAAGTTGGTTCGTTTCGTCTCGATAAGGTCTAGAAGATCCCCCTGATTGTACTGGCTATCATCAAGAAGGAGCCCGAGTTGAAGGACAGCTAGGCCCTTCAATTTGAAGTATTCCAACGGGGAAAGCTCGGAGAAGTAGGTGCGCTGTCGAGCGTCCATCATATGCTGTAGGTCCTGGCCTCCAGAGAGATCACGTCGATGGCCGTTCACGAGTTTCGATTGGTCATGGCCGAGGAGCGCACTACCGCCGGCGCGGAAAGCATTTGGTCGCTGCTCACGCTGCTGTTCTAGTGCAGCCATACGTGCAATGTCATCCAGTGCGAGAGAGTTCACACCAAGCGTCACATTCTCGGTGTCGCTCTGGCCGTCTCGTTCTTGTACTATTTGCATGCCACCTCTAGCATGTGCGCCATCTGCACCGGGCTCAAAGGCTTCGGGGCCATCGATGATTCTAGATGTGCGCGCACGCTTCATTGTGCTCGATAAATGCTTGTCGAGACGCGTGGAACGCAGCCGCTTGATGTCGGACATGGACTGCTCGTAAGCAGCATTATTGTGAGCTTGAGCTTCAGAGCCACCATACGATTTGGACCTCGCATCGGCGCGCAAGTGTGGAGGCTCCAGATCCTCAGGACGATGACCTTGAGTTGAGTCATACCCTGCGAGATTTGGATCGTCTGTTGCATGTTAGAAGTCGGTACATGTCTTGAATTTGGCACACGACATGTCTCTACTAAGAACACAAATTTCCTCATTGAAGATATATATGTTCGAATCCTAAAACCACATACCTGAAGTGTGCGGAAGTGCACCGCTAGAACGCAGAGTCGCCATAAGACGTGCATGGGCCACTTTCAATAAGTGTATGTATTGACGCAATTTCGTGACATGTACAAATCCAGACTCCGCATCTGGGATGTTGGCTGAGCACTGTGAGCAGAAAACATGTTGCTGAGAGTTGCTCCAGTAAGCGCTGTTGGTATTGCTGCGAAGATCTAAACCGCAGCCTCGACAAACCATGCAGCCATAATTAAAGGACATATTGTCCTTGTGCAGACATTTGTCCTCGACTTGCGCATCGCAAATAGGGCAGGCATCTGCGCATCGAGGAACAAGCACAGCTGATTCGGCAGCCTGGTCTTTAGCAGCCTCTTCATCAAGTCGGTTGTCCAGGGAATTGACTTGTGCCAGAAAGTTGGTGAGGCCGTGAGCGCTACGGGTCTCACGCTCGAGCTTGAGGGATCCCTGGAGGCAAATTCGGATTAGAAGTTTCAGGTAGTGGGCAAGCCCTGTCACAAGTGACAAAAGTTCCTGGGTCACACCAAGCCGTCGAACGCCTGTGCCTTGCGACTGGGTCAAAAGTGCAAAGAAAGCGACGACCTTCTTGCACAGCAACTTGGATTCGCGCGAGTAAGTGAGGCCCTTGGGTGTGACAGCAACAAGTTGCGCGTCCAGGTCATCCGCAGCGCCAAATAGAAGCTCGATATGAACGATGAACTTCTTCGCTGCCATGACGCCATCAACGTATGCGCCATTGCTAACGTGCAGAAGCATGTCAGAAATACACGTGGCTGACTTCTCCTCGAACGCAGACAGCGTCTTCCAAATCCAATTGACCTTGGCTTCGATCTCTTCTTCTTGCTTGCGCACGGCCTCGCGTAACTGGTCGTTGGCGTCACGGTCGCTATCCTGCGCTTCGATGATTGGCTGACCTGCGGAGTGAAGTCGGACATTCCAATACTTGTGGATCATGTAACATTCCGGGTGCCAGTGCTGGTTCTGGCCGTTCCGGAATATCTCGACGAATTGCTTGAGAATTGACGTTTGGCAGCCGTTGCACCGCTGGGCAAATTTAGTCGAGTAGTGGTAGTGGCAATAGACGCTGCCTTCATGCTCGTAGTAGCTATCGGAAGCTCCAAAAACTGTAGGACAGACAGAGCAGGTAAAATGTTCAATGTGGTATTTCCGATCAAGGGCGGTAATATAGGAACCCCGGAGAGCTTGGCCGCACGTGAAGCAGAGGAGATCGAGACGACGGAAGTAATCCGTCTCGCAGAGCGGGAACTGGCCTGGAGGTTTCTCTGGGACAGGGAAGAACTTGGAGGCCACAATCTTACCGCAATCCTACAATCAATCCACCGTCAGTATCGATACTAGAAATTGAGATTTAAAATGGTACATACGTGACAAGTAAAGCATTCCAGATGAAATGTATCGCCCAAGGCCCTTACGAATTGGCCCGTCAATGGTTGGCCGCATTTCCCACATATCTTCGAGCTCCGCCCCCTAGGTTTCTCTCGCGGGCCAACTTGTAGCTGATCTTGTTCCAATGGGTCTGTCTGTGAGCGGTTCAGTTGATTAAGCTGCCTTTGCGATGGTCCGCTGGAATCGGAGTGCAGGTTTGAAGGGTCGGTGGGTTGTCGCGCCAGACCCTGGCCGTGGGGTTCATAACCATACTGCTGCGGAGGTCCATGGCCTTCCAGTGAAGGCTGTCCCTCCACTGGAGTGCCCATGGCGGAGTTATGCCAGCGTTGTGAAGAATTACCAGCGACCGGGTATCAGACGGGGGTCCGATATCAAGGAAGCCGTAGATTGGAGGCAGCGCGTGACGATAGCGTGAGGGGGTCGGGGCCACAGGGCAAAACCAAAACAATCGATTCTAGATGCCAACAGATGGAGTTTGAACGTGGAGACGAGGTGGCAGTGATGAATAGGAGATCAGGTATGTGGGAAGGCTGGGCGACGATGCGAGAGAGTGCGAGTATGCGTTGGCGACCGCTCTTTACGTAGCAACAAGTCGACGGCGGTACGGGTCGAACCCGACGGCGAGGTGAAGCAGATGTGGGAGGCGGATTGAGGTTCGGTCGGCGGCATGCGTCACGATGAAGGGAGAACGGAGGGGTTCGAGTAAAGCGGAACTGTGTCTGGATCTGGGTCAGGGTTGAGGAGATGGAATTGGTGCCCTGGACAGAAGCTGAAACGGGGCCAGGCCGTGGCGGAGAGGGTGGAGAGTTAGTAGCCGACACTTGTTGCGACGCGCGCTGGCTGGTGGAGGCCAACGATCACAACGAGCAGACGGCTGCGGCGTAGAGGAAGGAGGTGAGAAAGAATCGGTCGATGGGTGATGGTGGTGAGAGGAGGACAGGTATGGTACGGTGTAGAGGTAGGTGTAGGTGTAGGTCGGGGGGGAGGAGTGTGGCGGTGATGGGGGTTTGATTATGATGATGATGGATGGATGATGGATGGTAGGTATGGTGTGTGGTAGCGGTGGTGGTTTGTTGTGGAGGGAGGTGAGGCTTACACAATAAAATGGACGAGGGTTGTTGGTTGGTTGGAGAGGGAAGATTCCTCCTTCTCTTCTTCTCTTCCTTTTCTTTTTTGTGTTATTCCTGTCTACGACAACGACAAGGAGAGAGAGACAGACAGAGATCAGAGACAGACATGAACTGATTTGACTACTGACCCGAATGACTGACAAAATGAGACAAGTGAACAGGGCCAGCGAAGCAAAGCCATCAATCAAGAGAAGCGCTCGGGCCGGGAGTTTAATTCAAATAGGAACACGATGCAGCCGATCAACATAAGATCCAAAATTACCTCCTGGGCATCCATTCTGTCTTGATCCAAGTGTCGAGTATGCAAACACTACACAGTCCACTACTCTTATTACTCGTGTTATTACCTTGCCTACTGTGTACTTGATGTGCGGAGTGGAGGACATCCGTTGAACCTGCAATTACTGGAACCTACCTACTACGAGTCTACTACTCCGGACCACCTCATTACTACGAGTGCCACTCATTCCTCTACTAACTAAGAGTACATACGGAGTGGTTACGAGGACCCTCTCAAAACTTGGAACTTGGGACAGCACACTGCAGAGTCTACCCCCACTGGACTGACACACCTCGCTCCCAATATCTCTAAACATCTATATTCAATCCCTCCCAAAGTTCTCTACTCCCTAGTGCCTTGCCTGGCACACTCACACCCTCTTGCTGTGCCGAGTGCTGGAGATCACGATGCCGGCTGTGATGAGCCATTAGCCACCTGGAGCTCGACTATTGCCCGCTTCGCTCTCCCGATCGCTCTGCGTCCAGTACAATTGCGTCCAAGTGAGCAGCAGGCTATTGCTTTATTTAGCGCTGCCCGCCATCTCTCCTTCGAAATGTTCCTGGCGCCAACCAAGAATGGTTGCGCGCGAGGGCCGTAGTGTACCGCATAAATGCAGAACTCCCTTCTTCCTCTTCTTCACCGAGTCGAGGGTAGGGGAGACGAGGTGTCGCTATGAGCGGGTATCTGCAACCTCGAGCATCCATGTCCGGCTCAAGGCATGGTGACGATTTATGCTGCTGGCATCGTCATTGCCAATCCAGCATCATTGAACACCATCCTCGCCATTGTCATCGCTTTCAGGATTAGTGAACCGTAACTTGCAGCAAGGAACTCCAACTTCTCCGGAGTCATTAGCATCAGCAGTAGCAGTTGGAGAGAGCATCCTCGGCGGCGCAGCAGTCCCTTGACCCGATGCATGTTCCGTCCATGGGCCCGGGAACGTCTGCTTCTTGCTGCTGGCTGCCGGTATTACAGTGCTATTGCATCGTGGGTAGGATATGCAAGCATGGCCAACGTTTGCTCATGCGCATGTAGTGTACATACATGCTGCACTCTTTTCGGAGCACATACCACAAAACACCTCGTAGCGTACACACGACACCAACGGCTAGGGGTCTTCAATTTACTGCGCAGTGCCTTTGAGGGATAGCTACAGCATCCAGGCATGGGGTAGTAATATGCAATACATCGGCTAGGTAGGTTGGAATCGTTGTATGATGCTGGACTGCTGGTGCAGGCAGGCGGGGAGAGCCGTTAAGGACAGGCCAGCAGGCCAGGCCAGTGCGTCGAAGTCTTGGCACCAACAACCTCTCGTCGCGGTTTGCTCTACGGTTGCAGCAGAGACTCTGTGCCTGGACGATCGCAAGTCCTGACAACGAATGTTTCCCCACATTCACTTTGTTTATATCTAATCAAGGTGCTACCCTGCAGACTCCTCCCCGGCAAGACCCTCTTGTGTCAATACAAAGGAGCTCGGTGCGCGTAAACGTAGACAAAGCGTCGTCCGTACCCTCCCCGAACCTCACCGCATCCGATCTCGAAATCATCCCTCCCTGCATTTACGATTCTCGCGACGACAAACACTCACATAGACACCATGGACGACGAAATGCGAGATGCCCCGCAGGCCCCTGTGGCTCCTAAGCCTGTCTTCAGAGCGCCCAAGCTCGTGTCGCGACCCAAACCTGTCCTTCAACAGGAGGAGGAACTAGGTGCCGAGCCAAAACTGGGCGACTTCGAAGATGTCCACGCCCTTTCCGTGTCTCAAGCGCGCGCCGTCATCACGGCTGTTCACACTGCGAGGAAAAAGAAGGATGCTTCACACAACCCTCTGGGAGGAGATCGGATACATAATGATTCTCAGTATGCGCTTCTACCATGCCTTTGCTCGCGCAAGGAAAGTTCTTGCATGGATATGGTTACTGACAATTATGCCTAGGACGATCCAGCAGTTCACCGAATATCTGGAGCAATTCTCACGCTACAAGCAAGCCGAGAACCTCCATGCGCTTGATGGCCTATTAGATTCCAACCCAGAGCTCACCAGTGTAGAGAAGGCCATGCTTGGTACGTCTGGTGCAGATTTGCCTAAATCAATCTCCAACTGACATCTGACTAGGCTCTCTGTATTGCGATACCGCCGATGAGGCAAAGACTCTCATCCCCTCAATCGCCACTAAAATCTCTGACGAGACACTGCAGAATCTATTAGATGAAGCCACCAAACTACGTATGATGACCAGCTTGTTCTTGTGTATTCTATGACGCTAATGTGGTAACAGAGGATCGTTTTGGCTAAGCGCTTCCTGGCTCGAATTCCAGGATGTTGAATAAACTCCAGAAAAAACCCATTCCAGACTGCAATGTCAAATCCTACGATAGATGGTACAGATCATCACTCTGTCATTCGCGAATTCATATGTTGAACTGCGCATGTCCGATGCTGCATGGTCTACGGAGTCACTGTAGCACACCATACACAGTATGCACATAAGCATGAAATTGTTCGCAAACGACGAAATGAATGAGAAGGGTACTACTAAGGCGGCGTTACTTGGTTTTCCCATTTTTCCCAAGATGATACCAACCTATAGATTCATATGTGCCGACCGCTGTGTCTAGTAAGTGACAAGACTGGGCCCAAATGTAATATAATGCAATTGTTCGGTGCGCTCCACCCTCTCAACTATTCTCCCAAGATCCCCCATTTGTGTGCACTCACGATGGTTTGAAAGTGACCACTCGATAGTAGACACAGCATCGATATGAAGGCATTAGAATCACAAAAATACGACAGCACGAACCATCAATGGAAAAGTTATACACATGTCATTAATATCGTCAACTGTTCCACCGCCGAGTCTTTCCTGACCATGTAATCCCATCGCTCTATTACCGTTCTCGTTCCATGACAGTTCGTTCCCAGAAGGTTATCCACCGAATGAGTACCGCAGAACAAATAGACATTCTCACGAGACGACACTACCACCAGCCTTGCCAGCCGTGACATCGGGGTGCTTGACAATCTCCCCACCATACATCAACCCTTTCTTGGGATCGTGTGGGATACGAACATGTGTACTCACTGTCTCGATGACAAGACCATGAAGATCGTCGTCAGCGAGTGTGCTTCCGTGGCCCTGAATTCTAGATCAGCATGTCGAATCAACGATACACATAAAAGAGAAACTTACATCGACGACCGACCACGTCAATCGATCCCGCAAATACGGCACGACAACATTATCATGCAGACTCTCCAACTCCCCCGCCTCAACACGATCCAGCAGCGCAGCCGTCAAGCCCACCGTACCCGTGATCGGCTTCTCATCCGTACCCCCTTCATCACCGTCCGCAAAGTGATGATCCATAGGCATCAAAACACTCCATGACCCAACCTCCACCTCCGAATCTCCAACCCCCTTCAGACCAAAACGAACCACAAACGTCGCCGGCAACCTCGCCTGCACCGCCCTCACCTCCAAACTCCACTCCTCGAACCCGCCCTCCCCATCCACAACCACGCCCCTCAACCCCCTCCCAACCCCCAACCTCCCCCTCTCACTCCCCCCATACAACCTCTCCACGCTCTCCTCCACACTCACCTTGTACTCACCCTCGCTCTCGAACGCCCAGGGCTGCGTCTCAGGGTACGCGTACCCGAGCGCCGTGGTGTGCCGCGCCTTGTTGGGCGTCCAGAAGGAGGTGCGGGTGTCCCAGAAGGGCTTGAGCTCCGTGTCGCCGTGGACCCAGGCGTGGTTTTCGAGCACGAAGTTGCCGTTGCGGCCGATGGTTGCGTTTTCGAAGGTTTGGTTTGGGTGGAGAGCTTGGTAGAGGGCGTAGAGGCGGTCGACGTTGCTGTGTTTCCGTATTAGCTTTCTTCTTGTTGATGTTCGTCTTATTTCCTCTGCTTTGGTTGTTGGATGGGAGAGAGTGGTGGAAGGGGAAGGGATTGGGAGGGGGGGGTTACCAATGATGCAGCATAAACAGCGGCTCGAAAGCCGAATACTCAACCGGCCACATGTGCCCATCATACGGCGCCTTGTTCCCCGATTTCTGGCCCCCGATCGCGTAGTGTATGCTCCCGTGGACAGGCTCGATATGGCTCATGCTGAACCCGTTCAGCGACGTCGCGACGCGGAAGCCCTTTGCAACCGAGTCGGCGAGCCCGCGCCGCAGCGACTTGAAGCTCTTCTGGAAGAGCTCGTCTTGGGATTTTGCGCCCGAGGAGTCGCTGTCGGCCCAGCGGACTGTCGTGTTTTGCTTCGCCCACTGTTGATACACGTCGTTATCGTTAGCAAATTGAACGTTAGGATTCGATTCAAGAGAAGGGTGGTGCTTACCTTTCCGTCAAAGTCTCCAGAGACCAACGGGTGGAATTCGTAGTGATGAAGAGGATTCGTAACGTTCCGCGGCACGCCGTCTGCACCTGTGATCTCAACGGAGGGCGAGAGGAGGAACTCGGGTACATCGCCGCCGTCCTCGCCGAGCGCCCAGTCCCAGTACGGGATGCGGAATGAGTTGGCGGCTTCTTTGAATTTGTCGTGGATCTCGGATGGGAAGGTCATTGCGGCGGCGCGAACATGCTGGTATAGTTCTTGCTGGGGGCCGGTTAGATATATGACACCGAGATGCGGGATAGGAGAAAACGGTCTAGGGGGAAAAGTACCTCGTAAAGGGCGAGATAGGGACGGTGCCAGGAGAAGAAGAGAGGGTTGACGTGTGGACAGTAGCCAGAGGGTGACTTTCCGGGGACTCCCTGGACGCCTCCCCAGATCTTGTACGGCTTGCCGTGAATACCTGTATGCAGGTCAGCTAGATTTTCTATTCATTTTCTTTGGGGGCTTTCTTGCCTGCGATCTGGTAGAAGGAGGTTGGCGAAGACTGCTCAGTGGCTTGGAAAGCACTTAGGCCCATGATGTAGAGTGTCCATTGTTCGGGATAGTTCTCTTTCAAGTCGCGGATTTCTCGTCGGATGGGAACATTTCCTGGCTGATGTTAATTGACTGGTGACGATGTCCTTTGTAAAGAGCACTAACCTTCGGTATTCCTCCAGGATACTCCGGTCACAATGGTTGCATTGTCGCTGGTGAGGAGGGTCTTATGGCGGATGTCGTTGATCGGCGTGCAAGCCACCAACGTGACGAAAAGCACGAGAGCATTGATGAGCCGCATAGTAGGCATGAACCGTACCTTCTTCTAGAATCGTTCTCAAGCACCAAATCCCAAACGATGGTCTTTGGTCAGGAAGATGTCGTAGAATTGGAGTGTGAATGTTGATTCGCAAAGCAATTAGTTCGAGTTGAAATCGTTAGGAGTGTGAGCATGAGCGTTTGTCGGGATCACAAGGCAAAGAGTGAATTAAGCAGCGAGAGGATGGCGAATCACTGTGAAGCCTTGACCAGGCTTCCTTCGCTGGCGACTTCACTTCTCTGCGCGAAATACTATTCATCCAATGGACGACGTGAAGGTATCCCCACTCTTATTATACCCACCCCCAAATGAATAACACCAAATGTTACCAAGCCGCCAGCGAACGGAGAGGCGGATGCTGTGCAAGAACGAGCGGCGACAAGATCTGGGAAATTGAGGATTCAACCGCCGCGACTAGGAAAAGGGTCGATAGGATTGAGGCTCGTATCAATTCATCGCCTCGCTTTTGTGGTGCCTGCCAAACCGATAGAGCCGCCGTCGCCGTCCGGTAACCGTCACCTAAGACACGCGTTGCGTCCTGGCAGTATTAGCTATCCGTGGGCGACGTTTCTTGTACGACATGAATCACGCCGCTGAGCGAGTGTGATACAAAGTGGACATGGGGGGTTGCTGCAGGAAGCACATTTCGTTCCTTGGGGGTCTACGAACAGCGGGAGTGATGCTACCGAGACACATCATCGAATTGTGCTCCCGCATACCGGACCGGGATATTAGTGCGTGTACGGTCTGACATCTCGAAGGTGGTTATCTATGGAGCCATCGAAAGGTGATGCTGGCTGAGGCACTGAAACAAGAGGGTCCTATTGATGAGACAATCGAGGTCGAGATCCATAGAGCAACAATCTCTCATATTTAAGTTCACAACCCAAAAAGTCTAAAGAAGTGCGGTGGTAATAAGAAAAGGTCATAAGCCATCTCGATAGTTCTGTGATACGTTGTGATATAGAATGTCGAAAATATGGGAGTGGTATCGTTAGCTTGGGAACGCGTGCTATATGAATGTTACCATTTGCTAGGCAACTAGGCTCAGTTGACTTGCTTGTACGTCCTACTAAATGAAAATGCTCGCTGATATGCCCGCTGCTCCCCAACTCGTGAATCGTGACATCGTGCGCCTCATGAAGCCCTCCCTAACCGCAGATTTCGCCGCCCCACTCAAATGTCGTTGTAACCAAGAAACCTCTTCTCCAATCCCTTATCGGCCACTGCCCAAGCCCACGCGCGCCCTGCCTCACCGCACCATAGAGCTGATGGATCGTCTGACTTCTCCAGCATGCCGTCCTTGGCCATGGAGCGAATTTCGTGGCCGGTTGTGTACGTCAGAAAATGCTCGAACTGCTTGCCGTCGAGAGCGAGCGCATTTCCACTTATCCCATGGCACAGACAGGGCTCCTTCGTTAAAAGCCCCCGCTCCCATATGCATTCGCGGCCCTTCGCAACTACCCGGTCAATGCGATCCTGGAGGTTTGGAAAATACTTCTGAATGGAGATGAGCGATGCAATTACTCCGGGAGCGCCGTGACAAAACTGAACGAGGCGATCACGTCCTGGCGGGAGTGACGACGGGAAATTGCCGCTATCATACTGATAGCTAAGGAGAGCACCAAGCTCAGCCTCAAGCTTGGGAGCCCAGATAGGATCGGTGAGCACGATCTGCGTGATGATACCGATTGCACCATGCACGGCGCCAACATAGTTCTTGCCGTGCCATTTCCATGGTCGGGGGCTTTCCATGATGTTCTCGATCACCTCGTCCGTCGTGTCCTCGATGAGCTCTAGCATCTCCTTGTCATCCTTAAAAGCGCCCCTGACTAGACGGAGGAGGTACAAATAGCCAGCTCGTCCATACAACCACTCATTCGAGGCGCCCTGGTCGATAGTCACGGCGGCAAAGTCGCAAAGCTCCTTGACCGTATCGCGATCCTTCGCAGTCACGGCGTAAAGCGCCAGGAGAGACATTATATCGTCGCTCACACCGCATTTTGTTGGTGTTGGTCCAGGATACGATTTGATGTTGGCTTGAGCTTGTTCAATGTAGGCTGCAGACCATGTGTTCATGGGAAATTCATCGAGGGTAAGATCGGGGTAGATCTTGTGCAAGGCATAGAAAAGATAGGCTACTGAAATCGGTCCATAGTAGAGACCACCACCCGGAGGTACTCTATGCGGAGGATACTCTTCGATAAGCCTTGCTAGTGAGGCTAGCAATTGCTTGTGAGGATCTCGTGATGCAATATCTGCATCGTTTCGGAAATAGCGGGGTATAGGCGCTGGCGCTGCTTGTGTTTGCTCTGGTGCCGGTGGAGCCTGGGACGTAGATGCTCCTTCTTCAGCCATATTTGACTCCTTTGTGAGTGTTCAACCTTGCTTCAAGGCCAGAGGAACTTCGAGATTTTGCACGTTGTCCGTCTCCTGACTAGAAATGGTGGGGTGGGAAAATGACGTCAGCGGGGAACTACAGGATTGAGCTGCACTTTGCTTCAGGTCGTGAGGTATTAGATAAAATGAAAATAGTGAGGTCTCTTGAATTTAGGAGTGTAGGACGGCGGATATGGTGAGTTGGACAGAAATGATCTGCAACTTGATAGTCGATAGGAGCATTTAAAACACCGCCAAAAGTTGATCGACCATGGCTTGAACTGCCCAGCTGTAGATATGCGCACGGACCTTTTACACGTGATCGGCGCGAATGCATGGTCTGAGTGCAAGTAGAATTTATTAAAGAAGAATGTCTCACATTTTAAGGCCCTGGATTACATTTTTGGTCTCTTCTCTATTCTATGGCAACTATATCACTGTCACGGTAGAGCTTGCTTGTCAACAGTCAACAGTGAAGCCTATATTTGTAACTTTGGGAAAAGGTCGTTTTCTATAGATAGGTTTCTACATACGAAGAATTTCAAAAAAAGTTGAAGCCGAATGTTACAAAATTAAGTACCACACTAATTTGCGAAACTGTCGAAAAGTAACTCTCAAAACCCAAGAAATACAATAATTAACGCACATCTCATGGCTGATCTTAATCGATTTGTTTTGCCATAAAGCGCCTCTGTCGCATACGATTGGGCAAGTATAGATAATTCGAATGTCGAGCACAATCTATCGACAACCTCTAGCAAAGCATCGATAAGACTCGTTTCACTAATTCAATCCTTAGGGCCAAAAGGTCAACCATTCCTATCGAAAGGAAACACGTCACCAAGAGTGCCTTGGTACAGCCAGTTGTTGCACTGACTCATTCAGGACAAGCAGAGGACTCATGCTGGGGACCGAGGCAAGTCGGTCAGATGGATGTACCGGAGCTTTGGAGCACAGGAATAGTCCAAGGAATTTTTTTTCGACTAACAATAGATGCCCTGACTGCCACCTAGAAAATGGCAGCCTCAATGTTGACCAAACATGTTGCTACTGTCCTAGTTAATAATGATATCTATTGGATCATTCTATAAGCTAGCTGAAGAAAAGCCTACCTTATTTACGTTACCTCATAATATATATATACATATATATACTGTAAACGAAGTCAAATGTAATTAATCGATAAACTATTGGGTTATGTCGCAAATTTTGGGGTGTATGTTGACTTCTTTATCGGGATATCTGCAAACATGTTGAATCCTTCGAGACAATTTATTCATTAACACAGAGGATTGAAGAACCTATGAAGTTTCACATGTGTACCGTCGATAATATCTCGTAGATTGCCGAAAGTACCAGTAACAGTCTTGGTCAAGATGAAGTGCTGATCAGCCTTACATCAATCAGACTTGGCATCGCTACCGGAAGCATTGCCTTATTGAGTTAGATCGTCACTCACTATGAATAGGTCGACAGCTGAATGCGACGACCACTATATTGGCTTTCGCGCCGGCAAATTGACATTCAACACTCTCAACGCTCTCATGAGGCCTTCGAGCTGAACGTCAATAATACCATGTCTGCGGTTGAGAGCCCCGAAACCGTCCCGAATGGCGCCAATGGAGTCAAACGTGAGCCGCCTATTGACCCCTCAATTTCAGCTGCGCAGGACTGATCGAGATAGATCGGAGGAACTCCACCATCTTGAACCCTCGCTCGTATGTGACGGAGGACCTGTGGAAACAGGCACCAATTCTTAAAGGAACCACGAGGTTCGAGCCATTGTCTGACGCAAGGAACATACTGGTCACTGGCGGGGCAGGTTTCATGTACGTCAACACTCCTTGCGATAGCTTGTGTTACAACGTGAGCAGGAATGACGAACATTGACTGAGTTACATTAGAGCGTGCTGGTTCGTTCGTCATTTGACCTTGACATACCCCGATCATTACAATGTCGTATCATTCGATAAGCTTGATTACTGCGCGACCCTCAACAATACACGCATCCTCGATGACCTTCCAAACTTTACGTTCGAACAAGGAGACATCACATCGCCATCGGACGTGAAACGATGTCTTCGCAAGCACAAAATCGACACCATATTCCACTTCGCCGCCCAATCGCACGTTGACCTCAGCTTCGGCAATTCATACCAATTCACAAATACAAACTGTTACGGTACACATGTGTTGTTGGAGAGGGCGCGCGAACACGGTGTGAACAGGTTCATACATATATCGACCGACGAAGTGTACGGAGACGTACCAATTGGCGCGGCAGATCTCTCCGAGACAAGCATACTGGCCCCTACGAATCCGTACTCAGCCAGTAAAGCGGCAGCAGAGATGATGGTTCTTGCATATAGAAGTAGCTTCAAACTACCTCTTATAACGGTCAGGAGCAATAACGTGTATGGGCCGCATCAATTTCCAGAAAGTATGCATATGTCGTATTTCTTGACCACGATCCACGGCTGACTGTCTCCAGAAATCATACCCAAATTTATCATGTTATTACAGCGACATAGCAAACTTTTACTCCACGGTGACGGATCACCGACCCGCCGATATGTTTACGCCGCGGATATTGTTGATGCATTAGATACCATCTTTCACAAAGGAACCATTGGCCAAATTTACAACATCGCTTCCAAGGACGAAGTTTCAAACATTGACATTTGTCACAAACTCCTTGACATATTCGAATTGCCGCACGAGACTCCGGAGCAGTTAGAGAGACTAGTACAACACACTGAAGATAGACCTTTCAATGATCAGCGCTACGCGACCGATGGCTCTAAGCTAGCACTTTTGGGATGGAAGCCAAAGACATCTTTCGAAGATGGTCTCCGACTTACCGTGGAATGGTACCGACGCTTTGGAGAAGTGTGGTGGGGAGATATTAGCCGTGTCCTTACCTCATTCCCAGTAGTTGAAGGGACTGAGATCTGGACGAAGGAAGACTATGAGGCTTTACCATCTGATGAGGAACCGGCTACTGATGAGAACGAAATTATGTGGAAGAAGCATGCACTTGCACGATTGCAGAATTTAGAGGGATGAAGAAAAGTACATTCTGGATGAAAACGTAAATAATGATGACGAAATATTCCTTTGGTTAGACATATTTTATAGATACCCATACAAAGTATACATTTACCGGCCTTGGTTGTCCTCTTGTTTGATATCTCGAGCTTTTGTGACATGTACCCACAGTGCCACTGCTGGCGAATCGTGAGCATATGCAGGGACTGGACTAGCGTCATTTGCTATAGAAATCCTGGGGAGCAAACCTCCCATGACCACAACCCTCGTGTGGTTGAGAACGTGCAATTCATAGTATACATGAATGTGAAATATATAAACTATTCGCGCTTCAACAATGATGGCTGAAATGAAGGCGGTGCCCGACTAATTGAATGGTGAGGTATCAATGCCAAGATCGTGGTGGCGCCCTAGCCCGCTTCGCCCACCCGGCCGCGACGCTTCCGCAGACCTCAGCCGCTTGAAACATGGAGTGTTCGCGGACAACCTACTCTAAAACACCTTCTTAGCACTTCAATAAGTCCTCTTCACTCCTCTTCTTTTCCTCCTTCCACGATTTCCAAACTACAACGACGACACATTAGATACCCAGAGCGACCAATTTCTGTTAGAGAAACACCCTTCTAAAGGCCATTAAATACCCGTAGGTACCCCACACTCAGCCGCTCAGACCTCTACAACCTCAACATCGTTCGAGCGACTAGTCAATCAATACACCGTCTCTGACCACGCCTATTCCAGACAACACAATCAAGATGCCCTTTGGAATTAAGAAGAAGTCCGCCGGAGAGGAAGACGACTCGAATCGCAATGCCCTCTTCGGTAGCCGTAAGAACAAGGCAGCACCCGCAGCAGCCAATCCTTATGCCGCCCCTGCTGGCAACGACCCATATGCTTCGAGAGCACCGCCACCATACCAGGGAGGCAATGATGACCAGTACCGGCGTGAAAAGTCTCCTGCTGTGACCGGCCCCGGCGGCGCCTATGGTGGCCAGGAAAGATATGGAGCTGGAGGGGGTAACTATGGCAGCGGTGGAGGTTATGGAGGTGACCGATATGGAGGTGGACAGCAGCAAGACCAAGGATCTAGAAGACCTGGAGGATACGGAGGTAATACACATACATTAGCGAGTAAAATCACCTCACTAACTTTTCCTAGGCCTCGGTCGAACTGATTCGGGCGGCACCGAAGCCGGCAGGAACGAGCTCTTTGGCGGTGCAGCACAACGTCACCAACAGCAACAACAGAGTGGCGGATATGGTGGCCCTGGCGGTCCTGGTGGCCCAGGCCCTAGTGGAGCATATGGTGGAGAGCAGTCAGGTGCATATGGCGGCGGCCAGCAAGGAGGATACGGCGCTTATGATGATCGCCAGCTCACCGCTGAGGAGCAAGAAGAGGAGGACATCAGCGCCACAAAGCAGGAAATCAAGTTTATCAAGCAGCAGGACGTGAGCAGTACACGAAATGCTCTCCGGTTGGCCCAGCAAGCCGAGGAAACCGGTCGAGACACCCTCGCACGACTTGGTGCACAAGGAGAGCGCATTCACAACACCGAGGTCAGTGTATCTTCAGCAATGATGCAAGTCCACAGCTAATGCTTCGCAAGCGTAACTTGGACCTTGCCTCCTCACAGAACAGGATCGCGGAGGAGAAGGCGAGAGAACTCAAGACGCTCAACAAGTCTATGTTTGCAATGCATGTCGGAAACCCGTTCACATCAGGTGCTCGTCGTGAAGAGCGAGACCGCAAGATCATGGAGTAAGACTTGACCCTTCCGCTTTGACTGGTCTATGCTAACATGTACAGAACCCACCGCCAGGAACGTGAGCAGAGAGAGTGAGTATCCCTAATGCATCTTAATTTTCATTTTCTGACCATTCTACAGCGCTACCCGCAAAGCTGCCTGGGAATCCAATGCCAGGGCATCATCAGCCCAGAAGATGGGCGGCCCAGGAATGTCTGGTCCCGGAAAGTCGGTATGTGGCACTTCTTGATCACACGTTCTCTTGAGGAGGCACTAACATTCGACACAGACTCTTGCCGACCGAGCGAAGTACCAATTCGAAGCCGATTCCGAGGATGACGAGATGGAGAACGAGATCGATAACAATTTGGACCAGCTCCACGGTGCCGCGAAGAGGCTCAACGCGTATGTCTCTCCCACATTTTTTCACAGTCTTATTTTGTCTACATTATCTACGTGTAGGACGCGTTGTTTTATGGTGCACCTGTACTGACGATCGACCACTTAGTCTCGGACGTGCTATGGGCGAGGAAGTTGACACCCAGAACAAGCACATTGACCGCATCATCTCGAAGACGGACAAGGTCGACGAGCAAATTGTGATGAACCGCGCCCGTTTGGACAGAATCCATTAAGTGGTGGTATATAACACGACTTGAGCATGATATCAACACACTATGCTTGGATATCGAATACCAGAGCGTTGACCCCGATGATGTAGAAGCGTCGATGACACTTATGAAGGAAGTGTGATGTGACCTCCGTAGCATGAGTAATGGACATAACCCGCACATCGCATGTTTAGGCGTTCGTAAAGGCGTAAATATGATTCAAATACTACCAATCCTATCAATGTGTTATGCAGATCACAGACGAACCTACACCTCCCCTATGCATCACTACATACTATGGACATCTTACAGAATTCGTGTCTATACTTGATCTCCTCCAATGCCAGTCAGTTCCCAAATACGTCTATAAATCTCTTACCAAATAGCGAATCATTCCGTCAAGATATATACATAGGTATGCAAAGACAGCACAGCACACCATGCCACCTTAGCATTCTCCCCCTACAACGGTGTGGAAAATCATACAGAGTACTCCGTACATGCTTCTCTTTTCTTACCCTTCCTAACCTACCTGCCTCCTTAGCCAAAACCACACGGCCCAGACAACCACATCTCTCTAGCAACCCTATCACCTACCAACCCACTTGGTACTTCCAATCACAAGTACCTACAACGGCCACAACTGCCGCACCACCCTTCCCCTCCTCCACCATCCCATCCCATCCGCAGCTCCGCAGCTCCCCAGTTTCCCCTCCCGTTCGGCCCGTTTGGCTCACTTCGTGCAACGAGACAAGACAAGACAAGACAAACCAGACGGCGTTGAGCGCAAGCTGCATGCACACAACCCCTCCCCCTCATCCACTGGACCGGGAATAACATTAAGGCCATTACGTCTAGGTACGGACAGAGTGAGGTGAGGATAGGGGATGCGTGACGGGTGGTTTGTAGAGTGGTGTAGTTATACATGTTACTGTGGTTGTGAAGTGTTCTGAATGGAGGGAGCGGCTTTGTAGGTAGGCTTGATGAATTAACGTACGGAATATGCCTACACAGCTCTTCCTATAAAAGTACATCTACACATACATACATACACGACGATTCACATGCCTCGTCTCATACAACTACACCCCAGACAAGGAATTCCGGTTCCAAGGACTGCAGACAGAGGTCGCCGAACCATAAAGGTATAGTCAAAACGATAGAGGGGTAAGCGTACCTCGTACGACATTGGCTTTCCTCGGTCTCATGCAGTGTGTATGTACATTGCAAGTGTGCCAGTAGAACCATGGGTCTTTTCTCCATCGGACGTCTTTTCTTGGGGGTTGTTGCTGGGAGGGGAGGATGGGAGTGGAATGTGTGGAGTATCTATGTACTTAGAAACGAATATATGTACTGACGAAGCGGAAGACAAGTGTATGTTTGTCCCCAAGCGATGGATTTAGACTTTACTGTACGGAGTCTTTTCCTTCATCTTGTTTTCCGTGTCTTTCTTCTAACGATTGAATAACATGGCAGTTTGAAGGTCAACGGCGCGTGAAGGCTCCGATACCCGTTTCCCCCTCTTCTGCTATGTATGTAGTGTCCCTACTGCTGTTCATGCAGCTGCATCTGCAGATCCTTTCACGGGTCGAATCAACGACACCCTTCTCTTGCGCACCTACTTCCCCGATGAACATAGGTAGACATTGAACTGCAATCATGCCGTGCGACCTCCAATACATACATACATACACACACACATACACACAACGAACGAACGAACATGTGGTGTGTTTTCTACATACGAACAGAGGTGCATTCATGCAGTGCGAGTATTGTCGCATGAAAAGCATGTACGGATTGGATAGGTGGGTGGACGATTGTCATTCGAGCGTGGCGGTACTCGTCGACTCGCACCGCCTTTTCTGCGTTACGAAGGGAAACGAAATGGTAGTACAGTACCATTATTGCGGTGGCCGTTCGGACGTATTGTGCCTACATACCTACATAGCTACGACACTCAACTCACAGAGAGGGGATGGAGCCAACGGTCCGATTCCAACTCCTTTAGCATGCACAGAGGGGCGTGTGGATCGGAGAGATGGAATCTCGTCGAAGAATTTCGCATGCTATGTGCTCCCGATATGTTGGTTATGTGTAGCTAACTAGTGATATCTTACTTTCTGGCGTGAGTGAGGGGTGTGCATGCGGTTGCCGCAGCTCACCGATAGGTTAGGTGCTTGTGCTGTTCGTTGTCGGAGCAGCAAGAGGAGGAAGAGGGTGAGGGGGAGGGGTAATATGACAGTGGGAAACTCGTATTGTACGTATTCGTGCAGTAGTATAAAAGTATATTCCCGTAAAGAGGAAAAAAAAGGGAAGAGCTTGGGATGGGAAGAGAGGTATGTGTGTAAGATACCTGCAGTAGTTAGTGCGAAAGGTGTAGTGGGAGGGAGCGCGCGGAGGCGGGAGGAAGGGCCTAGTGTTTTTCCCTTGGATCTTGTGATTGTTTATTTTTCTTGATTCTGGGTTTGTTGTACGGAGTAGGTTTTTTTGTCTTTCCTTGACGGATGCAGGTAGGTCGGGAGGGTTGCTCACACGACTGGATTGATACGGGCGCCGGCGAGGGGATGGGGGGTTGGATTGGGTGATTGAGCTGTGAGGGTAAGCGGGGAGGGAGGAAGAGGACGAGGAGGAAAGGAGGATATGCGGGTGAGCTTTCTTCTGTGTCTGTCCTGCAGGTGGGAGAATAGTGGGAAGTCATGCGTGCAGGAGGTGATGCTTGGGAGACAAGGGCCGAAGGATGCATGCAGGAGGATTGGAGAGAGAGGTTCTGGAAAAGCTGGACTGGGCTGGCTGGCTGGCTGGTGGGGTGAGGATCATGTTTATCGGAGGGATTGATTGATAGATGCTGCAGGAGAGATAGAGGCGAGGAGGATCACTATTGGGTGATAAGATGATTTTGGATAATATGAGGATATTTCTGACGACGTAGCACAGGTAGGGATCTTTGAGACGATGATAGAGGGGGAGGGGAGCATAAGCGTGTGAGAGCCGTGAAAGAAGTACGGGTACGACACGAGAAAGGAACCGAACCGAGCCGAGACGGCAGGACGGCGCAGCGTAGAAGATGGTTCTGTTGTTCCTCGCAGGATCTGCAATCTGGAATTGATTAAATGATTGATTGATTGATGCACGGGTTTGATGTATGCTTGTTGACAGTTGTTGAGCGAAGAGACACTGCATCGGAGGTGTGATGATGTCGGCGGGAAAGGGGTTGATCAGGCACGGTAAAGTAGATGAAACCGATGCATCAGAAATATAAAACAATTACAGCCAGTATGGAGGGAGTGACAGGTGAGGGATTGATACTGATAGTGTGGCTGAATATTAACGATGATAGTTAACGGTGATGCTGGTGGTGGTGGTGGTGGTGGTAGTGTTGTATGGGGTAGATGTTGATAACTGCAATGTCGTGATGTTTGTGCAGTCATAGTATATATGGAATATGTTTTCTTGGAGTTGTTTACAGTTCTCACGAGTGTTTACAATGTTTCTAGATCTGCTTGGTTACGCTCAGTTCGTTGGTTGGATAGCTGTTGGATCGATGACTCTTTGTTGTTGACGTTGGTGGTGAAACAATGACTAAACGAAAAGAGGGGTTGATCTTGGGCGAACGGAAATATCTACCAGTCAGTATGGTTTTGTCTTGCGTATACAGGTTGGGAGTCATAATAGCGAAGGTGTTTGTTGTCATTATTGTCATCATTTTAGGCATGGGATACTGGACTGTTGCCATGTAGATGTTATACTGTATACAAGAGGAGGTGAGACGTTGCTGGGTGTGGCTTGCGACTTTTTGCAGGGCCTATGGTCGCGACAACGACTATCACGGCACGTCTTCCGGCACTCGTCGGTATTGGTGTCGTAATAATTATATCCCTTCCATCATCTCATTTCAAATCTATCATTGAATACATGCACAATTGTTACATTCGCGCTATTTCATTGCAGACTACAAGTAGTCACAGATGGGCAGATACATGTATAGAGACATGAAAGCACCAAAGAAAATAGATAAAAATGCCCGAGTACTCCATAGTTACAAGGAAACGAACATAAGCCCGAGATGTGCTCCACCATTATCGTAAACATTTGATCTGTGTTTTGTTTCGGTGCCTTCGGCGTATTTCTCTGGCGTCTGATTTGATATCATCATCAGCATCAGCATCATCGTTATTGGCCTCGGCGGCGATCATCCATTCTGCCCATGTCCTTCCAGCCCGTCCTTGCATAGGGATACTTGAGGTATGGTAGTACATTATTATCATACTGGTAGAGTGTTCGTCCTCCTCATCTATCATAAGTTATCTGTATGTGTGTCTGCATCTGTATGGTGTGTATGTTTGCCTATGGAGGGGGTATTTGTCTGTGGTCTGTCCATCGCCTGTCCATCGCCTGTCTGCATCATCTGCATCTGCGTCTGCATCATCAGTCCCGACCAGAGCAGGGTCGAGAGATGATAGTTGTAGACGGAAGTAAAAGGATATGGCGGTATGGGTAGGCTCTAGAGTATTGCTTGATCGATGTGCGGTCCCACTCTCTCCCTCGGGTCACCAGCTCATCCCAAATCTTCTTTACCCTGGGACCTGACCCTTTCCAAGTTCCTATTCCCTGTAACCTGTCAACATACCCATACCCATCCCATCCCATCCCATCCCATCCCATATCCTTCCTTGCCTTGCCTTACCTTAACCTACCTACTAGTACTCGGTAGCCCACTAATACTTGTACTTACTTAGTTAATACTGTATCTACTGCTGTAGCTACCTCGTACTAGACTGCTACTGTATCTGCTAAACTGCACCGGCACGCGCACCCTCTTTTCGACTCGCCCGCTCGCTCGTACAGAACCCACCAGACCCGAAACAGAGCTGCAAGAAGCCATTGCACCAAGCCATTCCCCTCCTGCGACCACTCACCGTCTTCCTTTCCAACGCCAATTCACTCCTCTTGCTCCTCTTGCCTCTCTGGTTTGCTTTTGGCTCTGCCGGCGTGCGTTGCGCCAAAAACAGTGATGCGTAGGTAGACAGCTGCCATATTACCGACAAGCACCACATACAGACAAGAACAGCAGACAGAGAGGCCGAGACAAGCGACCGACCTTTCTTTGCCCCTCCTGCCTGACTGCTTGCCTTACCTACTACTCTGCTGCTACTCTCGATTATTTTGCCTGACAACGAACAAAACCTCCGACCTACCTCATCTTTTATTATCATCCACTTCCGACAAAAAGTCGCGATCCCCTCCCTCGCCAGTGTCCGTGTACCTCGACACACAACACCCGCCCACCTCCACCCATCAATCAATCCAACTCCCACGCCTATCGTCACCCACGCTCACTACTCACCCCTCGTACCAATTCAATCGCTTCATTCTTCGTACGAAATGCCCTCCTGGTAGACTTGATCTGGGGTGGACCTTCCTCCGCCGTCTGCTCCGCGTCACTCCAATCGCCCCAACGTAGTAGTCACCCGTCCGTCAGCTTCAACCCACCAACATCCTATCCTAGTCACGCACGCTTCGTAAAACCTCCCACCAGAGCAGAACAACGCACTCGCTTCGCCCACGCGTCCTCCGCGGCTTCCCTGTCTACGGGATAATAACACACGCACTCCTGCCCGCCCAGTCATCCGTCCAATTCCCTCGGGCCCAAATCCAATTCTCTCTGGCCCTCACCATGGTCCTGGGAGCCACATCGGAATAGCACCAATCACCACCCAGTCCCCGGGCGGACGCCCTCATAACGCTTCGCCGGGTCGGGCCCGTTGTCCTCCATCCACGGCAGCCTGCGGCAAGACATAACCAGAAATGGACGAAGATACAAAGCCGAGCACGCTGGCCCCGCCAGCCGTCACGGCCCTCAGGGAGGAGGCCGCGGCCACCTCGACCCATCGCGTGCACATGGAACGCACCGTCAGCCAAGACATTCGCGAGCAGCGTGAAGACCTCAAAGAGGCCGCCGAGCATACACTCAATGTCATCATGTACTTGGATCTCGACAATAAGATACAGTACGTGAGCGACTCATGGAAGGACGTCATCGGCACCACCACCGACCAGGTCGTGGGGAAACCAGTCTCCGAGATCCTTCTGGGAGACTGCGGCCAGTTTTACGAAACCATCGAATCAATGAGAAAGGACGATTCGAGGAGCAGAATCACCCGTTTCACCGTCCAGTTGGGCCCCCACTCGGCACTCTTGCGGAAGCGATCACGACGCTCCGAGAGCGAGGAACAAGAATCGGAGGGTCAGGTTGAGGAAGAGATCGAGGAAGAGGAGCAGCAGATCCTCAATCTCGAGGCACAAGGCATCATGGTCTACGACCGAACGACTGGTGCTGAAAGTCACGTACGTTCATTGATTTTCCTTTTTCCTTTCCAATGCCAATCGGTGGCATGCCCGCTATCAATGCTAATAAATCACAGTCTATGTGGATGATCCGCCCTTCGGTTGTACGCGAAGTCACCATTGACCTCCCGGAAGTGCTTGTGGAGTCTCTCGGTGTAGGGGCCGAGATGTTGGCTCACTATCTCAATGGCCTTGCCGAACAAGGTGCAAATGACCCTGGCCACCACCCACCCCCACTACCTGTACTTTGTCGTATCTGCGAACGTCAGATTACACCATGGTGGTTCGAGAAACACACCGAGCTATGTCTACAGGAGCATCGTGCCGAGATGGACGTCCAAATGGCCCAAGAGGGACTTGCCGAGCACCGCAATGCCATCGTCAAAGTCCTGGATGCTCTTGAGAACTCTAGCCGAGTGTCGAGAGCTACGCCGACCGAAATGACGCAACCCCCGCAACTTCCTGAATACAAAGGAATTCCCATTCAGGCGACGTCCACCCCCTCCTCGGGTACTCCATCTGGTCGCAATTCCCCGGCATCGCCTCCCTCGAGGTCTCGTGAAAGAGGTATCGGATTTGGTCATCACCGTGCCCGATCTTTTGCCGTGCGAAGACCCCTGGCTCGCATCGTGGAGCTTGTTCTAGATCTGTGTGATACAGCCCTCGAGATCAACACCCCCTCTGTCAAGGATGGCATGCGTGGGCAGCCTGCAAGCGAAATCAGGACACAGTCCCCTCAATCAGAGAATCGAATTTCTCAGGTGTTGCAATGGCAGTCCCCCTCCCTGGGCGTCTCCGATCACGGGGATGGCTTCAAGATGCTCTGTGAAGATACCGGTAAATTCGCACGAGCCAAAGTGGATGCTGTCTTCCGCCACAGGCGTATCCTAGAGTACTCGGAACGAATACGAATCGAATTCGATCTACTCGTGCAAGAGTGCATCGAGGCTGCAATGGACAAAGCCGCCAGAATTGCGGCGGGCGAGGACAGCTCGTCGGATGAGGAGCAGCGGGAAGAAGAAGGCCCGTGTGATATGAACGACATCCCTCCCATTGAGGATCTCATCTTTCCTGGGTCGTTCGAGGGTCCTTCGGCTATGGCACAGGCCCTTCGTAACGCCTCTGACCCTTCTTTACCAGCAGGATTGAGCAGACGAGAATCCTCCGTGGCGGGGTCAACGAGGTCTAGTAGTCCTCGGGGTGGAAACCAGACGCCTCGCTCCCATGTTGGGGCCATCAACATCGTTACGCACAACAAACGCCAATCTATGCACTTTGAAAGCGATGCCGGAGCCGATAGTGATAGCAGTGTGAGATCGTCCGTTCTATCTGGTCCCCGACGAGCAGACTCCCCGTCCTCCGAACTTGGCTTGAACAGGGTTGCCAGCTCACGCGAGCGCAAACGCAAGAGTCTCATTCTTCCGAGTGCAATGTCGAACAGTCGGCAGCAGTCGCCCGCTCGAGCGATCATTCCTCCGTCTTCGCCTCTGCGGATGAACAAGCCACGACTTCCCAGCGGTGCTGCCGAGGGATTGCAGTCCCCCATCACATCTCCTGTCCTGGCCACAAGCGAGTTCTCCTCTCCTGCGCTTGCCCATGTCCAGTACCACCACCATCGCCGTCAATCCTCCACGGCAGGTTCGGATGGGCCAAGGGCTGTTTCTCCGCGCATGATGCCACTCACAACTGCTCCTCAGCCCCGTGCCGTTCCTCCATCAATCAAAGACTTCGAAGTTATCAAGCCCATCAGCAAGGGCGCTTTCGGCAGTGTGTACCTGGCGAAGAAGAAATCGACTGGAGAATACTACGCGATCAAAGTCTTGAAGAAGGCAGACATGGTAGCAAAGAACCAGGTCACCAACGTGAAAGCAGAGCGTGCAATCATGATGTGGCAGGGCGAAAGTGACTTTGTTGCTAAGCTATACTGGACGTTCTCGAGCAAGGACTACCTCTACCTAGTCATGGAGTATCTTAACGGCGGAGACTGTGCGTCTTTGGTCAAGGTACTAGGCGGGATTCCCGAGGACTGGGCCAAGAAGTATCTCGCGGAGGTGGTGCTCGGTGTTGAGCACTTGCACAGCCGCGGCATTGTTCATCGTGATCTGAAGCCTGACAATCTTTTGATCGACCAGAAAGGTCACTTGAAGTTGACCGATTTTGGCCTCTCTCGCATGGGATTGATCGGTCGTCAGAAACGAGCTTTGAATAGCAAGGCAGATGAAGCTGCACCAGATCTGCTGAAGTCAGGACCCTTTCATCGTGCAACTTCGATGGCCTCCTCGCGCTCGGCATCTTTCGATCTGAACCCTTCACCTTCACAGACTCCTAGCATGACTCCTGCCCTGGCCGGCGATATAGGTCAGCCCTCCTACTTCAGTCTCAATAGGGAGAGCTCCAACAGCCGCGATCCATCGAGAAGGACGTCGGGCAATCGAAGTGACAGTGGTGATACCGAAGCTTTTCAGGCTATGTTCCGAAGATTCTCCATCGTCGACGATCAATTGGTTCAAACACGAAGTCGATCGCCGATTGAGGAGGAGGCTTTCAGCGATGAAGGCTCTCCTGATCTATTCCCCATAGCACACACCATGAGTCAAGTGAGCACCGCCCAGAACAATACACCTCCTCCAACGTCGGCTATGCCGCCACCGCATATGGCCCTGTTTGATCCGGAAGACAGCAACCGACGTTTCGTTGGTACCCCAGACTATCTTGCACCTGAAACCATCAGTGGCAGTGGTCAAGACGAAGTCAGCGATTGGTGGTCATTGGGGTGCATTCTATTTGAATGCCTTTTTGGGTATCCACCATTTCATGCCGATACTCCTGATGCGGTGTTCCAGAACATCCTATCACGCAACATCGACTGGCCCGATGAAGACGAGGCCGAGGTCTCGGATGATGCAAAGGATCTCATGAATCGTTTGATGTGCACCGATCCCTCAAAGCGACTAGGTGCGAACATGGACGACAAATTTGCCAGTGGCGGAGAGGAAATCAGAAATCATCCTTGGTTTGCTGACGTTGATTGGGAAACGCTTCGTGATGCCGAGGCGTCTTTCATTCCTGCACCTCAGAACCCGGAGGACACTGAGTACTTTGACACCAGAGGCGCAGCGATGCAAAACTTCACTGAGTTTGAGGATCAGGGTACATCCTCTGGCGGTACCCCCGGTGCCGACTATCCTGACCGTCCTCACGATGCGCTCTCTCGCGTTCGCTCTCAAATCAGTGTTACTACTATGAAGCGTGGCCTCATTCCATTGCACATACCTGCTCATGTCCGCGAAGGCCGAACTAGGAGGCTGAGCGAGCCTGTTGCAACGGACGATTTTGGCAATTTCAGCTACAAGAACTTGCCGGTGCTAGAAAAGGCAAACAAAGACGTCATACAGAAGCTTCGCGCAGAGGCAATGCAACCGCACAGCAAGCCAGTGTCTGCTGTTCAATCACCGACCATCACGTCTCCTTCGCCATCCTTGGAGTCTAGCCCCATGCTTCCGGCTCCGCTGAAGCGAACTCTATCTACTACCAAAGGTGCCGCCGGAAGACCATCGTCTCCATCAGTTGGCGGGTCAAATTCCTCGCCAAACCGAGCCTCTCAACCATCGTCTCCGTTGTTAGTTCAATTTAGTACTGGCCAGCATCATGAAAGACGCAAGACCTCTAGTAGCGGTTCCTCGCTTGCACATTCCACGAGCAATCCGGCATCACTTCAGCCTGGTAACTTCTTCGATGCTCCCCGTCTAGGTTCTGGCTTTCGCAATTCCCCCGAAGCCATCTCACCGATCAAGCTCGTTAAAACACCCTCTGCTATGTCTTCATCCTTCACTGAAAAAGGAAACCCAGGGCATCGCTCGACCTCCATCGGCCAGGCGAATGCACCTTCCCCACGAGCGCGCTCCCAAACCATTGGATCGCAGGAGGAAGATGTTGTTCGCGATTTGGTTCCCAACCAGCACAAACGCAGAAGTCAAGTCTTTGATGTGTCTCCCTCTTCATCAGACACAGAGGATACACGTGCTAAGGCCCTGTTGCGTGTACAAAGAAGAAGGCAGAGTTCACGACGCTTGTCTCAGATCAGCCTTGCAGATGGTCCAATCTTCAGACCCCTTGACGTCCTGGTCTGCGAAGACCATCCTGTCTCACGTCTTGTCATGGAGAAACTCTTGGAGAAGCTGCGTTGTCGAACATTGACGGTAACAAATGGCTCAGAAGCTATTCGTTATGCCATGGGCGAAGTCAAGTTCGATATCATTATGATGGAATTCAAGCTACCTCAAGTCAACGGAGCCGATGTTGCGCGAATGATCAGAGAGACTAAGAACGCCAATTCGCACACACCCATCGTTGCAGTCACCGGCTATCTCAAAGAGCTCCAGGCACCCCATCACTTTGATGCGCTGATCGAGAAGCCGCCCACAATTGCGAAGCTGTCCGACACATTTGGCAAGCTCTGCCAGTGGAAACCACCACCACCGAACTGGACTCCTGGGCAAAGTATGTACCCCTCAATACCACTCTCTGGCCTCCGTCAGGAATCCGTTCGCCAAGGAGACAGCCCTATCTCGAATTCCTCGAGCTTTCCACCTGTGCCTTCAGGAAGCTATCGCGGATCCAGCCGCGAGGATTCCATCAGTTCCAGCTTCTTCGGTGACAACGACAGTCGCACGGGTGACGACGTGCCAGTAGCAATTGCGCGCCTCGGCGGCGATGATTGGCGAGAACGGGATTTAGCTCGAGCAATGAGTGGTCTGGGGATATCGGAGGATCCGGCCAGTGGTGTCGATCCCAAGAACGCGGGGCACAATCTCCCACTTCCGCATGACCTCCCACTTCACGGCGTTTCCGCCCCGGCAGTGCTGGAGACTGCTACAATCCGCAAGCAACGATCCGCAGAGATGGTTGGGGCCAAGCGTCGTATTCTGGAAACTCGCAAACACGAATCTGCAGAGTCTGGCGACGACGAAGACGACGAGCTGGGCCATATCAGCGTTCGCACAAAAAGCCCCAAGTCACGCCCAAAGTCTTCGTCCAAGCTTGGTATCGAGATGATGCGGACGAACAGTAGGGGCAGTGTCATCTCTGTGGAAGACATTGCACCTCCTGACACGACATTGGCCTCGTCGCCGCCCCCTGCCATCACTGAGGATCGGCACGCAGAGGAGCGGGAAGCGCAGCTTAGCGGCTACGACGTCCCTCCGGTCTCACTCACACCGCCAGAGATATTCCCGCAAGCCCCGGGTGACCAAGCCCAGGATATTGCATTGGACACGACGCCGAGGGCCTCCATGCAGGCCAACGATCCCGATCCGGATCCCACGCCTAGAGCTAAGGCGTCACCAAAAGTGTAGATCTTGTTTACAGGGAACGCATGTTTTAGCCGGCCCCTTGCAACTATGATTCTTGTCGACCTACCCCGCCTCTCCAGCATTTCCATGGTGTAGTTCGTGCATTGCAGGGCGCCGTACATTTGGTGGATTGTAAAAGACCTTTTGCTCTGTCCGCTGATCAATACGCACGGCACTTAGCATGATTTGCATCATTGGGCGAATTGTAACTCCCTTTTCCTTTGTTTACACAAACTTGTTTACAACCAATTGGAGAGAAAGATTGCGACAAAATTTGACTATTCGCCTCTCCTTTGGGGGTTTTCCCTTTTCATTTATTTTTTTTCTACAGAGCATGGTGTTGGCGGTGTTCCTAAACGGTAGTGCACCTAGGAAACGGGAAATTCAAATATTCTCAATTGTTATTGCCTTTGCCACTTCTACTTCTTCTGATTTTCTCTTTTTCTTTTGTCTATGTCTTCGTCTTGGGTGGTGACCTTTTTCTTTTTTTTGAACTGGAAGCGAGTGAGGCAGATACGTTTTTTCCCTTCTGGATTCTTCTTCGTCGTAGCTAGCTGGGTGGGCTGGTGGGTTGGGACATGCGTGCGTGCGTGCGTGCGTGAATGTGTGTGTGTGCATGTTGTGCGTTTTCTACGTCACCTTTAGGTTTATGAACGGGGACTGGGGGACTACGAATGGAGGAGGGTTTATATGCTTTAGGAATTACATCCAAAAAAAAAAAGGTGGGGGGGGAAATTACAGAGAATATATACATTGTTGAAAACTTTTCGATTCTTTTTTCGATTCTGTTTTGGGGGGATTGTTTGTGCTTGTTTTCAGGGATGGGTGGTGCTTTGCGTTGTGAAGGGGTTTTTTGAGCGTTTGTTTACGACGTGTGAGTACTGTATAGGAAAGGGATTGGGATTGGGATTGGGGGAGATTGGATGGTTGGAGGGATATGATTTCGTGAATTCAAGCGGTTTTTATGGGAGAACGATTGATGTTGGTACAATTATGGGAATGATAGTAGTAGTGATGGTGATGATCGCATTGTCGTTTTCCTACATGCGAATGATATGTATACTGGTCGTTCTGGTTCCGTCAACACACCCTCGTCGTGCTATTCATGCTGCTACTACTTCTACTACTATGCTATGCATAACGAAAAACAACACGCAACCCAACAAACCTCATCTCTCCCCCTCAAAGCACCAACTTAAGCGAATAAATCTCAAACGCCCTGACCTCCACCTTGACGCCCTTATCGCCCTCGGCACCGCCACCCTCGACGTTAACATCCACAATCCCCGCCGTCAGATCCTCCAGCTCGTCCTCGAGCGCATTGACGCGGACCACCTTCTTCACCTTGATGCCGCCCCACGACACGACGCCCTTGCTCTTCCCGCCGAGCGCGTCGTACAGGCGGAGGATGATGGACTGCCCCTTTTTCACGGGCAGGTCGCCGCGGGACACGTCTTCGTCGTCTTCGCCGCGCTTGATGGTGTCGAGGATTAGGTTGGGGGCGTTGTGGATGCGGAGAGCTGTTAGGAGGGATGGTGGTGGTGACGACGATGTCGTAGAGGGGGAATGGGAGGAGGAGGAGTCGCCGACGATCTTGAGCGGGGAGTTGAATTCGAAGGCCTTGCGGATGGTGCGCTGGTCGAGGGCGCCGGCGTGCGGGAAGATGGCGTAGCGGATCGTGTGGTTTCCCATGTCGGCGTGGGCGTCGGGGGCCTTCGGGGCGCGGAGGAGGGATAACCGCATGTTGTTGCCGACGGTCGCGAAGCCGAATTTCGAGTCGTTGAGGATGCTGACGCCGTAGGAGGACTCGGAGAGGTCCGCCCACTTGTGGCAGCACACTTCGAACTTGGCCATGTCCCAGGTGGTGTTGTAGTGTGTTGGGCGCCGCACGATGCCGAACTGCGTCTCGTACGACGCTTCTGTGTTGACGATGTCGACGGGGAACTCGACCTTCAGGAACTTCATCGTCTCGTGCCAGTCGACGTCGGTGGTGAATTCGATGGCGGTGGGCTGGTCGCCTACGGCCGCGGAGAGGGAGAGGGTTGTCTTTGCGGAGGACTTGTCGGAGATTTTGGTTTCGATGGTGAGGGAGACGCGGTGCGGGCTGTTCTCTGTGATGCTGACGCTGTGGGGGGCCAGCTCGGCGCGCGAGTTGAGGTGGAAGACTTCGACGTCCCAGGCCTGCCAGTAGAGCGGCTTGTCGTCGAAGATGACGAGCTGGCCGGCTCGCTTGCCCTTGGGGATGAGCTCCCGCTCGATGGACCTGTCGTAGAGGGAAGTGATTGCGCCGTCGGTGACCTCGACGACGTACTGCGAGTTGCGGAGCTCGAACACGTTGGATTTGACCTCCTTGACGGAGGCGGTGCTTGCCATGTAGGCGGAAGCGAGGGGACGGATAGACATGGCGCCGGGAGCGTTGCTGTGCGCGAGGCCGTACGAAGGGAGGTTTGCGACGGTTGTAGGGAGCTTGATGATCTCGGTACGACCCCATGGAAGTGTGTTCAAGGCGACTAGTTTGCTGTCGGCCTTCAGTTCCTGGTCGAAACCAAGTTCTGCAAGAGCCTCGGATAGGATCCTTTCACCGGTCTTGAAGACCTCCGCGTAGATCTGTAGGATGTTAGCTGACAAGTCTTGAGCTGTATCTGGCAGTAAAACATACCTCGTCCGAGTCGTCGTAGCACATCTCGATGGAACTACCCGGCAGACAGTCGTGGAATTGGCAGAGCAGAACATTCTCCCACATATCATCAATGTCCTTCTTGGGGTACTTGTATGAGCTCTTCTTCTCACTGAAGCTACCCTTGACTGTAGCTAGCGTGGCGAGGTACTCGATATCCCTGAGCAAGAACTCTGCCTTCCTGTTGTTGCGCTTGTTGTTTGCTTGGGTGGTGTATGTGCCTCGGTGAAGTTCGAAGTACAATTCGCCGTACCAGGTCACCAGGTCCAAACCATTCTCGATCTTCTTCTCGAGCCGATCAAAGAAGTCGTCGGCCGAGTCACCAAGCTTGATGCGAGGAAGAAGGCCGACCTGATCGCTAATTCCTCGGCAGCGTCGGAGCTTCTCGATATGCTGGTAGGTTGGTCCACCTCCACCATCTCCCTTACCAAACACAAGTAATGAAGTATGGTCCTGATCCAGAGATTTATGCTGAGAAACGCTTCTCTTAACATCGCCAAAGTTGGCTTCGGCGGTGTAGGTCTCTGAAGGTGGCATATGGCAGATGACCTGGCTGTTATCGAGTGCGACCCAATTGAAGGTAGTGTGGGGGAAGTTGTTGATGTTGTTCCAGCTGAGCTTCTGGGTAAGAAATCTTGTCATTCCCGCAATCTGGCAAACTTGCGGCAATTGGGTTGAGTATCCAAATGTGTCAGGGAGCCAGAATGTCTTGCAGCGCTGTCCAAACCGACTTTCGAAATAACGTTGCCCGTAGAGGAATTGTCGAACCAGAGATTCGCCACCAGGTAAATTGGTGTCGTGCTCGACCCAACTACCACCGATAGGCTGGAATGTGCCTTCCTTGACCTTCTTCTTGACGCGATCAAATACACTGGGATAGTTCTGTTCTAACCATTTGTACTGCTGTGCCTGCGAACAACAGAATCGAAGCTCTGGGTAGCGATCGATGAGGTCGATCTGGTTCGACCACGATCGTGCAACCTTTCGTTTCGTCTCGGCAAAAGGCCAGAGCCAACAAGTATCGATATGACAATAACCAATGCCAGTCACAATAGCCTCATTGTCTGTTTCGTAAACCTTGTGCGAATCCACGTTCTTGCCGAGGTACTCGCTCGCGATCTTTCGACCTTGCAAAATGCTCTCATCGCTACCATTGCCAGCAATGAAAGCGTCGATGATACGGTTCCCGACCTGTTGAGCCTGGTGGGCTTGGGCAGAGTCTTGGGGAAACTCGCGAGCCGCGTCGCCGATCTCCCAGAAATCAAAATACAGACCTCGAGCCTGCAAATTTACAGCAGTGATGTCGGCAGTATGCAATTGAAAGTATCGGTTAGGATCGGGCGGTTGAATGCTATCGCCCCCGGGCGCATTGCCAAACATGCCGTTACATGCCATTTCAACGTAAAAGATGTGTTCCTTCCCATCTTTATACTTCTTTGGCAGAATCCATTCCGTACGTTCTCCGCCGCCAGTCAATCCATGTATAACATCTCCATCTTCGGTCCAAATCAAACCCTCATTATTAGCGTCCCAGACAAACTCGAGATGATCATGTTTAAGAAGATCATCCGGAACCTTCAATTGGACCTTGAACCAGTGAGTAGACCAACTCGGTCCAAACGATTGTCCGACCTCGGTAGGTTTAAATTCATGGGATGTGGCGTCCTTGAACGTTGGACGTGTAAGGTTCGGAGGCGAATAGACGGATAGCTTTACATGTGGATGGCCCGAAGCGCGAGCGGGATTGATCTTGCTAGTACTTGTTAGCATCAGGTGCCCAATGGATTTCATTGATGTCAAAATGAATGCTCTTCCTGACACCAAGACCTTCTGACTCACGGTAAAAGGCCCTGCTCTCTATACTGGCCGCCATCGGTGAACTGCCGCAGGCGGTCCTGATAAATGCGGTGGATCTGTTTCCCCACAGGCGTCTCCGCAATTGCGGGGTACTCCGACTTGGTAAAAGGCATGATGCGATGAGACTCTCCACCCATGGTTTTCAGGAGCGGATGGCGTTCAGGAAAGCTGGATTTAAATGCAGGATGATGCAGTTGTATATGATTGCGTAGAGTGCCAGGTACCTTGCAGGAGGTTGGAGCTCCGGGGCTTCCCCGCATCTTGGCGGGTCCAAGCTCCCACGCTCCAACGCCTCCCTGTGAGCTTATTCGGGTAGCACAAGCCGTCATGCGATGGTACCGCTTGATGCTTTTTTATATGAATTACGACTCATGCCATCGGGCCGTGAAGATTCCTTAGGGCATTGAGACATGCTCGTCGATGATATACCCACAAGTTCATTGAAACATCATGCATGTGATTTTCTGCATCGTCGTGCAACAATTGGTGCAACCCTCCATTCCGTGAAATCGCTGCATCACGAACACCTAGCAATCTATCATGATTATTGGCACGATTGCCTTGTTCATCTCGAAAAGATATGTGCATTGAAGACAAGACGAACCATATCGTGGAGCAAATTTCTTTTGATACTGCAAGAGCTGTGGTTGGAAGTATTCAATCCGCGCGGAGAACGATACCCGTTCGTCATAATATTATAAAACCCATGGACCTTGGGATGAGGGCCGGGTGATAAGGGTTTCATCCAGGGATAATATATTGCAATTGATCCTGCGACCGCGACATGTCTCTATCTAATAAACTCATCACCATCACGGGTGCAGCATCTGGGATCGGACTGTCAACCGCGCGAATACTTGCCCGACGCGGCGCTTTACTATCCCTTGCCGACTACAATGCTTCCAAACTCCAAAACGCCCATTCGGAACTCGCGTCACTGTCATCCTCCTCGAAAGTAATCTCCACTCCATTAGACATCCGGGATACCGACTCTGTAAACAAATGGATACACAATACAAAAGAAAAATTCGGGATGTACATTGACGGAGCTGCCAATGTGGCTGGGTTCCATCCGCTATGGACTCCAAAGAATGTGCAAGATATTAGCGACGAGGAATTCGAAGAGGTGATCGCCATCAACACGACAGGACTGTTTAAATGCCTACGCGCGCAGCTTGCAGAAGGCGTCCTGAATGAGAAAGGCGCATCAATCGTGAATGTTGGATCAGTCTCGGGACTTATTGGTTTTGCGGGGGATGCTGCCTATGTTGCAAGCAAACATGCTACTCACGGGTTGACTAAGAGTGTCTCAAAGGAAGCTGGGAAGAGGAATATAAGGGTGAACGCCGTCGCGCCAGGTCAGACTGATACCCCAATGGTGCAAGCGATGCAGGCGGAGAACGGAGTGCTTCCGACTCCAGCCGTCAGCTTGGGCAGATCAGGAATGCCAGAGGAAGTCGCAGAATTGATTGTATGGCTTCTAGGGTATGAGAGCCGATATGTCACTGGAAGTATATACCGAATTGACGGTGGTATGCTTGAGTAGGAAATCTTGTGCAGGAGATGTGTGTTAGGATGTTGACTATGATTAAACATTTTGCAATCTTGGGGCTAAAATATCCTCGCTCGTAACCATGAATGTATATACAGTAGGACCGACCACTAGATCTGTCCAAGACCGGAGCCTGCGAGCACAGTCTTCTTGACATCGTTCAACTTTGTAAGCTTGTATTTATAAGGCGCCTTCGTGAAGTTTCCGACTTGAGTGATGTTGATGCTGGCCGGGCCCCAATCGTTCTCTGCATTGGAAGTTAGTCTCTGACAATTGCGTGTGGATAGTATCTACACTTACTGGCACCAAGGTTGGCGAAACCATCAATCTCAAAGTCTCCGTCGGGGGATGTGTTGGGGCTGTCCTCGGGAATAACCAAACCGTATGTTGAAAGAGCCTCGCGGGTCTTTCCACGGAACACATTGCCCTCAACAAGGACCTGGTTGTCACTGCGGCTGTGGATGGCCTGGTACAAGAAGTCCTCGTAAAGGTTGTTGTACACGTGTTGGTGTCCGAAGCGACCAGCAGGGCCGCGGGTACCAGAGTTGCGCCAGTGGTTGTGGTGGTACGTGATGTGCAAGTGACCACTGTCAACAGCTCGAAGGGCGTCCGAGTTGCCGATGAGCGACGACTTCCAGTGATCATGGAAGTAGTTCCATGAGACGGTGACCCAGTCGCTTGCTCGGATGATGTCGACCTGTCCGTCATAGAAATCCGGACCTTTGTTGATATCAGACGAGAACTCATTGTGGTCGATCCAAACACGGGTGCTGTTTTGGATCGTGATGCCATCGTTGTCGACGATGAATCGAATGCCCAAATTGCGAACAATCACATTGGTAGCATTGGCAATCGTGATTCCACTCTGGGAGATCTCTGCACCTTTGCCCGTGCCCAGGATGCTCTTGTTGCTTCCAACACGGAGCCTGGAAGTCAAGTTGAAGCGTCCCTTTGCGTAGATGATCTTTGGAGCATCTCCAGCAACGGCAGCTACGAGCTGTTCAGGCGTAGTGACAGTCACAACTTGACCACCTTTTCCGCCCGTTGTAGGGCCAATTGGGTTGTCCTTTGCAAAGCCGACCAAATCGAAGTTGCATCCTGCTGGAGCAGCAGTAGCGACGAGAGCCAAAGGAGCAATTGCAGAAATGAGTGAGAGCTTCATGATGCAGAAGAATTGAGCTGCGAGGTGAAGTGAAGAATTATGGAAGGGTACCTGGAAGCAATTTATATGATCAACATTTCATAATATCGAGGACCCGTTTCCCGGTCAGTCCCTGGATTCCAATAACAAATCCCTCGTCACGACTGTAATTATTCCATGGTGGCGCTCCTCTGACAGGTAGAGAAGCTGCAGCAGGCTGCGATCAACGTGACAAACGACGCCTCGAATTGCAAAATCTTGCATGTACAGGGTAATGACGCATATCATCCAGTGTTGTGCTGTAGGATAAAATTGGGAATATCAAAGAGCTAGCATCAGCGAGGAATACGAGTGGTGGAAGATCTCACGGTGAATTTAGATACCCCAGATCTACCCCGGTCTGCTAACCCATCCCAGTCCCTTGGCGGTTTGTGGGGAAATAGAGCAGCATAGTTGAAAGATCACGACTTTGAGCTCGTCTTACTGCAATTTTGGAAGAACGTCTCCTATTGACGGAAATTTTGAACTGTGATTATGATTGAGCGTCAGAGAGACGGTATGGTAGAACGCCTATTAATGTACTAAGCACTTTTGCCGAATGTGGACCAAAACATAGTCAAGATTGATATTCTACTTGACACTCAAGAATTGATCACTACTACTGAGCACGTTTAGAATTTGTCATCACAATGTGAACGTGGACGTTGAATATTAGCAGTAAGGTTACGCGCTCTTCGGTAACGTGGAGTGATCAGTCAAGAAAATACTGAACAGATGTAAAAAGGGTGATTGAGTCGCGGTGCGGTCGCCAAACCAAATCCCGAAAATGTACGAACCAAATGATACGAACATTGTAGATACTCTGCCGCCATAAATGCCTGTTGGTGTCTTATTGGAATCGGACTGTCGTTCATGTCGACCACGTACTCATAGCTTTGGAACTACAAGAATGCAACAGAACGTCCAGAAGAAACATGTCAACCCATAAAGCCATAAAGCACAAGCTCCCTCAGGAAATCTGTGCGTCAAGCTTGAAAGTTCCACATCTGCTGAATTACATAGGCAGTATTCTTTACTACTTTCTTCTATGATACAGCCAAACATGCAGGAAAGTTCAATGTGATCTGGTACAATCAACTCTCGGATGCTGCTGATTGTTGGATGTTTCTTATGGTTCGAGAAGGTGGATGCGAATGAATAACAGGTGTTGGAAGTGGACTGTTGTTGCATAGGAATTCGCGAACGATTGGTAGAAATTTGAGCAGTACGGCTACGGAGAAGATTCTCGCGCTGCTGCAAAAATATTCAGGAAGTGACGAAGTTGATTCGTACGATTGAAACAACCTGGTCATTGAATCCCGGTCGCGAACTTGTCATTGGCATGTGAGAAAACAGTCCCCAACTGCTTCGCCGCACTATGCATTCACTTCGCGAAAGGAAAACGCAAGAGAATGAGACGGGAAATCGCTCATCTTTAAAGTTCAATCCAGTATACTTGGGCAGCTGGGATGTCTTCCGAACCAAGTGCACCATTCGTCGCATTCGGAATCAACCGAGGCCTTGATGGAACTGGCACGAGCGCGTGTGTTGCGATGGACATTACCAGGTCATGGCGAGAACAAAAATGTTCCATCCAGAAGGAAAGAAAACCCAGTGCGATGGGCCGAGGATATAAGGATTATGTTGAGAGGTGGGGACTTCTTTACGTCCTTCGCCTCATGAGGTAGCATACGGATACTGCTCCGAGCAGAGAACAGGGATCTTAGACCCCTGGGGCGGCACAACGGGGTCCACCTGCCGCGCTGCGGGTAGAATAGAGCTGAACGAACATTTGCCTACGATAATGTGGCTTTTTGGCAATATGTGAAAGGGTCGGTAATATGTACAGCGAAAGGGGTTCCCGGAAGACTTTCCTTTCCAGTGTGTTGTCGCCACGGCACCAGATGCGGCATGTGTTTGATGTGCACAAATCACGAAGAAGAACATGAGACACTGCATTCGAAAGCGTCGGCTCAACGCTGGAAGTGTGTATGAAGATCAGGAAATTCGTTATGCATACATATTCTACAAGCTCACTGAACTAGAACTACCGCTCTTAGGTTTGGCCTTCCCACTGTCGCCATCCAGCGAGACCAGACCGATCTCATCGCCGTCTTTATCAGCATGTGACACTTCGAAGGTCTTCGTGAATGTGATCGTGTGCTTGTCCCTTCCATTCTTGTCGCGGCCCAGAGCGCTTGACAGCCCGCCATTCGACGGTGCGGTGCCTTTCCCGGGTGCTCCACTCCGACTGCCATATTTCGCATAGTACTGATTCGATCTGTTGTCCGTGGTGCCGAAAACCTTGGGGAAAAACCTCACAAGAATGACTCGCATGGCAGGCATGCAGGCGCACATGATTCCAACGTTGATTTCGATCGTAGACCAGTTGATGACATCCCATTGATCCCAGGTGGGGTTCATCGACTTTCCGAAGTGGATGAGAGACTGAAGTCGAAGCGCGGAAACGATCGTAACGAAGAATCCTACACAGAACATGGCTGCGACACCAATCTTCTTCCTCCAAGCTAGTTTGAGATGTATTAGTTGGGATAGGGGTATCGCCAACATCCAGATATCCAGAGCTATGCTAACAGCAGCATTTGCCCATCCTAGAGCATTGATGTTGATGCAGGTGCCCTCGTGTTCTCCATCCCAGTTGGTCCAATAGTAGCTCAGTGGTTGACATTGACTGAGGGCAGCAATGACGAACGTGATGCCATACAATGCGTTGAATATGATCGTGGCCAAGATGACCTTCCTGACGGCGACTCCAGGAAAAATTCGACGGTAGAAGAATAGCAGCGACATTTTGAGAATCGCAACAATGGCGAAATACATGACTTCCATGATGTAGAAATACATCAAAAAGTCAGTGATTTGAGAAACCTTCAATGTCCAGATGTCCCTTCCGATACCGTTCGGCAGCAGTCCTCTATCACTGATGATTGTTTGAGGAACACCGGCGATAAGTGTTGCGAGAATAAAGTAATCGTCCAGTCCAAGCTCGGAGATCGTGACGAAGGACTTGTAAGCCAACCGGGACATGACGAAGAAACTGGAGAGGACGCCGAATGTGATGTTGATTCGCTTGAAGAGAGGACCTCTATTACGGATTGGAGCCCCGCAAGTTGTCATTGTGGTGTTCTTGGTCGCCAGTCCTTGCTTGATAGTACAAGCCTGTAGAACACATGCTTCCACTGAGCCGAGGAGCTTTGTGTCAGTGCAGATACATGCTTGATCGGTGGGCTGGCATGAGGAATCTGCAAGTGAGGTTTTCAAACATTGTACCTATTTCTGTCTTAGAAACCACATGGGAATGCTGCTATTAACAACTCACTGCACAAGGGGGCAAAGTCGCAATGGCCGCAGACAGTGACGAGTTTTGGGCCACAGTACCAGAAACAATTGACAGCAACACAAGAAGAAAGCCCGCTCCTCTCATCTTGTCGTCAAGTATTTCGTCGATTCAGTATGGGGGAAGGAGGGAGAAAAGAGATTAAGAAACACATATCAGGCAGTTTGGGAGCTTTTCTAACGTGACGCAGGTCGCCGGTCCTGACGGCAAGGTCCCTGCTCGCCAACGTAGCGTGGAGCAGCCTGGCATTGAATTAATTCACAAGTTCTCAAACGGATGAAACTTAATTAGTGCTGATGGGACGGTTCCATGACATAAAGTTGAGCCCAACAACCTTAGCGAGTGAACGGAGCGATCGCCGACTTTCTGATTCGTTGGTGCAGAGTAGTAGACAGCTTCTCGACAGTTCGATTGCAACCTAGACACCCGGCAGCCAAAAGCCGCCGCACACCGAGACGTTGCCTTTTTCGAGGCATTAGGTTTCCTTTTTAACGGTAGTGGATTTCCTCTTTTGAGAGACTGAAGATCTATCAAGGATTGATAAGATGAAGATCCAGAGAAAGAGACAGTGTAATGAATACTGAACAATAGGTTCATTTGGGCAATGTTTCATTGTGCATTATTAAGACTTCTATAGAAGCTGTAACTACAAAGCAGCAGCTGAGTTTCCGAGGTAGGATTGTCCTGGTTTCGTGAGGAGCTTGGTGTATGGTGTTGTGCTAGAGCACACAGTAGAATTCTTCCGTTTGCAGCTACGATGCCCCTAGAATTTCGAGCAATGGCCCAATCAAACGATGTCTCGCCTTCAACGGGATATTAAGAAGGTTCAAGCTTGCTGTGTAAGGCGTCTCGATATGTGGGTCGTATTCCTCCACCGTTCTATATGCGCCGGCAGTACTTCCCAAAACAATCAAGTATAGAGAAGGCGAAGAAGAGAACGTGCTCCATGCCGGACCGATGACCTAACGGAACCATGTCACCGAACGTATAGAAGTATGATGTCTAGAATTAATCTTTGGTAGCGACCGACATTAGGCAGGACGCGGAGAGTGGAAGCGAGCACCTACTCACACTTTACGACTCACGAGGAAAGCTCAATCGGCCCTGGGGCGTACGACTATCGAAATCCACATGGCATTTTTGAAGGGCAGAATAGGTAGTGGCAATAATGCTGTAGAATCTCAGGAGAGCCCAGGGAGGCGTTCGAAGTTAGAGTTTCGACATGTGGAGCGAGTGCACAGACCACCATCTTGTAGAAATGTAATCCATCTTCGCGATCAGTGTCGGATGATCTCCGCTACCCTTACCTGACATATCGGCAAATCGTTCGATATCGTATCGGCCCACTGAGTACTGAGTTCTCTCTGGGGATATCATGAATCATGCTCGTATTTTTGTAGAAGATGTCGACATCATCCCGGCATCGCATCCGACAACCTCGAAACAGACGGGACTCTGCGCAACCGAGGAATAGTTCACCATACATAGATGCTCTTAGGTTCCGCGGGCTGCGTAGCATTTTCATTGGCTTTCGCAAACATAGACGCAGGATCTATCGCTACCCGATGTTTCATATTGATCGTGTGTGACAGCCGTAGCATTACTTCGCTACGGGCTGTCGAGGGGCTGTCGAGTGGCTTTGGTCTGGCCCTGTCGAGGAGTAATGGCAATTAGGAGTATTTCGACACACAATTTTCGCCGGGATTAGCTCTGCTTTCGGCGATGAAAAGTGGGTTCAGGTATGGCTGGTCTAAAGTGCTGACGACCACACCCTACCTAACTACCCTTAGTTACTCTATAAGCTGCCTACCACTTACTTGGTACTTTGTTTCGGTACATCAGGAACCCAATGGCTCCTGAGATATCTATCGTGTAGTGCCAATCCTCCACGTGGATTGCCATATGTCCCTGCATCGTGGAGAATTCGCCGAATTTCGTGCCACTGGTGGTTCCATTGGCCGTGGGCTCTCGCGCCATGCAGAATTCACGCCGTCAATATATCTGCAGGTTTAGCTATGCTATGCTACTGGCATTTAGTTTTCTACAACCTTGATATTTTGTCTACATTGGAAGGCCTTATTGGGTCCTCCTGTCAGGGCGTTACCCATCGGAGCAACCACATGACTCTGATGGCTATACCTTGCGGAGGCGAGAGATGTGTGTACTCGGAACAGAAAGTTTGCCTTCGTGCATTAGAACCAACGATCTTGCCCTTGAGCGTGATCAGTCTCACAAACTATCTCAGACCCCGCACGAGTAACAAGAATACAGTTTGTAAATAAACTAGTCGTTATCATTTGATACATTGGAACATGCAGAAATTTGTAACTACAAACATTGATCAGTCAGGGGCTTCATGTTGGCAGTTATGGCATATTCATTAGAATAGTCGAAGCGCAAAGCCACAGTTCAATTCCAATATGATGCTAACAAGCCAATGTCTGCAAGCAATTGCGCAGCGTGCATCGCCCGCCGTGGCCCCACACTACTCACAGATAGATCCACATGGATCACATCACGAAGAGCTTCACGATCAGCCGCAGCATCGCAGCGTAGTCTCTTTGCCGTTGTTTTACCGGAAGATGCGGATCACATACACCAGTAACAAATAAATCGCCGTGTGGGTCAGTCAATTCACTTCAAGCTACGAGATAAGCCTACTCGTCCCAATCGAAGCCGGGCGTCCCCGGCGGGAGACTCCACGTCACTGGTGCCTTTTAATACTGCTGATCAGCATCGTGCTCTGCACCTAATCCCTCGACACTTCACGCCCAGACATCGGCCTTGCTAGTCCTCTCTTGAGCTTCTTGCTTCCAGCAGAAGTGCCATTACCCTTTGGGCCCTCGAAGAGAGCACTGACCTTTCCGAAAACATCGGTCGTGTACACATTGGTTGGAGCATCATAATCGACAGTGAAGAGCGACACGCTTACGCCTCCGCCATTCACGATCCAAGTCTCTCCGGGCAGACTGCAATCTCCATTCCAGCAAGCGTTGACTCCGGCCGGCTTTGGAAGCGCAAAGTCCCAGTCGAACAGGCCAGTCTCCTCGTCATATGCCGCGATATCGGTATCGGCTTCTCCAGTCAGGCGGGTCTGGTAGATCGGCGGCTCCTCGTCGTTGTCCAGCGGGGGGATGTTGACATTGACACCATACCCAAGAGGCAGCACACTTTGACCCTCGGGAGTGCTCTCGATGAACTCTTGGACAACTTTGAAGGAGGCCTTTGCCGTCCATGTGGCTGGGTTGCTGGTGTTCTTAACGTCTGAGTAGGCAATTCGGTCGTTCGATGCACTAATCGCGATACCCGGAACACTCCTCGATACCGCGGCATATGTTGATCCAATGGTACCACTCAGAGTAAACACAAAAGGACCAAGGTTGACACCGAAGTTAGGACCAGCAACAAAGACGTCGGGGCCATACTTCCAATCCTTGTAGTATCGAGGAATAACGTAGTCCAAGCCGACAAAGGTGCACGCGGCCGGAGTGCCATTGTAATACCAGATGTTGGAATCGTTGGGATCGGTTCCTACAGATGGTGCACCAGCGGGCACAATGTCATATTGGGACGGAGCTGTGAGGTTTGCTTCGGTGGTGAATTCTGTAAGACCTCCCTGGCCCGATTGCTGGGTAGCTGGGGCGACAATCACGACTGCGTATTGCTCAGTCGGTTTGCCATGTGGACAACGATGATTGGGAAAGCTCAGGGCGTACCTTCGTGACCTGCCTCCTTCAACAGTCTGTACAGCTCTCGAGTGTTTCCACTTCCGAACCCATCGTCATTGTTGAGCAAGATACGAGCAGCGTTGGATGCACATGCTAGCGAGAGCGCTGCCACCAACCCAGACACTGTAGAAAACCGCATGACTCTGAACTTGACGAAAAATTGATAGCCGTTATCACTGATCTACTGACGACAGCAATTGATGCAATGCTAGAATGATGAGGTGGGATCTTTTTAAACTCAACAAGCTTTTTCTTCCAAGGTCTGACATCACAGATTTTTGCACCCACGCTGCCGATGTCGCGTGCTCTCTATCCCTAATAGAGGACTGATTACGATGATAACATGCGCTATCTGCAGGCACGCGAGAGCCAACGTACCGGCTGGCCCGAATACAGGGTTTGAATGCACGGGAGCTTTGCCCGAATATGCACACCAAAGGTTCGATGTTGACAGGTGCGTACTAGGGGGCTAGGCGAGGACGGGAAGCATCGTATTCTCGGGAAGAGTTGGAGTAATAGCAGCAAATTGGTCATGTTCGCTCATTATTATTTAATCAGCTTTAACCATACTTCAAGCTTGCTCTTCTACTGGCAATCGCAATGTTTGATCAATAAATCATATAGGTGGCGATGTTCAACGCCATAGTTTCAGAACTTCCAAATTAGTTTACAGAAAGGCACTCCATGTTTGCCCGCTCATCATCCACTCTTTCCCTCCTTGGAATTTTGGTTTACGGCCCCCAGAGCCAATCAAGCTGATGTACAGGACGACTAAACGTCGAAAGAAGAAAGGGCCAAATGAAAGTAGGAAAATTTGGCCTCTCGGCCGCGAAATACCTTACATTTATGTGTTTGCCAATCACCAAGCATCAACACTGAATGACTCCTCAGAGAACTGTGTAGCCACAACAGTGCGGCTAGCAAATTGCCTTCCTGCGAGGGCCTTGATAGCTTTTTGAGCCGAGTCGGAATCTGCGTACTTGATGAAGATCTTGCCCACCCCTGGGTTGGCGCGTGCGCCCGTCGGTCGGGGAATTTTGACTTCGAGAATCTGGCCATACTTGCCACATTCTTCTTCAACGTCTTCCTTGATTTCTATGATGTAAAGTTAGCAACCGCTATGGTCAACAGAAAGAGATTCACGCACCTTCGTAGGTCTCACTATCCAACAGCTCGTCGTGGGTGACCATATTGAGGAGCATCACTACACGACTGACATCTTGGCCCTCACTTGCAGAGGACCCAGCCAACATGGAGATGGCGCCGACACCGCCATCCAGACCTGCTGCCTGTGTGACACCAACCGAAGCGCGTTGGACTTTGAGATTTGTGTCGCCGAGGGCGATCGTGTTTAGACCTTCTATGACCTGGCCCATAGTGTCCGTTTGCACGTACTCGCAGAAGGCAACCCCCTAAATGTGTTAGTCGAGATGCAGATTATGTATGCAAAAAGAGCTTACCCTGCTTTGATCAGAACTTGTGTCCTTCACCATTATGAATGACTTCAAGGGACCGAATGCTTCGAGAAGCTCCCTGATCTGAGCGTCATCAACGTAAGTGGGGATGTTTCCGATGCTCAATTTATTAGGACTATCCAACACAATGGATGAGATTTGGCCTTCGACATAATCGCTCTCCTCGCTGCTTGTTGGGACGATGTAATCTTTGGGTCGACGAATGGAGAGGCCTGACCTATCGGGCCCACCTGCGTCGTCCTCCATCGATATGCCATCCAATGCCAATGCCATGGTCGCATCTTCAGGCGTCTTGAATTCAAGCAAGCCATATTCTTTGTCTGATGAAAGCTGCGCAGAGACGCAGGGATCGGGACCAGACACGACATTAAGCCCATTCAGTTGCAGGTTGAAGAAACTCGAAAGAGCGTCCGAAGTAGCATTGCTCGGAAGGTTGTAGACGAAAAGCCGCTTGGCCTGCTTGGCATTTGAAGGTTGAAGTGCTGCAGCAGTCGCCGACCCTGCGGAAGGAGAGATAAACGCAGCGAGGCGTGTGGGATCCATGGGTGCAGCGCGAGGAGCGCCTGGGAGGGGAAACATGCCGGACAGCTTCGCTTGCTCGGCGGTGATATTGTCATAGCCAGATGGCTTGATGTCCCACTGAGTCATTCGGCGTTGACGCTTCTGAATTGAAGTGACATCCGTGAGATCGGGAGTTGGTTCTCGTTTCTTTGCTGGCGGAGATGCTGACTTCTTCCTGTCTCGCCCACCAAATCCTCCATCACGGTCGCCGCGATCCCTCCTGCCCCGACCACTGCGATCGTCATGGTTATCTCGATCGCGGCGACCGTAGCCGCGATCTTCGTCTCGTCGAGGATTATCGCGCCTTGAGTAAGAATCGCCCCAGTCCCGGTCATCACGGCGTTCACGTCGGGCATACGTATCTTCGCGTTCTCGTTCACGATAGTTTCGACTCGAGGAGTAAGTGTCAACTTCGTAATCGCGTCTAGAGCCGCGATGAGGTGACCTTGAACGACGGCGACGGCGCCCATCGCGGTCGTCTCGACGATCGTCTCGCGAGGACTAGGTTGTTAGTGATTGAGAAGATATGTGCTATATGTCGACAGGTACTTACATAACCACGCGATCCACCTGATCTACCAGAGTCTGTGTTTGTTAGTGAACGTCTTTCGTAACTGCGACACAAGTCAGCTGAACTTGTCCTCTATGAACAACCTACCTCTGGGATAAGCGTCACCGTTCATGTTGGCGATGGGCGTTGCTTCTTGTTTGCAGGGAGCGCGGTCGCGCAAGTGCAGCCCTGTCGCGAAAAGGTTTCGAGTCTGGTCGTGATGGACTAGAACTGTCCGTACGGATGCAACAATTCTAGAGAACGAAAAGATAATAAGAGCTGTCAATACGAGTGGAGGGGAAGTTCTGTTGGAGGAACTTCCAGATAATGTTATGCGAATGAAAGGTCGTTGCGCAACAGCCTACAGGTGCTCCCAGAAAGAGCCGACTGGTTTTTCCGACCCGCGCCAAGCTACAGCATGGAAGTGAACTTGAGCGCGTTTCCGTCTTGGAACGCTCACTGTTACCGCGGCTCAAGCGATGTTTTTACCATGCGGGTGACTGAATGGCATAAATTGCCTGTTAGTTTGACAGAACTTTGCATCAATACCAGTCTTCGTTGTGGCCAATCTTTCAGGTACTTACATGATTGATACCCCTAACTCAGCCGCTTTATCACCAAACTTAAGTTAACATTTGGTAGATGGAGAAAATCAACGGAAGACGAGTGGTCTTGCGGGCTACATGGTCGCATATTGTCGTTACGACAAGACTCTGAATATCTCCACTATCGTGCGATATTTCCCTCGACTAAACCCCCAACTCCTCCATCGTCCACCGCGACGTCTGCCGCGCAATCAGTAGAAGCCGACGAGGATGATACTCTTGCTTTCGTGAAGCACTACCTAAATCTTGGGCCAAATCTTGGACAACTCTATGAACAATGGGCATCTACAGATCCTAATTTTAGGAAACGCGCACCTAAGTTCACCGGCGTTCGGATGTTGCGACAAGACCCATGGGAGGCGCTCATTGGGTTTATCTGCAGCAGCAACAATAACATATCGAGGATATCAAGCATGGTCTCAAATCTCTGCCTTCATTACGGACCGCTTATTGGACATATTGATAATGTACCATACCATGACTTTCCTACACCTGAAGCACTTGCGGATCCCAAGGTCGAAGCGCATCTTATGAAGCTGGGCTTTGGGTATCGCGCGAAATACATATACAAGACTGCAGTGATGGTAGCCAGTAAAGGTGATGGAATTGCTTGGCTCAATGGTCTCTGCAATCCTGAACTACCTGCTTTCGGGGAAAGGATTGGGGAGGCGGGTGAACTCGTGGAAGGGGGAAGAGATGGCTACCGAAAAGCCCACGAAGAACTGCTAGCGCTTCACGGCGTCGGACCCAAAGTGGCTGACTGCGTCTGCCTCATGGGACTAGGCTGGTCTGAATCAGTGCCTGTCGATACCCATGTTTGGCAAATCGCCCAACGAGACTACCGATTTGGGAAGGGGAGGAATAGCAGTCTCACGGCAGCTACCTACACGGCCGTCGCAAATCATTTTCGCAAGCTGTGGGGCAAAGAAGCGGGCTGGGCACACTCCGTTCTATTCACCGCAGACTTGAAGGCCTTTTCCGAGCGCCTTGTAGAAAAGAAGGTGAAGGAAGAAGAAAACGTCATAAAGGAAGAGGCGGACGAGCCAACTGTTCACAATGTGCATATAAAAACGTCGACATCTCGGAAGCGAATCCAGCCAGCGTCAGGAGACAAAGAACATGATGTCATAAAGGTCGAAGAAAAGGTGGTGAGAAGAAGTAAGAGAATGAGAAACTAGAGAGCACTCGTTAGCTCTTATCTCACTTATTCCCATGCACTCATTTTCGCTTTTGGTGTATATGAGCACCTTATCTCTTCATGGTGCGTGTCTTCCGGAAACTTGGTGTACGAAAGGAGCGCAAAATTCGTTCTATCTAGATACCTGAAATGTTGTTTGATAGAGGCTGCAATTAGGCGGCTTGAAAATGTTTACCGCTCGTTCCAAGTATTCTCAGATTGAAGACCTTGCTTCAATGTGAGACTAAAGAGCCCAATAACCAAATGTTTAGGCTGCAATGCTTGTTGCAAGCATCGTGCTGTCTGCAAGACGTGCTCAATGTGCGGCAACAATCGCTCTTTGTTCCTTCTATATAACGCTCGTTCGCAAGCCAGTTGTTGTTTAGTACTTGAATTTTTATACAATGATTCTTTGCAAACATGCACCTTGTGCAACACGCCGTGATGCGACCAAACTTTCATATCATAAGGGGTAAGCAGCGTTCAATTGTCCACATTTCGTGCTTCACTATGCGAACAAATCACATTTACTTAGCCATTAGAGTCCCATTTCATTGTAATTAGCGCATCTGCTGTCAAACTACGGACCGGGAAAAGCTATAGCTGGTAGCAACTATATATATCAATCAACATAACGGAACAGTGGTTAGATGCACACGCGCGATACCTTCCGTCAAACGCATCGATAAACTTTTGTACGTGAGCAACCTAAGATATGAATACCTCCCTAGAACGGTCTATTCCGGAAGATTTGGACACAGAAGATGATTTGAAAGAAGGGGATGTCAACGAAACCAATCAATGCGGAGATAATTTCAACGAAGAAGCTGTCGACCATGACTTATCCGATAAGACTCCTTTCAACGAAAACGACAGTCATAGTCCTATAGCATTATTGGAACGGTCACGTCTTGGTCAATCTCTACTCCGTAAACTAGCCGATGACATCGAGGCGCATTGTCCTTTGCCAGTCCCCAACAAACAACCCCTCAGGGAAACAACAATTGTTCAAAAGCGTTATTCTCGATTTGAAAACCTACCGTATGAAATACGTTTCATTATATACAGCTATCTTGGCTGGCCCGAATCAGGGAGGATATGGGTTCCTCTTTGGTACGATCCAAACCTCGAGATACGCGCCCAGGCATCGAACGTCGAATTATGTCAATATGGAAGATCCATAGAGGATCTCCTGACGTTCGAATGTACGAATAGAATTACAAGTCGCCGTCTGTTCCCCCTTACAGAACCAGAGCCTGCATTGCTCTCCATCTGCACATCGATCCGAGAAGATATTCTCCGACGTAGTCTGGGAAGCATTACGGTAAAGGCCAAGTTCGAACTGAGTCATAGGAATGTTTTAAATCACAACTGTCATAACTGCAATGGCGATGATATGCCTCGACCTCCAGGCGGTAAGAAACTTTTGCGATTACCCGCCACGGTATTCAGTTATATTACTTCCATTCACCTGGATCATTCCGTCGGTTACCCATCTTTCATCGATACGGCGGCGTATGATTCTTTCCCGGGTGAGCAGAATGCATTTTTGAGGGGCCGTTGTCTTCGAGTAGTTCCAGAACATCCTCTTTACGCCAGAAGGGTATTATTGAAACAAGCAAGCACTATAAAATTTCTGTCGGTATATTGTCCCGCACTTGTCACTTTACGTCTGGAGCCGTACCTCAACATGGTTCCGTTTAGTTATCAGCAATGCACAGTGGCAGAAGAGACATTAAACCCCTTGACGATTGCACTAGAAGAACTGGTATCTGGATGCCGAAGTTTGAGAACTCTGGAAATCCCACGTTACCGGGATTTTGATCCAACAGTAGGGCTAGAGCCATTTGATCCGCGTACTTCGATTATAATCGAGCGCTTGGATCTAAATGTCCCCGAGCTCGAAAAGAAGCAATGGGCGAAGGCCTGGATTGAGAAGATTCTGGATCAATTAAACCCAGTCTGGCGCCCTACAGGTGTTACTTACTGAAAGTCATCAACTTTGTCTTTAATTTTGTTTTCGATTTTGTTTTCATTCATCGAATATACTTGATCAAGTGGCCTGTTGTACTATTTGGAAACATCGCTATGAACAGTGGGCGTACCTCAAACTGTTCAAAGATGATGGAGAACATTATCATAGTAACCCCTTCAGACATACCTTGACTTTACACTAGCCAAGTTCATATCATGTTCCTCGTGTGTATAATCACTGTTTTCCTTTCACGTATCTTCACCATTTATGACGAATGATTTGTAAAAATCAAGTAAGCTTACTTTAAAGATAAAGAACAATTAACAAAGAAGTACCCATCTCTTGATATCATTACTCATCAGTGATGAACGATGAGTGTTCGCCGTGTTAGCGTAAACATTCAATCAGTCATCGATTGTCCTATTGGCGTTGAGAACACGTCTAATTATTTGCTTATGTTGTGTAGATCTTTCAAGACCTTGTTCTTCTGGCTCTCATCGCTCCAACGCTTTCGAGGCAACTCAAATGTAGAAGTTATGCGCCCATACGACATGCCACCAAGCTGAGCAACTGGTCTTAACGTGTCTAGATTAATATTGCTAACGTCCGCGTTCGTAGCATCTTCCCTAACCCAAAACCTTGTTGCTTGGATCAGGACAATACCTGCAGCGCTCGTTCCATCTTCTGCATGGTTACCGACCTCTTTGATATCTGTAACTTTTCCTTCAACCGAGAAAATCGACTCCGCTACCCTCGATGGACGCACAGTAGTGGTTGGTGCTTCATGAAGTCCTGAGATATCCCATTCAGACACACCGTATGGAGCGTCTAAGGACGTTGCGTTAACGGCTTCAATCATGTGCTCGGAGACAGTGTTGATAACGCATTCTCCCGTCTCTTTCAAGTTCCGATACGTATCTTTGATTCTACCAGAGCGCGCGGAAAATCCTATCACGAATGTAGGAGGATCATGGTCAACGACCTGGAAGTAGCTCATTGGAGCGAGGTTTTTGACGCCATCCTTGGACATGGTGCTGACGAAACCAATGGGTCGTGGCGCAATGCCAGCTATGAGGAGACGGTAATTGTTGATCATTGGTCGATCTGACGCATAGGGATCTACTTCAACATGGCGGCTGGCAGCTTCATAGCTTCCAATGCCATCGCTGTATTGCCAATCGGGATTGGGGTGTTTGGTCACTTCGATAGATTTCTTGGAATGATCGAAATCGGGACGAGTAGATTGTGTTTGTTCAAAATTTCCAGCATTGCCTACAATCTGGTTGGTAGTCTGGTCGCTAAGTGCTTCTTTTGCACAGTTAGGGTTTGATATCGACGCGTAGTTTCGGACTGTTGATGACATTGAGCATGCTGGTCTATACCTTGTGATAAGCAACAGTAATTTTTATAAAAGGCATGTGCAACTATTCACCTTTGTATATTGTCCACTATGCTACACTTGGCATGCAGAGGTTGGGACTTGAGGATGACTGCCCGGCGTATAGCAGCGGCTGGCCCCCGATGTAACATCGCGAAATGTACAGCGCTTCAACTGTACGTATATTTGTGTAGATGAGAACGAGCTTCTCTAGTAATTGCACAATTTAATTATAAGTGCCTCGAGATGTTTTGTATAAATGCGACTCTATCTTCTCTCAATTGGATCATAAATGGGTAGAATCGGCTCAATGAAATACATTATTAATTCCCATCTTCATGCCGGAATCGGAGTTCAATTGGACCATAGGAGTAACCCCTCCAAAAGTCCATTGCGGAATACTAGAAAATCTTAGCGTGTGAAGAGTGCATCCGTAGATAGCGAGCATGACGTGTCTGGCAAACGGTCGGCTGTCTTCCCGATCTTGTCGTGTAATCGATACCCGATGAGTTAATCATTTTACTGCCTATTGTTGACTTAAGTACGTCTTGGGAACTATAGCTTTGTACCTCGTACATAGTCTAGTCTGCTAGGATCCTTCGTCTTACATGAACATAGACATTAGAAGTGATAGGTGAAAAGCTTGTTCTGAGCAACTATACTGCGTAATGATGCCTCTTTTCGTGGCGGTGGAAACGCGTGGCGAAAACGTGATAGAAAAACGTGACAGCGCGTTGCCTCTTTCTTGGCACCGAGGGTTCACTGGTGAACCATTATTCTCCAGTTCAAGCACTTCTCTCCACCCTCTTACAGCATGATTTTGTGATGATTCTCCTAGATGTTTCGAAATCCCCGCGAAAATCGTCACCTTGACCCATCCACCCCTTCACTTCCATCAGTTGGCCGCCCTCCTTCGCCACCCCGCTTCGATCGACGCCCTATTCTTCCCGCCATGACGACTAAATCCAGTTCAAAGGCCGTCCCTACAAGATCAAAGTCCAATGTTTCGAAACCACAGATGTCACAAACCACACTCGTACCTGGTAGTTGGGGGAAGAAAAGTCCAGCGAATGGCGGATTGAAGGGCAAGCCAAAGGCGGCACAGAACGGCAACATCATGGCGTTTTTCAAGAAAGCAGAGGAGCAAAACAATACTCTCTTTCTGAGAGAGCGGGGTGGAACAAATAATTCCATTGGACTGGGGGAAACGGAAGAGGATATCGGGTGGGACGATCACGTCGCCAATGGCTCGACGGATACAGCCCATGCTGGTGGAGAAAGATATAATGAAATTGCTGGAAGCAACAAGAAGCGGAAAGTGAGCGAAGACATGGCCGTCACAGCATGCTCTCCCCCGCCACCAGAAGATGGGAACGCGGCGCAACCAGTTGGTCCAATTCCCCTTACTGCTGTAGAAAGTACGAAGATTACAAAGAAGACTGGTCCTTTTCTCGATGACTCCGACTCAGAGACCGATGAAATGCCAATTAAAGGAAGAGGTACGAACACATCACCAAAACCGTCTATGCTCTCCATGGATTCTAAATCAATCGAATCGACTAGCGTAATCGACAATCAACTAGACCCTTTTGCGAAACCCGAGTGCCCATCGCTGGTGAAGATAGAGACCACATCGGGAATTGGAGAGGGAGATTTTGACGATTTTGAGGGTCTGGAAGAAGAAGAAGATCTAGAGGGTGAAGAATACGACGAGAGACGGTGGATGGAAGAGCAACAAAAGCTTGAAATGGCACAAGCTGCCCTGGAGAATGACTTTGACGACAGAGAGGTACCTGCAATGTTTCCAACCACCGACACTTCAGATTTTCAGTTCAAGGTTGAAGAAAGTGCGGCGACAACTTGCCCAATTTGCAACGCACCACTCGGAGACATGAACGAACAGGACATCCTGGTACACGTCAATGGCTGTCTGGATGGCAATACTGGGAATCCATCCATTGCCGACTCTCCGAGGAAGGAAATGACACCAACTCCGGGCAACGGTCACAAGATGTTCAAACGCCCTGATCGTCCTGCCCGTCCAGGACAAGATAACCCCTTCATGTTGGGGGAATCGAGTGTTCAGCCTAAGTCTGCCTTTTCAAGGCTTATGGCAGGCCATGCTGAGGATGCTGCATGGGCGACTGCTGCTTCGGCGGAGTCGTCAGCCCGTGGAAAGCCATTTTATGAACGTACGTGTCCGTTCTACAAGATCCTGCCAGGGTTTTACATATGTGTGGACGCTTTTCGATACGGCGCTGTGAAAGGTCAACATGCCTATTTCCTCAGCCATTTCCACAGTGACCATTACGTGGGTTTGACTAAGTCCTGGTCCCACGGTCCAATTTATTGCAGCAAAGTTACCGCGAACCTTGTTCGACAACAACTTCGCGTCGACCCAAAATGGGTAATTGATCTTGAATTTGAGAAAAAGGTGGAGATACCTGGTACCGAGGGCGTTCAAGTTACCATGATACCGGCGAATCATTGCCCAGGAAGCTCATTATTTCTGTTCGAGAAGGCGATGGGCAAGGGCAAGAACCCTAAGTTACAGCGAGTTCTTCACTGCGGTGACTTTCGCGCATGTCAAGCGCACATAGAACATCCACTTCTGAAGCCCGAAGTTATCGATTCTTTGAGTGGCCAAGGAAGGCAACAGAAACTCGACGTTTGCTACCTTGATACAACCTACCTCAACCCGAAATATGCATTTCCGCCCCAGGAGCAGGTCATACAGGCCTGCGCAGATATGTGTGTTAGTCTCAACAAGGAACGAGCAGAGGAGAGCGATGCATGGGAGCAAGTCAAACGTGACCGAGCAGGTCAAGGCATGGTCAAATTCGTTCGCAAAGACAGCCAAGCAGAGGAAACAGTGGAAGGCCGGGACGATGAAGAGGATGTGGATGCAATGAAAATAACCAAATCAGGTTCAACTAAGAAGCGCGGTCGACTCCTGGTGGTTGTGGGCACATATAGTATCGGAAAAGAGCGAATATGCATGGGCATTGCTAAAGCACTAGGAAGCAAGATATACGCGCCACCAAACAAGCAACGCATCTGCCACGCGCTTGAAGACCCGGAACTTGATGCGCTCTTAACAAATGACCCTCGAGACGCCCAGGTACACATGACTCCCTTGTTCGAAATTCGCGCCGAAACCCTTGACGACTACCTTCGTGATTACCGGGATTGCTTTTCTCGGACCGTGGGCTTCAGACCGTCTGGCTGGAACTATAGACCACCTAAGAGCAGGTTTACAGAGAGTCCAACCATACAAACAGTTTTACATTCCGAAAACTGGAAGAGTCAGTTCACTATGCAAGATCTGAATCCTCAACCGGGTAGTACAAAGCGTGCAAGTTGTTTTGGTGTACCATACAGCGAACACAGCAGTTTTCGAGAGCTGACCATGTTCTGTTGTGCCCTCCGAATCGACAAGATCATTCCAACAGTCAATGTTGGCAGTGCAAAAAGTCGCGAGAAGATGAAGTCATGGTGCGAGAAATGGGCACAGGAGAAGAAGAAAAATGGCTTGTTCAAGTTAGAAGGAGCAGGAACCTGGTAGAAAAATATAACACCGATATCCATACACCTATGCATAAGTCTTACAATAAAAAAACACCAATTCCCCACGGTCTCGCCGTTTTCGATCACACTTTGCCTGTGAGGTATCGAACGTTCTGTGGATAGCTTGGACCTCGACCCCACTGCGAGGAAGCCACATATTTCCACAGATTCCTTCCAAATTCCTCATTGTGGTTGCTTCGAGTTACCATCAATCTGCATGAACACCATCAAAACTGCAGCATATGCTGCACTGGACGCAACGACCTCAAAAGGCCGATTCACTGTCGCCAATGCCATGGAGCCCATGAAGCAAGCGAGGAAAACGGTAATGATCGTAAGTCTGATGATACTGTTGGACACGAATTCCAGCCACCACATGGGCCCGAGCAGCATGCACAATCCCAAAATGATGATGCTTCCGGTGCTGAGATTATCTAATGCAGCGTCACTGGAATAGTGTGTGTTGCCGGAGTTTGATTGATAGCTTGGGTCAGCTTTGGATTCCACCATCCGACTCAGACGGATCAATCGAGTTCGTTCTAGCAATTTGCCCAAGGGTGTTGATGGATGAGGATTGATCGATATCAAATCCGCCTTATGATTAGCAAATTTCCTCTCTGGTTCAGCAACGGCCTTTCTTTTGAGAAAGGTTTCAAGGTTTCGAATTTGTCGGTCTTCCGCTCTTGGGCGGTCTCGAATCTTGGAGAATGTCTCAACATATTGGTCTGTTCGAGAGTGAGTTGGACATCGAGGAATGCGATGCTTGAACAGATGGATGGGCTATAGAGACTTACTGTAATGATGGAGCACAGTTGTCAACTCGCACATTAGTCGGTCTCTTTCAGGCTCGTTCTTCATGTCCCAAGAGAAACTGCCGTTATTCCTCTGTCCTTCTGTGTTCTCATTGTTTGCATGTATCTGTTCAAGACGCTCCTCGATCTTTACGATGCGATTCTGCATGTACAATATAACATGTGCATTCAGACTTTGGAACCTTCTGATTACGAAGAAGTCATCGTCGGACGCCATCCATTTGCTGAATTCTTGGTAACCCTCATACTTCCAGGCCTTCTTCCTCTTCGCAGTAGCATCAGGAGTGGGATATATACTGGTATCTGGTGGCTTTGGGATGTTCTGGAGCTCAATTGGAAATGATGCTATGAATGGTGCGGCAATGCCGGAAGTCACTGGTGGTGGAAGATTCATCTCGTCCTGAAATCATGAAGGAAAGGGTTAGGAAGAGTAAGTTTCATTCCGTTTAGGAAGACTTATATCATACAAGTAGGCTGTGCAGCCTGTCCCCCCGTTCTGCGACACCATTGGAGCGGCTGCGCACTTCTCGACCCCATGTAGATACCCGAGTCCTTCAACCCATGACTGGCACAAGGCTGAGTCTCAGCCTATGGACCACCCATCATCCATGCAATCACATGCATCAGCATAGATGAATCGGTGATTAACGATAAGTGGCGCGAAGTCGTCAGTTAGGTTCGACTTGAGAACTTCCAGCCTTGTGTAAGGCATAATATTGAGCTGCAACACTGCACAAGTTCGCCTGTCGCCTGATTGAATGCAGCTGAACACTACATAAGAGAGGTGTGTCCCAGCCTGAATCGCTGCCTCGTCTCATCCCACCAAGTGTCAGCCTCATTCCATTGCTGCTATCCTATATTATACTGCCACTTTGCAATCCGGTGTCTGAAGTAAAGCAACCGGTCAAGCCACATTCATCACAATGGAGCCTCTACGGAAATGGAAAAGAACCAGGGATGTTATCAGAGCTACGCAACAAATCGCAAGAAAGGGCGATGAATCACTTCATCCTGACTATATTGACGCCGAAGAGCCACCCGAGGACGACTTCGATCCAAGACCGTATGGACCGCAACAAGGTAATGCGTACAATTCCCAGCAAGGCTATCAGAACCATCCACAAAATGTGCAACACGCACAGTATCCAAACAACCCCGGCCCCTACGGAGGTGCGCATCAAAACCAGGCCTTTCCATACAATCAACAGCCATACCAAAACGCGCAATGGGCCTCTCAGACAGCGCATCAAAATCCCGTACATCATCAGCAGTCTGCATACGCGGGCCATCCGTCCTATAACCAGGTGCCACAGAATCATGGAACACAGTATGGCCGGCCATCATTCGATTCGAATCCCGGCTCCAATGGCCAACAGTACGACTACAACCAGAACCCGAGCCAGCCAGGTTCATCTCCCCCAATGCCTCAAAACTTCTCATCTCCGCCCTATCAGCAGAGTCCACCACCACTTCATTCAGCGTGGTCCGACCCCAACGTACCACAATCCTCTCCACCAAACCCTCCAGAGCGTGCTTTGACTTATCCACCTCCGGATCGAGAATCCAGTCCCTCTCTGCCAAGTCAGCGGACTTGGACAATGCCAGTAGGTGGTACGTGGTGTGTGCACAATAATTACGTTGACGGGTAGGTGTCCCTCATTTTTGAACATGACACGGGATCATTCTGACTTGGAGTTAGGGTGTCCAAATGCCCCCACTGTTACGGATAACCATATCTCTTTTCGAGACGTAGAGATTCACGAGTGAAGTGAAGCGATCATTCATACCTAAGAGTGTGCATATTTGATTGCGTCATTATTTGAGGAAAGATGCTGAGCCACGTATGCCTTGCCATTGCTATTGGAGGAGATTCAAAATTGATATACACGAACATGCAGAGGGACGTCGAAAAGTACCTTGAATCAAAATTGGCAAGGGCATATCTTTCGGTCATATCATATATCTGGATTTTCTTTTGTTTCTTTGAACCCTTTCAATTGCTTCGGCAACATATACCATTTACGGAGGCATAGCTACTGGAGCGTCGGCGTGCAGGTCCTCATGATTTCGGGTTTCTCATTGAAATTTCAATTGAAGAAGTTCACCGGAGAAGTTTCGAATACTTTATTCCATATTTCCGTTGTAATGAGAGAGTCTATAAATTGCTCATGAGTCTTCCCATATTAATGTATGCCCAAAAAGAACAATATCCATTGATCAAATATAGTTAGCGTCGGAATGCGTGTGCCTAGCATCGGATTAAATGCAACCATGATCATCGCCCCACGTTTGTTTGCTCTCCGATTAGATTACATCAACTTGTACAAACAACTGTCTCCATGCCTCCATCACACTTCACTTCGTGCATTCGAATCGCCAGTACGTGGATCAGGCCACCTACTGCTCGACTGATCTCACCAATTCCCAGCATATCATCCATTGCGTCTTCCAGCAACTAGACTGCGATCCTCTCTATCTGTTCCCAATCCCAGTGCGAACAGCTCAAGAAGACTTCACATCACCCCGAAACGCTTCAACATGTCAGACTTTGCGGCCTACACTGCTAATGGTGCAAAGACTGCTACGCAGCAAGAACCCATAATCAATGGCAATGCATGGGACACTCAGACCAACCCCGCGGCCTTCGATTTCCGTTCCGATGTCACCACCAAGCCAACTGCTTCCATGCTGGCCGCTATCCAGCAATGCACTCTTCTTGACGACGTTTTCATGGAGGACCCAACAACGCAATCACTAGAGAAATTCATTGCGGACCTCACCGGCCACGAATCTGCATTGTTGGTGCTATCGGGCACGATGGGCAATCAAGTCGCATTACGCGCGCACCTCACCACACCACCCCACGCCGTTCTGTGCGATAGGAGAGGACATATTATAAATTATGAAGCTGGAGGCGTGGCAACGTTGAGCCAGGCAATGGTCCAGCCTCTCGACCCCAAGAACGGCGCATACTTGACCCTCGAGGAGATCCAGGAACATGCCGTGATCTCTGATGACGTGCATGCATGCCCTACCCGCGTTATAGAGCTTGAGAATACACTAAACGGCGCCCTCATGCCTCTGTCAGAAGTCCAGAGGATCTCAAGGTGGGCGCGGGAGAATGGCATCATCGTACACTTGGACGGTGCTCGGCTTTGGGAGGCCGTCGCTGCGGGTGCTGGTACACTCAAAGAGTTCTGTCAAGAGGTAGACAGTGTGAGTCTGTGCTTCAGCAAGGGCCTTGGTGCTCCCATCGGCTCGATCATTGTAGGATCTTCCGAGTTCATCAAGCGTTCGCGCTGGATCCGAAAGTCCATCGGAGGAGGCTTGCGTCAAGCTGGTGTTGTCGCTGCGCCCGCTCGTGTAGCAGTTGAGGAGACCTTCCTTGGTGGTAAACTTGCACAGACACATATCAAGGCTAAGAAGCTCGAGAAGGCTTGGGCTGACTTGGGCGGCCGAGCGAAATACCCGGTAGATACCAACATGGTCTGGTTGGAGGCTGATGGGGTCACCATCAGCGATCCCCGATGGACGGAGCTCGGGCAGAAGTATGGTCTTAGGATGATGGGTGGGCGATTAGTCGTGCACTATCAGATCACCGATGAAGCCATTGAGAGGGCTATTCAGGTCTTCAAGGAGATTGTCACAGGGGAACAAGGTAGCTTCAGAAGCAAGGACGCCGAGTTCAACAATGAGGACATGGCCCTCAAAGGAAAGGGTGTTGAGTAGTCTAAATGAATTATACTACCTGATATGAAACTTGTTCAAAAGACATCTTTTCTGGTGCCACGTTGTCATAGTTCACTACAAAGCGATAAGATTTTGGATAATCCACCAGGCATGTCGCCACAATGGGGAGGCAGAGCTGGAAGCAGATGGTTCACCCTGGTGGTGAAGCTACGGGCCACAAAGAATGGCCTTATACATTGTACCATCTTACTAGTCATATTCAGCATGATATCACTGGGAGAGATGCCTCCAGAGAATAAGCAACTCCCTGAGGTACACCACGCGCAAAGACATATAAGCCCATAGGGTAAACGTTGTGAATAATTTATTTTGTACAAGAAAGTATGTCGGAGTAATAATATATACAAGAATGTTCTCTACTGAACTCTACTCAACGGTTCGAGTGTGCATTTACAAGCACTGCGAGTAGTAGTCGTTGTGCTTCACGCATTTCAGATCAGCCTGGCAGAGGGTAGTACCCTTCCATCCGTTGCCACCACTAGAATATTGTTAGTCGAAGAGTACATAGATGTTTGATCTGAGTTACTACTTACCACTGGTAGTACTTGGCTGCGGCGGAGAGGCCTGTTGTGCCGCTAGGGGCAGGGACAGCGATGACGGAGGTAGTGTTGAAGCCAGAGGGAGAAGGAACAGCAACGACGGAGGTGGTGTTAAAGCCCAGGGCAGTGGAAGTCACAAAAGTGGATGGGAGTCCAGGCAAAGAGGTGATAGGAGCAAGTGTTGCTGGAGGCTGGGTAGCTGAGGGTGCAGTGGCCGTAGCATTGGCTGAAGGCGCTGCAGTAGACTGAGGAAGGGCGACGAGGCTGGAAGATGAAGGGGCGTCGACAACTGGAGAAGATGAAGGGGCTTCGGCAACTGGAGAAGATGAAGGGGCTTCGGCAACTGGAGAAGATGAAGGGACAGGCACAGGCACAGCAGAGCTGACGGGTTTGCCAGATCCAGATCCACCGCAAGTGGCAACGGGACCACCTGGGGCAGTGTAGTTGGTAGGATCGAAGCCGTTATAGACGTTGGGGATGTAGATGTTGGGGTCCTCCGCCTTGTATGCACCGGGAAGGGAGATGGTTGGGCCACAAGATCCCTCACTGCCTGTACCAGTGATCTTCAACTGGGCGCAGCCAATGTAGAACTGGCCGCCATTGAGGTTCTGAGATGCGTGAAGACCGAGCATTTCGGATCGAAGCTATTCATCGTTCGATTAGCAGATGTTCAAGTGAGATGCATTCATTGTCAAAGGGCTCCCTTACCAGATACTCTCCGCTTGCCAGACCAGTGGGGAGCTTGAATTCATGGGTCATGTCGTTCGCACCCATGATCTCGTTCGCCCACTTTCCATCAACATAGTCAAGCTCGTCAATCTTGAACCATCCAGCACCGACACCAGTGGCCTGGGAAGCATCGTCGACGGGACCGAAGAGGAAATGGGTGATGGGTCCTGGATGGCCAGACTGGTCCCACTTGACCTTTATAGTGTCGCCCTCGTTGGCGGGGACAGTGATAACGCCGGAGGGCACCTTGTTGCCGCCGACATTGCATGCCATAGCATCGCTGGTAACATCCTCAACTGGGCTGTTGGAAGGGGGCATACGAATGCCAGTGTCTACACCGGGAGACACGCCATTGACCCAGAACTGGTGGAAGTTCTGATGAGCCGAAACGGCTGCAATGAGAGAGGAAGCAATGATTGACTTGGAGAACATTTTGAGATTGTAGATATGTAGTGATCACAGATCACTATTTTGGTAAAAGGATTTTGGAAAAGAATGAATGTTTGAATGAATGAATCAAGTAAAGAATGAATGAACAATCACAACGAGAGAAAGTAGGTCTGGCCTGCGTGAAGAAACAAAATCGACAACATGGCGCTCAAGAGTATTTAAACTGCATCATCTGCTTCCATCAAGACTCCTCTCATCTAAACAACGATTCAGTGATGCATGCAATAGATTCGATAACTGGGGTTAGGCCCGGTTCAAATTACACAAACGGTGAAGCGAGGCGATAGTGCGAAAGCGGTCGTTTCGAAACTCAGCTTTGACCTACATTGGCATAAGCAAACCGCACGATTTCTGATGTTTCATGTATCAAACACGTTCAAGCGATGGTTTGGCGCGCGCCATAGCCGTAGGTTGACATCGGGCGACGGGCGGTTAGAGAACAAATACCAGGTCATCGGGACGCTAGACTATCGTTCGTTCATGGAAATTTGTCTTTCCGTTTGGTATCACGATAGTCATGTTTGAGCTTGGCTCTCGGGACAAATTCCTTGGGAACCAGGTAGGATCAGTCAAATGCAGCTTTGCGCGATTCGAGCCTGTCAAGGGTTGATGGATTTCAGAGGTGAGGCCTAGTTGCGGCCACAGTTGAACACGTCTACATTGAATCTTAAGATATGACTGTTACCGTTCTTGTATGATTTGGTAGTTGCGCCCTATTATTATAAGCTTGATTCATTCAGGAACCTACGATCGCTGACTTCTTCCTTATCTCTTCTACAGGCCTAGGATGTGTTCAAGGAATTCTGGACAGGGGTCATTAATCTAAGCCTTCACATCCCAGGAGCCGCTATCCGTGCCCCTGAGTGTTTCTCTGACAATATTTCTGGAAATTCTTTATCTTGTCAAACAACTGACTAGAGAAACCCGATGGCCAAGTACTTAAATTCATGCAATGCTCAGAGCAATTCAGCATTCTTGCTGCGTCATTTGGATACGAGTTTTTTTCGTATAGCTTCGCGTCAACAGGAGCTATGTAATTGAAAACCTTTCATCATTTAACGATCTTTTATACTGGTTCGCTTGTCGCCTCGACGGTGATGCGATGCTGTCAGTATCTTTGCGATCTTGGTTTCCCTGTTTCTGACAAACTAGAGAAGAAAGTGCATTGCGCTCGCTTCCTCATCGATTGAAGTGCATAGCAACTCGAAGTTTAGAAACAGCATTAGGACGGGACAGTTTTATATCACTGAGCTCTTGCTATTTTGTTATTTTTACTTAAGGAGATGCGAAAGTGCATGTGATCGACATCTTCCTGGCGAATTCAATTGTGGTAAATAAGTAAGAGGTCATTAATTAGTGTGTGAAGGTCGGTCGCAGTTGAAGCATCAACCTTACTGGAACTTTCACGGTTAATGACATTTCAATCTCGGAGTTGACCGCTCTTTACAGGCAAATTGAACGCTCGAGACCCTTGAAGCAAAAAATGCTCTTTGCACATAAAAATACTACAAAGCAGGAGGTTTCTTTTAGGAAGGCGCTTTCCTAGTAGTTTATTTGTATAACAATTGACCAATCGCTCGCGAAAGAACAAGCCAATATCGTATTCAAGAGGTGGCTACCAGGGGTATGGCGTTGGGTTCCTTGCGTCTTACAGTGTTATAGAAAAGCAGCGCTCACCCAACTGATGACAGAAGCTTGTCCTTATCTTCAATAGTCAGAAGATCTGGCACTGTGTTGGACTTTTCTTTTGGAACACCTTTGTGCAAAGCGGCCATTATGCGTCTATATTGCGCGTTCACCCTGTGCACATCTGTCCTAGGAGTCTTCGGACAGGCTCGTGCCGAACCCGCAAACCGGAACGCCACCCAAGCGCTCCTCGACAATGGTGTAGCAAGCTCTATAATCTCATCGTTAACGGAACAATTGAACAAGAAATCACCCTCCACATGCTCAGTCGCTGTATGTACAACAATTGGCAATAATGGAATTTATCTGACATTAGCATGACTAGTGCAATACACTCAAAGCAGTATTCGGTAGCGACGACGTTCTCCTCCAGGATGAAGCTCAGTACAAATATCTCTCATCTGCATATTGGTCACAGCAACAAGCCTTGGTGACACCTATCTGTATCTTTACTCCATCCAAAGCTATTGACGTTTCCACACTAGTGCTCATTTCGCAACTTTCACAGTGTCCATTCGCGGTTAAGAGCGGTGGACATGCTGCTTTTAGCGGAGCTTCGAATATCGAAGACGGCATCACTGTTGTGCTTGAGAAGATGAAAAATATTGAGCTATCAAAGGATAAAAAGACAGCTGCAATTGGTCCTGGCAATATTTGGTATGATGTGTACACCACACTCGAGTCTCATAATTTGGCTGTAATCGGTGGACGCGTAAGTTCTGTGAATGAGGGTTGCATTGCTGAAATTGACGTATAATAGGTGGCTGCTATTGGAGTTGGGGGCTTGACACTTGGAGGTGGTATTTCATTCTTCTCCAATATTCATGGCTGGGCCTGTGACAGCGTTGTGTCCTTCGAGGTAGTCACAGCTTCAGGCGTTGTGCTAGATGTCAGTGCTGCGAAGCATTCGGACCTATTCTGGGCCCTCCGTGGCGGAGGAAACAACTTCGGCATCGTCACCAAATTCACACTGAAGACGTTTCCCCAGGGCCAAATGTGGGGTGGGGGAAAACAAATACTCGAGCCTGGATTTCCTGCTGTCATCAAAGCCTTCTACAATCTGGGGATGAATGCTGCTAGCGATCCGAACGCTGGCCAAATTCTCTCCTTTGCCTATGTCCAAAACACCCGAATCGCAAGTGCTGACTTGCAGTATGCGAACCCCATAGCGAACGCTGCAATCCTGGCCGAATATATGGCAATTCCCTCTATCGGTGACACTACGAAGGTCCGCTCGCTGGCCGACCTGACCGTGCAGTTCAATTCATCCAACCCGAGTGGTCTTCGAGAGACGTATTGGGCCGCAACATTCAAGCTTGATGAGGACATGACTACCTTTATCAAAGATATCTTCTTCGAAGAAATCTCTCTGATTGCAGATGCATCAGCACTCATTCCTGCAGCCACTCTTCAAGTAATCACCACACCGCAGTTAGAGAATATGGAACGCAATGGGGGCAATGCTTTAGGTCTCAGCGCGAAGTCAGGGCCCTTCATCCTCCTGAATCTGAACAATATGTGGGCTGAAGCCGGGGATGACGCCAGAGTTTTGAAGGCAAATGCCAACATCATCCAGCGCACCGTTGCGGAGGCAAAGCGAAGGAACCTACACCATGAATACATCTACATGAACTACGCCAGCCAGTTCCAGGCCGTCATCCCCAGTTATGGCGCCGAGAACCAACGGAAACTAAAAGCTATCGCCCGCAAATACGATCCTACGGAGGTGTTTCAACGTTGGCAGCCTGGCTACTTCAAGCTAGATGGGTCACCTAGTATACTGTCATGATATGAAAATGTGGCTTTGAGTGTGTACATAGGTATGTATCTATGAATTAACAATTGGCCCAACAGTGCCCGATGATGAAGTATCAATGGTGTACTATCAATATCGCAAATGACCTAGAACCTGGAAGACCAATTTCAAAGCAACACACAATTTATCAAATGAAGCAACTTATTACCACAAGTTGTCACAATGGACACAACTAACCATTGATTGCGAAACTATGATAGTGAGAATGGGCCGTATCGGATGGAACTAATCCTACAGCCGGGCGCCGCATCCATGTGTCAGCTATTTCAGACGTACTTGTGCCGCTATGTCGATTTGGTAGGTTCCGCATGCCCGATTTGGCATGTTGTCGATCATTGTGCAGCGAATGGTACAATGTGACTCGAATTCCTCGAGTCTTGAAGCAACACATACACTAGTGATGTACCCCACACCAGCCGGACACATTGTTCCGGAATAGTAGAAATATCCAGGCAATGGTCACCACAAGTACAGACGAGACAGAGGAGACAAACCCAAAGTCTGTTGAGTCCTGGCAGTAGTCCTTCACTATGGCGACCACAGTAAGTTTGCACTTCTAAATTTGCGTTTCTTATGCTAACCTACGTGGACCACAACCTTTGAACAATATGACTATAAACAACCCGCCAATGGTAGCAAGCAAAATGCTCTAACCGGACAATCACTGGTAGGGAACTTCCAATGGAAAGGTACGCCTATACTGCATGTTCGATGCCCGATTTATTTTCAAACTAACAATGTCAAGATGTTCTCATCCCCGATAACGTGGGCCGTGGTACAGTGAAATGGTGGTATCAACGACGGACATTGATCCAATATGCCGCCATGGCCAGCGCTGGCTTGTATACCTTCTATACTTCCTCATCGCCATCTTTGCGAGCCGCCGGGCTTGGGCTTTTGTTTCCTGGAGCCGGTCTGATTAGCGTCTGCACAATTCCATCGATCCTCGCGTTCATCATCTCAACGGCAGCGATTCCCGCATGCCTGTTTGCCTGGTTCGGTGCTGGTGGAGTTGCTTTCCCGATGTTCTTGTGGGCATCGACGACAGCCCTCGCTGCTTTCTTGGCTAAAGAATCATTACTGGAAATTGCAGCCCCCCTTTGGACCGCCATCTGTGTTGTCGGCATTGCCTACATAACCCAGACCACCAGCACTGCCAACAAGGAAGCCAGCCAAAAACGCGAAGAAAGGAACAAATATCTGGTTGAGTCGGTACAGAAGAGCCAAGCTAGTGCTAAACTTCCACAGCCAGGTTCTCGCGAACTGTCTCTCCGAAACCTGAGGTTTCTACAATGGGAGATTGAACTTGGCCTTGCAGGAAAAGATGATTTCTCACATCACGATATTATCGACCAGTTCCAGACGTCAGCTATACGATACCAACTCTACGGTGCCCAGAACGATCTTGGTGTCTATCAATTCGCATACGCTCCCAACTTCCACGGATATCTCAGTCAAGCACAAAGAAACTGCATCGAGAAGTCTCTCACAGAAAAGGTCGTTGGCTTTTGGAAATGGGAATCGATGTGGGGCAAATTCAATGCTCACGACTGGGACCCATGTGTCAAGGATAACATCATGGTCTCAGGCTATGTTGCACAAGCTGTGGGCATCTACCAATCCAACACCGGTGACGAGCGGTACATGAAGCCTGGGAGCCTCACATTCCACGTTAGCAAGAATGGTATCTACGAATATGACTTCCGCAAGATCGCTGTGGCTCTTGAGAGGAACTTCAAGGAAGCGGCATACTGCCTATTCCCTTGCGAACCGAACTGGATCTACACCATGTGCAAGTAAGTAATGCTCATATCTTGCACAGGATCTTGAACTGATTGAATATAGCCTCGTCGGTATTAGTGGCATGATTTTGGCCGATCGTCTCATGGATATGCCTTACGCTAGACAAGTGAAACAGCGATTTGAGAATGCACTGGAAGAGGAGTTCACCACCCAAGACGGCACGATCCTTCCTATTCGCAGTGAGCTGACGGGCTTCACGGTAAGTCTAGATGATCATGTTCTTAACAAATATACTAATTAGAACACTAAGATTCCCGGTCTTGCGGGCGCGCTCGCTGACGGAGTAAACTCGATCCTCTGCGCTGCCTATCTCCCACATATCGCTCACCGAAACTGGGCATTCACGAAGAATGAGTCAATCAAATTCAACAAGAAAGGCGAGATTGAACTTCAGAACCTCGTTGGCGCCGACAAGATTGATGCTGGTAACTACAAGGCTGGGGAGGGTTCTATTAGAGCCACATTTGCCGCATCTGCTACTGAGTTCGGCGATGAAAAGATTGCCAAGGAGTTGCTCAGACAATTGGATGAGGAATACCACCCTGTCATGGAGACGAAGACCGGTGCTCTGAAGAATAGAGGCCTGAGCACATTGAGTCAAGGTGCTGCTACCCGAGCCAGAATTGGAGGATTCCAAGATTGGGTGAACATGATCACAAAGGGACCAGAGGAAAGCACAAAGCGAGGACCAATCCTGGATAAGGTTTCATATCCTGAAGTTCTTGTTGCGAAGTGCTACTCGCACGATGGTGTTGGGTTAGATATCGTCCTCTATCCTGGTCGTGATGCTGGCACATTCGACCTTGGCTTTACGAGATTGAGGCCTGGTAGCAAGTACTCTCTTGGAGGTCAGACCAAGGTTGCAGGCAGAGACGGTACTGCGGACTTTGCAGTCAAGGTAGATGGGCGTACACAGCTGGAGCTTACGCTTCAGAAATAGGTCTGAGAAGAAATCAAAGAAGAGCCCGATTGAAACCAATATCATTTTTCTTAGCATCTACTGAATCTACATTATCGAAAATTCAACAGTCTCTGCATTACACTCGTCGTATAGACCTAAGGTCGTAAAATGTTGTTCTAAGGGCCTCTGACGGCCCAAAGGAACTGCCATGCTCTATGAATCAGATTTTGATGACACCTCGCGACTAGCTACCCTTGGGATCTCTTGATCTCTCCACGACTCCCCCACCGGTTATGCATTTCCCCGCAAAACTACGAGGATGTGTGATCCATAATTGCTAGGTACCCCGCATTTGAGTCAGTATTTCCCTTCACAGGCATTGTGTGTGAAATTAGTGACTCAACCTGGAGAGGATCTTGTCTAGTCGAACAAACAGAAAGCACTTAGCATGAACGCAACGATCAAAGTCCAGAAACACCTTATTCTACAAGAACGGGGTAGGATATTAAAAATGTTTCCTAGCTGGATCACCATAACCAACAAGTCCTTGGATACAGCTGTAATAATAATTTTTAACTCCAATATACAATGATGACGAGATTGAGACAATCACAGTACTTTCCCAGCACTGCCACAAAGAGAATCGCTACTTGCAGGATATCGGTCCTTTTTCTGAAATCTAATTGTGACTATGCAACTTTAGTCTTGTTGATACATGCACCCCGCACTTTGTCTTCCAAGCAACAGTTAGCTCGTCGATCTAGACAAGGAGCGGTACCTCGGGTGATATGCATCCGCTCCTAACCCAACTGCAGTCGAAGAGTCTCGCCAAGTACAGCAGGAAGGTACTCCTAACTGAATCAATTCAATGTTTTCAATTTATAGCACCTGATTTCGATGAGGATTTTTCAAATTGCTCAGATGCGTCACTGAGCGTTGACCACGTCCATAGTTTTCGGTTCCTCGCCTGGCTCGAATTCGACGACAATCAGTTATACTTTGCACCAGTAGCATGGCATGCTGCTACATTGCAGCGTCAATACTTGGCCTTGTAATCCGCAGTTGCGAGGCTCTCGATATCAATCTACATCTACAATACAATGAATCGGTAGAAGACCAATACAATGACGACCATACGGATTTTAGCTCGTCGCCTACGAATAAAGGACTACATTGCGGGGTCACGCTCATCTCGATATCGGGAATGACATGTGCTGCCTGCACATCAGCAGTTGAATCCGCAATCAACGATCTCGACGGAGTGGAAGAAGTTCTTGTCTCATTACCATTTCAGGAGGCGCGAGTGCTGCATAACGGGAAAGTCGACTTGGAAGAGATGAAGCAGGCGATAACGGATGTAGGATATGGTGCCGTAATCGGGGAGAGACAGGCAAGCCAGAAGATCAATGTCCTGAGGCATACCGAAGAGTTGGCAGAGTTGAAACTTGCACTGAGGGGACTTTCACTCTCCTCGGGGATCATCTTCGCTTTGGGCACTGGTATTCAATATTTGGGTTTGCAGTGGTTGATGAAATACCCGATTTTTCGTTTGGGCCGATCAATGGTTTTATTGCTATGTACAACAGTTGCGTCGTTAAAGTATGGACACTGGATCTTTAAGAATGCCATGGATGCTGCTCGACATTGGCGAACCAACATGCACACGCTGATTACAGCATCAACATTGGTCGGCCTATCCCTGGCTTCTCTGAATCTAATTCGAGACGCCCAGTCTCAGGAGTCTCAGTATTATGACTCGATCATTGGAGTACTCTTAATCGTAACGATCGGGCGTTACATGGACCTACTCTCTCGACGGCGTGCAACCGATACTTTTGCGGGACTACATTCTCTACTGGACCAGACATCCAGTGTCAAACTCTCCAAGTCCGGAAAACGCATCGCGACCAGTTTCGCCCGTGTAGGCGACGAAATCATTGTCGACGGATTCAACGTCGTGCCTTGCGATTGTTATATCGTTTCTGGGACTTCAAATGTTAACGAGGCAGTGCTCACGGGCGAGTCATTTCCCAAGTCTAAGGGAGTTGGCGACCTACTCCTTGCAGGATCTCGTAACGGTCCTGGCCGGCTGGTCGGTCGAATCAACCAAGATTTTAATGGATCATTTCTTGCGCAGCTTGTTAGGAGTGTGGAGCAGTCCTTAACTACACATGTATCGGTGCAGCATCGTGTGAATAGTATTACGCAGTGGTTCGTCGCTTGCATCTTCGCAGTCGCGTTTCCAACGGCAATATGGGAGTATATCAGAGCGACTAGAAGTGGGGATGCGTGGTGGGCGCTTAATGTCGCAGGACAAAAGCTAATGACGATTCTCGCTGCGGCATGTCCTTGCGCTTTGGGATTGGCAACGCCGTGTGCAGTGATGGCTGGAATTGGTAAGATCATCGAAGCGTGGGAAAAGTTCGATTTTCATTGACATCTTTTAGATGCCTCATGGCGCCACGGTATCCTTATGCTGGAAGGAGGTGAAACCATGGAACGCGTGCGAGATATCTCACACATTGTAATGGACAAAACAGGCACTCTGACTCGAGGTGTTCTATCTGTGAGCGATCTGTCGATTAACATCGACTGGGAAGGTTCGAAAGATAAACTTGCTGCATTGATATGTGCAGCTGAAGAAAAGGGCATGGCTGCTCATCCTTTAGCAATGGCGGTTTTTCGGCATTTACTCCCAGAATCACAAGGGTTATGGAAAGTGTATCAAGAAGCTGGTGCGATACGCATGCTGGAGGAATCACCAGGCAACGGCGTTAAGTGTGAGGTGGACCTTGGGGACGGTGACTGGCAATCGGTATTCGTGGGAAGCCTGGACTGGCTAAGACAAAATAGCATCACAGGCCTGGATCACAGACCTGCGTCTGTTGGAGATGGTTCGTCAGTCTTTGTTGGGATCAATGGTGACTTGGCCGCCACCCTGATCTTGCAGGTAGGAATGTTCCTCATTTTATCATTATTTTCTATCTGACATTCTTCAAGGACACCATTCGGCCTGACGCAAAATCAACAATTGATGCCCTAAAAGCCCAAGGCATTGAAGTCAGCATGTTGACTGGTGATCAACCTGCCGAGGCTGCGCGGATCTCGAGAGAGCTTGGTATATCTGTAATGGGGTCTGCAGCTAGACCGGAGGTTAAACTGCGGCATCTGAAGGCAATACAGGAGGGTGGTGGGAAAGTGCTTATGGTATGTAAATCAGCTCAAACTTCATCGCATAACATACTAACCGAAACAGGTTGGAGATGGTATGAACGACGGGCCCAGCCTCGCAGCAGCTGACGTTGGGGTGATGATGTCCAACGGGCGCAAGTGCCTCACCTCTGGTGGATCCGTGTTGCTTTTGCAGCCACAACTCAACTCTATTCTCACTCTGCTGAAGATCTCGAGAAGGACCATGCTGCAAGTGAACAATAACTTGATGTGGGCCATATTTTACAACACGCTTGCCGTGACATTGGCGATCGGTTTAGGACAACCAATTGGGCTGAGTATAAACCCGCCAATTGCTGCAGCGATGATGAGCATGAGTAGCTTGTTCATAACCATGCAAGGCCTCATATTACGAACAAAATTAGCTCCTTATTCATCTGATAAACTTAGTTAATTGCTAGAATAGAGAATAGATCAGCGTCTGTACAATATCGCAAGAAAGTACGATCGTGGTGCTTTACAATCTCTTTCTAATAGAGCCTGCTCTCTGCTAGAAGGCGAGTTCATTGAGACAATTTACGGTCGAAAGAAGCGACGAATGTCGATACCTCATGTTGGAATTCATCATTGCTCAGAGAAGCTCTCAAACAATCCAGGCGATCGCAATGCAAATACTCCCTTTGGTGTGATGCAGTCCGCCAAGTTACTCGAAGCACCAGATTATAAAGGTGTCCATTCAGTCTCGACTGCTGACAGTTATACAGCCTCAGACTGGATCGGTCTACCGAGAGTGTCTTTCCATCAGTCCGTGTCAAATATGTATCCATGAGTTGGTACTGTTGGGCATGGACAAAGGGAGCATCTTCTGTAGGCGCGAGAAGGTAATGTATTGTAGGCACCTCAAGATTGACCTCTTCACATGATGAGGGTAGACGAAGGGCAATGATTTGTTTCCTTGCAGCATCCAAGTAGGTGAGTGGGTTTCCATAATGTATCCCTGACCAAGTTATCCGCCGCCAGTGCGCATGGGGTAGTAAAAGTTTTTCCATAGCAAGCGGATCTTCCATGTCGGTCAGAAATGCGTGAAGATGGTACAAATGTTTCCCGAGTTGACTGGAAATATGGAACAATGGGTGATCCCACCCATAGGAGGACCCCCCTATGCTATTTAGAGCTATGTGGTAGGTGGCACCTCGAATTGAAATGGGATGTGCTTCCATGTAGATACGGCGGCATGTTGCAAGAAGGGATATGTCGGCGAATGTTCTGTGCTCATGTGCAAAGCGCCAACGATGTCGCGTCCATGGAATAGGACGAGAAGGGTCATCATGCTGAGCCAGAACGTACTCGTATATCATATTGCGTAGTTCGTTTGGCAACTTGGTGAAAAGCGGGCATTCACGCTGTGAAAGGCACTGACTCTGGGTAATTTGTGCCAATCGTCTTCTTGCAGCACGTCTCATGAGTCTACGGTCACGTGCGGCAACGCTCTTGAGTTTCCCCATTCGCAGTATGTTTCTGAGAACTATATCAGCTAAAAGCGTGGGATACCAAGACGGTGACTACCTACGCACCTCGGTGCTTATTACGGTCACAGCAAAAATATTTGGGTCTGCAAATTAGGTACAGCTCCGCCCGAAGCCCGACAAATGGATGGTTGATGGAGTGGATGAGATGATTGTGGTGAAGAGGTTCTCCATGCACACCAATTCCCCCACATTAGTATCCTCGATTTCACAGCCGCTAATTGGCCACCAGTAGAACAGCGATGAACATGACGTCATTGCATTTAGAACATGTTTGGCTTCCAAACTACATCCCACTTGTAGGTATATTTGTATTACATGGAGAAACTTTCACTGCGGAAAGTTGGAGTAGCTTAATGATTTCACATCATGCCACTGGGAAATAACACTCGATTATCCTTGCAGTCTGTGGCTATAAACTTTTAAACCGGCTATCGGCCTCAAATCCATGGCGCCAAGTCATTCAGACATAAAGATTCGCTCATTGAAACATCGCAGCGTGCTCGATCGAATTGAACTACATAGATGGAATGAGATCTCTTGTACCCGTCCTTTCAGACGTTCTTTCGGACACACCACACTTGTCGTTGAAGACTTCATTCAGGCATTTGCCAGCTGCCTAGGCAAATATTAAAAGCTACGCTGAGATACAGACAGAAACATCGTACGATCTACGTGATTGAGACAGCTTGTATACAACTTCAATTCCCTGGAAACTTAATCTTGGCCCATTCCATGGTTTTTCTTATTGCCTCATCCTGATCAGCGACAGGTTCGTAGCCGAGCCTTTGCTTGGCTTTCTCGATCGACCAACATGTCCCTTGATCCAAATGGTCCACATCATCCCTTCTTGTGTGTGGCGTTCTGCTACCAAATGTAAGGACCTTGTAGGCCCATTCACCGGTTGAAGCCATGGCCTGAGCAACCACCAGTGGAACAACCGAAACCTCATCCGCTTCCACGGGACTTCCAGCTGCGGCGTAACATTTCCTCGCGAAATCGAAAAAGGGCTGGGGCTTGCCGTCAGAGATGAAGAAAGCTTCTCCAGCAACACCCTCGCCTCGGACTGGGTCCAACAGGGCTTGGGTGGCAAGAATATGGGCTTCAGCTGCCTTGTCGACATAGACGAATTCGAACATCTTCGTGTTGTTGCCAACCTGGGTCTTGTGCTCGTTCTTGTGTATACTCTCCATTAGATGCGGTACAAAGACAGTGTCTCCTTCACCGTAGAGTCCAGGAAGTCGTATCACGGCCGTCTTGAGGTGATCTCCATTTGCTTTCAGCACCAGACCCTCGGCCATAGCTTTTGTCTTGCCGTACGGATGATGCCAATCGGCATCTACATACAGCTCTGCCTTATCCTCAGTCAGTGGTTCCTGCGAAGGTTTGACTGCGGATTCGCTAGATGTGTACACAAAAGCCACTGTCTCAGGCGTCGACAGCGCAGCTTTGAGGAGGACGTTGGTTCCCTCCACATTGGTCTGGTAGTGGGCGTCGGCAGTATCGTTGTGAAGTGGAGACGCTGTATGGATGACTGCGTGAGGCTTGATTTCGTTGAAGATGGACCTGACCTCTGCATCGCTGGAAATATCGGCCGCAAAGTATGAAACTCTATCTCTTGTTTGTTTTGGATTACGACTGAGAATGGTAACATTCGCCGAGGGGTCAATCAAGAGTTTCTCCACGATCTTGTTTCCGAGAAATCCACTGCCCCCCGTGATAATGTATCGTGTCGCAGCAATGGTGCTGGGTCGCCGCTCCATACTTGGAGCATTCAAAGTAGCCATGATGATGCGCGTTGTTGTAGATTTTGTTCTTTGATTGAGGATGGCAAGAATAAAGCTCTAAAGACGCAGTCACATCACTTTTATATACTCCATCTTGGTTCTGATATTATTATCAATGCCCAGAGCAGCATCCTTGGCTGACATAACTGTACCTTATGCCACATAAATCCAAACCTACCATAGGAGGCATCACGCCACCTTACCAAGGAAAGATACCTAGGTAGGCATCGCATCTTGACACAGCCACCAAAGGTAGCAGAACTTGATTTCCCTGGCTCTTGAAAATGTCGCGATTGTAGCATAGTTGAAGTAGACGTTGGGTTGTCCGCACGATGAATAGCTGCCAAGTGTGTTTTGTTCTGCACCGCCACAAGATTATGCGTAATGATCGAGGTATCTTGGTTGCACTATCCTAGTCTGCTCTTTTGTTTCCTTCGAGAGTATTGGATACTGGATTTCGGTCACTAAATGGGAATTGGAGTCACCGTCGTAAACAAAGTCGTGACAAAGTTTAATTGGGGCGGAATGACTCTTACACGAAGCCACAAGCCCGAGTTGTGTTACGAGGTAGCTCGAATAAGAACACAGAATTGCAGAGTACTCCCGCGTGCATGGAGAACGTAATAATTTACATAATAGTACTATGGTTACTTCATGAAAGCAAAATTTCACATTGCGCCGATGCTGACCAAATTGGTAACTTTTGCAATGCACGTCAAGATCTGTCGCGTGCCATGCTCGCCTTAGTAGCTGGTACTTCTGAGGCTCCTTCACCATCCAGTTTACATTACTGACACTGTCAACTCAAAAGTGGATCTCGTTAGCGCTCATAGCTTTTATATCATTCAGATTACCGTTCTATGATGCCAAATCATCCAATCAATGTTGATGCAAAGTGAGCAAGGACAAGTATCCTCCCTTCTGTGCATTTTCGAGAATTGATTGCTACGAGTAGTATCAAATTATCAGAAACGATTCTTCCAGTGCAAGAACGAGAAGGACATAATAATAAGTTTGTCAGTTGTTCTGGAGCATGCGCTGTTATCGATGGCGTCTTGTGGCATATGGCTATCGTTGTACATGGGGATCCTGGGTTAATATAGAATGCTTGCAAGCATTGGTGCGTTTCCGTCACTTGACAACCAACCTTCCTTATCGATACAAGGCTATATGCCTTTATTTGTTCTGTGATTGCTCTTTGCGAAATCAAATTCATTAAGTATGAATCAGGAAGGTAATCGGCCTAGCCACCCTTATCTGCGCCAAATCCACCTTCTCTTAAGATTATTCGCATCGGAAAAGCCGTCCTGTCCCATTCGGAGGATTACTATAGAGGCCGATCTCCCGCGCGGACTTGCTTGGCCAGACGGACGAATGCTCTTTAATGGGGAAGAACTTAAGGCAATTCATGCGCTTTTTCTTGGTTTCGCCTCTTCAGGGCAAATGGCGGGAGTCTTAATCAATATCCAAGCCGACCTCCCATAAAGGGTCGAAATGCTTAGCGACGCGGCTTGTTTGCGATTGAATATTTGTTGTCGACGTTGTGACCTTGCCAACGTATAAAAAGACGATGATCGCCGCCATGTTTGACCTTCAGTCCTGCAGCGACTTGAAATTCGGCCCCAAATATTTCCTCAGATCTCCTAGTTGAGCTTTCACAACCAGTGTTGAAAGACGTAAACTTTGAATATGCGTGCTTCAGTCTGTTTCGCTGCCCTCGTGGCACTTGCGACTGCCCTTCCAACACCAGGGGAGGAGTTGTACACGATCGAGCTCGCACCCGGAGAGACCAAACAAGTGACTGAGGCAGAAAAATGGAAGCTCAAGTCCGTAAGTAGAGGGACCTGGCATTGTATCCATTCTGGTGCTAACTTTTATTCTCAGGAAGGTGTGAACTTCTTCGACATCACCGAATTTCAGGACTTCCAGCCCACGATTGAGAAGCGCCAGGCTGTCACATTCCCTTCGACGCTTACACAAGGAACTTCAGTCCGCGCATTGAACGCAAAGCTCAGCTCATCGAACATGCAGACCAACCTGCAAACATTCAGCGATTTCAACAACCGATACTACAGAGCCACAACAGGCAAACAATCTTCTGACTGGTTGCTTGCTAAGGTCAAGAGCTATGTACCCGCCGGATCTGCGATCACCGTGACCGCGTTTTCACACTCCTTCGTCCAGTCGTCCATCATTGCGAAGATTCCTGGAAAGAGTGTAAAGACTATTGTTGTTGGCGCTCACCAAGATTCTATTAACCAACAGAGTCCTACTAGTGGGAGAGCCCCCGGCGCAGGTGAGTTTGATATCCCGAGAAATGATGAAATCGCATGAAAGTATCGAATGCTAATCGCACACCAGATGATGATGGTTCTGGCACTGTGACCATTCTGGACGCATTCCGAACTCTTCTTACGAACAGCACCATTGCAAGTGGTCAAGCTCCCCAGACAATCGAATTCCACTGGTACGCTGGCGAGGAGGGAGGTCTCTTGGGCTCCCAGGCTATCTTCAACAGCTACTCATCAAGCGGACGTGATGTCAAGGCCATGCTGAACCAAGACATGACTGGCTACACTCAGGGCTACAAGAGCGCTGGTTTGACTCCCAAGTTTGGCGTCATCACCGACAACGTCAACGCTGCGTTGACTGCCTTCACCAAACGCGTTATCACTGCTTACACCAGCGTCGGATTTGCGGATGATAGGTGCGGTTATGCGTGCTCCGATCATGCTAGCGCGACAAGAGCTGGATATCCCTCTGCTATGATCTTCGAGTCGGAGATGGCCTACGAGAACCCGTACATTCACACAACTTCTGATACCATCAACCGCGTCGACTTCGCACATATGGTCGAGCACGCGAAGTTGGTCGTTGGATTCGTCGTTGAGTTGGCATTTGCTGCTTTGTAAATATTTACAATTTATCTCATTATGATCCTTCATTCTTGTTACACAGTCGGAAACCTTAATCAATCCAAACGAATTGCTGGAAGTGAGTCAACTCCGCTATGGGCCCCCGAATTTTTAAGGTGGCAAACGTACACAGTATGGAAGACTCGACTGCTTGCTGAGATCTGCGTTCATTAGGGTTGGCATTATAGCGATAATCGACTTTTGACTCGGTGGCATACCTCATGATGCACCTATCTCACCCAAACGGTTGCGCGTGAATCGCTTATGCACGACGAGATACATGGAAACAAAGGTCACAGGGAAACTTGGACAAGAATGTGTGTAGGTCATAACCGGATTTACCGTTATATTGGAAGACCGCATTCACTACCTAAAGAATGAATCGAATATAAAATATATATACATAACACTGCGACGTAAAAGTGTCGCTACAAAGACTCTTGAAATGAGAGACTTATTTTTCCAACCGCTTATGGACATCCTTGTGAGTTTGCATTCGGGCTCTGAAAGTCCTTATCGTTTAGCAAGCATTGACGTCGGCATCAGTGAAGATGCAAGAGGAGCTTGGTCCACTGCTAATCTTCTTTGGTTCAGCACCAGTGTCGTTGCCTTCAAACTCGGTGCAGATCTCCTTAGCTTTGATGCAGGAGTTGGTGATGGTCGCAGTGTCACCGAAGTTCGTGTTGATACCAACAGCAGTGGAAGTTCCACCCTCAGCAAGAACACCATCGAGAGTCACATGTCGCTCGAACATGGTCTTGCAGTTTCCGCAGGATCGGTAGAGCTTGCCGAAGTCAGAGACGTAGAAGTTGGAGATGGCGACAGTTCCGCCGCCGTTGTGCTGGACGACCTTGTCGGAAGCGCCCTTGGCTCCTCCACCGATCACCTTAGAGGTACCGGAATCCTGCTTGAGTGTTAAGGCATCCTCGCAGACGGCTTCCCACCAGACGTTCTCAATCGTGCAGGAACCAAGGCAGTGGACTCCTTCAGACTGATCAGCGCCGATGATGACGTTCTTGAGGGTAGCGCCGTCCTCGAGAAGGAAAACAGCGTCAGAATCACCTCCCTCGCTCTGTCCACCGCAAGTCACACCTCGACCGAAACGTGTCATTCCTCCATCAAACTCGCCAGTGACTGACATAGGTTCAGCGAGCGTCGACTCGCCAGCAGCCTCGGGGAAAGTGGAGCTGGCCTTGCCGCCACCGGTAGAAGGGGGAGTAGATGGTACGCTGGACGGGGCACTGGAGGGAGCAGCAGAGGCATCAGTGGAGGCGACTACAGAGGAAACAGAGGAAGCATCTCCCGAAGGAACGGCTGATGTGGCTACAGAAGCAACAGTGGAGAACCCTGTAGGGGCTTTGGTGTTTCCAGTTGATTTAGCGAGGGTGCTGGTGGCAGTAGCTTCCTTGGTTTCCTCATCCGTTGCCTTCGCACGCTGGGCTACGGCAATGGAGCTAGGAAATTCGAACTCGATAGAGGAGACTGCATCTCCAGGAGCACCTGTGGGAGCAAGAGCAGGGGCTTCAGGGGCACCTGAAGGAGGTACTGGGAGACCTGAAGGAGGCTGAGGGAGGCCCGAAGGAGGGATAGGTAGACCAGGTGCACCAGTTCCTGGCAATCCAGGCTGCTGCGGGGGCAGTCCAGTAGGGCCAGGGAATGGCGCTGCATCAGTCGGGAAGCGACTGGGAAGTCCTCCAGTTGGATTGGGAAATGGAGCACCGCCAGTCGGCATTCCGCTTGGAAGCCAAGGGGGAAGAGGACGAGAGCCTGGTAGTTCGGGACGGTTACCCTTATGTTCCCTCGGTCGTCCGAATGGAGGCGCTGCCTCAGCCGTGAGAACAAGTGCCAAAGTGGCAATGGTCGAGTATGAGAAACGCATGTTGTTATGAAGTGGCTTCGAGGATTTGCGCAGCAAAAAGAAGGACTGGTTTAAAGAATGAATGTGACTAGCACAAATCTCTGAAATGAATGGAAAAAAAAGAAGAATGAAGTGAATGAGAAGGTTGGTAGCGAAGGTAAAGATCTGAGCAAGACTGGCATCATTGATATTTTATACATTGTTGCTTGATGTGTATACCGGCCCGTGGTCAGGAGAGCATAACGCATCCCGTGGGTACTGTGTGTATGCGTAACGCCTGATAAACTCCAAACATAGGCGCCGACAGTGGGGATACCGATTGTACAACAATGCCGAATGCGGTGTGTTCCGCCAGAGACGCGGGAGCGGCGACAGCCTACATGACAGGGCGTTAGTTCAATCGTCTCTCATTGTAGGGAAATAATCTCAAGTAGCCTAACGTTTCGAAAGACTCAGGGCATTGTTTACTAAAGTCGCTAATCAGATCCACGGGTGGTGAAAACAATTTATCGGAAGGAAGCCAGATGTTTCATACTGGGGTTGGGTTCTTGGCACCCGCTTCAGACAAAATGACGGGAGTTAGAGATGACGCGACATGCTATTTCATAGTCTTGAAAGGAAAAGATAGACACCTAAGCGCGTGGTGTGTTGTTGTCCAACATTGTGATTCGGAAGAATGTAGCCATCCACGGAGAATTCTAGAACGATCGCAAGCATCGTCCACTCCACCATGTACTCCGTGCAAGGATTTTTGATTTTTCCATACTTTGTCGAAGAGCATTTTTCAACGAAAGACAAATAAAAGAGAAGTGCTTCTTGGCCGAAGAGAAGCTTACGTAGTTGTTCTGTGGGGAGTTGCGTTTATCGTGCCGATCGTTATACCGCATATTGTGGACCTTCACCATCATGATGCACTTCTCGTAAACCCTACACAGTATGTAGACGCTTGCCTGTGCAACATTATTTCTCCTTCAATTTATCGATACAACGTCCCATTAATTGTCTGAGTATCACAGTTTTGGAGCATTCTTGTCATCATATTTATTATCTCCATGCAGGGAAGCCCTCCCAACATTGAGCAAGTTAGTTTTGAGACACGGGAGTTTGCTAAACTTTTCCTCTACAATATCTTTAAGTGCGAGAAAAAATAGCTGAATAGTTTTCTTGATATCCGTTTCATATGCTGGAATCCATTTCCCGCAGATCCAAGCATCAGAACCACGAAAGTGTTCAATGAGTGTTGTGTGACGCTGCCCGTGCGCGAACAGATATGGTGACACTGCAAGGGGTACAATGGTTGTCGACGAAATCTCCATCTGGCGGTACTACGCGTGGCAGCCGTGATGAAAAGGGCAAATGGATGGGGAGAGGTAGGGTATGTCTAGGATGAAGTTGATCGTAATCTTCTCTTTCTTTGGAAACGTCGGCCGAATCTCCCCAGCCCACTTCGGATTACAGCGCAAGTTCCGCATTGAAGACATCATGACTCTATGAGGCCAGAGAGTGGGGTCGCTGTTGTTTCGCCCCTGGAATTTTCAATGATTTCTATCTATTGGAAGTCTAAGTTCCCCTACTGCTCCAGAGTCCATTGGATAAAGGTTCCATGCTTAATGAAACAGCAAATCTTCTGAGTGTCGGCACTCAGGCGTGAAATTTGAGAATAAAGTGCGATAGCTGAAGCGCATCGTATTTTGACGCTCATCGTCTTGACCATGTGCTCATGAAGCTTGAAACTGCTTTAGGTTTTCTAGGTATAGATGTCGGTTCAAGAACCTAATTATCGAGGAGACTATATTTATGTCACTTCAACGACGATCTATAGGAATAGAAGTATTCTTCATCTTCTGGTGACCTCAAGCATCAACCGATGACCTCTCGGTGCAATATTGAAACGATCCTCGATCTCCATCTCCCATGCCTTCATCTCTGATCCGATCCTTAACTTCAGCCCAGCATGCATGATTGCGCTCACAGCTAGATACAACTCTGCCCAAGCTAAGTTCTGGCCGATACAATTTCGACGGCCAAGGCTAAATGGCGTAAGAGAGGCTTCCATAGCCTCGGTGCTCTGCAACCATCGCTCAGGAGCGAATTGATCTGGGTTGGGGAACACTGCTGGATTTCGATGGTGGACCCAGTTTTGCATACCAACTACAGTACCCGTTGGCAAGGTGTACTCGTCTATATGCATAGGCTCCAAGAGAATGCGGGGCAGGGTTGATACAATCGTTGGGAAGCGTCGGAATGTCTCTTTGATGACAGCGTTCAGATAGGGATGTTGACGAAGTGCAGTCATGTCGCCTGGCGGCAAAGCGTTGACTCCAGTGTACAAGCGTTCCTGAATATGCTCATTCCCCGGCAGCGACAGTGCGTACAGGAGATACGTCAAAGTTGAAGATGTTGTCCCGCTTCCTGCGAACATGTAACCCATAGCTTCTTCAACTAGTTCCTCGTGGTTCAGACGGCGACCCAGGAAGCCATCGATACCTGTGGCTATCGGTGAGAGGAGATACTTCTCATCAGAAGACGACTTTTCCAGGAAGTGGTCGACCATGATCCTAGATTGTTCTTCCCAGTATTGATGGTTTCGATAAGCGTCGCCAATAAACCCAGGTACCTTGACACCGAGCCCGGTAGAACGTAGGAAAGGGAGAACGCCGTCGAAGATGAGGGTGGGGGCACTGCCGTCCATCGCATGCAAGAGCTTGAGTGAATCAGCAACACCATCCGATCCTTCGAAGTCTTTGGCAAAGGCAGCCTTGCAGATTGTTTCAAAGCTGAACAGGCCACATAACTTATAAGCATCGGCAGTGCCTGTATCTGACGTATTAGCTTCAATAAGCAGGCGTTGTGCAAGACTCTCTGCCTTTTGTTGTACCAAGCTCTCTAGCTTGCCAACAGCTTGAGAAGCATAAGGTGGGCTACTCAATTTACGACGTGCTGCATGCTCAGTGGGATTGCTGTTCACATGTTAGCAATGTTTCAACTTGTTATTGTAGCATTTCGTCCGTACGTCATCTGAAAAATGTTGTTCTTGCCAACGAATGTAGCATTGGCGTAGAAAGAAGGGTCCTTGACAACAGTTTTCGAGTTGGCGTAGATTGTCCGAATGTGGCGCCAACTGGCGATTGATACCTCGTTAGGACCTACACGAACAACATCACCATACTTGTGGTGTAACGCGTCAATTGCCTTCATACGCACCCAAATCAGCACTGGGAACGAGGACTCTGTAATAGTAACGTGGACTCACATAAGCTCGGCGACCCTTGACCCCTTCGACCGCAAGCGTGAGATTCGACAGTCGAGCCGCAAAAGGGCCAGGTACACGCCGTAACGAATTGCAAAGTAGACGATGTATCAACTTATATTGTGAGTATGGAGACAGGCTGTCCAAGAGGCAATAATATGGTAGATGCACTTACGACGAAGACGAAGGAGCAAAAGGTAAGGACTACAACCGATACGACAAAGAACGGATGAGACGTGGATTTCTCCAGCACGGTTTTGAATGTCATGATTCTCTCAGTAGGTGAGGTGGAAATCTGGGTAGATGCTAATGAACAGATCAAGAACAAAGGCGATTAAATAAAGTTCCCCAGGTTTCCCGTTACGCATCCCAGAAGAACCTAGAACAACCGCTACGTGCTGCCGGCCATCCACATGCGGGGTACCAAGCTGCGGATCCACTGGGAATTCAAAATCGGATCGGGATGTGGAGTCAACAATGCAGCAATGCATTGATGCATGTCTTTGTGTATTTGGGCAACCACCATTATACAGCAGCTGTGGAGTAGTAGGTCGTGAAGTGGAGTTAAAACGTGCAGGCTACTGCAGGGCTGCATTGGCGCTACTCTCATCGGGTATCAGACTCCCCGGATTCCAGAGATAGACATGAGATCTTAGTATTACCATACTTGGGTATATTATATATGAGTATAGTTACCTGCTGTCTGATTTATCTCGCAACGAAAGACATTCGTTCTGTCCTATAATACTTGTGCTGCTTAGAAAACAGTAATCCAAATATGCAAGATAAAAACGATAATGTCCAGGCTCACGAAGATGGAATCACGCCTACCCACAATAACAATGAAGTGCATATCCATGCTAGAACACTCATTGCAGTGGCGGTTCGGCACCCATATCTTATTCAGTAACGATGGCGACTGACCTAGTTACTTCACAGGCCACATGCACCATCGTCTTTGCTCAACTGATGTCATTAGTTGGAAGCGCTCTGCTAGCTCAGACCACGGCGACCTTACTGGGCAGTCCAGATCACTATATTTGGTTTGCGTCGGTCATCACAATTATAACATTGGCGACTATCCTTCCTTGTAGTCAAGCCGCCGATTACTGGGGTCGCAAGATAGTAGTTCAAACTACAACTGTGGGGGGAGTTGTCGGAACCATCGTTGTGTCGCGGTCACAAAATATCTCAACTGCAATCGCTGGGTTTTGTCTTATCGGTTTAGCTTTCGGCTGCCAGTCCCTGTGCTATGCTATACCCTCCGAAGTCCTTCATCGCAAGCACCGAGCGTACGGACAGGCTGTTGCAAACATCGTCTCCGGCATGGGCGCTGTCACGGGTATACTCGTTGGTGGCGCGCTGATACGCAATGAGAATGCCCAAGGATTTCGAACCTTCTGGTACATCAACTGTGGTTTTTTCGTTCTCGGTCTTGTCGGTATCCAGTTTGGCTACAATCCTCCGTTACGAGAGCTCCAAGTCTCCTTGACTACAACCCAGAAGCTTCGGTCCATGGACTGGATTGGCAATTTGATGATTGCTCTTGGCCTGATATTCTTCTGCCTTGGTTTACAATGGTCTAGTAACCCATACAGCTGGACCGACGGTCATGTCCTGGGTCCATTCATCACTGGTGTATGCTTACTGGCGGCCTTTTGTGCATATGAATGGCGCGGTACTACCCAAGGTATTCTTCATCACGGCTTGTTTGGAGACCGTAACTTCCCCCTTTCCATCGTTATGGTCTTCGTGGAAGGCACGGCATTCATAACGGCGAATGCCTTCTTCGTGTTTGAGCTCGTGGTTGTGCAGCACCTTGATCCCTTTGATGGCGGTCTTCGATTTGCGGTCCTATTTCTCCTCGCTATGGGTTCCTCGTTCGTTGTAGGCATTTACACCACACTGACACGTCAAATACGTGAACCGCTTGCTCTCGGGTTCTCTTTTCTGATGATTTTCAATGTCTTAATGGCATTTTTTAGGGAGACTTTGCCTCTTGCAAATGCTTATGGCTATGCCTGCATCGGCGGTGCAGGTATCGGCTGCATCCTTACAAATGCTATGGTTGCAGCACAAATGAGCACCCCGAAGGAGATGATATCAGTCACTTCTGGTCTTGTCACGGCTATGAGGTCGCTTGGCGGTGCCATTGGACTCTCAATTAGCAATGCTGTCTTCAACAACAAACTCAAAGTCGAGTTGCCGATGAGAGTCGCAGCAGCGGCGGTGTCTCAAGGGCTTTCTCCGCAGGACATTGGTCGCTTTATTAGGGCTTTCACCACGCAAAACCAAGCGGCTCTACACGAGATACCTGGCGTCACTCCGCAGGTTCTCGCTGCATCAGGAAAAGCTCTGACGGAGGCGTTCAGAGTTTCATTTCGCAATACCTGGATCACAGCCGCTGCATTCAGTGCTGTAGGGATAGTATGTAAGTGATTGAAACTCCTTGATCTTGTTTCGTACTTACTGACTGTGTGCCCAAGCTGCGCTTTTCCTTTGGAACCCGAAAGCTCAATTTACCAACTACATCGATGCACCAGCGGAAGACGAGGTTTTGGAGGCTCAAGAAAGAGAGCAGAGATTGGAGGTGGAGGAACAGAAGTCCAGTGTCCAAAGGTTGGAGGTCGTCAGTTAGATCATCGACTTGTACTCTTATGCTGGCAATCCTGCAATTGTTTCATACAGGACAGACAGATCGCATTTACGTTAACTTTGCGCGATCGTCATCTCATTTAACTTCGCCTCGCAAAACTCTAGCATCGGCAGCTAAACCTAGGCGAATGTGGGGAACGCGGCAAATGCAGATGATCGGGAGGAAGTTTCACATAAGAATATGGAGATAGTGACCGATATCTAGTTCTTGTATGACATTTTAGCCAATAAGGGTGTTAGAAAACACAACTTACAATATATTCGACCGTTTTTATTCAGAAAACTTGAACGGTCCGATTGACTTGATTGAACTCCAGTCAAAGTTGGATATTATTTAACCCGGGAGAATGCTCGGCTGGTATTCTTGAGTAGTGCTTCTTTTGGTAAGGCCGATCTTCCATAGCGGCAAGCTACTCATACGGTGATTCCAAGACCAAAATCCATTCATAGACCGAGGTAAGTAAGTCGTAAATTGTACCTCTTCAAGGAGGCATATAGCTTTGATTATTGTCAAGATCAAATCCTTGATTATGGCCTTCTGTCTCCAATCTCGCGCTTCGTTGCGATGGCCCTACTACACACACGAGCTTCAGTGACAGATCTTAACGTAATGAATTTGACAGTGATGAGCAGGGCAATACAAGCTATTTTCACAATCCTACACAACTGAGATCATAAATTCAATTACTGTTCGAGTAGTAGAGCAATGCGCGTCCATACATGAGTTCGTTTTGATACTCTTTCTATTTGTACTCTATTTAGGTTTGCTCAACCTCATGTCCCAAATTGGTAAGAGCACAATGCCTACATATCTCACGACAATGATGCATAACATAGCAGACTTTCTTCGATTTTTGAATATCTTCTTATGAATACATTGTTGACTTCATGTATTGCTTGAGTACGCCACAATTGTTTATACCGGCTGACCCGGTCGGTGACAAATCCTTACAAGGCGTTACCGAAGCACATTGGCATCCAACGCAGTTCTCGATCCGCGCTGACATGATTGGACAATCATTGATCTCCCCCTCTGCCTTCTGCTCTCTCCTTTCTTTTTTCATGGGAGATCGTCACCCGAATTCGCGGAAGGCGCCATGTTATCTTTCTTGCTTTTAAAGCGGGGGATAAGTGATAAAAAGCATTGCGAGTGGGGTTTTCGAAGAACGTACGTCATTGGCACCAGCGAAACATTCAACCAACCGTCACTACTAGAAGCTAGGGGATTGAGAGAACGGGGGCGTATCCACCAATTCCAGACGCCAAACTGGAAATTGACCATCGCAAATTTGCAAACAGAAACAACCCCATGCTGACTGAAAATGAGTTGTGCGGGACCCGCATCGGAGCTTCTTTTTATTAAGACCTGGGCATTCTGCTCTCCCACCCGCGCTTCATTGAACCTCGTCTCAACCACCACCACGCCCACCAAACAACACAACATATTTTAGTAGCTCCCGCAAGATCATTTCAAAGTTCGAAAATCTACATAAACTAGCAACAATGGTTTACACAATCGTCGTCCATCTCTACGCTAAAGATGACCAGGAGTCCATCACGAAGCTGAAGGCCAAGCTCATCGAGGCGAGCCAAGTCTACAGCAAAGACCGCGAGACGTTGAGCTGGTTCGTTATGCAGGATGTGAGCGACCCAAAGAAGTTCACTATCGTTGAGAGGTATCAGTACGAGAGCGTAAGTTGCCAAACTCCCAGTCTTCGCCGGATCGAGGCTTCGATCATGGACATCGCTAACACGTGACATAGAGCCAAAAATACCACCTCGAGGTATGTCTTATGAATAAGAAGGAAACTAATCTATTTGATGATATATGATGGTACTAATGCACCCAAAGAACCCATACTGGAAGACTTTCGACCCCTACGTCAACCCGCTTCTGGAGAAGCCCATGGATCTCCGCAGGTTCAACGAACTCGATACCGGCAACGTCGGAGGACACTATCACGAGGAGGCAGAGGGCGACACTACAGTTGCAACCATGTACAACGAGACGACCTAGATTTCCTTTATCTTAACTTTTTGAAAAATATGTTATGGCGACATGGCGATACGACCCATCTGGGATTATTTCGGCCGGTGGATCGGAAAATGCAGTAACGATTATTCGGACTTCTAATAATATACTATCAAGCTCAAAACTGGCATGAAAGGCATCAGAGATACTACAAGTGGATGACTTCCGGAGCGCTTGCCGTTTCGCATACTATTGCATTACAGATTCGGTCCTAGCCTTTACTGCGAATCCCCTGCAGCCTTCTCTCCTTGGACGATTTGGAATTCTATAGCTCGGATGCAGGGCAATTAATTTGACAGCCACGCGAAACCGATATTGAAGATCATATCTAGATCCATCTACTTCGTCCTCGGCAACAACATGATTTGCTGACCATATATTAAGGGAACCCCTCGCTTCACCAGATTGAAGAGAACGGCTACGGCAACTTTGCGATCCGCGAGAGGGATTGTTTCGGGCTTCAAGTTCAAAGTTAAAAACAAGCTCACATGATGTGACGAAGAAGATGTATTAATCTTGACGGGATTTTCTATTTACTGATAGGAAATGGCTCCATTGGGTTGAGCCTTGCTAATACCCTATTCGAGACTTTTGAGACAATCATGCATTGAAGGCACGTTCCTTGACAGCAGGCTTTACGACCTGGAAGTCGACGCACGATTCATACGTCTGCTTTGCGCCAGTTCCAAACCACCACCATTGAAGGACCTGAAAATCAACATCAGCTCACCACATTCACAAAATCCAAATTCGGAAGATATAGACTTACACAATCACCAGCATTCGCGCACTTCTCCTCCAAACCGGTCGGCACCTTAATACTGAACTCCTTCTGGTCGAGCGGGGCATCCTTCTCAGTCCTGCCAGGCGCATAACCCTTACTCCACACCTTCAACATATCCCCGACGATCGTGTTTGTCTTCGTGTCAACGATGCTCACGTTCGCGCTGCCCTCGTGCGGAATGCGAAGCCACACCTTGATCGGGACCTCCTGGCCGGCAGTCCACTTCTGAACGTTGGCGGCGTTGTCGGCGAACTGGAGGCCCTTGCAGAGCCAGAGGTTGCAGAGCGCTGGCTTGTAGTTTTTGTCTTTGGCGGCGGCGGGCGGGAGAGCTTCGACGTAGGAGGTGTTGTCTGAGTTGATCTGGGAAGCGACGCCAGAGCCGCAGTTTGCGGTCAGTGTTGCGCCGGTCGGGCGGGAGGGTGGAGATTGGATGAGGCCGTGGCCGAGGACGGCGGGGATCAGGGCTACGATGGCGACGGCGGAGAAGTGCATGGTGATGTTATGATGGATGGAATCGTGGGAGGGAGGTGAGTTGAGGTCGATGCTGATGTGGGGATAGAGACATTCTCGATAAATCCGGGTCCATCTTTTATATCTGAGTTTTCTGTATACGCGGTAATGCCTTCCCAATTTCTAAGCGACATATGGGTTTATATGAAGTTTAGAGACTGTTTGGTTGTTCTTCTGTGGTAGCCATGGGTTGTGGACAAATGGGAAGGGGTGAGGTAAATTGCATTTTCGGTAGATTGTCCTCCCGACTCCATAGACCGGGGCGGAAAAGGTCATTGTCAATATATCCAAATATCTTTCTACCGAACATTACCGCGACGATCATAGCACCGTGCTGACAATGGTCAATGGGGCGGTGCAGAGAGAATTGTTCAAAGTATAAACGTAGATAAAGCAAGCAAGACACGAAGGAGTCGGTTGCCCGAAACAATAACGATGGGAATTGTCGGTAAGTGATCAAACGACTTCAGATGGACTGATTCCTGCTCAAAGAAGTAATCGGTTGATTGAAAAACGTAAGTACCATGATATCATACAAAATAGAAGACAATAGATCGGGTATTTGTGGTGAGTATTGCTATTCCCTTCGATGCTTTGGAACAATAGCAAAGTAAATCGACATTCGTAGCCAGTATGCGCCCATTCCTGACTCTAGACGTCATGCAATCTGGGGTTGCTCCTTGAGAACAAACCTCCTGGATCGCAATGTCTTTAACAAGGTCCGGTAGCGCAGAGTCCCTCGTGTAACATTCATCGATTGTAGTCTTAGATCAATCGTGATGCTTCATGGTCTTTGCTACCACGATGCCCAGGATCATCATGCAGAAGAATGCGGTCATGAATGTGGCCGCAACCATGAAGCAACAGTGACGCTCATTCTCGCGGCGCTCTCTGGCTTGCAATTGCACATCGCACTGTTCGCAGTGCACATGCGGTTTCGGTCTGAAAACACCAGCGATTGTCTGTGCAAGGGTTTCGGGCTCTTGTGCGGGGCCTGGGCTTGCGGTAGGTTGGTTGGCCGTGTGCGCATGAAGCTCAACGTCGTCTTGAGGGACGGCAGCATACTGTTGATGACGTCAAATTGCGGTCCAAGCGATCATCATGATTAAATCAAGTGTCTACGAGCAAGTACTTACTGCTGAATTCGACCCAGATGGCGGAAATTGATTTACTGGATGGTCGTGGACTACATCATCGTAGGCCGGTGCTGCGTCTTGCTGTTGCAAAAATGGTAGGCCCATGCTGCTAGAATTATGGCGAACAATAGTAAAGATATATGAACGGATGCTGCTATGACCAAAACCCTAGAGATCAGGATATGGGACGTGTTTTATGATGTCTCTGTTCCATTCAGCTGATCTTCCTGCTATGAGTAGGATCTCGGTTGGACTGATGATGGAGGGCTGTGCTGCGCCGCGTCATCCGAGCGCCACAAGTCTCTCGACGAGTAAGATCGCACCCTTTGTGTATTAGAGCTGTTGCCTGGGCGCCTTACACGAATTTTTCCTGAGTAGGTCAGAAACATGGAGGTGCAGGATTTGGTTGTAAGTACGAGGTACGAGTACTTATCGGTGATTGCTCTCTGATAAGGTACTATCGTATTGCAACAATCCGGGGCTGCGTAAAGGAATGGAGGTGCTGCATACAAATATCTGGCGTCTTTTTTCTGGCAGGGCTGCACCGCCCAATGGACGAAATCTATCGTTTCTTTTGAGCATGTTTAGTGTATACGATGAGTGCAAGTACTCCGTACAAAGTAGGTGGTTTTTTGTAATGGAAAAGCTGGGGTGAATCTGATGCATCAAGCCACCACTAGACTTTGACACGTGACCTGTCTCTCCTTAAGTCTGTGTCGATTCCCCTCTGATCTCGTTGTCTCTTCATCCACGCGAGACCAAAATGACGATTCTCATAAGCATATATGTTTCTTTCGGCTGTGGAGAGCGATTCTCCGTTCCAGCTTCCTACTGACTACCTAACAAGGCTACGGCCGGAAGAGCCATGATCTGCAGTGACACAAAATACATCCATCCCATCTCACTTGAGTGAGTACGTAGGTACCTATATCAGCAGGCCAGGTGCGTGCAGAAAACACCAAATAACGATTATTGGAGGATCTAGAGATATGCCTCATTTTCTACACAAGGTTCATTTCACAACATCTTCCAATAAACTTACCATCGATGTCTGGTCCGACGACTACGACGACGACTACGAGTGGCGACATGGGTATCGCACCAGCACGCCAGCAATGTGCTCGTTCTCCTTCCCTTTTAGCCCAAGAGATAGGGACATAAGCATTGACAAGCGTCGCAGCCGAGGCTTGATCGTGAGCTTAAAAGTTGCTTGACATTGGAATCGCCGGCACTAATTGTTATCAACAAATCAAGATTTATGCCTGCAGTGGTTTTCCCCCGCTTAAGCAGTAATCATAGACGATTGTCTACTCCGTCCAGGCCCCAGTCATGCTCGGACGCGGATGGTGTGGGTAAACGAATATAGGGCTTTGCTCAAAGGGGCAGGTGTGTCACCAAGATTTCGACAATCTATATTGTCATTGCACAGCATAGCATGTACCATCCGCCTGAGAGCTTCGCGCATCTTCCACTTTCCGCATCGTGTCGCCATTCTGTTTATCCACACCGTCAGCCTCTACCAGGGGGCGAAGACACTAATTCCCTGCCACCACGCATCCTGGACTCCCAAAATTTGGGTCGCTGACCTTCTTTTCCTGGCAATAATGGACTTGCGAATACTGCCGAAATGCCGTCATGGATGGCAGGGTTTACTTCAAATAGCTGCGATTTCGCCTTCATTCCTCTTTTCCTGCACTCAAGCCTTCTCGTTCCGATCTGACGTTCCCAATCATGAGGTTTCTATCAATTGCAGGAACTTTGCTCTGTGCAACCTCTGCCTTGGCGGGTAGTTCGTTACACAAACACAAAGTCTTCAACAAGGCCAGGCCGGTAGTAGAGAAGCGCGAGGCAAGCCAGGCATTCAAGTCTCCAGAGCTCCAGAAACGAGCATCCCGTTTTCTCACAGAGAAAACCAAGGGTAAGACCAGAAGTACCTAATTCTAAGCGCCATATACTAAAAGAATCCTAGAATTTGCCGTCAATGGTACTGGCATTCCTGAGGTCCCCTTCGACGTTGGAGAGTCATATGCCGGATTGCTGCCCATCTCTGACGACCCAGACGAGACCCGTAAACTTTTCTTCTGGTAAATGACACCCAGTAGTCAGACATGCGCAATCAATGGCTAATTGACTATAGGTTCTTCCCAACTACCAACCCTGACCCTCAAGATGAGATCGTCATCTGGTAAGCCATCCGTGTAAATGAGCTATTCGCACAAATATCTAACTCCGCTTAAGGTTGAATGGCGGTCCTGGATGCAGTTCATTGAGTGGTTTCATCACCGAGAATGGTCCTTTCACATGGGAAGCCGGCACATTGGCTCCAGTCCAGAACCCCTATAGCTGGACAAACTTGACCAACATGATCTGGATCGAGCAGCCCATCGGTGTAGGATATACCCAGGGGACTCCTAATATCACGGATGAGGTTGAGTTAGCCACTGAGTTCCGTGGTTTCTGGAAGTCTTTCTTTGACACTTTCGAGCTTCACAACTGGAAGACCTACGTGACGGGCGAGTCTTATGCTGGGTACTACGTCCCCTACATTGCCGATGGATTCATTCAGCAGAATGACACCGAGTACTTCAATCTCGCTGGCATCTCTATTAATGATCCAATCATTGGAGATGATACTGTGCAGCAACAAGGTAAGAAACGTGGGACCTCATATAGTGCGAGTACACCCGCTAACCCTGGTCCAGTCGTTGTCCTCCCCTATGTGGAGTACTGGAACAACCTCATGTATTTGAATGAGACCTTCCTTGACCAGATACGCAAGCGCAATGAGGAGTGCAACTACACCTCCTACTGGGACACCTACTTCAAGTTTCCTCCACCATCGGGCCCTTTCCCCGTCCCACCTGACCCCTACGAGACCGATGACCTGACCTGCAGCCAATTCGACACCGTCTACTCTGCAGCTCTCGAAGTCAACCCTTGCTTCAACATCTACCACATCACCGAGACCTGCCCCCATCCCTTCTCCCAGCTCGGCATAGTAAACTCAGGAGACTACAGCCCCCCGAATGCAAAGATCTACTTCAACCGCACCGACGTGCAGGAAGCCCTCCACGCTGTCGTCGGCACCAACTGGCTCCAATGCTCCGACATCAACGTCTTCGGCAACGGTAACGGCTCCTCCAATGCACAAGACGCCTCCGTCGGCCCTGCCAACAACGGCGTCCTCCAGCGCGTCATCGAATACACCAACAACACCATCATCGGCTCCGGCGACCTTGACTTCCTCCTCAGCACCAACGGCACCCTCCTCGCCATCCAAAACATGACATGGAACGGCGCCCAGGGTCTCCAGGAGTATCCGAGCAAGCGCCTCTACGCCCCTTACCACCCCGAGTACAACGGCGGCGCTCTTGCTGGCTCCGGCGTCCAGGGCTCTTGGAGCCATGAGCGTGGCCTCACTTTCTATACTGCCCAGCTCGCTGGCCATGAATTGCCCGGTTACACTCCCGGCGTCGCGTTCAGGATGCTCGAGATCTTGCTCGGAAAGGTCGACGACTTCAGCAGCACTGAGGGATTCACGACTCAGAAGGGAAACTTCACCGGAACTGGTATCATTTATAAGAGGGAGAGTGAGAGCTCCATCGAGGTGGATTCGCTGATCTAGGAGAAGAATGATAGTGGATCTTAGATTATTTATGAATATTTATTGAGAATATATAATGTGATCACTAAATCTTGTTATTTGTCACACGCACTGGTTGTATTGCACTACCACGCGTGATCGTAAGTGGGCCAAGTCGCGATACCTGCATATCAACTTAACAGCGACCATTCCTAAGCTCTCACAGCAAAAGCCGCCCTGCCAATCTACTCCCCAAAAGGCGTGAACTTCTCCAGCACCCCCTCCGCCTCCTTCGAATCTCTCAGCAACACCTCCCTATGCGCCTCACTCCTAATCGTGATATCGCACTCAAACTTCTGCGGCCTAATATTAAACCCCTCCGTATACTTAAACGTATCATACACCACCCCCTTCCTCGGCGCCACATCAAACGCCCACAGAATCTTCGCCAGCGCAATGAACAAGCTATTCGCCGCCAAATCCGCGCCCGGACAAATCCTCCTCCCCCACCCAAACGACGAATGTCCCGCCTTCGCAGGGTGCGCGCGGCCAGACAACGGCGTCAAATTCTTCGCGCGCTCCGCCATCGCGGAGTCGAGGAAGCGCGTGGGGTCGAAGTGGTGCGGGTTCGGGTAGTACTCTTCGTTGAGGTTGATGGCCCAGGAGTTGCCGAGGATGGTCGTGCCGGACGGGATGTAGTAGCCCTCGTAGTGGTCGTCTTCGGTGGAGGCGTGCGGTGTGCCGCCGAGCACGGCGACGGGGCGCCAGCGGAGGACTTCCTTGGCGAGGGCGCGGATGTACGGGAGATGGGGCTCGTCGTCGAAGGTTGGGGAGCGGGAGGGCCCGATTACGGAGTCGAGTTCTGCGTGGGCGGCTGCGAGGGTATCTGGGTGTGTTACGAGAGCTAGGAAGGCGCTGCAGAGGGTGGAGGCGGTTGTGTCGGAGCCGGCGCCGAAGAGGGAGGCCGGGATGTAGCTGAAGTCGCGGTCGGAGAGGGGGATGTGCTCTTTTTCCCGGAGCTCGAGGAGCAACTTGCAGAGGGAGTCTGGGATGTCGTCGCCTCGAGTCCTGGCTCGGGCGAGGTCGGAGCGTACGACGTCTACAAGAGCCATGTTCGCGGTCGCCTCTTCGCGGCCGTGGGCTTTGATATCGGCCTTCCATGGGGCAAGTACGTCGGGGATGTATTTCAAGAAAGGCCAAGATTCGACCATGTATCTTCCGGGAACATTAAGGGAGGCTGCATATGTCATGAACTTGAAGCGATCACGAATGACCTCTGCGTTCAATGAATCGATGCGATGCCCATATGCAACGGAGAAAACTATGCTGGAGGTATATCGTTCGAGCAATTTCTCCCAATCGGCAGGTCTATCCAGCAGATGTTGGCATAGGCGAGATGCCTCCGCTGTCTGGGCCGGTTTATACATTTTTAATGCTTTAGGAGTCATGGCTTGGTGAAGCAGTTTCCTTCGAGTGCTCCATTGCTTGCCATATGGTTGCACCAGGATGCTAGCACCATCCCAAAGAATCTCGCCCATTGCCACCATACGCGGCCGCGATGAGTACTTTGTGCTTCGTTTCTCCAGAAGCTCCTGTGCAATGACTGGATCCGACAGCACTATGGTTGGTTTTCTTCCTATCCAGATTGTGAAGATAGGGCCGTATTTCTTTGACCAGTCTTGAAATTGAATCCATGGTGACTTTTGCGGAAGCTGGAATTTGTTGCCTACGAAGGGAAGAGGAGTTGGGCCAGGGGGCATTCGCATCCATACCCATATATCATGGAGCAGTGTTACGACTGGAATCACGAGGATCAGCGAGAGCCAGGCATAAGGTGGCCATGAGGCGAACGCCGATGTAATCGCCATGTCAACAACTCGCTGTACAGAAAGGATTGAAAGGACAAGTAAATTGTCTCGCGTGTTGAAGGGGGATCACGTTGGATTTGTTATCGAAGGAGTGAGGAAAAAGGCGTCAGTAGTCGGATTATCGACCCTTCGGCAGTTGTTCAAGACCCGCTTGTAAGCCTAGTCATAGGTCTTCTCCACGAGGTCAAGCTTTCGTAGTGGGAGTTGATGTGGGGTTGGCGTTGTCGTCTGAGAACGGCAATCATCCTCCAGCCGTATTGCTGCTGGTCATTCGGGTAAAGGCATCGGCTGTCGAGGGAGAAATCCTGACGGGAATTGGAGAGCAGGTCAATACTCAAGTATTTGTTCCAGGGGAATAATGCTTGAGGGATTGGCGTCACAATAGGTGTCTAGGTAGGTTCGAGTATGGGTTCTTATGCTTCGAATTTGGGGGGTCGTGGTTGGTCAACCCGGGTGGCGGGATGAAATCGGCGCCGAACCAACCGAGGTGGAAGCGCAACGTGGGAGGAGGTCCATTGAAGCGACAATCCTGGGGTAGCGGGGCAATTCACCTGGAGGGGATCCCACACCCCACAAGCAAGGTATGAGTGGGAGAGGCATGGCTACCTCAGAGACATCTTATATCTGACCTCAGCGCTCCTCATGATGGCACTCAGACACAGAATAACCAGATTTGGGCGGATCATTCTTCCCTGCGTCCGATATATTGTCCTTAATATTTAAAGACCTGGTCTGCTACGACCCAATATAAATAAATACTTGTTAATCACGCAACTCATTATATCACTTGTCATATACCCGGTCGTGACCTCCTCACATTTCAAGGTTTACTGTCATTTTTCTTTTCGAAAATGACAGACACAAAGCCCCTCTCCGATGTTCGAGTTCTGATAGTTGGCGCTGGCTTCGCCGGCCTGACAGCCGCCATTGAAACCCGAAAGCGAGGCGCATCAGTCATTGTCTTCGATGGAAATAAAGAGCGGAGACAACTCGGCGACATTATCTCATTTGGCTCCAATTCAGGCCGCATTTTTAGGAGCTGGCCTGGTGTCGAGGGGAAATTGGACCCAATCTGCCATCACAGTGATGGCCTCGAGTTCCGCGCTTTCGATGATGAGTTTCTGACGAAGCAGATCTGGGATTCCGAGGCCAACTGGGGAAAGCGCTTCAACGGCCACAGGGGCGAAATCCACGAGGCGGTATGGGATCATGCCGTCGATCTGGGTGTGGAGATCAGGTTATCATCTAAAGTGTCAGAGTATTTTGAGACTGATAATGAGGCTGGTGTCATAGTAAACGGAGAGCGCTTTGCTGGAGACGTCGTCTTAGCGGGTGATGGTGTGAGAAGTACGGCAAGAACGATAGTCCTTGGGTTCGAGGACAAACCAAAGAGCAGCGGCTATGCTGTGTACCGGGCATGGATGGGTACCGAGGGACTGAAAGCCAATCCATTGACTGCATGGTTGGCAGACCCGACCATTGACCACCACGTGGGCTGGCTGGGGCCCGATGTCCATTTCCTGGTAGCTACGCTCCAGAATGGAACGGCTTGTAGTTGGGTATTGACACATAAGGTAATGCAGTTTCTTGTATTCGTCAAGTACATGCTGACAGTCCGCAGGATGAAGCTGATGTGGAAGAAAGCTGGAACGCTCCGGGCGACATAGATGAAGCTGTCAAGTCTGTAGAAAATTGGGCCCCTATCGTGCACGCTATCATCCGTGCCACACCTCAAGACAAACTGATAGATTGGAAGCTCGTCTTCCGCGACCCTCTACCAACCTGGATCAGCCCCAAGCGCCGAATAGCTCTCATGGGTGATGCCGCCCATCCATTTCTTCCGACCTCCATCCAGGGTGCTTCTCAGTCTATGGAAGATGGGGTTACCGCAGCAATATGCCTTGAGCTCGCCGGAAAGGCGAATATTCCCGATGCTATTCGTGCATACGAGAAGTTGAGATACCCACGAGTGCTTGCTACGCAGCGAACTGGTATCACGAACCGAGATAATTGGCACAAAGCGGATTTCGACCTGGTGAAGAAGAATCCGGAGGTTGTCAAACTGCCTCGACATGAGTGGGTGCTGAACTTCGATGTGTATAAAAACACCTACGACAATTACGAGAAGACGGTAGAAGAGCTGAGGGCCGAACCGGATTGGAAGCCAGACACTACGTTATAGCTGTAAGTCCCAATCATGTGACTCGTTCGTAGCTGAATATTGTAATCTCTTTCCGCAACCATTGCTATACGTCCATTCAACCTGTTGATTGCAACATGACCGCATGATTAACGGCCTCGAATATCTTGTGTGTACTCCCTTAGTAGAGCCTTTTCTACTGCCTATAGTAGTCTGTTATAGCTGGCCTGCATCGTAGAGTAAACCCATCAGAGAAACTGACTGCTTTATGAATGGACAGTCTCTGGTGAAGGTGGCGATACCTATTTGAAGCGTGTCGCTTCCTTTACTTTCACCTATCGGCCTTACCTTCTTCCGGCCGGCTCGCCTTCACATGAACGATTTTCTTTCACGAAATCTCTCTCCTCGCCGACCTGCTAATCGAGTTGGGGTTCTCGGATACAGATTTATACTTTACACTTCTCCACACTAAGTCGAGACGACAATGGAGTTAGAAGGCTCAGTCCAGACAACAATGGAGTGGAGGATCGATGACGAGGAATACCTGCGTAAGTTTTACAGCGAACCAGGCTCAGAAAACAGATAGTCCGGTGGTTCTAATGAAAGCAGGCATCCTACCCAGGTACTTCGCGATCACAGAAGAGACGAAGAAAGCGGCAGAACGGAGCATCATCACAGACGAAGACCCTTCCAAGTACTTCGCCCACTTCCTGGCATGGTTGGTCGATCCCCTAAAGGCGACAAGGCCGAACGAAGTGCTCCTTCGCAGCATTAGGCATGAGATAGAAAAGTTTGAAGACGAGTACACCAGTATCCGTGGGCTTTCTGATATCGAGCTCTTCTACCATGTCAAAGCTCTCAGAAGCCTGCACCATGTTGGACTTCAGATCAGATCCGCCCCTGGAGGTACTTTCAAAGCCATGAAGATAGGGGTTGAAAGGGCAAGGGATATGGGTGGGTTTCTAACCAACTGCATCATCGTGGAAAATGCATGTAAAGCTCGACAATACGTGGATATTGGGCTTCGACTTGATGTTGAAGATATCGAAGGTTATCCGATGACCGTGGAGGAGGCCGTCAAGTACTATTCCCCACTTTTGGGTCTCGTAGCACCGACAACAAGGAATAATGCATTCAAGAGCAATAAACTCGAGAGGCTTGACCGAGAGCTCGATACAGAATGGATATGGCTTTCTCGTCGTGAAGCTTTCAGGTCCGAAGTGTTGGAGAGAGCTCGGGGGACGGTCATTGACAGCGTTCTAGGAGAGCTGGACACTGAACAAAGCCAGTATTCTCGGGACGTGCTCAAGAAACGAGTCCAAATAGCTTATGATTAGGGGAGGCATGGATATAGAAACGTATTGACACCACAAAGCTCCGTCAACGCCATGGTTGATACGAGAAACTTTTGATGTTCAGTCATTCGAACGATAATAGCAAAATAGCACCTACGTTTGAGTCATACGTCTGTTCTCTCTTCACCCTTTTCTTCTAAAATAAAATATGTGCAAATGCTTGGGAAACCTATGCTAAATCTATCATAACCAAGTGTCCACATATATCCTCTGTAAAACCGCTCGCTACCTCCTCGCCCACCTCAACCCAATACTCTCAGGTGCCTCCATCTCATGCAACATATGTCCCTCATGATCAATCACCAGACTCTCCCTCCAAGCCCTCTCCGTCGCCTGCCTCGGACTCTCCCCACCCTCACACACAACATCGAGCTTCCAATCCCGAAACATCACTGCCAACACCGCCGCGATTTCTGCCTGCGAGAACCTCTTCCCGGGACAGACACGCTGGCCCCACGCCCATGGCAAGAAATGCTCCGACGTATCGGGCGCGAGGACTTCGTGTTCGAAAGTCGCCGTCTTACCTTCAAGCCCTGGTGTGCTGATGAAGCGCGAGGGGTTCCAAGTCATGGCGGATGAGCCCCAGTATCGGGGGAGAGTGTGGAGGGCGGGGAGAGAGCAGTGGACTGATGTTCCTGCCGGAATCGTGTACGATTTGTCGTTGACTTTGATGGGCTGTGGGGTGTTGTTCACGGTTTTGACGAGCTGGGATAGCGGGTGGCATATCCGTAGTGATTCCATCTTTGGGAGGTGTTAGTCGCGTGGCTGATGAATACATGGAAGCAGATAATATGACTTACAATGACAGCTTGGCATCGTTTCAACTTGAAGAAAGAATCGTATGTCCATGCGTGGGGATCGCTTCCGGAGAGGTAATGATTAAGTTCCTCCGAGATCCAGTCTTGCGTCTCTGGGTTCGCGGCCATGTGGATCAGAATGTTGGTGAGGCCAACGGCCGTGGTGTCATTTCCGGCGAATGCGTACACGAAAAGGTTACTTATGATTTCCGTCTCGGTCAATGTCATATTCCTTACGTTCTTGTCAGGCCCATCGACCTGGACCTCGTTGCACGCTCGAACTAATCGGGCCACGAGATTGTCTCGGTCAGGCTTCTTTTCGGCGATGTGGGCTCTTTCCTCGTTCATCAAGGTCAAAATGTAAGACCGGAATGTAGCCACTGCGGCAGAAGCTCGTTTGAATGATTTCGGGGTCCACCATGCTTTCAGGCCCTCCTCGCCAAAGACTAGAATTTGGATAACAGATATCAGGATAACTCCCAGGGAATCACGATACTGGTATGATTGATCATCGGAACGCTTGTTAGCATCCACTTTGCCGTACCCTTCGAAAGGGTAGGGCTGATCAAACAGAGCCGCCGCCAGGACGTTGAGCGTGAAGATCTTTGTATCGTCATGCACAGTCCTAATAGCCTTCCCGCCTTTCTGCTCAACCAACCAATAATCCAACATTCCCTTCGCTTGCGCCAGCGACTGAACCCAGACCAGTTCGTTATTCTTCTCCGTGAAGGTAACCGCCGTCATCTTTCGATGACGCTGCCACTCCTGATCGTCCGTCGTCGCCAAATTCTTCCCATACACATTGATAACAGCGAACTCCTCCATGTTCCGTCGGAAATCCGTCCTCCGCTGTAAAATGTCATATATCGTCTCCGCATTAGCCACGCAGAGCTGCAGACCCCCAGGATGCGCCACGAGAAACATTTCCCCATGCTCTTCGTGTATAGTCGCACGCTCATTTGCCTCCCATCCGAACGGGTAGATGCGCCTCAGACGATCTGTAGCTAAGCCGAACCGCTGCAAGAACTTCACGATCGATGTTCCGTACAGCAGCCAAAAGGGATTGATCGGTGCTACCCATCGTGTTATGTACGGAATACCTGACGCCTTCGCGATTGCACAGTTCCTTGCGAGACATTGTGCCGACCAGAGGAAGAATCCAATTGGAAGGGCGAGAATCGTGAACGCGATGGCTAGGAAAGCCATGTTGAAAATTCACTTATCCAAGGATTTCTGTCATGTGGGAACGCGTTTTTGTTGTAATCACTGTATGCGCGCCACAAATGGGCTTTCGCACGATAGAGCATTGGAGATTCCGCCATGGTCAGCGCTAAACTCGCCGGGCCTTCGTTAGGACAGGCCTGTCGCGTGTTGGCCAACTGCGCCGCAGATACCACTGGTAATCAAACACCTGGGACCTAATTGGTCGGGAGATTCGATGTCGAACTTCATCTCGAACTTGATTGTGGAATTGGAGGATCATGTATGTCTCGCCATTTCGGATGAGGGGAACAGACCCAATTTGCAGTGATGTTCACGCATTGTGGCGTAAAGACACCTCTATAGTAGGTGAAGTGATAAGCACGACCTGCAGTTGGTCGATGGGTAGATTGAATAGTAGGTTGCAAACGGTGATATTTCTCAGGGAGTTAGTAGAGTAGGGAATCGTCTAAACTCTTTCATGATTCCCTAATCTATCTACCTAATTATCGATATTAATCCTCCGAGCGCCGCCCCCGTGACCTCTGAATAGCCTCACTTAATGCCACCAAGGCCCAATTCAAGACCCGCTTGCTTGGTTTGTTTTTTCTTTGCAGAAACAAATGGTCTTATCTCGCCCATCTAGGGCTGAGAGCCCGTTTCATACAACTGCCAAAAACACAATTTCAACATATAACCTGAACAATGATCCTCGGCCAAAAGGACAATTTCCAAACCATGTACCTACGCGCGATCTTGCTGAGCGATTTGCGGTGTGCCGACTTCGATCCTGTCAACTGACCCTCAGGCGAGGACGATTCCGTAGCTCAGAATGCTCGAACATATCCATCCAAGTCTCTAAGAACAGGACGAAATCCCGTCTTTTCCATTGTATCGTTTGGCTTTAATCGGAGTTACTCATATGCTGCAAGACTTACCTCTCAATACCAACAGCAGAATTTCCGCCCCCAGCAACGGCAGCATGCTTCGCCCCCAACAATTCATAAACTTTGCCGCGTCTCGCCCCAGCCCCTATTGTAACTTTTCGTTTGTCCTTCAGATAGTGTAGTCTCCGAAAAATGTCTCACGTCAATAACTACAACGTCCTCGATGTTTGCGGAGCCCGCAGCTGGTGAATGTCGACCACTGCGAATAACAAACAGCTCAACTGACCAGGTACTCTTCGCGTCTTGGGATTTTGTTTTCGTTGATCGAACTCGTATGTTCAAATTTCAATAGCACTGCTGAGCTGGTTTGTTGTCTTGGGGCGAAAGATGCACGATGGTACTTTATCACATCCTTGGGTGGCCTAATACGCGTTCATGAATTTCGCAAAAGCGTCACTATCGGCCCATCGGCCGGCGGAATTGCACTAGCAGACAAGACTGATAGGAGGCGCTTGACAAGTCGTCCAGCAGCTTTCGATAAAGAATGTGTTGGATTCAGCTGTAGATGTCACATTGCAGAAGAAAGGATGGGGAGATTAATGACAATCGTTGTTCTGACTGAGAAAAAAGGATGATTGAGACAGAGGACGATTGAAATGTCTATGGTCGATTTAAGTGCGGCAGCAAGTCATAAGAGAATAGAATTAATGTTCAACTGTGATGCGATCAAAGATCAAATGTCCATCTAAGCCTTTGAGTGTTACCACATGTGCTTGCTTTTGTCACCCTCCACCAATGGCATGACGAGCTGGTTGTGCTGACAGGTATGCGACAAAAAGGCTCCGAAGGATGCAATGCTAGGAGATAGCTCCGATTACGCGTTTTTATAGTTGGACGCCTATCAATTGGGCCCAACGCATAATCACAACTAGGAAGCTTCTATTATCTGTGACCACCCTGTAATTCAGCTCTTCTCCAAAATCTGTAACTAATTCCATAGCTGTAAGAGCTTGCAGAAGTGCATTCGACGGATGGCTTTCTGTAATAATGAATGGCCTTGGAGCGTCCAACCGAGATGCTCGCTTGCAAGGATTTAGATGGAGCTTGCACAAGCGATGTCGAGGCTAGGGAGGGGCATTATTCCGTACAGGTGGCCCAAGTGAAGATCGCTGCATTGACTTGGTCGCGAAACGGCAGCCAGATCGGGAGGTCAACGACGACAGTGTTTACCCATTGATCGTGGTCTGGAACGCGCATAGGCAGCCCGGGCCGGGTGTATCTAGTAGAATTTGAGTGGGCGGCTGAGGCTGACAATTGCCAGTTCGCAAGTTGAATACAGGACTGAGATCCTGCCCAAGCAACATCGACCCTTCGTCTTCGGGGAACGTTCACGATTGATACGTGTCTGATTGAATTGGAAGCAACAGTGTTGGTGGATTTCCGATACTAGCGATAACACGTGACCAACGATCGCTACGTAAACGGAGAGTTTCAGGACGGATGGGCAAGATCCGGTCGTCACAAACCCGCGTCACTTTCCAACCGTCATCTATTGTTGTGCACCGCCAATGGCAATGGGTTGTCCTTAGTGGCTTTTGCGAAAGACCAGGTGTAGACTCCTCCATATTGTAACCGACAGCTACCAGCTAGGGCACAGCTAGGGCAAAGTGCACCGGCTCGAACGCTCGTACGCACTATGTTTCGGCAAGCCAACAACCGCCACTATGTATGGCCCTGGGCCTCGTAGCTCCGCAGAGAGCTTTGGCGTTGAAGCAGGGAGGGTTTGCTAGGGCTAGCGATTTAAGAAGGCGCGAATGTCGCATTGGCAATTGCCGCTACAAATATGACACTTTCACCTTGATGCCCACATCGGTTCAAATGGGAGTGAACCCCTCGATCTTCCCTTCATCCTAAATTCCACCGTTTATGTACTATCATCCATTATGGCAGTTCTAGATGCCATAGGGCGTGGGACGGGATCTCCTACTATCTCCCTACTCGTCTTTTCCTGTGTTCTATTCGTCATTTACGTATGCTACCACACGTATCAGCGTCGCGTCCCCTCAAACGCTCCACCAACAGTCAAGGGCGACATTCCACTCACGGGGGTTTGGGATTTCTGGACAAGACGATGGGACTTTTACAAACAGGAAATAGACAGAGCACCGACGGGAAACTTTAGCTTCCATGCGGGCCCGAATACATTGGTTGGGCTCTCTGGTGAGAAAGGCCGGAAACTCTTCTTCGAAAGCAAAGAGCTCGGATTTACGCAAGGGTAATTATGGTCACGAAGGCAGTAGAATTCATATTGATTATTGAACAGTTATGCTGTGCTGTTTGGTTCATCGCCAGAATTGAAGGACCACGACGATAAAGAGGGCATAGAAGACGACACGAATAACCACTTCCACAAGCGTATCACACATCTCCTCAAAAACGAACAATTCAGAAAGAAACTACCCACTCTCAAATCCGATGTGCAAGAAGCAATCGAGGCAATTCGGAACGAGCCCAGCGGCGTGACAAACCCCTTCGAGAGTCTCTATCGCATTGTGTTCCGTTTGACCATCCGCATGGTCGGCGCAGACGAAATTGCTGAAGATCCACAATTGCTCGAATCCTGCTTGAAATACTTCGAGATGATCGACCAAAGCGCCACCGCGGCCTCCGTCATGTTTCCCAAGTTTCCCTCTCCTGCTCTTCTCAAGCGAACCTACGCTGGCGCTCAGCTCTACAGGATGGTGCAGGGACTGGTCAAAAAGAGAGCGGACAGTGGCGAGAAGCACGACGATGCCCTCCAGTATATGCTCGATCAGGGCGACCGCATGTTCAAGATCATCGAATTCATCGTTGGCGCGCTATTCGCTGGTCTACTTAACAGTGGTATCAATGCAGCGTGGGTAATGTGCTACCTAGCTACATCTCCAGAGTGGCTTGCAAAAACCCGAGAAGAGGTCCGCCGCACGGCAGCTAAGTACGCCACTGACCCGAGCGCCCCGCTCTACGTCCAACTTAACGATGTACCACTCGAGGCATGGGAGGCGGAATTTCCTCTCATCGACATGTGCCTTCGTGACTCGATTCGTCTGAATCTTCTCGGGACCGCCTTCAGGAAAAACATATCGGGCAAGCCCATCCCCACAGGTCATGGTGACGAGGTCATCCCTCCTGATGCTTTCATAACTTATGCATTGGGCGACATTCACTACGATCCCAACATCTATCCCGACCCGCACAAATGGGATCCTGCAAGGCATATGCCCGACCGCGCCGAGGACAAGAAGGCACCTCACGCATTCCTCGGATGGGGAGTGGGACGACACCCATGTTGTAAGTCACAATAATCTTAACTACCGATTGAGAACATTGGGCTAACGGATCATCAGTGGGAATGCGCTTCGCCAAGTTAGAGCAGAATATCATCACCGCATACTTCCTCGCAGCCTTCGACTTCACGTTGCAGGACGAGCAGGGGGTCACAATGCACGAGGCACCGAAGGTCAACGTCAATGGCCATTCCGCCCAGAAGCCATCGCCGCGGCAATTCTTGAAAGTGAGACCGCTGGAAAAGTAGCTCCGTCTCTTCTCGAAGAAACAATACCGCACCGAAGATTATAATCCGTTGCCATATGTAATGTTCTCCATGTAGAAGAGCTTGAACATTTTAGTGCACGGATACGGACTTTGTATTCACATTTGTAGCGTTCAGTAAAGTTTTCGCGTTAACATAATCCAAAATTCTAAAGTACGCAGTACATATGGCTTTGATATTGCACGATGCTAGGTCTGAGAATCTTCCCGAACATCCACCTAAAGCTCCGAGGTCTATAGTAGTGACACACGATGGCTCATGCTGTGCAACAGATCGGTACCATGACGACGGCGTAGCAATGGGACGGGCCACGCGCCAACACAACCTTCTGAAGAAGTCGCCTCCACCAAGACCATGTGCGGAGATTCTATCTACTGGGATTCCTAGATCGTATTGTCATATCGAGAGGCGTTGTCCACCCGATACTGCCGTCTATGTCGTTGATGTTACCGAAGGCTCGGAAGCTGGGTTGTGTGGCTGCAGGAGAAGTTTACGCGACGGCACACAATCGTCCTTGTGGGTTTCTTGGAGGGACCCACAGGGCTGGGGGCGTTGTTGTTCCGATGGGTGAGAAGGTTTCTCTGTGCCTATATCGCAATGGGACGAGAGTGAGCGACTATCCGCGGTGGATATTTGTCGCATCGCTCGAAGTTTAACCCGCCACTGAATTCTTCCTCCATCGATCTCAGATACCCATTTTCCATCTTTAGGTCATTGAAATCCAATATTCCATCAATCTCTCAATCCGCACCCTCCTTCCCCACCTCCTCAACTACTGCCATTTGCTCCCTCCATACCTTCTCCACCAACCCCCTTTCCTTCCTCTCCCTCTTCTCCGCCTTCCTGCGTATCAAATTCCCCTTCCTATACTCTCTGTATGTCCCTTTGAATTCCACCTGTTTTCCAGCCGCGAGCTCAAATACCACCGGCTTAGGCTCGAACACAAACGTCGTCGCCTTTGTCTTTGGTTTTTGAACTACACATGGCGTGGAGATATCTCCCTGCGCGGCGGAAGGAGTAGGAGGAGGGTTGTAGCGAGGTCGTTCTATCACGACGCCGTCTGCGCGCTGGGTTGCGCGGTATGGTTTGGTGGGAAGTGATGGTGAAATGGATGGCGATGGCATTGAGAGATGGATGCGGAGGTTTAGGGAGGCGGTTTGTGATATCGATATTTCTTGGCCCCTGACATCTTCTGGCGGAAAAGATGGTTCTGGTGTTGTGCGCATTGTGTTGGTTTCAAGTTGTGTTATGCTTTGCTGTGTATTGCTGATGGTGTCTATTTATTATTGATTTTATCGATGTGACTGACGTATTTGCGAGATAGTGGCAGGTGCCATCAAAACAACCTCCTAATTATGATTCAAGTACGGAGTATATATGAATGTCAGAACACTCATACATCAAACTCCACTCCTCGTCATCTTATCCCATAGCGAGTGAGCGCGCCACATATGTGCGCCTCCTTGCGCGACGTTCTAGACCGTATCCACAGCCCCTCGCCGTTGTTCCCCTGGCAAACATGCAACATCACGTCCAAACAACACAACTTTGCAGCAGATGGCTATGAGTTCAACGAATCAGTTCACGTGTCATGGATGCACGATATATCTTGACAGAACGGCTGACATGTTCTAGAACTGCCTCTTTTTCTTCTCTACTGGCCTTTGGTGTGCAGTGGCTTTCGCGAGCGTTCAGCTCGGAGTTGCGGTGCGGTGTCATGCACAGCCCGCGAAGCGAAGCGGGGCGAGGCGGGGGGTTGTGGCTTGTGATGTCATAATGTAAGCACTCTAAGTTGTCCTGTTGAACCCATCTGATGCTTCACATTAGGCTTTTGTAGTCTTATCATGAAATCCGGTAGAGGTTCTAGATTCATGTCGTTCAAGGAGTGCGAGGAGGACAACAATGTAGATGACATGGTATCGACGAATGGGTGAGCAACGAAGATGATGTCATGAACATCTCAGTCTTTATGTTGGACATACAGACTGCTTGAGTGAGACGTACATCGATAAGTACTCTGTTCGGTATGTTATGGTGTTATATCCAACCGAATTGTCTCTTACGAGTCATTCTAAAGGTGTTGGTGCCCAAATCATTACAGTCAAAGCTGATTGTCATATTAGGATCACATTACTCAAGGTCTACACCAACACTTGACAGACGTTCAACATTCGACACTATAACAGTCCCATGTTATGAAGCTCGCTTTCCCACTCACGACTTCCTCCAAGGCTGAACGTTCAACACCACCCTTCTATACCTCGTCATCGGAAACTTCGCTCCAATATCCTTGACCGCCAGCACGACATGCAGGACAGGGCACTTCGACCTCTCCCCCCATTGCCCAAACTCTGTGACATCCTCAGCAAGCACGCAGAACCCATCGCTGGGCTCCGGAATCGCCAATTCGACCATCCTCCTCGCGGACCCTTCAACCGCCGTGATGTTTACCAACGGCAAAGCTCCCGCCGAGAACGTCGCCTCGCGGTCCTGGAACCACGTGAAGTTCAACTCCGCGTCTGGTCCGTCGAGGGAATACGATTCCCCAGCATCCAAGACAACCTTCTCCCCAACCTGAACATTCAACTCCAGAGCCTTGAACCCACAACTCCCGTTCAGCACCACGACGGGAGGATGCGTCGTGTTCCCCCTCTGCTCACCATCTCCCACTCCACTCCACTCCCCCAGTGTCCACTGCATCCTTGCCGCAAATTCACTCTGCACCGCGTCCCTCCACCTCCAAACACTCGCCTTATTGCTATTGTACGTCTTCCCGTCCGCTCCAATAACCTGGTCAGGTACATCCGCAAACTGCGTCTCGTCCCCTCTGAGCGAGATCCCTGCATACCTCCCACCCCACCCGCCGCGGGACGGGACCTCCGCGTCACCAAGCCCGTTCTGAACATTGAACAGGAACGCGGGGGTGTCGCCTTCCATGATGAATTCGACGTCCGGGTACTCTGCGCCGAGCGGGCCGACGCTCTGCACGTTATCCCGGATCCAATCGTCAGAAACAAGCGACTGGTTCGGCCCACCGACGTCAATGTAAGGGGAGCTCATGCCGACCCACGCGGAGAGCGCGTAGCGGTTGAAGGCGTGGCGGGAGGCGATCCAGCGGATAGAAGGGAAGTGCGCGCGAAGCCAGGGCCCGGCGTCGTCTTGGTCGGAGATGGAGTACACGCGAAGCTTGGAGGTGAAGGTTGAGAGCTGGGTGGGGGAGATGGTCTGGCTGAGGTAGGAGAGTGCTTCTGCGAGCGTATTAGCACCGCCCCACATTTGGATGTAAAGCGGTTCCGAGCTGCGGTCTACGGCGGATATGAGCAGCTTTGCGCCTTCGGAGAGGGGCTGGGATGATGAATTGATGGCCTGCAGGCCGTAGGTTTTAGGCCCACTAGCAATGACGCTGTGGAGATAAGATGGCGTTGGAAAGCCATGGCCTGGGCTGTGCGATTGAAGGTTGGAGTACACAGAGGCGTAAGTGTCGACGAGGGAGTGAATTTGCTCCGGATGCGTGGCGTTAGGGAGCCAGAAGGACGTTATTGCTACGATTCCCTCGACGCGGACGGTGTCCGCGTGCGTCAGGAGTCGCACCAGCGACATCGTGTCGTCGGGTTCATTGGCGATGTCGGTGAGGATGAACACTCGGTCCGGAGCGTCGACGGTCCATGGCTCGCATCGTGGCGCTGCTATCTTGACTTCTGGTGTTGCAAGGGACGAAACGATACCTGGAAGGAGGAGACAGCAGGATAGCAGTCCAAAACTCGTCGTGAGGAACCTCATCATGGATTGATGATCCAAAGGAACCTAATCTACCAAAAAGTGATAGGTAGATCTCAATCAGACAATCCCAAAACATAGCAATGCTGCCACTAGACTTTATATCCCCCCCCCCCCCCTCTTAGCAACCTTCCCTCCACATCCCGCATGCAAAACCATCCGAAATATCAAGAGCCCAAAAATTTTCCCCTCCTCACAGACAAGGACCATCGCCTTTCAGAAAGAGGAAAGGAATGGAAATGGTCAACGTAAAAACCTACCCAAACACAGCCTAGCGCCTTCTTCCCCGGACCAAAGTACCCCACAGTTAATGGGGATCATGCGGGTGGGCCCCGTCGTCGGTAGATGAGAGGTAAGGATTGGGAAGTGCTTAGCGACGAATAACTGGGGGGATAGACACGTGAGGTGGCTATGGGTTCCGTTTCGGGTCATGGCGATGATGTCGATGACGGCGGTCAGGGAATGGGAGGGGGATTATTCTCGTCGTTGGCAGGGATGGGATGGAAAGGTTTCTTTCGTGCGTGCGTGCGGAGATGCCTGCCGTAATGGACAAACGGGACCACATTGACTTGCGATTTCAATCTCCGCATCAATTGAACAGTCCACAGAGCAAAGGCATCATCGTCATCACCAAATGTGCAACTCACGCACACTAATGTATATGGTTTTTGTGAACAGTATATATTTTGATTTTGAGATTTCAGTAGAAAAGATTAGCACAAAAACGCTCCAAATTCATGTTCAACATCAGCATCAGAAATAACATGCGTGGAAATCTTGGTTCCTTTCCCGTTTTCCGTTCCGTTCCCTTCTCCCCCTCCTCATAAGATGCCCTGAACTCGTACTTCGTTAAGTGAAAGTTTAATAGAGATCAGGGTAATAGACTAAAAAAAAAGAGTAGGAAAATTAGGTTTTGTTATGGTTACAATCTAATGGTCATGCGGCAAAAAAAATCATGGGAAAGCAAGGCAGAAGCCAAATTAAGCCTTGCTTAGCAGCCTGAGAACTTCCTCCTTCTCGGCGGTCGGGAGGGTGGAGAGCATGTTTGCGATGCCCTTGAGACCGGCCTCGCGGTCCTTGCGGACGAGGCTGGCGACCTCGAGGGCGATGGTTTCGCGCTTGAGGGCCTCGACGCGGTCGTGGACGGTCTTGCGGTTCTCCTCGTACCAGGTGGCGACGCTCATGTCGTCGTGGTCGAACTTGGGGATGTTGGACCAGGCGCGGAGCATCTCTAGGCTGCGGGCACGAGTGGCGGCGTCGCCGTTGGTGGCCTCGGTTGACGGGGCGGCCGCGGCGAGCTTCTTGAGGATGTACTCCTCGTTGAGCTTCCTGCGAAGACGCCAGTAGAAGAAGCGACGTGCGTTCTGCCACTTGAGCGACTGTCGGATGACGCCCTTGGCCTCCATGCGACCGGAGCGGTCGTGGAGGTCGGCGAACTGGATGGAGATTTGACCGTAGATTGGCAGGAGGCGCTGCTCGCGCTCGGTCATTTGAGCCTTGATCTCCTTGAGCTGATCTTGAGGAGTGGATGGGTCGTTCAACTTGCGCTTGAGGTCACCATAGGTGGGGTCGAGACGAGCCATGGTCTCGAGTTGACGATCCTTGCGGTACTTGATACCGACGATACCCTCAGGCTCGAGGACACCACCACGCGAATCCTCATCGGCGTACATCTCCATGTATTGAGGGTTGATGGTAGGATCGACGACGACCCAGGATCCACCACGGAGCTCACCGTAGGGAGGAATGTACACGAAGATGGGCTGCTCGTACTTGACGAGAGCATCGACAATGTAGGAGCCGTACTTGAGAACCTCGTTGTACATGTCGCGCTGACCTCCAGAGAAACCACGCCAGTTTGCGAGGATCATCAGAGGAAGCTGCTCTCCATGGTTGAAGTCGTTGATAGCCTGGGCAGTCTTGAAAGCGGAGTTGGGGTACCAAACACCACCAGCCTCAGAGGTGACTTGCTCGATGGAGTCGGGGTTGGCAGGGTCAGCAGGAGTGACGTTCTCGACCGAACGAGTCTCAACGCCAATGACACCAACCGGGATACCACCAAGGCGAGCACGACCGACAACAACGGTCTTGGCCCAGCCTCCGAGGGCCTCCTCGAAGGAGCCGCGATCGAAGAGACCAGAAAGGAAGCCTTCCTCATCGTCCTTACCGGCAATGAGATGCCTGACATCGTAGGCAGCCTTGCCAGGGGGGAAGTAGGCGACATCGCGATCCCACTCGTCGGCCGTAGGAGAGATGGGGACTGGGTTGCCCTTCTTGTCTGGGACGAATGACATCCACTTGACGATCTTGGAAACACCCTCGAAGTCGTCATCAGCGGTCATGTGGGAGACACCGTTCCTGTACATGATCTGAGTGCCACCGAGCTGCAAGTTGGAGGTGTAGACCTCGCGACCGAGTAGCTTATTGATAGCTTGGGCACCAGTGAGGATGATAGGCTGGCCCTCAATCTGAATAGCACGCTGGCCGAGACGGACGAGGTAAGCACCGATACCTATGATACATTAGCAATTGAAGTGAGTAGCATAATCAAAAGAAACTTACCAACTGAACGGCAAGTGACAAGGGTGATGGTGAAGATATCCTCGTAAGCCCTTGAAGTCTCACCAGCGATGAGACCGGAGCCACGGAGAGACTCAACACCAAGGCCATCCTCAGCACCAATGATGGTCGTGATCTTGTAGCGCACCTCGCCATCGACGCTGATCTTCTCTGCAATGACATCCTCGCGCTTGCCATCAACGAAGCGCTCGTACTTCTCGGGGGTCAAGTACAGATAGTCGAAGCCAGCCTCGGGCTTGGAAGCATCCTTCCAAGCGACGGAGAAGTGGGGGATGAGCTCCTCAGCGAGACCAATACGGGCACCAGAGTTGGCAGAAAGGTAGATTCGAGGAATGCCCAACTTGCGAGCAAGCTCAGAGCACTTGTGGAAGTAGCTATCTTCCTGGGGACCGAAAGAACCAATCTTGAAGGTGATGTCGTTGGCGATGATGATGAAGCGACGGCCACGAGGGTACTCGGGAGTCCTGGCAGTGACGATCCATCCGACCATACCGATGGTGTTCTGACCAGGGTCACGGTTGACCTCAGCCAGGTTGTCATTGTCATCGAGGACAAGCTCGTAGTACTCAATGCACTCGCCCTTGGCCGGCTGCTTCTCGCGGAGGTGAGAGTGCTTGGCAACAGCCTGGTTCCAGCTGTTCTCTGTGGCCTGACGGAAGAGCTCGGGGAAATCGTAGACGTACTGAGTACCCATCAAGTGAGCCTTGTAACGCTTGGGCTGCAGGGCACCCTTGGTAGGGTAAGGAGTGGAGACCGGCTGCAAGTGGAGGGAGCCAATCTTGTTGGTACCACCAATGCTCTGGAAGATCCACCTGCCTGCCTTCTCCGACTTGCGCTCCGCGTACATCTCGACAGAGATGACATATCCGGAGGTGTTGGTGATGATGACACGGAGAGGGTAGGGCATGCCGGTCTGGGGATCCGTGACGATGATGCGGATCTCAGCACCAGTGACACGGAGGCGCCAGAGTCGTCGACCGAAGCGCTCCAAGAAGCCGCCAATGGCCTCCTCAACCTCGCTTGGTGCGAGTGGGAAGACGTGGGAGAAGTTGATGAAGATGTGGTTCATGTCAGCCTGGTTGGTGCCGACAATCTCAAGAGCATCAAGAATGTCCGTCATGAGCCTATCAGTCTCGGAAATCATGTACTCTGCGGTGGGGATGTCCTCCCGAAGGCGGCCGGGACGGACAACAGCCCTCAAGAAGTAGCGCTTATCACTCTCCGCACCCTTGCCAACCGCTTCATAAATATGAATGTTGCGGTTTTCGGTGAATACGGGCTTGATGTTGAACTTGGAGAGACGGCCAAGCTCAAGCTGGAAGGCAAGAGCAGGCTCGACGTGACGGATGCTGTCGTCCTCAACGTAGTTGGGTCCTCGGAAAGTGAAGTAGCCAGGGTAGGTACCATCCTTGTGGCCGCAGATGAAAGTCAGGCGGCGGATGCGACGAGCGTAAAGCTCCTCCTTGTTCTCCTCGACAATGGGGAGGAGGCGCTCCAAGATCTCCTTGTCATCAAGACTCTCCGCATCGCGAACGGCAATGTTGAGAACACCGGTGAGCTCATCGATGTTAGCCTTGGAGACGGGACCAGATGGGCTTCTCTTCAAGGAAAGACCCTCCTTGAGACCGTCCTTAACGGTTCCAAGCAAGCCCTTCTTACCGCTCGATGGGAATACATCAAGGGCCTTGGGAAGGGCTTCCTCAGCATCATCGATGAACTCTACAGGGACAACGGCACCCTTGCGAGTGGGCTCACCCTCCATGCGAGAGTTGAGGTAGGACAAGTCGCTGATGGAGTTGATGCGGGGTGGTCGCTCGAAGGCTGGGGTGCTTGGGGTGCCAGGTTGAGATGATTCCACGGGAAGTCCATACTCCTGCTCACCGACCTTGCGGAGGATGAAGTCCCAGGACAGGATGTAAGGTTGCTCGCCATCGGTGTGGTATTGGATGTCCTTGAGCTGGTAGGCGCGGTAAGCACGGCGAGTGTACACTTCAAGGGCAGCCAGGCCGACCCATGGGTCTTGATGTCCGAAGAACTGTGGCAGTACATCGAAGACGGTGTAGCGCGAGTCGACAACCTCCTTGATGATGTCGAAGTTGGGCTCCCTGTGGTCCCAGCCGGTCTCGCCGTAGCGCGACTCGACGACTGCGGATCGGAGGATGTGCTCCATCTGAGATGTACGCTCCTCGAGCGATGGCATGGCGCACTGGATGAGCACCTCACGACCCTTGAGGGAGACCTTGGCGGTTTGCCTGGACTCAAGCTCGGTAAGCTTCTTGAGGATGTCCTTGAAGTACTTGGCAACGTTGCCTGCACCAGGCCTGTTTGGTCGGTAGAGGTCCAAGATAGCGAGGATGAGGTTGTTCTTGGCGCTCACGCGAGTGTGGGACAGGACAGTGTGAACAACGCTGAGGAGGTTGTCACGGTTCTCATCACGGAGCTTGAGGATGACCTCCTCATCTCGGGAGGTACGAGAAGAGAAAAGGTTCTCAACTTCCCAGTAGGTGTTCAAGAACTTAATCATGACAGAGTACTCGTGGGCTTTGAGGCCTTCAGCGTAGCGGTCGATGACATCGGACAAGGGCGCAAGACCAGTTCGCAAGAGGTCGGCGTCGTTCTTGGTAAGGTTATCATCCACGAAGCGCTGGAAAGCTTTGCTGAGCTGCTTAGCAGGGAACTCCTGTTGGCGGCTGTGGGCCTTGTCAACGACCTGAGCGAGTATGGTATCAAGCTTCTGGGGCATGCGTGCGTGCAAAGCAGAAGCTTGTGCGTTCCACTCGCCGTAAGGAAGCTCGGGATCGCGGAGGACCTCCACAAGCTCCTTGAGAGTGGTCTGGAGGATGACCTGGTTGTCGTAACCCTGAAGAATGTTGTGGAGGACGCTAGACAAGTAGGCGAACCTCTGAGGAGGCTTGCTTCCCATAACCTGGGGAGGACCAAGATCAGGCAAGTGACCCAAGAATGGGGTGGCGGACTTGACCTTGGATGGGTCGTCGAGTGCGAGAACACCGAGGATATCACCAGCCTCAAGGGTTGCTCCTGGCTGTTTGATAAGGTTGACGACACCATCTTCCTGAGCAATCAAAGGCATGTACATCTTCATGACCTCGACTTCGGCGAATGGCTGGCCCTTCTTGATGTGCTCGCCATTCTCGACGGTGAACTTGACAAGCTTTCCGGGAGATGGAGTGCGGAGCTGAGTGGGGTCGTTCTCCTGCTCGAGAAGGCAGGTCTTGCCATCCACGGACAGACGCGTGGCACCGACTTCCTCCTTCCAGTAGGCGTTGTGGGACTTTCCGTTGAGGAGGATCAAGAGACCACCGTCAGCAAGTGCTCGGATACCGACAGAGCACTTGGAGCCGTTGATGAAAAGGGTGAAGCTGTCAATGCTGGATCGAGTGGCGGTGAACTTGTAACGGCTGCCCTCGTAGATGAAGTCGATGGGGAAAACAGTCTTGAGGACGTCCTTGGAGGGAACCTGACCCTTGTCCAAGCTCGTCCTGTACTCATTGATGCAGGCTTCGCTTGCGATGTGTGACTTAGTGACGGCACCGCAGATGACGGCAACCATAGGGTCAGGTCGCTCAGCGGTCAACTTCTTGGAGATAAGCTCGTCCAACCAGCCGGTGGTGATGGTGTTGCCCTCGAAATCGGGGGTCTCGAGAAGCTTGATGAGGTACTCGACGGTGGTTCGGAAATCACCGCGAATGCTCAATTCCTTGAGCGCAACAACCATGTGCTTCCGCGATGCTTGTCGGTTCTCGCCGTAAGCGAAAATGTGACCGAACTGAGAATCAGAAAAGCTGTGGATACCACCCGCAGTGCTGACGGAGAAGTAACCCCAAACATTGGAGCTACTCCTGAAGTTGAGATCCTGAATAGTACCGCCGGAAGGCTTGAAACCCTCATCGGGATCCTCGGAGGTGATACGGCAAGCAGTGGTGTGTCCCTTGGGTGTGGGTCGTCGCTGGTTCTGCACGCTACCCTCCTTGGAGAAATCGAAATCGATGACGGTGGCGGTGTGAGGATCCGCGCCGTAGAGCAATCGGATGTCGCGAATGCGGTGCAGAGGAAGACCCATGGCAATTTGAAGCTGAGCAGCAGGCAAATTGACACCAGTCACCATCTCAGTGGTCGGATGCTCGACCTGGAGACGGGGGTTGAGCTCGAGGAAGTAGAATTTGTCGTCAGCGTGCGAGTACAGGTATTCCACGGTACCGGCAGAGACGTAACCGACAAGCTTTCCGAGCGAAACGGCAGCCTTTTCCATCTCCCGGAAGGTCTTGGGGGTAGCGACCGTCACGGGTGCCTCCTCAATAATCTTCTGGTGTCGTCGCTGAACGGAGCAGTCACGACCGAAAAGGGAGATATTGTTGCCATACTGATCGGCAAGGAGCTGCACTTCCAAATGGCGTGCGCTGCCAGCCAGCTTCATGATGAAGATGGGAGATCCAGGGATTTCCGAAGCAGCTGCTCGGTAGAGCTGCTCAAAGTCTTCTTCCCGCTCGACCTTTCGGATACCCTTACCACCGCCACCTTCTGAAGCCTTCACCATGACGGGGAAACCGATCTTCTTGGCCACTTCCAGTCCCTCTTCAGGCGACTTTGTGCAGCCCTTGTCATAGATGTGATCCTCGACAGTGACGATTCCGTTCTTGTCAACCTTGACATCGTCTACGCCCTCTCCTGACCATGGAATGCATGGCACTTTAGCGTGTTGTGCGACGATTGTGGAGGAGATCTTGTCACCGAGCGAGCGCATGGCCGACCCGGGGGGACCAATGAAGACGATCTTCTTCGGCGAAGCGGCGAGGGACTCGGGGAGCTTTGGGTTTTCTGAAGCGTGACCCCTGTGAAGTCATAGTTAGTTCTGTGCCAATTCCGCGATTGTAGCAGATTTTCCCTGCGAGAGCGCAAAAACGTACCATCCTGCCCAAACGGCGTGAACGTTCATACGCTCAGCGACATCGACGATGAGCTCGACGTTGGCATAATTGTTGTTGTTGGTACCACCGGGGACCTGTAGCTAGCTGTCAGCGGGCGTTCCTTCCCCTCCGGTCCATGACGGATCTTTTAGCTCGCGAAACCTACCTCAACATACTGGTCTGCCATACGGATATACTCGGCGTTAGCCTGCAGATCCTCTGGCGTGGCCATGACGGTGAACTGAATCGCCCGTTCATCGCCAAAGGTCTCGTATGCCCATTTCCTGACCGATCGGATTTCCTTGACTGCTGCAATACCGTTGTTTGCGATGAGGACCTGCGTGGGGGGGGAAAAAAGTCCCGGGTCAGCACACGACACACATCAACTTGCCAATCGTCCCGAGAACACTACGGGGATTGGATTTTTTTTTCGGGGAACGGGGAAGTAAGCTCACATTTGTGATCACCGTGTGGCCGTCGTGGGCAGCCACGAAATCCTTCACTTTTCCTGGCTGTGCGGCGCCCAAATGGCTTCCGCCGATGAAATGTGGTGCGAGGTTGTGGCGAGCGGCGGTAGAGCTGGGAGTGCCGTTGGCAGTGCCATTGGCGCCAGCTGTCTCAACTCCAGCCATTGTGTATATGTGAAGACCCAAACACAAGGGGAGTTATGTGTTGTGGGGGAGAGGGGAGGAAGAAAAGTGTCGAGTGGAGGGCGGTGAGAAATTCTGGCAAGGGAGGAGTTGAAGGAGGAGGGAGGAGGTGGTAGTTGTAACTTATGGTTGCCCGTAAGTTTAAGTGGGAGAAAAGGATGGAGCTCGGGCGTGGAGAAATTAGGACGCCAGAGTGATGTACAGTACCGTACCACCTATACTATCGTAGTCGTAATAGTTGGCAGATACTGACTAGTCGGACTTGGTTCGATTTCTCCCTTTGGAATTGGCGTTTTAACAGCGGCGCATCCAAAAGCTCCAGAAACCGCCGAAAATCGAGAGGTTACCGGTCGCAGAGGAGAGGAGTGTAATTGTATTAATAGTTGTCGTTCTATAGGCCGATCGGGAGCCCAAAGCTAGAAACGATACGACGAAGCAACACCGAATGCAAATGCAATGCACGCAAGCACACACAGCAATGGAAGCTGAAGGTAAGAATGAAGGAGTGGGAGGGAAGAGAGATAATAGAGGTAGAGAGGTACGACGGTATTGGGGGTATCTCAAGATATGATGCTAGGGTGGGAGTACAGGTAGAGGCTTGTACTTCTACTGTGGAAGAGAGGAAGAGGAGGATGAGGAGGAGTAGAGCAGCAAGCAGAAGAAGAGGAAGAAGCCAGTGGAGAACAAGAGCAAGGCAAGGAAAGGGGCAGATCGGGATGTATTAAATTTTTTTGAGAAAGCCTTAGGGGTGGAGGCATTGGAGGGTGAGGAAGGGAACGAACGGGCACCCCAAGCTCGTCCCGAAGCTGTTGTTGAGGCCGGGGCTTGAGCATTTGCCCACGATGCCGAAGGGGGTAATAGACCATGCAATCATCCACTCAGCACTTCTTACCTTCTCGTCCTAATCGTCATCATCATCGTAATCACCATCATGGGCTTCCTTCTAGAAACTCCAACGCATGCGTAGAGCAGCAAGCAGCCCTCTGGTCGTACGTCGTAGAGTACGGCTTTGATGAGCTTCTACTACACAGGTACTAAAACATGTCCCAAGTGCCGCTATAATGGCATCGTCTTCTCCCCAAGAGCAATGAAAGAAGAAGCATGTTGGATGTCTACGTATCTGTATCTCTCTGTATTGATTGGACGGAAGCATATCATCTACCCTATCGGACTTGTGTCTTGCTCCCTTCTCGCAGCCATTGATGGTGATTATATGAGACACCAATGTACCTAATTTGCCTCTCACCGTTCCGATTGTTATTCTCATTATCATTACTATTGCAATAGTAGGTACATCAATGTACCGAAATGTCCCGCCCGCCATAGCCTGGAGCACACTTGATGTTGGATAGACTATCCACGCACCGTCGCCGATGGGTCCCACCATTTCCATTGCAGCAAAATACCTACGTAGCCAGTAACTAACCAGACTAACTAGCTAATACCTAGCTAGAGTTCTGAATTGAGGGGAGGGGGAGAACAGGCCAGGGCTAGGGCAAGGTACATAGGTACAAGGGCTGTAGGGCAGTCATTGCGCGTGCTGAGCTCTGTGGATCGAAAATCCATCGGCTTCCGATGCGGCTTGCAGGGAAACGAGACGCTTACTTCCGCGTAGGACGGGACCCTTGATTACTCTTTTTTCCTTTCTCTATTTTCCTACCCGCCTGTCGAGGTATTGGAGTCGTTACAGTAACTAGGTAGTGAATAGATATTGTACTTGGAGTTGAGCGCCGTTCCGATGTTCGTGTGCATGACGGAGAAGACCATGATCATAAGTAGATGTATGTATGTATGGAGTCGTTCAAGTGGCTAAGAAAGAGTTACGTGTGCGGCTCGTTTGATCAACACAAATGTCTCCTGTCCATCCTCCCCAGGCCTGTAGGATTCTTCATATCATAAAGGATAAATGGAGCAGACTACTAACCGTAGCCACCGCTCTTTTCTTGTCGTTCCCACTAGGGCGTTGATTCGTTGCTAGAGAGTCATGTAGATGGTTAGAGAATGGCAAAGAAGAATACGTTATGAGATGAGTGGTTTGATCCAATTTAATGTAATTAAGAAAAGAGAATAGGAAAAGAAAAAAAAACACGAAGACATTCTCGAATCTCGCAAGCAAGTCTTGGAAAGGGACAAGTCGGTAGGGACAGAAATGGGCCGGCGCGTTGTTGGGGCTGCGATGGGGCATGCCGCATTAGTCTGGGCTTGCGAGATGCCCCAACAATGTTTTTCTGTTCCCTTCCTTTCACCCTAGTCGCCCAACTTGGAATCAATCATGTATCTGTGTATCACACAGCAAGTATTATATCTTGATCTTACTCGTGGGGTCTAAGAAAGAAAGACATGATGTGATGTAGCTACAGGAGAAGTCATCCCTTCCCCCTCAACGGGTTGTTTGTTGATATCTACCCCTCTCCCAACAGTCCATATGTATGCAGTAGCTCCCTCAACCCATATCACATCACATAGTTCCATTCATCTTTAACGTCTATTATTCATAATTCACTCCGTATTGCGCCTTTACTCATCATACCTACCCCTCTATACAGGATTCTGGGGTTGGAGATAGGAACTCTATCGGTACTCGCAGGATTCACTCAGCCAATTGCACATACCTCGTACCATAGCAACCTAACGAGAACCTCCGATCCGATCCTCCTCACCTCCACCCCCACAATCGCCGACAACAGGAAACGAACATGTATACCTTACCTACCTCTATCTCTTCACCTCCATTCTCACCCTCACCGTCGTTAGTATTGTAGATACTCCATTTCATCATGCATTCGGCAACATGCTCCCCCATAATCTGCCATAAGCACCACTCGGAACTTCTACACGCTGTTTGTGTGTGGCAGGCAGATCGGATCCCCAGCTCGGCCTCGGACTCCGTCGCATCTCTCCATCTTTCCATCTAGTTCTCCATCATCAAACAGACAAACAAACCCCCATGTAAACAATCGCCCAATCATCGAAACCCCGGGCATCATCTTCGCATGTTTGGAAACGTCTTCCCGCCATGATACCTGTCGTTACTACATGCGGTTTTGCGAGATGTTGGCGGGTTGGGGACCTAAATGTCTCAAAACGTTTCGAGTGATGTCAATCTGCTTATGTCTTGCATCTGGGTGATTACACGCAGCAGCGCGCACTACCGAAAGAGAGAAGGAGAGAGAGCGACCTATTGATCAGATCGATAACGATCAATCAATGCTGAGCGCAAATGTCTCCTCCAGCCTTCTCCCTCTCTTCTTCGAATATTAAGGATGCATCCGGATACATACACAGCGCGGTACGCCGTATGCACGCCCGCATGCGTTCCGCACATTGGGGGCCCGTGCGTTCGCGTATAGGAAGAAACCCAACTTTTTTTTTGTTTTGGGCATTCCGAACGGCGAAAAAGTGAGATGATCAATTAGCCACCCACAATCCACGTTCCGAAACTCGCGGAAACATTTCGCCCCCTCCTCGATGGGTTACTTGCCTTTCTCCGTATCGTTGCTCGGCATTGTACTCGTGGGTTGGGTGGTTGTGGGTGTTGCTGTTGCGCATGTCCGGGGGCCTTGTCATGGCCTTGTCTACATCGTCGTGGTTCCCTCCCCCTGCCTACTGTGTAGGTCTGCCTGTCTATGTGTGAGGTGTGAGGATACGAAGGAATGGTCGGGATGAGGCAAGGCAATTGACAGCGCAGCATCACTAGGGAATGGGAAAAAGGGGGCGGATTGCGCTGCCCGACTGTTCCGAAAGTTGTCGTTTGTTGCGAGAGTGCGTGTTGCGGGTAAGTGGGTGGTGGGGGGTGGCGGCGGTGTGCGATGGGAATGAGCCGTGCGTGGCCTGCCTTTTCCCTCTGTTTTTCCTTGGCCGAGCGAGCGAAGGGGGGGGGGGAGGGTGGTGGTGGCATCGATCGAAGGGAATCGGGGGGTGGGCGGCCAGGTGAGAAGATATACACATTTTCCCTCATCTTCATCGAACAAACAAACAATTGTAGCAGAAACGATTCCGACAATTGTTTAAATAATTATCGAACCCCTCCATTTCAATTCCGAAATCCAGGGACGCGGACCGGGCCATAGCTTGAAGCTTTGAAGGTGTGGGAAAATCTGGGGTTGAAGGGTGCAGAGAACGTGCGATATGATGGAAGAATCGTACGATACTTGCGTCTCTCGCGTCCCTGCCGTGAGCAGTTGACAGCAGTAAGAAAACACTCCCGCGCGGGTGTACGGTGGATTCGAACTTGGGCTGAACTACAGAAACACTACAGCCAAACGTTTAGCTGTGTCACTTAACTAACTAAGGGGTTATGTCCGGCCTGTGCTGTTGCTTGTCTCTCGTTCGCTCCGGAACACTCTGCAGGCTAATCCATACCTGCTTCATTAACCGCAGAGAAGAAGGGGAAAAAACACTCCGAAGTCGAATGATTTGAACCCTTGATTTGCATACATGCCCCACGATTTTCATTATACCATTCTGAACTGTGGTCGGCCCTGCAGGTACGCGTATACGCTGTTCATGTCTAGACCAATGCGTGTTGCATTTACTCCGATCTCAGTCCATCGCAACGATAATTAATATTTATCTTTCTTTGTATTCAACTAATTGCTTTCGCTCTTCTGGAGCATCGACCTTTACTCACTCATTACCTTACCATAGCCGACTTTACACTTTACATCTGCATGGTACTCTACAATCCAACTAACTATGCTAATCCATCCAATCAACGCTCCCGGCATTTCCTCCGCATGGTATGCTCTACCATATCAACGACGTCCACTATGGACGACAACTTATATCCCGAACCTTGAAAGACGAAATACGATGCCTAGAGTATATTGAAAAAAAAATTATAAAAGAACGACTCGTATATTGCAGCTTGCCCTCGCCTGGTCCCATGAAAGCCCAAGCTCAGTACACAAATATCAATTCATACTTCCGTTGCCAACATTGAATACAACAAAGTCTATTTTCAGACCCACATCATAGACATCATCATCATACAATCTTCCCAAGTTTCTTTCGTTCTCTCATTCTTGTGGCAGATGCTCGATTCCACCGCGCTGGGATTTCGCCGGCGCAGATGGGGATTCAGCCCTGCCATGAGCGAGGACTTCATTGCAGAGGGGAAACGAACGAAACAAATCGAATGGTGAATAGCTAGGGATCGATTTGGTTTCAAGACTAATTAGATTAACCATCACGAGTAGGGTTCATTGCGAACTGTCTCTTCGCACGTAGGTCTAACGACGCTTGGGAAAGTACCTAACTAGGCCTTGCTTAACCCTAAAAGCACCTGTTCATACTCTAGTAACTCAGGTAAAAGGAAGGACTAATGGCGTCGTTGATTCAGCTACGATTATAGAGGAAGAAATTGAGGTAGAGAGGAGGCGGACTCGATTGCTTGGGTAGATGAGTCTGCTTTCTGGACGCTGTGGGTTGAGGTTCGAGATGGGATGGAGTCGGTATTTTTTTTAAATACTAATTTCCTTTTTTTAATTGTACAATAGAGGAGTGGTTGGAGAATGGTCAGATCATGTTTGTAAGATGTTCGGATTTGAATGTTTTTATTCTTTGCTTAGATTGATGGTTAGTACGAGAGAGATAGGAAATACAACTTGAATATGTTTCTATTTTGCAAATTCCAACACAACTATTATCTTACTCTGTCTTGTGGATATATTAACTGACTAGACAATGTATTTAATTTTATAATGCATGCAAAGAAAAAAAAAACAAGTGGTGCTGCTGCTCGATTACTTTATGTGAATGCCCCTTTTCGTCGATTAATTTATAGTAACTTGCTGGTATATAGGTACTTCTATTTCCAATTCACGACTCGCAGAAGTTTAGGCTCTTGCAATGATTTCTCGTTTACACAGGTCATGAGGATAGATTTATGTAATTTTGATAGATTTGTTATGTGTATGTGTTTGTGATTTCGCACGCTGTAAAAACAAGCAACGATCAAAGGTATCATGCAGTTGTTCCACCCACGTTCTCATCTCCACTTCTCTCTTCTCTCTTCTCAATTCTCATTCTTCCATCTCCCCAGTAATGCAATAACAAAAGAAAATTTCCCCCATAGTCAGCGGAGGAGCTAGTCTCTAGGATATCGGTCCCAGTCCTTCCAGTCCCACTTCTCCATCTCAGTCGTTAAAAACGCCCAGGTCCATATGCTGGCCAGTGTTGAAGATAATTAAGGGTGTACCCTAAGTAACGGCGAAGAAGGGTATCTGTTCATGAATGCGAATCATATACCGAAGAAATGAAACGTGCGTATCGACATGCAGGCTCCCGCTGCTGCCTTCCGTAATCTGCTGCGCTGTTTTGGGGTTCTAATAAGACTCCCCAATCTCGCTCATCTTCCTGGGCCGTGTGAGTGGCGGACCCATGTCTCCCTCGACACCTGAGCTAGTTCTTCGTCCTTGGCTCTGCCGCCTCGGTAGCCCACTCGGTGTAGGAATACTACTCCGGTCGATGGTAAGTCGGCGAGCAATTGGTGTCGCAGAGTTTCCATCACTATCTCCATCGCCATCGCGGACCGAGCTTGCCACCGACACCGAATGGGAATGGCCATGTGATGATTGGCCACTCATTGAGCTTCGAGGCCGGGGTATTCTCCCTTCCACGACACTGACTGAAGCGGTCGAATAATGTCCTAGAGGTGTCCGAATACTGCTTCTGCTACCAGGTCTTTGCCCGGCTGCAGAGGCGCGGCTGCTGGGACGGCTGCTGCTTGGCTCTTTTGCCGGTCCTGAAACTCCAAATGATAATCGACCAACGCCAGATTCCACACCAGAGGCCGATGAGATCTGCGATGATCTCTTCCGGTTGCTCCTTACAGTTACGGTACTCGGTATGTAGTGACCCAGTGCGCTTCCATTGCGCGGGCTCGCTCGTGGTGGGGTATGCGTTGGTGCTGGAAGTTTCGACCTTGCGGAGTAGACGCGCTCTTCTAGTTTCTGCATCTTTCCAATAAGCCCTCGGATTTGGTACAGCGATCCTGATCGTGGTAAGCCGCTCGGGGCATTGCCTGCCGACCCACTTATGCTTGGCCTTGATCGTACAGGCGCGGTGGTGCGTATCGAAGGCGTGGTGCGTCCGCTGGCGGCGCTCCTTGTCGACACGGCGACGCTGGGTCCTCGGGAGTGTCGCGGAGGACGAGTCTGGTATATACCGGGGCGCGGCGTGCTGGTCGGATCGAGTGCAATAGATCCCTTTCGGACAGGCATAGGCGTCGATGGCACGGCACGGGCGGTGATGGATGCGTCCGACAAAGGCGGGGATGGCGGAGTAGCATCAGTGCGCAAGTTGCCCGTCTTTGAGCTCGGCGGTGTAGAGGCGGCTGTTGGAGAGGAGATGTCGGTTGCGGAGGTCGCCGTGTCTGAAATAGGTGAACGAGGGCGAAGTGAATCGCTGGCGAGCAATTGTGAGGTTTTGCGTTGATGGTGAACTTCAATGGTTTCTTGAGCAATGCGCAACTTCTCTTGTTGGATTTCGGCTTCAATCTTCAGGTCTGAGAGCTCGTCCCGAAGTCGTTGGCACTGGATTCGCAAGTTTTCTCGCTCCTGCTCTCCAATCTTGATTTCTTCCTCCAGCATGACCGATCGCTCAATAGCTACGTTGTACTTCGATTCGAGGTCTTCAAGCGACGAAGACTGGTTGCGCGCTTGTCGCTCGAAATCGTCATTCTGGACCTCCGTATCCCGCAGTTTCAGTTGCAAGTTCCGTTGGCCGTCACGCAGAGCAGTAATCTCCTTTTGGAGAGTGTTCTGCGCATTGTTGGCCTCAGTCTTACTTTGTTTATATTTTGTCTGTAGGATCTCGTTAGATGCTGTAAATCCCTCAACTCGCTGTAGGCACCCCCGCAGCAGAGTGCGTACAGGGGGTAGGCAAAATTTGGGAGTGGACTAACCTTCCACTCATCGACCTCGAATCCCAACTTCTCGGCCTTCTCTTGCAGTCGCCGTTCCCGCTTTTCGCTTTCCTCCACGTCCTTCTCTAGTTCTGCCTCCAGCTCCTTACTGGAGGTCTGGAACTCCTGTAGCTCCACCTCGAGTGTCTCGTATTGCGACTTGTAGTAGGACAGTTCCTCCTCCATATTGGCCCAACCGCCGCTCGGTGGCGAGGAAGGGGCGTCGCCTACCGCCATAATGGCAGTGTGGGAAATGCGACAGGGTCAGGCGGAAAGAACTAGGAGAAAATGCAGATCGGGGATGCGGGGTGACAACGAGACGACGATAGTGTTGGACTTGAGAGCGAATAAGTTGCGATGACAATTTCTGTCGAGTCTATCGAGTCCGAGTATATTTGGGATTCGTCCTGGTGGTCCTTGTCGTGGGTGGTTTGTGCCCGCTTTTGCCTCCAGAGTGTCACTGTTTCACTTTTGGTGCATGCGGTGTGTTGACAGCGATCATGCGCTCAGGGAGTGCTCCTATTCTGCCGTATGGCTCTTCCTGGATGAATTTACTCGTCGAATAATGCTGTTCCTGCGCTGGTTAGTAGTTAGTAAACCCCGGGGGGCGCGGGGGAGAGGGTGGTGAGCGACAACAATATCGAGGGGTGAATGTAGTAGAAATGGTTGCGGTGTTGTTGTTGCAACCAGACACAGGACAGGAACAGTAACCAAGTGACAAGCCCAGCCTTCCTCCTTTGGGTGGTTGGTCGCTGGCGTGGTTGGCCCGGTTGCTGGACGTGCGCTAGACTGGTTTGGATGTGTACACTAGTCCTATATAGGCCAAAACATGTGACCTGTCTCGATGACCCACATCATACTCCGTACAGCGCATCAAGTGATCAACACTGAGTCACTCTGCTCCCTTGATTTGCAGTTTACAGTTTACAGTATACACTGATACAGTCAGTGGTATTAACCGTGCAAATGTTCAACTTGTTGATGAAATGAAAGCACTTTGGTTGATTCTTACATATACATATACAAATTACAATATATCCTCGCTATGAATAACTAAGACGTTCGCCAACCGTACTCGTAGGAATAACATCTATACTATGTACACCCACTCTTTATTTGACTTATCCATTACATAGCGAACTGCCCCAGGCATTCGTGCTCCATCGATCTCACTGAACTGGCCTACGCGCTGCCATTTCTTCTCCCTTTCCTGCCCCATTCCTTCGACTTCCTGTTGTACAGCAACCGTTTCCTCGCCCACTGGAGCAATAACAAGCCCGCAAAGGTTTACCTCATTTGCTTGAAACTTATCAACTATTCTATTGCGGTCTTCCTTAAGTGCTACCGCAAGAATCAAAAGGGCGCTTCCTGGTGGCACGGTCCAGTCTTTGTTTGACGGTATGGTCGGACTGCCTAAGGATTGATTTTCATGAGCAAGATTGTCGACAAAAGTTGATATGTCTGACGTGCTGGACCGAGGAAAAACATATTCCTTCCGCAGTAAAAGCTCTATCACTTTTTTTCCTCCTCCCTCAAACGTGATTCCCTCAAACGTGATGATTGGTGCGTAGATGCGTAAAGCATCGGGTTCGTCAGTTTTAGTTGATCGAAGGTGTAATTCGACCTCGTTGACTATGGGGTTTGACGGTGCTCTAGAGTATGTCACTCTATTTGTGACCGACGCCCAAGACCAAGAAGGTGCGCCCGAGTGCGAGGGTATGAATCCCAGTTGAGGAAATGTGGACCATTGAAGCTGTGAGATAAGATCTTTTTGATCATTTATCCATAGGCCAGCATATGATGGCTCCTGAAAGATCTCGCCGAACCGAGACGCAAGTGCTGATATTGCTGGTAGTTTGTCGCTTTGATTTGTAAGTGCGCGACAGGTGTATTCTTCGACTGAGTAGTGCCACAGCTTTCGTAGCTGACTGAGATCGATCACTTCCTTGCCCTCTGCTGCAAGTTGGCCTTGCAGCAACGCCACGCGAATTTTTTGATAATCGAAATTGCCGGAAGGTTCGAAGTTGTCGGAAGGGTTGACGTCCTGCTTAGGGCGTTTCCAGTCCTCAATTCCTCCATTTCCATTGATCTCGAAGGTGCACTGCCAAAGACTGCGGTCAAATCCGTAGAAAAGAACGCGCGGTGATAATATACGCTCTTGAAAGGTCCATGCTCGCCGTTCTATGGGGTCTGCTCGCCGGATGTGGGTATTCTTGGGCCTGAATAGCAAAGTCGTTATTTCAACGGAATCTTCATCAGACAGATGAAGTACAGGTAGCCGTAACAGATCCTTTGGTATATCAGATTCCGGATGGTCCTCACAACCACTATGTGGTGCAAGGAAACCTGTAGTACAGTCCTTATCGCCAGCACATATAGTGACATGCGCCATACTGTAATACCTCGCCATATCAGCCAATTCCTTCGATTTGTCTTCCTCATCATCTTGAATGATACATAAGGAATCGATCCAAATGTAACGCATTCCAAGTTTATGGGTCAATAGAACAGCATCTTGCAACGTTTTGGGTAGCTCGTCAATATCAAACATTTTGCTCTTCGCTGATAGCGTTTCTTTTGTCGTTTGGAAACGTTGCGGCCCACCCCAACAGTAGCTCAAGGTAGCATATAAGGCATTAGGCTGTTTAGTAGCGAGCCTGAGTTTTCCATTCTCCATTATTTCGACCACGCGGGTAGGCAGTGGAACAGGTTTGTCGTTAGGACAACCCGGATGCTCGTTGCTACATCTATGAAGCATAGATTTTGCCCACAATATACTTTCATCAGAGTCCGGATTCACGTTGATAGGGCCTGCTCGTATGTTTTTGAATAAGCAGTCTTCTTCTGAAAGGCTGTCAGTATCACGTGAAATTTTCTCTGTTGAACATACAACTGACCTGATGTTGCAAAAACGTCAATAGTAACGCTGAGTTCCTCTTGCAAATCAACGGATAGTAGTTCTTCTAGCTGAGACGTCTCTAGGCTGGTTTGAAGAGGCGTGAAGCGCATTCTGGCGAAACGTTTTCCTTTCTCGGTGAAAACGTAATCCAAAGGCTCTACAATCATTCCAACAGTAGCTCCTGAATGAGACTGGGTAAATTCCCGCAGTTCCTGTATGTTTTCAGATGCGGCCGTTGAAATTTGCTCGCTGGAAGCTTGTCCACAGCAAGCCAATGCGTTTTTGACTCCTCTGCGAGACACAGTGATCGATCGGTCTCTGGCAAATAGTCTCCGAGTCATCAACGTACAAAATTGGCAGCCTTTTCGACCGCTTCCAAAAGGGTTTCCAGAACAACAGTCCATACAAAGGTGCAAACTGCTTCAGGGTTTTCGTCCATATTTCGGCACAAAAGAGTAATGTCTCGACTGACCACTATACAGCTTGCGCAGAAGGACTGTTTCGATCGCATAGCCTGTATCAGATTCTCTGCGTCTTCCTCCAATCTTCCGATTCTATAAGCACCAACTGCGGGTGTTTCCCATGTAAATAATCTTTGTTCTCGTGGAACTTCCCTGTAGGGCAAGTATGAAATCGGAGGCACGTAACCCAACGCGTCCCTCATTATCCTTTCGATTCTTTCAAAAATCGTAGTCTGTCCAGCAGGGCTCTCCGGTTGTGTCGAATCCATAGTAACAGAGTATTCGACTGTACCTTGTTAAAGTATTGCCCGTTAATTGCTTAAAAGATGAAACATACGGAAAGGAAAAAAGATCTGGGAATGATCCTTATATCTTGCTTTCGATATCGCTGGGAGGGTGCGATACCGTACCTCCCACATGCCCGGGTCCTACGTGGCGAAGTAAGCCACAGGGTCATTAATATATGTGCATGATTGAAGATACACAAATTACTTCGCATGTATGGTTACAGCCAATCTCCTTATTACTCTGATCTGCGCGTTCGTTCACTGGTCGACGCGGCCAATACAACTACTTGCAAAACTTAAACCCAACTCGGCCACATTCTATCTCTACATTGACAGGCCCTTTTCTCCATGCTTTCTCATCGGCTTGAGCAACTTAGGTTGCCGTAACTCTGTTGTTACGCGGAGTAATACTGTAAGGCTGAAGCACAAACTCGCCGACGAGGCGCTGCGGAGGTCAGTATGCTGTAGCGTATAAAACAGTTTTAATTTGTAGCACAGCTAAACCCCGGAGTCCACCACATGCAAGATTCAATAGATATGCTTCAAACTTGCGAGCATTTTACTAGCCTACAATATGCAATAATCAAATATGCCTAGAGTCCCAGAATCGTTAATGATTCCTATAGCTTTAAGCAGAGTGCATCATAGATAGGTTGCATATTACTCCTGGTGGTTGACATTCAGCTTGGAAAGAACCAAGCGACTCGCCTGTGTGAGCCCGCTGCTCAAGTCGAACTTCCATGGACATTCACAATCTCGAACGAAATAGAAAAGGCATGATTTGGCGGAAACACTTGGCGCTTGCCTGCCATGGAAGTTGATTCGAACTGGGAAAAGCAAATAACCTCGTAGTCACAGCAATTGGTTGCGATGTGGTACAAGGCTGAGCTGAATACAAGAAAGATAAACACAGCCCCTAGCAACATAATGGCGTCTTCTCAACGTTCGATTCCACTACCCACCAGATGGAGCCCCTATCGTCCAAGCACGTACTCTTCGCCTCCAGGAGTAGGGTCAGAGCAGGAGCGAATCGGCCACTCCGCCATCACCTTGTTCACCGGTCAAGAGACGCGATGGCACTCCCATAAAAAGCTCACCGCTCTTCTGTCCGCTACACTGTTGATAGGGTCGGTATCCCCAGGCTGTACTAGTGACCAGGATACTTTAACGAGTGAGAGAGCATCTTATGTTCTGGAGACTTTACAGTAGTACTTGATTTGCTCAATATAGCAATTTATGTATCTTCTAGCACGAGAGTTCTGGCAATAACGGCTCATGCCAGATCGTTACGCTTTTGATGTTTTGATAACCTTGGAACTCTCTTCCGCCACACTTTTCGCTGTCTTGTCAAGTGCATCTTTGGTCTGCGTGGCAGCGCTTGCCAAAACATCCTGCGCCTTGGTTGCTGCACTGCCTGCGGCCTCGACGCTCCTCGAGTAGGCCTCGCCAGCCTGTTCTTTGCCTTGCTCATACGCGTCTTGGGCCTGTGTTGATGCCTGTTTGGCCAATTCTTCGGGGCTGGGGTATTTCTTCATCGACTTCAGGATTAGGTAGTAGATGTTGATGATCGCGGCGTGGATGCGATCTTTCATTAGCATAGTGATTCCGTGAGAAAAGAAGCCCTTGACTACCTCTGCGCCAAGGCCCTGATACAGCGCCCATATTCCCTCCGTCTTTGCGATGCGCAGAATGGTGCTGAAAACGGTGCGCTGCCTGGCTTTCACTGTCAACGGGTCGAGTGCGGCCGCTGGCTTCTCGGTCTCGGAGGTAGGCCCGGTAGGTTGAGCCGGCTTTTGCGAGGACACCTGAGCCCGTGCCTTCGCGAGTGAGAAGGGATATGTGACTGTGGAAGCAAGAGCTTTACTAATGGCGGCAAGGAGAAAGGTGATTCGCGCGCCTGGATCCTGTCGGCGATCTCGAGGTACCAGAAGTCTGAGAAGCACCTTGTGGAGCAGGAAAGTTATTGACGGATTGAGAGTCAGCACCAAACTGGCCGAATACCCAGACCAGAAGCCCTGCAATCCCTTCTCTTCTCGAATTTGTAGTGCTATATCTTTCAGACTGAGATTTGGCGATGCTGTGGCCGAGGGGTCACGCGCTGCGACCATCGCAGCAGTTTGCTTTCTAGTAACGATATTCTGGAGGGGTGTTGTCCAGAACTTTGAGAATGCTCCCGCGACGACCCCAACACCAATCTCATCCAGCGCGGAGAGACTGCGCGTCCCTTGCGAGTTTAGTCTTCTTTGTCTGGCGTACGTATATGCCAAAAAGAACAAGAAGCTGTCGGTGACGCTTTTCAGCGTTTCCGGCACAACACCCGTATAGAACGCCTTTATGCCTCCTTCCGCATCATATATCTTCTCAACTGCATCCTGGAAATTCTTGTAGTTCGCCTCCTTATGGTCCTCTGTCTGGAATTGCTTCTGAACTTGAAGTCGAGTGATGACGAGGTCGAGCGGATAGGTGATGAGCTTCGAGATTGCGGTTCCGGCTGCTCCTGATACTGCGTGTCCTAGAGCTGGTAGAGCAGGGCCAATGCCACTCTCTTGGGGTGACGACTCTTCCTGTACAATGTGGTATAGAGTGAACGCATCCTAACATGTTTGTGAGCGCGACTGTCTTCATGTGAATGTGCCGAGGCAAATCATACCAGCTGCGAATTGTAGACGTAAGTCATGGTGGGTGCTTCCCGATGAGACATCGCCTCAACACTGGTTATAAGGAAAATACGAAAACAAATAAGAAAGGGGTATCTTGGAGTAATAACTAGAGAAACGGATGTGGAGAAAATGCGGGGGTTCACGATGCGGTCATGGTGTTGTTTAAGTCGGATCCGCTCTTTGTGTGACCATTCACAGACGTCATCTGGAGCTCCGAGCTCAGATGAAAGCTTCGAGCTCGTGCTTCCCACATGTCAACACTAGCGCTAGTCGCAATCTATCATAGTGCATGTTCTACCCAACACCTCGTACCTAGGTACTTCAGATGATACGATTTATGTACACAGTGTTTATGCCCCAATCAAATGACTTGTGCAAGATTATGATTTGATTGATCGTGTAACTTCTCGCCCGCCTGAGACCATACGCAAGACGAGGTACTGTACTTGCTTGACGTATTTTTTTCGGGCTACTCATAACATAAGTTAGCCACCTTAGAAATGACAGGATGAGGAATTGAGATTATGGCATACGCTCTTAGACAATGATGAGAAAATGGCGTGGTTTTCAGATTCATTCAGTGTCCCTCGCAATCTTATCGGTATTTTTTGCAATCGATTCTATGGCGGTATTAAATAAGGACTTCTTCCTAGGCGTGTATATTAGAAACGCACGATCATTTGTAGCATGAGAGAAATGCTGCCTACACCGCGGCTCGTACTATTTGTCCGGACTCCAACTTAAATCCATCTTCTTAGATCCTCCATGTGAAACTCTTCAAGTCTCCAGCCATGGGTCGAGCACGACTGTCAAAACGTAGCGTTGAAGGTTCACCGTAGGTGCGGCGCATCGAGCCGCGATCTAGCGAAGTGCGGCTTCGACATCCGTGGCCGACCATTTCGTCTAGTGAATGCAAGACAAAACATACTAGATAAAGTAACCACTCAAATAGACATTCGCAACCAACATGCTGAGCACAAATACACAGACCAAACAATCTAATATCTTTCGCAATTGTTCAACAATAACTCACCATGCCATCCCAGACACTCACACCCACTCCCCCATCCATCGCCCCAAACAATCTTCTTAAGAATGCATCAAACGACCGCATCTGCACTGCATTCGGCATAAAGATCACCCCCGACACTTCGATTGTGCACATTGCGAAATCAGCCGGATATGACTCCCTCTTTATCGATATCGAACACACCTCCCTTACAATCAAGGATGCAAATCAGCTCTGTATAGCAGCCAACTCGGCAGGGATTACTCCATTTGTTCGGGTGCCTCATCAATGTGGTGATGGATTCATTCAGAGAGTGTTGGATCTTGGTGCGATGGGCGTGATTATACCACATATCCACGGAGTCGGTATGTAAACGTGGCGGCTGGATCGTCCTTTGCATTGAAAAGTAATGCAGAGCTAACGCTGTATCTTTCATGTTTTCAGAGGACGCAAAACGCGCTATTCGCATATCGAAATACGCGCCATTGGGGAAACGATCCATCAGTGCTGGGTTCCCTCAGTTCGAGTTCGCACCATTACCTGTGGACACCATTACCACGGAGATGAACGCCATAGGGTCTACAGTATTCATTATGGTTGAAACGGCCGATGCTCTGGAAACTGTTGATGATATCGCGGCCCTTCCCGGCTGTGATGTATTACTTGTCGGCTCCAACGATCTGGCCTCAGAGATTGGTACATTGGGAGACTGGGATGCGCCGGCGTTCCTGGACGCTCTGGAGAAGGTCGGCAATGCAGCGAAGAAACATGGAAAGTTGATGGGAATTGCAGGTCTGTATCATCGCCCTGACATACTAGAAAGGGTCATCAATGAGTTTGGGGCGAAGTGGATTGTTGGTGCACAAGACGTAGGCCTGCTGCTTCAGGGTGGAAAGTCGAATTCTGCACTCTTGAGAAGTTTGGAGAAGACTTCTTCAAAGAATGGGACGTCCTAGATTGTAGTATATCATGATGGTCGAGCTATCTGCTTTTCGAATTCTTCCCAATCCGTTGAGTCTGCTCCTGTGAACATAAAATTGCCGCCGAAGTCTAGGTTGAAGTCATCAAGATTCATGTCATTGAAGTCATGGTTATTCATGTCCATTCCCTCAAGATAGTCAAGAGAAGTATGAGGCAAAGACAGTGATAGTCTCCAGTCTGTCCCTTCGATGGGTTCCATGGAAACCGTCGTGCCCGGAAGATCAAGCTCAGGAGGGCCGGTGTTTGACAAGCCGGGTGTGGCCTCCAAAGGTACTGTCGGTGTTGCCCGTTGAGCACTGTGATCACAACGCCCTACTGAAAGTCTCTCCACTGAAGAATGCAGAGCGATGTCTAAGTGTTCGCACATTTGTTCCACATCGACAAGCCTCTTGGTAGCTGCTTTGTTACCACTTTGGGAGAGGTATCGAAGAATGTGCATCGCCCCACCGATCCCCTGTACACCCGCACCTGGCTTCTTTGCCGAATATACAATTTCGACAAGCACAAAGACGAAAGCACTCGAAACCTTTGCGTCAAGATCGAAAAATCCGAACTTTGCTATTTCAATTGTCAGCCTTGAAGATTATGAGGCGTCTACGAATTACCTAACAAGCCTTGTTGTCGGAGCGCAAGCAGCATATCAAGGCTCCGACCTGCAGCCTCGATGCAAGTAGCTGATAGCTTCTGCAAAGGTGATGTATCAGCCAATAAAGCATCTATGTTCATGCCGTTCGACTTAGAGGTCGCCAAATGGAGAAGAATCGGCCTTGTAGTCAGTGCCATCGCCTAGAACAACCATTAGACTGGATCCTGTAATCAACGGTTACCATAATACCTGAAAAAGCATTAAATGCAATGTTGCTCTAGTTCGAGTTACCGTGAGAGGTTGCGAGAAGTTGAGAGTGTATTCTGAGGGCATTGATTTCCATATTTGCGCAAGCTCTGACAAGATATGTTGAACACGTCTCAAATATCTTCTCTCAGACGTCGGTTTGTGGCTATAGACACCTATCGTAGATATGGTCAGACTAGAATCGGGATTTTAACGAGTGTAACGTACTCTGAATTATCTTGCCAGTTATTCTGGCAATTTGGATGTTCAGATTCAACGCCATAGTCGAATAGAAGCCAGGCGAGTCTGTAGGTAGTGGCACAGTTATATCATCATCGCTGACCCCAATCGGATTCCCAGTTGCGGCGGCCAATCGTCTACATCCTTTAGTTTCATGCTCTATCTCGATGAAAACAACATACCTCTCCTGCATGTAGATTGTCCACCATAATCGGTTGCGATGAGTCTTCTGCGATCGTGGCATAGCTTGTGTCGTTTTATCGCGAGCGAGGCCGTTAGATAAGGCCAATCTCAGTGCGACGCCGGCCTTTGTTTGGTTATGTTAGATTTAGCTGGAGACATAGAATATACCTTCGTAGTACTCACGTATACATAGGCGTCGTCCTTACGGTCTGAGCATTGGAGGAAGAAAACAAACAGGCCCATAATTTCCACTGCGAGAGTATCTGCGTTGCGCAAAGTGCAGAGTGATGGGAGACGATTGATAGCCCCTAGGAAGTAGTCTGCACCAGGAAAGGATGATCCTTCTTTCAGCTTTCCTTGGAGAAGGCCGCCAAGCGAGAATACCATCAGCATCTCAACGTACCAAAGATCATCAGATACATTTTGAGCAGGAAAACCGTCATAAAAGCTGGATAGTCTGTCAGAAAAGGCCCGTGGATCTATGAGGTGCTGCACCCGTCCAATTGAGGCGAGTACAGTGTTTAGTAAATCATGGGCTTGCTCTTCACTCGGCCAGTCAATGTTTTCTAAATTGTGGAGAACTTTTGATGCATCAGGTTCGAGATTGTAGACGTTGTCAGGACTTTCCGTTGGTAGGCTCGCCGCGATTTGAATGCTGGTATTTAGGTTTGTGGGTAATCCTCGGATTCTCGAACCAAAGTGAACGCTTGAGGACATTGTAGAGTCCATGAGGATCGCTGGTAAACGCTTAGATATAATTAAGAAAAAGAAGAAGCACTCGGATATCCACTAACGAGATGCTTGCGAACTTCCCCCAGTCTCAGTGAGTCCTTCCTGATCAACAGGACTGGGACTGGAAGGCACAGTGCTTCGTTCCGGCTGTATTGCGATATTTGAGTTCTCTCGTTCCTCAATAGAGGAAACCAGTCTTTCCAGATCTTCTACATAGCTGGAACCCATGAGAAGAATGAATTGGACCTGGGGAGAGGACTACTTTACGCTACTGAGTACATCTTCTTTCGAACGTTCTCAGGGAAAATGCATTCGAACTGTCTCTTCAAGCAATAACGGCACGGTTGGATACCGGAGCATTTAATTTTCCGTTCTCTACAGGAGGTACATCTACAATGTTCAGTCTCTCCAAAGCATTCTGTTGAGGTTGGGGTCAAGTACGCTTGTGATGTTCGCGCTGCTTCTCCACGTGAAGCAGACCTCCTTGTTCGTTTTGCGGGAGGTTCTTCGAGCATGATTAAAATACCCCATCCTCTGGTACGAGACGTAGGTGTGGTGGTCAAGTTGAGAGTGCGGCCAGGCGCTTTCAAGCCATTGCATTCATTACATAATAGGACCTATACCCAAATTTGATCGATTTCCCTTATGAAAGCTCTACCCCACTCTGATCGTAAACTCTATCTCCGCTCCCCTAGATCTAAATATTTAGCTACATTATTCAACGCTGTGGTTGCCGTCAGGACTTGGGTTTCAGCTGTGGTTGCTCCAATGTGTGGAGTGCTAATGACTTTTCCTCTCGCCCAAAGTCTTTCATATCGGTCAAGAGTCGGCGGTTCTTCTTTGTGACAATCTAGACCAGCTCCAAAAATCGAATCGCTCTCCAAAGCTTGTATGAGATCATCTTCATTCACAATGCCACCTCGTGCTACGTTGATAAGAATAGCTCCACGCTTCATTTTCTTGAACTGCAATTCGCCAACCATGCCCCGTGTTTGTGCAGTCAAGGGAACGTGCAGGGTTAGGACATCGACATGAGCTAACATATCTGCCCAATCTTGGACTCTTTTATGAGGAATATCACTCCAAGCATCCTCTGGGGCAAAGGGGTCGCAAGCGTAGATGGATGCATTAAACGCTCCTCTGAATATTCGAGCGACCGCTGAACCGATGTTGCCCATGCCTACAATTCCAATCGTTCTACCAGTCATTGTTCTACCGCAGCAGTGTTCCTTTCGCACCTCTGACCCGGCTGCCTGCTTGACTGATATGGTTCGTAATTGTCGAGCAACAGCCATGGTTAAGCTCAGAACGAGTTCAGCGACCGACTGCGCATTGACACCAGGAGTATTCAAAATAGCAATCCCTCGTTGTTCGCACGCAACTTGATCGATGATATCAATGCCTGTTCCCTGCTTTCCAATTGCTCTCAATCTTTTGGCAGCATGTACAGCTTCAGCCGAGATGGGCTTTTCGCGGACGAGTATAGCATCAGCGTTCGCTTGCCAATTTAAAGCTTCGGGGTCATCATGTAGGACTGTGTTGAAAAGTTTCTGACTGTGGAGGATGGCTTCCTCAGGAAACTGTTCGAGAAGGTAGATAGTTGGACGATTAGTTGAGCGTGGTCCTCGAACATCGATGGCTGACTCTTCTGCTTCGATTCTCGCAGGCGCCATGGCGAAGTGGTTTGGTATGCACTTGGGTAATGATAAGTGAAGTTGCCTAACTAAAAATTCAATATTGGCATCAGCCTCTTTTATGTTATTTGTAGCCGGCAGGCCTTCTTTCTGCTGGGTTACCTACTGGTCTGCGGTGTCAACATCCGTGGGGCACTGGATGCTCGATTCACTACTCAGGTGTCGGCTTGCACATCCGGCGCTGTTTGGAAACGCCAAAAACCGTGGCCTCAACATCCGGCGGACACTCGACACCTTTTCAAAATTCTTCCCCATGGGGTCTCCATTCTTTCAACCACATTCTAGCAAGGGTGTTAATACACCTAAATGCATAGACCATTTTCTAGTATTTAATAAGACCATGGCCGAAGTAGTATTCTAAATTTCCAAAGCAGTGACATTTCCTAATCCATTGCAATCTCGAAAGCCTCAATTAGTTGCTTTCGGTTCTCTCATCATCACTTTCATCATCATGACAGACATCGTAAAGTCCAATGGAGATGAGCAGGTTGAGATCTCGACCACAAAAGAAGGCCAAGAGCTTGCAGTCGCCTACCAGATCGATCCAGTAGAGGAGAAGGCAGTGTTGAGAAAGCTCGACCGCGTGATTCTTCCGCTCATGGCTCTTGTATACTTTTTTCAATGTAAGTTTTCGTGGGATACATGTTGCAATAAACTAACGTAAGTAGACCTTGATAAACAGAGTATCAATTATGCAGCGGTATTTGGTCTTTCGGACGATCTTCAACTCTCCGGTACAGAGTTCTCCTGGGCTATTTCTCTCTTCTACTTCGGCCAGTTTGTCTCCGAGTATCCTGCAGCATACATGATGAGTAGATTCCCAATCACCCTGTTCGTTGGGATAACAGTGTAAGTGATCTTTCAAAGAAGATACAAACATATTAGAACGGCAGTCTGATCATGTTGCAATGGACAGCATTCTCTGGGGTTTATGCGAAATAAGCCTTGGGGCTACGCAAAACTGGCCGGGGCTGGCAACTGCAAGATTCTTCCTAGGCTTCACGGAGGGAGCTGTTGCCCCCTCATTCATGATCATTACAAGTGGCTGGTATAAACGTAGTGAGCACCCAGTGAGAATCGCGTATGTTCCCCAAAACGACAATGCGTGGTCTTAGGCTAATGAATATAGCACATGGGTTTCCATGTTCGGTATCTCTCAAATCGTTGGCGGAGTTATGATGTACTGCATTGGTGGCGCTCACATGGCTCTTGCATCGTGGCGCGTTCTTTTCCTCGTTTGCGGTGGTCTTACTGTTACTTGTGGCATACTCTTCATGATTTTCATGCCTCGCAGTACCACGACCGCATGGTTCTTAAACGAGCGAGAACGAAACATCGCAACTGAGCGACTGGCAGTTGATCGCGCGACACGAGACCGATCCTCTTTCGACGTAGCACAACTGAAGGAAGCGTTGACCGACCCGCGGACCGCCCTATATGCACTCATGGCACTGTTCATCACCCTCCCAACACCAATCGTCAAGTTCTCTTCTCTCGTCATCAGCGGCTTCGGCTTCACGCCGTTCAGAACAATGCTTGTTGGACTACCAGGCGGTGCGATATCATTCGCGCTCGTCTGGGTAGGTGCCTTAGGTCCTGCACTTCGACCTAACACCCGCTGCTTCATCGGCATCTTTGTCGCTGCTATGCCAATGATGGGCACATTACTTCTACTGCTTCTACCTGCTAGCAATAGTTGGGGCATCGTGGTCAGCACATGGTTTGCTGGATCCACTGCGCCGCCCCTGTCCGTCACTGTTGGCCTCATGGCATCGAATGTCAAAGGAAACACCAAGAAATCTGTGGTTAGCGCAGTCTTCTTCATCTTCTACACTATAGGATGCATTGTGGGCCCACAGTTATGGCAGAAGAAAGACGCGCCAAGGTATACCAAAGGATGCATCACAAGTGTGGTCAGCTTTTGTTGCCTAATCATTTGCTACATTGTGTACTACATGACTGCGAAGATCAGTAATCGGAACAGAGAGGCGATTATGGACATGGACGAACCTATGGACAGTAATGGGTGCCAAGTTGGCGTCAGTGTGGATTCTGATCACACTGAGAAGCAAGATATGGCTTTTAGATACAGCTACTAAATGGATGCAGAGAGTCGTCATCTATCGCAAGGTCTTGTAGGACTCTTTACATCTTAGAATGGGGTGCCGTTCATTTTGTACCTTTTCTTGAATAGACCAAGAACACACATTCAGTTAATGCTCCTGTATTCTCTACAAAAATGCAGATAAGCATCTCTGAACATCCGGGGCACTTCGATATTATCAGATTTAATGTGTCGTGTTCTTGTATTGAAGAACTGAAGTAGTTAAAGGACTTGAGTATTCGACCATTAGAAGGGCTTGAGAGCATGAGCAGTACACTGAACACATGGTGCTCATGTCATGGTCACGCAAAGTCGAGAACTCTCCACTTCATTAACCCCACATCATCAACTAGGAATGGATCTGAATAGACTAAGATTACTGATGCAAACAAGCTATCAATTTGTACGCACGATGATACCCTCCATCTACTAACCTAACATTGCCACCAAGATGTTACGGAAGCTTGATACAAATGATAGGGAAAAAACGTTCCATCATGCAAATAGAACGATGAAAATTCGGAAAATTGTACTCGGAGACCATGTCAAGTGTCCAATACCCAGGAGTGAGAAATAGTGACAATTTGACCAACAAATCGTACTGATGATTCTGACCCTAGTATGTTTTTGTCGAGTCGACGTATTTCCCCGGTATGACTAGAGTGAAATTCATGCTTAGTTGAGCAATTAATGGGAGTTTATATGAAGCGTCCTGGAATGCCACCACTTTCAATCGGTGAAGCAGCAACAGCAGATATACATCTTGCACCATCACCGGAAGGTACGCTGAGGCTTGTACTTAGCAATGTTGCGGCTCCACCGCCCGCATTGAATGTGTAAATATTGCCTGTAGTGGTCTCTTGTCCGTAAAACTCGTCGGTGTCTGAACCCCAGAATGAACCGAACTGGTTCGTACCAGCGAGTGAAGGATAGTCCATAATCTTTTCCCAAATGTGCGTGGCCAAATTAAAGCGAACCAGTGATGGTCCAATAGTTACGGCGTATAAGTAGCCGGGTCTGGCAGGAAGATATACCCAGTCAAATATACCCATGCCGTTGATGGCTATAATACTGGCAGTTGCGTCGCCGCTTTCAATGATCGTACCGAATGTTGCGGAGCCGGGAGCAAGGTCGATCACTGCCCATACTCCTCCTCCCTGAGTTATGTAGAACTTTCCAGTGTTGTCGATGTCACCAGCATTCCAGTAGCCTGCTCCAAGGCTAACAGCGAGAGGCTTCTGGCCACCATCACTTCCGATTTGAACCAGGCTGTTGGCTCCTAAAATGCTCACTACGCCCCAAATTGTGTTGTCCAAGACGTTGTATCCAATGGAGGTCACATCTCCTCCAGCGCCAATCGTTGAGCTCAGTAAGGATGTCAAACCTGAGGTAGCGTTCAGACTATACAGCGAATTTGATTGTACCAGGTACCCAACTGCGTTACAAACAAAGGTGGCTAGTGGCGATGCTGGCGCACTGCTTGGAGGTGCAGATGGCGCAACAATTGGAGCAGATGGCTCCACGACTGGAGCAGATGGCTCAACGACCGGAGCAGATGGCTCAGCAACTGGAGCAGATGGCTCAACAACTGGAGCAGATGGCTCAACAACTGGAGCAGATGGCTCAACAACTGGAGCAGATGGCTCAACAACTGGAGCAGAAGGCTCAGCAACCGGAGCAGAAGGCTCAGCAACCGGAGCAGAAGGCGCAACGACTGGAGCAGATGGCTCGACAACGGGAGCTCCAGATGGCTCGACGACGGGAGCAGATGGCTCAACGACTGGAGCAGATGGCTCAACGACTGGAGCAGATGGCTCAACGACTGGAGTAGATGGCTCAACGACGGGAGCCCCTGAAGGCTCGACGACGGGAGCCCCTGAAGGCTCAATAACGGGAGCTCCTGAAGGCTCAACGGCTGGTGCTCCGGAAGGCTCAACGGCTGATACTCCCGATGGCTCTACAACTGGCGCTTCCGAGGGCTCTACAACCGGTGCTCCAGAGGGCTCTGCAATCACAGGGGGCATGGAAATTTCGGCGTTCGGTACTGGAGTTACTGGAGCCGGAGTAGCCTCAACAGCCGGAGCTGGAGTAACCAACGGACTGCCGTTACCCTGATTGACTGGTGCACCGTTGCTCTGATCGACTGGTTCAATGGCCTGTTCAGCAGGTACAGCAAGGCCCTGATTGAAAGTTCCACCGTTGGCCTGATTAAAAGCTGCACCATTGGCCATATTATAAGCGCCACCGTTGGCCAAGTATTCGGCGAAGAGGGAAGGATTCAACACGGCGGCGTCAAAATCTAAACCGGGATATAATTCAGGATCAAGTGGGAATGGAAATCCATAGGGACCGAAGCCTTTGTAGTAATCGTAAGGACTGTACCCAGAGTAGCCATGATGACCGGAGTGATGGCCGCCATAACCGTGGCCATGGCCATGGCCGTGACCACCACCGCCATAACCACGTTGTTGGACATGCTTCCTTCCAACTACGTACACAAGTGTCAGTAGGAATAACCTAGAAGGGCGTGAGATACATATCTTTGAATGGCCTCTTGGTAGTACGCTGGCTGTAACAAAGCCTAGCAGGCCGAAGCCTGTCAGGATTGGGAGAATATCCTTCATTTGCGTCGCTCTCAAAAATTACTATATTGGAACAATGGCACAACAACTGATGCTACAAGTGGCCCAAATCCAACGTCAGGCGAAAGGAAGTCGAGCTTGAGGACGAACCGGAGCTGGGGTTGAGAGGGATGACATTACTCGTATGAAATCCACCAAACACCTTTTATGCAGGAATCCGCGTCAGGACTTGATACCTTTGGCAATAATTTGTTCATGGCGCATAGTGTGTTGCCGCCAACTCAGTCCAATTCGTTTCGGGTCTCAGTTCCTGTAAAGCTTAGCACAATTTTACATTCCGCCAAGTGGGAACTACCTTTCTACATTCCCAAGACCCGCATGATCCCTGCCTTCACCTTGCCTCCTTGATTGCAATTGACACTCTCAAGTTACTATTTAGCTAGGCTATGTCATGCGATACCACTATAGATAGTATGCAACTCAAGCCGACTTTGCAATGGTTTGTACCATTTTTTTAGAACGCCAATGTCAACCAAGTACAGATGGGACTCTTCGGAGTATACCATATGGTTTCACTATTAAGATACAGAAAGCAGTCGAAAACATGCTCTGTGAACTGATGGAAAAGGTCAGGCAAATTACACTCTTCCACGTCCCTGACCAATGTTCATGTTGAGAGCACGGATACCTTGACATTCCATACAATTGTTTGGGAATTTAAAAATTGAGAAGTTTGAAAGCAAGCGCCCATCGACACATGCATCTATTCACTTGGGGTATAACCGTGCGATGGGCCAATGATCATGTGCCCGTTCAAATCGTGAAAGCTTACACCAAGCCTTCAGATATTTCTTGGACGGGATTCTCCATACCACGTTGCTCAGCCAAACTGGCTAGCAAATCCAGACGGAAATAAAACCCTCTTGCAATGTACGCCGAGAGATTTCCAATACTCTCTGTCCCTTCTTGTTTATCAAAATCCTTGTGTAACGTCCGCGCATATGCATTACCGATAGGTTGGAAGGGAGGAGCCGCTGTTCCGAATCATGTGAGGTTTTCTATATTGTGTCTACTACTCCAACCTAGCTTACTATGCGCTCAAATTCTATGCATAACCCTCAAGAGGTTATTGATATCAGAAAGTTTACAAAAAGTCCTGGGCATTCCATAATCAAAACTTCAGCTGAATGACTATAGAACCCTATAAGCGTTAGAAGTTTCCACACCCGTATGGATCCGCAACTTTGTCGATTCGGTGCAATGATGTCATGGACTAGTAGTTTGAAGATATTACCGAAAGTCACGAACATTGTTGTAATTCGACGATGCTATGGCCTGGTTAGCACAGTTGTCCATAGTGAGTCAGATCTGTTCCTGTAGCATCGAGATGCTGCACTTATGGTGTAACACGGAACAAAAGTAAAAAGCACTCCTCGATATGCCGTTATTGGGTCCAAATGTAACCCAGAAAATATGCGCGCTTAACTAGCCGCCTATCAGCTCTGTGGACCGGCTAGTTTGGTCGAGGTTTATCATTTGATCTATAACTCACTAACTTAAAACCACAGATTTTCCAGCTCAAGCTGGGGTCAGGATTAAGGTGTTACGAGGGTATTGATGCACTGTGACCATTTGTAGGAAGTGCTTACTGAGGTCATCAACGATGTTAGCGACTAGCAGGTAAGATTATCGGGTGAGAGTAAGACTACGCCGCATCACCTTGGTATATAGCCTGAAGTATCAACGACAATATACAGTATTTTAATTATGCCATTGTCACTCAATAATAAATCGATACATCAGTTCTACCTTCCCAGGCATTGAGTGTGATAGCTCATTCGCATTTGTAGACACCTAGAAACCTAATCAAACGAGAAAACAACTCAATTCTCCTTTATTATATCCGAAACTCAAGAACAACCTCCAAAATGAACTCTCTGTCTGGCAGCAAGAATACCAACTTACGGGTACCCACCCCATCCAACCCATCTTCGCTCCCACCACGTTACGAAATCCGTCAATTGCAACCAGAACACCTCGAGTGGGTCATGGCCATCGTCATCCACTCCAACGTGTTCTATTCTCCTGTCTGGACAGTCTTATACCCAGACTACCTGACCGACAAGCTGCACGAAGCAATGAGAAACGGCAAATATCTCTTCGAACACCAGATTAAGTCCGGTCTCTCTTTCGGCGTCTTCGACACAGAGTATACTTTCAAACGTGCTGAAAGTGCGCCTACAGGAGGAAAGTTATACTGGGACGAATCCGAGCCGGAGGTGAAGTCCTCTCAAGGCGTGCAGGCTGAAAGCAAGAGGTTGCTCGAGCAGATGGACTTTCCCCTTGTTAGCGTTGCAATGAGCTACGACGGTATAAATGCTCTTGACTTGAAGAAGATGGAACCAATGTTACAAGTCCTGCCGCATTTTGGATTGATATATCACATTCTTGATGTACTGGACCAGAGAGCTCCGGAGACGTGGAAGGCAACTGGAGACGGGCAGGTGCTGATGCGAAATGCGACGTCTACGCGACGTGACTATGAAGGACAGGGAATTATGGCTGCGTTAGCAAGGTGGCTGATGAGAGAGGCTGCTGGGAAAGGATACAGAGGGATTCAGATCGAAAGTATCAACAATGCTGTTGCACATGTATGGGGAAAGGCGGAGCCGCCGTTCGAGGGAACCGTTATTAGCGAATTCGACACGGCAACTTGGGCAGACGAGGAAGGGAAACATGCGTTTGAACCTGCGAAACAGGTGTGTAAGAAGATTTGGGTTGATTTGAAAGCTACAGAGAAATGAAGTCATGATGGTAGGAATCGAGATAAAGAAAGCAAAACAAGTTCAGGGATAGCAAACGATTCTCGAATTTCATGTTGGATCTGGTGTAGTCCCGTCCCTACATGATACTTTCATGTCCTACGATCGCCTATTTACCTAGTTAGGATCATGACAGTTTTGTTTTGAATATTAATCCTTTTGCTCCCTTCCATTCCGCATTCCTTAATGTTTGCTGGACTATCAACGAAAGGAAAAGAGATGCGAGAAGTCCAGACTCAACGCAGCTCGAAATAGACAATGCATTAATTGCACACGCACGTATCCAGGAATAAAACTGCACATCCCCATGTTGCTGCTTCAAATTGTCCTAACAGTCCGTACTCAAAGCATTAAAGCTGAGACAAAGCCCCACCTGCAGCCGCCGTCACGTCGTCACACCACACTATGACATCGCATTCCTCGTATTCCGTCGCGCGATCGCGAAGTCATGCGTTCGTGCGACCTCATTCACCGTGACAACGTGAATGCGTGGTAATTTCGTGTTCTGAGTCACCGATTTTCTCGGCGGCGCGCATCTACGCAATGAGGCGCGTCGCTTGTAACTACGGAGCGCTACTTTGTGGACGTCCGGCGCTCGTTAGTGGTGGATGTGAGAGTGGTATGAGGGGTCAAAGGACGCGCTTGGCGACGCCGTGGTATGGTTGTGGCTTGGGAAGAGACGGTGATTGGAATTGCTGCCTGAGGATGAGTAAACTGAACAATGAATAGGGACGATCATGATTACGGTGACGATGTTGGCCTGAGGATGTATAAAAAGGAGCGAAAGCTACGGAGTTGCAGATAGTCATCTCCATTCTTTTTGGGAATCCTTATCTGAATATCGCCTTAGGAACCAATCCTCAAAATGTCTGACGAAAACTGTGCAAAGGAATGGCCAATTCCACCAATTGGTAGTCCCTGCTGGATCGAAGTCATGTCTGAGAATCCCCCAAAACTGAAGGTCCGTCTTCACAAACACAAACATAGTGTGATCGCTCATTTGAACCAGGAGTTTTATTCTGCCTTGTTCCCTTCATGGGAATTCAAGCCGGGCACTAAGGACCATCCAGAGTCTGAGGTCGCCATGTTCGAGTTCCAGCAACCGAAAGGTGAGCAATTGCAAAAACGATGTTTGATTGATGATCAAAATTGACGCTCATAGGTCTTTCGGGAGGCATCGTGAAGCTACCCGAGGGATGCAAACGTAGCGAGCACCCCCAAGGCGTCGGCTTTACCATCTATTGCTATGTTACAGATCTTGAAGCGGTATGTCTTAATTCATTGTTTGATTTTTACGTCCTGTCAGATTGGCGTGTTAATGAATTGCATAGACGGAGAAGCAGGTGCATGAGCTTGGTGGAACCACAGTATTGGGAAAGACGAAGGAGGGCAATCATGGGTGGTTCATGAACTTCAAGGACCCTGAAGGGAATAGGTTTGCTGCTTATACTATGGCCAAGTGAGGATCCAAGTAGATATTTATGCCGTTTGCCGCGAAGTCTTTTTTCAATTGATACTGTTACTGGAGGCGTATGATGTTAGTGAAAGCCCAAAGTTTCGGTATCAGAAGTGGCCCAAAAGATACATTGACAATTGAAACGAATCTTCAGTCGATGAAAATGCTGGCATTGAATGAAGATGTTATCCCGGATTGATTTTCCAAATGCGCATAGAGAATCCTCAATATCTCCCCCACCCGGTTACTTAACTGTGGCGTTTGCAGCGTTTGACAGCAAATCACTCGTTGGAAAAAAGCTGGGAACGAAGTGAATGCTATGGAAGTGATGAGCTGAAAGAGAAGGAATTGATGCCCGAGATAAATGATTTCGATCGTTATTCAACGAAGGCTACCACCATACCGTATGATGTAATGATGGAGGAAACACAAGTTCGGAATTCATTGCCTCTCTTGGGTAGTGAACGCCCAAGTGTAGGATGAGGTAGTCTGCGGCCAATTAGAGTCGAGCGGCTCCCGACAACACCGACCTCAACGCCTAGACCCGATCAATCTCCGAAGCCTCCAAAAAGATTACCGAGTCCAAACTCTCCACCAAAAAGACGACACTAGAGATTCCTCCCGCCCTCCGTAGACCCCACACAACTACTTACGAGAGCTTCTTTCCTCTCTCTGCCATCTCCTCCTCCCCCGCTCTTGATCCCAACGTTCACTTCAACAATTGCTGTCGCTGGTTGGGAAAGATCCAATTCCTCCTTCTCAAGACGTTCACCATGTCTGCTCCACCGCTCACCTCCCCCCAATTCGTCCACGGGGTCTATATCCCCTCCGCTCTGCTCATCGTCGGAATTGCTATTATCAAGAAGGAATGGCTTCCCTACTCTGTAGTCCTCGCAGCCGTCCTAGGAGGCTGGAAGATCATGAACAGCCGTATGCATTCTTCCCGGGCATTCTAATAGCGAACGAAAACTGACATCATCTATAGGCCCACGAAAGGTGTTGAAGCCAACTGAGTTCCAGACTTTCGAGCTCACTGAGAAGACAATCTTGAGTCACAACACCGCGATGTACGTCTAAATACCTATTAATTGCCTCGTTGCAGCTTCTGACTCCCCTTTCCAGCTACCGCTTCAAGCTCCCCAACCCCACCGACATCCTCGGCCTTCCCATCGGCCAGCACATCTCCCTCGGCGCGACCATTGCCGGCCAGCCCAAGGAGGTCGTCCGCTCCTACACCCCCATCTCCTCCGACGAGGACAGAGGCCACTTCGATCTTCTCATCAAGTCGTACCCTACCGGTAACATCTCTAAGCATGTCGCTTCTCTCATGGTTGGACAAACTATGAAGGTCAAGGGCCCTAAGGGTGCTATGGTTTACACTCCCAACATGGTCAGGCATTTTGGAATGATTGCCGGCGGTACTGGAATTACCCCTATGCTCCAGGTCATCAAGGCAATTGTCCGCGGTCGCGAGACTGGCGACAACACCGAGGTTGATCTTCTCTTCGCCAACGTCAACCCTGAGGATATTCTCCTGAAAGAGGATTTGGACGCACTGGCAGCTAAGGACCCTAAGATCAGGGTGCACTACGTTCTCAACAACCCACCTGAGAAGTGGGATGGTGGTGTCGGTTTCGTCACCGCAGACATGATCAAGGTATGCTTGTTTCGCAGTACATGGCTATCCCAGCCACTAACCTCTTCCTTAGTCCAAACTCCCCGCTCCCGCCAACGACGTCAAGATCCTTATCTGCGGTCCCCCGCCTATGGTCAGTGCAATGAAGAAGGCTACTGAGGGTCTTGGCTTCCAGAAGGCTCGCCCCGTCAGCAAGCTCGAGGACCAGGTCTTCTGCTTCTAGATGTGCGATGTACACATACAACAATTTTGGAAAAATTGGTAATCTACATATCTGGTATCGAGGGGAAAAAGCGAACGGGGGATCTCATATCCAATGCTGAGCATTTTCGGAGACATAGATACAAAATACTACGCCTTGTAATTTGAGAGAGAAGACTTGGAAGCCAATTTGTCCAAAGGATTATTAACCATATCCCCTGAACGCCCTAAATCGAATCAACTTTTGAGAATTCAAGAACCGAGTCTCCTCCGGCGCAGCAGAGTGTCATCAGGAGCCATTGCAAGTTCACTGCGGAAACATTCCGCCATCGACTCCTATGACCTTATTGGTGACATAGGATGTCTCCAGCATCCACAGAACCGTCCCGGCAACTTCGTCGGGATATCCTAACCTACCTACAGGCAATTCTAACATTCCGTTAGCTAGGTATAATACCAAAAACAGCGGAATAAAAGCGAGTGGGTTGGCGCATACTTTCAGCCAGCTCCTCACTACTACCGGGCAGCATCTTCGTTTGCTCAATGAGAGCGGGAGCCACGCCATTGACAGTGACACCCTTCTTTGCATACGTCTGCGCAAGCCAATGCACAAGGCCATGTAGAGCCGACTTGGCGGAAGCATAATGCGGACCGACGATGCCTCCCGTGAAGCCCGCGACACTACTGATGAAGATTATTCTTCCCCAGCCCTCTCCTTCCATAGCCGGCATGCACAACTGGGTGAGCAGGTATGCAGAGCCGCAATTGACGCGCCAGGTATTCTCAAATGCCTCGATGGGCACCTCGTCAACGGACTTGACGCCCGAGTGGCCTCCATTGGCGCCAGCGTTGTTGATCAGAATGGTGGGCGGTCCGACGATATCGACGACGTGCTCGTGGAGTTCGCGGACCTTTGCATGTCAATCACATTCATCCTCATGTCACATACGGTGCTGTTGCGGTGCTTTGCAAACGACGAAGCAGAAGCAGAAGCAGAAGAATAGAAGAAAAAGATCACAACTCCAAACAACACGAAAGACATCAAATAGCATTCAGCTCATCAATCCCCCAAACTTGCACACCTCACCCTCCCAGTTGCACGCAGGCAAACAAGAAGACAAAGAATTCGCGGAGGTGTAAATGAACCATGCTAGAATTTACCTCGTCATAATTCCCCAGGTCCGCCTTGTAGCTCGCGAACTTGCTACCGAACCGATGCATGTACTCCTCTTTGAACTCTTCCATGAGCTCGATGGCGCCGTCCTGGTCGGAGAAGTAATGCATGGCGACGGAGCAACCGCGCACCGCCAACATCCTGCATATCGAAGCTCCGATGCCTCCCGTGGCGCCTGTCACTAGTGCGATCTGCCCGCTGAGGGTGCCCCTGATCGTGTTGATGCTGTTGCGTTTAGGCATTTCGTCTTTTCTTCCTATAATGGTGGGGGAAGAATAAAGGCGCCACGAGGAGTGTTGTTAGTTAGAAGGTGAGAAAGGGAGGGCAGGAGGGGCGGTGGTTGTGGGTAAATACGATCATGTTACTAGTTGGTTGATCTCATGTGAGGAGAGGAGGAGATGTTCGTCATATGCTCTTTATGAGGAGGTGGCTTAAACCAATCGATTTGCGAGGACAGGAAACTGATCGGTCGCTCCAAGAACACAGCTCTTAGCACCAAGCATGCTCCGGTTCAGGTTAGTGACAGCCATGTGCGATTGCTTTGAGATATGGTTTTTTTATATTAAGATATAGCACTGTATGCCTTGGTCTTTTGCAACAATTGTCAATGCAAGAGATAGCCAGCCCTAACTTAATGCCTCTTAAAATGGCCCATATTCGTATAATCTCGACTCATTCGTGCATAAAATGAGTCTTAAACAACGAAGGAGCATTAGTGCAACTAAGCCCCTCCTTGCTGACAGCTTCCTGCTTGTATGAGCTGGAACCACGGAAGAGAGCTACCTGCCGAGTGGGGGACTATTGTATATTTATTTATTGACCCCTCGGATACCCTCAGATAACAGTAACTGTAGAACCGCAACTAATACTTCATTCCCCCACCTTCAACAAGCTCTTCTGATATCAATTCTCCAATTGATCATCTCTTCTTTGAAATCTTAGAAGAGGAAAGTATATTATTATAATCTGTCTTACCATTATCTATCAATTTACTGACATTTTACAGCAAGAGGAGGGGTAACAATGGCCCATCTAACCAGAGACGAAATCCTCAAGTCAGGGGAGGTAAACCTCGAATATCAAAAGGCAAGACGTTATTGATTCCAAACAAATATCATATCCCATATTTAAATCCGTCTGTAACGATGCCATACCTCATCCCACCGCCAACTTCTATCAAACAAGACATACCCACCCTTCTAACCATGCATGGCCAACAACCACCTCAATCCCAATCCCCGAATTCAAAACAATCACCATCTCCATCCAAAAGCACTTGACTGACCTCGACCAGGTCTTCGCCTCCCGTCCCATCGACACCACTCCCCGCAGCGCAGAATGGTCCGACCTCCGCGCCGCACGCTCCGAGCCCCTCGCCCAGCTCCGACAACACTACATTATCCCAGGCCCAATCCCATCTCAAGTCAAAGAGACCATGCACTCTATCCCGACCCGCGACGGCGCCACGATCCGCGTGAAGGTGTACCAACCCGTGCCCTCGGCTGTTGAGATTCCCAAGGCAGGAAGCCCCGTCGTGGTGATGTTCCACGAGGGCGGGTGGTGCGTGGGCGATCTGTCGGACGAGGATTTGAACTGCCGGTTGTTTGCGAGGGAATTGGGGTGCGTTTGCGTTAATGTGGAGTACCGGTTCGTTCCCCCCCCCCCCCTTTCCCCCTTCCCTACTTACCTATCACCATCCATACTCACGAGTAATGTCTTCCAGCCTCGCCCCGGAACACCCCTTCCCAACCGGCCTCAACGACTGCTGGGACGCCCTCGAATGGACCATCTCCGCCAGCGCTTCCCTTGCCGCCTCCCCCACCCAGGGCCTCATAGTGGGCGGCTCCTCCGCCGGCGGCAACATTGCGGCCGCACTCGCCCTGCTCTCCCGCGACCGCAACCTGCAACCCCCGATAACAGGCCAGTACCTCAGCGTGCCCGCGCTCATCACCGGCAAGAACGTCCCGGCGCACCTGAAGACGAGGTTCACGTCGATATACAGCTCGTCCAACGACCCGATCCTCAAGCCTGAGAGCATGGACTACGTGCTTCCGATCTGGCAGCCGGACTTGGAGTCCCCGCTCGCGGTGCCGCATTGCCATCCGGATGGGCACAAGGGGGTCGCGAAGGCGTTTTTCCAGGTCTGTGGGCTCGATCCGTTGAGGGATGATGCGGTGTTGTATGATATTAAGTTGAGGGAGGCGGGGGTTTTGACGAGGTTTGAGCTGTATGCGGGGTTGGGGCATATGTTTTGGTCGAATTGGCCTGAGATGAAGGAGGCGAAGGCGTTTGTGGAGGATACTGTTAAGGGGGTTAGGTGGTTGCTTGAGAAGTGATCGTTGTTCTGTGGAGGGCGAATGCGAGATCGGGATTAGGAAGTGAATGTAGATCTATGCAGAAGTTGTGTCGACCTACACGGATGCCCCTTTAAGGAACTACAATGGGCGAGGTGTTACGCGGTTGAAGATGTCGAAACTGCGGTCATTAGTATAGAAGACACCCTAGACAACAGCAAGATGTGAGATGAGTGCGAAGACTATGTCTTTTTCCAAGTGGTTATTCTACTATACAATGTCCATCACCTGTCTCGCATTTCCCCTATGTTCGCAAGTAAGCCAATGTTCCAGAGTCTTGAACAGGATATCTCTCCCCCCCATACACCGAACCCCGTGGACGAAACCCATAACCTATCATGACGGACCTTGCATGTCGATGTGTAAACCCAACTCCATGCAGCCAAGACCATACCATTCATCAAGAACCGGGTCGTGATGCTCATCACAAAGACCTTCAATGATGCAATACAAAGGCAGCCAACGCCATTCCAGACGTCCAGCTGCCGAAGGTGGGGAATAGAAACTAAATACAGAATGCAACCGTTCGTAACTCCGATCCGCAATGCATATGCAGACATATTATTTTTTTACCATAAAACTGTGGACAAGAGGGGGAAGAATAATCTTTGCTTCAGTTTTGGGTCTGGATAGTGATCCATTCGTGGACACGCCAACTCGCCTGCCCTAAACAAAGAATATCCAAAGGGGTAGATACACTTAGTGGTACACTTTTCACTGAAGCCGAGACGACCGTGAAAGGGGTCAGGGGTGGCGTTGAAATGTGATCAAGGCCAAGGCCCGCCACAAGTCGATACAGTGTTAGGGCTTAGTTTGGTGTTGCCATGTTTTCCTTATGAGAGATGAGAATGTCAAAGCTCTCAACGATCGTCGTCGCTACTCCAGCCTTCGCCATCGTCCTCTCCAACCTTCTCCATGGCTTCCTTGATCAGTGATTGAGCTTTCGGGTCCAGATTCATGGCGATGGTGTAGTGTCGAATTGCGTTGCCACGTTCTCCAATCATGTTGTAAGTTCTACCAAGCAAGAAGTGGACGTTGGCGTCATCGGGAATACAGTCCTTGAGATACTCAAGGTCTTTAAGAGCTTCCAAGGGCGAACCAAGCTTGAGGTGAATCTCAGCTTTCCTGAACCGCGCAACGGTTGACCGTGGATCCAAGGCAATAGCAGCCATGTATTGCATTAGAGCAGGCTGAGTCTTCCTCATACGATCAAGTACCTGAATCATATTAGCCCAAGATTCGCCAAATTTGTATCCGTGAATACTTACAGCTCCAATCCTAACCGCAAGGAATGGATTGGTTGGATTAATCTGTGCTGCGGCCCTGAAGTGCTTCTCGGCGACATCGTATTTGCCCATTTTTTCAAACACCTGACCCAGGCCATACCAGCCGTTGTAGTGGCGATTGTCTGCGCTGATCGCACATCGGTAGGCTAGCATTGCTTTGTCGAACTCCTCGTTTGCGAGATGCTCATGGCCCTGAAGTGTGAAGGCGTAGGCAAATTCGGGATCCAACTGTGTTGCCCTTGAAAAGCATTTGATGGCTTGGTCATGCTCCCGCTGCAGGGAGAATGAATTGCCCAAGGCGCACCATGCTTCAGGAGATAAACGATCTTGCTCTAGTAGAGTATGCGCAAGGTAGGCAAGATCGGTCTCCTTCTTCAGCTGCCACAGTACGTTGGAGAAGACCTCCATGCCATCGAGAGATGTAGGGGCCTTTTCGCGTACCCGCTGAAACACCTTCTCAGCTTCACTGTACATGCATCGCTCGTACTGTGCCTTTCCAATCTGGGCCAGTACCCAAGGGGTCTCGCGTTGTTGCGTTGGCACAGTTGCGAAAGCCTCCAAGGCCTGTACGCATTGGTAGCGACTTAGCTGAGAATACCCAGTTCCAATCTTTCGAAGCAAATCAAGGAGCCATTCTATTGAGTCCTTCCCTTGCGCCAGCTCTTTTGGTGCAGCCATCCTCGGGGGTGGAGCGCGCATCAAGCCAGAACTCGAAGGTCGAAGGTCTGGCTTTGATGTGGGTTCTGAGGTGTCAACTGTCGGTCTCCGGTTTCCACTCACAACCCGACCTGCTGTAGAAGTGGACGCCGTCTTGCCCTTAGTTCCGGTGGCTTTCTTCTTAAGGTCGCGCTTCTCCTTGCTCTCAGCATCTCTGGCAGTGGCACCCGCGAATCGGCTAGCTGAAGGTCTTATATGGTTCAATAGTCGCACGCTTCTCCGTGGCGGCGCTGCTGTTGGATCTGACGGGGCCATACTGGACTGTTGTGACTGTTGCGAATGATGTGTAGAGTGTCCCGACACAGTCCTCTTGTGGCCGTTTTGGCCTATGGGCCTGGGGATATCGGTCGATTCCGAACTCTCTGATCCCATCTTTAACCTGGTTCTTGTTGTGATGGGCCGCATTCTAGGCGGATCTTCTGTCGCGTTGTACGCTTGCGTCCTGGTTTTCCTGACCGGGGCGTGAGGCATCTCTCCACCTTCGTTCATCACAGGACCTACAGCATCACCCATCATGATGTCATTATCTGGGACATTCTGAGCGTTGGAGGTCGGCGTATCCACATCTGGATAGGCTGAGCCGTGCCCGTGGCCATTCGTCATGCCATTCAATCTGGATAGGAGGTTAGCGCCACCCAGGTTCAGCCCAATATCGCCTCCAGTACGCGGATTGAACGGATCATTGTCTGGAGTCGAGACAAACGGATTCCGCGTGTCAGGTGCTTCTTGTGGCATAGAGTTGTGACTAGATTGTCCAGCAGACAGAGAGGTGGTCAGCGATGCAAGAATTTCTGGCGTTACTTTGAAGATGTTGACGGGTCGAACAGCCGTGCCCATATCGCATAGTGCCGTAAAAGCATCCCACATGCATGGATTCAACTTTAAAGATTCGATGTAATTATCGACCGCCTTTTTGGTGTCGCCGTGGGCTTGCCATAACTTCCCGAGCAAGCAGTAGCAAGCTGCAGCATCAGGGAGATGTATCCTCGCGGAATCAGAATGCTTGTCTACAAAGTCATGTCAGTATGGGAACCGCGATGTGGCCCGAAATTCTTCAAATGGACTGCTTACTCCAATGGTTCTTCGTAGCCCACAGTCCACGCGACTTTTCCAGCGCTGTGGTTCCCGCATCGAATCTCTCTAATGCTAAGCACGCCTGCGCAAATACGTACGCGCATCCCAGATGTTGATGGGAAGTCCCCTTGGGTTTCGCGTAATCGAATGCAGCTTTGTTCCGGCCGAGTTTTAGATTACAGAGGGCGAGCAGGTGTGCGGCGTCGTGACTTCGGGGTTCAAGAGCGTGTAGACGCCCGGCGAAGAAGAGCGCATTCTCGAGGTAACCGTTGTCGAGGTGGTAATAAATTAGGTGTCGTAACTGGGCTGGGACTCCAGCCGGTGCAGAGGGTGACATTAGGAGGAGTGTGTGAGTTGTATTATGTTATGTTGAGGTATGTTTGGTAGGATGCGATGGAGGTTGGTGGTGGCGGGCAACGGAGACCACGCTGTTTGTTGACGAGACCAAGGTGCCTGGGGATACTTCAACGGTGAAGGGGCCTCCTGGTTCGCGCGAGATCGGACTGAAGAGTTAAGAGGCCAAGCGGTGTAGTCATGAAGGCGGTAGAAAGTATCTGGTGGAGGTAGAGATGGGGGTATCGGTCGATGTTGTTATTGTTATAGGTGACGCTTCCGGCGCTGAGTGACAATGGCTCGACAAAGCTAATTGGCAAACCGGGTAAGTCGTAGACGCGAAGACGGGAGCGATCTGATCACTGCTGCATAGTTGAAGGGACCTGCAGTATGCACCTGAGGAGGATCAGCAAAGGGGTTTTATGAGGTGGTGGCGGAGGAGAGTGAGGACGAGATTTGGTATGCGTTCGACGATGAGCTCGCGCCTGAATGTTGTGAAGGACGGAAGTTGCACGGGCCAACGACCGCAGTCTGGCCAATCAGAGGGGAAAGCGCGTTGGTGGGAGGGAAAGCTTGGCTTGGCTGACCACGACTTCCCTACTTCTACTTAGTACTTAGTACTACAAGCACAATACACTGTCAACCACCACATCCACGCGCGTGTTCCAAATTATATCCAAACTGAACGACACACATACCACCGGTTGCTGAGGGTTCGTTCTTGTCTCAGGAACACCCTCGCACCATACATCGCACAACATGGCGCAAGTGAGTCAATTTCTTGTCTGACATTTGGTTTGTCTCATTGCACAATTCCCAATTCCCAATTCCCAATTCCCAATTCCCAATTCCCAATATCAAACAATCACGCACATAACCCCACGTTGCACATTTCACACTCCTACTACATATATCCATTTCCCACGACTTCAATTGGCAATTAGACACTATCATATTTCTATCATCGCCATCATTGCACCCTCTCTGTTATGTCTCAACATCAAAAATGCCAACTTAAACACCTCCCCTCCCCCAATCTCCCAATATCCCGCATCGCAAACCCTCCACCCCTTCCGACCACCTCCCCTCTCCCCATCACAATCTCCCAATCTTCCCCTTCGCAAAGCACATCCCACTAACCCTTCCCTCCCAGAAAGCACAAAAAACGCTCGCCGCCTCCAACACCTCCCGGCTCAACCAAACCCTCCTCCTGACCCTGATAGCCCACTTCCTCTTCCTCCTCCTCCGCGCCCTCGTCTTCCGCTCCTCCTTCACCCGCCGCTCCCTCCTCCTCTACCTCCTCTTCTCCTCCCCGCAGCTCCTCATCCAATTCTACTTCGAGCGCCTCAGCCGCCCGATATACGACGCCGCGAACGGGAGCCTCAAGCGCGCGGGCGAGGACCTCGACGCCAAGGGCCTGACGGAGTGGATGTGGGATGTCGTGTACTGGACGTACGGGTGCGTGGTAGTCGCGGCGGTGGTCGGGGACTATGGGTGGTGGTTGTGGGCGGTGGTGCCGGCGTATTCGGTGTGGTTGGCGTGGTCGACGTATAGGGGGGTTAGGGGTGGGTTTACGGATGCCGCGGGCGTGCCGCAGCCTGGTGCGGCGGCGAGTAAGAGGCAGGCGAAGTTGGAGAAGAGGGGTGGGCAGCGGGTTGCGTATCGGTGAGCGGGTGGGTTGGAGATTGGGGATTGAGGGTTGAGCGAGGATTCAGAGGAGTTGGTGGGATGGGATGGGAGGGGCCGGTTGGAATAGTTGAATTGAATGGCTTGCGTGGGCATGAGAGTGGGCATTTCGTATTGCACACTTTCTGTCACGGCAATATAGACCACGTGGCTGAGTGTGACCGACAAGCTAGAAATCAGTCGGAGAGAAGCTCATCTACAGCAGCGAAAACATATTGTAACGTTCAGACATCATTGATATTTAAGCCAGGCCTTGCCGCTTTTGATTGCACAATGCCATGCTATGCCATGCCCAACCAAGTTCTCTCCACTTCCAAGAGGCGGGGAGACATAGAGGGAAATAAAATATACAAACGATAATACATATCGTACACTTGATTTCGACCAACCACAACCCTCCCTAAATCTATGCGTCGACCTTCGTGGGAATCTTGACCTGTCCCTTCTTCCTGTCCTCGTGGGGGAAACCGTACCTCCAACCCACGCCTCCAACGCCTCGGCCATCCTTGCCCGCGCGCTCCACGCTCACATCCGTGAAGACGTAGTCCCATCGTCGCTGGGGCACAACGTTTCGGGAGCGGGCCTCCTCTGCCTTCTTCGCTGCCTCCGCCGCTGCCTTGGCGGCCTGCTCCTTCTGGAAGCGCTCGACCGCGCGTTGTTCCCTCTGAGCCCGGGGCAGACCCTCTGCGATCTCGCGCTCGGCCTGGACAAGCTCGGGATGCGGGATGCGGGCGTCGGCGGGGAGGAGATCGTTTGCGAAAGCCTTTCCGGCGTCCTCACGCGTGAATTTGCGGGACTCGGCGACGGGGACGAATAGCTGTTGTCGGGTGGCGGGGTGGACGATCAGGTCGTTGATGGGTTCGTGGGGAATGGGTCGTGTGTTTTTGTTCTCGGGGAGCGATTGGTCGATGAAAGGGGTCTGAGGGAGCATTTGCAACACAGCTTTGGCGTAGGGTTGTGCGAGTTGTTTGCCCTGTTGTTGACTTAGATTAGCACATGCTTCTTGCTGAGAGGTCTGAGTCGGAATGTGGTGGGAGATTGTTGACGTTTCAGAAAGAGCATAGTTAAAGTTTTGTAACCATTTGGGATGTCTTAAAGACTAATCGAATTTTTTTGTGTCTCATCATGTCACGACCGCAACAATGATATTGTGTGCGGGATAGGAATGGTAGATGGGAAAATTGGGAAAAAGGATCCAGAACATACCTGAGCGATCCATTCTTTCTCCAGTTGCTTCAGTCGCACGACCGCGCCGACGCGCTCATTGCTGACGCCGAACTCGACACTTGCCAGCGATACAGTGGCTCCATCTCTTGTCACCCTCTGGTAGATCTCCTCCCTTAGCGCTTCACTCAATACTGGTTGACTTCTGAAATATCTGTTGAGCGGGAACGGCTGCAAATCTTCTTCCGACTCCTGGGGAAGGTAGTTCGGATCCTGTTCCTCTTGTGCCTTGGCCTTTTCCTCATCACGTCTCACGGAGGCCTCGAGATCGTCAGGCTTTTCCTCTTCAGCCGGCGTCTTAGCCTTGCCCTCCTCGCCCTCTTTTTTAGCTTTCTCTATCGCGTCCGCCTTCGCTTTTGCCTTCGCTTTTGCCTTTTCCGCCTCCTCTTTCTCTAATTGTTCTGGGGTCTTTCGCTCCCAGGTTGGCGGTGCTCGTACCAGGTTTCCGTACTTGTCCCAAGCACCAAGGTAGTTAGTCGAATTGGGAAGCGGTTTCCTCAATTGTCTACCCGGACCGTTGAGCCATTGATAGAACTCCCGTCTTCGCCTGGTAACCTGCTGACTCGATGTCTGTGAGAACTGGCGCTGTGTGCAGGCGACTGTGGAGGGGCGGGCGGCGGCCGTAAGAGTCGAAGAAGAACTCGATGCCTTTGAGGTCAACCGTGTTGACCCCAACCGTGGAGGCATCCTGCCAATTAAGTCCAATGGATTGCAGAACGAAGCCTACACAGCACCTTCACGCGGAGGACGCTGTTAGAGTCCAAAAATCGAAATGTTGTGGCTGGTGCACTTGGTGTTCCGTCCTCGTCCCATCATGGAGGCAGAAAAAAGCTCCCAGTGCCAAGCCTTCCGACCTCCAGAGCTAGGGTATTCTCACGTGATTCACTGTCACGCCTTCTTTGTTCTGGTGGAGTACAATGCAGAAAACCCCCCGGCCTGTTCCTTGCTGACATTTCTAGAATCTAGGGTATTATGGCCTGGGACGGATATGCGTTTGTTCCGTTCCTATCTGATGCCCCATGCCTTTCCCAATATGAGGAAAGCAAGGATCTGCGTGGCTGCCGCGGTCAAGAACGGTGGATGGCATGCAAGAAGCCGTCCGTTCCCACGTGTGTGGGTGACGACATGCAACTCCAACATGCATCGTAGAGGGAAGTTTGGGTTCCGTGAAGGGGTGGCAGTAGCCGTTCCTTGCGGTGATGAACAAATGCTTCATTATGGTGCTATGGGAATGCTCCGGTCTCTAGATGACGGAAAGAGATTTGCAAACCTTGAGATTCATCAAACTCATATTGAAACCCTTCATAGGAAATCCAAGATAGACTATTATTACTAAGAAAATCGCACAATCCGTGTAGATGCTATCAAAAGGGGGGATAAAGGATGCTGTAGGGACAGGATATCGCGCAGCTTTGAAATGATGCCGACGGAAACTCGAAAGCGCGTACGACTCTAAATGAACCCGGATGACCTATAAAAGCAAAATCCTCCCAGGAGACAGATACTCGAAAGAGATACTTTCCCAAGCAGATATCCGCCATGCAAAAGAAAAGCAAACCCTGCATGTTTGACAGTATCTGCTCAACCGAGATGCAATCCAGCCATGCACGCCCCAGTACAACTCGCGCCGATTTATGTGTGCAAGGCCAGTGAACGAAAAAAAAAGGGAACAAGAGACAAACCCATCCATCACAGTAAGACAGATAGGGAAGTGAAAACAGGTATACCTGGCTCCGGGGAAGGAAGGGAAAGAGACAAAGCAATGAGACCTCGAGGAGGCTGACCTGAAGTAGAACACGAGTCCAACAAACCCCTTCCATGCATGCGATCTCGCAAGACCTGCTTTTCCGAGCTCCTGACCGTGAAGAGAGAAAACGATGGACCAATGCAGCCACTGGGATGCAATGACACAAAACATAACGACAAATAACTACACCAAGACGCCTTCTCCTAACGAACCTGTATATCAAAGCAACGCACAGGGGGAATCATCGCTTTATGCTTGAAATGGAGCCCATCCCCCAGTAGACTCAATGGTCTTGAAGGATTTTCGCGCCAGTACCCATGCCCTTGCGTGAAAGAGAAAAGAAGCCAAATCAAACACAACACACAACACCTCGCCATGACTGAAGTGACTGGATATAACGCAACAATAGACGAGACAGAAGATTCGAACACGTGCAGTGATGTATGCTCCCCGGTAACTCCAAAGTCGTCTCTCGTTACTGCGTGGACGGTTCATCCGTGGTGATCAGCGTCCCATCATATAGGCGGCGTAGTTTTGCATTCCAGCAAAACCGTTGCCGGAGACAGAAGTGGCCAGTCCGGCCGCCATTGGTTGCGCGCGGATGGGACTGGCCATATCGTTGGGGGGAAGAAACCCGCCGTTACTGTACATGCCGAATCCAGAGGCGCCATTGGTATGCACGGGGGTGGACAGTCCTGGAGGAGCCGACAATCCAGGGGGAGGGCCTGTGGCAGTGGAAAAGCCAGGAGGGGCAGCAACGCTGCCTCCAAAACCAGACATAGCCGAGTTGGGTGCAACCGCAGACGCCGAACCCATATTGGTTGGCTGCCCGGTGCGCACACCGAGCGGGTTCTTGGAGAAGCTCAGTCGGATGCCACCCTTCACGCTATTATGCAATGGGTGTCCATAGAGCTCATTCAGAGCTTTGGTAGCGAACGAGATATCCTCGAATTCAACGAAACACATGGGACCATTCTGCTTTGTACGGAAGCAGAGCCTCTTGTAGCCACGCTGCTTAGAAAACATTGCCTTCAATTCGTCCTCGGAAGTATCCATGGGAAGATTGCCGACGTAGAGTGTGTTGCAGGGAGGATTCTGGTCAGCCGGATTAACTGGTGGGTAGTTGTGCCGAGCGAATTGCTGTGTGTACTGTTGATAGTTCGCATTGGGGCCCAGATTAGTCAAGGTAGAAGGAATCGAATGCGGAGACATTGCTGAGATGTTGGATGTTGGGGGAGATTGCATGGTCGCAGCAGATCGCGGAGAGGCGTAATTGGGCATTGGTGGAGAGCTCATGCCATTCACACCATTGGTGTTGAGTGACAATGATGAAAAGCGAGTTACTGGGATGGAAGGGTTGGTAGTGCGGCGAGCAAGCGAGGCCTGAACAGGGGGACCTCCAGTCGCATAACCAATGGACTCCTTGAGAAGCCCATCGTCATCATCAGCCTCGTCGTTGATAACTGATTTTCCCAGATTGCGATGGCCGAAGGTGGTATTGACTGGAGAAGTTGGAGAAAAGAGATTCGAGACAGGGAACTCTCCGTTGCCAAGACCTGGGGTTCCATTTGGTGGGGACATTTTCTCCATGTGTTGGAAGGTGCCATTGAAACGTGATGATTGTCGGCCGTTGGTTGCAGTGGGTGGGACTCCTGTTGCGCTGGAAGGGGGTCCTTGGCGAGTGGACGAGCTATCGACTGTGTTGCGCCGTGTGCCAATCGCGGCGGGTGGACTGTCCTGCACGAGCTCTACGCTGATGGTGGCGTCGTTGGAGGCATTGCGCTTTCCGTTCAAGAGATCCTTGGCCTGCCTTGCGCTCTCGATGGTTCGAAACCTTGCCACCGCAGTCGCGGTGCTCTTGTCTTCGTACTTGGAGGTGGGGACGAGATCGCAATCGATGAAGTCGTTGCTGAAGACAAGCATGTTGCGCACCGCGTCGCGATCGCTATTACTGGGCAATCCGCGCAAAACGATCGAAGGCATGTTTTTGGGTTCGGGACTGGGTTCAGCCTCGCTGGAAGAGAGTAGCGACAGCCCGTTCTTGTCGAACGCGCGACGCTCGCCGATAGGAGGAGCTAGATTGTAGGTATGCGACGCGGAAAATACGTCGGCGGTCATCGTGTTGTTCTGTGAATAGGGCAGCTTGGGCGGCGACGACGAGGCAGAACTGAAGGAACCGTGGAGGAAAGGGCTGTTGGAAAGGTTGGAGGGGCTCGTGCTACTCGGACTCGGCCCGCCGGCCATTCTTTCCTTTGTCTTTCCGCTGTCGCGATGGCTGTGCTCGAGACAAAGAAGTTCGGTCGAGTCGAATCGGGTCGGGTCGAGACGTGGGAGGCGAACAAATGCGACGATTTGAGGAGGACAAGTCGCGGTCGAGAAGCGGAGGTTGAGTCGCAGTCGACAAACTAGATGTGAAAAGGGTTCCAGAAGGCTGAGGGGCCCAGCGTTGGTGGAAGAGGATGGAGGCCTGGGATGTAAAACAACTTCGAAACGTCGTTATGCCGGGTGGGCTGTCGTCTTGGGGGCGATGTGGTGAGCGGCGTGGTGAGTCGCACGCGAAAGCGACGTGATTGGGCGCGATGAGGGCGAGCGGAAAAAGCAAAATGCCAATGATGGAAGAATATGAATGCAGCCCTGCGGGTAGGTGCTGCTGCAATGGCGAATATGTTGTGAAGGAAAGCTGTTGGGTGATGTACGTTTTTTTTACTTGGATTGGGGATGAATCTGGGTTGGATGAATGGGTGGATGGATGGATTATTGAGTGACGCGCGCAGACAAACTGGGGGGGAGGGGGGACGTGTGGTGTAAGAAGGGTGGTGGTGTGGGTAGTTATTGCGATCCGCGACGAGGGCCGTAGTAAGCTGGCCTGGATCTTGCGAGTACAATAGTGGGAAAGGGAAAGGAAGAAAGGAAGAAAGGGAGCGAGCGAGCGAGCGAACGAGTCGGCGATTGCGATGGGAGGGAGGGGGGGAAGCAAGTTCGCACTACACTACAAGTACTGGGGGGGGGAGAGTCTAAATCGGTGTCGGGCGGACGCTAGACTGTGAGCGGGTGGTTGAGGAATGTGCGCGCTGCTGCAAGCCGGGGCAGCGAGGAGGGTGGTGAAGGATGGATAGGAGTAGTGTACTCGTAGTGTGTGTGTGGGTGGTGGTGGTGGTAGTGGTGGCAGTAGTACTTGTAGTGGTGATAGAAGCCGTAGTATAGGGTGGATATCCAGTTGGTGTCCAGTTGGTGTCCAGTAGTAAAAGAGGGTGAAAGGTGGAGAGTAGTGGAGAGTGGAGATGAATAGAGAGTGGAAGAGGAAGAAAAGGAAGAAAGAAAGAAAGAAAAGAGAGGAAGAAATGAGGATAAAGCAGGATGTTTAGACCAATCGTTGGGACGTTGGACGACGGTTGGGAGTCGGACTCTGTTTGGACTTGGGACTTTGGATTTGGATTTGGATTTGGGTAAGCGGGTGGGCGGGGGGAGGGCAGGTGTAGACGCTCGGAGGTGGATGAGAAAGGGAGAAACCGCGAGTCTGGTAAAAGGTAGAGGTGTACCAGAGTGCAGCGTGCAGTGTGCGGAGAGGGATTCAAGAAATACCCTCGAATCCAAAGTCCAAACTCGAACTCGACTCAACTCAACTCAACTCAAGTCCAGTAGTAGCCCGTCCAGTCCAGTCAAGTCCAGTCAAGTCGATAATAATGGAGGGATCCTATCGATTTGTAGTGCCGGTTCGGACTATCAAGAATCGGCCAATCAGAGCGGAGACGGGTTATGTGCGTGTGCCTCTAGATGCAGCCAGAGTACCGTAAAGTGCCGTAACATTCAGGTAGGTACCGAATACAATACAATACATATACTCAGTATGTAATGGATGGGTGTAGACCGTAGGATCGAGAATGGAGTCTCGAGTCTCGAGTGTCAAGTCTAGGAGTATCAAGTAACAAGCCTACAAAGGCTATGTTATGACTCTTTCACACTCTCGCACTATCGCCGGTACAACTCGCACTTGCACTTTGAACTCACCAACTGCAAGCACAAGCGGACGCACAGGCACACGGGTACGGGAAGAGGCTTAGGTAGACCGTAGTGGAGAAGGAAAAGTGTAACTTTAAGCCTTAAAGCGTAACAGAATACTCCGGATTAGAATGATGTTCTTTGGTGAGTAGCGAGTGAGTAAGGGAGGATCAGTCTTTACAGCAAGGTAGTTGTCTGCGCTGCAGCTGGTGAGCTTTTAGGCATACAATGGATACCGTTGGCGTTTGTTGGTGGTGGTCGTGGTTGTGGTTGTCGCAAGTTGCCTGTAAATGCTCCTCTGCGTGGTAATGGTGGTGGTGGAGCGGATGGGTGGGGGCTATGGGCCTGTGCCTGTGCCTGTGCCTGTCTGTGTGGGACGCTTCGTATCGCAACAACAGCAACAATGGTCGTTGGGTCTATCGGAGAATGGCCGACTTGCGAGGACAGGATTTGCCGCCCGCAATAGCCTGAACGTTGCTGTCGTGCTGGGCAGCGAATTGCAGCAGTGAGATTTGTAGATGTGCACAGTGGGCAGGGGTGGCAGGTTTGGATGTGTGCAGGCGGTAGGCAGTGGTGAGAGCGAGCAAGTGTGATGCTTGTGCCATTGTCCAGGACCGGCGGCGGTGTGTCTCTCAACGTGGAGGACCAGGACGGGGATGAGGTTGATTTTGAGACAGATGGCGATATGATAGTGGCACTGGTGGGATGGCGAACAGGCTGCACAAAGGCTTCGACGGAGCCAAGCCACAGGCGCGGGCGATAGAGCTCAGCTCTTGCACTGGCAGAGGTTGATATTGAACACAGCCAGTCAGAAGACCTAATCGAAATCTCTTGAGTCTTGACGTGGCCAAGTGAAAGCTCAGTAGTTGGATTAGCTCCGGCTACTGGGTATGATGGCGGCTTGTAGTACTCGTAATATCATCAAATGTGCATTCTAGGTATGTCTATGGAGAACGGAGTAGTCGGAGAAGAGGTGATGAGGTACGCTTGGGTGGAGCCTCGAGTCCAATGCAAAGCAACAGCGACGGCGGCAAAGAATGTGTGAGCAGCCAGTACGAAGTACGGTATGACTTAATGCAATGCAGATGTGGTTTGTAGACATGTAGGATGAAGGATCATGTCGTGTAGCAGTGAGAAAGCATATAGATAGATGACACTGCATACATAGAATAAGAATGAGGAGTTGGAAGGCGCGCGTAGTGGTGGTTCGTTTCAAACAAGGCAGGCGCGAACAAACGCGAGGGCTGAGTGAATGATGGCAGTCACTCGGTAGGTATCAGCTATCTCCTCCTACAAAAAATAACTCCATCCTTTACACAGTACACCTTGCACCACGAGGTAGGTTATCTTCATCAACTACTCCCGTACCTACCACCTACCTGGGCAATTGCCTTCAAGAGATGGAGAAAATCGAATAGAACTAGCCGCGAGCGACCAATTGCAGCGAGCGACTGGTGATGGGTACACTCGATGCATCTCACAGTGACGAATTGTTGTGAGTCTCACTATACCAGATCAGACACGGTCAAACATGTTCATTCATTATCCCATCACATATTCATCGCCATCTAACGAAACAATAGGATTCTTACCAATACATGTTTCAGGCTCGTACTGTATGTATTATAAATCCCACCCCAAGCGTAGCGACTCTAGCGAATAGGTATCGCAGGTAATCATTAGCCATGATACGAGATACACTGTCTCTCGAGTCTACCCATCGTTCTCTGGACATCGATTCCCTGTCCAACCCTGTCCTGGTAGGGTAGAGAAGCCTCAAGGATCCCATCTCGTTATCACACGCCGCTTTTTCCAACTTTTCCATAGTCCTACCTACATACAAGTACCACACACACACACCGACAGACACAGACAGACAGACCAGACACACACAAGACGACGACACCACTACTATCACATCATTACACACCCAAACAGCCACAGCCGTATCCAACCAACCATCGTCTACAGCCTAACATTTATCCTGCCTTATGGAGCACTAATTCGACCTATCCGAATTCACCGCGCTGCTATCCGCATCCACTACAGACACTGTGCCCAACACACGTTGTAGGTTCTTGTTTCTCAATCACTAAATTGCTGCCGTTTTTCAGATTACGAGGTATCAACTACTCGTAGTTATGGGTACCCTTTCTGTCTTATACCTTACTTTGTCTTACGAGTATTCTGCATTTTCACACTCACTCTCCGTCTTGAGTATTGTTACCCTCTGCTTCTTATCTTCCGACCGCATTGCTACGCTACTAGGTAGCATCACCTTGATCTTACTGCGTGCCTCGATGGCCGATGGTAGATGCTGGCTCATGGCGCTGCCCAGCTTGAACGCGGCCTCCTTCGCGGCCTCACTCGTCCACCGGCAGCTGCTGTGATGCGCCAGAACCCGGTCCTTTGGTGCAGAGACATTTCCCATTCCGCGTCGAATCACAGTCGTCAACATGCTGTTAACCCTTGCACTGGCAGATTCACCCCCTTGACGGTTCAGAGGCGGCCCACCACCCCCGTCCACGGCCACTTTTTAGAGCCACCGAACTCCAGTTCCTGGCTGGACATGGCCACAGAAGTGATAGAACAAGCTTCCCCCATCACCGCAACACTGCCTCTGCGCGCCCAGCACAGACAACGTTTCCTGTAGATTGAGTTGCTCAGCGCTACCCCGTGATGCGAACATGGCCACTACGGAGCTTTTGGGACCTGGCTCACCCCTGCAGGCTCAACCTTCTTTCATCGTCATTACATTATTGCAAGAACTTACTACTGTCATGGAAGGGGGTGGTGTCCCGAACCCAGGCCTTGCCTCTTCCCAAAGGTCAGAAATTAGACCAGGCAACCACTGCTGCAGGGCCAATTACGGCACTATGAAGGACGTGCTCGCCTTCCCGAACCCGCCCCTACTTTCGGGCGAATGCCAAAAAACAACTTTCCTCCAGCCGGTGTACCTAGACGAAACTCACTGTTGATGACCAGCGCATCCATCCAGAGAGTCGCTTCCTAAATCTTGCTACATATGATGGGTGGTGCACGTGGTCAGGATACTTGCGCGTGCTCCTTCTCCCACACTTGGAGGAAATGGCTTGCATCGGCACGCTACGATGTTTTGTATCCATTGTCTGCCAATCACAACCGTGAGCAAGGGGACATGGCAACAGAAGAGGATATCAACGTACCATTCACAAGTTGAGATACTTCTGGCTGCAAGATCATTCGACAATGCTTTTAGTATTGTCTCTACCGCGCCACGTGGATCCATCCAGGCTATAGACATCCCACCTGTCTCGCCCCCAATAACTGCATCCGAGTGTTGTGTAGCCGACGGTAGCCAGAGTATCAAGTTTTTGAATATGTCTACCGATCCGTATCCCTCCTTCCGTGAGCCTATACTTCAGGGCCGAATATGCCTGCACGGGACGGCGTTCCGTTATCACTCCCTCCACACCAACGCCTTTCGGCATTTCTATCTTGCGACATGCTCCCTGCCTCCTTCTCCTCTCCTCGAATGAGCAAGGTAAGAATGAGAACCCCTCTATCAGGCATTGCCTTCCCAGGGTGTCGAGTGACTGAGACTTGCTTTTGTCGTCACAATCTAACCGCCTTCATGTGCCACCGAAGCCTAGTCCTTCATTGCAAACCAAGTTCAAACAAGCTGGAGCTCATCTGGCCGAGGTAATGAAAACCACCGACCTTGATTTACCAGCATAGCTCTCTTCCAATGTACTGTCTGGCACTGTGCATTTGATAATTATTCTTTCCCCGCCAGCTGTCATGGTCGTCTTTCTGTCACGATAGCCAATTCTTGGCTGATGCCTAGGCAATATCGTCGTTCAGGCGGCATACGTCAGTACTGCCATCGCAATATGCACACATATCAACAACATTCTTAGGCAGAGCTCTGTCTATATTGGCAGTCTTGGAGAGTTTTTTCATGTCCTAGTAAAGACTTGCCTGAGGAAGCATGTTAGTTATTATCGAACATGCGGAGCGGCAAGAGACTGGAGGTAGAGCACTTCTCAACTCCATTTTTTCGCATCATACGCCCATATTCATTGCAATCTTTGCCATACTCCCCGCCGTCGATCGTCTAATGTAATCGGGTGTTTCTATCAAATACATTATGCTGGTTTTGATTGTCACTCGGCACGATAACATAGACTAGCAGCATGTCTCACTCTAAGGAGAGAGCGGGCTATCTGCGGTCAGTTAATGTCACAAATAAATCATGCAAAGATAATACTCTTAAGAGATCACATCTTGCATGGTCATCCAAAGGTATCATGATTGTTGCATTGTTCTGGAGAGCTCTGTAGCAGATTTCAGGTTAGCCTAGGGCTGGGTAAGGCTGCAGCCAACGGCGTTACAGCTCTGCGTGGGTGCGGTGCATACAAAGTACGATTACGCTTAGAGAGTGCTGCAAGGTGACACGGTGAATTCGATCCGGAATCTCCCATTGGCTCTCTCTCCTAGAGCATTTCATCGGGACCTCTTCCCCACAGATGCTACTAAACTTATTATACCACTAGGACTATCTACAAGAGTACCAGCATCATCAATCAAGCAACACCTTCAGCCCAAGTGATTCAGTCGTCTCCGAAATACCGAATGGCTTCTATCGGATGCTGACGGTCTTACAACGGCTTTTTCCCTCCACAGCACAACGTCGACAAAATTTCACCCTGGCACCTGAGCATACATACCGGCGCTTTTCCTTCTCGAAACATCAAAAATATTTCCTCCCATCATGCTCCCCAGTCATTCACCCTTCTTCCCCCAATTCGCGCCTCCGATTGGCCTCCTCTATCCCAGTCACATCCCCCCTAGCACAAATAGCCCAACACATCTGCCCATCGCCAGACGCAGGTCCCGATATCCCCATCCATCAGCATCCTTCCCATTCTCGCTCGTCAACCATAATAGTGGGTCCCCCTACTTATAAACAATGGCCGGGGCAAAGGGAAAGATCCCCATCCGATCAATCCGGTCAAGCGCTCTCGCCGTCCTAATACTCGCTTTGCTCATGTGACCGACTTTTCATGCGGGTTACACGGGCACTACGAGTGCTAGTGCTCATAGTGGGCGTGGCGTGCTGAAAGATGGAGCGAAGGACGCGGTACTTGTTCGATTCCTTTGTTCACGAGAGGGTCGGCTTAGAAACGGTGCAAGATATGTGCCGGTAGTGTGCGTGGTGGCGGAGGGAGGATGATGGGACTTGAGGGTCAGCGTGATGGTTCTTTGAGGGCGGCGTGTGGTGTTGCGATTTCGATGTGATGAATAGGTAGGCTGTCATTGGCTCTGGTGTTGAACGGTCGACAGCTCACAGCTGGGTTCCTACACGTATGGGCATCGTCTTCTTGTTTCCGGACTCTGAGGCTCTTGTTGCCGCAGGCCTCGCTTGCATGGAGGTGTCCTTTCAAGGACAGACTATCATTGTCTCAGCTCTCTCTCTCACGGCCTATCCCAGATATCAATTACTAACCCGTGGATACCCACAGCTGAAAAGTACCAGAGAAGCTTATGTGGCACACCAGGTTACCCACCAACTAGTGTCTTCCGTCTCGTCCAAGGAAAAAACATATGCATCTACTTCCTCTTAAACGCTATCGGAAGCTAAACAGAGTTGAAAGTTTGCACAGCACTTCCATGCGGATAACCTGATGCGGTGGTACTATATTCTTACAATGTGAAATAGGTGCGTCTTTAGTAAACTTACACAATCCCAAGTCTTAGAACAGGGGTGATCAATTTGAATTGGAATGAACAGAAAGTGAGCGCCAAAAGCATTTCGATTTTTCCCCTAGTTCTTTCTTTGTAGCACGGAAACTCTCTTTCCTGTTTAAGAGGAGCAAATGATGTGGAAGATGATGAAGGCATCAGGCGCAGGAAGAGGTGCAGATCTGCGTTTTGACTTGCTTCTAGTGTGTTTTGATATCTGGAGAAACTATGGATGAATATGGGAGATCTTGCCCTACAAACCTTGTGTATGCAATGGATACAACACTCGACAGAAAATTTGACTTCAGACGAGAACAATATTCTTCTTTGTAGATTTGATTTGCTCACTTAAACAGATCGCACTGGACTTTTTCGAGTCTTGATACTTTGGCTCTCCAGAGCCATGATGTTTCCACTTACTATTTTTTTTAATTCTTGGAGTTTAGATGTGTATTGTCCCAATCAACGAGACTATCGTTACTTCGACCATTTTGCCCCTCTAATTCCCGCCACAGAGAAATGGAGGAATGTTTAGTTTCACATATGGCAGGAAGGAACATTTCTGTGATACCCTTTACAATTCTAATATTCCTTCCCCGGGTTATGCACAGAAGGAAGTCCTGATATGAATTATGTCTCTTCGTTAAATGTTGTCATTAAAATCCACGAAACGACAAGTTAGTTCTCTTGTTTATGTCGATCTTTTCTCTTCTTGTTTGATGGTTAGTATGTCAAGGAATATATGTACAATTATGCAAGACTTTGCAATTTGGACCCATACAAAAGGGAGTGCCTGCTCTTGTATTATTATCTGTCTCTGAACAGATTGAATAATAATTTAAGAGTGGGGCTAGGTCAGTAGATTGAACTGTCTACTCTTGTAAATGTCAAGAGAGCGGATAAGTGAGTTGTGTCCTCGGGGTGTGTAGCAAGTATGTCTTGGGCGGAGCGGAAGATGGCATGAAGTTGTTTAATACTTTGGGGAATAGTGATAGCGAACATGAAGCTTCTGATGTTGTAGTGAACCAAATCTTTCGACATGGATGATTTCTCGCGACGTCGGCGCAGGGAGCAATGGGCATTTTGTGGTAGGTTGCCGTGATACAAGTCACTGCGCAGCATGTACCAATCATATATTGAGACAGAGCAATTCAGAGACGCAGACATTGTATGAAATATAATTTTTCGTATCCACTAGGCCATTGTGATGTTGGAAAAGTTCAAGTGAATAATAGTTCCCCGCCAGAATTGACATTGCGGGCCGTCACGTCGTATCCATGCCCTATCTGCGCGCCGCAATGCCATGTCACAACTCTCAAAAGTCATCGTATTCGAAGTTTCATGTTTGGGGTCATAGCATACGTAGGTGCCTTATCATACCTGCAGTCATCGCATGCATTGACTTTATAAAGCACCTCGCTCATACTTTTCCCAAACTACCACACCATCAACGAAGTCATAGATCTTTCACACTCATCAGATATTATAAGTACCCAAATGGTTAGGGATTTTCAGTCACATGAATTACGAAAGACTTACAGTCAAAGCTGCAGAGTCATGAAAATGACAAGAAGCTTTGTACTTAGAGTAGTCAAATGACAACAATGACATGAAGTTTTGTATTCAGACCCTGTAGTCACAACAATGATGACCAACTTATAGTCAAAGCTACAGAGTCATGAAAAGGACGAGCAGCTCACAGTCAAAGCCAAAGAGTCAGAGGATATATAAATATGAGATCGGTTCAGAGCTCTTCCTATCTTCATCCACAGTTCCAATCAAGAAATCTTCTATCTTTGAAAACCCCACAAAACATCACCGAGAATATCCACAATGTCTTCATCCAACAACAATTACAACAATAACGGCGGAAATATGGCCAATGGCATTGTCAACGGTACCAGCACTGAGACCAACTCCGCGAATTCCCAGCAGGATACTACGGACGGACAGATCTTATCGCTGCAACAGCAACGGACCGCACTGCCTGGTTTTCAGCCCATCCTTCCAAGATCACCACAGGCTCCAACAATATCACAGCATGCTCGGGATCTTCTAGGTATGCTCGGAGCGGCTCAGAATGAAGCTCGGATGCAAAATGGATCAGGACAAAATGGATCAGGACAAAACGGCACAGGGCAAAACGGAACAGGACAAAATGGGACAGGACAAAATGGAACAGGACAAAACGGGACAGGACAAAACGGGTCCGGCTAAGCCACTCAATCGAATGCCAACGGTGCCCTCACGATGCACTTGAAGTTCCATCCTCCTATTCTGGCCTCGCGCTCAAGAGATTCCTATGCGCATGATGCTAAGAATTGTACAATTCATCGATGAAAGGGAGTGTAGTACAACTAGTAATGTTTCAGAGGTTTAGCGTAGGGAAGTAGAAGGTTGGTGATAGATGAGAAGTAGGGTTTATATGACAATATATTTTATAAAAAGATGTGTTAATGACTGCGGTGATCACTTTGACATTCTTCTTCATATCACACGGAGGAGGCCTGGTCCCGGGAAGAAGGTGTTCTGCATAAGGTAAGGTAAGGAAAGTGTGATGTTTCGATGAATCTATCTTAATTTTATGCTCGAGTAGCCATTAGTTGAACTAGGCGCAAGAAGAAGTCCGATATCATATCAAACAGGCTTTTTCGCTCATGTGGTCACTGAGGTCTACGAGAAGGAAGCAAAATGTCTTAATGTGTTCATGTCGGGGTAGTAACAACGTCAAATCGACCCCGCCCTTCTATCATGCCACTATTCTTGTTGAATCCCTTTGGGGATATGTATCACATTAAAGTATTGCTATGTGCATGTTCAAGGTCTTCATAGTTTAGATGGTCATGTGCGGGAAGAGATGCGTTCACAAATTTAGGTAGACACAAAAGGGGTCTCTGACTTGAATAGGGTGAATAGTATGTAATTTCTCGAGTAAGTTAAGTAATTGATATTTCTCTCAAGGATATTTTGGTCTTGCAATTGCTAAAATGATTTTCTTCTTAAGGATATCTCGCGGCTTTGGCGCGGGAGCAATGGGCGTTTTGTGTTAGTTGTCCAGGGAATATGTGAAGCAGGTTTTAAGAAAGTAAACTAAGTGAAGATGTTGGATAAGACGTGCTTTTGGTACACATCAAGCCATCTTGACGTTGTGAATATCCAGGTGTGTGCTTACCTCTTGCTAGAAGTGACTGTGGAGATCGGCGTATCGCTCATGTCACACAATGTAAAAGTCATGGTGTTGAAACGTCTCATGTCTAGGGTCATAACATACATGATCATCTCATTATATACACGGCCATTACTTGCTACGACCTTACTACCTGTCATACTTATCCTTTTCCTAAATTAATATACTATTAGTCAAGTTATACGCCAAGAAGACACTACTTCAATATAACAAAAAGCTACATCTTCAGAGCTGCCGAGTTGCAAGACTGACAAGACATATTGGGTGCAGAGGCTTCTGAGCCACAGCAATGACATAATTCTATATATTCAGAGCGTTCCTCAGTCATAACAATGACGAACAATTTATAGTCAGAGCCGCAGAGCCTTGTGAATAACGAATAGCTCACAGTCAGGGCCGTAGAGTCTTGTAAATGACGAACAGTTCACAGTCAGAGCTATAGAGTCTTGTAAATGATGAATAGCTCACAGCCAGAGCAAAAGAGTTAATGCTAATAGGAAAGGTATATATACTACGTCGCCAGTTCGAATGTCTCCCTACCTCCAAGATCTAAAGTCCGCACAACAATCATCTACAGTTCCTACCAAACAACCTTACATCTTTGAGAACCTCACATTATATCCTCGAGAACATACACAATGTCATCTTCCGGCAATAACGATGGGAAAACTGGCAGCCATGGCAGCAACGAAGCGGCCTCGGGAAAGGCAACAAGTCCCCCGAATCCCACCAATCCAGCAGGAACTCAGCAGTCCCAGAAGGAGAAGGAAGCGTCTTCATCTTTGGCGTTAAACCCAAATTCCCAGCAAGGCACAAAAAAGGCACTGAACCCACTTGCCCCAGTCTTCAAGCGCCGCGAATATTATGAAATGGAGGATTCGGAATTGTCGGAACGCGATAGAGTTAGAAAGAAATTCTTCAACGACCAACGGGATATAGTAGAGGGACGCGTCAAAGAGAAATGAGAAGAGCAAAACCGGTTACTAGCCGGATATCGTCATCCCTAAAGCACTGGGTTGACTGCCAATCGTTCCCTCGTCCTACATTCGAAAAGTTCCATCCTTTCGTCATATCCTCGCGCCCAAGAAATTACCATGCGCAGGATATATGAATCGAGCAATAATTCATTGACGAAAGGCAATATGGTACACCTATGGACAATTGGCTTAATATTTGGAAAGTTTAGTGAAGGAAAGCAGAGGGGTAGTGTTAGACAAGAGTCCGGGAATTATACAACAATATATCTTATTGCGCCTTGATGACCCTTTTCGGGCTGCCTGAATATGATGTTTGGCTATTCTGGACTGAAGACACATCTGGATGCTGAATCGATTGATCAACAGGTCAAAATGTGAGAAACTAGAAATCATAACATTCCTGCTGTGCCTGATAATTCCAGGGAAGAGTTGTTGGTGGTGGATCGAGTCTGCAATATTAGACTGATGCGGGTAGACGTAGCTATGAGACATAATTTTGTCCAATTTCAGTGCACAGCCCCATGGTAACTAATTTCCATTGGAGTTTGTAGCTTTTCAGATCAATTAAGACAGGGTCTTGTTGGAACATTGGGGCTCTATAAGCCTCAAGCCCCACTGGATTATGACGGACATCTACAGATGTTAATCAGACGCGAAAGAGAAGGCAAGACTCAAAAGTTATGGAGTATTATAACCTGTCTGGAGCAAATTGCAATGATGATAAGGCGGAAGAGTGTCGTCTATTTCTCTAGCTAAGTAGTGGACAATGATGCTACTGGTGGGAGCTCTGGTGGTTGGTGATCAAGCGAAGAACTGTGCTGCCAAGGTTCTTCCAACATTAACCGTCATCTTTCTCAAGCTTCGTATAACGATTCAATATTATACTCCATCCTTCCATTTTAGCATTGAGTGGTATTTTCCGTTCCTATCTTGCTCCATCGTTGGAGCAGTGTGTGTTCGCATGCCATTGGATTAAAAGGCTATCCGAGTGGCTTCGTTCATTACTTCTTCTAATGACAGCATGTGGAGAACATTCTGTGCCAGTAAAGTTCTTGTCGCCCGTCGAGATGAACGAGCAAGAAATGTTAGTCCTCGTTATTGATGTATCATCCAAGCCGCTACTTCGACATGCTTCGGGATTCTGATATCGAATTTGAGCCATTCAAGGTGGGGTGTTGTCGATCATCCTACTGATTGATACACCACGTATCAAAACGGTTCTGAAATCTATTCTTTCCAACCAGGCCAGAAGAGGCTGTCTGGTAGCCTTCATGGCCACCACGCTTTGTTGAGATCAAACCAATGTCTCTTTGATATGTTGTAGCGAGATTGGACCATCCGTAAATGTTACTTGTACTGCAAGTCATAGATGAATGTGTTACGCCGATCGTACTTGCGGATCTTCAGTAGGGCATGAAGTCCGGACCATATTGTTCTAAGACATGTCAGCTTTACCCTATCGCAGCGACAGAACTTAAAGAACCTACCGAGAGTTTCCAGAATCATTTCCTCACTAATATCATCTCCATTCGCCCACACCGCCTCCAATAGTCCAACCGCTTGATCCGTGTGCGGAGTCCTCATCCATTTCTGGATGTCGCTCAAAGCCGCTCGCACTCTGTCTCTCATCTCTTGACCGACCGCTCTACATCCGGCAGTGAACAAAGGAGTGAGGAACAACACACGTGGCGAGAGGCCACCATCACCACCTTTCCAGGTGGTTGGTGTCATTCCGTCTGCACACTCGACGATTGCATCGACGCAAGACTGTACTTCATAAGAACATATCGGGAACTGCCGAACGCTGCATCGAAGGTGGAGAAGGGCAGTGTGCAAGAACGCCCTGTTCGAGTTCTCGTAATCGCGCATCTCGCTTTCAGAGAAGACATCGGAGAGAACGGTGCCATTGCTTAATCGTGAAGGCATTGGGCTTGCCAAACGATGTATGATGGCCATTTCCAACTGATCAACTGCAGTGAACAGATCGATCTCTGATGCAAAGGACGTATTTGTGGCCTCGTAAGGGAAATGGTCTAAAACTTCAAGCCTCGACGGCTCAATGTAACCGCTCTGAGAAGATGCTAGCTGGCGACGTTCCCTCACCATGATAGCGACATGACGAAGAAGTGCTGGAATATCGGATGCAAGTCCCCCAAAGTGATCGAAAAAAATAGAATCAGCATTGGCGAAAGCTGTGAAACTCGTGATAGTCGGTGTCTGGTCTGTATATTCGAGTTGGTGGCGTGAAGAGCCTGTTGGCATCAACGACGAGAGTGCCTCTATGTTGTCATACCAGCTGTTCAAGAAGTCACCAGCATCAGCTACGGCTTCCTTATCTTTAGAGGTAATCCTTGGCATCGAGTTCGAAGTGATAGAGGAGCTGGAAGCCCTCTGCACCCGACCAATGACTGCTTCCATGACTGCCTTTGCACCTGTCAGATGCGTTCTCCATTTGTGCTCGCCTGCAAATATTTGTGTCTGGCACAACGTGCGAGTCGTAGCCAATGTGACAGAGTGGGATGAGGGTGTAAGCCCCTCTAATTCTGATTGAAGATGCCTAATACTGCGAAGCTGTAGATCCAGTACCAGGTCATTAGGTTTATCCATCAAGCCGCCGACAGCTCTTAGGTGAACTGCGGACCACGCCATGGTAGCGTATAATAGTGAAGGAGCTTCCATGCAGCGAGGTATGATGAATCGACATATCTCGTCGGCAGTATATGCGCTTGTAGATGTGATGCGCACGGCTTGATTGATATAGTGGTTGAGGAGAGATCGTTCCAGTGGACCCAAGGTTGACATTGGATCAATGGAAAGTGGTCGTGCATCGTAGATGGTCAAACCAGATTCCTGGTCCTGTTGAAGAAATCCTTGGTCGATTGGTATCTCGGATACTTGGAATAGAAAATCGAGCTCGTTGATAGTATCGACATCGAAACTAGGGAGACGAAGCACTTCTTCGACTTCGTCTCCATCGTCGCCATCGACACCCTCATAAGTAGATGGATTGCCTGCTAAATCCAGTTCTTGGTTATTTTCAAGCGATGTAATTTCCGTGAAGGTTTGTTCTGGCGCAGCAGCGACATTCTTATCTTGCAAAGAATATACAAACCCAGCATTAGCAGTCGTATCTCGAACCATCTGCAAGTCATCGAGGCACGCTCCGAAACATGATTTCTTGAATGGCCGTCCTCCCCACCTCAAGCTGACTAGATATTCACAGGGCACATCTGCACCCTGACAACGGGAGCATTGCGGTTTGAGCTGGTCGCATTTTTGGCGACGTTTCTTGCAGCGAGCGCAACCCGTGTGAGATTTGGAATAGCCACGAGTGCGCGGCGTTTTTGCGACCTTGGAAGAGGGAGATTTCGTCCCCATGGAGAAGCCTGGGTGTTCTTTTCCTGTTATCACATTGCTCTATCCGTATTTCGGATGCAGCCTGTGGGGAGGTGGATGTAGGAAGTATATAAATTACGAAAAGGGGAGGTTCTGGAGATGGAGAGGAAAGCATGGCGAATGGGACGGCTTACGATAAGACTTCACCCCTCCGGCGTCGGATGAGTGCGACGCTAGCAATCTGCCTACCGAGTTAAACGATTTCGACGGCTCGAAACTCCCGGCTAGAGCCTATCCATGCTCGTTCCGGCAAGGGATTATTACAGTCGACTGACGGACAAGATTGGGTATGGTTCTGAATTACGGCGTTGTTTGACATCATGCTCGCGTTTAAAGTATGTAGTGTCCCTGCCACAGCTGGATGATTCACAAAAAAACTATCCTCGATCAAATAGCCTCCTCTTTCTTTTAACTCTCGCAGCAATCCGCTGCTGAATTTTGAACTACTTAATTCTATAGCCCCAGTCTGCGATCCTTTTCACGAGATTATCTGCACAAAAGAATAGCAAAACATGGCGCATCAAGAACTTCCGAAGAAGTATAGGGCTGCTGTATATGACAAGCCTGGCTCGATATCGATTAAAATTGAGGAAAAGGATATGCCAGTACCAGGGCAAGGCGAAGTTCTTTTGAAATTGTATGTTACCTTACAATACATGCATAAGCAACATCTAACATGCCTTATAGAACACATTCTGGAGTATGCCATTCCGACCTAGGAATCATGACGAACGGGTGAGCTCATTGCCCTCTCCGGAGTATCCAATCTCTTGTAATCTGATTATATTTCAGCTGGGCATCTTCCCAGGACCCAACTCCAGCTGGACAGATCGGTGGTCACGAGGGCGTGGGTGTAGTCGTCCAACTGGGTGCCGGCGCAGAAGATCACGTCAAACTGGGCGATAGAGTAGGAGTAAAATGGATATTCTCTGCTTGCCTGAGCTGTCCGCCTTGTCTGCGCGGCTACGAAGGTATTTGCGCAAACCAGAAGGTCAGCGGGTATTTCACGCCAGGCACATTTCAACAATACATACTCGCACCCGCGAACTACGTTACACCCATCCCTGACGGTCTGGACGGGGCGCTGGCTGCACCCATGCTTTGTGCTGGCCTGTGAGTATAAATTAAATCTAGAAGATAATGTGCAACTAAACACCGTAGAACAACATATGCTGCTTTGAAAAGAAGTGAAGCAAAGGGCGGCGATTGGGTCGTCCTACTTGGTGCGGGAGGTGGTCTGGGAAACCTTGCTATTCAACTCGCAAACAAAGCCTTCGCTCATCGCGTAATCGGCGTTGATGCTGAGTCAAAACGCGACTTGGTTCTTTCGTCTGGTGCCGAACACTTCATTCCACTGGAGGGTACGAAAAGTATCATTGAAGCTGTGAAAGGGTTGACTGGGGGAGAAGGAGCCCAGGCGGTTCTTGTCTTGACTGCCGCCAATGCCGCATACGCTGACGCTGTTGATATGCTACGCTTTGCGGGCACATTGGTCTGTGTTGGTCTACCCGAAGGAAAGCAGATTCCAATTGCGTCTGCTGTTCCCATGAAGCTTATCGACAAGGCTGCAAAGATTGTCGGTGTTTCCGTCGGTAACAGGCAAGAGACAATTGAGTGTCTAGATTTCGCAGTAAGTGCCCTTGACCACAGCATGAACTCCTACTAAACTATCTGAATTAGGCCCGAGGTTTGGTCAAACCGCACGTTCGTGTTGAGAAGCTGGACAAATTGGCTGATGTAAGTTGAGCTTGAAATAAAATCCCGAGGTAGTAAACTCGTATGCTAATACAAGGCAGACATTCCATGACATGCATGACCGAAAGGTACAGGGACGGGTGGTTTTGGATCTTCAATCATAATAATGCAAAGTTAGCGTCACTTAGATACACTTGAATAAGAAGCCATATAAAAGTTTAAGTCATTTCAGATGCTCAGCAATACCAACCTGAAGCTGAGACAATAAAAGTTGTTAATGTTAGATTGTGATAACTGCAACGCGAAACTTGAGCTCCTTAGATCCATCTGACACTAATCGGGAAACCTGAACCAAAAGTCAGTGGTAGGAGCGGGTTGTTCCAAACTATATCAAAGAGTAGGTTAACAATCAATCACACCAACACCCAGTATATCGGAAATGTTTCCCTTAAGATCCCTAAAGAGAAGGCTGACTTATAGTACTGTGCAAATCTATAAGATCAATGTTTGTGGCGATAAGGCTACTCGAAATGCGGAATTCATGAGCGACAGACCTGTTACGAACCCATGGGCGATAAACGTTCGCTCGTACGAGACGCGCTATATCCCAAATAGGAAAGTATTGGAGATGAGCGATGACAGAGCTTCGTCTTCATCAGAGCCTAGCGAGACACTAGAAAGTCGCCCAAAGAGTCAATCATGATTCAAATTGGCAAAATGCAAGACAAATGGTTACGATTAGATATCGTTGGAAGCACGAATCGTGCGCGTTCCTTATCTTCGGAAACGGTGGCCCGGGGTAACGTGGAGAAGGAGGCGGCTTGAAGTCATTTATCAACCTCATGTCTTGCTCGTCAGTTTGTAGCTTGGAATCGGTTCACCTCCATCTCATATTATTTTCTTACCGTCGAGATGGCGACTCCGTTCACCACGAAGACTGATCTCGAGCAAACGACATCAGCGACTCCATCTTCCATCCACGTCGCCCAGAACCTCCGTCTCGACCCCTATGGAATACCACTCTCCCCAACCCCAGCTTCGGACCAGAAAGACCCTCTGAACTGGTCTGCCGGACGCAAATATGTGCTCTTCGCCGTGGCCTGCTACTCGACTTTCCTCTGCACATACCTAACGACCTCACCTGTCGCCACGTTCCCCCAGCTCGAGGAGCAATTCGGCGGCAGCTACTCGCAAGTGAGCTGGACGCTCGCCGTGCCATCTCTCGGACTTGCCATCGGCCCATTGCTGTTCTCTTCGTTCGCAGACATATACGGTCGTCGGCCCGTTCTCATAGCTTCCAGTGTGTTGACGATGATCGTGACGGGATGCACGACCATCAAGAACATCTCGTACCCGGGGTACATGGTTTTCCGATTTCTACAAGGCCTCACGGCTGGTCCTCGCGTTGTTGTTTCGGCTGTCATTATCAGGGACATCTTCTTTGAGCACCAGCGTGGTTTTGCAGTGGGCGTTTGGGTCATGTCCATGGATCTTGGAGGCGTCATTGCTGGAGTCAGTAAGTGTATTCTGGATGGCTTCAAAGTAACATCTAGAAAAACGGTTGCTAATGAGATACTCCAACAGTCAGTGGATTTACTGCGCTCGCGAATCAATATTGGGCAGGTTACCACGTCGTCATCGCGTTCGCCATTCCCCTCTGCTACGAGATGTTCTTCATGCGCGAGACTCTCTACCCTCGACAATTGATACTCGATAGGGAGCAAGCACAGCAAGATATCTCAGACATCAAGCGTACAACCGACATTCGATTCTGGGTAAGTCATCCAACTCCTCTACCAACCACCCAAATCGTCCTAACACGTAGATCTCCAGCACATCACCAAAATCCCCGGCGTCAACCACCCACCGGCCTACCAAAACATCATCCACTTCTTCAAACTCCTCGAGCACCCCCGCCTCCTCTGCGCCATCCTCCCCTTCGTCTTCCTCCTATACTGGTGGTACGTCCCCTATCCCCCTTTGCCCTTAACCAACTCCACCCACTGACACCAAAATAAGGATAATGTCCCTCCTAACCATGGTCCCCGCCGCCTACGCCACCTACAGCGTCCAAGCCCAAGGCCTCATGTTCCTAGGCCTCGCCATCGGGCTCATCGGCGCCGAACTCCTCATCTCGGGCCGCCTCTCCGACGTCATCGTCTCGCGGCTCGCGCTGCGCAACAACGGCGTCCGCACGCCCGAGATGCGACTTTATCTCGGGTACCCTGCGATCGTGCTGGGGGCCGTCGGGCTCGTGGTTTGGGGGTGCGCGATTGATTATGCGTGGCATTGGGTCGTGGGGCAGGTGGGGTTTGTCGTCTGTAAGTACCTATATTGCTTACCGTGATATCTGTCATCTGGATGGGAGTCTGGGTGCACTGTGGGGGGTTGATGTGAGATGGGAATGCTAACGGAAAGCGCAGTCGCCGCCGGATGGCAGATGTGCAACACGGCCGTCTCAGCGTACGTGTTCGATTGCTACACCGAGCATATCATAGAGATCATGCCGTTTTACACTTTCTTCTATAACGTAAGCTCCTCCCTTTGCCATCTATATCAAAGTCCACAAACTGACGCATTGAAAAGTTATCAGCGTTCATAGAACCGTGGTTCATAAACTACTGGGTCGAATCTGTCGGTACGTATCTCACCCACTCCCGTTCTGTTTCCTTGCGAGAATGTAGGAGATACTGAAGATGATGTGACGACAGGATACACATGGTGCTTCGCGACGCAAGCGCTCATCGCGCTCCTTTTGATACCCGTGTTTGTGGCGTTGCAGCGGTGGGGACCGCTGCTGGCGAAGAAGTTGGAACTCGATTGAACTGGACTGGACATCGGGAGAGGAGAGTGAAGTGTGTACTGTTCTAAGGGGAATTGCTCATGTTGTACGGAGAGGAGGAGATGAGGAGTCCAGGTAGTTAGTAATGAAGACGTGAATATCTACTAAACAGCCATGGATGATTGTGCTGATTTACAAGATCTGATATTTGTAACTCGCTCGGACTTCTGTATGGGTAAGGGTTGTAATATTTCTGTCCGCTCGTGAAATACAAGTCCAAGGGTGTGGTAGATAGGAAAATGTGCCGTGGAAATATCTTACTTTGTTGTTAGCCATGGAGATCAATCATCATTTTCTTTCTATCTATTAGAAGGCCAAATAAGGCCGGTAAGTTCTTCAAGGTGCTGATATGGCGAGTCACTGACCACACCATCATACATCCATTCGCGAAAGTTAAAATATTGTTAAAGTAATAAGTTTTTAATATTGGTAGTGAGTGTAGTAGTCTCAGCCAAAACCTTAAGTTATAGATCATTGGCATTAAATAATAGTAAAGTTCCCCTTGATATCTCCGATCCAAAATGTCAACAGGCAATGTGCCTAGGTACACAATGTTGGGGGTATATGCCAATTCCGTCCTTGTGAGTCCAGTCCCCCCCATCCCAGGGGTTGATAAACTCCATAAAAAGAAAATGTTGGTATCTCGTTAGTTCCTTCCGTTCGTTCGTTGGTTCACTCGTCACCAGACGATGTGATTTATGTATGTACAATTGCGCACGTGTCACTGCTAATTATGCCACACACCCATGCACCAGCTGGAGCTTGCACAGCATGGCGGCGATAAAAGTGCACAGTAGCAGTGGCAGGGCTGAAGTAGATAGTCACGGGACCCCTATCATCTCCAGCCCGCCGTCACGACTTTCTTGGATGTTGATGATCTTGCTGCTCCGCAGCATGGGGAGGTTCTCCTTGTCGCTGTCTTTGCCCATGGGTTGCAGGCCGGGTAGGCCGGCGGTACCGCCGAAACGACTTCGGGTTGGGCTTGCTCGTGCACTGCTGGTGCTGCCGACTTTGCTGCTGACGTCGATGCCTGAGTCGAGGTCGAGTCTCTTGATGGCAACTTGGAGGTCTTCGACTTTACTGGATTCTGATTCCCTGTAGGAGGGCGCGGGGCTGACTGATTGGACTGATGGAGACGCTTGCTCGCGTGAACCTGGGAGGTAGATACGTTCAGCGCCGAGGGTGCGTTTGATGTCTTCAAATAGGACCTCCATCGGGCAGATGTAGGCGAGTTTATTAACCTCGCAGTATGCTAGGACATGTCCCACGACGTTGTGGGTGTTGTTCTGGATTACCCACGCACCGGAGTCTCCACCGACACCGAAACTGCCTAGGACGTACCAGCTGCGAGCAAAACTCTTTCGTCGATGGATGCGGACAGAACTCATCTGATGGCCGACCATGCCAGCTTGAAGCCCGCTAGTTCGACCGTTGCAGTGGACAAGGAGGCCGCCCAGCTCATCGACTTTGGCTACCCCGTTTGGGTACTCGTCTTGCTTCTCTTCGTAGCGGTGTCGTGTCACTGGGGTAGCGAGTTTCTCGCGGATGTCGAGTTGTTCTGGCGCGACTTCAGAGCTGCTGCAGTACATTCTTCCCCCCTGTACGACATTGTAGGGCTGGAGACGTTCTTCTTTGAGTTTGAGCAGTGACCAGTCGATTTCGTGGACAACACCGTCTCGCTCCCAACGTCGTATGCCAGAAGAAGCGTGCACATAGCCGAGCTCATGCGAGGAGAGGTGATCATCATCACGGTCTTCTTCGCAAGGGAAGAAGTCGTCGTTGACATCGTCGATAGCTGGTTGGGTGATTTTGATATCCTTGCCTTCGCCAATGGCGACACCCCTGATGTCACCAATCGTGCCCCGAGACATGATCGAACCTTTAAGATCATCCTCAGATTCCTCATCCGAATCAAAGCCCTCGTCAGATGAGAACTCATACGGGTCTTCGTCGTCGTCGTCTTCATCGTCGGAGATCTCCAATGGCCATGTACCTGAGAATTCAGGCGCCGAGACCTGAACACCTGGCTGCGAGCCCATGCCCATGAGCCATGGGTTGCCACCACTTCGTGCACTGGAGAGAACGGCTTCATCGCCGCTGAAGTCATCATCGTAGTCATCATCATCGTCACTATATTCGCCTTCATCCTCGGACGGCGCATCCAAGAGATGGTGCACACTCATTCCCAAAGGCTCGTCATCCACCAAGATGACTCCACCGTACGAAACTGGTGGGAGGTGCTCGCCAAGATACGCACCGATGGATGCACCGCACACTGGCCTTTGCTGATGAAACGGGTTCATAACGCCCGTATCGGCGGAGGAATCCATGTTCATCATGGAGCGATGGGGTGGTTTGCCTCGACGGGAAGAGCGGCTCATCTTGGACCTTCGGATCTTGCCGCGACGAACCTTGAGATCGTACACGTCGCTGTCGTATTTGAACCGTTGATCTAGGATCGCCTTCACCCTAGCAGTACTGCTGCAGGTAATGCATACGGTGGGGCGGGCCTTTTCTTCAGTGTCTCCAATAGCGAGGAGGTCAATAGCGACAGTCTCGTCAGATTTCTTGAGGGCGCGCTCGAGAAGGCGTTCCAAACGAGGAAGCATCTCCTTACCAAATTCTTCGTAGATGTGTTCGGAGAATTTTGTTCGTTGGATTCGCAACTTCGGCCGCGTCTTGGGCTCCGATTCTCTCTCAATCTGAATGATTGAGGTGTCGAGTTGAGGCTGTTCTGATACTTTGTGGTGCTCGATTTCAGGCTCGGGAGTAGGGTAAAGCTCGCGCTCTGGGCGTCCTGCGTAAGACATCATTTGTGTATTGGCGACGGAGATCAGGGTCCCGACAGTATTTGTGCGCTCTTTCTTCTGGCGCCAGGTCTTTTGAAGAAGGGTGATTCTGTCTTTGTAGTCTTTAAAAGTCATGGAGTGGGGCAAATCTGTTTCGTGGGCGGAGCGCGTTTTGCGCCATGCGCGTTGAATGATGCTTGCTGCCTGGTCCAGGTCTCGCTTCTGAATCACAGATACGTCACTCCTGTAACCTAACGGAGTCATCGAAGTTGAATGCAAGTCGTTTAAAGACATCGATCGTTCCTCTTCGTTTTGAGGTCTCCAGTCCATGGTTGGAGCATGCTCCTCTACTGGACTCTTGAAAGTCGTAACACTGTTCGAGAAGGGCTTGCGCAGGATGTTGTGTTGCGACTTCTGGGAACGCTGGGACCCATTGCGTGATAGTGAAGGGTTCGGTGAGTGTTTAGGGCTTGTGGTCGCTTCTGACAGGGTCTTTGACAATGACTGCGCACGTTCAAGGTACTGTGAACCCTTTTCGTAGGCCCATCGCTTCGCACGATGCGAGGGGCTCTGGGGTGTTTCTGCTGTTTGGGCGACGCTAATACTCTTGCGCTTGGCTGAAGGAGACGTGCTTGCAGTAGCTGCCAATGGCATCTTTGGTTTTTCCCATTGAAGATCTGTATCTGCTTCATCTAGGGAGCAACACTTCTTCAGCCTAATAAGAATAGGCTCGTAGATCTGCATGAAGTTCTCTTGAAGCACCTCCCCATTTGCGATCCTATCAGCTGCAAGGAAGCAGTCGGCAACAGCTTGTTGATATGTAGTGGTACATTTTGAAGCCAACCTCCGGATATATACACTCCTGATGCGTTCTTTGAAGTCTACCAGGCTGTATTTGTCTTTCCACAGATCAGAGAGGGGCATCCAGAGACCGATTTCTAGCAGGATAAGACCGAGACTATAGAGATCGAATTGTCGACCGTCATTTCGGGGCTTGAAGCCCGTATGCTTGGGATCTTCAGGATGATGGTAGAAGTTGGGTTTGGACATATTTCTTGAATCCTCGAGGCTGAACTCTGAAAATAGATCAAAGGAGCTGATGATGGGTGTGCGAAGTTGATATTGAAGTGATCGACTATTTCGTGATTGGGTTTGGCTTCGGTTCTTCTTGAACAGAAGGATATTGCTGCTGTTGACGTCTTTGTGGGTAAAGTTCTCGCCATGGATTTTTTGGAATGTTCGGGCAAGAGTGAAAGCAAGAAAGAAGCGTTCTTCAAGGGGAGGCGTGGCGCTACTTGAGTTGTGCAGAGTTTTGGATCCAGTCTGAAGCGCGTTCAATAGCGTGACAGGCTCGAAGTCGATTTGTCTACTGCTTGAGTCGGTTGCTCCTGAGTACACAGAGGTGGGAAGTTGGAAAACAATTCCGAATCGAGGGTGGTGTGGATCTTCGAAATATCCAAGGCACTTTAGTGTGCTGTATGAAGATTGGGCGCTCGAGAATTGGGATAGAAGAGCTAGAAGTCGATCAAGGCGAGTGGTGGTTGGTGGCACTCCGGTATCGCGATAGCCAGAGTCGAAAGCAGCGTATTCTACTAGTACGTGTTCTTGGATACTCTTGCTGCCGTCGGTCTTCCAGGGGTTGGTGGAACTGTGTCGAGAACGAAGTTTTCCGATCACTCGAATGGCTGAAGAGACACTTTCGTATGAAGGGGGTGGTTCGTGACTGGGTAGCTCAAGGTCTGCTATATCCAATTTCTGGGGAAGAACCGTGGGGTCCTGTTTCTGCGGAAGATCGTTCAGATGAGATGATAGTAAGGTGGAGACTGGAAGCGTCCGGGGGTTGATGAGAGTGACGTCTGAATCGCTGTATTCCGGCAAAGAGAAGATGGCGCGGGCAGCGCTTGATGATTTGATCCTGTCGTGGTGGGACTTTACCGTGGCAGTGGGAGTAAGATGGCCACTCTCGCGGGAATGCCTTCTCGAGCTGGAGAGGTCGTATAGGACATCGATGGATGTGGTCAGGTTCTCAGCCAAAGTCTCGTAGCGTGACCTCTCAGAGGCCGCCCACAAGGCAGGATCAGAAGGTCGACCGCTACTCTTCTCCCCAGACATGGTCTTTGCCCCTCCATGCACGGCGGCGGGCACCTGCAGGCTCTCTGCCTCGTCTAGGATCTCTTTGATTCTGCCAAGGACGCTGGAGACCGTCTCCGTTAAACCCGCGCGCTCCACACTCTCGTCGATGTCTCCTTGCTTGTCCTTGGTAGTGTCGGTCCATTCCATTCCCCATGATATTAGTCGTTCCTTCTGGATCCGAAATGTGCGATATAGAGGGTTCTCGCCGGTGAGCGTGTTGGGGGTGTCCTGCTTGACTACCGTGTCGCAGGACGTCTTCGTGTCTGAGTATAGCTGGGTTAAGCGGCGGGGGAATCCACCGAAAGTCTCCATGATCGCAATACAATTCCAATGCGGGTTGGACACATGGATTTTAGGGACAGTGAGCGTGGGGAGGGGGAATCTAGTCAGACATGAGGGATAATAAGAGTATAATGACTGCCTTGGGGGAGCGTCGTCGTCATGGCGCCGGCGTTGATATAAGATCGGAAGAGTCTAGGGGTGTGGATTCGAGGGGTGCGCAGGTGCATTTCGTGGATGCCTAGAGCAAAGGGAACGAACGTGGTGTTCTGGTTCTACGACCAATCAGCATCGACCTCTAGTGGCTGTCGAACTGCGGCTGCGGCACCTCCGCGACTCTCTCATACATCTCACTCTCGTCTCCTTGGTCTCCTTGGTCTCCTTGGTCTCCTTCGTACACTCCGGGGATCAGCCCAGCCAGCCAGGCGACAATAACTTCCGTTACTGGTTAAATCTCCAAGCTATTACTCAACTGTTAAGCCCGTACTGTGTAAACTCGACAAGTCCTGCTGTGAGATGCATACGTTCCTGTACAAAAAGATGCTCAGCCTCCCCCTTCACAACCCTTCTCATTCGTCGCCCACTCGGCTACATCCAACATCCGGGGACCTCCCAATCTCCCTCTCCCTTTCACACAAGGCAGATGGGAGGCGCAGCTTTCACCTGTGGCGCACCGCCAGCTACAGTCTGCCCTACGAGACACATAAACGGCTTCTCCGTCCGCTTGATGCCGTTAGAGTTGACATACTTACAGCAGGGCCAAGAATACACGATCCTGTGACTCGCAGTCATCTTGAACGAGGTAGTCTTAGCAGCAGGTTGACGTTGAAGCCGTAAAACCCTCCCTCGCTCCGGGGCTCAGGAACAGGGCTGTGTCATCATCCATTGTTGATGATTGCTCACATCGACTCTTCGGGCCGTCAGTACCCAGAGCCTCGTCCGTTGCGCACAACGGTTGAGAGAGTGCACACGTACCTAGGCTCCAGGATTAGTACTACTATGAATTGTGTAGTGACCCATCAAGTCCCCCTCGTGATCCATAGGTGTGATCCTATATGCTCCACAATAGGCAACATGATTCTTAGTGTTTGTGATTGGTGCTACGGGTGCGCTACTGGAACACTTGGTCATGCTAATATGTTCGGAATGATGGGCTGATTCTTTTTTTCTATTGGTATTTGTTTGCCTATTTGTGTGTATCTTTTTTTTTCGTTGAAGGATATATATGCCACTGTCATGCAAGTTTTCTCAACACATTGCGCTATGCGAACGTACCGGTTGCTCCTAAGCCCAGGGCGAGCCGTCGGAGAGTTTGTCGCATCTGGGTAGACCGCATTGGCTAAGTCGCTCGATCCCCTCACCGACCTTTTGGAAAGAGTACTCTCTTCGAACATGAATAAAATCGCAATATTCCCACATGGCATAAATGCTGTTATGTCTTTGCTTCTGCCACCTCGCTCAGACGCCAAGACTCCGCTCGTTCGTACTCGAATGGGAAGTGTAAAGATAAAATGCCAAAAATCAACAGACCCAAACGGGTTTATCCTTTCATGATGCTGAACAAACAGACACTCCTAATTCCCATTTCGCATCCTTCCACCCGTAATCCCTCTTCTATGTCGTCGCTTCGTCAAACATGTCGCATCATCAGGACCTTCTTATCTTCAGTTCCTCTTCCTCAGCTCCGCTGAACTGTCCTCGACGCCAGTCGCCCTGGGGAGAGGAGTATTCGATCCGTTCTCGGTGAGGTGAGACAGGCGGATGAGCTCGTTCATCATCGCATCTCTGGTCTTGGTCGTGAGCGCGTCAGCATCTGCGGGCGTGAGTCCCTTCGTTGGGATCGGAGGAAGCACTGCACAAAGCAATTAGTAAATTCACGATTGATAAGTTATGATTTGTTTTTCCACGGCTTTGCACGTACCGCTAAAGTCTACAACACCCGGGACGAACTTCTTCTGCTTCAGGTTCAAGACATGGCTGTAGGTTGCGACGACCACGGGAACGATGGGCACTTGGGCCTGAATGGCGAGGTGGAAGGCGCCCTTCTTGAAGGGCAGCAACTCGGGCTTCTCGGCGTAGGATCGCGTGCCTTCGGGGAAGATGAAGACGGATTGACGCTCGTCGCGGATGGTGTTTGCGGCGCCGTCGAAAGCTGCGCGGGCAGTGGCGCGGTTGGCACGGTCGATGAAGACAGTCTTAGAGAGAGCCACTGTTGGTGATTAGTACACTGAACGACGGACTTTATACGAGGTATGTATATGGCGTACTGAACCAGCCCAAGAAGGGTACCCATTTGAGAGAGCTCTTCGCGGTGACGGAGCAGTATTGAGGGAACATGCATCCAAGCATGAGGACGTCGAGTTCTCTGTTCTAGCGTTAGTCGTCACAATTTTTATGAGATGTTCCTTGCCCCTGTGACATTCATAGAATGCGAATGCCCAGTTTACGAGAACCTTCGAATATCCAGGACCAACTCACGTCTGATGGTTTCCAACAAAGATGGCCGGCCTCTCCTTGAGAGCCTCTTCACCTCCCCGTCGTCCACCTTCCACCCTTGCGCTCTCTGTAACACGGAAGGTAACCCCAGTAAAGATCCACATAGTCCACTTGAACGCCCTTGCGACAGTCCATTGGCTGAGTCCACCGTATCCTATGCATCTCAGGAAGATGCTCGCAAAGACACCGTACGAAGCGCAGAAGCACAAGGCGATGGTGGCGGTGATGCAGAATGCGACGAACGACGCGAGCTGGGAGAGCTTTTTAGGTAGGAAGATCGAGATCACTCGGAGGAATATGATGAGGAGGGGAGGCGTGGCCATGGTGTATTGTAGCCAGCCCATGGTTGGGGATTGAGGTCGGAAATTCCCACGTGTAAATTATTCGTTAGAGCCGCTTTGGTGGGGTGAGGAGACTTGGGGGTCCGATTTCGCTTTTCTTTGGGGGATTGCCTGTAGCCTTGTGGTATGACGAGAGGCAGATATGAGTGCCTTAGGTAGTTTATAATGCCGTCGGAGGCTTGTTGGGAAGAAAGGTGTTGAAGATACGCTGCAGCCGTGTTTGGGAGGGAACTTTTTTCGATGTTTCAATGGTTCAGACCGCCGAGGTTGACCTTGCGCTCGCTAAGCTTTCAATCGGGGAGAAGCTACTGCGAACCTGCAGCGAACCTACACCTCAGATGGGAAGACCTTGCGATATCGTACCGTCGTCCTTTGAGGAATTAAGATTGCATGTGGAAGTTCTGAAAAGGCCTGAAAGTGTTTTTGGAGAGAGTCTCACTCTTCAACATTCAAGTATCTGGTGGCAGAGGGTGGATCATGCACTGATCTAATATGTCTCGTTGGACTGGCCCTCGTGGGGTATTTCTCCGTCCCGCGCCCATACATCCCCGTCATATTTGCATCTGAACGTGGACGCGTGACGTGTGAAAATCACTAGGACCAAAGTCTAGCTAATTGCTAGGAGCATACGATGCAGTGTCCATGCGGAATCGGGAGACGGGACTGGTATGCATGCGTTTCTCCCGATGATATCGATCACATGGACATTTCATCAATCGGAATTCAGTATGCGGTTGTCCATATTCGATTGATGCAAATCGAAAACACACGATCGAAATCATTGAACAACCGCTAATAACCAATGATGTAATGAATTAATTCATCAACAATCACTCAATGTAGCAAACGCAACTATTGCATCAATTCTTATTTGAACGCAAGGTATCATTATGTTATACTACATTGAATTATCAATTTTAGAGAAAAATGTATTCTCCTTTACAATACACAACTGTAGTATGAGGCCACAACTAATTAATTCACCGCCCTCGAAACTGCGTAGTTGACGTGCGCTCCCAACAAACGACTTTTGGCCAACTTTTTATCTCCACGGAGCCAGATATTCACTTTTATATGGCATATACGGCATGAGGTGAACCCTCTGCTCTGCATCTCTGGCCGGATCTGCACCACTAGTAAGCGGCCGACCATTTTCATTTATCCTGAATATACTCAGGAACTAGGGTATGTCTCGCACCCTTTCGTTGCTTGAGCAGAACCCACGACGAGATTCCGAATACGACGATATCGGTGAGGAAAATCGGGATCAATATCCACCGCCACGCCACCATGTGGGTGACAGCCGAAGAGATGCTGTTGCGATGCCCTTGAGACGCAAGAGGAGTGTCGAGTACCGCCTTGAACCACGTCTCGGGCGTCCACCAGTGATCAGGATACGGTACGTCTGGGCGTGCAACACTAGGAAGGATCGACTGCCCTTGTGTCTGGTTCGTGACGACAAAGGTAAAGATGAGGGCCGACAGTGTGAAGAGTACTGCGAGGAACTGGAGGATCACAAGGGATAGGAGTACTCTCGATTGGCTCTGTTTGCTGTAAGTATGATGCCCAGTGTTTGATAGGATGTCGAAATGTACTGTTGATTGCCTACGTCGCAACCACCATGCGACGAACAGGCCGTATAGACCGAGGAAGAACCCATATCCAGCTGCACCGTTACTTGTGTGTCCTTGGTCTACCCAAAGATTCTTCGGCTCGACGAACAATTGGGATGATGGCTGACCGGGCCAGTTCACTTGGTAATTGTGGACATGGTTCTTTTGACCGTGTAGGAACCCAACCATAGAACTGATCAATCCAAGATTGGTAATGGACAACGCCGAGAGAACGAAGTTCGAGATTACCATCAAAAGCAGAGTGAGCTCCATGATGTAGCTTGTGGCCTTGATGTTTCGGTATCAATATGGCGTCAAAGATGGGAAAGATGCACGTCGTATGTGGTGAGCTCTCCTTGAGACACAATCTGGTGCTTCGAATATTTTGATCAACGAGGGAACGAAGCACTTTATAGCTGAGGACCAGAGTTCGAAAGAACTAAAGCTTTGCGTACCTCATCGAGCATCGGACCTGTCAGATATAATAAGCACCAGCGTGGCTAGTGAACCACGATTGGTCATGTAACATGATTAACAATTCACGAGAAAACAATCCTCCCATGGCTCTCTTTGTAAATCAATTCTACAATATTGAAAGGTTCATGTTTCAAGCCACGATCCAAAGACATTGGTGCAGATTCTTTGTTCTATTTGGTTCATTCGAGGACAAGGCAGCTCGTGCAAGTGAAAAGCTTGTTGAAAGCTTCAATGTCATGGTCGTCCACTGTAGACTAATCCGGCTCAGCCACGGGTAGTCTCAGCTCCCGATTTGTCCTGACAGGCGATACCCCTCACTAATTATACGCTGGAGCTCGAACACTAAATATTTGTCCTGTAGTTCAGTCATTTTGAGGCTGTGGGAGACTGTCGGCGAAACACATCACTCGGTCATCAAAGCAAGTAGCAAGCTGAAAGGCTGAAGAAGGCGGGCTGAAGCCAGCAAAGTATCCTAGCCTTACGTTGATCTTTCGATTAGAACCAGCAGCAGAACCAATACATTTCGGCGGATGACGGTCTCCGCCCTTCTTTTCTCAAGGCTGTGATCATTTTGAGGAGATATCGCAAGTACGTGTTGATCTCTGAATGGGTCTAAAGTAGCGACCCAAGAGTGCTACTGCCTATTCCGGTCGCAGACTTGAGCATACGAGTGGCTTTTTCCATGAATATTATACTTCACGGTCGAGAACATCGAGAGTGGTCTCTAAGATGTTTGGATGTCTCATCGCAGTGAATCAGATTACATCATTTTAGACCTTTATGGCAAGGTATTTGGCTCTGTGCTTGACGGACCCAATCGAAATAAACGAAAAACATCTCGAAGTATCGCACCGACTGACAAGCTTTCCATAACTACTACATAGAGTGGTGACATATGCACGCTTTGAGAGATATAGATTTACACCCCGGAATTACATGTACCAAATCAGGCTACTGCACGACGCAGCATACCTTGCTGAAGAAATATCCAAATCGACATAACTACAATTTCCAAAACACACAGCCCCCTCCAGTTCTTAAGACATATGAAGTCAAGCATGTGAACAGCAATGCCAGAGCCATAATTTCCTGGTAGCCATAGTTGTGAAAGGGAACGATTGCGGGGAATCCGAAGTCCGGAGTGGTCTGGGGGAAGACCCTGTCCACAATAGGCCTAGCATCTCCAGGACTTTCGTCTACAACTCCTTCAATTTCATCTTATCAATACGTTGGCTGTTCATAACATGGATTATCTTCACATGTATTCTCTTACGTATGTAACTGAAACTAGATACTGTATCTAAGACATGCTATATTCAAATGATACAGAGAGGGTCTTCGACGGGAAGTACCGCGGAAGTATTGTACCGGTCGCGCAGGATCCTCTTCAACCACGGCTCTTCCACCAGAGTTACGGCGACGTGACTAGCTTTGGTCGCCCAACAAAGCTTGGCCCGTTAAGCTGTATCAGATGAGGCTTGGATCTTTTCATCTTGCATGTGCAGAGTCCAGATCGAACTTGAAATTCCCAACCTGTTTCTACTTTAGTGCGCAGTCTGATCACATAGCATTAAGTCATTCGTTCGGAATGCAGCCCCTCAACTTATCGTGATCCAAGGAGAGTAGTTAACTAGTCGACCACCAACTGTTGTCACATTATTGAAGAGCTGTTCCACATTACTTTGTTGGTTTTAGTGTGGGATGATAGCAGTGGGGTCCGAAAGCTCATCGCCTTGTAAGGGGGGATTTGCGGAGAAGGCACAGGGACCATTCGTCACAAGTCTGCATCTGCCGATTGCGCACAGGAACGCCAATTCCGTACGAAGCACACTGATGCCTAGATTTTCCATATCGAGCGTGTGGTGCGTCGCAACTTCAGACATACAGATAGGAGCATACTATGGACCTGAACAGGGCCATACGACAGAGAACTCTCACTATGGAAATTCGCGATGAACTAGAATACTGTTGACCCTGCAACGCGAGATAGATAAAGCTAATAGTACGGAATATCAGTCAATCTCGCAATTGAAAGGTAATCAGGTACTCAACTGCAACCCCAACAAGGCTGCGCAATCGCTAATAAGGCAACGGTTCAAGCGACCCAGCCGTGAAGATATTGCAATCTCCAACTTGTTGAATTGGACCCCAAACCCCCAAACAGACATTTCCAACAACCAAATAGTCGGAAATTCGACCTTAGGTTCATGATCGGCATCCAAAAGAGATCAATTTTGGGGCCATTAAATGCCATCGCCAGGCCTCGACCATACTCGATCGTACCTGTCAGCCCGAATCGGTTTATGGACTGAGTAAGCCTCCCTGAAGACTTGTCCACTTTGAACCCGACCAAGCGAGAAATCATAACAAACAGAAAATGGGCGTAAGGGCTTACCCAACTTTCTCACCTCTCGTGCGTGATGAGGTGGGAAAATTGGATTATTAAGGCCTTCACATGGCCATTGACGAAGCTCTTGATTCCACCTAGCACCAACTCGTGCGGTGGTGATTCCGGAGTATGCAGCTACATCACATCAGATGACTGGCGATGGAAGGACTGCCCGCCCGGTGAGCAGCACTAAACACACGTAGTCAAGACCGGGTGGCTTGCTTGATGGCGGAAATCTTCTTTTTTTTGAAGCATCGCTGGCCAGTCGATGTTGCCAGCAGGATCGTGGGCGGCTGCGGAAGGTTGCTTAGGCGCGGCGCCAATCGTGCGGCGTAGCTCTGAGCCAATGCATTCGACATCACCAACTACGCGAACCCCGCTACTACAGGGGATATGCGTTGTTTGTGATGTGATGCCGGTACATGTTATCTGTTGTTGATGTGATAATGTTATCCTTGAAAATGCGTGTCCTGGAGCCAATTACGATTGCGAGAGCGCAAAATCGCACCGTGCAAGGGAGAGGCACAGCTCGGTTGAAACAGGCACAAAAGACTTCGGTCGCATATATGGTCTCTGAAAACAATCAAATCGAGGATCAAGTCAATACTAAGACCTAATCATAAAGATGCCGGGGCCACGCCCTCTCAACAATTACAATCGTCGCAGACGAGCGTCGCCAGTTCGCACGAGCGCGAATTCGAATGTCGGACCTCTCTAGTCATTCTTTTTCCAATGTCTAGCTACCAATATTGATTGCTTTTGCGATCACATTGTATCGGACTCCAGATGCGGATCCCACGTCGATCTGTTAACAGCTATGTCGGGCTACAACTTCCGAGCCTCATCACGCTGCCTAGCTCTGTTGAACAATCGCCAATCTCGGAGAAGTCGATCTCAGAGAAGTCTATTTCGGAGAAGTCAAGTTTACGGAAAATTATCGCAGAGAAGTGCGTACAAGATGGCATAGAAGTTGTACCGATCGAAAGATCAAAGAGCTGTACTACCAAGATCCTTAGTCCTGGTCAAGAGGAAAAGGAAGTTGTATTTTTCCCAGAGTCAGATGTCGAGAGCGCCAAAGAAGATACGTTGATTCCGCCATCATCTTGGTGGGGTCGCTTGAGTATCAAACGGCGTGTCATACTCGTATTGGGCATTCAAGCCTGCTTGCTACTGATACTGGGACTTTGTCTGTTCTTTACGGTAAAACGTAGCTATACGTATGCTATTCCCCACATTATAGATTGTATCATTTGCTAATGATGTCGAAGGGACAAGAAAGCATCTTCGAGCTCAGTCAATTCCTCAGTCATAGCGAGCGTACCCAAACCTTCATTTCCTCGAGGTGCCTTTGTCCTATCGGGCACAAGCACTACGGATCGAGAAAGACATCCAGGCTGCCTCACGTCGCTCAATGAGACAGCAGCGTGGGATTGCCGGAATCGAACAATCTTAATCAATTTCCTTCCCTCACCATCAGAGGAATCCAACTCAGCGATGGCATTCCTACAGTTCATTCTCCCAGACTGGAACTCATCGAATTGGCCAAATGCATTCTATGGACCTCAAAACCCAGGATCCAGTCCACTCACTTTCGAAGTCGACACCAGCCTCCTATCGACCAGCGATGGACCCGCATATCATTTTCGTGCAGTCTACAATCGCGCAGTACTTCTCCCACGGGTCTCTCAGGACACAACGCCAGCTTTTGTGACCCCATTGGAACCAAACAGCACCCCTTGGCTCTGCACGTTCAACGAGACAGTCATTGAGGGATACATCTATCCGTCATTGAATTCGTCAAAGAGCGGTCTCACTTACGTTTCCGACGATTTAGGAAACAACGGGAATGTCCCTTCAGCAGGCAGAGAAATCCCGTACCTACCCTACATCACCAAAATCATAGAACAAAAAACACCAGGATCGATACAACCCCAATGCACAATGGTGAGCGAAGGTGACCAAGGTCACACTGAGCCAGTGCAAGGAGTCGCCCCAATAAATTTAATAGAGCCGAATGTAATTTCAAAAGCAGATGCCGTCAAAGCGGTGATAGATATGAGAAGGCAGGAACAGGACACAGATTGTCGCTGCCAGTGGACATACTTTTAGCCTCGCACTCACACTGTGACGCGAAACATCCTCGAAATTGAGGAGAAAAACTACCAACGATTCCCCAGCAGCTTCTCAAAGCTACAGCTGCATATTTCAACGACATTCCCCCATGGGTCTTGGGAGTACAGAGTGTGCTGTGACACCCCTTCACCAGAATTAGGATCTGGCACCTCTTGCGTCTCGCCAATCTGTTTCCCACCTTCCTGGATCACCTTCGCAAGCAATGCTTCCGGATCAGGATCCGTCACCGCAATATGGAAGAATCCTCCGCGTGGGTAGTCCTTCTCAAAGTCGGCCCGTTCCGTCATGGGAGGATCGATGAATTGGAACAATTCGAATCCCACGCCATTGCCCGCTGAAAGAAACGCGATCTTGACTTTATGAAGCTTCGTGCCATAGAGGCGGAAAATCGAGTTCTCAGAGCTCGTCGAGCGATCGCAAGTAATTGGCGCGGAATTGATTCGCTGGAAGCCGAAGAGCTTCGTATACCAATCCACGGCGGCTTCGAGATCTGGTACGTGGACGGCAACGTGGTTGATCACACGGTTGTGAGTTGTGTTTGCAAGAGTCATGATTTTTCAGTGTATATTCTTTTGTTCGTCTTGTTTTATAAGCTGACCTCGGTCTCACTTTATACCTTTTGCAGTGCTATAATTCAGTCATATCAAACCTGATGGCTTTTGACTTTGCACGTGTCTTGGAGTCATGTTACATACGTCACTTGCTTACCTGCTACTCTTTACTGCTGACAGCAAGTACTATGCAGGCAGACCATAAACGGGAAAGCTCCAGAGAGCAACAGGCCGAAGAAACTATGGGCACATCAAAAGGAGAATTTACATGAGGCGCAGCTATAAGTTATGAATGTGACATGCGGGGCAGCGTGTAGGATTAGGTGGGGTAAGTCAAAGCCACACCAGAGTGAACATGACTCGGGGAAAGAAGCCCGCCCTTGCATATTCATAGCCAGAATACTTCCGGAATCTCCGCATTTGAGGCATTAGACAGGAGAGTATAGAGGATAGTGCAGCGTAGCTAGTGGGATAGCTAGACTACATGTGGTCTCAAGTACGAATGGGTCGTAACCGATTAAAGTGTGCGAGGTCCCGCATCTTCAGCTAACTCGCACACGTTGAAGAGCTGGACGATTTGCACCTATCTATAATACAGTGATATCTTCATTTGTGACTACACATCCTATATTTTCTCTAAGAGGAAAAGACCATATTCATTGATCTACTTGAAGAACTATCGACCAAAATGTCTATCAACGGTGTACCTATATCGGAAACCTCGGCTTCTCGGAACTTTGTCATGAAATCCCCTATATTCAACATGACGTCCAAGGTGATCGCTCTGACAGGCGGAGCCGCTGGAATTGGTCTTGCTACAGCATCATTACTAGTATCACAAGGAGCCAAAGTGGCAATCTCGGACGTCAACGCAACCAATCTTCGGACTGCCGAAGCCAGCCTGCGAGAACAGTGCAAAGACGGCGGTGAAATTCTAGCGACGGTCGTGGATGTCCGTAGACGAGATCAAGTCGATGGCTGGATAGCTGAGGTCGTCGAAAAGTTCGGTAAACTAGATGGTGCAGCGAACTTGGCTGGCGTGATTCCCAAGAGCATTAATATCGAGAGGGTGGAGGACCTCAACGATGAAGACTGGCAGTTCGTGCTCGATGTGAATATCACTGGTGTGATGCAATGCATGCGAGCAGAGATCCGACAGATGAACGAGAATGGAAGCATTGTCAACGCAGCTAGCATCGCAGGGCTGGGTGGATTCCCTAAAAATGCAGCATACACTGTGGCAAAGCATGGAGTAATCGGTATTGTGAGTATAGGTGACCTAGCAATGACTCGTTCAGATTGATGCTAATTGTTTGAAAGACGAAAACAGCGGCAAAAGAGGTTGGTGATCGGTCAATTAGGGTCAATTGCATTGCACCGTAGGTTTATCCACTACATCAATATCTAGTTGTGTAGATCGTTTTGATATCAGCTAACACGTCGATCAGAGGGATAATTGACACTGAGATGCATCGTGAAAGTGTTCGGATACGTGGGAAGGAGGGAGACTATAAGATACAAATTCCAAGGAAAGGACAACCGGAGGAAGTAGCCGCATTGATTGCATGGCTCCTCTGTGACGGCTCACAGTACATCACTGGGACTGTCCAGATCATCGATGGCGGCGTCATGGCCTAACAGGTACAACTACTGTTCATACATGTCCCGCTATGGTAGAAGTTGGTGAACAATCCCCTACCGAACGGCTTCTTGGATCAAGGCCCATCCTGCAATCTCAATTACGTGAAGCAACGGAATTTGAACCTTCCTAAGAGAGGAGCTCTATTCTCTGTCCAAAGCGTCCCTTCCTTACGGTTTACCTGAGCACTTCAAAAGGACTAAGAAATACTTTTCTCGTCTCATTATAACATACAAACACAAACTCCGCTTTGACTTCCATGAATAATTATTCAAACTATCAACCAAGTGTGATAAGGCGTCTTTCTCGCCTCAGAGCACCCCGAAGTAAGACACTGTTTATGCGTGTGCGGTGAGAACTGCAGTAGTTCTGGGTTCACGGTCGAGTGACTTCAGCAATGAGTGCACCAACTCTAGATGGACCGTCATCACGGAGCTTACCACCAGGACAAGCAAAATCGCCCATGATATGTGGATAGCTTCGGCACTTCACTTATGTTCGTGGATAACACAAATACCAAAAAGCTTGGACCTTTACCTAGGTGTACTCTTTCGTCGACATTGTTTACTGCACGCTTCTCCCACCTTCACCTCAACATCCTCTCCTAACATCCTCTACTTCAACCCTCTCTCCTCTCACCTTTCTCCCTTCAGCATTCTTTCCTCTTAATCTTCCTCCTTTGACATTCTCTTCTCTCAATTTCATTCCTTTGATCCTTTCTACTTCGACCTGCCCTCTCTTAATCCAAGTCTTTCAGTTACCTTCACTGTACAACGCGTCCGCTCTACCTCTCGCCCGAGAACGCGAGTGTTTGCATTTTCCTTCACTCTACCACGCAGCTGCCTCTGTTTTCCTTGCTGTATAAAGCGTCCGGAGAAGCTCTACTGTCAAGAAAGAAAGGCCCAAACAGTCAATATGAGTCAAGCTTCGGGACACGAAGGAGTCGATCCTCAGTTTCTTTGTATGTACACGACACCCGATAGGCACGCGATTTGAGAGCAGTAGCTGATTACTCTAGGGATTCTACCAGAACAATTCGAGGTGACAGAGTTGGCCAAAGATCTCGTGGAAAGGGGCGTCAGCTTCCGGATAAATGCCCCATTGCACCTTTTGTACCGAATAGAGCACTTACTGGGGCTGGGGACAAGATATATCGCTCATTTCACAGATGACCAAGCATATAGACGATACGGTGTCGCGTGGCGAGCCTTTTGCAAGGAGGAGTATGGGTCTGAACAGAAAATTCGTTTCAGTGACTATCACAGACACAAGGTAATCCAAGAGGATCTAAATCTGATTGGTCTGGATATGCATGGTGGACTGTTGTCTCGCGTTGAAAAGGGTGACAGCCTGGACATGACCGACATCTTAGTCCTGGATCCTCAAAAGGCAAGCAAGTTCTTCAACATCGGCATCAAACTTCCTTCCGAGAATCCCGAGTATCCAAAGAGCCTCTGCGAGGCTGCAACCATGTTCGCGGATCTGTCTCGTCTCATAAAACCCAAAATGACGATGAAAGAATATGAGGCTGCGATAGAAGAGTGCAAGGACAGCAACGAGAAGTGGGAGCTCGAGCGAAAGAAATTCCGCCTGAAGATCTTGGATCGATATCGGAAAGCGTTGATTGAATTGGCCATTGAGGAACAGGTGAGTACTATCGAATGAGAGGTACTGGTCACACCATCACTGACGTGTCTTAGTTGAGTGGCATGAAGGGAAATAAAAGGGCTGGGCTTTGGGATGACTGACTCACAAGCCCACATCCATATCTACCAAGAGCCGATATGCGAAGGGTATGACAGAAATGGAGCATAATGCATCGAAGACAAGGCTCTTCATTCACAGTGTGGCAAGCCCTTGAGGTTGGAAGTCACCATTACCATGGAACACTGAGTGAGGAATCGTGGAAATTCGGGAATGACCGAGCTGAGGATTGAGCAATCATGAGTGTAAGGAATGAAAGTATCACCAAAACCAAGGACGTAGATACATCTGAAACAGATCACAAGCTTTCAAAATGCCCATCCTTCTCTGCATTGACTTCAAAACCCACTTCCCGCGCGTGCCGAAGCCTCACATTCTCTATCTCAGATAAACATCTCATCTCCGAGATCATTGCACAGTCCCCTTCATTTATACGCACATATCAACTCCTGCTGCACACCAAAGAAACATCTCACGAACATCTCCTCCATACAAGTCACTACTACCCAGACCACTATTTACTTACATACCCCAAAACTTGACTTACCAACACCTCGTCTGCTCCATGCCTCATTGTACACTCCACGACCCTCAATCCACGTACGTAGTACCGCCAACGTACACAAATATCCGCACCGTGCATTTTGAACACCTCAATCCCATAGGCTCCGAGATAAGGGATGTCAATGTGTACAGACTTGCACAATACAATTCGACGGCGGATAGATGGCTAGAAAAAGTGATTCTGCCTCCAGACTACTTAGGTACCGTGGACGATGCGATTGTATACAACATCCCGGCGCAGAACATCAAGAAGCAGGACATCAAACCTCACATAAAACCTCACATCTTCACATCCCCCATATCCACCACACACACAAACCGTTTCCAGGATTTCAAAACAGTGTTGTATTAGAAATTAGAGCTACGGCTTCAGTTTCTTCTTTGCTCTCTCGTCTGAATCACACCTCTTGCCTTCCTGCTCCTTTGATATGCGCTTTCTCCGCGCCAAAGCGGAGACTCGCTGTACGCCTGCCTCTCGCGCCACATTCGCTCGCTGCAATACTCAACGCGAAAAAAGGGTAACTTATGTATGTATATATGTATCAGAATCGAAGACCTGTTGCATGCAAAAGGAAGAAACCCCCTATGTATAGATAGTCAAGGGCAACGTTGATATTGATTACACGCCCTGAAGAGGTAGTAAGATAGGTAAGGATTGCAGGCGAGAAAGGGGAAGTGACCTGCTTCCGTAAGACAACCCAAAGAGTATTGGGGGAAGAAAGGGAGAATAGGAAAAGAAAAGGAAAGCCCGTGGTATCTTTGACGACTTTTTGTGCATGCCCCTGTGGAAAAAAAACCCTGAACCGAACAAGCCCGATTCCACCGAAGTGGTCTGGGGCGCGAAATGAGAAAAGAAAATCTGGAGTATCTCCGATGGAGGTGACGGGAGAAAAGGAGAAGGAAAATTGGCATGGAGGGTGTGGTATTCCAAACAAATGAGAAGGCATAAAGCTTGCCTTGGTATATCGTAATTGGTAAAGGAAAGGGACTTTGGTAGGCTCATAACGCCTCAGCAGAAGATTGACGGCCGTTGTTCGAAGCGTGAGGACATTTTGACAGAGAACAAGTAAATCTTGGTACACAGTGGCAACCATTCACGAGGCCAGAGAGCAATGGAAAACGACTAGAAATCATGTTAGCAAAATGCTAGCATGCTCAGTCATTCAACCCAAAAACCCGCCTGAGGCCTTGGAACTTCTTCTTCTTTCCCGTGCGACCGACAATGGTATCTTTACTAAGCTCTCGATCCATCGTTGGTTTCGTATCTGCTGTTTGGGACGAATGCCGCTTGCTCAGTGTCGGTCGCATCGATATCCGACGTCCCGGCATACCGTCAGAACTTTGGGGCCTTGCTGTTTCCGTCGCGCTTGGAGGTCCTGGCAGTGGCCATGAGTCCGAAACGGTTCGGTTGGGTTGTGAGCGGCGCTGCAGTTTGGGAGACCGAGGGGCTGGATTAGCCTCGAATGCCTTGTCTTCGTCCTCGCCGATTGGAGAGAGTGTGCGGTTTCGCTGCTCTGGAGGGTACGGGATGTCGGTGGCGTCGCTTCTTTCATGTTCCACGGTAGGTTCTGTCACTGGAGGCTGAGCTTGTTGCTTCTTTTTACCCAGGCCAAAAAAGCCTCGCTTTGCCTTTTTCTTATCCACGCCTCCATCTGTAGGCGCGTGCTGACTTTTGTGCAATGCATTCGCCGTGAACGCAACATGACCATTCGTGTGGCCGTTGGTCACCTGCTTTTGTTTCTCGTCAGTCGGTGGAACCTTGGCAGGTGATAGCTCGTCGTCCAATTCCTCTTCCAGATCAGTTGAATCGTCGTCTTCCCCGGCTCGCTTAGGAATACCGCGTACAGGAGCAAGATCAGGTGGTAGCTGATAATCCTCTTCATCAGAATCGACAAAACGACTCTGGAATCGGCGGGGTCGGTCATATTCTTCGTCCTCATCACTTGAATCGACGAAGCGACTCTTGTAGCTTGGCTTAGATACCGGTGCTGCGGGAGGCTTCTGTTTCTTGCCAAAGACTTTGTTGGATTTCTTAGGCGGCGAGGGCTGTCGAGGAACAGGCGGAGCATCATCGGAAACAGTCCTCCCGGGTCGGAAACGGCCAGCGGGCGACAAAGATCTGATGCTGAACCGAGATGACTTTACTTCCGGCGTGGGTGAAGAAGGCCGCATAGATCTTCTCATGGTAGGTGGTGGTGAAGACGGCTTCCCAACAGGCGACAATGATCGAGGGCGGTGAGATTCGTACGATGAAGATGCCGCATTGCCCCTCATAGAAGCGCGCATCGTATATCGACTACTATCGCCGCCGCGTGGTCGTGGTCTCTGCCTCTGAAAACTACTGGCTGAAGCATCGGAGTCATCGTCATAGGTGGGAGCAGGGGCAGTTTTTGGTCGCGAGGCGGCATTCGCGGCAGCACTTTGCGGTCGACCGCTGAGTACAGGTCCTGTTGCGGGCATGTTTCTTTTCTGCAAGGCACCTCTGGCAGGAGGTGCATTACTGTAACGCGAGGCAGCCAGACCCGTTGATGCCCTCGGAGAAGAAGGCTCACTTCCCCTCATACTCATTCGCATATGACCCCCTGAAGATACTGTTTGATGAGACCCCATAGCTCCAGAGGTGCCTCGCATAGTCTGTCGAATTTGCTTTGGCTGGGCACTGGTTGGCGACGGTGGTGCTGCTGTTTTCTTCTTCATGGCAGATTTTCGAGGTTGTTGTGATGGAGGCGGAGGGCTCTTGGTCACTATAGTCGGTTCGCTCGAGATTGCAACTGCTGCTACTTCGGGTTTTCGTTCTGCCGGTGTCTGAGGGCGCTTACTGAGTGAAGCCGGTTCATTGATCCGTTGTTGTTCTTCAAGCCAGTCGTTCGTGGGCTTCTCCGATGATTTGGCCTTTTCATGTTTTGTGACTGCAACTTCGCTCGTAGCTTCTGCAACTTGGGTGTTGCGAAGGCCATGATCTGCGTATTTGGAAGACATCAAACCGGAAGTAGGGCCAACTATTGGACTTTCTACAACAGCATCAATGGAAGCGAAGCCTCCATCTTCCTCGAGGTCTTCGTACGCATCGCTGTAGATACTGCTGTCGTCATCGCTAGAATCGTCTTCCTCTAATGTACTCAATTGATGGTGACGGATGCCACTCCCACCATAAATGCCAATTGGTTTGGGTGGTTCCTGGATCGTTATCTGGGGCTTTGCGGACGATTTCGTTTCTGGAGCCTGTTCTGGTTCATGTTCGGCTTCTGATTCCTCATCCTCATCCCATGCTCCTGGCAAGACCGGACGATGAACCTTTGATTCGGTGCTAGCGTGGGATTCCGCGACTGTGTTCGACGGTATCTCGCTTGATCCATTCGTAGAATCACTCGAAATTGGCTTGGTCGGTGTACTCAAATCAAACAGCGGTTCCGGCTTTTCTACCTTTGGACTAGGACTGGCGGGCTGGACAGCTATTGCGGGCACCTGTATTGGAACGTTTCTGTCTTGCGCTGGTGTGGTCAACGTCTTGGGCTCCAAAGCCGGTACAGAACGAGCCTCGGGTTTACTCGACTGTGAGTTCTGCACAGGCTGAGCAACTATCTCATCATATCCCGTCCCACTGCTCGAATCAGATTCCGAACCATAGCCAGTTCCCTCCACTGTAGTGACCTCTGGAGGGAGGGGCTCGTTGGGGTCTCTTTTGGCAGCAAAGTCTTGAACTAGGATGCCGCCAATCGCATGGTCGCTTGATGCATGGTGAGAATCTTTCATGGAAGCTACTGATGTCGACATTGAAGACGAAACAGTCTCAGTGACCTTTTCAGGAGTATCAACTTCTTCATCCCGACGATGCCTGTTTCGAATACTGCCAAATGAAGGGAGAACTGGCCGAGGTGTCATGAAATCTTCTGGATCTTGCTCTTGATTCTGCGGACTCCATTTTGAGTGCCCCAGACCAGTTGGAGATGACGGTGTCTCAGCTTCAGCATACGCAGAAGTACCAGCAACGACTGCTTCTTCGTCAAAGCTTACCCTGACATTCTTCTTCTTTCTCCGAGTTCCGTCATCAGAGGTTGTGTCAGAAGCCTCGCTAGACGGTCCTATACTTGAAACCCGGCCGTTGTTCGCGATCGGAGAGCTATTCCGACGCGATACCGAAGGCGAAGGTTTCAAGGCTGATTTGGCGGGAGAGACAGATCTTGGTGGGGGATGATGTCGAACACCATCGGAAAGTTCAACATTGATCGCAGCGAAGTGGGCATTGCGAGGTGGGCTCAATGACTGCGTTCGATCCGAGCGGTTGCTTCCCCGTCCTTTTGGAGCAACATCGTCTGTCGTAGGGGGCAAGGTGGGAGTCGATATTCTTGGATACGCACTGTCCTGATTCGGAGCGAAGTTGGGCGACACAGGACTCTCTTCGATCGTCGTAGGTTCCGCCTTATCCTGGATATGCTTCGCATTAGTATCAACGGAAGGTCTAATATCTGAGCCGGCAAAATCCTCTGAACGTTGTCTCGCAAGCATGTTAGCACCGCCGAGTGGAGATAGATTAGGCACTGGCTCTCTTCGGTCTATAGACTCCTCCTGATATCTTGGACCTGGCGCGTGGGGCTGTTCTTGAGTGGTCCGCGTTTCTGAATGATGTGTTGCGGGCGGGCTTGGTGTAGCTGCAGCTTGGTATTGTGGAGGTTGCGGCGTTGGTGCTGGGATAGATACTCTTGGATGCGGAGCCTGTCGTGGCTGTGAAGGAGGAGTAGAATGCACCATATACTCTGGCGGTGAACTTACGTCCTCTTCACTCAATGCTCGAAATCTCTGCATCGCAGCCTGTTTGTGAATGAAGGTTCGTGAAGAGGGATCGTAGACCGCGTATGGAGATTTGGGATCTACGGGCTGCGGGGGCGCATGGGAGACTATTTGCGATTGCACGCTGGTGCCACTAGGCCTTGCACGCATGCTCCCTGTAGCCAAACGAGCACCTTCTACGCCGTGGGCTAAGTCGTTCCTATTTGTCGACACTGGCCTGTTTGTCGCATTCTGGATGGACTGCTGGGTACTGTAAGTGGTGTAATCCCCGGACCCCTCCGAATTCTGCGTTCGCGACTTATTGCTCCCTCTGAACGTTGCATTTGGGTTTACAATGGGACCTGCGTGCCATCCGCCGTGACCTCCCCGATTGGCCGATGCAGGCCTAGGAGACGAAGGGGCCGGTGGTGGAGATATGGGTCTGGAGAAGTTTACAGATCGCGAATTGCCATCCGCGTCGTCCTCGGGCACTTGGGTTAGGCCCGTTCCGTATGAAGAAGAATGCGCCTGTGTTCGCAAGGGCGAGCCCGCAACCCCTCGATCCAGACTGACACCCCTACCCCCACCTCGTGCTACCGGCGAACCTCCTCGGTTTGTCGGCTCGAGACTAGAAGCGCGACGATGGGCCGTGGAGACGGTGGGAACGTGTTTCGGGACCGCGGGAACTGGAGGAGCATCGTGATGACGGTCGATACTTGAGGCAGTTCGGCTAGGGGAAGGTGCGCGAAATGACCGCTCTGTCATAGAACCTGAGCTGGAATGTCGTCGCAGCCCGGGGTGTTGCTGGCTCCCGCTGCCCTGTGACGAAGTCGAGGCTTTCCGGACCATCCGCTTCGTGATTGTATCGCCCACGGGGGTTGGGGAGGTCGTGTGGGTGCGCAAGGCGGCGGCCGCTGCCGCAGAAGATAGGGCGCCATTGGATTCGCGATTCTTCATGAACGCTTTGGAGGCAGCAAGAGATGCAGACGCATTGGGCGGCTGCTGGGGGAGCTGTGGAGAGGGTAAAATTGATCAGCAAATGATATCATGTATATATACAGATGCGCGAGACGGATGCGCTGGGACCGATGGCAGTAGTCTCAGGTAGAAAAGGGTTTGGGACATTCTGGTTCGGGAGAGAGCGCAGAGAGCCAGACAAAGGACGAGGAAGCGACCACTGGGGAACGTACCGGATGCGCCGCAGCCCGATGTCTCTTGAACATGATTAGCTGGAGATGAGCGGCAGGTACGACTGCATTATCGGCGAAGAGTTGGAGATGAAGGAATTATCGATCGCACCTCAGCGCGATGGATGGAGGCAGTCGGCGATGCTAGCGGGTGGTGCAAGTGTGTCTCTTCGGTCAAGAACGCGGCGCGGGTGATGTCATGTCGCGATTTCCCTCGTAGATTCGCCGTGAGATTCGCCGGAGGTAGCTCCGATTAGCTTCAGGGGTTGCTATATGTTTAATTATTCGACTTGAAGATGTGACGGAGAAGTGCGACGCTGCTGCTACAGTGGATAGCCGTGGGTGGAGAGGTAGTGTGATAGGTAGGAGAGAGGTCGGCCGGAAGGAGGTGGAATCTTTTCTGAGATGAGGAGTCGTGTCGTGTTGTTTAGTCGGGGGCGTATGAGACAGCGAATGGGGGCGGAAGAGACAAGGAAGGGTATATCAGATGCTGAGGAAAGATAATGATGATGAAGGAGAGAAGAAGAAGTAGAAGTAGAAGTGGATGTGGATGATGACGATGCTAGTTTGCATACAGAAGATTAGGTATTATTATGATTATGATTATGGTTATTACTAGTTGGGTGAATGTACATGGGTGAGGTCGATGAATGGGGATGAAGCTGTAACGAAGATGGGGTTAGTGCCAGACCCATACACCTTGATTCGTAAGAGTTTGTCTACCGCCAGGTTACGTGGACCACTTGGACATGCAACAATTCCAGTAAATAATAAACAAGCTTTACATTTATTTCCATCCAGTGAGGCGTCTTGGAAAGGCGATCATTTTCGACGCCGATTGATGGTGGGCTTTGCTTGATTATTGATGCCTGTTGTTTGTTTGTTTGGTGAATGAATCATTCAAGGTGGTAGTTAACAGGCAGCCTTATTTACTACACGTACCCACTACAACTTCCTACCAGGAATTACCTCGTAGGTATATAGGGATCCCGTCATAGTATGTGTATGTACGTAGAGATACAAGTACGTTCATATAGTCTAGGGCGAGTGCAATGTACCTGTTCGTACTAGGGGTTATGTTCAAGATGAGGACAATCTACGCCGCTCTCGTCATGATGCTTGGATGGCTTCGGATAGCTTCGATCGTGTGCTCGCACCAGCCCCGATCTTGCTTGATCTTGCTTGATCTTGCTCGTGCATCACCAACTTAACTGTAACCTAAGCTTTCCTGTTGGTCGATCAGTATTTAAACACACACATACAGTCATTATTGCCAATTCAAAAAATGCCAAATACCAATTGCCGCATCTCATCTTGCACATCATCACCGTACCTGTCGGGCAATTGTTTTCTTCGGCAAAGTTTCCTCCCGTTCCCCGTTGCCCGTTGCCCGACGCAGTCACCTTCAAACACCCACCTGTATGATGTCGTTTCATTCAGATTTCACACCATTCTCTCCAATTACACAAGAGCAAAGTCTAAGATGTATCAAAGCGTCTTCAAATATACACATATCAATAATAATAGCACAATATGACGACGAGAGTCAGTCTTGGCAATGAAGAACTGGGTCGCGTTTCCTTCGTACCCACATCACTCCCGTTCATCGCAACCTATCTGGGTACTTAAGTATTAGGTACTAGTTAAGTGATACGCCCACCATCATAGATATATCATAGCCCTTCCTCTTTGATCGTCTGATTTTTTTCCTCTTCCTCTTCTCCATTCCAATACTTTTCAAGATCTCTTACCCTTCCAATCTCGGATCACCCATCCGGAGCCACAGTCACACTACCTATTGATTGCCGCATCTCAACTGCAGCCCTATCCCTTCTCAACTCCCCTCACCTCCACTTGACTGCCATCATTCGCATGAACTTCAAGGGCCTACCTGTGATACTAAACCACTTTCGAAGTCGAACTCCATAATGCTCGTGCATCTCGCCATGTCTCAGTCCACATGGAAAGGCTTCCTTTCCTCTCCCAGGTCCTGCTGCTACACATCCTCATCCCAAAAGGGCCTCTTGCATCGGGCTCTGCTACGCTAGAGCGCCAACCCGAGCCGGACTTCACTAAAATAAACGAACAAAACTGGTGCTGACTCGCTCCTTGACGCTTCTTTTGGGTGACTTGTTTAATAAATAAAGTTGAGGGACTGAGCTGGAGGACTGGAGGAGACTGGAGGACTGGAACTGTGGGAGGAGATAGCGTGCTTGGTCGGTCTTTTTCCCTCGGCCTCTCTCCTCACAATCTCTCCACTAACTACAGGACACTATGCCTCTACTATGCCTACCTAACAATAGGTGGTCAGTTTATCTACTGCACTGCTGTGCCTCAATATCGTCTTCGTCCTGTGTTGAGAAAACGCAACCATCCCACTTCCCACTTCCCACTTCCACCTCCATCTCCACCCCTACGCGGCCTCTCCCTCCCTCCCTCCCTCCCGTATACCTAACAAATACCCTACCCTACCTAACAAATACGTGACGACGGCTGGTCCCTGGCCAATGATGGACTGGCTGGACTGGCTGGCCTCCATATCCGTTTCCGACCCAGTGGATGGCACCAAACAGCTAGCGGTTAACACCGCCGACTCGGGACTCTTCCCCCCGCCTGACTTAAATTATAGATAGTTATACCTACATCCTACCTCCTACCCACCTACCTTACCTCTACCTTACCTACAGTACTTAGACCCCGTTGGCGGTTCAATTCTCTTGTTCCCTTTTTTCTTTTTTGGTCCCTTGTGCCGAGCTTCTTTCCAAGTCACCAAAGGAAATAAGAAGACGAAAAATAAAGAAGACAACATAGGCTTATTCGTCATGGCGCTCTCCCCTTCGTCACCATCGGCCAAGGCGAGCCTCCCACCACTTCCCCTGCCGGCAGATATCAAGGAGAATTATGCCCATTGCCCCACCATTGGCCTAACATTCCATTTCCTCGAAGCCGGCTACACCCCAGAAAGGAACAAACCGCTCATTCTCCTCGTCCATGGCTATCCCGAGCTAGCCTTCTCATGGAGGAAAGTCATGCCCTCGTTGGCAGCTGCGGGCTACTACGTGGTTGCATACGACCAGCGCGGATATGGCAGGACCACCGGGTGGGACGACTCAACCTTCGCAAAGACCGACCTCTCCCAATTCACCAAAACACAGCTCGTCCAGGACGCCGTTGCTTTGGTCTATGCACTGGGTTATCGGGAAGTCAAATGTATTGTTGGCCACGATTTTGGGGCTGTCACGGCTTCCATCTGTGCATTGACTCGACCTGATTTCTTCAAGTCTACCGTGCACATGTCTCATCCATTCAAAATGCATTCGGGACTACCATTCAATACCGCTCACGGTGACGATCAAGATACCACACCTGGAGTTGATATCCAGCGGGAACTTGCAAAGTTGCCGGAGCCAAGAAAGCACTACAAGTGGTACAATTCGACTGCGGTCGCTGCATTCCAATGGTCGGTCCCATTACAGGGCCTTGAGGATTTCCTCAGAGGTTACCTTCACGTCAAGAGCGCAGACTGGGAAGGCAACAAACCTTTCCCACTCGACGGCTGGAAGGCCACCGAACTCGCTAAGATGCCATACTACTACATCATGCCGCTGCACAAATCCATGCCAGAGACCATCGCTTCAATGATGGAGACGGAAGATGCGAACAAGACAAAGACATGGATGCCGGAAGAAGATTTGGCTGTCTACGTCCAAGAATGGTCTCGCACTGGGTTTCAGGGTGGTCTAAATTGGTACCGCACAACTACAGACCCATCTAAGACAAAAGACTTGGATCTTTTCGCAGGCAAAAAGATTGAATGTCCAGTGACCTTCATCTCCGGCGCTCAAGATTGGGGAAATTATCAGGAACCTGGCGCCCTAGAGAATTATCCCAATTCGTGCCTGCAGTTCAAAGGCGTTCATCTTATTCCTGGTGCTGGTCATTGGCCACAGCAAGAGCAGCCAGAGAAGGTAGTGGACGCAATCTTGAATTTCCTCAATAGCCTATAACGGGAGGCGGCACTTCAGGTCTTTATTAGAATGATTTCGCGTCAAATACCCCCATTCTCGTTCTTGAGAGGGCCCCGGCGTTGACTCAAGTCTGGCCACGTAATGCAGGGAGTTGGATATGAAGATCGCAAATAATGCCAACAGATGATGTGTCTAGGGTCACGTTGGCATCCTTCCACAGAAACGAACCCCGCGATCAATGTCCATTCGAATGCGCATGGCATTTGATAGGTCCACATGACCCGAAGCTGGACCAGTCGGAGCATACGCGGCCAGCGCATGTACAGACAACGGCGGCATGTTTTGATGAAAGTTTGCAGTTTTGTGGGAGATAACTTAAGGCTATGTGCTTTCTTATCATCATCTCCGATTCGACTCCCAATCTTTTTCAAGATGATATAACCGCGCCCTGTAAATCTTATGATTGCCAGGTGCAGTCAGCCACATGACATGATTACAAGGTGCCCGCTTGCGCGATCATTATATCGCCAGCCAGTCCGATGTTATGAATTGTACCGTGAACGTGGGCCTTGTTCCTACAAATGGAATCGGTTTACGACTCACATGCTCGCGTTTCTATGTGAAGTAGTCGTGAGCCTAATGGCAACCATCAACTACCTATACCGATGGTCATTCTAGAGCATGTCTGCAAGTAAGAAGTTGGTATCAGTAATTTTCCAATAGCGAAAACTAGATTCCATGAGCAATCAAAGTATTGTCAGTATCCATGTGGTGGCCTTCGCATAGCCGGAACATTCTGCAAAACGCACAGCTTCTTTCAATGATCTTTCCAGAAGCTCAGGAAAGTCACCAATACTAGTACATCTGTTATGACTACGGTCAGACTTTTTTTCTACATCTAAACATACCCTACTCTCACAATGACCGAGGGTGACGCCATCAACATTTGTAAAGGCATTTCCTGCTAGTGCATATAATTCGATCACTTGCTACTATGTATCACGCCTGGCTTATGTTACAAGATAATCTCGCCCCGTTCATATTGTTTTGACTTCGTCATTTTTGGTCTCGTGGGCATTCGATTTCGCTTCCTCGTGACGGGCATACTGGGAACAATGTCGACGAGCGCGGTGCAAGGTGCACTTTTTCTGCAGATATTCGGGTACCTCTTCTTCATGACGCAAAGATTGCCTCGCGCAGCATCAATATCATGTTCGTAATTCCACGAACCCTCAAATCTACTACACCGGAGAAAGAAAACACAGTTAAGCGCCGCAAGCCCAGTTGGTGGCTTTCGCTTGAGGCTCAACGCATTGTAATTTCGACATGGTTGTCGACCACGCATAAACCCACTGTCTCATTTCTGCCCCCAACCTCGAATCCGCAATGCCAAGGCAGCGATCACCGTTCCGCAGCGTACTTGGAGAATAAGCATGCGCTCGTGGCGTTTCTTCGTTGCCTGTTTTCCTTCACGTCCAGTAGTGACTCTGTTCACGCTGCGAATATTATAGATGTAGCATGGCTTCAGATACATGCAGTTATGTCTGCGGGACGGAGAAGGCACCCGGAGAATTCGAGCCTAATCCCGACATCACTGGTACAGGGGTTCGTGTTGACAGCTACGTTCGATATACTACTCGGCAATTGTGCTAATGTCTGCAGGTACGGTTGAGCTACACAATCACTGCTGGGCTCTCAGTGTTCATTGTTTGCGCCTATTATGTTTCTACCTTTCGCCCTGATGTGAGCCCTTTCCACCCTGAAGGGGAGCTTCTGCATCAGGACGACGATTTTCAACCAAATCCTGTCGACACGCGAGTCCTGGGATGGACGAAGAAACTATGGAATCTGGTTTACAAACCAAAGGCCGGGTCGATGAATCTCGGGCGAAACAAGCGATTCAAAAGAGCTTTAGTTAATGTGAGTTCTTTGGTGCTACCTAGATCGTATTAGATCGTAAGCTCAACCGCAGACAGTCTATGCTCGTTATGAGTGATCTTCAACTCCTCGTCGGATTGTCTTTGGTCTTTAGCGGTTACATTCAACTTCGCTGCGGGCTCACGGCATACCATTGGCAGCAGCTACTTCACCTAGTATGGCTCACTTCGGTCACACATTTCTCCTGCTTGACCTTTCTTCGAGGCCATCTTCAACAGCACCCTTTCAAGCGTACCTGGAGATTGATTCTCATGACCACGCTAGTCATTGCACTGGTAGTCGGCCTCTCTAGCACGAGCTACTACACGTTCACTAACACACTCATCTCCTGGGAGGGCGAGAATTACAGACCAGAGCCTTCAGACTACGCCATCTGCTACATGAACGGCGCAGAGAGAGTCGTGGTGTATGACGGCGGAAAGAGTCGACAGTACATGATCTTCTCCAACGTGCTCATTGTCTTCGGATTGTTCGTCCGGCTTGTGCGATCTTATGAGTTTCCTGTAATGTTTCTGTTGCATAGGAGGCAGGAGTTGGGGGATGCGCTGAATCAGATGCTACGAAAGATGGCCATGACTTGTGATAGACATAAGTTGCTTGCAGACTTTGCGGTGGCGTTTTTATACATCCCGTGTGCTTCAGTCATTGTTTTGATCAGTACGCTGCTCGACCTGGGTGTGTCGATGTTATTCGAAGTGAGTCTTCCAAATCCAGAATTCATCCACCATGATTATGGTATTAATCAGTTCTTGCGATAGGTCTGGTGGCTCATCGTCTGCTTTGTCTGGGGCTGCATTCGACTCTGGGTCACTGGCCACGGAGGAGTGAAGGATGGCCCGCAAGACTGGAGTTTCGGACAGACACTCCCACTGTTCCTCCTCGGTGCGCCCGTGTTCGCCATGTTGGAGGGTTTCTTCTCATCCGAGCGCGATTCACATCTAAACGTCCACCTAACAGTCCAAACGCAAGCACAAGACCAGGCCCAAAGCAAACCCTCAACGCCAGCCGCCCCCTCCCTCCCACCATCCCCAACCTCCAACCCACCCTCGATCCCCTCAACAGCGACCCTCCCCCTCCCCGTTTCCACCTCCTCAACCACAGCCCCAAGCTCCCCAAAACGCGCCGCAACATCGCACATCCCGTCCTCCCTGCCGCGGACGCCCGACCTCAACATCCACACCGCATTCTGGGTGACGCCCTACACCATCATCCTCCTCATCTGGCTCGCCAACCTCAGCGCCTCCACCCTGACCGCCCTCTTCGTCTCCTGGGTCGTCGTCCGCGTCTTCTACCCCTTCGGCTTCGCAATGGGAAGCCTCTACTTCGTCATCGTGTTCTCCCTGCTCGTCGACCGCGTGCTATCCCGCCCTGCATCTTCAACCCCTTCCCCCTCTCCACCCTCCCCCACACTTCCACCAAATTCCACAACAACAACAACACAGCCACAGCAATCGACAGCAGCAGCCCTCTCCCCCAAACGCCGCCGCGCCCTCCGCGCCATAACCTTCGTAATCAACTTCCTAATGGCGCTCGCCCTGCAGTGCACGGTGTGGTTCGAGGAGGGGAGGAACGGCATTCGCAACGGGACGGCGTACCGCGCGCTGTTGATTGCGTATGCGGGCGTCTATGTGCTTGTGTGTTTTGCGGATATGGCGGTGAGGAAGTTCTGGGGGAAGAGGAAGAGTAGGGGGGCGGGTGTGAAGGGGGGCTAGGGTTTGGTGATTTGTTTTTGTGTATTTCTGTTTACTATATCTATGCATCTCCCTCTGAGCACTGAAAGGTGTTGGTTTCTGGCGTTAATTATTATTGGTGAAAGTGAAGAAGTAATGATACTCATCATAAATAAATATATCGTCAATTACTACTCCTACTTGTTGTCCTCCACTTTCCCAAGGCCCTCTTTTCAGGTCTAGAAATCCTAACTCTTTGATTGAAATTGTTGCCCAGATGGAGGTGTGATTGATGCAATACATTTGGCATTGAAGGCCATTTGGCGAACCAGGTGTCACTCATTGGCATAAGCACGACGTGGTCGATCATGATATCATTGCATTATATTCATTTGAAAATAGGTATCATATCTACTCAAAAGATTTGGCTCGACTGATATACAACAGTGACAGTCTTATCCATACCACCCCTATGGCTGAGGCGTGACTACCAAGTCATTTTGTGGGTAGTGATGCGATGAAACACGCTATGGGTTCAAATCGAGCGTACTTCCAGACTTTGCCCTTCTGACCTCATGGCCGACTCCAAGCAGCTCAGACATGACGATTCAAGGGTAGTTGTATGTTCCTGCGACTTTGGCTGTGCGTTTGGTATCTGGGTAAGGTGCAGATTGTAGTTTTGGAGACTCTTGGCGAAGTAGTACTCGAAGCTCAGTCCACTCGAATCCCTGAGTAATTGGAAGATGGCTTCTGCTTTGCTGAATATCGTGGCTTCTGCTTTGCTGAATATCGTAGCTTCAGCGGAAAATGCACTTGACAGGGAAGGCCCCAATACGCCCCTCAAAATGACCTTGACTGCAGGGTTACGTATCTCACAAAGGGAATCGTACACCATATTGTATAAACCAAATTGTAAAACATCCGGTATTTTCCTGCAGTCAACAATTTTCTCAAGCAGAGACGGCTCAGGTCTTTTCAATCTGTTCGAAGAGTCTTTGGGAGAAAAGGCATACAGCGTTTCTGAGCACTTCAACAGCATCCTCTCCTCAAGTGCTATAAGCCGTGATATCATCCACGCTTGACATCTGACGTTGATGAAATAGGAATGAAGTGGGAAGCCTGCTTGTTGAGTTTGGTGAATGTAGTAATATATTCTCAGTATGAGCTTCCCCATCTGACGATTGCGACGACTTTGCAGCTTGTATTGTGCTGATATCAGTTCGTAAAATGACCTTTTCAAGTTCAGGATAGTCCAGTCGCCGACCTTGAAACCCAATTTGTAAGCCAAGATACAACTAGGTAACTCCGGACTCTTCTGGATCAGCTTAGAATCCTGATCGAGCTGCGTAACGATATTCCCGAGACGCTCCCTAGCATACGAGTAGGCTTTGCATCGCGAGAGATCGGGCCATTGTGGTGAACAAAGTGTCACCCTTCGAAAGTGCTTGATTTCAGAACTCGGTGGGTCTCGCCGTTCAGAAGTAGGGGCACTTTCCTCTTTCGATTTATTGGAGTCGGATTCACCACTTGAATTATCCATCATGGATTCCATTTCTGTGAGAAAATCTTCAAGAAAAGCGCGGGGGTCAGCTTCATTTATGTTTTCTAGCGAGATCTGCGTTAAGATATCAGGTCCGACGGCCGAGGGTTCGTAAACGGAGACACAGGCACTGCATGTACGACTGCAATGGTGTTGTTAGCTTGAGATACACACGACATTATTTGGAATAGATGAAAATTGAACAACATACCACATCATCTTTCCAGTAGATGTATTTGTCCAATAGTTTGAACAGCGTGGACATTGCTTTGTGTACCTTTCCTCATAAGGGAATATCATGCTCATTTCGATGCACTCGCCAGCCTTGACCAATGTCTGAAATGATTCGATGCAAGGTCCCGACGGCACAATGAGTTTGTTGGAAGAAGCGTTAAAGAACATGTACGATGAGGTAGCAATCATATCGCAATATTGATCGTCCTTGGGGTAAAGTCTGAGGAGAAACTCGTGGCAGTGCTGTTGAACATGTTAGTTCCTTCCATGAATGTGTCACACGTTCGAGTCACTTACCTCCCATGTGTCTATGTATCCGAACGAGAGCGAGTAAGTTCGGCGAAAAGCATCCTCGACGAGGAAACGTTTGTCAGGGGGTGGCGGGAGGGAAGATGAAGCGATAACCTGCGGCGGGAAGGCTTGTTGAAGATTAGACGGCCTAGAAGGCTGCGATCAGCAGGTGTTGAACAAGTTATCTCACGGTATCATGGATTGACAGAACCTACGCTAACTGCATGATCTGGGACTGTATTGGTTCAAGTCGTTTTTCAAGGTTACTCAGAAGAGTTTCGAGGTCGTCGCGCCTGAATGTCCATATGACCTTGCGGAAGGCATTGGTGATTGATCGTTTCTCGCGTTTCGGACCTAGGTTGGGCTCAAATGTCCTCATCTGCGAGCAACATTTCTTCACCAGCTTTTTTATATTTTTTTGGGTCTTGAAGAGGAGATGATTTCCAGTAAGTTGGCCGGAATCTACAAGATTATTGAGCGTTGATGCAAGGGCTGCGAACCATCGAAGCCTCTCCGCATAATTATTGTATTCTTCTGTTGCTTCCTTTCTGAGTAATCTTACGACCTTGTAGAGGAAATGGCCAGACTTGAAGATTTCGATCACACTGATGCCCACAGACATGTTTGCTGTCTCTCGTATGCGTAGAGCACTAGAAGAATAAAGGATGAAATTAGCCGAAAGCTATGTTTAAATTTGAAAGATGATGTCGTAGTGGAAGGAAGTATGCAGAGGAAGTCCGCAGGCAGGCACGATCCAGGAACTGCCCATTTTATACGTTCATCGTCGAAGCCCTCAGCAGGCTTCACGTGCTTGACCGGAATTCTGGCATACTTCGAAACGATTTCTTTGATTCGCTATGCAACTGTCAGTGTTTATCGTCCCCGCGGGGTAGCTGTCTGCACTCTCGTTGGCCAGTCCTTCTGTGGTTGGCCGCGTTGGCGGGCTGGATGCGAATCAGAATGTTACACGGCAGTATTCGATATCTGGCGCAGCTGGCAAGGCATACACCGTCACCTGTAAGGAAAAGAAATCGCGGCAGCCAAAGAATCTGCAAGTTCAACAGTGAGTTACTCCGTAGTGGGATTCGAAAACAGGATGGTACTACTGAGTACGGCCCTGAACATTCTGACAAGGCTATTGAGGTGGCTTAGTCGTTGACACAATATCTCTCTGTAGCAAAATTTGCCTCGTACAGATGATTTGTTGTTCGATTGATTCAATTATCATATAGAGAATCTAAATATTGCTTCCTAGATGTAGTCCGACGCGTGACACTGAAAGTGGTCGTTGCCAGTCAATAGCCATCACATATACAACTTGGCATGATTAACCCTCCCACGGCAAGGCAGGAAACATCGTAAGCATGACCCAGAACCAGTAGACAGCGATATGTATCGCGGTATTGTATGATAGGTGAGGCTGTTTTGAGATTATGTGTAGCACCAAGAGGGCAGTAAAACGCAAGAGAGTTTAAGAACTATCCGCCTATCTACTGATTGCAGGTTGTGCCAGCGATGTCCCTTTTTATAGAGGCGTCTATACGCAATAGTGCACATCCAATCATCCCATAGAACTTCTCTCCGGTCTCAGTGTATGGAAACCCGATTGCTCAAGACCACCAGGGCTGGCCCTTCACCTATCAGATGTTGCGTTAAGACACCACAGGGACTTCCCGCAAAGCAACCACCATCTACTCCGTACATTTCCAAACACATCGTCTCTCCTCCTTGAAAAACCTACTAGCTAGTCCTAATTCCTCATCATAGCCCTGACCTGTCTGGTCTTGAACTCTTCCAGGACTTTCATCTATCCTCGTGGCTGGCCTCTGAGTAGCTTCATCCCATCCTATTATACCACACTACCAATCTCAAGCGCCACATTAGTAGTTTAACATACCATCACGCCGTGTCCAACTCACCCTCACTTCACTCTACTACCGTACGAGACAAGCATAACGAGATAGAGACCATCTCCTGTAGCAACTCCTACTTCCTAGCTCCTTTGTCATTTACTTCACATAAAAGCATCTATGCACGATTTCATACCCCTCATGACCCCTCCACATACAACGTTCCAGATATCCAATCCCAAAACAAGAAATCCTATCACGCACAACCTACGGTACAATACAGTACATAACTCCCCTTCTTCCCGTTCCGCGAAGACACCAAAGCTCCAATGCCTCCCATCACGAACAATTGGCACCTCGCGGTACGGAAACGCACCAGCACGCCCGGTGAGTAAGGTATCTAGGGGTATATTCGACAACGGCGTTGCTTTCGGTCGTGATACAGCTTACCCCCTTGAGAAGTTCGTCCACGTTGCCATACTGTTTCGGGAAAGTAGGTCTCTGTGTCTAACTGAGAATTTGTGATTGTAGCTATTAAATCCACGAACTTTTCTTCAAACGGGGTTCAATTGACATTTGCATTTCTCGTCTCCGCTTCTACCTCCCCTGATTAGAAATCCATCTTTAGTGTCAATATCAATATCTTCTTTTTTGTGACCACTCCATCAGTTCCTCGAAGCTACAAAAGGGTGTGACAGATTGGTGGTATTGGACTTGGGGTTTTGGCTAGACATGGTGAACGTCTTGAGGTACTCGGGTTATTGAAAATGTGTTCGTGCCTAACTTATCTGGTAGGTACATACCAGGTAATCATGTGGAGATCGTACGTATGAATGTAGACGACATAACGTGTGATGTTCAAACCATCTCACACAGGCACGTGTGGTGTTAAGATAGGCGAAGACAAGATGTTGTGAAACCTTCGAAAAGTACGAGAAAGTGGGGTTCAAATAAGGCAAATAAGGCAAACGATAATCCATGATACAGTTGCAGTGGTGCAAGAGTGGTTGGGTGTGTGTGGAAAGATTATATTCATGTATCGGTCGTATCTATCTACAAATATGCGTGGATGTTTGCATATTAAAATGGCGACTTCGCTTGAGACGCTCGACAACAATGATTCGCTGCCGCTATGCATGCGCTATCATGTACTTCCCTCCCTCTCTTCCATCATCTCGAGGGACCGGGCTCGAAGGGGCTGTTGTATAAACATCGAGTACAGCACCGGATAAATACTCGTGTGATGAGTGAGTTGTACATATGTGCCGCTCAATACAATTCCCGCCATGCCCAGTCTCATATAACCCAGAACTTCCCCCCATGTACAAAATCCAAATGTTGTATGTACTATCGCAAATGCCATGCCGAAGACATGGAAAAAAAAGGCGCAGTGCAAGGATAGCACGCCCGCCATGAACCGATGAAGATAATGATGCGACGCCAATCATGGACCAAAAGGATGGTAGTGTCCGGAAAAGACCTGGCCTGGAAAATGAAACCAACAATGCCTACTCTTTTTCGTTCCAATGCGAACTATGCGCAAGATCGCAGACCATGATAAAAACAAGAAATCAAATACAAGTGGCGCCACAGGTTCACTCCGAACCAATGGCGCTGCCGCCAAACGCCGAGCTAATGCTGAGATCGATAGAGGTATCCGGAAAAGAAGGGAAAGAAGTACGCAAGTGAGGCTTCAAGATCATGAAACTGTCTTGCCGCCGCAATCGGGGATCTTGACGCCGTCCTTGAGTTTGCGGTTCACATCCATCAAGCCCCACTTGTCCTCCCATTCTTTTCCTTTGGTGTTGTAACGGATCTTCCATGGCTCATCAAATGCAGAAAACCTAAGACCAGTTAGTAATCGAGTCAAGACCTCATCTCGAAGGGTAAAAAACTTACCAGAAGTACTCCGTGCCGTTGTTCATGCTGGGGCAGACCCAGTCCTCGAGGAACTGGTTCAATTCTTCCACTCCAGCAACGGAACCTTCGCTGGTTGTCGTACAGGTCCCGGATCCACAGTTGTTGCCACCACCAGATGGCCATCCGACTTCAGCGACAATTTGCTTGACATCGTCGTTGCCCTTGGTCAGAATCACATCGTGATTGTTCCAGAAATCCCAAGTCCAGCCGGCGGCCTTATCAACCGTAACACCAGCGAAGAACGGATGCACGTTAGACATGACAATCGAGATATTGCCACTGTTTGCCATCTGCGAATTCCAGTTGTCTCCGAGATCCGAGGTTGCGATCGGAAGATTAATCTCATGTTTCGTCAGATTCGTTTTGATGTCGCCGATGATGTGCATCAGTTCCTGTTCCGTGAGATCTTCTCGGTAAAGCACTTCGTTACCCACGATGATGCCCTTGAACTTGTTCTGGATGGCCTTCTTGTTGCCGTCAATTTCCTGGTGGTGGTCGATCAAATCCCACATCTGCGAGATCTGTCGGTCGTTGGTGGTCTCATTGTTGCCGAGCCAGACACCGAGCCAGATCTTCATCTCGTTCTCCAATTTGAGTCGGGTAATGGCCTCCAATACCATCTCCGTCTGGTTGCAGTCGGTTCCGTACAATCGGACGGCATTTGTAAGTCGGGACATGACGGCGATATCGCGGGTGATGTTGTTCTGGGAGGGTCCAACATGGAGGCACTCGGGATATTGGGCATTCAGGGGCGTGTAGTCGATTCCTGGGAAAACCTTGTGGAGCGCAGTATTGCTCATGAGCTGCTTGATCTCTGCAGAGTCGGCTGTCAGGTCCTTCTTGTTGTCGTCGGCGACCGTTTGCGGTGTTTCGCTGCTGCCGCTTCCACCTCCGCCGCCGCCTTTGTTCTTGTTCAGCAAAGCTCCGAGTACACCACCAACAACGGCGCCGATGATGACGAGGACAATTATGGTACCGACGATCCACTTCAGTTTCTTGCTGCCATGATTTTGCGAAGCAAGCCACTCTGATTTCTCCCCTGTCTGGGCCTCCATATTGCTGCTTCCATTTGCGCTCCCGCCCGAGCCACCAGGAACCGCGTTGTACTGCCCGCTTGGGTCGCGCGTGGCGGCGAAAGTCCCTGCCGCGGCGCCAGCGCCGACTCCCGCGCCTAGTGCGGCAACGCTGGACCCAGGGGTGCCCTCTCGACTCTGGTCGCGCGAGTTGCCAAAGGGCACGAAGGACCGTCGCTTTGGTTGGTTGGGTTGTTGCGGACCCATGCCCCAGTCGTCATCATCGTCTGCTTCGTTGGGGTTGATGGCGCCCATGTGCTGGAGGGTTGAGGAAGAGTAGCGGTTGTAGGGAGTGTCTTGGTAATTCTGCGAGGGCGAGGGGCGATGGGAGAGAGGGAGACTGCGCTCTGAGGAGCCTGTGATGGGGGAGGTGTTGCCAGCGGCATGGGGCATAGCGGCGGAGGCGGATAGAGGAGCGTTGGAGTTGAAGGAGGATTGCGAGTGAACGGGTCGAGGAGGTGCAGGCTGGTCGTAGCCATAGTGGTGGTCGTCGAAAGAGGCGTTGCCTTGATAGTTGCGGTCCTGGGGCGCGTTGTAGGGACCTGCAAGATTGTTACCATTTCGTCCCCAATTGTCAATGTCTCGGAGAGCCTGAAGGCCACTCTCGCGCTCGTTTGCGTTGGCGACACCGATAGCGATGCCATTGATGCCACCACCAGCAGCGCTTTCGCCAAGGTTATCCGTACCTGGTGTTATGCCTGGCGGCGTGTAATCCGAGTAGTTGTTGGGGTTGCCATGCTGTGGCCGTCCTTGCATGTTGCCGTACGCGCTGTCGGGATGCATTCCAACGGGACTTCGGTGGGCGGGTGGTGGAGGAGGACTACTGCTCTGCAACATGGGGTTGGAAGGGTCTACCGACGACACGTCGCTGGGCTCGTAGTATGGGGAGGAGGTAGGGTACTGGGGGTAGTTGTGTGAAGCTGCCATTGCTGTACGAGGTGGACGTGATGCAATGGCAGTAGTAGTTGGTTACGATGAGGAAAGCAAGACCAAGGCCGAGCCCCAGTAATAGTGGAGGAGAGCGACTGCAATACCAAGAGTCGAGTGTGTGCGTACGCGTCGAGGATCGAGATGGTATTACTCTGTATGTGCAATAAAGAAAACCGGTTGCGGCTATGGGAGAAATCAGGGCAGGGCAGGGCAGGGCAGGGCAGTGAAAGGGTGAAACGGAACAAGGCGACCTAGGCGGAGAGTAGGGGTGTCGACTGTGTTTCCAGGGTGGGAGATGAGTTCCGGTGATAGCGACAGTGACTATTGATGATGAAGTTGAGGAGAGGAGAGAGGAAGAGAGGAGATAAGATAGGGATAGGAGAGGAGGTAGAAGAGATGGTATGGTGTTGAGTAGTTAGCAGTAAAGAGGAGAGGAAAGTTGATGGCTGATGATGGCTGATGGGACAGTGATGGCCTATTGTCTATGGTCTATTGTCTATGGGTGGTCTAGTGTCCATTGGTGGGTGTGCCGTTCCTGCCGCTACGAGAAAGGTGTGACACTCACCCCTTCCAAAGGCGGTTGGTCTCTGGACTGGGTTAACTAGGTGGTGGGTGGTAGTAAGGTGGCTGTTGTTCCGTGGTGTTACTCAGGAAACGCACGTTTTACTCTATTGGGATCATTATCCTCCATTTGCAGTTCTGATCTGATCCTGCACTAGTCATTCCATAATGATTGACTATCCACCGTGTGTCTCCGTAATGCTCTGTTCTGTTGTGTTTGATGGCTGGTGAGAGTAAGGGAAAGGTAGGAAATCGACAGGGCTGGGTTGTTGCTGGGCGCTGGGGTCCGTCTATGCTCGGCTGGTACCCGCCTCCCACCCATAAACAGACACAGACACAGACCCAAGGACCCACGAATGACGCACGAGTAACCAACATATTAACAGGTTCACATAGCAACAGGAATAACGTCAGGTAAACAAGACAACCCTACAAAATCTTCCACATCCTCTTCCCTTTTACTATTGTCTCCTGGATGAAGCTTGATGATGAGGATGGGTTGATGATCATCGTTGCATTGCGCGTACACCCCAATGATCTATCTATAGCAGATGCATCTCTGTGGCGATGGACAGTAGAGTAGTAGTATTAGGTACAGTAGGTACAGTAGTGGTCTGTGGTAGGTTGTAGTGATGGGGTCCGGCTTAAAATGACCGGAGGCGTCGTTGGTTGCCTCAGCTCTCCCATTCGAGACAAGACAAACTCCAATAGTCCAATCCTCCCTTAGAGCCTGGGCACTTCCTCTACTCCCCTCAACAAGAAACATCAACCTCATGTCTTCTATCTAGTAGTTATCTACCATGGATTTATTGCACACATCACAATGAATAACTGCTGTATTTGAACCTGCTCGTCCCCAGGCCTATCCTCCGTCGTCGTCATCGAGTCCGAGACTGATCGACAATCCATCAATGCGCAACGCACATCCTCCGTCCACCACTGGCACTTACTCCTCCATGAACTATCACTCCACTCAACGCCGCCCCCTCCGCCATTTCAATAAAACCTCACTGCTCAATCGCCCCCTTCAGTAATCCGCCATCCTCATTAATTAATGCTCATGCTCATGCCCATTATCGAACAATAATCACTACTCCTGCATCTATCCTCCGTATCCACGCCCGCCGTCAGCAGCCCCCTCCCTTCTTCTCCTGCCCGTCCCGCACCAAAGACCCTTAAACATCCTCCCCCCTTCCTCAGCTCGTGCTCGGTGCTCGTGTTCTCGACGTCCCGTACCAAAGCCACGCCGCATCAATACGAATCCCACCCTACCTTCCTTCATCCTTCATAATAATCAACCGCGCCCTTACTTCCACCACCAAATAAATACGAGCCCTTCATCACGCAACTGTATAGACGACCGAAGACCGAGGTTTCTAGAACATTAGGTACTCAATAGTGAGAACGTGACAGCCAAAAACGTGTTGCGGGTTGCATTCCAATAAATCGAACTAACCACACGCGGAAGGAAGGGAAGAAACCCCAGATGCTTCTAACAATAGAAATGGGAATGCGCCGGTTTTACGCCGTTTGGTGGTGCTAGATGAGCTCAACACATCTACAGTACTTATTTAATTATTGCTTCTACTACTTTGCGGTTTTCTAGAGAGTTCTAATAATCGATAGGAATAGTAGAACGGTAGGTATTTAGCTTTTTGGATGGGTTCTCGTAAGTATCGTGAGAGAACGCTTTCCATGGTACACGCCGCCCACGTGCTTCCCAGCCCTTATGTTGGGAATTCGGTCCGTTGGGCCATTCTTCAACAGTTCTCCCAAAATAGATGGTCGTATATAATCATCTAGTCGTGCGTGAATTACCTAAAGAGGCAAAAAGGAACGCTTTCATTCTTTTCGCACTGTGACTTGCTTTGGCAGGAAGATGCATGTCTAAATCCTTCTTTGTGGCTTTGCGTAGGTAATGTATCATGCATTATGCGGGGATCGATGAAGGCGTTTTCTGTACACCTACATCTTCGTGGTCCTACCACGAAACACAAAGTACTGGATCCACACTATCATTTTCTATCATTCAAACTCCTTCATCGAGGTCCTTGGAGGTAGAGTATAAAGATTGATTTCATTTTGATATTTGCAACTGCAAGTTACCTAATTGACATCGCGTTCGTTTCCGAATCAACATCTCATGTCTGTCCATAAAAAAAATAGGTACTGGATCACCACGCAGGTAATACTATCACGTGATTGAACAATTGCTTCAGAATAGCTGGTAATTACCTACGTAGTTGATGATACGACTTGAGTCAGGGAAGTAGTAGTGCAAGGAATGTAGCATTTACACCGTACAAATGTGAGATATAGTAAGGTTTCTATCTACTGGTCAAGTCAAGCTACAAGCTTGCGATGCTACGTCAAAATTCCATTTGACAAGTGGAGCTCCTCCTCCATCATTATCATACAGATCCTGCAAGCTATGGAATCAATATAAATATTTCTCTTTTAATTATCGTGATCGAGAGAACCCTATTCATATGGATGATGGAGCATCGGCGGTGCGTCACCACGGAGCATCATTTTTCTTCAGCTATGGTCGATCCTATGACGGATGATCGTTTGTGTGCGTTACAACTGGCAGTCGAATGAACGGCAAGGAAGATTCTAGAGTGTGGAGATCCGTTGGAGAGGACTCACAGCATAATGACGATTCAAAAGATTATGCACGCATTGGGATATGGGATTGGAATCACAGAGGTATGAGTGATAATGACGAAGGGCGGAGAGATCGCTTAACGCGGAGGCTTACCTGGAAAAGGTAAATGAGATCTGGTTGTGACTCAGAAGATGGGGACGACGTAGAAGTTAGGTGAGGGTACTCGGTGCCGATGAAGGGTTCACCGGTGGTAGTGGTGCTTCGAGAGGTAAGCGCTTGTTGGAGGTGGAGAGCTTGACGTTGTTTTGTTGCCGAGTTTGAACGTTTAACGTGGGGTTGGTTTTGTTTATTATACATGAGGGGTAACGTCTGACATTGAACAGAGCTACATATTATTGTATTGCATTGTTTTGCATTGCATTGTAATTGTACCGCGAACATGGCAGCATTTACATCTGAATTCGATGAGCAAGTAGAGGAGCTGATGAAGGAATTCCACGTCCCGGGTATCTCCATCGCCATTGTGAAGAAAGATGACATCCAAGCAAAGGTACGTATCCATCGCCATATGCCCCTCGCCTTTGCGCATCTTTTTTGAAGCAAGAGCTCATTCAGTCTAGGGCTATGGCTACGCAAAGTTGTCGAGCGACGACAAAGTGACAGCAGACACGCTGTTCGACTGCGCCAGCACATCCAAGTCCTTCACAGCATCGGCCGTCGCATTGCTCGTCCAGGACGACGAAAAGTTCCCAGACGTCCATTGGGACACTCCCGTTTCGAAGCTCCTGCCAGATGACTTCGTGCTGGCCGATCCGATGTACACCGAGCATGTCACCATCGAGGACATCCTCAGCCATCGTAGCGGCATGCCACGGTAATCGAAACCATCCAATTGTAAATCCAACAAACTAATCTCTAATCTCGTCCTGAAGCCACGACGAGTCGTATTTTAGCTATCGCGGAGCGAATCCCGACACGCCCAAATCCATCACAAGAAACCTGCGCAATCTCCCTCTATCCAGGCCACTGCGGGTAGAGCACCAATACTGCAACATAATGTACACAGCCGCCAGCTACCTCGTCGAAACGCTGAGCGGACAATCGTACGCCGAATTCCTCAAGACCCGATTCTGGGAGCCGCTAGGCATGACCAACACCTTCCACGACATCTGCGAAGTGCAAGCCGGCAACGCAACGGACCGCCTCGCGCAAGCGTACACCTGGGTCAAGAAGAAAGAAACCTACAAGCCGATCCCGATGTTCAACCAGCCTGAGGGGACGGGCGCCGGGTGCATTTTCAGCTGCGCGAATGACTACGCGAAGTGGATCCAGACGATGATCAAGCGCGGCGGTCCGCTGTCCGAGGAGTCGCACACGGAGTTGAGGAGGCCGCGTAGTATACCGCTCGAGGACGAGGACGATGACGTTCCGTTCTTGAGTCCGGCGTTGTATGCGATGGGATGGTCCACGGAGTCGTATCGTGGCATTCCTGTCGTTGCGCACGACGGCTCGGTCCCGGGGTTCAGCAGCGTGATGCGGTTTCTGCCGAAGCAGGAGTGGGGAATAGTGGTGTTTGGAAACTCGAATCATGCTTGGAAGGTCGCGGAGGCGGTGTTCAAGCGCTTGATGGATGATCTCCTCCGGGTCCCTGTTGATGATAGAGTCGATTGGGCGAAATATTATCGCGACCTGACGAAGAAATGGGCGGCGGAGGCGGAGGAAGAGAAAGAAAGCAATCCCTACAAGACTGTTCCAGATCCAAAACTTCCTTTAAGTGTGCCCGTTGAGGCTCTCGTGGGCAAGTACTGGCATCCGGGATACAAAGAAATCACCCTTCGGGTCGCGGACGGAAAGCTTCGTACTGATTGCTTCGATCGATGTACCCCTTTCGTGATCGGATTCGAGCATTTCTCTGGGACTCTCTTCATTGCCGAACTGATCGATCTTGACGAGGACGATTGCAAGACGCCGGAGACAGTATTCGAGGCTTATTCGGATTATGCCAGAAAGCAGAAGTCGGAGTTCAAGATCGATTCCAGCGGAAAGGTGGAGTCGCTGGGTATTGAGTTTGGCGATGAGAAGGATCCGATGATTTGGTTCAAGAAGCTTGATTCATGAGTCTAAAAGAAGGGAGAACTGATTATTTTGCGGTAGTAAGTACTGCTGCCAGACTATATAATTGGAGAAATATTACAGACTCCCAGCCATTTGGTTGTTGTGATCCATGAGCATATGCGTTTGTGATGTACGAGTGACAGCGTCGAACAGTACTGTACGCGCGGGTAGTTGAGAGGTTGATTAAGATCCGACTGTTTTGGTCAGTATTCCAGAGTGGACAGTGGGAAATCTGTAGAAACGTCAGGATCACGTTTCTATGTCGACAGTAGAGTAACTGCAGATCAGACGCAGACCTGAAACGGTAGGCATTGGCAAATGGGTTCTTCTCACGATCTTATCAGAAAAGTGTATCCAATATCAACGGTTTAGCACTATTAGAAGTCCGCGTTCATCTCTCCAAACTCGTATTGAACAACATTGCATTAGAACATGCGAAGACCTCGTGTCGGTCAGTTCTAGAAAGCCCTCGGAAGGACCTCACTATCAGACCCACTAGCAGTGCAAATTAGGTTATCATGTACCGTCTCGATATCTTCTTGGTCGGATCGCACCCACAGGTCTCTCACACTAATCATATTCGTGAACTCCCAGACCACTCAAATCTTAACGAGGATGCTTATTTTGACCGTGGTGGGCAGTCCCCAACCCTAGCCCCTTCCCATCTTTTGCTTAAGGGAGTCACGCACCAAGTACGGGGAAACATTTCGCTAAAGGCTATGGATATCACTACAAACAGGTACACAAGGTAAAATCGTCCCCAACACACTTAAGACGACAAGATACGATGACCAGGTGAGCTGCTGAGTTTACACTGCGGTCGACCAATAGGCAATCATGCCCACTTTTCACTTCTCCCCTTCTGCCTTCACCTGTGCCCCGTTTCCAAGAGGCTACAGCGTCAACGGGCAACACAACAATGAACCTCAGCTCTAACTCATGCAGTTCTAGCATTGCGTAACATTACTAAAAAAACTATTGCCCGCTCCCTCAATTCAACTGATGCGCACGCATTACAGCCATGATCTTCAAAGATTCCAAGATTACGAACCCGGCGCCGACGATGACACTGGACGCACTGCCCGATGAACTCTTGCTTCTGATAGCCAGTCATCTCAGTGTACCCTCCCTACTTTCTTTGTGTCTTGTGTCGAAAAAATGCTCTCCTGCTGCGCGCGAGACTCTTTACTATTCCGTCAATCTTTACGCCACAGAATTCCACCGACGAGACGATTCGCCCATTCAACTTTTCTTCCGGTCCATGTTCACGTCAAGCAAGTTGGCCGGTCTTATACACAAGTTGGACTTCATGTTCAATGCCAAAGACGAGCAAGGATATATGCTCCGGGTGGGTCACGCCCTGACACTTCTGCCTCGGCTGCGGAATTTGAGCCTCAATATACTCGATGTAAATTGCGATGAACCGGACCTCATCATTAGAACTGGCTTGGGTTTTGGAGGAGATGCTATCTGCCCTAATTTCTGGGGCAGGGACCAGCTTGAAGTTCTGAAAATCCCTCTACCGTGTTCCAGGCTTCTGCAATATCACTCCGAGTCTCTTCGCCACTTGGATCTGATACACCTCGAACCACACGCCCGATTTGATTGGGATGTTTTCACCGATGCGAAGATCCCACTTCCCAACCTACAATACTTTGGGCAGAATTACAATTTCTGGAGGGGGTTCAAGCCCGAAGCAAGCGACGTGCGCCGCTTTATGGGCCTCTTATTCACGTATTTCATTTGCGGTAATCTTCAGTATCTGGACATCACTTCGTTATGGGGCGATGATTTTCCAGCGAACATGCTACTGCAGATAATATTGGATTGCGCGAAACGACCGTGGCCATATCTGAAAAGGCTCCGGATACGATATGAGAAACTGGATTTCAAGGACTCAACAACCATTAAAATAGACACGGGTGCCGAGCCAGACGATCCCGATAGTCTATTCCTATCACAGCAAACCTGGTGCCCCGTAGTTATCTCCAATGTCAGCAATGATCATGCATGGGGACTGGTCCATACCTACCGAGCAAAAATTCGAGAAATGAAGCTCGTTCGACATCCCGAGGACCTCTTGAACTGGATGAGGCGCATGTATGCGATAATCGACGATTGTGAATGCCTGGAGTCAATCCAGATCACAGTGATCTTTTTGAGTGAAGATCGGATTATCATGTTTCCAGAAGAATTATCCTCCCTACGAGCGGCATTCCGCAAGAACGGTGTACGCGTCGTCATCGATTTTAAGGTTAGTATTCCAAGCTAGTGAATGAACAAGACTCAAGACCTAAGTGCTAACTAAAACTCTCAAGGTCTTAGGAGAAACCTTTCACGATTACTAACACAATATTCATCGGCTAAAGGGCTACCTCTGGGGGAGCGAAGGAAGAGATTGTGCAGAAATGAACAAAATGATGAGCTGCACATACAGAAAGGGTAATTTGGCTGCCTGGAAAGCGGGTCCAGTCCTATACCGCTATGACAAGGCTGTCAATCGACACAATATCTCTTGTAACGCATCAACCTCCAAGAATAGTGCAAAAGGAAGTACGGAGTATGCTATTCAACGAATATTCGAGCCTTGGGATGTAACTATAGTGGTCAAATTCCGATAGCAATGCAAGGTTAAAATGATGTTACTACCTACCTATCTACTTAAGGTAGTTATGGGACTTCCTCTCCAATTGCTTGGGATAGGCTACAGGGCTGTGTCCTCTCCTAGCAATCACGCCAAGCATCGCATGGCCTTCTTAAAGAGGCTAGCCCTTCCTCTTTAGTCAGTGAATCTTGATGCATCCGGAGTAGATGCACATCAGACCATTTGGAAAGATCGCGGCCCGAGATGCAAGATCCGATCTAAGTTACTGAAAGGGGTAACTCAACGGGGAGGTATTTGAGGATGTATCATCCACATTCAAGTTCGTAGTATCGTCGAAAACAAAGAATAGACCCGAACAGTGCGGATAAATCCCACTTGACTTACTCTTTTGACCATGGGTGTTGTTCTATCTGTGTTGTACTCTACAATTGGAGCTGTACTGTTCATTGTATTGGTCAACTTGTTCAGTCAGAAATTCCTCCGCAAGGCCAATGAACCTCCAGTGGTCTTCCACTGGATACCCTTCGTTGGTAATGCAATCGCGTACGGGATGGATCCGCTCGGATTCCTGACCTCATGTCGAGAAAAGGTAAGTTATATTCTGTGTGTACAGTCGATATGTGCCTAGTATAGACATCTCGACAATTCCTGGTTGCTAACGATTGCCAATTAGCACGGCGACCTTTTCACCTTCATCCTGTTCGGTCGACGTCTCACCGTGTACCTGGGTCTTACTGGGAATGACTTCATACTCAATGGGCGACACACGCATCTCAACGCTGAAGAGATATACTCACCTCTCACCACACCCGTGTTCGGATCCGACGTCGTGTACGACTGCCCCAATTCAAAGCTCATCGAGCAGAAGAAGTTCATCAAGTACGGCCTCACCCAAACCGCACTCGAATCCCACGTCCCTCTTATCGAGAAGGAAGTCCTCGACTACATCAAGAGCGCAGAAGAGTGGAAGGGCGATAAAGGGGAAGTCGAAATCTGCTCTGCCATGGCTGAGATAACAATCTTCACGGCCGGGAGAGCTTTGCAAGGGGCCGAGGTAAGGAAGAAGTTGAAAAGGGAGTTCGCGGATCTGTACCATGACTTGGATATGGGGTTCAGGCCGATCAATTTCTTGATGCCTTGGGCACCGCTTCCGCAGAATCGTAGGAGGGATGCAGCGCATGCGAAGATGCGGGCGATTTATGAAGAAATTATACAAAAGAGAAGGCAATCGAAAACGGGGGGTGCGGAAGAGGAGACCGATATGATTGCAAACTTGATGCAATCGAGCTATAAAAACGGAAAACCAGTGCCGGATAAGGAAATCGCGCACATCATGATCACCCTCCTCATGGCGGGTCAGCATTCGAGTTCCAGTGCTAGCTCTTGGATCATGTTGAGGCTAGCGAGCCAGCCAGAGGTCGTGGAACAATTGTACCTTGAACAAGTAAAGAACCTCAGCCAAAGCGGCGAACTGCCTCCCCTTCAGTACTCGGACCTGGATAAGATGCCTTTTCTCCAAGGTGTCATAAAGGAGACACTTCGAGTACACTCATCAATCACCTCAATCATGCGCAAAGTAACAAAACCAATCAACGTCCCAGGAACTGAGTATGTCATTGGCACTGACAAGGTTATGCTTGCATCTCCTGTCGTCACCGCTCTCAGTGACGAGTACTTCGGAAATGCGGCGACTTGGGATCCCTCGCGGTGGGAATCACAAACTGACGTTGACGCCGCTGACGAGATAGTGGATTATGGCTATGGCGCCACGTCGAAGGGCACCAAAAGTCCATACCTGCCTTTTGGGGCAGGGCGGCATCGTTGCATCGGCGAGAAATTTGCGTATGTCAATCTTGGTGTAATTGTTGCGACATTGGTTCGCAACTACAAATTCTCAACGGTCGACGGTTCTCGTACAGTACCTAAGACTGACTACACCTCCCTTTTTGCACGGCCTCAACAGCCTGCTCGAATAAGTTGGGAACGCAGAGCACTTTGAACAAGGACAGCAGGTGTACACTGCAGGTTGGATATGACGCGCTTGGTATCTGGCCAGCATCTTAGTTACGGAGATCCTCGGACCTTGAGAAAAAACAATTTTGATAGATATGTCAGCAGATATCTATATATATGCACTACTGATTTTGTAATTAGTAAGTGTCCTGTTTGGATGCAGCTGATCATGACTATCAATGCGAACGCTCCTGCGCGTCTTGATGCTGACCAGGCTTAGCGAAAGATATGGTTCTTAGCGAAAGATATGGTTGATACTCATCAGACAGTAATATAGACTTCGCGATCAGTAAATGTACGAAATTTTGGTTCTGACCATTCATCTATTGTCTGAAATACAATGTAATCGCAATGCAAGCCATCATGTACCGTAATTCACTGCATGAACGAATCGCTTCCAACATAAACAGTCCAAAGCTTCCCTTGGAGTTCCCTAGAAGGGTAATGATAAAAAGCAACCACGTTGCTGACCATACTTGCACACATTGAAGATTGAATTCACACGTCAGCTTTCTATCACGAGATCTCTTTGGCTTCTGCATGCTGACTCCTGCAAATCATATCGTGCTATGTGCTTTTAACCGTACGGAGTACACAGGGCCTGGATAAAATGCACCGATAAAGCTGGCTACTAAAGGATTCTTCCAAGGTAATAGAAATGCTTTATCTAGCTCTTGCGAATAGGAATCTAAGGATGGCAGAAGAAATTAACAGCGCCTTATTCAGATTGTAATGGAACAACGAAGATTTATTCTATCTTCCAAAAGAGGATATTAGAGCATGATCTGAGACTGAACTTATGCATAGTATCCACAACAAGGTTCCCTATGTAAATGTAATACTTCTATGTGATCAGTTTTCATCAATGGACCTAGACTTTTGTGGCTTTTTAGTTCGTGAAACGTCGGACATCCCATATTTAGAGCGCCTCTACACGATATCATAGTTACAAGCAAAAGGTCTAGTAAATGCCGAGGCATCCATCCATGGACAACCTGTGATAGATGACCCTTGGGGCAAGGGCCTTTCTCCACTCATAGGGAGAGACAACCAACACAAACAACCTCCCTGGAATTTCAATCTTGCAAATCATTACTGCATTTGTTCGTATAGACCACAAAAGCCTGTAAACTATGGCAGCGGTCTGCGAATCCACGACAGCGAATTCTTAAGATACAACGGCACTACAGGGATTCTCCCCTGTCATGCTAGGGCTGTGGACCGGGGGAATAATAAAATGGGTCAGAAAACGGCACGCTTGTGTGTTTCCCGCCAATGGACCGATGTGAGATATGGGATCTGCATGTATACAACGGGCGTAATTCTTAATGGCAGTTTCATAATAGGCAACGGCCAATCCCTCAAGATTTAACTAGAGCACCTAACCTCATGAAGATCTTCTCCGCGGTGGAGTCTTTGCCCCTCATCGGCTCTATGGATCAGTGTTAAAACCCATAAAGATTTAGCTATTGGTCTTCCCGGGCACAGTCTTGAATTCTTCAAATAACCAGATTTTCGATTTTGGGTGTGAAAACACCATCTCACACTCTCGAGATTGCCAGGCACTGAATAGATGTCATGGCTGTCCAAAGCCTCGTGTATCCCAATCTGTTTGTGTTAGGATTCTCGGTGGTAATTGCTTATGTACTGGGTACAGCAATTTACAGACTCTATTTCCATCCTTTAGCCAGGTATCCGGGGCCATTCTGGGCAAGGCTGAGCAGCATTCCGTCCTGGTGGCATACGAAGAACCAAGATCGTCATCTCTGGCTATTGAGCTTACAGCAAAAGTACGGTAGGTGTCTAGATTCACCTCTTCATGCGATATCATTAGAGCTCACTTTTTCTCGTAGGTAACGAATTCCGCCATCGACCCGACGGTGTCTGCATCAATACACCAAGCGCCTACAAACACATCTTTGGACCTAAAGGCAATGTCAAGAAGAGCGAATACTACCAGGTCTGGCCGCGTACCGTTGATACATTAAACACCTGGAACTGTACCGCGATTTCTGTACATGCTCGGAAACGAAGAGTTCTCAACTACGCTTTCTCAGAGGCTGCACTGCGCGAAGCAGAAGTCTTCATCCACAGCAATGTCAATCGATGGTTGGATTTGCTTGGGCAGCAGAGGAAGCCAGAAGATGATTGTACAGCCCCGTTGAATATGGCTGACAATGTGACGTATCTTGTTTTCGATATTCTCGGCGATCTTTGTTTTGGAAAATCATTCGATATGAAGGAGCCTGATAGTGAACTACGACATGTGCCGGAGATCATGATACAATTCATGGAAATACTGAATCCGGTAAGAGTTGCATCCACATGAACGCAGGTCATCGCGAGTAATTAACATATGGCAGATGGCATGGTCTCCGTGGGCATCGATCTGGGTTTGGTTTAAACCGCGCGGACTGGACAATCTACTTGCGGCATACTCGCCACCCGCCGTCAAGAATTGGGAGGCATTTGTCGAGGACTGCCTGGAAAAAAGAACACAAAAGCAGAAAGAAATAGAAGAAAATCCCGAAGCCACAACAGAAGTCCGCAAGGACTTTTTCCACTGGCTTTTCAAGGCGGTCGATCCGGAAACTGGGGAGCGCGGTTATTCCCTATCAGAGCTGTATGCTGAGTGTGAACTTCTGACCATTGCGGGATCAGATACAACCGCCATTGTGATTTCAGCGATGTTCTTCTATCTTGCTCGCAACCCTGAAGTTCAGGCAAGATTAGCCAAAGAGATCAAGGCCACATTTTCAACCTACGACGACATCAAATCTGGCAGCACACTGCAATCATGTGATTATCTTACTGCTATCCTCTACGAATGCCTACGCATGGCGCCCCCAGTGAGCGCCGAACCGAGCAGAGAAGTACTCAGAGGAGGAACTACCGTCGATGGGAAATACTTTCCTGAGGGCTCACTCGTTAGCACCGCACTCTGGGCGATGCAATACAACGAGCGATACTATGCCGATCCCTTGAAATTCCAACCAGAGCGATGGATTATTGGTGAAGGAGGATCCACAGCAGAGAGTGTTGCTCTGGCCGAAAGCGCTTTCTGCGCTTTTTCGACAGGCTCCCGTGGATGTGTTGGAAAGAATATGGCCTGGTTGGAGATGAGAATTGTGCTGGCTAAGACAATTTGGAGGTACGAGATCATCCAAGATCCTACTAATGATTTGGGAGGCGGTGATCCGAAGGGGAGGCCTGGACGACAGGTCAAGGATCAATACCAGACATACGAAATTTTTGTGTCGAACCGCAAAGGACCTATGGTGCTTCTCAAGGACCGGGTGTAAGAACTTAGTGATGTTACCTGGCTAGCATTTCTATCGTGCATCGGAATTGGTCCGACGCGCGGAATTCGGAGCATCGTGGATCTAACGAGAAGCCTTCGTTCTAGTTGTTGTGAGGTGAAATGGTCCCATGGGAGAGGCACACGCTTGACGGCCTGACCATAAAGCGATGAATCCTAGGTTTTGATTATAGACTCATCAACAATGCTACTTTTATGAGTGAAGCTGGAATTAGTGCTCAATTCTTGTGCTGGTGTGACTAGTTGCACTTAGCTATCTTCCCAGAATCCGATCAATCGCACGCCCTTCCGGCCTAAAGCGGCATAATGAGTCACCCATCCACGACGACTTCAGATAACTACCTAGGTAGTATCGATAGTTCGAGAAACGAAGAGAATCTCAGTACCAAACAATCGACAATTCAAAAACCCCAAAGGTTCCCCATCTCCAGTTCTATCCATTGTTAATTCTTCCCTTCGCGATTACAAGACCATGGATCCCAATTTTCATGTCGCGACATCTCGGCTAAATCTGTCGTATTTTCAACCTGACCTTGACGAGCACTGCGACTTCTTCCTGGCCCTTAGGAATTCCCCAGAGGTCGTCAAAGCCAATGAGGGAGTTTCGGACGCATTTCAAAGCCGCGAATTAGCTCGGAACAACATTATCTCCAACCTTGAAGGACAAGCTGAAACCGGCTTTGGGCGCTACATTGTTAGTCTTAAACCGACCGCAGGCGATGGAAACGGAGAGTTCGCATCAGAGTCACCTCAAGATCGAAAATACATTGGCATAGTTTCCCTCAAGTTGAGAAAGCATCCCAGCGGGCCCACAGTGCCGGATGTGGGCTTTTCACTATCTCGACCGTACTGGGGAAAAGGATATGCTACTGAAGCGGCGTCCGGGTTACTTGATTACTTCGCGAAAGAGAAGGGCGTGACTAAGGTTTCTGGGATCTGCAATCCTGATAATGAACAATCAAAGGCAATGTTCCGGAGGTTAGGATTCACCGATAGGGGTATCAGAAGTCTAAAGGGATTGGGAGAAGGAACAAGTGACCATGTAGTTAGAGGGCAGGTTTGGACGAGAGGAGTGACTGGAGATCTGAGCGAGTACCGATTGTAGACCAAAGTTCCGGGCCGATTCGCCTCTGCGGAAGGCAGCACATCAAAGCCTTGTGTAACCAGAACTCCGCTCACTCCTTATCAAATCCTCAATTGTTTATTCTAGCACATTACTCTCAGGGAGTAGCTCCTTACAAAGATACCTTTTACTACTAGATTAGATAGAGGATATAGCCCCTATACTTCTACCTAGTAAATAGCCTCTAGTAGCTACCTATCCTACTATATAAAAACCTTTTTCTTGTATCTTAGACAGCTCCATAGCTTATTATCTTTAATTTAACTTTAGTACTTTAATTATAACTAGCTAATTATTAATTTGTTTAATTTCTTAGGACATTAATTTATGATACCTATTATAGTATTATAAAGAGAAGAAGAATAGCAAGTAACTGCTGCTGGTAGGAGAGAAAATATGGGCAAGCATGGTGCCCGCTCCCAGCGCAGCCTATTGAATAGCGCAATACGCGATATGAGTAGGTCCCTTCCAGCGATCGCCGTCGTACGCAAGTTTTATGAACCACAGCACAGTACGGCCCTAAAGACATACGAAGCTGTTGAATACGCCTAGCAGCTATACCGGGCTGGAGAAATCATGGACGAGCTTTGCCTCCTCCAACAAGAGATCTCTGATCTCACTAATATCTTATCCTTCATCACGGAGACGGCTATAGATTTGGATGGACAGGTAAACAGTCTACACATCTCTGAGCCGCCCCGTTCTGGCAGCCGTGAACTCGACCCTGAGAAAGAGGACCTGGATATGGATGAAGCCGAACTCGAAGTCCTAGTCGCTGGTGGAGGTGCAGAAATCGATGCCATAAAACGAAACACTTTGGATCGCCTGGCTGAAGTTTTAGCTCGGTTCAAAACGGCTAAAGGCACCCGAGTACAGAAGAAGCGAAATCGTGATGCTAAACACGTTGCTAGTGTTATCATGGTGGAGGATACGGAGGCCAAGGCTGTCAAATTCCTCTGCAGCAAGAATGAAGGGCTTGATACCGTTGACATGCATTTCTTAAAAAAATTAGAGGAATTACTTCAAAACATCATATTGAATGGCAAGAGAACCCTTTTCCTTCCGTGGACGAAAACGGTATTTTCAACTATATCTAACAACGAATGGGCAGGATCACGGCCAGAGGGTGGACAAACAGAATCAGTCGACCAGGTATTTGATAAGATATTCGATCATTTACAATCCCGCGTAAAATATTACTCTGCGATAATTTGCGAAGTCATTAAAGAGGCGAAAGAAATCATTGAGCTTCCCAAGATGCTCACAGGCCAAAACCTCCAACGAGAACTCCTCCGCGTCACATCAAGGGAATGGCAAGACAACCATGGTCTCCACTTCAAATTTCTGCCTGGTGGAATAGGAGAAGAAGTTGTTTCGGATAAGGCTGTGGACTGCTTCTCTGACCTAGAAGAGGAGACTCTTGTCCAGGAGGTATACAGCGAATTTCAACATGTCTTTGGGAATGGCGTCGACCAAGTCCTACCAATCCCCACGAAGAATCTTCTAAAGAAAGTCTACCGCATTGTGCGGCATCCCCGCCAGCGACCTGCACTGAAAGGTCTTCTCAGGCAAGCGTTTCATGATGATAACCGACTATTCAAGAAGGCATGGGACTCTTTGCTGTATTTGACTCGGATGTTCTTTGCAGCTGTTACCTTCGTGGATTTTGCAACCAAGTTGAATTTCACATGCATTAGGTTTCAGCAGGTCCCAACAGTGGTAGCTTGCAGGCCTCAGAGTTCAGACAGCAGATCCCCAACTGAGGTTCTAGAGTCTCTTGGTCATTGTTTTCTAACTCAAAACTGGAGGGACTTCTTCCAAATTCCAAAAAAGATTGCGGACTTCATTGAACGATCACGCTCGAAAAGAACGGTTCATGCAGAGGTTCAGCTCATTCTCTATACCGAAGACCTTCTGCATGCGCATGAAAGCCGCACCAGTAAAGTCTTTCCTTATATTGGATGCAGTAGGAAGTGCTGTTTCTTCTGTGAGCTCTTTCGCATAGGCCATGGGACCTTCCAGGCGCGCGGCACACATCTGACCCTTTTCCCGTTATGGGCGTTACCGCGAACGTTTCCATTACAATCACTTCAGGTCTTACGTCAGTTCTCGATACTCCTCAGAGACAACTTGCGGGGCATTCTCAACATACCGTATCCTCCTCCTCACAGAGATCTGCTGCAGCAATCATCAGCAGCATTGTCCACAGCACAAGCTATACAAAGGGAAGCCCAGATATTTTCTATCAGGTCGCAGACGATGACGTATGTTCGCTCTGATTAGCTTAAGCTTAGATACACAGATACTAAAAATCTTACAGAAGAATGATGCTCGGCCCTGGCGGAGTCAGCGCTTCAGAGCATCAGATTGAGTTTCTCCCTTCATTAGAGGAACCTGGATATGCTATTCTGATGGGTGGATCCCAGAGGCGAGGAGTCGCATCTGTACCCATAGAGGAGGCCGAAACATCCAAAACCAATCACGAGAGGAGCACATTCGCGTTAGAAAAGATGGGCGAGATGCCACCTACCGAATGCCTAAGCCGAAAGGTATGCCGGCATTGTCGCAAAATCGCAACATACAAGTGCTCAGCTTGTTGGACATATTACTGCTCCAAAACTTGCCAAAGACGACACTGGATGCACCACGTCTTCACATGCAGGGTGCCAAGTCGGCCAAATGACGCTGATTTTCTCAAATGGGCCATTCGGATAGCCACAAGAGACATGAACGCTCAAAATCAAGAAGGGCTTAACAAGGCCATGCTTTATCTGCTCGCAGATGACCACGTCTGCAGCAGCTTCGGATTCAACAACTGCGAAACTGCGCGAGAGGTGCTGCACCTTGCTTGTCTCTACGGCGCCATGTTATCCAAAATCGTCCAAGCCGTTAGTGTGTTACGTGAGCATCTGGAAGCTGGCAGTCTCTACAAATTCATGGAGCAATTTTGTCAACTTGAACGACACCATGCACAAACCACCAATAGTGATGAATGTTCTTGTGTGACTTGGTTTCTAGATCGTTCATCTCCAGAATCATTTATCATCCCCAACAGGGACAAGACGACTTATGATATCTGGGTTATCGCAATGACCGATACTATTGAGTCTCTTGGCCTAAGACATCGGGTCGAAAACGGGTACAAGCTCAGTGAATCCCAGGTAGATGTTTTCAGGCTTTATCTAGCGATCCAGCCAAACATTGGGCTAATCCCTGATATATGTTCTTCGTCTTGGCTTAAGTTCGGTTTCTGTTACTGCAAGTCATTCTCAGAACGAGCGGAACTTGCTCGACAATACTTGCTACTGGGGTCATCTAGTGCAACTTTCGACGACATCGTCTCCGCGTACGAAACATCCAGTCTAGCTGGCTTAATGCGTACTAAAGGGATCGACATCTCTGAATTGGAGATTCAGGGAGTTCGGTTTCATAGGCCGCCTCCATGCGAGTACAGTGTCTACCGGCTCATGATAGGGGTTGAGCACGCATTGTCAGGGCGATTTTGTAGCTGTTTTAGGGTACATGTAGGCCGTGATTGTCACGCCTATTATGAGACGCACATGGATCGAGAATCTGATACAAACTTTGGGTTCCACCTGACAAGCAGTTGGGAAAGATGGCAGCTTTTGAATTTCTACAAACACCTATTCCATTTACCAGGCTTCGACCCTCGTTGCATGGCAGAGGCCACAGAAGATCTCGACCCTGGAAAATTGGAAACTTACCTCAATACCCTTGTTCCCGACATGAGAAGGAAAATATCAGATAGGAACCGAGCAAACATCATGTTTCCAAGGCTAAGGAATAGGCTAGGAGGTAATACCCCAGACAGACAAAATATCTCACACTTCCATCTTCCATGCAATTGCAAAGAGCATGATGTTATAGGTCCATCAGGTATCTCTCATTTGCGAGCATATGCTAGCGAAGGCAGTGGAGAAGTTTCTGGATTCCAGAGTTGAGATGACCCAATTTAAATCTGATTAAACTCGGACCATAGCTTACTTTTTGTCATGAACTTTGACAAGTGTTTGAGAATGTAGCACACTCTGCTTTGTTTGGATGCATACTCAGACCTATCTGCACACAGTGTAGCTTTGGCAGAGAACACTTTGGCAGAGCTTTGACCATGGTCTAGTCAACAATATCTACTAAAATTAGTTTTCTAGTTAGTAATGATACCTGCTGCAATCTTCACCTGCTTAGTCTCTGGATAACATAGGAAGGATAAGTCTTCACGGTAGGCTCTAAAGAGGTAGTCGGATTCAGTTTCGAAAGTAATTACTTCTATAGAAATTATAATCAAGACAATCTGATTGCGCTTGTTGGCCATCGAACTCTCTCCAAATCACAGGTACGTGAACATAGCAAACGATCAAAATATCATGGGGTCATTTTGTGGATGAACTATAAGATTATATGATTAATGGTCTATGATCGAGTTATGCTCTCTTGAAGAAGGCAAGGAAATACAGGTCGTGAAACGCCGGAAATGCAGCACAGTGAATGCAACACGCATGGTTGAGGCAAGGTTACTCGTTGCCTTCGACCTAGCATGTGTACTTCAAGTTCCAACCCAGGGGCCCAATATTCTCGGTGAAAGGAGTGGACTCCATTATCACAATGCCTTCTGTGTCTCCAGCAACAGTAGCGTAGAAGGCCAACTCCTTCTTGCAAGGCAAAGTTGTAACCAAGTGATCCATCAAGCTCGGGGACTGGGGCCAGAAAGAAATATCAGGCTGACCGACACGGTCACCGATGACATCCCTGACAGTATCATAGCTCAGTTCATCGATGTTGCCAATGAATTCATCGAATGACTTTTCTTCAGGAATGTCCAGCTGGTACCAAGTCATCATGCCCGAATTGAAGTATCCGAAGTTCGATCCTGCGAGGGGCTGGTACCATTGCAGTTCACACTCTGCGTTGTCGGTGGCGTTGATGTTGGAGAAGACGACAATCGCGTCCCGCTTGTTCGCGGCACCGGTCTCTTGAGTGATGAGGAAGGTATCCGTAAGATTGGTGTATTTCGATTCGGTGGCGTTCGGGTACACGTTGTACATTTTGGGTTCCCATTGGGTAAAGTTTGCTCCAGGTATGCATTCTGTAGCAGGAAGTGCCGTTGGTGTCGAGGATGGAATGGATGTCTGTGCCGGTGTTGCCGAAGGAGTAGAAGGAGTGACTGTAGCTGAGGGGGGATACTGAGTATCAGGGCAGAAACCTAGAGTGCACGCGTCTTGACTGCAGCAGCCCTCAAATTGAATACCAGCTCTAGACCTGCACTTGTAGAATGTCGTACTGGCGGGGCATTCCGAATGTCGTCGATCGATGACAGGCGATGCAACAGTGAAGCAGACCAGGGCAGATGCCAGGAGCATAGATGAAAGAGAAGGCATTTCGGAAGATAGCTGGAGAGATAGTAGGAGAGCTGAGAGAATGAAAAAGGTATGAGAATGGCTGTTCCTTGGTTGTAGTGGAAAGAAAGAAGTGATGCTTTGATGCTGTGATGAAATGTGATCCGCTGAGAAGACCAGTGTTTATATGTCTTGACGATCGATATGCTCCAAGACATCGACTTTGCGAGAAAGCACACCCCGGTCCGTCTATTTTGGAGAATAAACATTAAGTGGGGAGCTGAGGACGAATGAACGACCAAGAGCGCCACCGCCTCGAAATTTAGAAATTGCAAGATGACTTGCAATGCTGTGCCTGGAGGCTGGCACGATTTCAACCCAATCACAGCCTTTCGCGTTGCGGAGGACTATGCCCTGATCTGTGCATTCCACAGCAAAGCCACAACAAACCACCATTTCTCGTGCGTTGGAGCCCTAAAATGGTTAGAGTCACCTGTAAGCAACTCCTACCAATTGCGAGTAATAAGACTGTACGAAGCAATACGATGTTGAATGTTCTTCAAATTGCAGGCTTAGACTATAGGCATAGCAGACAATGCTCCTGCTTCTCACTGATTCCCTAATCCTTAACTCAGGGCCATGGCATGCATCGGTAATAGTTGAATTAAATGTAAGACATGCCGCGATTGCATCAGCACGTCATGCTGGGAGGAGTACACAGGGCTCAGTCGCGCAAAAGTAATGTTCGAATTTATCGTTGTGATGTTTATGAACTGTTATTAATGATCCCTCGACTTTCATCATTATTCGATAGTTGGGTCATGGTGAGGGTTCCAAGTCCTTGCTTGCGTATAATGTCTCTCGCGCATAGTATCGTGCGAGACGACGGATCTTTGAGGCAGGGCTAATTTATGTTTCTCCTCAGCGCTCTATAGCACACATAACAGCGTGAACCTGAAATAGCATCAATTGCGCTTGTCTACGCGACTCGTTGCTAAATAATCATTGTCAAGGGAAATAGGATTAGGATCCAATATGCTCAGATGCGGCGAACGCAGTTCGATTCTTCTCTAGCCATGCTTCTGATGTTTTGATTTGTTTACATATTTCCGGACCATAGCCACTTTTAGGCGGGCTGGCGGTTCTTTCTTGAAAGGATGACCCGCCTGAAAAAGTGGAGTCCCGAGAAGCCTGTGCGCGTGCGAGACTACAAATATGGTAGTCTTGTCAGGTTTACAAATGCGGGCAATGGGATACGATATTTGGCTGGTAGATCCTGCGTTTAGAAGAAGCGATTTCTACTGTGGGAGGAGTGGAACTATCTGGAGATCGTAACAAGTTCGCCTAGCCACATCTACGAGTGACCGCCAAAACCCATACCCTCATAGGCTTCATGCCCCCATATTCCTATATCGAAAAATTGGTCCATATCGAAGTCCATTTCGTGCATAAATGCAAATGGATCGCTGGAGCCCGAGAAAGTGTCTTCTCCTGCAGCGTCCATACCCATTGATGTCATAGGTGGCATTGAAACTCCCATAGTTCCGAATGAAGAAGGCGTCCCGGAAGCTGGAGCAGTGTGCTCATGGTTGCTGCTAGTCATTGTCTCGGGTGTCGAAAGATTGTTAGAAGAGCTGCTCAAAGATGCGTTGTCTCGACTTCCACGGGTCTTGTTACAATACCATGAGCGAGTTAGGTCCATAATCATTCGCATGGCACACCAGAAGTCATGGTGTTTCTGTATAATGCCATCGTATGTTGTGAGAAGCTGCATGCGATGACTCAGGGATTCCAAGTACAAATCGAGGCGAAGACGATCCTGTGCAGCTTTGACATCCCACTGCGCAGCTCTATTTGCATCGTTCGGGATGCAAAGCCTTGATGCAGTGATGATCACATATGGAAGGCGCATCCAGAGCGGCATAGTGAATCGATAATAGTCGCTGACAGGAACATCTAGAAGGGTATCTAGAAACCTCTTGGCAGCCTCTAAGCACTTGAAAAACGCATTCATCTGCTGTGGATCAAAGCTTGCTGCTTGTGACACTTGCTTCCCTGACCGCAGACAAACAGCGTACAATTGCAACTCACTGAAGTCATATGACATTTCTAAGACTATCTCAAGTAAGCAGCTGATTTATGAGTTTCCAGTATTGGTGATTACCTCGTAGTCCATTCGAATCTGTCTCTCCATTTTCTCGCTTCCACTCCTCTAACTGCGTACTCAGATAGCGGAGGTTCATCGCAATACGGGAGTCGCCAATTGGTAGATCGAGTGCCTCTTCTGAGTGTAGAGCATCGTACATTTGATCGTCAATGCGCCGAAGCGATAGAATGCGATGTAAGCATTCATCCGAAGGGTATTCAAGGTCGCGTCTCAGTCTCTTGCAAGACTCGGCCATATAGTCGCTGTATTTCAAGAAGTGCGGCTTGAGCATTCCCATCGCAACTCTATATCTCAGAATCAGCCCCTCATGCTAGACACCGATCTTGCCCAACTCTACTTACGTGGATGAAAGATAGTAAAGTCCAAGGAGAGATCGCTGCCGTTCTCTCTGTACTTCATCTGATGGGAGTGGGGGCACAATCCGTCCAGGAAGTTCGATTGGCATTCGTTTGCTTTTCTGATGTAGGCCAATATCTAGCGCGAGACCAATAGTGAGCTGCAAGAGTGAGAATATCTGCTGCGTTTTATGACTGAAGATGAAATGATACCTTTGAATGTGAGTAGAGAAAGACATAATAAGGCCAAATCACGTACCACGCAAGGTACACTAAGAGACTCTGCACCAGTGAGAGCGTTCGGCGAGGATGTATAATGGTACGGTTCGCAAGCTCGGAACGGTAGGCCTCATCAAGGGCCATCTGACGCTTGTGGTCCTTTGGAGTTGATACCAACATGATCGCGTGAAACAACATCGGCTTAGTGGCACTTAATTCAAAGGCAGTCGTCGTTGGGGCAATCGGCATGAACGGGAATGAATCAGACATAGTTCGAAATTCGTTCAGCAATGTGTCCGCTTCACCAGTAGAGAGCAGCTGCCTTAGTATTTCATTGCTAATAGGTGCTTCATTTCGAGATGAAGACTGAAACATGTTATCTGGCGGACGACTCGAATCTGTATCGTTGCTAAAGGAATGGATGAGCCTTAATCGTTCGATGAGTTGATTGGCAGGGTCAGCATCCTTTTCAGGTCGAGTATCTTCTTTCTCAGGCTCATTATTATCCACAGAAAATGAGGATGGAAATGGGACCCAGCTGCCAGGAAATATTCCTGGTTTTGGGTGCTGTCCGGCTGGTGGGTTCGTTGTCAAGTCAGACACATCTATTGGTCTTTCAGAATCCCTCTTGCCCAGACTCGCGACAAGACCATCTATCTTTTGTTCGACTTGTGAGATTCGTCTGATTATGAGTCAATAACTTCAATCATGCTGTTCACAGCTAGTTTCCTATTACTCACGATGGCCCGCGAACCCGTTTCGTACGCCGTGGCGCTTCAGCCCATTGGCAGTCACGTTTTGCAGAAAAACATCTTCAATGATCAGGTCAGCAGGGAAAGGGCTAACAGGTATGGGAATACTCGTTCCCAATCATTTTTAGAAATTTCCACCTTACCTTCGACACGTGCCTGGTCGTTCACTGGGAAGACATTTTGTCTTCAGGCTACGACATCGCTGGCAAGCCTGCACAGTTCTGATCTGGCCAGTCGCCCGCTCAAGGTTCGGCGCTTCAGTCTCTTCCATACCCGTAGTCGTCTTGCAGAATACAAGGATTGTATGATGTTGTTGAAAGATGACGGGTGTACTGATGACGGATCGGATGTTAAATATTCAGCCGGGTCCGGCGCTATGCCTATCACGGTAGGATCTATTCAATGGTGATTGAAGGCTGGAACTAAATTTTGTCCCGAACTATAATATATTTTGGCAATTGCCAGCTTGTTTGCTAATAGAACCTGGAGATGCGATGTATATCATTTGAGATCTGTCATGTTTCTTTCCCTTACATGAGATTGACCTCCATTTTTGACGCTAGTCGCCATCCATATATTACTGTTGCCAAAATGGTGACCAGGTTTAGATGGATGCTCATGGCGTGCGCTCGAGAAAATTCTCGTCCCAGTTTCTGCATGTCGTTGCTTACTACTTCTTCGTTGATTTTATGCACTCTGTCTCGCGTCTCTGTGCCCATGGTTAGCAGGTGGTGCTTCAAGGTAACCAACTAGCTTCAATTCGGCTTACCTTGGTGGATTCTTTGAACCATAAGGCTTTGGGTCCTCGGACCGTAAACACACATGTTCATGGCAGCTGTCGCCCCGGCCAGAGCCAGTGGAATCCAATTCCACTTCGTCTTTAGGAAAGACATCGGTCCATGTGGTGGCTGTGTTAAAATCGTGAGGACAATAAGCAGCGATTGGCCTTGAAAATAGATTGGAAAGATTCGCTTCTGAAGGGTAGTGAATGCTGTACGGGGAAGTGCCTGGAAACAGACTTTCGTCATGACAAATGACTGGTAGAGTTGGCTTCCTAGCAAAGTCGAATAGGCAAGGAGATGGAATGGTGCAAGGTTCGGGACGTGGTTCCATAACGATCCAATAGGTTCCATGCGGGCCATCGTGAGCAATTGTATGGATGAAACTTTGAAGATCTTTTGTTATGCGGCTTCAAAACACTTCGCAAACGGTTCAGCGCTTTGCATGAATATTTGTACCTCAATTGCCCTCGGCACGGAGCTCAAGTGCGATCCGATCCGACTCAATCTTATCGGAACGGGTACACGGTCGCTTGTTCTTTACACCTAGACAGTTGTGAAGAAGTATTGAAGATCTAGCGAAAGTAATTCGACAATCACGAATTGGCGAATATGATATGTATCTGGAAGTTGTCTCATGCCCAGGAAATCACCCGAAGGAGACGCAAAGATTGTATATATATGACATTGATTAGTCTAGGGTAATAAAGTTCAAGAACACTTACTATATCATGCAACTTTGTTCCCTCCAGTTGTCGCTCAGTTCCCCGTGACCAGCTCCTCATGATCAATCAACTACCTGATACTTAAGAGGGAAGAGGCGATGACCACGATATCTCGGTTTGCACAGAGCATGATTATTCAACTTTTGCAAAAATCTTCATTATCATGGACTCATTGATCAGGAATATGAATTGTAATACTGAGGTTGCAAATAGAGCTGCTACTGCAGCTGGGGTCTAACCACCCTTGCAACTTCTTCCCTCAAGTCTACCTCCCCATATGTAATGCCGAGTTTCTCATTGTCTACTTTTGTAAACACCTGTAGGCCCCCAAAGAATGGCGTCATGAGGCTCTCTACGAATTCTTTTCGCCCATATACGCCTTTTGCTATATTCTCTACCGCGTTACTTCGTACTGTCTGTGTCGAGTACGAATTCCTCATCCATGACGCTCCGGATTCCTTTTCAATGACTTGAAGGATCTCTTGTTGAGTAAGCACACCGTCTGCCACGTGATAGAATCGATTGGATATAAGAGAAGGGTTTGCGAAGAGCGATATGATGACTTTGGAGATGGTAGAAAGAGTGGATGCCGGGAAGGGATTGATGCCATTATCTGGGAGCATTGCGGTACGAGCGGCGAAATCAAAGCCAAGGATTCCGGTTTTGAAGCCTACACTCAGTAAATAAGACATCTGTCATCAACGGTGGTAGTACAAGTTAACAGGAAGACTTACCATTCTCGAAGATGACTCCTGGATAAACCACTGCAAATCTTATCTTTCCCTCCGCTGCACGGCACAGAAGGTAGTTATGGCTCACACGTTTTGGTGCTAGAACAATATCGGTTGGTAATGTAGGCCCATGCCTATCAACTGTGCTTCCCATAATCCCAGCTGTGTCCAATGCCCACTCTGAAGGAATGAAGTACTTCACACCAGCATCGATGGCAGCATTGACAAGCGCAATATGCTTTGTGTCTAGACCGTTTCCTGGCAGAAAGCTTGTGAACACGATGACGGCATCTTGACCACGGAGGTAATCTGCAAGAGACTTTTGGTCGGTGTAGTCCACTTGGTGGATAGATGAGAGCCCTTGTGGGAGACCAGAATAGGTGGATAAGGGATTTCGAAGGAGCAACCTGATGTTGTAGTTGCCTGTGGCGATGACTTTTTCCAACAATGGAAGGCCAACTTTCCCTGTCTGCGGCAGTTCAGTGGGTGAAGTAGTGGTTAACATAGGAACTCCTTACCCCAACCCAAACAATGTTCTTCAAAGAACTCATAATGTCTAATGGCAGAGATATGCGTCAAATGGAAGTGGCAAATTGATCCGTCGAGCGTTTTTGCCGGATCGGAAGAAAGAAGATGCTTTAAAGAAGACACTGTAATGAAGTCACCTTTCTCATTCAGGTATTGTTTCCGAAACAGTAGCTTCATAGATTCTGACCATTAGAATGTTGAGTAATACAATATTACAAGATGATGAAGAAGTCTTGGCAGATATATTCATCAGTAATCATTGCGCTTACGATCACTTTGTGAAACCAACAAATGTCTATCACTGCAATTCTTCTCCATCTTACTGGTCTTTTTAGTCCGCATCACTCACGTAATTCTGGGCACAAATGTAATGCGGAGTTCATTGTGGCTGAACAAGCTGCCATCTTTCAATTCGTGAATAGCCCACCATCTTAGTATTTCGATCTAAGAAAATCGTAGTTGCCTAGAAAATCTCAGCAGTGACACTTTCGCTGGTTGCATGGTGCTAATAGAAACCTTAGCATACATATCGATCGTAAGAAATAGAAAAGGCTATTATGAGGAACGTATCATCACTGCCTCCTAGCAATGCCCTGTAGAAACTTGAGTGGACTGTTTCGGAGTGCAGATTAGCAATGGAACCATGAAGAAGAGAATGAAAAATCTTCGCAACAATGAACAAATTCATGATAATTTTATTCTCTTCTGCTTCAAATGATTACTACATTGCTATCGTAGAGTTAGCATTTCGAAATCGCCTCTTCTACCTGCAGATTCAGTAACTTGGAAATAGACAATACAAAATTGTGCGGGGGGCGCCCTATTAATGTAAAATGCACCTTACTTTCTGCGATCATATGTGGAAACTAACAATGTCGCATGCAGAACTGTCCAATGCCTCGACGAATATTTTTTAGACAGGCACATGCTTGATAAATTGTTCAATCTTCGTGGAAACAAAAAATATTGTACAAACTCAAAACATTATAGTATTCCGTGCAGGGCACGAAATGGTACATCCTATCTTGCCCATTTGGCCTCAATAAGATTCCATCCTCGATTACTTGTCTCCCAGCACTATTGTTGAGATCGCACCGCTTATGAGACCTGTAACAAATTCATTTAGAGGTTCAGAGATCGGTGTATGGCAGAGCTTTTCGGTTTTGTTTTCTGTTTGAATTATTCCGCTTTTGACTCCAAATTTGTGCTTCCACGATATGCACGTCCCTTGTTCGTCCAAGGAAAAATTGGGCTTTCTATGTTGGCTGCAATTCCCCGAAGTTACCTACACGCTTTGAGGAGCATTGAAGTTCAAATATCAGGGATTACCTTAGGACAAGGTCGCCTTCGGTGTAGTGTTGTTGCGATGCCTGTCGATCTTTAATATATTCTCCGCAAGTTCACATCCGCCCCGCCCCAACTACCCCGAGTATTTTCGCCATCTGGACCTAGAATCACTACATGAAAGGGCCAACCCACTGCGGATGGGCGAGGACCATAAGCAATATATCTATCGTCCTTGATCGTGATTGGTCCTGAGGAGACTGAATATTTTCTCTCCAATCGTAATGGCGCTAAAGAATCGCGAAATGAGTAGCACATGACGGAGAATATGTGTTGCGTTGCTTAGTATGGGTCTTCATAGCAAGCCGACTTTATAGATTTCTCCGGCTTAATTTGCACGCAATTTGATATCGACCCGTATTCTCCCATTAAGTTCATTATAGATATAGTTCTGCCCCATTTTTCTGTCACCGTACTCTTGCAGATTCCCAACCCTTCAAACGTTCAGATAACTCAAAAGCAAACAATGCGCTTCTATCTCCTGTCAGTCCTCGCGTCCTTGGCAGCTGCCTCGCCTTTGGCTGTACAGGCGGACCGACCAGTGTATTGGTTATTGGCAGGTGACTCCACTACAGCACCAAATGGAGGTTGGGGCGATGGGTACCTAGCAACAACTGTAGCTTCAGGCTCGTCGGGACACAATTATGGTCATTCGGGAGCAACGACAGCGTCTTTCCGCGCAGGGGGAGACTGGGGCAAGGTGATCAACGACATAAAAAAATACAAGGAAAAGTATGATGTCTGGGTCACGATTCAGGTACGATGATTGTTCAGTATGGGCTGTGAACACTCAATCGAGACTGACGTTTCTGAATAGTTTGGACACAACGATCAAAAGGAAACATCTGGCGTGACTCTTGACGCCTACAAAACCAACTTGAAGAAGTTTGCTGATGAGGCCAAGAGTGCTGGTGCAACCCCAGTAATGCATCCATCCTTCTAGATCATTCCAGTAGCTAATGTAACCAGGTTCTACTCACACCACTTACCCGCCGCACTTTCTCCAATGGCAAAGTGATTCAGAACCTAGCCGAACAGCGCACTGCCACGATATCCGTTGCACAATCAAACTCAATCAAATTTGCTGATCTGAATATTGCTTCTGAGAACTACGTCAACGCCATTGGTAAAGATGCAGCTAGCAAATACAACCTGGCTAGCAACGATTGGACCCATCTAAATGAACGAGGTGGTGTTGTGTTTGCCAGAATAGTAAGCGACATAATATTGGAAAAGTATCCTGAGTTGGATAGTGTAGTTAAGAAGGATCCGACACTCAGCCAAACCATCAAGAGTGGAAAGCCAGCATAATTGTAGGGAGACCCTCTATACTCCGTATAGAACAATGAACACACCCCATCTGAACTTCTGAACAATTTGACCCACAGCCTTGTAATTTGATCACCAGGGGCGACTTGATCGACCCTGATGCTGGACGCCAATGTTTCCTGCGTGCAAAGCATCTAGGATGTTGCTGATCCAGAAATCTGCAGGCGGTCCAAATTCTCAATCCTCCGCTTCATTAGTGGAGTTGGCGAATCATGACATTCTCCTGCGGCACAGTTCCACTGAAGACAAGAGTGTGAGTATGTATATCTGTACGAATCATCGCAACGGAAGACAGCTTTTCGACATTGACTTGTGCATTGGCAGCCGTAGAAGGGTATGTTGCAAGACCAGCACGAACCACCATCACCGCCAGTGCTACAGTAGGCTTTCAATAGATCATCGACAGGATACTCTACAACGAAATCAACGTTTGGCCTGAGTTATTAGGGTAAGAACTTACGAATATCCTCTGTGATCTGGTGAAAACAGTACAGTTGGCCGACATTGCAGGCTCCAGTTTGAGAAGACAGTGCAAGATCCTCTGCGTGAGAGTTGAAAACAAAGAGGAAAATGATTGACAATGCTAGATAAAAGGAAGGCATGTTTGTATCTTTGAGCGTTATTCGCACTGATGGAAGCTTGTACGGAGTAGGAGCGGATGATGCTTCAAATATTGGCGACTCCTGGCAACCCATCATATTTATGTCGACATAGACCATGAATATTTGCGGAATCACAGAGAACCTAGACTTCTTTTAGTTCTTCCGGTCAGTCAATGCAGCTTCCCTTCAATATTCTAGTGCAATGATGACTGCTACACAAGTTACGGGTTTCTACGGTGTCACATAGCCTAGCCCAAGACCTGTGTTACACTTAGCCCGAGGCTGGTGTTGCTCAAAGAGATGCTGTGCTTCTTTGGTTGATGGTCATGATGCACTCCTTACAGAATCCGGGGTACGTGCTTGGCTGGAGGTGGCAAGACCGGAGTACTGGGGCAAACTTTCCTCTTTCAAACTACAATGCAAGACATCCGTCGCATAACCAAAATTGAGCAACTGGGCAGATGTAACTGTACAGCTTCTTGAAGTTCTTTTTGTAACCGATTCTAAAAGGAATCGCTCTGCCAAATGTCGGCATCGTTTCGATATCTCATCAATACTTATTCTCAAGGAGAGCTTTTCGTGTGGGGTCTCAATAAGTTAAATTGACTACCTGCAATAGCTTACTTTATTCACAGTATGTAGCTCAAAGACCGATCCGAGATAAATAAGAGTGGCTACTAGACAAGAACAAAGGCAGCGAGAGAAGACTATCTAGCGGGTTGTGGAACTTCAAATTCTCCTGATCTCCTCATGACTTTGCCTTCGCTCCGTTGTTGAGAATCGACCGTCTGCAACGTTGCCTTGAGCGGAGTGGCTAGCCGTTCGTGACTCTGTATAATGGACTGTACCATCCTGATCTTCATCATCGGTGATCTTCGTGATCTTCTGCATGATGACGGCTGCGAAAGTGTCGGCGCTGACGTTGACAGCCGTCCTGAAGCGATCCAGGAACCAATCGATCGCGACGACGACGGCGTACATTCCGGTGATTGGCACATTGACTGAAGTAGCAATCATAACGGTGAGAACCAAACTTGAGGACGGGATCGGAGTTGTACCAATTGAGGCGAGGGTCGAAAGCAAGCAAACAACGATGTAGTTGGCGGCGTTGAGGGTTATGCCTTGTGTGGCGGCGAGGAAAACAACCACAATGGGGAAGTAGATGGCGGTTCCGTCCATGTTTATCAAACAACCGAGAGGTACACAGAACTTAGCGATCGTAACAGGGACGCCACGCTCTAACACGCATCGCATGGTGACTGGAAGAGTAGCAGCACTTGATGCTGTTCCCCATGCGGTGATCCAGGCTGGTGAGTTCTTTAGCCAGAAAGTGTAGGGATTTTGCCGGACGATGACGAAGAATATCAAAGGAATAATGATAAACAGGTGAAGCACCATTCCGACTAGAGTTCCTCCAATGAGTATGCCCAGATTACGGCCAATCTCAGCGATGTCCAGGCGGAATAGATTGGGCAGAATGAGATGGAAAACACCGACTGGCGCCCAATATATGAGCTGTGTGATGACCCTCATGATGATCTGCTCAATTTCAATGACTGCCTTCAGAAGCGCCGAATTGGCGTCACGAATACAGTAGCCAATGACGATGGAAGTCATGAGGACAGCTAAAAGAGCGTCGGTCGCGAGGGCGTTGACAATGTTCTGAGGCACAAATGAATGAAACATGTCCACGACAACGTCATGAATCGCGACGTCCTTTCTTTCATCGATGGTTTCCTGGTCGTCATCCTTCACTTTAAGGGCATCTTCGCCTACCACCACCATGAGCTTAGACCAAACCAAACCGACCAAAATGCAACTATGCATGACAGCAATCAGAGTTGTGATGACATAGTATCCAACTGTCCATTGGGCGAGCCTCTTTCCATCTTTGGACATCTCACGAAGTCTCTGGATGGCAAGTATCATCGCAGTGACTATCATGGGGAGGACTAGTGATCGTTAGAACGTCTTTGATTAATAGCTTGATGGTCATTTGACTTACCAACAGCACGCAATGCTCTAAGCCACATAGTACCAGGAATTGCGATGAGCTCAATTGCTGCTTCGGGCACCTCATCAACAGTTGTTGAGACCGCCAGACCGATAGCAATGGCGAGGACAGCAGCAATGATGATTTGCCATACCGACCCTGGCTTTAGGACCCTTTCCTTCCACGTAAGTTTCTTCGTCTCGCCATCCTCTATGGTCGTATGAGGGGAGAGAGCTTCGGGGTCACTCCTAGGTGAACTTGCTCGGAGTTCGTCGACCTTTTTCTCGTCCATTGTGATGTGCGCAACGACCACAAGCAAATGATGAGACAGGGATTGCCAGGTTCAATGGCCAGCGGTAACCAAGAGGGTCAATGATTGACAAGAGTACCAGTGCCGTGGAAATTGAGAGGAACCTTGAGATCTAAAATGTTGTAAAGGGAACAAGGGATTTTATATTGTCTGCGTCTCCCGGACCATCGATTCGGGCCTTGCTACCCCAAACAACTACATCTCCAGATAACGAATTTCCCAGAACTCGGTTTCTACTCGTTTGCCCAGTTCTCCAGATACGTCCCATCGCCTATGCCGACGGAGTCCGTCCTTGGAGTTGTTGGCATCTTGAACGTTAAAGGAAGGACCTTCATTCTCCTGTTCCGAATACCCGAGAGGTTGAGGCTTGACTGAGGCTTGACGTTCAGTGCCACGTGCTTGGCCCCGGCCAAGTCTTACGCCTCTTCTGATAGAAGGACCTCCCCTCAAACATGCTGGCATGATTGGTCTGATTCTGAGCAATGGTCGCGTGTTGTTTGTTGGACGAGACTTGAGGGGTGGAGCGGGCAAGAATGTGTTGATGATCACGAGTGTAAGATAGAACGACAAGAGGCCCCGAGAAGCCAAGAGAGCGGCGGGGCGCTTGGGCACTCTACATCCAAATGCCACCTACATCAGCGAAGGATTGAGAAATGTAGAAGAGCACTAGAAAACTTCATTTACCAAGAATTCGTGTGGCAATGTCTCATTATCTCTGCTCGATAGGAGATGGTGAACGGACCCTGCCCCGCATCAATTCCCCCAGACCTCGTATTCTTGTGGACAAATAGTGGTTTCCGTCACCTTATCATGTTTTGGATCACCTCAACAACGACTTTCTAAATTTTAATGTCTTTTTGATTAATTGGGGATTGAGATACGGAAGTACTGATGCTGATTCCAGACTGGTGAACTTCGGCAGAAGAGATTCAACCTCCCAGCCGGGAGCTAACGAGAAAAGGCGCCGAACAACAACTAGGCATTCACCAGCCACATTGATTTTTCCAAGAGAATTGAACAAGAATGCTAAGAGTATGTAATTAGATAATAGAGATCGATGTTGCACCGCTTTGACGTGCTATGAAAATGCGCGGGCAATACGCCTCAGTTATACCCATGTCCATCGTAACCACCGGAGTGCCATCGATTATTAGCTTGCGCGGGTTTCTGTGGTGTCCTACTCTCATCAACGCTCCAACCTGATGTTTGACTGGAATTTGGTGTTCCGCCATGCGGGTAAGCACCATAAATTGTCGAATTCTGTGGCGTACTGCTCGCGTACTGTGACGATTGCAGTGAAGTCTGGGACGATGTTTGTGATGAATGCCCAGCATATGGCCCATACACATTCATAGAGCTCATATGTGAATGCTGTTGTTGTGGCGGGTGGGGTTGCGCATTGAGTTGGCTTGATGGTTGTGCAGTGTGGTACTGTGATTGGGGACGTGGATTATACGGAGACTGTGTGTACTGAGATGTCGATTGCGGTGGTGGATAGTATTGATTTCCCATCTGCACATTCTGAGCACCCTGCATGCCGAAACCAGATTGGCTTTGCGGATGCTGCATCGGTGTCAAGGATGAGCCAGGCATTGAGGAACTACGGTCAAGAGAGTCTTGCTGATTCGGGCTTGTAAGGACTGGAGGAGATTGGCCGGAATACGAGGAATTCCTGGGATTATGCAGTTCGGGCTGGGATTGATTGAACCTTTGCGGCACAGGTCGCCTGCTAAGACCTGTGTAGGGAGGGTGTTGGCCTGGAGGAGTTTGAACTCCACTAGCAGAAGTTCGATAAGGCAAATAGCCGCTCTGACCCTGTGGGTGGGGATGCTGCTCGGGCCCGGGAAACGCCTGGAAAGATTGGCGATTTCCTGCGGGTTGTTGACTATGAGAATGCCCATATTGAGCTTGGTTGGAAGCCTGACTGGGATGTTGAGGCATAGGGATCGGAGGATGTCCACCAACAAGACCAGGCGAAACGCCCTTTCTTCTGACTGTCCTAAATCGTTTTACACTGGGATTGCGCTTCACGCGTGCCATAGCCTCGTTCAAGAGTTTTTCGATCTTAACCTCTTCTGTAATGTCGTCTTCGAGATTTAGATCAGTGACGCTTCCTTGGCTTTCGCCATCCAGTGCTTGATGGTCGTCGCCCTCCCACGTTTCTTCCTCGTCCTCATCTTCTTCCTCATCATCTTCATCATCATCTTGCTCGGTATTATCCTCGTCATCAGAATTATACCCATCAGGTTGCGCAATCTTGAGAGCTTCGATAGGCAGCCCCAGTAGCGGATGGCGGCAATAAATATTTGCACCAGACTTGAGCAATGAGTCTACGCTTCCACTCTGGCGGTAGTAGCAGGATTCGACAAGAGCTTCATCCAGCATTTGCTCAGGTGGGCCCATCGATAGGAATCGATCAAGCACGCCCTTGTTTCCTCGGATGGCGGCTGCAGTAATCGCATTGGTGTATCTTCCTCCCTTTAATCGGAAGTCTGCCCCGTGATCAAGGAGTTTATTCACAACGTCAAGCTTGTCGGCATAAGCTGCAGCTTGAAGTGCAGTATAGTACTTTCCACCTTTTAGCGATGTGCTTGCCCCATGTGCCAGCAGATACTCGACAAGTTCAAGGTCAGCTTTGATTGAACCAGCCTGAAGCGCATTGCCGTACTTGCCTCCGACGGCATTTATATCCGCGCCGCTGTCGAGAACGGAGTCCAAACAATCCAGATTGTTGCCATACGCGGCCGCTTGCACAACGGACCCGAACAGTCCTCCTTGAATGTTACTGTTCGCACCGGAGTCTATCAGGTGCTGAATGCATTCGTGGTTGTGGCGCTTGGAAGCTGCTGCAAGCAGAGCATGCCCATGGAGCCCACCAAAGGCGTTGACATCGGCACCACGTTCGAGCAAAAGACCAAGAATGTCTCTGTGTCCTGCCGCCGCGGCTGCTTGGAGTGGGAACCCGTACTTTCCGTTGCCGCCAGGCCAGTCAATGGTCGCGTCGTGATCCAAAAGATAGGTGACGATGTCGACGTCTCCGCCGAAAGAAGCAGCCTGTACCGCTGTCCCGTACTCGCCTCCAGTGAGGTTAATATCTCCCTCTGCTTCACGCAGGAGCTGGACAGTATCAAGATCCCCTTTGAATGCTGCAGCTTGCAATGCAGTAGCGTACGGGCCACCTATTGCATTGACTTCAGCTCCCGCCTTAAGCAATGTTTCGCAGCACGGTTTGTCCCCTTCGCTGGCGGCAGCATGAAGGGCTGATCCGTACTTGTCACTAATGATACTAATGTCGGCTTTTCGAGAAAGCAGAGTCTCAATCCCGTCGTTGTCGCAAGCGAACGCGCATTGTATCAGTGCCGTTGTGCCTCTATCGCAACGTGCGTTGATATCCGCGCCATGGTCGATGATGGATTCCAAGTCAGAGGATTGGAGGGTGGAACCTGCTGCGACTATTACAGGCATGTTGTCTTCACCCCCGCGAACATTGACGTTAGCGCCATTATCTAGCAAGATCTGTACAGTATTGCTATCGCTTTCATCAATCGCCGCAATGATGGCGTATTTGAAATGCCCTCCATAGGCGTTAACATCGGCGCCCTTCTCCAGAAGCAACCGTATCGTTTGCTCGTCCCCAGTGTAGCAGGCGGCCTGGAGAGGATTGCCATAATAACCGACTGGCTCTGTGTTGACTTCAGCACCATGATCAATAAGAAGTCGTACGTTATCGACGTCGCCAAAAAGCGCAGCGGCCTGAAGCGCCGTGCCGTATTCGCCTCCGCGTTTGCGAGCATCAGCACCTTTCTCGAGTAGCGCGAGTAAAATGCTATACGTTCCATCATAAGCAGCCGCTGTAAGGGCAGTTCCATATCTGTACATATATGTCAGTGGATGTGATATTGTTGATTAGGATGATAACTTACTCAGCTCCCTCTGCGTTTGGATCAGCACCGAACTCGAGAAGTAGCTTGACAGTATCCTCATGTTCATGATCAGCCGCGCGATACAGTGCAGTGTTGAGCTGCTCTTGTTGTATGCCTCGGGGGAAAAGAAGCTGGAGGACTTCGTCACGTCCAAAGTCAGCTGCTAACATGAAGGCCTTCTGGTGCCTGAGAGTTGGCGTTCTGTCCAGTATGGTTTTCACTACGGCAGCCTTTCCATTCTGTGACGCGGCTTGCAAAGCCTGCTCAAGGACTGTTATCCGAGCCTCTCGTTGCACCAGAGCTTCTACAACACCGACATGACCATATGTTGCTGCAGCTGTGAGAAAGGACCCATACGTCTCCATGCTCTTATTTGGACTCCAACCTCGAGATATGAGCAGTTTGGCAACGTCTGCATGACCCCTGCGAGCAGCTGCCCCGAGCGCGCTTCCATACATGTAGTCGATGTCAGGATCGATCTCTGCATTATGCTCGAGCAATAATTGCACGCTTTCGACAGAACCGGTGTATGCAGCTATGTTGAGCGCATTCTTGTGCCAGCCGCCAATGAGATTTACCTTCGCCCCACGTTCTAAAAGAAACTTGACAACTTCAATATGCCCTTCTTCAACCGCGGCATACAATGCGGTGCCAAAATCAGTTGATAAGGAGTCAATATCTGCGCTTCTTTCCAGGAGGCATTCCACGATGTCTTTGTGGCCTGAAGAGGCAGCGGGGTACAGTGCGGAAGCATCGCCAGTGATGGATACGAAGTTTGGGTCTGCCCCTGCGCCCAAGAGCATCTGAACAATCTCGAAATCTCCGTTCATGCAAGCGTAGTAGAGCGGCTGGAATCCTCGCGAGTCCTCGTGGTCAACGTTGTGGCGCCACCCGTTGTTCAACAGGTAATCTACAAATGCAGCGAAACCCGTTATAGCGCCTACATGGAGGATGGACACATTACTGAGGTCATCTAGAGGATGAAGTTCCACGCATTCGGCCCACCAACTTTCCCGAAGTGAAGATTCGTCCTCCCAGAAGCTGTGGTTGGGTTGAAACTCTTCCAGCACATCTATTGGCGCTAACTTGGCATGTGCTATCCAATTCTCGAAAAGGTATGCGAGGTGTTCGAAACCCGTGTCGTCATCATCTGCATCTTCATCTTCATCATGCTCTGTGTCGTCCTTTGCATCTTCATTGTCCAAGTTGGTCTCCGATGTTTCACTTCTGTGGTCCCCAACAGACCTTTCTTCATCGAGATCAACCTGACTTTGATTGTTATCTTCGTCGTCCTGTTCCCCTTGTTGCCTATCCTTTGAATTTTGGATGCTATGGGCTTCCGTTTTCTCGAGGACATATTCCAGACATCGCAAAGCGATGATGCCATGCTGGACATCTTTCAGTTCTAGGCTTAAAGCCTCTTTCGCATGTGCTTGCAAATGTTCTTGCGCAGAAATATCCAGCCACTCCACCGTCATATTGTCTTCGTCCAGTTCATATCCTCTCAGGGTGAGAAAAGATCCACACCGGACGATATACGTTTTGAGTATCTCAAGATCATCGCGATGATCCCTTGGCAGATCCGCCATCACGGCAAGTTGGCGCATGGTAGGCGCATTGATCGCAAAAATAAGGCACCTGAGTATTTCTTTGGTATACTCGAGCCCTTCGGAGTCTTCTTTCAAGACACGTTCGCGAACGTGTGTGAACATATCAGTAAGTCCGTACGGAAAAGACTCGAGCAGTGTTCGAACCTCAGCATGGCTCGTTTTTCCACTAATCTTAGCATTCTTGAGCTCTTGAATCACCAAACTCACGTAAATAAAGTTATCGTCTGCGCGTGAATGGATGTAGCGCTTCGCAAAATATCCTAATGACGGACTGAGCTCAAGCTCGTCGACTCGTGCCGAGATGTCCGCTCTCAACGCACTGCTAACATAGATGGCATTATCCTCGTTGCTCAAATTGATCTCTCCAGCTCGTTTCGACAGATTTTTCTCAATCTCGGGTCGCCCTGACCGGTTAAGCAATAACCATTGGATTCTGGGGGTATCCGGCTGTCCACCGGCTGGAGATCGGGCTCCGATAGGAAGACCTTCCAACAACTGGAAGAATTCGGCTAGTGATTCCTTGGAGAGTTGTTCAAGTCCATAAATAACCACGTAGATGCGCTCAGGGTCAAGATCATTTGCCATCGCCCAAAGAGCGTCCCATAGAGCGGAAACCTTGTTGAACGCCTCTGCATCGAAATCCTTTGGGCCGCCCTTCTTGGTTGAGTGGGTATCAGACAACAGGTGCACTGCTAGATCCTGATTGACAGTAATGATCTGACGGATGATCATCCGGAGAAGGCGACTCAGAGATCTCCGGCTTTCCTCTCCTTGGTCACAAAAGAACGAGGCAACAATAGTGTTTTGTGAATCCTCTTTGTTAAGGTCTTTGATCACGGACGAGGCAATTGCACCTTGGCCCATGCCAGCCTTACCATGAACCCAGAGGAATGGGGATACTTTCTCTTCTCTCCAATTGGTGTATTGTTCTACGCCGAGAACCCATGAAGGTTTCTCCACGGGACCCTTATAATTGCCTTTCACTGTTGAATCAATGTCTGAGAAGCCTTTTCCGAGCTCATCAATGATCGCATGATAAGTCCGATTGCTGATCAACGCCTGTCGGAGGGCTGTAACTGTCAGTAAATGCCAAGCGCCCTTGCAGTTTGCTAAGCATACCATTTTGGCGAGACTTGATGATCAGGGGAGCCTTTTTAGCGGTTGCGTGAATTTCGTTTGCAACTGAGAGGTAATTTCCATCTTTTGGACCGGTGTATTTGTTCAATGCAAAATGATCCGACGCAAGCTGCAGGCTCTCGACACCTGGGTATGTCGCCGAATCTTTATCGACAATGAGTTCCTGTTCTCATTAGTACACGACTGTAAGTTTATATGAGGGTACAACAAACTTGAGACTTAAACGGTAGGCCTTTCACAAAGAGCGCGGCCAAATCACTCTTCTGAGACTCGAAGAAACAAAACACCCTTATTTGCGCCGATGTAATCAACTTTACGAACTCATCGAGCATGCGCTTCAGAGTATCGGAATCTTTCTCCAAGAGTTTGAGAAGGCTAGTCTGCACCCCCATTCCAAATGTTTCGGCCATTCCAGCGAGGACTCTGGCCTTCTCGGAGGTTTTCGTTCCATTGAACGGTGTACCCAAGAAGATGCATCCCGCAACATATGGGAACACACTAGGAAAGGTGCCTTGCCGCAATCGAGCTGATAGGAGTGTCTTTTCCAGAACGATTCCTCCGAGGCAATGGCAGACAAAGATAATGGGCGTCTTGCAATCGTCCTTCGATATAACATTAGATAAATCATCTGATATGAGGTCACAGGGGATTCAAACACACGCCTCTCGTTCGCTTTAGTTGATACAGTAGCTGGTCAACGACATTGTCTAATTGCTGATCAACACTACCTTTACCGAACCACTGGCTTTGGTACTGGAAAACGCTGATACGCGCATTTGGGATCTTGCGACCCAGCATAGTGCTGTCACGCAACCAATGCACCTTGTCGCGAACCCAAGTCCATTCTGGATTAGCGCCCAGCCCGGGGATGGCGACGATACTGTATTCTCATTGAGTTGCCGTAATCAAGAATTACTGAATCTTGGATTTGATAGATACTTACTCTAATGTCAAGTCTCGTGATAGCGAAGGCTCTTCGGGATCAGGATACACTTGCTGTAGACCAACATTGATGTGCTGAATTGATGATCAGCACGGCCCATTCCCATCGTAGTGCATTGTGGGAATTCGGACTCACCACCGGATCGAGTTTCGAGTGCTTTGCCTTTCTGTTGGCAGCGGCAGCCATCCTATCGTTGCATCAACAACACTCGTATCAGTGCTGTAGGACGCTTTATTCTCAACCACACGTTATTGAGACTGGGAGTGTTTTAGCGGTGTGATCGGAAGTGGCAAGATAACTCATACTTTAAGAGGGAGGGCCTAATAAGGCGTGCGCCCCTTTCTTGAGAGCAGGTCTAGGTGCACAGAAGTGGTCCATCGTCCAGGTCCAATGGGGATAAGATGAGTTTTTCTCCCAGTTTGGGGGCCAAATAAGTGCAGAAGAAATAGTAATTACTCAGTAGATGGATTCCTACCTAAGACGTTTGGGGCGGATGGAGGATCCATTACAGTGCTGAGTGTACACTGTACAGCGTGGACTCGCGTGGAGTGGCCGCCTGCAACTGCAGGGGTTAGTCTCCTGGGGGCTGATACCCCCTCCAACTTAGTCGATTCTCCCGACGACTGCTCTTCGCATATCTTCTCCCTGCTCATCAACCCCCCAGGCCCAGACTGTATCGCTCTTGTTCCTATACAGAGGATCTTGGTGAACTCCGGTCCTATGAAGCTGCCTATCATGGCCAGCGACTCCGAGGTGAGTGACTCGGAAGAATAGGAGTTTTAAAATTCCCGGGACGCGCTGATCAGAGAACAGAAAAGTGGGTCGCTGGAACCTCCATTCCAAACTCAACTTTTGGAAACCGTCAAATCAGACCAGGGCGGTGTTGAAGTAAAAGTTCCTCTTCTGCCAACGACCTATCGAAATCGGCAGCATATGGTACGCCTCGTTAAAGCCGATGTTCAAGCATTTCTAGAGTTTGAATTGGATGTGACGAGGCTAAATGTCATCCACGATTGGCTCTGGCTCGTTGGCCTCCCTACATCACCACGAGCGTTGCATTATCAGCGTCTGAAGAAAAGAGAAATCGTAGTTACTGAGCAACTAGACCTCCACCTTGTTTGGAGGCCAACTCGCATACTCATTAAGCCTCTCCCACGGTTCCTGCTGTGTCCGCAGTTTTGGCAATGCAGTATCTGCCCTGACCGCGACCTCTATTGCGTCGCATTGGGCTTCCTTTTGTCTTACGTTGCTCTCATTGAACGAGAAGTGGACTTCCATATTGCACGCAGCCTAGATCTCATCCCGTCCGACCTCACCTGGGCTGGTTGGCTTGCGCTTGCAGAAGAGATTGTCATAACTTCGGCACGAGCAAATGCATACTTGACCTCCGCCTCTCCAGCCTCAATGTCATCCGTTTCCTCGTTACAGTCGCACACCCCAGTAAATCGCCGGTTTTTCTATGGAGAACTGCGGCTCGGTCGGCTGAACTGGATCTATCGCCTCGTGCTTGGAAAGCCACGAGGCTATCTGAGCGGATGTACCACTTACGGAGCGTTCATGAGAGATAATGTCAACTCCCTGATCACCCTGTTCGCATATACGACCATAGTCCTATCCGCCATGCAGGTAGGTTTATCTACCCAATTGCTAGCGGACAACTATGCTTTCGGCATGGCTTCCTACGTTTTCTCGGTCTTCTCGATCTTGGCACCTCTGAGTGCGATTATGATCATCGTCCTGCTCATGGGCTTTATTTTCATAATCAACCTTTTGCGAACATTAAGAATCCGCGGAAAGCGTATTCGGCAAGGTGCTGGAGTTTGAAGGTCAGGTCCGATTTCTTCCTACAGCCGGTTGAAGCGAGCACAAATTTGATGTTCGTCCAACACGTTTCACTCCAAATGTGGTCCGTAGATGATCACACTCCATACCCCGATCCGGTCGGACGATGAAATAATACTAGGCAATATGCTCGATGTCGATAGTAGACTGAGTACAGGAATATAAAGTTGCCTTTTGCATTGTTCATCGATCATCCAACTCATCGATCATTCATCTCATCAATTCGAACCATCGCTTCTCAAAAGTCTTTCCCTTCTCTAAACCAATCACTCATTCATCTCTTTTAAACTAATCATTTTGCCTATCACGATCTAACCATTCATTCGTCTCTTTCGAGTCAATCACATATTTGTCGACAAAAAATGAAGACCTCTATCGCCGCTCTTGTTACTCTGGCCGCTTTTGTTGCAGCATCTGGCAATTTTACGAGCAGTACGGAGAAGGCCTGCACGGGCGGGAAGATTATCCACTTTTGGATTCCAAAGAACGACACCAATCCATGCCAGCCATTGGACAATATCGGGTCACTCAGGGTCACCGATCTTGATCCTGGTTGCAGATGTATGTTCACCCTCCATTGCCCCGAACTATATACTTCTCCGCCCACTTATTATACTGACATCGCGGCCATATCGATTTGTGAGAATGAATAGTTGCTAACAATGAGCATAGTTCGCGTCTTTGGGGATCGTAACTGCGATGTTGTCGAGAAGCAAGCTAAATTTGAAGAGTGTACCCAATTCGTCAACAATACAAACTCCTTCATCTACGACTGCCAATAATCGCGACAGATGGATCGAATATACAACCTTGCTGGCCAAGTCAAGATGGGGTGTTGAGCAGTGGCTGTTTGTTCGTTCACGAGAGATTGTGAGCCAACATCAATCAGGAAACTTCCCAAGTTATATGATCGAGGAGCATAGAAAGCGGATATTGTCCCTCCCATTACATTCCTAATTTCAAATTGTACCAACAAGTAAAAGTTCATCAATACTTCGCTTCCCCGTGACTAGCAAATATGCAAAAAAGTAACCAATCTACAAGTCGTCCGTTTAAGAATGGTTAGGCATCACAATCTCCTCCACTGCACTAGCGTGATGAAACTGATAACTTTGTACAGGATGAATTGGTCTGGTAGTTCTATAGAAGATGCAAGTGCGATTTATGCCAATATGCTACATGGTTGAAAGAAGGAGTGTCGTGCGACACTAAGTAGGCAAAGCAAGTGTACTAGAGTTGCTCAACCAGAGTAGACAGCTGGGCCGGGGCTGGTGTAGGTGAAAGAGCTATCATAGATAGCCTTGGTGAAGAGGGGATCACTATTCATCGTTAGTAACTGTCGTTGAGATTGTTTTACTTCAACTGACCTGAGCTTGTATGCGCCAGGGAAACTGACACCAGCAGGGTTAGCAGAACCACCGCCAGTAACGTTGATCTGGAAGCAAGTGACGTAGGGTTGAGGCTGTCCGGCACCGGCGTGGAGAGCAATAGCCTCTGCGCGGACGAGGTAGTTTCCAGAAGCGATGTTCTTGGGCACGGTGAAAGATCGCTTGCCACAGTTGGCATTGAGGATCTCTGTTCCCCAGGTTGGGGTGGATCCCTTGTAACCATCTTCAGCGACCTTGAAGAAAGAGCCGCTGTTAGCAGTCTTAGCATCGGCAACCTTTGCCATGTAGATCTGGACATTAAAGTAAGTACGGTTTTTTCAGTCTGCCATGTCTTTACTAACCAGGACCGGGCCGTAGTGGTTTCCACCGATAGCTGGCTGGCTGCATGAGCGCTCATTGGGCTGAGCATGCATTTCGACCGTCAAAGAAGTTCCGGCTAGGGCACTGCTTAGTACATGTAAGATTCCTAGATCTTCTTCCCAGGAAACACACCAGCGACGTCGCAGACATTAGCAGAGGCTGCTGGTCCACGGCCACAGAACATGTCGGAACTCGTCAAGCTCGTAATGGGGTTGTTGTCCTTGACGACTCGACTGCACTTTGTAGCCTGATCAGTGCTACCGACCCACAGTTGCTGCCATGTTGAGTGTGCAGAGACGGATGCAACCGCAGCGAGAAGGACAAGGCCGGTCTTCATGTTGGCGAGTGGTAAGTATAGACAGCGAATCCTGAGACTGTGAGAATCGAGAGTGCGATGAGATCAGTGATGCTTGCAGAAATTTACAAGAGAAGCATGCTTCCTATTTATCTACCATTGGAAACAATGCCTTCATGGTTGTTCTTGCTTCGGTATGTTAAGGTCCGTTCATCAACGTGTACCCGGGCCGCAGTCCCTTCGATATAAACATTGATTGATACAAGATTATCCTGTTTCATCGGGTGATGCTAGGCGCAAATCCAGGTGGCAGTAGGTCTCAACGGCTCGATCACGACTGGTTGGAACATAGATTCGCGGGGTGCATTTGTGGGGAACATTAATCTATTATACTCGGCTACGAGCAAGCCACGGATCAAGTGACGGCTAATATGCCAAGGATTTATATGAGGATGTTATATCCATGAGGCTCATTCGCTTGGTTGCGAGGCCCGATCCAGGGCGAAATAATCGCCGCCCAGCGTTGGGCACATAGGTTATAGGGAATATATCTTATACTGGAAGCCGTGCAGTTTGGTATATACCGGCCGGTGTGACGTCGTTGATCATGCAGATGCAAGTCAACTCCGTATCGAATTGACCAAGGACCTGGGAAGTTGTGTAAGCGAAGCAACTAGAACGTGTTCGATATGCCTTATGGATATCCTTGGTTCTTAGCTAAGACAACCTTTCAGTTTCACACCGTCTGGATTGGACATGGAGGCATGGAATTCTATTAAACCAAGCGAATAAACATATCATTATGAAATCTCTGAATCCATGCGCATGGAAATTCACATTTCTTCGTGCTTCAATGTGCGGATTGAGAAGTATGCATATAAATCATGTAGGCTTCGTTAGATAATCCTAAGTAATCATCAGTGCTAACTTAGAACCAATGATAAATATGTTGCTGAGAATCTAACTGATACTGCAGAATGAATTCCAATACTCGAGGAAGATTGTCTCGTGCTTCGAGTAGATACTCAATCAGAGGTACTGGTACCACACTCACTTGGGGAAAAAGCACTAAAAAGAGAATGAATCTGAGTCCAGAAACAAGACTGATGTGAATCAGTTAGCGTAGACTGGCAACTCTGTGGAACCTCTGCAGGCACTATTTGATAGCACAGTATGTATGGATCTGAGGAGCTATGTTTTGTGACTCGATGCCGCCTCAGACGAAGGAAAAAGAGGCAACACAACTTCATGATACACTGGCCTTGCTAAAGCCCCGATATTGCAGCCCTTCATCTAGGCCAGTCAAGTTCAAATTGATCACCCCATGGCGGTTGAAGAGCGCGCCTCTATTACTCTCAAGAAATTCTTGTCTTCAACTTCTCGAAGACTCAGAATATAGATACGATCAAAACTCAGGAAGCCACCAAAAGTTGACTGCCATGTGTAAGATCTCGGAACACCTTTACCAGCTCACTAGAGTTTTATTTCACCGTGGTATTATTGTGCAGAGGAAATGAATACATCTCTCATTAGGGGTGAAGACTTTAATCCGGCAGAAAACTGCATTGATCGCAAATGCATCACCAAATTGGCAAGGCTAAACCCTAACTTCGCACAGAAAATTGATGGAGATGGCAGTAATTGTGAGAGGAAAACTGAGCTTTATCTCGCGTGAAAATTTGTATGCTTGGTGCCGGATAGACAATTTTGGCTCTTGAGCCAACACTGTCCTTGTTCTTGCAGAGAGAGCAGTGCATTCAACTTTTGGATTCGAGTGCAACGTCGTCAAGGCATAAGAATTTAGAGCGTATTTGATTTTTGGTTGTCTTTTCCTTTACCTGTATGCCAGTGGAGAGAATTCGACACAATCCAATGAATGAAACGTGCTACGGGCCTGGTTCGTTGTTCTACATTGTGACTTGCGCTGCCCAGATATTGTAGGGCACGAGGAATACGCACAGTTACGTGGCATTGACGGTCAGAAAGGGAGTATAGGTATATCATAGGATGCTTAACTCCTGTCTAGAATGTGTAAAAACGTTTACAAAAGACAGGTGCATGCAAATGTATACCTACCTACGCAAGAGGAGATAAATAAATAATAGGTGGCAGTACTCAGTAGGTCGGAACATAATTACATACGTCCTAGTGGCATTTCAGTGAGGCTAACTTCTCTGGGTAAGCTCCGAGCTTCATCACCTCCGTAGCCACAGCCATTCAATCACTGGAGTCCCTTCTGTTCACTGCTCGAGTCCTCCCAATCACTCGAACACAACCCTTTCACGACGTTACGATCCTCTTAAATATCTTTTCGCCTTGTCACTCCTTGTCTTGTATTCATATAGACTCCTGCTCCCCAAGCTTACCCCTTCCATCCCTTCCAAGCCACCAATTTCTGCAACTGTTTCATCCTTGAACAACCCCACTAGACTCGACTCTTTATACAACTTGCGTGCCCAGCATCGCGCTCTGCTTCCACAACAACAATACCAACATGGCGACTGGTATATTACTTTCTACATCTACCAATCATTTTCATCATACTTACCGCGCATAGAAACCACAAAAGTCGTACCCCTGACCTGCCACGGTCATTCCCGTCCCGTTCCTCACATCCATTTCTCGGCCATTACTAGCGAAGACCAATACTACATCATATCCGCATGCAAGGGTACGCAAGAGAATCTGGAAGGATTATTTGCGGTTGAGATACTGACATGATTAGATGGCAATCCCATGCTGCGCGACGGTATTACCGGGGACTGGTGAGGACCATCCGTGATCCAGGGATAAATAATGTCATCCGGAGAAACTGACATATGATAGGATAGGAACCTTCCTCGGTCATAAGGGAGCAGTTTGGCAAGCTAGATTGTCTGCTGATGCGACACTTGCTGCGACGGGATCTGCGGATTTCTCTGCGTAAGTTTGCTCGGTCACCTGTCCCCAGGAATTACTGACACCCAGCAGCAAGGTTTGGGACACCAATACCGGAGAGGCTCTGCATACCTTACAGCACAACCACATCGTTCGTGCAATCGCTCTTCCGAATCAGCCAAGACCTCAGATCCTAGCGACTGGTGGAATGGAAAAGAAGCTACGCATCTTCGATCTATCGCACACCTCCTCCTCCGCCGATGGATCTTCAGGCGCGACGCCTCCAAGCTATGAGATTGGAGCGGGCGTGCACACTGGCACTATCAAGTCAATTGTCTGGGGAGCCGACCCCAACATCCTCATAACCGCGGCAGAAGACAAGAAGATTCGCTGGTGGGACTTGCGAACCCAGACCACAATTGGGGAATACGCAGTAGAGGGCCCAGTTGGCACGTGCGAGCTGGACAACACATCGGCAGATGGTACTCTCAGCGTTGCTGCTGGAAAGAGCGTATACTTCTTCAACAGCGCATCTCCAGGCGCGCTCTTGAAGAGCATCAAGACATCATATGAGATTGGTAGCGTGGCATTGCATAGTGGTGATAGGAAGTTCGTTACTGGCGGTAGCACGCAGAACGACACCTGGGTGCGAGTATGGGATTTCGATAGTGAGAAGGAACTTGGTATGTGGTGCCACTCGTGAATATCGTATCTTTTGCTAATCAACTTGGTAGAAACTAACAAGGGACATCACGGTCCGATTTGGTCGGTGAGCTATTCGCCAGACGGCAAGCTGTATGCCACTGGCAGCGAAGACGGAACGATTAAGCTGTGGAAGCATACAGCCGGACCGTATGGACTTTGGCGGTAATCTGCATGCGGTGGGCGTCTATGTTTGTGTTATCTGATAGCAAGGCTATCCCCAGAAGATTAGCATATGAGCCGCATGAGTCGGCGTGAACATGTCCGATACCCATAGAGCCAATTTTAGGAAACTCTATCAAGCTCTACCGTGTATTGACTATCCTATTGATATGTATCTGCTTACAATCTCGTCCTATCTCGTCTCACCTTTTGTCAAGCTTCTTGCAAATGGCGTGCCAAGTATCGGCCGTAACCGAGGCGGGTAACCCCAGTAATCTATTTACCTGATTCGGCCATCCGAAGGGATCAACATCACAGAACACGAAGACTAGTAAGGGTCTTGATAGGAATGACGGAGAATGCATGATAAGAGCGCGTCTACAGAGGCGGGGGTTTTCCTCGGATTATTATCACGCCTGGCAACTGGGACGATCCTCGGATGTAAGGAGGGGATGGTAGAAGGATAAGAAGGACGGGCTTCCCCATGTTGACCGATCGTTTAACGTCCAACGACCATATTCGTGGTGCCAATCATACGTCACTCTTCCAACAACACTGGACGTCCTGGGCCTTCAACTCGTCAATCACCGAAGGCATATTCTGCAACAAGCCTGCTTGGCCAAGTTCAGCTAGAAACAAATCAAGCATGGGTGAAAAGGAGGAGGTGATTGCTCCAGCACCGAGCATGGACATTGACGAGGGCCAAATAGCGGCGGAGAAGCAGATGCGGGATATCGGAGCCGATCTGTATCTCGAGGTCCAACAGTACTCAAGGGAGGAGTTAGACGCTGAGCGGAAAATCGTTCTGCGGAAACTCGATTGGGTCATCATGCCCATGGTACGCACCCTTTTGAATTCAATGAGTGACAGCATACGGGACAGCAGAGAATAGCTGACAATGGATAATACAGATCTGTATGACATATACCATCCAGTTCCTTGATAAGCTGTCCCTGAATTATGCATCGGCATATTCCTTAATTCCCGATCTTGGGTTGCAAGGACAACGGTATTCTTGGACGGCAGCCATCTTCAACTTCGGTTATTTGTTCTGGGCCATGCCGGCCAATTACCTCATTCAGAGGCTTCCAGTCTCTAAATACACTGGTACCATGATCCTTATCTGGAGCATTCTTCTTTGCTGCCATGTAGCTGCGAAAAACTATGCGGGAATGTTGGCGCTTAGGTTTTTGTTGGGAATGGTAGGTCCATCTCCATTGGGCTAACGATCTGGATTCTGATACGTGGTACAGTTCGAGGCAAGCATCTCGCCTGCGATTATGAACATTGTCAGCATGTTCTACACCCGCGAGGAGCAACCGCTTCGCATGTGTGTTTTCCTAGCATTCAACGGCATGGCTACAATGGTATGCACACCTCTCCTGGTAGTCATTAATCTGTCACATCGCTTACTTTCAATAGGTTGGTGCTTTGCTCGGATTCGGACTTGGACACGTTGAATCGTCGACCATCAAATCGTGGCAGCTCATCTTCCTCGTCATCGGCCTGATCAACTTTGTCTGGTCCTGGGTTTTCCTCTGGGTCATGCCTGATTCGCCCAGCTCGGCCAGGTTCCTCACGCACAAGCAGCGCATCGTGGCCATTGACCGCATTGCAAGCAACATGATCGGAGTGAAGACGAAGCAGTTCCAATTTTCCCAGGCGATTGAGGCTCTTCTGGACATCAAAGTTCACTGTCTCATGCTGATCGGTATGGGCTGCGGAGTTATCAACGGCGGTGTCAGCAACTTTGCGTCCAGCTTGATCAAAGGCTTCGGCTTCTCTGGTATCAACGCGACATTGTTGCAATTGCCAACGGGCGCTTTCGAGTTCTTCCTGGTACCTCTATGTGGTCTCGCAGCGGGATATTTCAAGGACTCTCGTTGCATCATTTTGGCTCTTATCTGTCTTCCTCCGCTTGGTGGCCTTATCGGCATCCGTCTGACATCCCTGGATCATAGATGGAGTCTAGTAGGCTGCACATGGCTCCAGTATCTTATCGGTGCACCTGTCATCTTATCATGGAATCTCCTGACCACCAACATTGCTGGACATACGAAGCGATCCACCGCCAATGGACTCTGGTTTGTCTTCTATGCCGCAGGAAACATTGCCGGAGCGAACATCTTCTTCGCGAGGGAGTCCCCAAGATACTATAGTGCACTCACCGGCCTTATTGTATGTTACGGAGGCATGATCGTAATCGCCCTCTTCCTCATGGGGTGGATGGGGTGGCAGAATAAGAGCAGGGATCGCAAGTATGGCCCTGGCGAGGACGAGCAGGCCGTGGCGGATGGGTTCAGAGATCAGACTGACAAACAGAGTCTGCACTTCAGATATGCATTGTAGATGGCTGCATAGATTTAGCGTTAGTATACCACCAAGATACCAGGACATATGTTTTAGAATAGATTGAACCAAGACTACTACATTTTCGATGTGTAGTATCGCTTTTATGAAAACTGTCTCTCAAATGCTTTCGCTTGAACCATATAAAATACAAAAATATATGTAATGAGTCCATTCATGGGGTGTTTGCTTTGATGTCAAGCTTCTCCATGCTTTCTACCAATCCATCCCCACTATGCTCTTTGCTCTGCGCATTCCCGTTATGATGCCCAGGCGCATATCCAACACCCTCACATCCACCTTCATCATCAAAACTGACGTTCAGCAGCTCTGCTGCCACCCACTGTGCTGTCTTCGCATGAAGGCTTGGCTCCACCAGCTGGCCCTCTTCGCCGTTCTTCATCCTTCTTCGGCCTCCATTCACCTCACTCTTCCCTTCAGCCAGACCCTGAAAGACGATAAGCTGGTCCCTCATCCACTCATCAACGCAACCCTCATGGTCCAGCTCCGCTTTCATATCCAGCAAAACCTTCCTCAGCATCTCCCTGGCAATTCCATCCGTCTTGCCCGCCCGAACACCTCTGTCATACAACCAATCGCGACCCAACTTCATCCCCGTCGATGTCGTCGCAACAACAAGCAGGTAATATCTCTTAGCATCCCTCGAATCTTCAAACGAAACCTCCATCTCCGGTTCTTCATTTTCCGGTCCCACATCAGGCCAGGCAGTCCTCGAAAATCTCTCCCAGGCAACCTCCACCTCATCCCTGAAATCCCTCTCCGACCCTCCAGGCGCAAGAATCGTGAAATTGACCTTGACAAGGCTCCCCCGATCAACAAGCCTGAACGCGGGAAGCTTATCTCTCAAAGTACCAAACCGATACCGGACCCATCCAAGACTCGTGCGCCCCTGACTCCAACCCCTCGAGCACATGACCTCGATATCAGGAATCCCGATCATCTTGAGCATCGGAATGAGCACCTGCGCGGTGTAGTCGAAGCTAGGACTATTCGAAACGTTCGTGCCGCCCGTGATCAGCAGCTCGAACTCCTCCTCTATCTCCCCCTCCCCATCGTCTTCTTTCTCTCCACTCTCTTTCCCATCCGCCGCCACACAGCAACCCCCGAACATCAAAAACGGCAGCACAGCCTGGAAAACAAGACTCACGCTCCCGGGCGTCGCCTGCTTGATCTCGATCTTCCTCCTCCTTTTCCTCGAGTCCCCCTTTGCTTCCACCGATCCCCCAAAGCCATGTCGTTCCCGCTCGCCGGGCGAAAACACAACCTCCTTGCTCCCCAGCCCTATGCCCTTGACCCCCGCGCCTGAGGCCGCGGCGAGGAATTGTAGCGAGACCAGGTGCTGCGCTTTGAGGCCTCCTCCACCGGAGCGGTTTCCTCGGATGGAGGTCACGTGGATGGGTGTGCGGAGGAGGGAGGAGAGGGCGAGGGCGTTGCGGAGGAGTTGGCCGCCTCCTTCGAGGGTTGTGCCGGGGAGGTGGATTGGTTGGGTTGTGTTGGGGGGTGCCATGGTGGTGGTTGTTTGTTTGTGGTTGTGGTCGAAAGGATGTTGGAGATGATGGTTGGTTGTTGGATGGAGATGGGTGAGAAAAGTGTTTATAGGTATGACAAAGTTCTCGCCTAAATGACAATGTTTTGTGCTTTTTTGATGAGAGCTCTTTGTTATGATGTTCACACTGTTCACTTATCCAACTAATTTTTGGTTGAAGCTGATGATGACGCCTAGGACTGAAATCAGTGAATGCAAAACCCACCGCATTGAATGGTGCTCAATATGCCAAGCACCTGCAGTGAAATCGAACGATGACAGGACGTTGAAGGTTTAACAATTGCACAATTGGTGCAGCAGTACGGAGCAATTTGGGGTTCAATTGCTCGTTTCTAGACTGTGTAAACAAGCGTCAGAGTCATACTCGTAGTCATGACAAGGTTCCACCAGTGTGGCGCTGCATCTTCCTTCCCCCGCGATAATCCCTGCAACGTCGACCATTGGAGGGGAGGGTATGGTATCACACACACCTTGTCTGCCTGATGCAAGATGAAATGCAAAAAAAGACTCATTATTATCGAGAATCCCCGCGTCTACAACCATCACGTCCCACTCGCTTTCTTCGCAGCTACGAGAGATAGTTCATCCAAACGACTAGCGCAATTGATGTAACATCAACCTCGACATCCTCTCAAACTACTACGAACACGAAAGGACAGAACATAAACATTGATACCACACATCAACCCAGCTACGCTGTTCGCTATGGCGCAAGCGAATTCTCGTAACCTGCCGATCTAATCACGATCCCATAGCCATCGGACACCTGGCCTGCAAAGCCCTCTTAGACCGTGGCTACCAGTACGAAACAGACTTTTTGCGATGGGCAGGGAACTTCGAGGACGTGCGAGGGCCGACCAAATGTCAAGTCCTCATCGACTGCGCCTTTCCAGACCACGGAACGAATCCAAAAACCGAATTGACGTGTTACAATGCGGTGTCGGAGGGAGCTGAGATGTAAATCAACCTTAAGGTCAAGTCCCAGTTCGCTGCCGAGTCATATGCTGACGGAAGGAAACGAATACATAGAACTTTGACGCGCTTTGAGGTGTCGCCGATGCTTTACAATCAAATTGACCGTAACTTCGCCTGGGGGAGAGGCGGGCCTTACAAGAAGGAAAATAGAGATGTTGAAGGCACAGCCATTGAAAATCGTCATGGCACAAGTTGATGTCATTGATATTGATGAGTTAGAGTATTACTAGACACCTAGGTACCCAGTCACTTGCACTACGTCGTGAGAGAAGTCCTAAAACAACGATCTCTTGGGCGACTTTCCTAGTAGGAGAACTAAGTCTTTAAGTTTGAAGATGGAATATACTGCGCGCAGAGGGAGGAGTACGACATCCATACCTTTTTCTGTGTGGAGGATGATGGTTTGGTATTGATGTGGTGTCGTAACTTAGTTCGACTTTATCTGATGTGCTTTGAGTAGGTGTTCAATGTGGTTTGGTGTTGATTACTGGCCCCAGGAACGGAAATTCGTTCCGTGTAAGGAAAGGAGATGAGGAAAGGGGAAGATTCAGCCGCACTACGTCATTGTGCAGGGTCTGAAGCGATAAGCTAGGACAAGATGATTATCGATTGGTAGAGCAAGGGAAATGTATTCCAATAATGATGTTCATTTTCCATTCTATCTATCAATACAAATGACATTTTTTTTGGCTCTTGAGCCATCTTGCTTTTGGCCAAGCACATGTATAATGTATGTGAATTCATGGCTCAAGAGTACCACACCAGCCAACCATGCCAAAGGAACGCCAGTAGATAGCCAACGAGAGATGTACGAGTTCGAAATAATGCTCCAGTGCTATGTGCTCTTGTATGCGGATGATATAGCAAGTGGTGACTTGGAGAGTAGCACATAGGCATCCCTGTCGTAATAACCAAAAAAAGATTAACCAGTAAAACACGCATGGGGATGCGAGAAATAGAAACGATGTTGGCTATGCAGTCTGTCTGCATATGAAAATTTTTGTTCAAAGCTTCCCCTTTTCAAACGCCGTAAAATATGATGATGAATATGTATGGGTATGTACGCGGTAGAGGAAGCGGCAGTAGTCGGCGGGTATTTACAACAGAACATGGGTGTTATAGCGGACTGATAGATCGCGATCATGCGAATTACCAGGTTTCCTTTACAAATAATCAGTATAAAGAATCTCGATTCGCGAGGGGATACACTTACAGCAATGTATTGACGATCTTCCTTCTTCTTGGCCCAGAATTCCTTCGCCTCAGCCTCGCTAATACCACCCTTTTGCATGGCAACATCCATCAATGCTGCTTCAACACCCTCACCCATACCCTTGCTGCTTCCACAGACAAAGATACGGCCGTCAAGAGCATTGATAACGAACCAGACAATATCAGCCTGGAGTCTGACCTCGTCCTGCACGTATTTGGCGTCGGTCTCTCCAGCGACACGAGTCTTCCGACTTTGGACGACCTTCTTAATCTCACGTTCGTGATCTCCAAGTTCGCCAGAGTAGATTTCATCAAGCATGGAGTCACGAACACCTTGAATGAGCCAGATCTTGTTCGCGCAGTTGGCGTTCTTGAGCCTGTTAAGAATAAAGCCTCGGAAGGGAGCCATTCCTACGCCGGCACCAATCAACACCATCGGGCCGTCACCGCCGAAGTCTCGAGAAAGGGGGTTCGCCATCAATCCTCGGAACATGGGGATGCGGAGATTGAGTATCTCACGAGGATCGATGCCCTCGGCTTCGGCGTTGATGAAGGCTTGGGCCATGCGCTCCATGAAGCCACTGCCAACACCCGTACGGTATCCTCCATTCGCGTGCCAATCGGGAGTTTCGTGGATGGTCACGGCCATTTCGATAAGTCGGCGGTCACCTGGTAAGCCGGGACGAGCAGACGAGATGTGAGGGTCATTGGATAGCGAGTAGAAGCGGGGCATCAATTGGTTGAGTACGGAAAGGAGTTCAGGTAGCGGTGGCTTTGCGGATGGAAAAGCGGACAGAAGCTGGGCGATGGTAAGATGTGAAGTTGTTCGAAGGTCGCAGAATGCAGCCTGTCCCTCTGCAGATGACAGGTAGAATAGGATCTTGCGTTCGTTGGGGTCGGCCGCGTGTTCGGCCATGACACGGATGAGCTGCTTAGTGGGAGGATTGGACTGAATATCGGCACACCAGGTCAAGAGCTCACGGCGTGTAGTGACAAGCTCGCGTGCTTGATCCTCGCCCCAGATGGTCGGCCAGCGACCGGTGGTGGTCTTGAGCGTGACCGACTTATCGCGAACGAATTTGGGGATGCAGAGCACGTCGAAGAGTTCATCGACCATCTCGGTAGAATTGGGCGGGCAAATGCCGATCGCACCCCCAACCTTGAAATCGACACCATTCTCGTCAGGATAATCCGTCACATCCAAATCGAAGTGGAAGGTCCGCTTCTCAGCTCCGGGCTTGGTCAGCTCTCGTGCGTGGTAGAGGGGTGCGGAGTAGACATCGTATGGTGGGTGTGGCTGCACGTATGTGGGTGGCATCTTGTGGACTGTGGAGACATGATTGGTCTCCTTGGAAGGAATTGGCTCGAAGGACATGTTGACGGGAGGAAGATCGAAGGTATTGGTCAGCGGGGTGTTGAGGGACAATGGTCCCAGCTTCAGGTTCAAGCTCTTGAAGGCTTTGGTGTCTGGAAGAACGACAGCCTCGAAGTCTGGGGCAGATGTATCAGGAGCCGATGTCTTGAGCAGACAGCAACCTCCACCGCAGCATTGGCTGATGAGCTGAGTAGCCGACTCGCCCTCGCCCAGTATTCTTTGAATTTCAGCGCGAGATTCTGTGATCAGTGTTGTAGAAGCCCGTCGGGGTCGAGATGATTGTTGTTCGTTGAAATTGACTGCAGCCGTAGGGAGATCCTGCAACTTGTCAATGATCTCATCGACCTGTGGTTCTGTGCTGGGTGTAATGGGCGCATCGGAGTCGCTGCTGTTGCCGCTCCATTCAATCGATTCGCCGGAGGATCGTGGAGACATTGAGGTGTGATCCCGTGTAGGTTTGATGGAAAGCTGAGGTATGGCTCGTGGCTCAGAAGGTATGGGATCTTGAGGATGCGATGTGGAGGTGGTAGGAATGCTATGGAGAGCAGCTGGCTGTGTTGCTGAAGCCATTGTGCGAAGTAGGGGAGGAGAGGGTCGATTTAGGAAGGGTGGTGAAGGTTTTGTGGATAGGAGTACAAAGGGCGAAGATGAGCCTGATAAATTAAGCCATTAATGTTAGCACATATCTGAGTCAGAAACACGACCAGCACGGGTAGCCATGGTCGATTGAGAGAGTGATGGGCAGTGACGGTGTGCCGGAGATCGGGAGAAGTGGGCAAGGGCAAGGGCATGGGCATGTGCAAGGGCAGGGCCAAGCGGAGAATAGCGGAGAAGGGAATAGGAAAAAAAGGGAAAGGGGACGGGCGTGGCTTGGTGATGCTTCGAAATGCGAATAATGGCATCACGATGTGGAAGTAGTGTGGGTGGGGGAAGAGGTTGATGTTTGGTAAGCCAGCCAGCAATCGAGGGGGTTTCTTGTTTGGTGGTGGAGGAGGAAGTGGGAGGAGGTCGTGGTGGTAATCTGATCTGACGCAGTTCTTTTTGTGAAGTGTGTGCATTATCAGATCGTGGGGCGGGTCGAAGGATTGTCCAAAATGTCGGGAACGGGGGTCTCCTGAGATGAACACGAACTTACCTCGCTCTCTCTGTTCACCACGATGTCCCAGACGCCTTTTGCTTGTGATAATTTGTGTCGTACCGGAGAGGGAGCCAACTGATCGTGCTAGTGAGGTGGGTGGCGAGCGAAAATTCGAAAAGAGTGACAGCCGCGGGTGTGCGCGCTGGAGAATGGTGACCGACACGGTGGGCAGATGTTATATGGATGCGCGAGCGGAGGCCGGATCGCGGTCAATTCAAGGATCGGGTCATAGGACGGATAGGAAGAAGGGGGTCGGTAACGATATAAGGCGATTGACTGTTGAGAGGGTGGGATGGATGAGGAGGGAGGACGGGAACGATGGGGAGGAGGAGGAGGAGGATTGGGTGGCGGCGGAGGGAGAGTCTAGAGAGGAGCGACGCGACGAGAGACTAAATTAGAGGGAAAGTAGGAGGAGTAGGAAGGAAGAGTTGCGAGTGCAAGTGGGAGTGTGGAGAAAGGGAAATCTTTTGGTGCAAGTACGAGTAGTTTACGGGTACTTTGTTAGATACGAGGACGAGGACGAGGACGAGAGCGAGTAGTACCTAGGTGGTCGGCGATGGGCGAAAGCGGGTGACTGGATGCGAAAATAGGATGATGAGATGAGATGAGATGAGATGGTGAGCCGAGGATGGTCAGGTTAGTTAAGGTACGAGCAGGCAGACATAACTAGTAGGGTAACAAGGTTAACATTGAAGAACTCCGATCATCTATCTACATGTGTTAGTTACTCTGCTACGAGTACGATGGTAATTGCATTAGGTATCCGAATAAAAAAATCATTATTATCCATTATCAGCTCTACCTACAGGTAGTGGGTACTACTATACAGAGTACTGTACTACATCATCACCTGAACCAAGATTGATGCACATGGCATTACCAACGCATTACTCACACAGACAAACTTGCAACAACTATTAATTCTCCCTCTAACCGATCATCAATTGATTACCCATCCACATGAGACCCCGTCCGCTTTATAACAGGACATACAGACATTTACACATATGTGCGGAATGTTCCCTTCTCCGTGTAAAGAAGATGAGTTTGTCACTCGTCGACACTGATTGGCGTGTTCTCTGGCGTATTCTGGACTTTTCTTCGCACGTTTAGAGATTGTCTAGCTACCTAGTTATCCATCCGTACCAGACTCCGCGTTCTCTTAGTCGCCAATGGCCTTCCCCTCCCTACACCTCAGACTTTGACTGCATCTACCGATAACGGCCACCGAACCTGGCCCTTTTCTTTTCTTTCCTTTCTTTCAGGTTCAGGGTCCAGTCATCTCCACGGAGTATTGAACACGCAGTGCTCTGTGATAAGATGCCAATACGCAATCAGAGATATTCCTCGTAGATAAGGCATCAATTACTCTATACAGAGTAATTGATGTGACAATAGCTCATGATGATAATAATGACAATGGATCGCTGCCCGATTTGGGACCTCTACGTATACATGTTCTGGCATCGCCGAATCAAACAGCCGGCGGAAAGCGGGACTTCATCCGTCTTGGAGGGACTTGATCCCCTTTCAGGTTTGGATATGTAATTGCATGTTCTATCGGGGTGGTAGAATTGCGAATTGTACAATACCTGCAAGCATGCTGCCCTGTCATGGGGGGCGGCGCAACCCGGTGGCAGTTCATCGTTGCACGACATCCAGCAATGACAGTACCAATCCTTTATTTCCCTCATTATCTGATCCGACATTGACATTAACATTATCCCTCTATCCGATCAGATAGTCAGACGCATGTAACTCGTATGTAGTGCAATGTGCATGCAGAGAGAGACCAACATGCTTTTCCCATATTACTTTTTCGGCTGCTTTTTGCTTTTCTCCCCTGCCACGCACGAAAAGCCGCACCCGGCTGTCGGCGACAAACGACTGTTGAGCGCCCAAATGGAGATATCATGAGGGAGAACAATTACAAAATAGACCGAAGAGCCTCGTACGGTGTAAGGTTGTACAACCAAATGATGACCAAAGCGAGCGCCCAGAGCGACATATCCGGAATCCTGCCAGCCATGGCTATCCATCAGCTGTTAAGGCTCTGCCTCTCCTCGCGCTTCTGTCTCCTGATCTTGAGCCTCCGCGGGTGCACGTCTTCCGCAGCACACCGCTCTACTCGGTGTCTCTTTCTCTCTTGTCTCTCCTCTCCTATTCGAACATCTGAAGATCGACCCAGCACACCTGATGTCAACCAATGTCTCATGCCTGGAACGAGTTCCGCGCAGGCAAGCAAGTTGAGGCGTCCCATCCCAAAGCCTGGGCGGAGCTCCTCCCTTCCCCCAATTCACAGTGACATACCAGCCTCATGCCCTATCAATAACGACACAACACACAATCAATCCCCGGAAACACAACGCCCCTCATATCATCATCATATCGTAAGTATGCATGCCGTCGACACTCCACACATACATGCATGCACATACATCAATTGGTCCCGGATTGCAGCGACTCTTTCGCAATTCCTGCAGCATATCACGGCAGATGCGCGAAAACGATTTGTCGAATCGACAGTCTCCGCCTGGCCAATGACCGCTCTTGAACCCATTTGCCGCAACTTTTGTTCCTCTGCAAACTCGCGATTTGTGTCGTGCCGCGGATCAGGTTGCCGGATAAGGTGTTACCCAACGTCTTGCGCTCGCCCAATCAGCGTTTTCGTCCTTCTACTGCCGTTTCTTCGACTGTTAGTTGTTTGCGAAGATGGTGTTTGATCGACAGAAACGGTAATTTTCTACACATGCCGCATTTTCCTCTCACGCTTGTTACACGCATGGTAAATGGATACGATGGCTCACATGGCCTTGTTACTGACTGTACAGTAGCTTCGGTACGTGTCTGTAGCCACAACAATCCACACTCCGTCCGTACTTAGGGAGTATCTAAAAATACAACCATCGTGACCTTTCTTCCCCGCATCCAAGCACCGTATACATGTATTTCCACATTCAGAATGACTGGAGCCGCGGTACGAATTGCTACAAAGTATAACGACATGCCGAATAGATGCATAGCAGCCAGCCCCACCACCACATATGTACACGCGCTTTCTTTCTGGAGTAACTGTATCCCAGACATCCCTTCGAAGATAGAAGTGGAAGGGACATGCTGTAACCGACAGTGCTATCGACAGCATGACTTCAACAAAAAGACATTCTATTGGACTATGCATACATTTACTAGAACAGTTGAGGTCGAACTTTGACTAGCCATTAAGATGAATGAATGAATAAACGAACGACGTGCACCCCCACCACTACTTTGCCAGCACGGGTAACCATTGCGGCACGACTAAGCCACGGCCACGGCCACGGTCACGGTTGTTCGGCAAGGGACTGGTGGATGTGAGATTTCATAAGGCTTACAAACGAGACTGGGATGGGATGAGGGGGAGGATTCGTTTATCAGATCTGACATCATATTGTTTCTCAGGAATGCTGTACGGTGAATGTCATGCTTTTTTGATGATGCAAAATGCGATAGATAATATGTGATCCCACAAATGACGAGACTCCTGCGGCGAAAAAAACCAACCTAAACCTCTACATTCCCGTGCGATTAAGTAGGCAAAAAGACATTGCACCCCCGCCACCCCTATCCATCCATCCTGTGACCCCACAAACACAGTTTCAGCGCATCCAACTCCGAACAAAGACCTCAAACTGGCAAAAAAGAATGATAAGAACAATGATGTCCCGTGCCAGACTCGAACTGGCGGCCTTGGGATCTCCACTTCTTAGGAAGCAGTCACAGCATAAAGCGCTATGAGACCCACGTGATAACCAACTACACCAACGAGACTTGTTGGAAGATTTCGAAAATTATAATGCCTATATAGTATGTCAAAAGAGAATTTGAGGAGTTTTGGTTCGGGGTTTTCTCCATGATGATGGTGGGGGGTCAACGGGCCAACGTTTGTCGACTAGAGTGATTAGCGAATGCAGGGGCTGGCTGGTTGGTTGGTTGTTCACCAACCATTCCAGTACATCCTTGTATTTGGTCAGAGTACAAACAAGCAAACAAAGAAACAGAGTGGTTCAATGATGTCTAATTTTCCTTCAACAGTATTCTCGCGGTTCTGAAGTATCCGAAGTTAGTCATCACGATGGTTGTATTCATCTTGTTCATTCAATTGACGAATGAATTAGTGTCCTGTCTTAAGTCGGCGAAGGTCGTTGTGTACAAACATTGACTAGTTCAATTATAATTTCGTATATTATTACAGTGTCGATTACAGCCCCGTTTGATTTTACTTATGTATGTAGTGTCCCATAAACGCCGCATTACTTCCACTATACACAGTATGTTGCTTTCACAATGTGATGCCTGTCCATTAATCGTACTTTCCACTCTCGTTGATCAGACCAGCTGCAACGTTTTCCTTCACGGTTTTATGAGACCACTCGGGTGCCTCATCCTTGCCATTGTCCTCTTCCTCATCGCCCTCTTCTTTCGTCTTGTGGACCGTTCTCGGGTCGTGTTCGGCAGGCGAATAGACGGTGATCAACTCCAAGGGCTTGTCTCCTCTCGTGACGAATTGGTGTTGCGTACCGGCTGGGACGACTACGACATCACCGGCTTGAACCTCCTGGTCCTTTCCGGCTACTGTTGCAAGTCCCTTTCCACCGGTGAAGAGGAGAATCTGATCAACAGTGTGGACCTATTTGTAATTCAAGTCAGTTCTATGTTGGAAAGACATTGGTATATATTTATGAATAGTCCATGCACTAACCTCGTCACCAATTTCTCCATTCACGGGAACCTCCATTGCCACAAGCTGGCTGAAGAGTCCAGTATGCAAAACCGTCCTGAAGTCACCAAACTTCCTCTCCTTGTTGAGTAGTCCTGCGAAATGGACCATTTCATGCTTGGGCGGCTTGTTCTCACGGTTTCCGGCCATTTTGAATTTCTGAGCGGCGGACGATATTTCTCTGGTAGGACTTGACGACAAACTGCGATTGTTCTTCGGCGTAAGGGTCGCTGTCTTTGCGAGATTGATATGTTGGGAGTTGAAGTAGGAAGGCGTGCGGTGTGCGAGGCGGTAGGAGGTGAATTGTGCTGTTTTGATCATGGGGGAATGATGGCAGTGTTCTTCTTGAAGTACTTGTACGTTGGTGGATTCATCTTGTGCCATCATCTTTGCTTTTGTAATTGATTTATTATGCTGTATGGTCTCGAACGCGATGACGTCAGGATTGGGAATCTATGATGGTCGGATCTCCGGGGACTGCTAATGGATGGTGTCGCGGCTCGTGCCGGATGTCTCGCAGGGCTTTGTGTCTGGATCATTATTGTTATTCATAATGTTTTGAAGGGTATCGATTATTGGTGAATGGACGGTTGTAGCTAGGCGGGGTGAGACGTTAGCATGCTCGTACCTGGATGGCCGCGCGAACGCCGAATGAATAAGCGCGATCTACGAGAGAATAACGAGTTTGATGCGAAGGATCGTCGAGATGAGGCGATAATTCGGTCTAAGTAAATCTATTTCCAGCGACGAGAAAGAATACGGATTGGCTCCAACGGGAGACCTAGAGGTAGCAAGGCGTGGCTTTACAGTACGAGGTATGTACATAGGTGGACAATTACTACTACGGGGTATGAGAGGAGACTAATATACAGATCGCATCCATCCAGCTTTTCTCCTGTCATTGCCACCATCTATGAAACAAGGTTACAATTGTCATGAAGATCGATCAACATCCCACACAACACCATGCAGGGCTGACCTTGACTTCCAATGTTCGAATGATCGAATGATCGAAATCGCCAAGAGGTAACACCACCACCATGCCATACAGTCGTTGGATGCCCCAAGCCCCAACCCACTTCTCTAGAACAATTGAAACACATACAATATATATCGCCAAGGTGATATATGTCTTTTCCATGCAGACCATCTGACGCATGCTCCGGGAGGACCCTTTGTTGAGGACGCAAGGTGACGGCGCTTATGTAGTAGATACTCAGCCGAGCAGCCGATATCAGAGCAACTGGTCAACAAACATACTTTGAGACTAGTTGACCGCTCTTAGACTTATCTGCGCCTTTCAGCTGTGGAGACATTCTCCTCCTCTTCCTCTTCCACCTGTTCCAGGTCGTTTTCGATCTCTTCCTCTTCCATGATTCTAGGCTCACGAGTGGGTTGCACATCCCCACCGTTTAGTTGCCATTCCATCAATTTGCTGAATGCACCATCGGGTCTAGAGGCAAGCTCTGAGTATGTACCCTCTTCTGCCACCTGCCCATCGTTGCTGATGACTATGATACGATCCGACCGCTTGATCGTGGAAAGGCGATGTGCAATGCTGATGGTTGTATTCTTCTCCTCAAGCAACTTGCCAAGGGCTTGATTGACGAGCGTTTCGGACTCAGCATCGAGAGCGCCTGGATTTGTTAGAATTATCCACTTGAATAGGTTTCTGTCACATACTAGTTGCTTCGTCGAGTATCAAGATGTCAGGTTGCTTGATTAGAGCTCGTGCAATGGCAATGCGTTGCTTCTGACCTCCAGAAAGCTGTGTGCCTCGTGCTCCTACATGTGTCTCAAGTCCATCAGGCTACAATTTGTCAGTTTTAGCCGTACTTGTACGCTTGCGAGGACTTTCTACTTACAAAGTCGCTGATGAATTGACAATTGGCTTTGCGTGCTGCTGCTACTATCTCGGCACGAGTAGCCTGGGGAACTCCGTACGCAATATTCTCAGCGATAGTTCCAGAGAATAGGACAGGCTCCTGGCCAACAAAGCCAATCTTTCTTCGTAACTGCTTAGCATTCAATTTGGTGATATCGCGACCATCGATAGTGATAGTTCCTTCGGTGGGGATGTAAAATCGCAACAGAAGACTTGCGACGGTTGATTTCCCCGCTCCACTTGGTGCTACGATTGCGACGTTGATGCCTTGGTTGATTTTAAAGTTGAGATCCTTGAAGATGGTTACTTTGGGCCTTGTTGGGTAACTGAACGTTACATTCTTGAATTCAATCGGTCCACGAGCAGATCTGACAGGTTCGCCTTTGGTCGGGGATATTGTCGGATTGCGATCCTGCAGTTCAAAAAGGCGACTAGCTGCACCGACACCTTTCATCATCTCACCCCAAAAACCTGATAGACCCACCATGCTTGAGCCAGCATATGCCGTGTACATCAGGAAGGAAGTGAGTTCACCAATGGATATGGCACCCGATTTGACCATGCCCCCACCAGCGTAGAGAACTGCAATGATGGTCAAGTTACCCAGAAGTCCAGTACTACCGAAGAAAGATGCGGCAACAATTGCTTCTTTCTTCCCGAGTTGGAATATTCTCTTGACTTGACGGTTATATCGAGCCGCCTCTTGAACTTCCCCTGCAAATGCTTGGCTCGTTCTTACGTTTCCTAGACGTTCCTCGGCAATCTTTGTCAGGGTACCTAAGTTCTTCTGGATCTTGCGGCTGATATTCCGTAAAGCCCTGCCGGACACGAAAGCGACGATAGCAATTGGCGGGCCTATCAGTGCCAAAATACCAGTGAGTTTGAGACTGACCCAGCCCATCATGACGAACCCAGCAGCACCACTTACGCCAGAGCGGAGACCATCAGACAGGTTCTGGGTAATGCTCTTTCCGACAATGATGGTGTCCGAGCCCAAGCGAGATATCAGATCACCCACGCGGTTCGCATCAAAGAATTCAGCATTCTGGATGAAGGTCTTTCGGTACAGCTGTGATCGTAGACGGGCGACGATTCGTTCTCCAACGATACGTAGGATAATGATGCGACCGAAATTCGCGGCGGCACCGGTGGCCAGGACTGTAGCCAGGGCAACGTAAAAGGTGGTGATATCCAGGCCAAAGAGCATTTCATTGGATCCTTCGGCTTGTGTTGCGATGTCCAGAATCTTTCCAATGGAGAACGGAACAGACATTGAAACGGCCGACGAGATGAGTAGAAAAAGGAATGCCCATGATAATGATCCCAATTCCGGTCGCGCGATCTTCAACAGTCTCCATATTTCGCTCATGCTCCCTTTTTGACCTGATCCTGATCCGTCCTTGCTCAATTTTGCGCTGAGGTTTACTTGTGCAGCTGCAGACGCCTTTTCCGACTTCACAAAAGCCTCTTCCTCGGGCTCGGCTTCTTCCACATTAACAACTCCTTTCTCCTCCATCTCCTGCTTGTATGATTTCCGCACATTACTTGTAATATTACTGCTCTTTTGCACCTCTGCTAGGGATCGTGACGCGCTGAATACCCGAGACGGTAGTCGTGGTGGGGAGGGGTTATGGCGGAAGGTGATGGGCTGGAGGAAGCCATTCGGCTGTGGTGGGACTATTGTCTGCCGCGGATTGGGTCGTAGAGATGATGCTCTCCGGATTATTGAACTGTCAAATCTGTTTTCCGTCCGTATTCTTGAAAAGAGAGCTCCATTGCCAGTACTCTGCCAGGCCTTGGCGGTAAAAGTAAGCGTGCTGCGCATGGCTCAGCACGCGAGAAGGTAGACAGAAGGTGTCTACCGGAATCGAAGGGAAGTCGAATTTGCAGTGAAGACGTGCCACATGTCGAACGGATGGGTGAGGAAAGGTTACGCCAGAGAGCGCGTGGGGGGTAATATGAGGTTGAGTCGCGGAGGCGCTCCTAGACAAAAGTTCTCGCCTCGGAGCATGACGAAACGACTCCCATCCCTCTAGGCTCTAAACCCACCCACATGCAAGTAACAACCACCGGGAATCGGCGCCATCTCCCATTCCGATCCCGTCCGGGCTAAAATCTCTCAGCCGTCTTCGCATAATGTGCATCCATCCATCTTCCATCTGCTATTGTTTGCACCCTACAACCCCTCTATATACAATTAACATCAGCAATACAATCGCTCGTACATCGACATCTTCAAATCTCTAAAAGAACATAGCTCATGGCAGTGCAAACTTCCAATCAGATCGCCGAAACTCCGTCTCAGACCTACCTCGCTACCTCATTTCGATTAATACAATCACCAGCAAACCGGACTTAATCAGATGAATAGATACTAGATACGCACAGGGTGGTCGCTCCAATTTATCTCTTATTCCGATATACCTTTGACAATTTATCTTGGGGCTTTGACTACCCAATCAAAGCAAGAATTTGATGTTAATTGCAACTCTGACGCGTGCTAGCTCACGATTGATTCCTATGTCCATGTACATAAAAGCCCTTCCCAACGAGCACTTCCTCTGTAAATGCATTCACACCAATGAGTATATCCAACTCAGCCAGACAAGCAATACATCTAGCTACGCTATGGCCAGTTGATTAATCACTGACCTTCTCTTTCGATAAGTACCATGTTGAGTTGACAACAGTCATTAGACTCCTCCCTGGCCATCCGTCACAATTACTGCATTGGTCAAATTCCTTGCAGCCGAATGAACCGATGATTGCGACTGTTGATGCATAGTTTGTGCTTTGCGTCTTTTCTTTGCTAACCAAACCAGCAGTGTGCCACTGACTCCGAACAGCACGACTAGCCCGACTACCATCCCGATAATGGCACCGAATGGAACATTTGTTTCGGTTTCTTCTTTCGTCTTGCGTCTGAAGTTTGTCGACATAATGAGGAATCACGCCAACGGAGCGTGCAGAGACGAATTGCGTCTGATGATGTGGTTCCCTGGCAATTGGCTGCAGCGAGCTTTGAATCGTACTTTTGCAATGAACCAGGCGGAACAAAGCTACAATTCTATTAGCAAGCCCGACTTCTGAATATAAAAGTTTAGGTTTGCAGGATGAGTATGGTTCCACTTACTAGTAGCAATGCAGTTATTAGACAATTACTTGAAGGATGGCAGATACTTTGTTTGAACAGCTCTTTTCCAAGACAAAGGAGAAACAGCTGGATTATTTCGAAGATCTGGTAGAGTGGTCGATCTATCAGGTACTGTACACCGTGCAATTCCAAACACACTGCTATAAGTACCAGTAGGGACAGGGAATGATATTCGGGTTAGAAGTCCTTAACCCGTCCCTATTCGTCTGGATGTCTCACTCCCATTGAGACCTATCCAGTGGTTCCACTCCCTCATCGGCGACCTCGCTCCAGCAAGCACAGCTTCCTATTGTTCATCCCAACCCCCGACTATTGCTAAGCTGTGGCTAACGACTTTTATATTGGACCATGGCAGCTGAAATGACAAGCTGTAGCCAAAGCCCATCTTCAGAGTCTGAAATTGAATCGTGAGCGAAAAGCGAATCGTGAGTGATTTCATTCGCTTATTTACTATTTACTCATTTCTAGGGCTTGATTAATGATATCTGTTGAGCACTCAAACATCAAGTAGCTTTTATGGCACACATAAGACTTCAATTGGCACCAGAAGTCAGCATGTACGCCGTGCATATAATGTTTATTTACCTAGGAACTTATATGATGTCTCGCCTACTTCGGGAATAATTGGGATCAGCCAAAAGTGCTGAGGTCTGGTACCAAGGACATTTTGGAAAAGACGAGATTCCTTGGCCTCATGTTGGATGGCAATTGTTGCAATGAAAGCATGATTTAGGCCCCCCATTCGGCCACACCAAACGCGGGCCGTCTCAGGCACCATATTCAAAAGTTGGCTGGGCAGACATTGGAAGGACTATTATGCCGCAAAATGATACCATCATGAGGACGAGTTTCCATTGGCGAAAATTGACGCCGTTGGGGTTCCCTTTCACCATGAGGTGAGAGCCATTGCGGGCGCGTCGATCCTCAAAGAATTACCAATAACCCGGCGCGACAATGTTAGTACGTCCATCTCGTAGGGGTTCCCATCTTTACATTGCCAGTGACGGACGATTTCCTAGTATCCTTCCCTCCAACTTGATGGGCTTCTCCATAATTAATCCATCTAATCTTCCGAGTACTAGTCTATCTTTGGTCTACTTTGCTCATTGGTAATAACGCATCATTTTTCGGTTCATGATCACAACTTATGCCAATGTTGATTACCCCTGAAGAACTGGTGTCAGGAATTTCAGGATGCTCGTTTTCATTCGGAACAACCCAGAAGCCCCCAGGTCTAAGGACATGGGGTTTCGAACCCAATCCCCCATTAGCAGACATGCACCGAGCCAGCGCCAATTACGGCCGTTGCCCTTATGGAAATGCAAAATCAAGCATGTCAGGTTAATAACCCGTCCTTCGCTAAGCCCGCGCCGGCCCCCATTTGGCCCAGTTCTTCCGCTTCTTAACGCAACGCAAACCTTGCACAACAGCGTCGTGCAAGGTACTTGGCCTATCAATCGTCCTTGAGGGTGATACTGCTGGTACGACCCGATACCAAACTCGGGGTTTGGTGCTTGGGTCAGCCCCTCGTCCTAGGAACGTGCTTGCAATCAGTCTTGTCCCCAGACTCTAATAAAAGAGCAGCCGTCGACGCGGTCTCCTCGCCTGCTTTTGCGTCTTCCATACCACTGTCAGCGACCAAAATGGTAAATCCACTTCGATTGTCGGCGCTTCTGTTTGCGGGAAACGCTTTCGCCGCGTACAGTGAACTCTTCTTCGCGACAGAGGAGTCTGATTGGAAATGCCCAAGGCTGTCTTTCAAGTGCATAGCACCATCAATATGCGCGCACGAAGGCTTACTCGACAAATATTATTGCTGCGCGCCAGAAGATGATGCGGTCTGCTGGACAGGCTCAGAAAGCTGCAAAGGTTCCGATGGGGGACCAAGTTCGACTCAATTAGGTTGTGGATCAGACAATGGCTACTGCTGTTTGAGCGGAAGGTGTGTTCTTCACTATCAAGGTTTAGGATCCTGTACTAATCCGTTTCCCAGGGAAGAGTGCACACAACGACGCAGTGAGTTCCATTAATAGGTAATTCCGATTCTTTGGCTGATAAAGAGTGCATAGATCAAATCAACATCTGCTGGGCAACACCTCCGAATCCGATGGCTGGCATTGGCCCCACAAGAGTCAACGAAACATATTCCTCTCTTCTGTCTGCAAGTCCATCGGCTAGTACATTGGCTTTCAAAGCAGAAGTTTTCCAGTCGAGCAGTACTTCCACGCCTGTTGCCACCCCAAGCGCAGCTACAGAACCGACGATCTCCACATCCACCCAGGTGGCCGCCACAACCCAGGCCAATACTGCAACCTCGTCGACAATTCAACCCGAGTCATCTTCCTCCTCTTCCGGTATTTCTGGAGGTGCGATCGCTGGCATAGTAGTCGGAGTGATTGGTGGTCTCGCGCTCATCGGAGCTGGCGCATTCTTTCTCTTCAAGAGAAAGAAGAATGATGCAGGCATTGAGTTGGACGGCAACCCGTATAACAGCAACGCTTATGCACACATTGGCCCCCCACAAGAGAAATATTCTAGCAACGCAGCACACGAAGTCCATTCCCCGGTTCAAAGCTTTCCGCCTGTGGAAATGGATGGCTCCGGATATAAGCCAATAGAAATGGAGGGAAGCAATCCTCCAGCAAGACAGCAGGGGACAGGAAACTAAAGAGGAGGTAATATGAATTGCGGTTGGATATTTCGGCCTGATGAAGCTTCGGCGCGATAGTCATGATATCTTCACATTTTGCGCTGTGTAGTCGCTATTTTCTTTAACAATTTTTGGTTAAGAATTCCCTCATGAGTTTCAATCATGGCGCCACTCCAGAGACAGTAGATCTATCCGGAAGAATAATAAAATTAAAATTATCAGATAAGCCAACGCGAAACTGATGGTGCCATCTTCAGTATTTACCTTACCATCCATTAGCTCTCTACATTCCGTCAACGTGTTGCTAACATATATACGACGTAGCTGTACTTTCATACGAGTACTTCCCCAACAGTCCGTAAATACTTTAAAAACAGTGCAGTTTAGTTTTCAGCCACTCCCAATGCATTCTTGTCGATATATGTTCAATATCAACACAACAACCACAAACGAGCAGTAAGTCCAGTAAAAAGTTATATTGGTGAGCTAACTAATACAAAGTTTAAAATATTAAATCTGATTCCACTCGTTGGGCATTCCTGATCCTCCGCTGATAGACCGGTAAAAAGATACTGAGGTTGATTGATACACAACATAAGATATTAGATCTGGCTCCACTCGTTGGACATTCCTAAACCTCCAGTGGTCAGGTCGAAACATACTGCCGAGAATACGTTCCCATCCTGTCATCCTTCATGTTGTTGGTTGTCGAGGATCCGCAAGAATCGGGAATACGTGGTCGAGCCTGATAAGCGGATGAACCCTCCTGGCCCTGTGAACGTATTCGTTCTTTGGTTTCTTGTCCAGGACTGAGAATAGGAAGTAGACTAGGATCGAGACTCGGTGGTAGGAAGTTTTTAGTCGAATTTCAGGATTCGGGTCAGTAGAAAGCCCTAGAAATGCTCTCATATTCGCCCAATGGACGAGTTGCCCCAACGGAAACACTGGGTGTAGTTTCCACGACTGCCAAATTAGGTTATCTGCACTAAATGTTGGTGCACCTGGCTTGCCTGGCCAGTCAGGGTCGCCTGGGTATGTATTTTCCCAACCTTCCTCTTCCCCCAGCCATTGCCTTGGTATAGTTTTTGTTCCGCAGAAGTTGCATGTCGAGGCTGTCCCTAGAACTGACCTACATTTGACCCACATACACACAGCGTACCAGCGTCCCGGTTCAGCCGTTCCGCGTAGCGGGGTGTTCGGGTACACGAAGGCCATATCTTTTGTCGACGATACAAATTCGAGTTATGCGGGTTGGACAATATCAAATGAGATCTCTGGGAAAGTATTATATCTGTTGCTAATCGTTTTCTTATGCTTGAAGGGATTCTTAAAAGAAGATAATATTTGAGGTCACGATTGATCAGTTCCACTTTACTTCGCAAGTTCTCATTTTAAATAGGCACGCGATTCAGTTCAGTCATTGTTATTGCAGTCACAATTTGTCTCAGTCATTGATGAACCATGTTCGGTTTGAATCATTAAATTAGTCAAAGTCAAACAATATCACTGTGGAACTGGTCACGGATCGTTCTCAGAGCTCCACACGCGAGCAATGTCACCCATGGATACTAAAGGAAGATTCATTGGCCTTGTGAGCCGTCATTCATGTTACAATTCATAATACACTAAGTGCCCTGTGGTTGCCATGACTGACCAGAGTCATCGAGGTATAGTCACATAGATATCATACACCTGACTTTGACGTATTCCAGATTATGATTGCAATCCACCACGAGTACGCCCGAACAAGCGAAGAATCTCGTGGCTTCGTCCTACTGAGTCAAGAAACCAAAGTGTTAATAATAGCAACATGCCATTGCAAGTACACGACAGAATTGGAAGGGTATCATCAACGTTATGAGTTTGTCTCGCTCCAAATTCTCTACTATTCACGCAGTCTATTATGTGCCTAGTCTATTGCGGTGGACATTCCCGTATCTCATCAAAGCTTGCTCTACATTGACGGTGGTAAAAAGACCAAGCCTAGGAGGAACAGAAAGTAAATCGTTGGACACGTAATCAAAGACAGCAAAGGTAGAACGCAGAAAGGGCAAACCAACCAGGCTGTCCCCAAATCTCGTTTGATTCCATTCCCGTATGTTGCCGTGGCACCTTCAATGACCGTTAACAAAGTCACACCGGGACTATGGATTACTCACATCTCGGTACCATTTATATTGACTTGAGTATTTGCCTCCAGTAGATCTAATGGATCGATTGGGAACCAGGAGTCCAAGAACTTCAGTTCCAAAAGTTGTGGCTTTGAACATTCAAAGATAACGAAGTTTCCCTTCCAATCGCTATCAACGGAAGTCCGACCATGAAGATAAGGAATGATAGCCTGAAAAGTGGCTGGGGAGAGACGGAGAGTAGACGCCCCAGAATCAATGATGGAAACGTGCTTTTGATCTCTCCGGACTCGACCTGGCGTTACGGGTATTTCAACACCGTTGATGCGTATGCCTTGCAATTCTGTAGACCACGCAAAGAATCCTGTATGGTCTAGCCTTTCAGGGCTGGTGGATTCGTCTGTAAATCTTGCAAAAGGAAGAACATCTCCATAGGTGATCTTGGAGTTTGTATGTTCTTCTGGAATGCCCCCCAGAGTGAGTCGGCCGAAAGGCTGACTTGGGTCCCCATAACGTGCGGCACTGAGCGAGAACATTGGCTTCTCGAGATGACCCTGCGCGATTAAAGTATCAAGAAAGGGTAGCAAATGAAACTTCCTCATTATAGATGAGGTCGTTTGCATGCCCAATGCAAGGTAACCAGCGAAAGAGCCATTCTCAAATTCATTCACCCACGCTTCTTCAATCAGAGCTATGCCAGTCAGATGAATGAACTTGAAAAATGTTTTCATCATATATTGTGGTATAAATACATACCTGCAGAGAAGTTCTTCACTTCCGTGTCAAAGATTGTCATTGGATTTGTCATAACATTTCCAATAACGCGTCCTCTGCCTATGAAAGTGTCGAATTTCTTGTTATGGTCAATAACGGCAACATTCTAAGAATCGTAAGCTCATTAGGATCAGCAGTGAAGAACTTCCTGGACGAACCCTAGCCTCGAAGCCTGACTCTAGTGAATAGCATCCACTTTCGATATCCGTTGAGTTACATTCTGCTGAAGCAACAATGCAGTCTCCAGACGATGTGTCAATGACGAGTGGTATAATTTGGTTATTGATCGTTACATTGACCTGACACAACGATTTGAGTAATTTTTTTGCCTTAGTATTACATTAAATCTGCTTACCAATTGGTATGTATCATCATGTCTATTAGGTGGGAGGAAGACGTCAAGACTAGCTATGTTCGCAGACGAAGTCAACGACACAACAACTGAGGGCTCGGCGATGAACTGTTGGAAGATCGTCAGAGTCCAAAAACATGCTGCAACGGTCCCTAGAATGAACGCAACTGCACCGAAATGGCACGGAACAGACACCATTTGGTTTCCAATGTTTTGAACATGCAGTTGGTGTTGACGCTGAGGAGGATAGACAATATGTGCACGGTGCAGATGGATTAGCAAAAGACCGGCACTGAACAAATATACACCCAATAAGTTACGATTTCCGTCGAATGCCCCAAGTTCGAAGCTAATGCATCGTAAGATACAATAAGCCCAGGATGTCTTCTCGCATCTCGGAAAGCCAACTCTAAAGCGTTTCCCTGAGTGACCATAGCCTATGCAAACCATTAACGCTAAAACCCAGAAATAACTACCTGCCTAAAAAGGAAGACTATGAAATCCCTCAAACAATGTTCTATCACTCTCAAAGAATTAGTTACCTAAATAAATGCAAGGCTCTGAGACACCTACTACAGAAACGATATCAGACTGGAGCAAGAAAGCTTCCGGACTTCCTATAGTTAACTTCAATGGGAACACTGTCGTACAATTTTCAATCATCACTTCAGGTGCAATAGTAAAATGCAATTCATTTGTAACATTGTCTCTCATATCCAGATATGTCGAAATAACCAGATTTCATTATTTATTTTGTGAGCCCTCCTGTTTGGGTATTTCCAATAGACATTTTAGTTCTTCTCAGGAGCGGCGCCCTCAGCACCTGGGGGAACAGTCCATCCGTGCTGGAATGCTCCCTCACGCTTCTCAGGAGCTGCACCCTCAGCGCCCGGAGGGACAGTCCAGCCATGTTGGAAAGCTCCCTCGCGCTTCTCGGGGGCGGCACCCTCGGCACCTGGGGGGACGGTCCATCCATGCTGAAAGGCTCCCTCACGCTTCTGCTTCTCAGGAGCGGCGCCTTCGGCACCTGGTGGGACAGTCCAGCCGTGTTGAAATGCTCCCTCACGCTTCTCGGGAGCGGCGCCTTCGGCACCTGGTGGGACAGTCCAGCCGTGTTGAAATGCTCCCTCACGCTTCTCGGGAGCGGCGCCTTCGGCACCTGGTGGGACAGTCCAGCCGTGTTGGAATGCTCCCTCTCGTTTCTCGGGAGCTGCGCCTTCAGCGCCTGGGGGAACAGTCCATCCGTGTTGGAAGGCTCCCTCTCGCTTTGCAGGGGCTGCGCCTTCAGCACCTGGTGGGACAGTCCAGCCGTGTTGGAAAGCTCCCTCTCGTTTGTCGTTTGCCACTGGGGCGGCCATGGCCATGGCAGCAAGGGCCAGAATGACGGAAGCGGCCTTCATGGTTGATGAGAGGATGTATTGAAGGAGGATGTGGGTTTGGTTTGTGGGTGGTGAGACAATCGTGTGAGAAGGCGAGTATGGAACGATCTTTATACTTCCAATGCTCTGGTGAACGACGTCCGTGGACCAGTATGTTGGAGATGATACTTCCAATTTCCATAGACACGAGGCACAAGGTTCCTCTCGCTGGCGAAGCTGACAGGCCTACGGTGATGCATGTCCTAACTTCATTAGCGACTGATTCGTATGGGGATTCTGTGGGGATTGTTGCAAGTTGGTTTTGACGTATTGCACCTTCTCTTCCAGGCAATTGCAAACATAACATCTGATACTTGGCTGAGATCGGCATGTAGATACGTACGCGAGGTAGAAATACGAGTTGCTGTAACTTCGTGTTGTAGAACCTATTTGTTATGAAGTGGTCCAAGGTCGATGAATCATACTGCGTTAAATGCTTGTTAACTGCCTTCCCATTTCATGCTAGGAAGTATCGGAAGTATCACGTCAATTGTTTCTCTACTCACGCTTCCATTCCCTCAAACTCCCCGTACTTCTAATTTGGATTCAACGATACTCTCATTAATTCTTTCTCTTGTTACGGCTATCACTATGGCAGAAGGACGCTTCAAAGATGTTGCATACAATTCGGTCGAGGGCAGTGACAACGACGGCTACGTAGCGCCGCCTAGACAGCAAACCTTACGATCAAAGGCATGGCCTTTCGTCACGGGTGTGTTGACCAGTGTCGCTATCGTGCTAGTTATTGTCGCTGCTAGGCACATCATCGAGCCTCGACAAAAGACTGCTGCAGAAATCGAAGACGAAGAATGGAATCATTGTGGTCGCTCAAGCAAAGTCGCCATGGAAAAGGGCTGCGTCATGGAGCCACTCTTCTATGGCTGGATGCCACCACAATGTGTGTTCCAGGAGCTCACCACTCAATACCCAGTCTTTGAAGACCGAAAGTGGTTCAAGGACGAGAATATGACCCTTCCAATTTCTAGTGAGTCGCTGTGGAAGGGCGAACATAACACCATCTATACGGGAAGGCAAGTTCCGGTGACACTAAAAAGTCCAAAGCAATCCATTGACATCAATGATCAGATATCATGGGGAGCATTGTCTTTTCCAGTGGCGTAAGCTGCAGTTTGCAATGGACAAACGTATGGAATTTCTAGACAACAAGACAATCAGTGCACACCACACTGGCCATTGTGCAGATCAGCTCGCCGTAGGTTGTGAAGGCGACCACGATGTCAACACTGTGGGACTTGGCTTCTATCGGTGTAGGAAGACGGTTTGGTAATCGCGGAATACTGGGAATAACTAGCAAGATTACGAAATCACAAGTTAAGAATGTTGTATCCTCTTGTTCATCACGTAACAAGACGAGAAGCTGGATGTTGCGACAAGTGCCTCGTATTCGTGTGTACAGACGATAGATACACGTAATTACCTGTAATGCTTACGATTCATGTAAATTATATTTGAATGGAGATACGAGTTAGTTTGACGTTTGTAGAAGGTGAAATGTGCAATTGTTCAAGTCTCCACGGTTACAACGGTCCAATACCGTCGTGGGGCCCCATTCAACAACTAACGCTCTGCCGTTTTGTACGTGTACACAGGCTTCAAACGTCTGACTTATCGATACAAGGTGCGAAGCGATGTCATTTCTCTAAGAAATAGTTACATATTAGATATCAGCCAAGGCGGACACAGACCCTTGCCTCGTATTGTAAATGGTTAATGGACTCAAGCAAGTCTGGGTAGGTAGCAAGACACGGGAGGGAACTCTTGATTCTATGCCAATTCCTACCGATGCCGCCAATCTGAATCTAATCATGCAATCGACATCGTATATGGCCACAAAAGGTCATTGCTGCCACCTCCACACAGTGGGCTGAATACGAAATACCAACGTTAACCGTCCACGCTAGCAGCCGGCTCGTACCTGCGGCTATTTGTACCCTTAGAATTCCCGAGAAGCTTGATATTTCGACCGACCGTTGGTATGCACATGTAAATGGGGCTACTGTACCTTACCAGGTCAGGCAGCTGGCTGTGTGAAGATACCCCAGCTATGGAATCGTAGTTGTTATCGTTGGTTCTCCACAAAGGACACCATTTTCGAGGCTCCACAAGTCACCATTATTGTCTTCACCTGCTTGTTTTCAGTAGGAACCCTGGCGTCTTTGCAGGCAGAGCGGAGTGTTGTTTTCTTCTTTCCTTTCCTCCACAATTCCTATGCCATATTCACACATGCATTGAAACACAATATGAAAGACGAATTGTCAAACACCGGCCTTTTGACCGCCGAGGAGACATCCTGGAAAGAGCAGAAGCCCCAGCGACCGCGATGGCATTGGATCGTCGCACTTGTTTCCTCACTCCTCATCACTAACTTCCTAACCTTCATTGTCACTTTCAAAACCGCATCCATACCCTATGTTTCTGTTGCCACTCCCCCGAAAGGAGTTCCGAGGATCCTATCAAAGATTCCAAAGAAACCAGGGCCGAAATTCTTGAACTCGACGTTCTACGATCAGAACGACGACATACTATGGAAACACTCGTCGCACGAAGTCGAGCAGGCTTGGCATAATTTGACTCAGGGTGGAGGCGGACTCCTCATGATATCGAAAGAAGACGCTGCGCAGGCCGACATCGATCCCAAGAGGCATGCGTACTGGAACAATCCAGAGGCCGGCCTAGTCGGTTATCCGGTCGGAATAGAAGTACTTCACCAAGTTCATTGTTTGGTAAGTAGTTTGCATACTTTGATACATAGCAAAGTATAAAGGAACATCGTGGGCTGATAGGGAACAGAACCTCATACGGGCAAACTTATACTACAATCGTGGGTTTACGGAGAAGAACTGTGAATACACTGCTTGCGGTGTTCCAGAAGACTACGCACAACTCCACATAGACCATTGCGTAGACTTGATTCGATCTCGTCTCATGTGCACGGCTGATGTTGGTATCGTTCCCATGATCTGGCTAGGTGACAAGGGCAGGATCACGGGTGATATGGGTAGAATGCATACGTGTCGCAATTATGATGCAGTGCGACAATTTGCCATCGATAATGCCCGAGGAGTGCCGGAGCTGGGTGTGGTAAAGCCAGCAAAGGACGACTTCCGTGTGGACGATTACATATAATGTACATATAATTAACGACGCAAAAATACAAACCATTTCAATCATTTTTCTGTACTTTTATCATGCTGAAGCATAGTGAGTTGGCGTTCCCATGATGACTGGGTCACCGTGTAGTTCTGAATGTATAGTCATGGACCTTGGTTACCTTGGGCGATGATGTGTGAGACTCTGTTCAAATGGTGCTAGAGGACTGACTTATTGGCACTTATTTGTGATAATGCTACGAGAGATGCGTGGCATTGGGCGAAAATTCCGAAGAAGTCATACTTCTTTGTGACCTTGATTGCTGCACATAAAGAATTGTAGGAATTGACTATATATAATCTAAGGGCAAGGTGGGAGATGGAAGGCGTGTCTTCGTGGCAAGGAGAAGAAGTTGAAAAAACACGAGAGTTGAGAATCATTGACAGTAGGTCCACACCATATAGTGAGCTTTGAAGATTCGTTAGTATGCATTATTCAATATGTAGGTCAATAAAAGAGTAGAGGCATGGAAAGATTACAAAGGCATTAGAACGAACGTCGTCTATCTACCCTGCTTTTCGAGTATCATATCCAGTCAGTAGGGAATGCACTTCAGGACCATCTTTCAATATAGAGTCGATGCAAGCATCGGTATGTGATTTGGCTAAGTATGTACCAGGAGCAAAAGATAAAGTATATACAGTGAACAACCCCTTGTCTGCCTTCGACGTGTTACACCTAGCAAGTGAAGACCTTGGGTCCGGGGATGGTGTATGCCTGAGCCTTGTAGGCATCGTAAGTGATACCGGCATCAGTCGCCTTGTAAGCTCCTGGGAAACCGACAAGGCTGGAAGGCTTGGTCGTTCCCGATCCAGTGACCTTGAGCTGATGGCATCCAGGATAGAACTGGGCACCGGGGTACTGATAGGCAGAATGGAGAGCGATGATTTCGTGACGGACGAGGTAGTAGCCTGGAGCAAGGCAAGATGGAATGGTGTAGCTGGCAACAGCACCAGCCTTCATCAGAGGCGTAGCTCCCCAGACGTTAGAGGTGCCTTGGCGGCCCTCCTCTTTGATCTTGAACCAGACCGCTCTGTGCTCAAATATTAGCCAGCAATCTATGTTGGGGATGGACGACGGGTATACTTACGCAGAGCCCGGCATGTAGTCGTTACAGCCGGCATCAGGGCAGCGAGCCATGTAGGTGATGACAGGACCCACGTGGCTATCAGGCCACAGAGTCCATCGAAGGTCAACCTTAGACCCGGCAGCAGCCTCAGCATGAAGAGGAGCGGGCTTTGATCCATCAGTGCCGTATGCCTTAGCACCATTGCACTGAACGTCCGCCAATGTGACATCCTCGACTGGACCGTTTCCAGGGATAAGTCGAGAGATACGTTGGGGAGCCGGGTTCATGTAAGGATCTTGATATGGCTGGTAGAAGGTGAACTCCTTGCCACCAATAGTCGCGTTGTCGACATAGCCATGGGCAGCAGCAACGGCTACGAGGCCAAGGGTCTGGAGAATGTACTTCATTTTGATTGAGCTTTTTGGATAAAAGAATGACGATCCTGCGTAGAGTGAAGAAGTTACGAGAAGTGAATGAATACAAAACGAGTGCAACAAGCTCAAATAAATGAATGGAAGTTTGGTACCGAATGACCTACAGACCGGGAAACGGATGATGAAGATGCATCCTTATATAGACCATAAATTGAATTGCATGACCAAAACAAATGAAAGGCTCCTTTTCAGTAGCACATGTACTACTTGGTTTGAAACCAGCGGTGGAAATATTGCTTGTAGGCGATCATGAACGGAGTAGAATTGATTAAACGAAACACGCTAGGGCTGGATGGTGAGGTCTTGGGACTTTCTGTGAGCGCTAATACGGCGTACGGACCGATGATATGTGAATGGCTTCTTTGAGGAAAAGTGAGGTAGTATTGCTGGGCAAAGCCATCTACCTATTGTGCTATATGTAGTCACAGGAGGTGAAGAAAGCATACTTTAGGTTACATTCAGCTTTTACTGTCATTGATCGATTGTCTTAAACACTTTTTGAAGTTCGATTCTTGAAATGAAGGGGATTGGTGGAGCCCAAGATTCCGTAGTCGTCTCAGATGGTAGATCCCACGTGACCTCTGTCAACCGCTCACTCAGTGAGTTCTCGATGACTGTACGCCGGAATTCTCGCCGTGATTTTTCCAGATACTCTATTTGATATGATGCCAAGCGGAAGGGGCTCCCGGAAGTGTTGTCGAATGCAAGCGTGAAGGTGGTGCCGCATACAACGTGAAATGAGATCGAGAGGAAAGCATCCCAGAAATAGGACTTCAGCTTTCCATAGCTATGGCCCTTTGCGGGGTCGCTTCCTCTTTGCCTTTGTACATCCCGGTCATTTCTTCTTGTCGTCTTTCATTGCTCCAAAATCGGGTTCGGCTTCCCACCTCTGCACTCCGTCCGGAATTGGCACGACAGCTGTCCTGCAGAAGATGTGTGTGGCACCACTCCAATCTAAGCCTTCAAGAACGCCACCCTTGACTGCGACGACTTTTGGATCTCCATATTCAAGGACATGTGCGTGTAGGATGCGGCTACCGCAGCGGCTGCAAAAGTAACAGTTCTGTTTACGGCCACTGTCGCATGTGCGGGAGAAGTAGGTAACAGCCGGGTTTGACTCGTCCAATTTGAAGAATGGGAATATTGCAGATGTCCCGAAGGCACTTGCGGATTGTTTGCGGCAATCAATGCAATGGCAATGATAGAGTCTTGTTGGTGTGGGCGTAGGTGTTGTAAAAGTCACAGCTCCGCACTGACAGGAACCGTTCATCTTGGGGCTAGTACTCCGTAGAGCGAGATGTCTAAGTGAAGAGGTAGTCGTTTGTAAGAAACATGTACAATCAAGGCCCAAGAACACCTCGGAGGTTGATGTGATGTAAATAGATAGACCCTATGGCATAATTACCGACACGTGCTTCCCCACATTCGGGCGGGGTTGTCAGGCCTATCTGGGCACTCCAGGTAGACATGCAATTCTCGAATTGCCGTCCCAGTATTAGCCCCAAAATCCCAATCCAAATACCAGTACCCAGTCCCAACTACGGGGTCATCAATGATGCGTAACGAAACTGATGCCGGATTATAGTTCTTGCTCCAGGACAGCAGTTTGAGTCAAAATTTCTGTAGTTTTACTCACGCTAAAATAGATTGTCCTATCCAGAACGTGAAAGTTACAGCCTTATCTTCGATATAGCCTGAGACAGTACGCTTGTATTCACAGCAAATATGTTTCCTTCAAACAGTGCCTGCTGTGGCACTGGGGGATGCGGACAACGCTGAAGTCGGAAAACCAGTTGGTCAGAAATGAGATGCTCTCCAGTAGGAATGAAAATATCAGAAAGATTGTGCCCGGTCAAGCCGTATTCAACCGTGATCATCGAGTACAAAGCAAAAAGATCTGTAACTAAGTAGAATCATTGCCTTGAATAGCTAATACTGGATCGAGTCGCAGGAAAATTGCATTCTTGTACGGTGCACAACTCATTTCAATGGTGATAGGAGGCTCGACGGCGCGTATGTTAACTGATATTGATTGATGATAATCACTGATGTAGCGTGAGTTGCATGATGCTGAACAGTTGCGTTCGAGATCGTGCTGGAAACTTCCAACCTAGTAACTGCTGGAGCTTGATCACGCCAAGCACAAGGGGGGACTCGAGCTCATCCCGCCTATACATACCCCCACAATCGTCATCGACAAAACAGCCGTCTGATAATTACAAGACATCTTCTTCACACAACCAGCAAAGATGGTCATAAATTACAGCAAGTGGGTATGAGACGACTAAAGAAACTAGTACACTTGAGTAGTTATTGACACAATGCACAGGACAACCTCGAGCTCTCCGACGACTCGGACGTCGAGGTCCACCCCAATGTTGACAAAAAGTCCTTCATTCGCGCCAAACAGGCACAAATCCACCAGGATCGCGAGCGCAGACGGCATCAAATTAAGACGCTCAAGTACGAACGCATCATCAACGATGGATTGACACTCCGCATCGACCGCCTTCTCACAGCCCTGAAATCCCACCGCGACAAGCCCAATGCCGCCGAAAACCCCGAGGCGCTGGTCTTCCAATCGATGATGGAGAGTTCCATGGAAATGTCCGAGGACCGCCCGCCGGAGCCACCAGAGGGTGTGCACACACACATTAAGGACAAACCGACGTATCCGCAGATGATGGCGACTATGGTGGATCTGGTGAAGAAGGAGGTTGTGGACAAGGCTAAGGAGGGGGAGAACAAATTGGAGAAATTCATATCTGGACTGGACAACGAGAAGGGCCGGGTAGAGGGTTTGCAAAAGGAACTACTTGCTAAGCTAGCAGAGCTTGAACAGGAGGAGAAGCGACACATCACCAGCGACGATCTCCGTGAGGGTTTCAGTTATTCCAATGTCAAGAAGGCAGACGAACCTTCGAAACCAGCGGCTTCATCTTCCACCGTTGAGCTACTCAACCCACCAAAACGCCCAGAAGCATCTCGATCGGATACCGGACAATCGTCTGGCGCAGACGCGGACGTCGAAGAAGGTACCGCCGTTGACGAAGACTCCGTAGAAGCTTCTCCCCTCGCTCAGGAATTCGCAAGGATAAAGCGCGGCGACTACTACAAGGCCCTCGAATTCCTCCACAAGCACCCAGAAATCCTAGCCGAGCGCGAATCCGACGGCCTCCTCGTCGAAGCCTTCAACTCAGAACTCGACCACAAGCCAAAACATGCCCAAAACTGCGTGCATGCTGCACTTCTCCTCCAATACTGCAGACAGCTCGGTGGAAAGGATGGCGTGGCGCTATTTTTCAAGCGCATCACGACGAAGGATCACCAGGCAAACAGGATGTTCAACGACGACGTCGATAACACGTACAGGAGGATAAGAGTGCGCGCCGCTGAGATCTTGAAGGAACGTGCGGAGAACCCAGAATCAGCGGAGGGCGTCGAGCAGATCCAGCTCCACGCCGTGGATCCAAACACTACTATCAACATTCGTGTACCTGCCGCAACGCCCTCCTCGGAGGACCCAGATGAGCGTGCGGCGGAAGAGGCGAGCCGACAGATCTTCGACACATTCCCTCCCGGATTGCAAAGGGCACTCGAGAGCGGCAAGTTGGATGAAGTCAACAAGGTGCTAGCCAAAATGAGCGTGGACGAGGCGGAAGAGATCGTTGCTAAACTTGGTGATGGTGGCATGTTGAGTCTCGAGGAGGGTGTCATCGATGCCACGACAGCAGAGGGACAGAAAGCAATGGAGGAGATCGAAAGGACGGGGAAATTGCCCAACAGTGTTGAAGAAGTGGACTAAATCACAGCGGAGGTTCAATAAGCATTCCAATAGTCTTTTTAAGCTCAGTGAGATTGCATAAAGGAGGTCCAAATTTTCGCCTTGGAAATGAAAATCAATTCCGCAGTAATGGCTGCTCAATGTAACATATTACGCTCAAGGCGTCCCTTCCCTACCGTTGCCTCAATGAAACTGATAACTCCTAAAACTTTTCGTCCTTACACCAGTAAGCGGCGATGACATTGCCATGTGCAATCGTCGAGTAATCCTACAGTAACAAAACAGAAACCAACCCATTGCTTGACAAGCACAATAACGCATACTCATATCAAGTTGCCCACGTTGGCGTCAATTCCATCCAGATCTCCATCTCCGGCAAACGCCGCATACTCATCGTCCATGGCGCTCTGGCTAGTCTTCCTTTTCTTGAATGTACTCCCTCCGTAGACGGGGCTTCCTCCATTGGTGCCATCCTCAACTGGTCTGGTATGCGCCGTGAGGCTGCTCAGTAGATCAGCCCCAGGTAGAGCACCGATTGCAGTCTGCATCTGGCCCGATGTGGATGATCCGTATGGTGGGACTACGGCATTGGGCTCCACTGGGTGTGAAATGGCTTCTGGGAACGCATCATCGGGAACAGGGTTCAATTGAGCCTCTCGCTGGGGCGAGCCAACCGGCGTGAATGTTTCCATGGGAGGAGGTGTGAGCTCTTCGATGTCGGGACGTCCAGGGGCGGAAGGCCTTGAAGATCCAACTGGCAACGGTGCGGTGGAAATGGCGTTCTGTTCTGCAGGCGGAAGACCTTTGATGATAGCCTCCTCCACCTCCCGGGTCCGCAGTTGGATAGCATCCTTTTGGGATTTGAGCTCAGTCACTTGCTTCTCCTCGGCAGATAGTTTCTCTTGGTTCGTATGCAGCAGCTTTTCCAGTCCGGTGATAAGCTCCCGGCGTGCCTTTATGCTCTCGGCGACAGCTCCTTCGGCAGTTGCGAGCTTCTTTACGAGATCAGCGAGACGGGCAGCGTGGACTGCTGCTGAAGGAATTGGGTTGTTGGGGTTCGTTAGCTTTTCGTATTCCTGGCTCGCAATTTTAACAGCTGGTTTAGCGACACCGTCTGCTTTTTGTAGATTTGTTGCTTCTTTAGCAACCGTGGTAAGCTCCGGTGGCACAGAGGAGCTACTGTACAGCGAACCACCCAACGCAGGCTTTCTACTGGGACGGGAGCGATCCACTTCATCCAATGCTGCCTCAATCTGTTCCTGTATCTGTTGTTTGAAGACCTGTCGTCCCCTCCAGACTTCAACCACTCGCCTGATCTTCCCCTGTACTTCGCTCGAAGAGCCTTTATACGCAGCGGCCGCGGCCTCGACAATGATGGCGTCGTATGCTCGGAGGAATTCGTCCTTCTTTCGTATCTTCGACTGTTGCACGATCTCTTGACCTGTGTCAGCTAGGCTCAATGCAAGAGTCAAGGTGGTGGTGCAGCTAACCGTTGGCAAGATAGATCAAACTAAGTTTCTTGTTTGGAGTTGATTCTTTGACTCTCTGCATCCAGATTTGTGCTGTACGTTCGGCATGTCGCCTACACCAAACAAAGTCAGCCGCAACATTCGCGTTTCATTAGGGTCCCTCATGAGCACATGTCCTCCTTTGTGATGTCGCAACATCTAGCTAAACAGCACACTTGTGGCGCATTCACGATATTATGCGGGGAGCATTACCTGTGAAACATAATCCATTGCGAAACACCAGAGATGGATTCTTGGGTTTCATTGAGCGAAGCCAGCTTCGCTTTGATAGCTTCATCTGTGAAAGCCATGTTGCATATACGTCACAGTTGAAAGCTATCTCAAGAGCTTCGAATTTGTATCGCTGCGCGCTGTCCTTCACTTGGGACCAACAACTCTATGAACTGTACTGCGCGACCAACCAAGGGTTGGTTTGTAGGTACTATTGAATCTCACAAGTTTTCCCCAGTTCTTTGATGAAGTGAAGAAAAGATGACTTGACTGGCTGTGGAGAACGGAGGTCGAGCGGGAGCTTGTGAACTTCAAGTCGGGGCTATGTTGATCCGCGTTAGCGCGGGCTTGGCAAACGTACTCCTGGGAAGCAACGGGTGCAGCTACATTCACCTTCAACTCATTTCCGTTTGCACATATCTGTATTCTCTTCTCGTTGCAACAACATCCTGTTCTCCTACTCCAGCGCTCGACCAACAACTCACACATTATGGCCGACCGTTTTCCCTCATTAGACGAGATCGATGCGGGTAAGCTGCGGCCAGATAACAGCTAGCAACATGGATGGCTAACAAGCACCTCTAGGCCAAACAGAAGCCCGCGGCGAGGCCAATTTCGATCTTGTAGGAGGCGCCACCGATGGCGATGACTTCTTGTCTCGCGAGCGCGCAATTCTCGGAGACGATGCAGACCAATTCGCTTCGGCAAACGACAAGCTGGCAACAGTGGAAGATGGCGACGACGACCTCCTGGGCGGAGATACAAGCTTCCAGGCCAACGTTGGCGGCCAGGAGATAACTGGATTCGAGAGCTCTTTTCCTGAGATCGACACAACCAACGAGGTATGTAGGCTGCTTTGAACAGCATCGCCATTTGCTTCATGTCTGGTGTTGCAGATGTTAATCAAAGAACAGCACATGGCACCTGGCGGAACCATCACCGGTTCGACACTTCCCTTCCTTCCCGGTCAACCCCAATCCGCATACTCTCCACAGCGGTCAGATTCCCCAGAACCAGATGTCATCCGAGAATGGCGCGAACGCCGCGACCTACAGATCCAGCACCGTGACAAGGTCTCCGCCGAGCGCAAAGCACAGACAGTAAAGGAGGCTCAGGAGAATATCGACGACTTCTATGATAATTACAACAACAAGAAGGAGAAGGAAATAGCCAAGACACGGAAGGAGGCCGAGGAATTCCTGGAGAATCGCGACGACACAACTGCAGGTGGCACAAGCTGGGAGCGCATTGCTAAGCTTGTCGATTTGAGCGGCAAGGGTGTCAAGGGTGGAGCATCAGGCAGCGAGAAACAACGATTCAGAGAGCTTCTCCTCAGCCTGAGGAAGGACGAGAAGGCTCCGGGTGCCTCTGGCTACTAGAGGTCGGGGCGGATGAATGCAGCGGATTAGATGGTACAATGGACGATATATGAAGCGGCCAGGGCATGATTTGCATTGTAATTCAAACAGTATGGCGCACGGCATCACCTGGGCTTCGATCGTGCATATCTGACATTGTGTTAATATTTTGGGCAACTCAAAACCATTTCTACTTTCATGTTTGTGCTTGTACCGTTTCTTCCTTGGAATTTCTTCCTGATTACCCACATGTGCCCACCACACATTCATTATACTTACCGCCAATACATCGTTCACTCGCCAATCACTTTGTTCAAGCCGCTTTTACTGTTCCATGAGACGTATGATTTAGATTCAGAACCCAAAAGTCAGTCCGAATGCCGGTCAAATGATGCACTGTAATCACTTCAATACTTATTTAAAATACTCGAATATTTTTATTCACAAAGGTGGAAGCTAATTTGCATAAGGCCTTTGATTGATTCGCAATGTGGTCTTGCTTAAAGTCTGAGTGTCGCATGTCTTTGAATGTGGAACATGTTGCACACTCGCTTCCTAAGCTGTTCGTCCTTTGCAGGTGTTAGCAAGTGTGCACGCGATATAGTTACAGCCAATCAAGCAAACATGTAGTTCGGCAATCAGGTTGTTTCCCGTGTATCTTGACGTAGAGAAAAAGAGTGGACATCAGTACACTACTCTGACACTCGCAGTGGTGCTATATGAGACCTGTTTTCCATATTGATCCATTGTTCACTTTCCTCTCGCTTCTCTCATGGCTATGAGGTTGAGACGATGGTCCCAAAACCCAGCAAGTGCCAAACTGCGACTCTGCGTTGATATGTCCAATAGGTTGGTAACGCTGTCTCATGAAGACAAGCACACTGTGAAATCATAACAAAGCTACATCGCCAATCAAACTTCTCAGCTCGCGCCTGCGACAATGAGACATTGTACACTTCTGTAACATTGTCACAGACCACACCTTGCACATTGCTAGGGATACCACATTAGATCATCTTCTTGTCTATAAATGTTCTGCGATATCAAGATAGGTGAATCTTGTTAGCTGGTTTATCCTCTTTACAAGGCACCACAGCACTTATCGAGTTGATACAGCCGTACAGCTTTTCAACGTTACTCCTTTACGACGACGTCATCTGTTTGGAAACAAGCTTGGAAAAGGGCACCCACAATCCCGTCAAGATGTGCAAATTCATACTTGTAATTCATCTTTGCGGTCATCGCTCACTTCTCACCACTGCGAAATTCACAAAGCTTTGTGATACTGCCTTGAACATCCGCCTAATACAAGGACTTGACGGCCCACCCGCTTCCTGTTACCCACTCCCTGAGGATTGTTACAGCAACGATATGGTCGCTCACGCCAACGTGGATTTGGGACCATGTGACGCCTGCGAGGACGATGCCCACTGGGAGCGCGATTGCCGAACTATCGCAGAGCTGGACGCCAAAGTTAGATCTCTCCTAGTCTGCATTGCGGACGTCCAGGGACCTCTACAACGTGCATTCACCAATCCCGAGAGCAAAATATTTGCGAGAATCCCATCGAAAACCTTACGTAGATACTTGGAGTCTGCAAGCATCGAATTCACATTCGGAGACATGTTTGACGACTCTCTTCAACAGGTTTGGGACTCGCTGAACCAGCTCCAGGGAATCCTTCAGCAAGATTATCCGAGAGAAGTTGTGAGCCACCTCGTGTCACACATCCACCGCATGATCGCAGACATGGAGATTCGATTGGCATTCCTACATGAAATCATGAAAGAGCTAGACAAGGATGACTTGTACGAGATGAACACCCGACGTCGCCTTACGCATCTTTGCCATGAACTCTGCAAATCAATCGGTCTCGACGATTCCATCGAATTTCCGATCATAAATCGTATAGAACAAGAGCGCCCACACGATTGCCTAAACACGGTTGATCGATATACAGAATATGATTTTCTGCAGGGTCGTCGTCGACATCAACGAGCAAATGCTGAGAAGAACCGCGTGCGCAGAGCGGACAGAAAGGTTGGTTTAGTATCGGAATCCGTAAAAGACGCTAAAATCAATGTATCAGAAGCTCTAATGTGCCGCAATTTCAGTCGTGGTACGAAACGCCCTCCACATAATGACCACACTGGGCACAGTCCAGCAGCGAAGAGGTCGCGGAGTGTGTGGGATTTATCCAAACAGCTGGAAAAGATAAGAATTGTATCTTGAAGAAACGCATCATTAGGCGAAGTCGGGTATATTTTCAAATTTGGGGTCATTTTATTCATATTACGTCTTGTTCAATAAGTTATAATACATGCAATTCATCATACTTCTTTTTCGCCACCAACAATTCAAACTATGTAGAGTGCATTACATCTTTCTCGACTATGCACCAGTTCTTGCTTCCGTCTCTAACTGCAACATGTGAGCGGTTCACACAGAGTACCGCATGTCAAAGCGCATTTTCCGACTACGCGTTCGCCGTGCTCCAAACCCCCTGGGGCAGTGGCAGGGCCTGTCTCAGTGACAGATCGCACAAGCTCAGGCTGCAGTGTCGCAGAATGAATTCCATAGGCGTGAAGACATTCTGAGAAGGTTTGTGCTTTTTGCATAAATGTCTTGAGTGATTCCTCGTCCACGACAACATGTGCGGATGCGATGGCCTTCTTCTGGTCGAGCTGCCAAACGTGGAGCTCATGGACACCCTTGACCCCCGGGAGCGATTCAAGATCATGTTTGATATCATCGATCTTGATTCCTGGTGGTGCGGATTGAAGCAACAGGCGGCCACTCCGTTTTGTAAGAGGCACTGCCGACAGCAGGATCATGATTGCGATCCAAGTGCTGACTGCTGGATCGGCATAGAACCGACCTTCGGATTTCGTCAACCAGATAATGAGTGCAGCTATGATGACGCCGATGTTGTTTATCGCGTCACCCACGAGATGGATCAAGACACCAAGGATTCCAAGATCAATGCCCTGTGGCTTGAGCACGATTGTCGCATGATTGTGAGAAGCGTGATCCTCCGCGGAAGAGTGTCTTTTGAGCTCTCCGCCCTCGGATTGGATGTCGGCTTCTTCTATGGAGTGGGAGTGGCGAGGATGGTCGGCATGGGCGTGGTCGTGGTCGTGCCCATGCCCGTGACTATGACCGTGGCCATGATCGTGCTCTGCGACACTGTCAGAGCTGAAGTGTTAGGGCAGAAAAGTTCAATATACCATGGAGGAACAGTGCACTAATGATGTTCAAAGTGAGACCAATACAACCGACAATCAAAACAATTTTGGGTTGCTCAACTCCTACGTTATGTCAGTTAATGCAAAGATGCAACTACTTAGGTAACTTAGTGGTAGTTCAATCATACTTTCGATGGATATAAATCTTTCGATAGATTGCACAAAAATACTCAATCCGAGTGCGAGGAGGAAAGCACCATTAAAGAAAGCACCGAGTAGCTGCGCTCTGGCCCAGCCAAATGATAAATCTTGTGGCGATTCTTTCCTTTCTGTGACCTATCCAATAGTGAGTTTATATATCCTCAAGTGACTGTATTGGAAAGGGTACGGCTTACCTGCACAGCTACAAGCGCCACAATAAACCCAATGAGGTCATTCAACTACTTAAATTAGCTAAAGTGAACATAGTATTTGCATAATTCTTCATACATAGTGAAAAGCGTCGGCTATCAATGCTAGAGACCTTGTGTAAAAGCCAGCTGACTTTCCGTTAATATCAATTCCAGTTCGAGTGCAGCTTAGAATTACATACTAGAGATTTCAGCCAGAAAGAATGCAAAGGAGATGGCGATGACAGCGCGAAGTCGAGTTTTCCGCGAAAGTTCAAAGTGGCGCGCCATGATTGATTGTTATTACTCGATTTCAGAATGAAGCAAGAGTTTGTACTGCATACAAATACAACAAAAAGCAGTCTGAAGCGTGCCTTATGAATGAATCACGGTCATGCCAGCGTAGGCCCGTTTGAGACAAAGAATGTATCGTGCGCACCAAACTCTAAATTACAATTGACCATTCGAAGGCCAGGCACCTAGCCTGATGTGCCATGTCGGGAACTTCCATGACACTTGGAATGGCAACCCGGTGATGGAATACTGGCTACGCGCAGGGGTGGTCACGGATTTTCGATGACATACCGCGTTCGCTTCTTCCATTGTGATGCGTGTTTGGGCGTAATTCCCGCAATTCACACCCAAACATTCGATAACATATCGAGAAATGTTTGCATCACACGTAATACACCGAAGTGAACGGTCTACGTAGCTTCGGCTGGCTTCCGATCGTTATGTCGCTTACCGCGTGCATAGTGGGTTTGCTTCAGGTGGCGTGCAGCAAGCTTGTAACGATATGTTATCGTTTTCCAGGGCTTCTTGAGCAAAGATGCACTTGGTCGATCCATACAGATTATCGGGTAACTGTGATATCTCCACTGCTCCTATGCAGTCCTTATGACAGCGCGCAGCGGCTTCAATCACAAGACTAACTTAGTAGTGATACATGATAATTTGATATCGTGCAAAGCTACGCACTAGCATACGATTGTAGAGTTGTCAACCGCTCTACCGGCATTGAACCTATACTAAGTTTCCATATTAATGTCGGTGTTCACCGCGCACACTTCGTGATCTTTCTACGACCGAAATCATCGGCTAAAATTTACAAACGATTCATGTGTACTTTCTTCAAGCGTTGAATAATTTTAAACACCTTAAGTATTGATCTTGAATACACTTGGGGACTGTTTGCTTTCATTTACTTAAGAAGGGTTTTATCAAGCCTTTGCTTTTAGCCCTGTTCCCCTTTGATAGTAATAGTAGGCTTATCCCTTCGAAGCTGTAGAACTCATGGGAATTCGGTCTATTCTCGTCATGTCGGCTTGTCCTGTCGGCTTTTTAAAGCATCTCTCCTGATCGAGCATTAATTGCTGCAACTCATGGATACTTTCCTAAGTGGGTTTAGCGTTTAGCGGGGACCCTTCGTCCCGCCAGCGGCGTCCAGACCAGTCAGCCGCATCGAAAAATCTCACAGGCGGGCGGATGTTGCCTACCCTTTCTTCCTTCAAACACTCTTGTCGCAACCTTTGATCGCACAACACTCTCAAATCCACAACCACCGACTAACACTATGGGTAACGGAGCCAAGTATGCATAGGCCTTTGTGACTGTCGTTTACCAGACTAATGTTACGATTAGAGCACAGCAGAAGCGCGACCGCGCGAAGGAGAAGGGTCCTAAAGAGGCGAAGAGCCAACTGAAATCCGTATGCAATCCCTATCTCAGAAATACGGACAATCGAAGACGCCTCCAGCTAACATATTGTTTTGCCAGAACGCCGCCGCCATGTCCATCAAGTGCAAAATATGCTTCCAGTCTTTCCAGAGCACCATCAGCCGCAAGATGCTATCGGACCACGCATCGAACAAGCACACCAAAAACTTCGAGGATTGCTTCAACGCCGACGAGGGTGTTGCCAAATAAGTGCTTCACCTCACTCATTGATAACGGATCAACGATACAATCAGCATGGTGGAGTTTGAGCGATTTTTGAGATACCAACGTTTGCGCCTGAGGCAAAACAAGAGCGTAACAAGTAGTAGGGCGCGGATCTATCTGCCTGAAGTAAAGAAATGAATTTCAACGAACGAGAGAAATGCCTTATTCTTCTTGATGTCACAAACGCCCCCATCAGTTACCTCCTGTTGTAAACTACCACTTGATCGGCGTTCCCTATTTCCTAATCGCTTGCATTGATCAAAGCATGTTGGGTTCAAGCGAACGGTGTACAGGCATGAATGTTCGGTGACTTATTTGTTCTACACCATGCAATTTTCTACTTTTGGTATTGCTGTGGCTGTGACTACGACTGTTCCTGTCCTATTAACATGCTCCCATGAAATATCCATCAATACAATCTTGGGGAGTCTGGCCCAAAACATATTGACCGCCCTCATGTCCGCTATATTCTGCCTGCAGAAACCCCACCACTACCTACTAGCTTCTCCCTTAGTCAATGGCATCCATTGCATCAGCGCAACCCGGAATTCCGCAGAACAAAACATTTTGCATATATAAGAAGACTATTGACATCTATCACGCGAAAAGATAATACCAGCATACTTGAGTCTCCTGCAATGACTTCGGAAATTCACAAATACGGTACAGGCGATGGATGGCACGGTGTTATTGAAGAGGGCGGAGAGTTTCCGCCCGAGAAAGACAGATACCATCTGTACATAGGTAGGTATCACATCTTGTTGTTTCGCCAAATGTCGGGATTTGTGAATGACTTCTACCCATATTTCTCGCGCCATAGTCTTGTCACATATGAAAACTACAGAAATTAACAAGATCAAAAGGTCTATTCTGCCCATTCGCTCACCGTGCCAATCTTGTTCGCCATATCAAACAGCTTACAGACATCATCTCTCTTTCAGTAGTAAAGCCGTATCCCAAAGGTAAGGATGGATGGCCTGGATGGCAGTTTCCAGCTACAGATGACGAATACCCTAATGCAACGGTTGATCATCTGTTCGGAAGTAAATACCTCCACGAAGTCTACTTCAAAGACGACAAAGACTACAAAGGACGGTACAGCGTTCCGTTGCTATGGGACAAGAAGGCAGGACGGATCGTGAACAATGTGTGTACTCACAAGCTGAAGCCCCTCCATATTTCGCATTTAACATAGATCAGGAATCAGCTGAGCTTCTTCGATGGCTACCAACCGCGTTCAACTCCATACTCCCGCCTGAGATAGCGAAAATAGATCTCTATCCCTCCTCTCTGCGCTCTGAGATCGATGCTCTCACGCCGGGCTTACAGTCAGATATCAACTCCGGCGTGTACAAAGCTGGGTTTGCTACCACCCAGGAAGGATACGAGAAAGGAGTCGTACCGCTCTTTGCTGCTCTAAATAAGCTTGAAGCCCTGCTGCACAAGAATGGAGGTCCTTACGTTCTGGGCTCAACGTTCACAGAACTTGACATCAGAGTGTATGCAACCATCATTCGCTTCGACACGGTCTACGTTCAACACTTCAAGACAAATCTGGGTACCATACGCCATGACTATCCCGTGCTGAACAATTGGTTGAAGAACCTCTACTGGAATGTGAAGGGTTTTAAGGAGAGCACTGATTTTAAGCACATCAAAGAGAATGTAAGTCAACTCTGATTAGGGTTTGATGAATTAATGAGTTCCAAGATTCAAAATTGTTGACGGCACGCACAGTATACAAAGAGTCACTTCGATATCAATCCACTCGCAATCACACCTCTGGGCCCATATCCTGAGGTCGAAGAAGGCTATGAAGAGAATTGGAGTACACTGAAGGCCGGTAGGGTGAAGCATCCTCTAGTATTGGATACCGAAAGCAAGCTGTGAATGTGGCAGGAGAAAGAAAGGGGTTGCATAGAGCGCTTTTGATACTCGCTACACTCAATAGTGAGCCATCATCCACGAATCTTGATATTTTCTCCCGAGGAACGACGCCTAGTGCAATATTATGATTCAGGAAGATATAGAGATCGGGATTGGCGCTGGTTGGTTTCTCTGTACTTACTTGTAAAGATATGTTCCCGCCTCAGAGGGTGCCTCAGAAAAGTTTCAATTTCAGCATTCAGGCTTTCGTAACACCTGAATTGCCAGTACATGAGATCTTCTCCCTCATACTTCGGGCCAGTGGTTAATCGCTGATAGGCATCTTTTGCGGTGCCATTGGCTGGCTAGAGTATGAGCCGCCACCTTCACTAATAAAGGCACGTAACCACTATAGGTAATAATTGCAAGTGAGTTACAGTACTCAAAACAAACAAAAGTGAGAGTCAAGGTCACCAGGCAACGATATAGAATTTGTCGTCAGGTGATTGGATCCTCTTTAGCTTCACTTTCTCCCACTGTTAACTACTTAAGCACTCTCAATCGGTTCCCTCTTTACTAACTTTACCTACTTTACCTCCCGCTAAACGTTTCGAACGACGGAGCACTCAACTTCCTACAACACCATGAATCAACCAGAGGACGTTGAGGTCGTCCTCACCCACGATCGCCGCTTCAAGTTCCACGCGAGCGTCCTCGCGCGCAACTCTCCCCTCCTAGCGGGCATGCTTACAGAGCTAAAAGCTGCCCGCCTCTCCAAGAAGGCAAAAGACGCCGGAATCAAGGTACGCTGGATGATAAAGCTTTCTCATCCACCTCATGGCGATGATCCTGGTGAGCTACAATCGGTGGTAAGTGAAATAGTGATGATTCTGCCTCACTGTGGCACGCTTTAATGCAGCTCCCAAAGGAACTCGATACCATGGGGGTGCCCTTGGAGCCTCTTCGACCTCTTATCATCAACGAGAATGGCCGCATTCCGACGCTGGCTCTTGACTACTACGAAGCCATTTTCAATGCGTTCTACAACAGAGAAATCCCTCTGAGGGAAGACGATATGACGACCGTTCTCCATGACGTCGTTGAGATTCTCAAGTTTGCGGAATACCTCGACTGTACGGCTGTCATTCGAAAGCCTATCGATGTCGCTCTCATAAAGCATGGGCAGGAACTTTTTCGCTCTATCCAGTCGCGTCCTTGGGCGTGGGTCGACCTCGCAATCCGCATTCGATCAGAAACCATCTTCAAAGAAGCGATAATACATCTTGTCGGAAATTGGAAGAGGGTGAAAGACAACGGCTCGGCAATGAGGATGCTGCAAGGTGGCTCGAAAGAGGTCTTTACGCTCTGCGAAAGGCTCCATCAAGATATGGCAGCCAAAGGCAAAAAGCTCGAACTTGAGGTTGCGACAATCTATCCGGGCGGTATGACACAGCCTACTAAAAACGTGCCGATCAAACGAGAGGAATATGCGAAGGACATCTTAGTCTGGATGGCGCTCAGTTTCTTCCGCCATTGGTTTAGCCAGCGGATCATCTCAGAAAAGGGTTCAACAAATGTTGACGGTGGCTACGGGCTATATACCCAACTACAAAAGGCCGGTAACGCCTACATGGATAGGACTATCCTCAACCAATTTCACAGCAACGTTCCGATGACCAAGAAGGCCATGAACGTCCTGGAGAACCACCTTCTTGAGATCAAGGCATGTATCAAGCAGGTTGTTGATAAGCATGATATCCTCAAAATCTACTGCCAATTAGACACCAAGCGATTTGAGGTAAACTACCTGACGGGCGTGGATGTCCGGAAGGAGGATTTCCCATGGTACGCTGAGGAACTACAAGAAAGGCCGACGGGCAAAAGGAAGCGCAGTCAGTCAGAGGTACCAGCGGAAAAGACCGAGAGCGAACAGCCCAGCGAGCCTAATGGCCAGGCTGACGATGAGAAGGAAGACGAGAGTACCGGCTCGCATGATGAGGAGGATGGGCATAGGCACAAGAGAAAGCTCTAGTGTCCACCTTTGCACGGGGTCGCGAAGGCCGCCCGGCTCTTTCATGCGATACCTCGATGGGCTTCTTGTAATACGGCGTGGCACATTCAAGGATATTTCGAATAGCTAAATAGAGGAGCTTGAAGCAATATTGGCTAAATGTGATTCATTCAGCTGATAAGGAAAAGTTTGTGTACATGGCTTTTATGCCTATTCTTGGACTTTAATCTCAAGATATAATTTCGAATGTCCCGTATTTGGTGTTTTCCTCTATGGTTCGCTGACCATGGCAATTTTGCCTCCGAGCCCTCCAAAAAGTTGTTGCATCATATCTCCCTTGCAGCGCGCTTAATCATCGAAACCCTCTGGCCTCGGTCGTGGTCCTTTGGGAACTGTCTCCTGTTAGCAAAAATCCACGGAAACTTCCTTTGACAACATGTTTCGCCCGGCAAGTCGTAGTAATAACTCTGGATTCCGATCGCTCTATCTTTCTCGCGAAGAAAGACTCAGTGGGCAAGGTTCGCACGTACTCGGATATGTCAAAGGAATCTTCGCTATCTGCTCTTCTCCAAGGTACCTCCGGATCGGGGGAACGGTAACGACCATAACGGGTCCGATGCAGCCGACGATGATGGAGTAGAAATACGCAGGCTTATTGACGGAGGCCCATTTGAGGTATCGGAGAGGGCCGTTCCAGAAGAGGGGGCTTGCGGCGGACATTGTGATCTGTGATAGACTTCAGCGACGTTGTTGGAGCGGTAATGTGTCGATTATAATCTGACCGGATGTGATTGGTACGGTGCGACAGCACAAGACGAGCGTGGTGTGCCTCAATGCAAGTCTGGATTTGGTGACGGGCATGGGATGAGGTTGTCCAGCTTAGCTTTCCCGCCTGCAAGTCGGAGGTTGCGGTTTCTCCGCGCCGATCAAGATGCGGCTACGTCTCCAATTGAGCTCTCCCGCGCCGCGCAATCGTCCAAGAGCTCTAGCAACTCCACCAACGTTGCAATTATTTGACAATGCGGTGGTTATTTTCTTTCGTCCTGGCGACGCTGCTAGCAGCGGTCCATGCCGTAAGCTATACTGGCAGTAGATTGTTGGTTGTATTGGAGGATGCGGCAGAGAAGGAGAAGTATGGAGTATTCTTGGGAGACTTAGAGAGTAAGTGGAATCTGTTATGATATGATTTTATTGATATTTGGAACGGCATTGGAGCGCTTGACGGGTTACAACTCTTCAGGCCATTTGGTATTGATGTCAAGTTTCAATTGAGAACGTTGCTAGCTTCCATACTTCAATAGGTTTCTGAAGCTTACATTCAGGATCCGGCTCCCAATCGTTTATAAAATTGCATCTGGAGTTGATCGTGCTAACGAATTGCTCTCATAGGCCGCGGCTATCATATCACGACAGAATCGCCTAAGTCCGATAAGCTCTCTTTGTTCAAGCACGGCGAACGAGCATACGACCATGTCCTCCTCCTCCCCTCCAAGGCGAAAGGCCTTGGGCCCGCTCTGACCGCGAACCTTCTACTCGAATTCATGAAGAAGGAAGGAAACATTCTACTTGCATTGTCCAGCGAGAATGGGACCCCATCATCCGTCAATTCGCTACTCCTCGAGTTGGACATCCATATTCCGTCAGACAAGGGTGCCGTTGTTGTGGACCATTTCAACTACGACTCTACTTCTGCGGCGGAGAAGCACGACGTTCTTCTTTTGCCATTCCCTAAAGCACTCCGACCGGATGTCAAGAACTACTTCGGCGGCGAAGGTGTCATCGCTGTACCAAGGGCCGTTGGACAGGTTCTTGGAAATGATTCGCCGCTCCTCGCACCTGTCCTCCGAGCTCCAAGCACGGCTTACAGCTACAACCCCAAGGATGAATCCGATATCGTGGAGGATCCCTTTGCTGTTGGTGCCCAACTCAACCTGGTCTCCGTCCTCCAGGCCCATAACTCTGCACGACTGGCCGTTCTAGGTTCCGCTGAGGTACTTCAGAATGCCTGGTTCGCCGAGAAAGCTACTCTTAACGGCCAGGCTGTCAAGACTGCCAACCGCGATTTCTCGGAGAAGCTTACAAGCTGGACATTCAAGGAGACTGGTGTCTTGAAAGTTGGCAAGCTTTTGCACTACCAGGACGAGGGTGTAAGCAAGAAGCTCAACACCTCTGGCGCCCTTCCTGAGAACAACCCTCAGATCTACCGCATCAAGAGCGATGTCGTAAGTCGAACCACGTCCTCCGCATTTCCCCTCTTTCTAACACGCACAGGCCTTCCAAGTCGAGCTCTCCGAGTACTCAAAGACTCATCTTGTTCCTTTCGTACCTGCTGACTCGGATGTGGTTCAACTGGAGTTCTCCATGCTCTCACCTTTCCATCGTTTGAATCTCACACCAATCTCCAAGACCGCCAACGCTACCATCTTCGGCGTCTCCTTCAAGACCCCCGATCAGCACGGTATCTTCAACTTCCGCGTCAACTACCGCCGCCCATTCCTCACCAACATCGAGGAGAAGAGGCAGGTCACCGTGCGCCACTTCGCGCACGACGAGTGGCCCCGCAGCTGGCAGATCAGCGGTGCCTGGGTGTGGATCGGTGGAATCTGGGTTACTGTCTTCGGCTGGTTGGCCTTCGTCGCCGTCTGGCTCTGGAGTGCGCCTGCGGAGAAGACCGTGAAGAAGACGCAGTAGAAGGGAAACGAAATGGAAATGTATCAACAATCTGGAGTTTGGCTTGATTTGAAAGAATCCAAATACCGAACATTCACCACCTGTGAATTGGGGTGACGAGGAGGCGAAATTTAGCGGGAAGCCGGGGTTCGCGTGGAAAGACGAATGAAAGTCAAATTTAGGCACGATCCTCACAAAACTATTTTGTTAAGAAAAAGATTATATCACGCATTTTGAGCGATGCAGAATCATTGTGTAGAAGAACGGATTGGGTTCTCAATATAGCTATTAAAAGGAAATAGGATACTTGCTGTTACGTCAGGGTAGGGGTATATATGTGCGAAATCTATGTCTTGGTCTATGGTTTCTTATGTGCATGAGAGCTGAATGAGTAGAAAACCGATCCGTCGAAAGACTTGCTCTAGAGGCTAGCCATCTCTGCCTCCCCTTCAACCTTCTTCTTCCTTCCGAAGCAACCACTACCGGTCTTGGTGTCATATCCCTCCCTAAAGCAAAGGCCAGGGTGGAAAAAGTTCAGAGCGAGAACACCAGCACTGATGATAGCGCCCTCGAGTCCGATGAAGTAGCTCTGCGTCTTGATCAACCTCCCAGTCCACCCCTCGCTCAACTCGGCAACACGGTACACGGATCTCGTGAAGATGCACAGAGTGGCGAATGACAGCGCGACGAGGAATCCCTGGAAGGCCCAGCTCTGTCGGAGTTTGGCGTGCGTTGGGTCGAGTGCGCCCTCAGCGCCGAGCTGGCGCACGCGCTTGAACGTGCGGATGGAAAAGTCGAGGGCCAGGCAGATGAAGATGAGGAGCGTGAAGACCTGGACTGCGAGTCCGGCGATCATGATGTTGTTACCGGTCGTGGGGTCCTCGTCGGCGTGCGATTTCGCACTGGCTAGGCCACCGCCTGCGGCTTGGAGCAGGAGGGATGCAACGTCGCATGGGATGAAGATGCGCGGGTAGGATAGAGGCTTGATGCGGGAGTTTTGCGGCCCAAAAGTGAGGACGATACGCGATAGGCAGAGATAGATTCCTGCGGCAAGGAAGGCCGGGGCGATCGTCAAGCAAATGATTTGGATGAGAAAGGGATTCTATACAAGCGCTGTTAGCATGCTTCAATGTTCAAACTTCTTGGGCTGGGTCGCATACTTCAGCAAAGGGATTGTAGTAACTAAGATCCCGGCCAATATAACCAATGACTTCAAGTGCGCATCCAGACACCATGGCGATAGTGAACCCGAGAAAACGTCTGCTGAGGACTCCCTGGCCGATGAAAAGTATAGTCGATATACCAAAGAGAACCGTGAAGAGGATGTTCGCGGCGAGCGAAGGCCGATAGCCCCAGTATGAGAGCGCCAGGGGACATGTATCCAGTGTGCAAGAATCACGAAAATTCTTGCGATCGTTGTAGGATTGTTTTTCATCTCTTGCCACGAGGGCGATTAATGAGTACGCGATCGATGCCATCGTGTACTTGTAATTAATCAGAGAGCTCGGGGTGAGTGTAGACGTTTGAGAGGACCATCGATCAAAAGGAGTCCTCGAAGGATGGGGGAAGTGAACACTATGTATAGTTGCGGTTACCTGCAAGGTTATTACGAAGTCCCCGGGATCGCCCAATATTTGACTGTCGTTACGTCTCAACGTAGCAACCGTTAGAAGCTTTGAGCCGCTTACCGAAGGCAAGCCACCGTTGTTGGATACAGTGTAAACGAGGACAGAAAGCGAGCTAAAAGTGCGCCGGTGGACACTGGCATACTTAAGGCAGTCCTTAAAGTCACCCACGCCGCTCCCGTCTAGCAGAAATACAATGTTTTTCCCTAGAGTGCGTCAGCACGATTATACATTCGTGCACCGCGAAGGAATTGCATGCCCCTCCTCGCAGAAGCGAGGCATCTGGAACTTTGAGGATGGCCCAAGAGAGAGTTCTACATTCTCTGATTGGACGGGACGAGGTTCCAAGTGCCACGCGATGTTAATATGATGCGTTCGCTTAGAGATTAGGAGCGGAACCAACGAGCGGATGATCATCTACCCGAGGTAGGGGGGGTCGGAATTGAGTGCAGACGAAATAGGAAATATGTTCGACAAGGCTGAAGATTGGACGCTACTGCACAATAGGAAGCAGGTATGTAAAGAGTAGCGTAGGAGATTGCAATTGAACCATATTTTTTTTGGATCCTGTAGTGCGTAAGGTCCAATACTTATATTTGCAAGCTGCAGCAAAGGAGGAAATGTACGATCGACTGCGCTAAACCTGATGGGATTCCAGAGGTAGTTTCAAGCAACGCCAAGATAGCTTATAGGTACTGCATCTTCTAATTCTGTCTATGTTGTGGCAATATATGGCCGGATGTCTAGCATGTCTCTAGCATTAAATATGTATTAATAGAGTCGTGATCGTTTGGAAGGACCTTACCCAGATCCATAATGATGCGCCGGAACTCCAATGCGGTTGCTGCTGGCGGAAGATGGATTTACACAGATTTAAGTATGGCGATGGAATCGTTCTTAGGCTTGCTCATCAAGACTAACTTGCGGCTGCTTTCTCAGATGGATGTATGGGGACCTCGAGACGCGTATTTTCGGCCATCATTCTTGAGAAGGCAATACCAACACCTTCAATAACGGCAAGAAGGACGGCACATCCAATTGCATTGTTGCGCATCGCCCTGGCACCTCCTCGGACTGCAAGAGCACCACCTGGTCAATTTAGCGACCTATCATTCGAGAGAGTTCTCCATAACGTGCGTAACATATCTAATGTGTAGGATCGTGCACATCGATTGGAACATACCAGTAAAGAAGCCACTAATGATTGCATTCCATGGATCTTCCTTTTGCCTACATTTTGGTCAATTTAAGCCACAAACTACCTCTAATGATGCCTCTCGTACCGAATGCCTTTTACAGCACAATCAAATGTCGAATAAAGACCTCCCCAGACGCCAAAGTTGCCCCCAAGTACGGGTGCTCGAGCCTTGAGCGACGTAATTGCCCCAATTCGTCGCTCGCCACGAGGTGAATTTCTATTGACAAGTTCAGTAGACTGGTAATATAGACATAATCCACTTCCTAGATATATCTTACCGAAATCCCTTGATTCCATGCCATATAGCTCCACCTATCGACTGGCTCGAGTCAGCCGCTAGTATCATGCAACTCAAAATTACCGGGTAGTTGGCTCTGCTGTGCGACCATGGGGGAAATCCACAACTTACTCCCATACAAAAGGCTCCGCCGAAGTCACTCACTGTGACCCAGGGGCAGGGATCTCTGCTATGATCCATTGAGGATGCTCATGAATGAAAAAAAAAACCACTCAGTATTGCGTCAGTACGATAGTGTCCACTGGTGAGCAGTCGTAAAACAGAGTTTCTCCGAACGCCGACTATCATCACGTGATAGCTTAGATGGGGACGATAGCGGGTACAATATCAATCTCAATGGATAGATGAATGCCTCGCGAGGGGATATTTAGTAAAACGTTCGAAGCATAGTGTATCGTATGGGGAATGGAATAGAATTATAAGTGCAAAGGAAGCGTTGTCAGGATCAATTGGGTTCCTACTCGTAGCCATAGGTTGGTCGGTAGCTGAAAGGATGATTCAAACATTTGAGGCCCAATGCGATCCAAGACCATTAAAATATTAGACTCGTGAACAGCTGAGTCTCTCTGGAATGTACGGAGTATATGGTGTCAATTGTGGGTTCAATAAACATTGATGCTCTTCGGCTGAAGTGCACAGTGTTGTCTCGAACAAGCACCGGAAGTGGGAACGACTTGTTCCTAGATACCAACGTGTAGTACGGCCAACGAGGATACCTGCATGGTTGTGTGAGACGAAATGACGAGTCTTGTTCCGTCCATTATTGATGAATTGAATATCAAGACTCGAGACAACACACTTGATGACAAGACGGAATCGAGGCAGTAAGAGGAATAGAGAAGCACAGAAGGTCGGTTGGAGTTGCAGCAGTTGGCTGGAGAGCAGAGCCATTACCAATCCCCTTTCGCCATTAGCGCATATCCCAGCACGGCGTCTTCTAGAATCACCGACATGGAGGGTTCAACGCCTCTGCATTCCACTCACTCAATCAACATATCAACATCTATCATCCTTAGTCCTCGTTTGAGAGTCCCCGAGTGACAACGGTTCTTGGATTATTTTTGGCGGCTCGCAGCAGGAAGATCGCGCGCATCGTGGGCTTCCTGGCCACATCATTCTGCCTACGTGTGTCGCTTGGCAGTTGGCGAACCCTCTAAACGTTCAATTTTGGGTTTCGTCACCTCCGGCCCTTTTCACCGACCATCGTGGTTATCGCTTTCGTTGCCATTGTTTGGTTGAACCACTCTTGACTGCTATTATTTGCCCTAAGTGGCACAGCTGCTATTTTGTAAGTCTGCTACCGAGGACAGGAGAGGGGCATCGGCACGTACTAATCAACGCCCAGTGGTACCCGACTACCATCGCATGCGGATTGACACAACCTAGGTGCGTGGGATTCTCCTCAGGGGAATGCTTCTTGTTGCTTCTGCTTCACAAAAGAGAAGCATGTGTTGCAACAAAAGCGACTGCCCCGCCCCCAGACATTCGCTCCTCCCCGGCGGCAATGCTAACCGACGTAGACCCTACCCACGAGCCCGAATTTCACCTGCCGAACTGGAAAACTGGAAGGGGCACGCAAGCTATTAGACGGGTGCTGAGGGAGGAACAATCACAGATATGGCAGCGGCAACTGCTGGTAAGTCTTTGGGTTTCTCCATGGTTCCGCCAGGGTTCCCACAACACCCCTCCATTATTCCCTCCACGACCTCAACATTCTCCCTGCACGATGGCTCTCCTCGGGGGCGCTGCTTTTGTTACAGTTTTTCTAACATCACTTGCCGTCTTTTCAGGCTATGAGTGGAATCACTCCGGCTCGTCGCCGCTTCGCTCCTCCCCTGATACAACGTCATCGATGTACCCCGATAGACCAATCCGTCCTCTACCTAAACGCCGTCTTCGAACCCGATTATCTCCAGAACAAGTCGAGACGATCACATACCCTCCCGCACCGCCATCCACAGGCCCGCTGTTCAGCTTTCCATACCCAGAAACCAGGGGAGGTGCTCGCGTGGGACAGCGAAGGGGAGAAAGTGATCATCACTCGTGCCATTGCGGTCACAATCATTCCGAGTTAGAAAGCGAAGACGAGGAGGATGAACGTGGGGCTCCTTTACCATCCTCGCCAAGCTATCACTATAGCCGAGCCTCGCAAGGAAAGCCTACCCCCACCGTAAACACATATCCAAAGCCTGTCTCAGCTGCGTCCTCGGTTGACGGGTATGAGTCATTCGAGAATACAAACAACAAGAAGAAGCGGAAGATCCCAAATATGGGTAGCTCAAGCACCCACCATAGCAATCTGTCCACAGATATGGCTGGAATGGGCATATCCCATGCTCACGAGTCTGTGGCTCCGGATGATATTGATGGACCTGGACGTTACTACGGTTCTGCTCCGTCTACGCCTCAGCATAACAGTTCCGGTACAGGCATCTCAGGTGCGGGCAGAGGCCGATTTGGACGATCCGCGTCTGGAAGATCGGAGCGACGTGTATTGGGCAACTCTACCAACATTGCCAATGCTAAAGCGAGTAACAAACGTATGATAATTTTTTTGGCAATTCCGCCTTCACCTTAATGTTTGAAGTCCGTGCGCTGACATATTTTGTTGCTAGGACCCCCAGATCAAGGCGGCATCATCAGCACAGCAATCGCGAACGCCCAAGCCACGCCCCCACAAACATACGCCGGTAACGAGAACGTGAGTCTTCTGCAAAAGGAAGCATCGAAGACTAGTGCAAAGCAGACTCAGTTCACTTTTACCTGCGGGTCCGACTCAGCAAATAAGATGGTTTGGCCCGGCCAACAGAACGGAGTCTTTTCTACCCATACCGAGTTTACTACCCATCCCGGAGAATACCCTCCTGGTCATTTGCCGCCAGGCGTAAAGGTCGGGGGCATACGTACTTCGCGCTCCGATGTCCCGGCTGTGACAACACATGGAACGCAGACAAGCCCTAATATGAATGGTACACATTATCCTCCTGGAGCAAAGAACTCTTTACAACAGAAAGGTGGCCACCCTACCCAACAACAACCCCCACCTCCGAAGCCCCGCCGGAGTGCATCCAAGCTTTACGCTTATGCAGCTCGTAAACGTCGCATTCAGCAAGAATACGCCAACTTTCACAACCCTCCTAATCCAGCCTGGATTTGCGAGTTCTGTGAATATGAGGATATATTTGGGACTCCGCCGGTCGCTTTGATACGCCAGTATGAGATGAAGGATAGGAAGGAAAGAAAGCGGTTGGCCGAGAAACGAAGACTCCTAGAAAAGGCGCGAATGAAGGGACGTAAAGGCAAGAAGGCAAGCAAAAAATCTCAAAACAATGCAAACAACGCTCAACACCATCAAAACCCACCCCCAGGAGATTATGACCGACACCCAGATGACGGTCTACTCGAGGTGCAGGATGACGAATATGACGACGAGGACTTCGACAAACTCGACAAATTCCACCAATTACCGCCTCAATCGTGCGACCATCCCGGCTGTCATCACCACAATCACCCAAAGCCTCCTATTCCAGTCTCCGGTGATCACCGCGGAGGCGGAACGGGACGATCGAATGGTGCATAGCTATCGGACATGATGGGGTGGGCCGTCTTTGTTCCTACATTGTTTTTCGTTTTACTTGTCAGCGTTTATGTTGCGCCAACGGTCTCAATACATGACCTGTGCGGGCAGGGGTGGGAGCTTCTTTTGACTGCATTCTCTGGATCTTTCAATCTGTGAATGAACTCAAGTCAAGGCAACTCGACTTGGACATTTGCCTGGATTGGATCGATCGGAAATTATGTGACTGGCTTCTCATGCCGGCCACAATTACTTCAATTCCCATTGATGGCTTGTCATTTGGACTGTTACCCACCCTCGGTCCATCACTCCATGTATATTCGAGGTTGTCGGGCAATTCCCTCCATTTCGGTTTTAACATCACGATCCATGTCACCAGCGTCACAGCATCCCAATAACATCAGCATTTCCCCGGAGCTCGATAATTCCCTGTCGTTTTCGCATTCCCAACCCGATCCCTCCATACAATTGCCCCCGTCCCCAACCCTCCACATTTCCGCTTTCCGGAAGTAACAACCCCACTCAATACCGCAGCTGTCGAAGGAAGAAGAAGAAGAAGGAGAAGGAAGAGAGAGCCAGAAGAGAAGGAGAAGAAGATTGGAAGATAAGGGGAGAATAGGCAGGAAGCCTTGATGAAGAAAGAAGAAGAAGATACACACGTCAACGCACAAAGCCAGCATCCAGCTTAAACGCATTGGATATCTGTTCGTGCTCAATGGGTGGCCTACTCTTTAGTTGAAGGACTTTGGATAGGGTTGTATTTTAGGTGTACATGGAGGCCGGATCTCACTGTTGCCTATGGCAAATGCTGTATATGAGTAGTCGTAATATAGCACAGTAATTGACGCTCGTTGCCCCCCAATTTGTTAATTCTGTGAAACAGTTGCTAGCTAAAATCCCGATATGTAAACCTGCCGAACCAAGGAAAGACGAAACGTGATTGTGAATGATTATGGATGCTGGGTGATTGCATCAACGTTATCCTGATATTATATCCTTCGAGCAGTGCACAGTAACCCCCAAAAAGATTGTAAAACATGACTGACTAGAGTCGTACCGTCAAATCCAAAGAAACAGTTTTCCACCATCCTCTACACATTTCCTGGCCCTCGGAAAAGAAACAAGCAATCTTATTCAGACTCTCACAAATATCGCAGTCGACTTTCCTAGTCTTGAGAATCAGTAAGTTCCAAAGAATCCTCGTAAAAGCATAGAACAAAAACATACATACCGTAAACCCGATTCTTCAGTACACACCACCCATAGAACGTAAAGTACGTCCATCTAGAGCGGCGCCGCCATGGAAGCACTTTTCATCCTTGCCCCGAACGCTAAATCCATCGCATTCGGACTCAGAATCCCAGGCCTCTAGGCCATAGCGAGCAATACCAAGCATGCTTTCCCCTAGGTACAAGTAGTCGATCTCCATCGAGTTGACCTTGGTAGGTGAACGCAGGTCTGGCAATCCCAAAATTCCACCCTTGGTTGGTTGGGAGGACCGCGCCCTCTCTTCGTGGGAGATGAGGATTGGGGAGGTTGCGTGGGCCTCCGTTTCGGGAATGCCAGCGCGGGCAATGGTCTCAGGGGCCTTGTAGGGGATCAGGGTGGAGGACTTGGTGGCCATTGTGGATGGTATTGCGGCGTAATGGAACGATACGAACAATTGTAGTAAGAGCTATGAGAAAGTGTAGATTGGAAGTCGAGGATGTTGAGAGTGGAGTGGATAGTTGAGTTGAGAGAAAGAGGTCTTTATATACTTTGTGAAGAGAGGGAGAATGGGCGATGTGAGCTTCATTTCCTGACGTCCGTGGAGGCCGAAAGGGTTCGGGAGTCGAATTGACGTAGAAGAATCAGGGTGGTGAGAAGGATTTGGTGATATCGAAGTACGTATGTGGAGGCTTCATGGTATGACTTTCTCTAGTTACCGGACGTGCAAAGACCGGTTGATCGACAGAAAGGGCGACAGGGCGACGAAAAAAGCATAACCAAAGATGACATAGACGTTGGGTATTCTACTCGAACAAAAGCAGGCAAAAGGAGTGCTCGATTGGGAAATTCATGAGTCCGTGATAAGTCCTTCAGTGGTGAATTGTAAAGACCTGCAGCTAGAGTCAGATTGTCCTGCGTCAAAGCTATCACATTTCGGAATAGCTGCAGTATTGGAGGACAATTGAATGAGCCGGGCCGGATCGATGCACTATTGTCTCGCGATGTATAAGGAAGTCCTTCAGCCTTGTAGATAATTCCGGTGTGAGGCTTGCCTGGATGCAGACAGATACTAGCGGCATTGTCCTTCACTAAAGCTTCTTGTCTTACTATACATTCGGTAGATGACCCGAGTATAAACCTCCTGGCGCTATGATCTGAGCTATTATCATGTTCATGTGTGGCTGATCTGTGCGTCCGGTGAGCATGGTACCGTGGAGGCTGCATTGTGGTGGTCCTTCGAGGCTGCATAAATGAAATGTGGGAGGACATTGCAGACGCCTCACTTCTGGCGGCCGATTCAGAACTAAACGGCCAAAGTTCAAAACTGTGCAATGAGATATACATAAGCTTCTTATGGTAACATTTCATATTGATCGAGTAACCATTTTCTTTTTTTTGAGTTGTCAGAATCTCATTTTGAGGCAACTCTCTATCAATACGTCGCCCCCAATCCTTCCTATTTGTTTATCTTCTTTCCTATCGAATACACACTGCGCTACGCCTTGTGGGGAAGTTCCTCGTTCTCGACCCATCTGATGACAACCTAGGTTTCTTGAATATCACAGGGCTTGATATTGAAAAATGCCTGTGCCACAGGACAGTCGGTTCCATATCTCTGGAGCGCATCTCTGATTGCCACATGCATTGAAATTTCCGGAACGTCAAAACGCTCAACTTTCACCAGGTCGGCAAACCTTTGCGCAGTATCCCCTTCCATGAACTGATAGCTGGTTGCCAACCCCTTCATCGCGTTCGCTGCATCACCCCTTTCGAGCGCAATACTTGCATGTCTGAAGATCTTCTGGATGTCCACCTTTTCGACGGTAAACCTCGTTTCCAAAATGGACTCAAGGCAAGCGAGAATGCTGTTTTGGGTAACTCCTCTTATGGGTGCAATGTGAACGGCGCGATTTGCGACGTAACTCGGGTGGAGAACCATATTTACAACAGTCTCGGCGATGGTGGGCAAAGGAGTCCAGAATAAGGGAGTGTTACCCGTTCCGTAAATGCGAGCCTTTCGGTTCGGGATATCGAAGCCAGCGGGGCCTCTCATCAGCCCTGTTTGAAATGTCAGAGTGCTGTACGCCCGTAGGAGATTCTTCGTTTCTCTGGACGCCAACTTACACATATCGAAGAAAGGTCCGCCGTTCAATGCTGTCCAACAAATCTTCCCACCCTCGCTCAATTTTTCGAGATAAGCCCTGGTCCGTACCTTTCCACCCACACACTGTTCTGGCAGGCGACGAAATTCTTCTCTCATGATATCGCCAACAAACTCATTGGCGAAGTAAAACCGGACGCCTGCCTCAACAGCAGCGTCGATGATGAGTTTGGTAGGCAAAAATTGTGTAGCTGCGCCGTTGATGCAGTTGATCACAGCATCTTTGCCTAGAAATGATGCTTTCAGAGACTCGAAAGAATCGAAATCCACGAGCTTGTGGATAATGTCGGCATCGGTCGGAAACTGAAAGTCTGGTGACTGGCGCGATATTGCGGTGATTTGGAAGCGACCTGTGTGCTTGAGGAGCTGCGAGATGACCTCCTTGCCCACACTTCCTCGAGGCTATATTGGTCGTACTTGTGTTAGAATATGGGTATCTATGTGCCGATTACCTCAGTATGTTCGTACCCCTACAATCGCAATCTTCTTTAGTTCCATCTCTTGCGCCATTGTGAGTTCCGTTGAACTGTAAGGTCGATATTGTGTCAAGTCGAATAGTAAGAACTGTTTCTGTATCGTGTGCTGTGGATGGGACGAGATGCTGATTATATGCCATCAAGTCATCTTAGGTTAGGTTAGCCGATACCATGAGTCAATTGCTGCCTCGGGGCTGCCTGTTTCTGCCTATGGCTGCCTTAGGATGCTGACTACACCTGCAGCTTTTGCATGGTTTGGTCTACATTAATGCAGCGCGACAAAAGCTATCAGATCTTTGTTAATGAAGGTATGGTCATTGTAGCTCAATTATTCCATGGTGGAAGCATCTATCTACGGATGTGGGTGCTTTATTAGGTAACTTGAGACTTGGTGTCGGCATATGAAATGGGATAGGGTAGCCGATCACGTGGCTATTAACACACCCGTTACCATATACCGACGGGAGAGCTCCTCCCTGGTTCCATTCCCATCTTAGTTCGGAGGAGGTGATTCGGGGATTAAAGTCGAGTTGTCGCGCATTTCTGGCCATCTATCAGTGATCCTACTTCTTTGCTCCCAAAAACTATCAGACCTATTCAAAATGAGCTCTCAAGGCATAGACAACAATATCGCAGGCCGATTGGCCCTGGTGACGGGCGCCTCAGGAGGGTAACCACGCCTGCTCCCGATGTGCATCATAATACAATATCTAATCAGAATTCCAACAGCATCGGAGGCGCATCTGCTCGTTCTCTCTACCTTCAACATGTTAACCTGGCACTTTCCTACAACTCGAATGTCGACAGCGTGAACCAACTCGCCTCGAAGCTACAAGAGGAATACAAGCAAGCGTATCCTGATCGAACCCCACCAAGAATCTCGACACATCAGGCAGATCTATCCGACACAGAGGCGACAATTCAACTGTCTGAAAAGGCGAAGAGCGAGCATTCCCAGGCAGTGGATATCCTGATCGCAAATGCGGGGTTCGGAAAGCGCATTACCGACATTGAGTGAGTTTTGAATTCCGATTCGTGATGCTCAGGGCACACAATCAATGCTTGCATCCAGACACTGATGAACTATCAGAGAAATTCCACTTGATCTTTTCCAACACACGTTAAATGTGAATCTCCAAGCACCATTCCTCCTGGCGAAGAGCGTGGTGGGGCACATGAAGCAACAACGGTGGGGCAGAATCATCTTCGTATCCTCAATCGCCGGTTACGGCGTCGGGTTGAATGGCTGCCGTACGTGAAGCACCAGACCATTCCAACTGAATCAGCACACACAACTAACACTCCACAGACTATGCGGCTTCAAAGGGCGGCTTGACCGCAATGATGAAGAACCTCAGTACTCGCCTGGCCGAATACAACATCACCGTCAACGACGTTTCCCCGGCCATGATTGGAGAGACCGGACTAATCCCTAGCGGCGATAGCGTCCCAGGCCTGGCCGAGAGCATTCCTCTTAAACGACTAGGTGTGCCCTCGGAAGTTGCAAATGTTGTTTCGATGTTCTGTACGACTGGATATATGACTGGACAAAGTGTATTGCTGGCAGGAGGATTGAATCATAAATAATTGAGGAAAAGCTAATGCATGTAGAAAATGAAGTAAAATTCCTGCAATCACAAAAGATGATGCTGATGGATACCCAAGGAAACTATATACAAAGGCAAATCTTGTTCATAAATGAAGAAAGATAAGCACTTTATAGCTGAAATGCAACGATTCCCCATGAAAATATCAGAAAAAGAAGGTCGAAGATCGTCCTCGGCCGCGGTCCGATGGGTCGGCAAGAATACCGCACGCGAAGACTTAGTGCGTCATCCCCAGATCAAAGTTGAAGGCAGCGGCAGTTGTCATAAGTACAATAATCTTGCCCCTCCCTGCTCCTCATATTGAACATCTTAATAGGCGCTCGACCCAGTAAAGAGATCAATTGCCGCTATTATTCCAACAAATATGTCTCAGAAAGCCGCACTCCTGATTGGTAACCTCAACCACACAAAGAGCCAATGGCAGGAGGTCGAGAGCGTCGCTTCAAAACTGTACGAGTACCCGACTGGATCGCGGGAAGATTTCATATCGAAGTGCCAAAAAGGTGATTTTGATGGCGTTTATGCGCTCTACCGGAGCAATGATTCGAACAAGATTACCGGCAACTTCAACGACGAACTCCTCGAGGCGCTCCCATCATCGCTTAAGTACATCTGCCATAACGGTGCTGGCTATGACAACATTGATATCCCCGCGTGCACAAAAAGGGGCATATCTGTTTCGAGTACGCCGGTGGCTGTCAATGATGCGACCGCCGACGTGGCTCTCTTCCTCATGCTCGGCGCGTTGCGTAATATCACACAATCTTTCCGGGCCGTGAGACAAGGTGAGATAACAACTACACACCGCATTACTGCCGGCTGATATGATAGGCAATTGGCGCGGTAACTTCGCATTGGGACATGATCCTAAGAACAAGGCTCTCGGCATCTTAGGTATGGGAGGAATTGGCCAAGCTATGGCGAAGCGGGCGAGGGCATTCGGGATGACGATCCAATATCACAATCGTCGGCGACTGAGTCCAGAGGAGGAAGAAGGAGCAAAATACGTTAGCTTCGAAGAGTTATTGAAGACATCTGACGTCCTTAGTCTGAACCTTGCGCTCAATCCGTCTACGAGGCACATCATTGGCAAGCCACAATTCGACATAATGAAAGATGGTATCATTATCATCAACACGGCGCGCGGGCCACTGATTGATGAGGCAGCACTTGTCGATGCACTCAATAGCCGCAAGGTCTGGTCCGCGGGATTGGATGTGTTCGAAGAAGAGCCCAAAATTCATCAGGGGTTGTTGGACAACGAGAATGTTGTTCTATTGCCGCACGTCGGAACGGCAACGTTCGAAACTCAGGTGAGCATGATGGCGAGAAGTGAACGGTGTTTGAATTGGAAACTCATATTTGGTGTAGCGCGATATGGAACTGCTTGTTCTGGACAACCTGAAGTCGGCAATAAGTCAAGACAAGCTGTTGACACAAGTTCCCGAGCAAAAGTAAGCCTACAGCTCATGTAATAACTAGAGCCATATTTGAGAATGTAATGAAAGAGGACTCGGCGAAAATACTTCGGTTTTTGTAGCAATCATGGAGAAGGAGTTGTTGTTCTACTCCTTTTGCGTGCCGAGGAAGGCACGGCCCTCGTTCGGATGAAAGGACCTGGAAGCTCAGCAGCACTTTCTGAGGTATCTCACAAGAATTTATCGTCAAGATATCTCCTTTTGGATATTCAGGATTGCCGACGGATCAGTTCATTACTTTTCACAATAGGCTTTTGCTTTTAAAATATTGTAGTACGCCCAGTCACAAGAAGTACAGCAATGTATTCAGCTTTATTCAATCGACTACCTAGAGCTCTAGACATAGACAAACGACAATAGGCCCCCAATTATGGCCTGATCATTTAACCCTCATCATTCGATTTGGTACAAACATCATGAAAGGAACAACACGTGACTCAATTCTGAGATGCCGGGCGGCGTTTGTCGGCTATCAAGCCTCGCCAAGTTGGCTACAAGCGACCCGCGAAGATTAAGTAGACAAGCCTTTATTGGCATTTCCACCACTTATCAGCGGTGGCTTGAGAAGCTGTCAAACGCCGGTAAGCACATGTAATTCTTCAACAATATTCACGGCTAGGTTTACGGCTTCTGGTCCTCTCTTCAACTGTTGCAAGACGCTCCATGGGAACGGTCCGTTGTTCAGAGCCGCCCCCCGCAAAACTCTTAGTCTACCCCACGCCACCACAAGACCCGCTTTCTGTCCAATCCAACAAATCTCCTGTCCATGGGGTAACACTCCGACGATCAGTAGTCACCGTTACCACGCTACCGAGGTCAATGCCGAACAATACTATATATTGGGGCTGATGATCTGATTCTAACAAGATGCCCTCATCTCCAGCATCTTCCAAATCCTCCAGGTCTTCCTCTGTCTCTTCAACTACACCGCTACGACAATCGTATAGCGAGGAAGAAGCGGTTGGCAGTAGTTCAGCTGTGCAGCCACTCTTGAGAACCTCACGCCAGACTACGTCATCCCTACACGGGGCCAGGAAAATGGCGAAGACTAGCATGTCGGGCATATGGGCGGATATTGTTGCTTATCGTCGGGTCTATCTCCTGACAGCAGTGGCCTCCTTCGGTGGCATGGTACGTCTCCAGAACGCTCGCCAAACAGGATGTGCTCGACGCGTCGAGTCCGGCAAATTCAATGAGGCGGTGCTAATGCGACAAATAGCTTTTCGGATGGGACACTGGTCTCATAGGAGGAGTCTTGACGATGAAGGCTTTTCAGCATTCGTTCAATTTGGACAAGGATAGCGACGACTTTAGTAATTTGCAGGGCAATATTGTCTCTGTGCTTCAGGTAAGCGATCGTTGCATCTAAAACTAGGAAGCGAACCACTAACATGTTGTAAGGCGGGATGTTTCTTCGGTGCTTTGTCTTCATTCTACATCAGCGATAAATTGTAAGATTTACAGTACTTTCCTTTAGGGAAGAATTTCTGCTCATACTCATCTAGCGGCCGCAAGCGGGCATTGATCATCGCCGATATCATTTTCATCATCGGGTCGATCGTTCAAACATTGTGCGCACTTGGTACGACGAGCCTCGCACAGTTGTATGTTGGTAGGGTCATTGGTGGTTTTGGAGTTGGACTCATCTCAGCTGTTGTCCCTACGTACATTGGCGAGAACGCGAATAAAGAGATTCGCGGACGATGCATCGGATGGTATGTCCCAACATTTCTCTCTTCAAATTAAAATCAGTCTCTAACGCGCCACGCAGTATGCAACTTTTCAACGTTACCGGTATCTGTTTGGCTTTCTTCGTCAACTACGGCATCAACCTGCATATCCCCGGTCTTTCCTCGTCGAAGTGGCGGATCCCATTCGCACTGCAGATGCTTCCGGGTGCCATTCTGTTGGCCGGCATCGTTTTCATGAACGAGTCGCCCCGATGGCTCGTAGAAAAGAACCGCATCTCGGATGCCAGAAAGGCTCTCTCCATCGTCCGAGCCAAGCCCATTGATGACGAGGCTGTAACACGCGAACTCGACGAGATCGTCCTCGACTTCCAGGGACACGAGAAGATCTCGCTCAGGGACCAGCTCAAGGACGCTTTCTCGAGCAAACGCATGTTCTATCAATGCTCGTTCGCGGTGATCCTCATGTTCTGGCAGCAGTGGACGGGAACCAACAGGTACGTTTCGGGTTCTCGCATATGGAACAAATGTCGTGCTAACTCATCATTCAACAGCATCAACTACTATGCACCTCAGATCTTCCAATCCATCGGTCTGAAGGGAACTTCTGCAGGACTGTTCGCAACAGGAGTGTACGGCATTGTCAAGATCGTCTGCACAGCAGCGGGCCTGATGTTTGCAACAGAGCAAATGGGCCGCAAGGTATGTCGTGGAACCCGCCCGTCCGCTGCCCAGCCTCACATATCATATTCCTCTCTTTATCTCCGACCGCTCATAAATTAACCGTCCTGAATTTTCGTTTCCTATCCCGTCGGGCATGAAAACAAACAAAAAGCTGACAATCATCTGCAGTGGAGTCTCCTGGTAGGCTCAGCGGGCCAAGCCTTCGCTATGTTCTACATCGGCGTCAACCAAGCAGTGCACCCGCCCAAGGAAGGCAGCGCCCTCACCGGAAACAGCATCTTCGCAATCATCTGCGTCTATCTCTTCGTTGTGTTTTATTCGTTCGGTACGTTGGTCCTGACACGTCTTCCCCCAACTCTTCCCTCTTCCATCCGACCATGCATTTCGCCTCCCAAGGCGCCCTTCACCGACGAACCCCACCCCCCTGCCAATCACCCTCCCTACTTTTCCTGAATTGTCAGGCTAATGATGTGTTTGTTGTATCTTTTAGGCTGGGGACCCATCCCTTTTGTTCTTTCTAGCGAGTGCAGTCCGAATAGAGGTACGTACATTTACGACACCCGCTACACCTGATCCTCCGCACCATCTCGTTTACTGCAAAGTGTATTGTCTACGTGGACCTATGGAAGATTCCCATACCCACATCCACATGCATGAAATTGATCATCTCTACCTATACGCCCGAAAAGGCGGGTTTTGCAAGCGCGTAACTAACCACATCACTCACAGTGCGATCCCTCGTCATGGCAGCAGCACTGATGACCCAATGGCTCTTCAACTTCGTGATTGGTAAGTCCTCCCCATTCACATTCCCCTCCCCCCGCCTTCCCTCCCTCCCTTTCTTCCCCTCCCGTTCGCCGCTCAATATGTGTGCATTCATGTATGTATGTGCTGTTCAATTCCCATGCTGATCATACGCCTTTCCACAACAGCGAAAATCACACCCATCATGCTCGACAAGATCACCTACGGCACGTTCCTGCTCTTCGGCAGCGCGTGCATCATGATGGGCTTTTACACGGTCGCCTGCGTCCCTGAGACCAAGAACGTGCCGCTCGAGTCGATCCACCTGCTGTTTGAGGGGGACATCGTCAAGGGGTGTATTAGAGATACCGTGCCCCGGTACTCGCGGGCGAAGCAGTTGCAGAATCACAGGCATGGCGAGGATGATCATGATGGGATGAGTGTGGATGAGGGGGTGAAGAAGGGGGATGAGACGTTGAGGGTTGATAGGGTGGATAGTGTTTAGATGTTGGTGGCTCTTCTGGGGGGAAAGAAAGGGAGATGTGGAGAGTAATGTTGTATACGAAGTGAGCCACTGTTTGACTTCGATGGCCCGCCGTATAGAGATGTAAATAATACAGTACCGGTGTTCATCTTCGTCAGTAAATAGTAGACATCACATCCAAAAGAGGTCACTACACAAACCCCGTCTGCCTTCAACCCTCTCTTCCCCGTGAGACAAACATCACACGACAAGACACGACAATGGAAAAACCTACCCTCCAGACCGCCTCTCTCCCGCATTCTCTCCGCCCTGCGGCATTTTATGTTTCCCCTCCCCACCGTCTAAGGAAACAACAAAGTGAAGGCAAATTGATAATCCACAACTGACAATCTCCCATCCCATTTCCCGCCTCAACGGACCGAATGAGAACGTCGTGTTGAATCTCGGTCTACAACATGTGCATGCTACGTGTACAAACACATGAAGATCACTTCACGAAAGGGGACTTTTTTTCGGGGCGTCAGGCGGGTGGATCGAGGGGTTAGGCGGGCGGGTAATGTGTATGTATGTGTATCATGTATGTATGTATGTGTAGAATTGCATGTACGGAGTATGTGTATGTAAGTTTGTGTGTGAGATTATGTGTATGTGAGTATTCGGCCCGTATATGGGTGATAGACGGTCAAGAGTGAGGCGGCCGCGACCCAACGCTGAGGTATGTGGTGAGTGGTGGTGGCGGTTTCACGCAAGGCAAAATGCTAAGGCAAAATGGATGTTAAAGGCAGCGAGATGACCAGTCGGTCTTTCGGACGAGCGCGAGCGGCAAGCGAGGCGAAGCGAGACATGTGGTGCTGGACGGAAAGGGAAAAAGATGGGAACGATTGTGTTCGTCTAGACGTTCGTTCGTTCGGACATCTGTTCGTTGGGTGGTCGCTGCTGGTGAGTGGATCGATCAGTCCGTGGTATTGAGGCCTTGGTTGTTGCGTGGTCGTGGGACCGGGGGTGTTGGGCATGGTTAGCTGGGATACCCATTGCTTGGGATCGTGAGGTTTACCGGATCATTCGAAGGACGGGTCGCACAAACACTCGTACTTGTACTTGTACAGTTACTTTTGCTGTGTGCTGGTTAAGCTATGTATGCAGGTCGAGTCAAGTCGAGCGTGTTTTAATTTATTTGATTAGATGCCGCAAGTAATGTGCGGTCTACCATCTCTCCCCATCCGCATCGAGTAACGGGGTGGTCCTGGTTGGGAGACACTTTGTGACAGCGGCACGACGTTTTGTCCGGTGTCTTGATGCAGCGCACCAAGTGGACGAGGCAGAAGAGAAAAAGGGTTTGGTTCATGTTTGAGCGTTATTTTTTCTTTTTTCTTTGTTGTCTGTTCTCGGTGCTTGCCGTCATAGAATGGTTTGGTATGGTATGATAATGGGATTTCTTAGTAGCCTCTTCCTTGTCTTTGGAGGCCATAGTCCAGATGTAGTTACTAAGGCACACGGCTGGTGAAACTTGAGCCTTCGTTTGGTCTGTGAGCTGGGCACACATGCATTTCCTAGACAAAAAGACAGTATCTACCTACTCCGTAGTCCGTACTCCATAGAAATGAAATGGTTTCGGGTGTAAGTTGGTGGCAGTGACATTGTTGGGATATGCGGTGAGAGAGCACGAATCGAATCATCAGTCGATTTGTCCCGTTCATCCATTCATTCCCAGTTTGATCTTAATTTGCTTTTTTTGATTTCGAGCAAACCCAAAGGTCGAGGCATGCAGGTCAGGTTTGTGTGCATTCGTGGTCGGTGAACTCGGGTGTAAGTGTTAACCGTCCCGGCCTTACCTTGGGTAGGAAGGTACCTCGTAAGGTAAGCATATTTGAGGTCGGGCAGATATGGATGGTAGGTATCACGGCAGCCGACGCATGAGGCATGTACCGATACCGTATCGTACACAGTAGTATGCAGCCACGCAGCCCTGTTTTGGGCCCTGCTTATTCTTTTCGTTTCCTTTCTTCTTTTCTCCCTCCATTCTGTTCTGATCAGTGACGAAATGGGGTAGACTCGGTTCGCCTCGCCTCGCTACCCAGTCCAGTGACCCAGTTCCTGAGTGGCGGCGGTGGGATTGAATAAGGCCGAGCTGGAGCTTGGTTGCAACGGGAAGAATGGGAATCTGAGAAGGACTGTGGCGGATTATTACGTTCGTGGGTAGCATTTTATTGAAGAATGGTGATCTTGCACTCGAGTAGTTCTATGGTTGTATTGGTCAATAATATGGGAATTGTTTTATATGGTTATTTATGGAAGTGGATTTATTGAATTGTGGGTAGATCACCGAAGTAATAGTTGGGATATCACTGTATTTTGCATGGAGGAATTGGTGCTCTCAGCAAATAAAAAGAACGGAATTGCAATTAGTAGTGAATAGGAGTAATGGGAGTAATACTGGTATGGAGTAGAGTGTAGAGTGTAGTGAATAGACATGTGTAGAGCGGAGGATGGCGCGTCACGGGTGGCGGATTGGGCCTGCAGGTCGATGTCATAGCCCAAAATAGCCGATCATGTCCTATTCCACTCGGGCTGACCTCACTCTACACTCTGCACAAGTATGTACAGTACAACCCAAAGAAATAATTCCCACATTTTCCAATTGTCTGTCCTTGATTTTGGACGGGATTATTTTATTTTTATCGTATTATTGCTATTATCCCTGAAACGTATGCCAAACCTGTACATCGCATTGGCTACTATACTGCCTTTTGCTCGCGTGCCGACCCGTCAGTCTAGAGGGTACTTGTGGACAGTAAGTAAATACAGTAGAAGAGAAAGTACCTTTCTTCTTGCCCGCCCCACTCTGACGGTGTCCGTTTTGGTGGACGGTGACAAGTATGACGAATGACGAGGACAGTGTGGACAAGTGACAGGAGTGACACAGTAACAGTAATAGTACCGAGTAGTGATTGCCCCTCTATCACTTCTTTTTTGCTCTATAGTTACCTACAATACAACCTCACTTCTATTATTTTCCCTTCTGTCTCTCCTCATTCATAATCAAAACATCCACATCCACATCCACTAAATTATTAACCCCCGCCGACAATCACGCCGTTTTATTACTCCACCATCCCATAACGCACGTGGATGCATTCGTACCCTCTCGATTCATTCATTTCCTTGGCCCCGCCGCTCTCCTCCTACTCCTCCTACTCCTCCTACTCCTCCTGCATGCTTCGTCTTCCCTTCTGACCTCCGTAACCTCTCCCTCTTCTGGGGATTCCCTGCTGCCACCTGCAAACATCACCTTGTCTGTGCAGCTTCTTCCTACCCTCGACCCTGCGTCTAACGCAACACCTACCCTGTCACCTCCTCCGCTCTCTCACCGGGGGAAAGCCTCTTCAGGTTCTCGTACCGTTCCCACCTCCCCTCTCCACCACCACTACCGCCGCCGCTGCTTCGACGTCGCCTTCGCCAGTGCGCTGTAACCCATCCTGTCGTCGCCTCGATCTTCACGTCTGAACGCACATCCTGACCTTCATCGCCGAGACCACATTCGCGTTCGTCTCACTGCACCCGTAGCCGCTGCCGTTGCCGTTGCCGTCCTCCGTTTTCCAATATAGACTACCATGTACGTCGACCTCAGCTACTCTTCTTCCTCTTCTCCAGGGCTCGCTTCAATCTTTCTCTCGTTTGTGCTCGAGTCTCCCTCCTGCCTCTCTGTCCCCTCGTCCCTGTCCTCGTCTTTGTCTTCATCTTTGTCCTTCTGCATTGTCCTCATCGTCACCGTTATCTATCTCGTCTCTACCTACTGACGGCAATCATGGGCAGCATTGTATTACCTCCGCGTGCTCCTACGCACAACCGCAAGCATTCTTTCAACCTCACAAACAAAGGCATCCTTTCCCTCAGCACTAAGAACACGGCCAACGTCGCTCTACCCACTGGCAAGCGCGAGGTCCCAATCCCTCCTCCCCTACCTCCTCGACGCAACACTGTCAACAAACCCCCACTAAAGTTACACTCGGTCACGCTATCGGGAGGCATGGAGTCCAGATACAATCGTCCGTCGTCACCACGAAACCGCTACGTGAACCCTGCCAGATCATCCACAGGTACTTTTGGGGACCCATATCATGATTCTTTGTACTATGGCGGGCGGACGAATACGTCACCAAGGTCAAGCGGGGATAGGTTCGGTAGCTCCTATCAGCCGCATGCCACTGTTTACACCCCGAGCTCTTCGTCCGGATCCCGCACGAGCGCGCTGAAGTACGATTCATACTCTGGCCGGCCCAGGCGTAATACGCTTAACGATGACGAACGCACTGGCAGGCCCAATCTTCGAGAAATCCTCCCCCTACCACCTACCTCCTCAATTCCAATCCGTTCCCCAGCATTCCAGCACAACTTTCACCATAACCGCCCTTCCAGCCCACTAGCAAGTTCGTTCGATAGCAGAGGAGATACGTATATCCACGGGCCAACTCGCCATGAGCATAAGAGAATCTATAGCGTAGATGACAACAGCCATAAGGCTAGATTGGTGGCTGAAAGGGAGGTGATTGAGCCTCGACGGCAGGACAGTCGCTCACAGCGCGACTACAACGTGACGAGCGGGGGCAGGAGCTATCACACAAGCTCGAGCAAATCCCAGCCTCGTCCTACCGACCTCAACGACGACGGATATTCTTACACCGATGCAGCGGGCATGTATCGCGATACGGAGCCTGCATGGCGTCGACCGCGCTCCGGAAGCGTCGAGCGAGGATCTCGGCCTAGCAGTCTGATTGTGGACAATAGAGCACCCAGAAGTTCTGCCAGGGAGCTTGGCCCACCGCCGTCTATGCGAGGGTTTGATAAGATCAACAACGGCATCCCCAGACGGGACCATCACGCCAGGTCTTCCTCCATTGAGAGATCTCGTGAGGTTCCCAAGTACGATCCTTACCCAGAAGCTGCCCCTTCAAGATCATCTTCGACTCGCCACCATGCTCCGGCCATACATCAAGAGCCTCGAGACCACCGCCGTGACACGACGCACGACAGCTATGATCGGAGAGACTACGACTCGGAGAATCGAAGACAGCCTGCCCCAGAACGATTCGAGGACCGAGACGTAGCAGCACGAGGCTTCGGTATCGCCCCCGGCCTAGTAAACACTCCCGCGGAGCGACAGCCCATCTGGAGTGCACATGAACAAGCTCGCCCTCGAGCCGATGAATACACCACGCCTTATTATCCTCCAGAGCGTGCCGTCGACCCACGTGCCTCCGATTCTCGAGTGGCACGTGACCGCGAAGCAGCTCCCAGGTATGACGAGCGCCCACAGGAACGGCGTGATACAGATGACCGCAATCATCACTCCAGCGTTGCACCAATTGCCGCTGGTGCTGCCGTGGGTGCCGTTGCTACTTTCGGCGCCGCTCAAGCCTTGAAGTCTAGGGAGGCCGATCGGGAACGCGACTCGGAGCGAGACCGCGAGTACGAGAGAGAGCGTGAGCGACGCAGGGAGATGGACGAGCGGGATCGACGGGATCGAGGCTCGGAAGACAGGCGAGACAGGGCATCCCCCGACGAGCGTAAAGACGATCGAGTTCCACTTGCATCGGCTGCCTATGCGTCAACACAAGACCCCGACCGCAAGCCGCCACGAGACCGCAGGTACGATGAAGAAGATCGATCACGCGAATCACGTGAGCCACGGGAATCCCGGAGCCGAAGGCACGAGGACGAGGGGCGTGAAAGGAAGTCTCGACGAGCAGCATCGTCGGATGGCAGTGGTGATGAACGAGCCCGCCATTACGTGGATCGGGAAGGTCGTGACAGCGATCGCCGAAAGGATGCTGCGCCGGAGGCCGCCTTGGACCCTGACGAGGAGTATCGCCGACGCATCCAGCAAGAGATGGACAGGAGTGGAAGGTCTGCTCGCGACTCTGATTCCGACAGGGAGAAGGACCGTCGCCGGCGCAAGGAAGCCCGGGACAGGTCTCGCGATGCCTCCCGTGGCCCTTCATCGGGTGCTCAAGAACCGCGTTCTGAGGGCCGATCTTCGAACGTCCTCGACACCAACATCACACAGGAGCCTGACAGTATCCCATCACCCTCTGGGGAACAGAGCAAGTCGGTGCAGATTGTCACGCCCCCTAAGGAGGCAGAGCCCAAGCCAAAGGGTATCCTCCGGAAGCCAACTGAGAAGTTCCCAGAGGATCCCGATCCGATTCGCGAGGGTGTCGCCCCTCATAAGAGCCAGCTGAAAGGAAAGGACATCCCGGTCGGTGCCCGCTGGACCAAGATCGACCGTCGACTCGTCAACCCCGAGGCGCTGCTCGAAGCCCAGGAGCGTTTTGAGGAGCGTATGGACTGTGTCATCGTACTCCGCGTCTTGACCAAGGAGCAAATCCAGAAGCTCGCAGATCGCACCAAGGAGATCCGCGAGGCTAGAGGTAAGCTATAATGCCGTCCCTTCGTGTCTTTCGTCAGAAATTAACACATTTCTTCAGAGGATGAATACGAACGTCGAGAGGGACGAGAGCGTGACTACCGGGACAGGGATCGGGAACGTGATCGTGACTACAGTCGACACCGCAGCCATCACGACGTAGAGGATAGAGAGCGCGGTCGCGCCCGCGATTACGATGACGACGATTATGACGACGTCGGTCGACGCGACTACGAGCGCAGGAGGGACCGTGATCAACCAAGGATGATCGAGGCGAGCAGATAAGGGCAACACGTGACCAGTGGTTTCATCGGGACTTCATCTGAACCTATATTGAAAGCAGTATTATTCTTGCATGTTTGAGTCTCATCTTGAAAAATGTTGATATATTGAGTGTAACCGAGGAAGACCAAAAGTCATCGGGGTTTTGACAATGACAAAAAGGTCATCCATTGTAGCGTTTTCCATCACCAGGCCAGCAAGCAAGCAAGCAGGGCACTCGAAGACAATGTACCAGTCATCACCACCATCAGTAGACTATCAGCATAGCATAGCGACCGGCGTATATTGTGTATTTCCCTTCATCTGTCCCAGAACTTCCACATGAATCTCTTCAATCGAGTAGTTTCCCCCCTTTATATAATGAAGGAACAATCAACTTCTGTACTGTTCCCAACTATCAGTTTCCCCCTGTTATATAATGAAGACCAAGCGCATCCCACCTGATCTGCTCTTCGAGTACTGAAGAGTTCGGCAGTATTGTCTGCCCATCGACTGTTCCTACAACAGTAAAAAACTTATACCTCTAAGTAATTTAAGGCCGAAGTTTGAAGGATGTAACAAACGTATAGGATGATTCCAGATTATTTCTGGTGCGTGAAAGTGCTGACTGTTGACGAAACTGTTACAGACTCAGTGTAGTGCTGGGTAGGCAGAGACTTTGTGCTGCACTCTTCAGTACTCCGAGAGTCCCATGCTAATCGCATGTGCCGCCCACCCTTCGCATGCAACATTGTCTTCGTTGACCGCGATGTGATAACGCGTTTGGAGCAATGCTCTTCACTCTCGCCGCTCTACAATCAGATCAACGTCCTCGCGGGAGGTAAATGTCCAGCTGGACCCCATCAAAGGAAACAAATCCCCGAAAACGCATCTGTATATATATTTTCCACCGGATCGTCCGAACTGGAAAGCGTTTCAACTAGACGTCCTTCCCAGTCGATGGCAACCCAGGATGGAAAGGGTTCGAGAAAGGGCAACAGGCAGGCGGGTCTGAAATCGCAAAGCCACATGCCCTCCCCCCCAAACGCATCTCCACATGGCTTTCTGCACAGCTCTGGATCCTAGGCTGATACATGTGCCATCGCGCACAGCATCGTGACTCCATCCCGGAGTGTGCGCTCTTCAAAGATAGCGTCTTTTCGCTCACCCGGGACGCACACTCGGGAGTTAAAGTACGGTGTTGTATATAAGATAAGCACACAGCTGCACGGTTGCGTATGTCTTCGAAGAGAGCGCCTTTTCGTAGAACCCGAGACGCGCATGGGAGTTCGGAACCGTATATAAGGTGTCATCAGCGCGAGCGTGTGCGCGTACAAGCGGAGAAATTCATCTCTCTCCATCATCGAAGGACTTAGCCGATGAGCTTCATTAGCTACAGTCGTGTGGTCGTCCACAGAGAGAGTAAACCAAAGTCCTGCAGCAGCGCATCATCCGTATTTTGTCCAAATCGGAAGGCTATTTGGAGGGAGTGGTTAGCGAAGTACAATGATGCAATGTAATCTCAAGTTCGTAGAAGATGATGATGGAGAAGGAGAAGGATCAATCAACCCTTCAATCCCGAGAATCGACAAAAAACTTCAACATGGGCAAACGGAAAAGCAGCAACGTACCTGATTGTGGGCTCCACACCGGTGCTCTCATTGCCTTTTCTCCCTGTTCTGGTTGCATTTGTGTTACGAATCGTATATAGATATAGAGTGTGCGTGCGTGGATGACCCCAGATCGACTGGCTCCAAAATGTCACTAGCACATACATTTTCTGGAGCATCGATGGTGGAGCTCAGTTTAAGATGCATGCGTGCGTGCGTGCGTGCGTGCGTGCGCGTATATAGGGAAGATGTGAGTATATGTGAATGTGTGCCACTTCCATCTCATCAACACACTAATTTCGATGTCAGTCCGTTCCGTGACATCTTCTTGTGTATGGGTCTCCCTCCGTCTGCGCATGCTTTTTCAACAAGAATGTCCTTTTGCTGCACCGAGCGGAGTTGGAGGAGATAGTACGCTTTTTCTCCATTTGTCTCCGTCTCCGCATGGATCTTCCACAAGCATAGCCCTTTGCTGCACCAAGCGGAGTTGGAGGAGAAAATAGGATGTATATAGGGCGTTGTCGAGGAACTGGTCGAACGCAAAAGTCGCACAAGTTCATACGCAAGAACGACCATGACGTCTCAAGTTGCATCTGTGGAAAAGAGAGACGTATATATGTCACCTGGGGCCATATGTCATCCGGTACCCACGGAGAATAAAGCCCTGCCCTGCATGGCGCAGATGAACGTACAATGATACCCAAACGAGCTCCTACCGTCGAGTGATAGGTTTGGAGAAGAAAAAAAGAGGTATATATGCCATCTGGGAGGCGCTGGCCGAACGATCTCCCACATGGCCAGCATGCAGAAGTTCAATTTCCAGTTACAAAGCCGGAAGAGGGTCGATGCATCACTGCAACACCGTAAGCTTCCTGGCAATGTTCCACGACGAACACACGCGCGTATTATAGTCGGAACTCTTTTGAGGGCGTATAGCAGAATTGTTTCCTGTCCGTAATGAGGCACTCTGTTCTGTCTCATCCTGTGATTATCCTCCTTCCCATATTCGGTTTTTCGCTCCAGTCTGTATCTCCGATCCTCTTCGTCATCGCAGGGAACTCGACCAAGCAGACGCGCACATGGAGTGCTCTGATGGATTCGAAAGGGCAAGGAGGAGAGCAGAAATGAGAAGGAAAGTGTGCACTGAAAGGGAGTACGGCTCAGCAACCATCAAGTTGGGATGAAGAGAGTCGATTTTGCGTCTCAAGAAGCGCGTTATACATTAATGTACCCCGAAGATAACGAGGGGCGCGAAGACGTAGATGTCGTGCGTATATATAGGTAGGTATAAGTAGGGTGGTTTTCCCATCGGTGTTCTCCCGGGGCAACAGCGTGCACCATGGATTGTTGCATTTCACGTAGCGACGGTCTGTAGTCCTGTGTCGTGATATCTACTCCTACGGCATTCGCAACGCAAGTCTTTTCAGACCCTGACATCTTCGCATGTTGAGTCTTCGTCGTGCGTTTTGCCTAGACCCAGGAAGGAACGTGGTGGTACTGTTCTGAAAAGTCGCTCACGCGTTGTATGCAGGCAAGGCACGTTGGGTATACATTGGTCAGTTTCTGAGCCAGTGGCTTCTCCACTAGGTGGAAGGTAATATGCATTCCAGGGCAAATAGACTCGGTCTTCCAATTCCTATAGGCTGCGGTCATTGGAAATATTGGCAATGGGATATATAGGGTCGTTTCTCAGGCGCAGGTAACCCAGTTGTTGTGACAGCGTAAGTCGGGGATGCCTGGGACATGGCTCTGGTTGCTCCGTCCGTATGATACCATTTCGGAGCGCTCTGAGGCTGTAGATCCAAAGAAGTCCACGTGCGAAATGCTGTGATACTCCATGCATGCCGGGCAGGGACCAAGATGGGATGCACGTAGGTTCGCAGCGGCAGCGGTAGGATAGAGAACGGAACGTGTTTTCGCCCGTGCACATATAGCAGAGGGCTACAGTATAAGTCGTAGAAGTTGTGTATATATAGATAGGTTCTGACTCCACTCTTGTTCCGTGCGGCAGGTCGTGGATCTCGAGGATGTGTACATCCCGACGCGTACTGCAGCGATAAATCTGTGCGGGTTCCACGTTCAAGACCCAGTGATGGTCCCTTCGTGGCGAACAAGAGCCGAAATGCGAGGTTCGCAATCTCGCAGCGATATGTAAGACGAAAGAGCATTCGTTGTCTTGCTCCTCCCGGGCTGTGGTGGCCTTGTGCCCGTGGTAATAGGAATATAATTTCCCCCCTTGCGATTAAACTTGACGTAGAGCTCTCTCGTTGTGTGTGTGAACGGATATAAATCTGGATCTGGATCCTCCATATAGCTTTTGTGCAGCCTCCGCTACGAAGACTAATTGAAAACCATCCCACAGGTCATGAATACCTATGAAAACGGGCAGCGACAATTATCGAACAAATTCAAGGACAATCCCACGTAGCTCGGGGGCAAAATGATGCCTGGTTTGGTTGTGTGGTGCGCCGTGCCAGCGGTAGGTTGAATGCATTTGGGTCTGCTTCCTGAGCACACAATGGCCAGGCGAAGCACCTGGCGTAGGTGCAGTATATACGTATGAATATCGTGGTCTTTGTCGTGCCTCTGGATCGTATGTCATGGGAGCCTAGGACGCACGGCTCTATGCCGTCTCGCAAAGCGTAGGTTTGTGGGTTGCAGTGTTGTCCTGGCCCGTGAAGCACGACTGTCGAGGACGGTCCGCAAAGGCGATATCAAAGATATCCCGGGCTGGGCCTTATCCTGTCCGGAGACATGACACAGCCAAGGCACACAGGGCCCTGCCCATCAGTATGTGGGTGCTTCGGCCAGACCCAGGCAGCAAGAGCTTGTCGAGATCGTAATGGCGCAAGATGAGGCGCAGGAGGAGCATGGAAAAATCTTTCCTTCGCACTATCTGTCGTGGTGTATATATGGCATGATGTACCGGACTGGGTCCTATGCGTAGTAATGAATGAATAGAGGGACAGAGACCATGGAGGGATGGATGCGGCGAGGTTTGGCTCCAAACGGACGGACTGGAGTAAATGCAGCATGTATCTCATTCCAAAACGCGCTTCTCAGAGCAACCGGCCATTGTTTGAGTGTGTCTTGTCTTCATGAAGAGATGAGCCACCCTGAGTGGTTGAACCATCTCGCTCTGTCGTCTTCTTGATGGCAATATAGATGGGCATCTTCGGGCAGAGGAGTTCCTATGCCGAAAAAGGAGGCCACCAAGATTTGGGGAGGTAGGAAGCGCGTGACCATGGGTGCGTATATATTGCGGTAGCTCTGACTCGTCACATGGATCTTCAGTTATTTGTGTATCCACGGGGCCTCATAGCCTCAGGTGTTGTGCCTTCCTCGACATGTTGGCTCCAAGATAGCCTACGCGGTGGTTGTATATAGATTTGTAGTAACGAATGTGAATACCGGTTCGTCATGATAGTTGTGCATATAACGAGGGAGGCAACCTTGATACCTGAAGTATCATATGCGGGTACTAAAGAAGAGGGAACGCAAGAGACGAGGAATTCCACTGTGAGTACGTCAGTATAATGTCAAAAAAGTAGTAGTAGTAGAGAAAGAAGAAACACCTAGAGAAAGGGGGCTGCTGTTTCTCTTTCCACTCTTTTGTCTTTTTGCAACTTGTGTTTAGTTTACAACGAATGATACTTACATCTTTATAGCTCAGCTTGGAGATCCATCTTCTGTAAAGAATATTGTCGGGTTGTTGCCTCAAGATGGAGCCAATCCCTCGTGCTAAAGTGAATGATAAAAGAAGAAGGCGGCCATTGGTGGGGAAACGACCTAGAAGAAAGTTATTGCCAAACCTGCTTCAAAGAGCTGAGCTCTTGTCCGAGTCCACTGACAACCATACCTAGAAGACAAGGAGAGGCACTCGTTGGTCGACTTTTCGACTTTTCTCCGATGCGCCCTCGTAGAACGCTCAACCGCGTTGGTCAATTTGTAAATGGTGTGCCCGGTGCCAGCTTAAATGAATTTATGTATATATAATGTATGGAGGAAGAACATTTCAGTTAGGTGGAAGTCAGTGGACGTATGGACGAACGATAGGAACGAGCAAACGACGATGTGCAAGCGAAAGGTGTGGGAATGACGAGAATTTTACGCCGAAGTAGTGTATATGTATGTGTGTCTATATTTGATAAGTATGATGTATTCATGCAAATGGTTTATTGATATTGCTTGGGATGATGCATTGGGATGGATGGGTGGATCGGATCGCCGTCTTCCGTTCCTGTTCCTTTGTTCGTTTGACATCTCGGGTACTTGCCTGGTGTCATGCCTCTCAGTGTGCATACTTGTACCATTGAGAAGACGTGTAAAGGAGCGGTGAGTGATGATGGGACTGTTGTATTCAACATGAACGGTAAATTCGGCAACAGTGTGTAGGGTTGCAATGCAGAAATTCAATCTACAGACGCAAGGGCGTGTCCATGTGCGGGAAAGCACATCCTAAGTTCCTTGTCCACCATACGCATTGAACTACCGCATCGGAAAATTGCGAGGTCAACGACCTTTCGTGTGAGTCAAATTGATATTGTGAGCTACGGGTGTAATCGAGCGGTCCATGCAGTCGATCTCTTCACTCGACTAAAGCGGGGAAAAGGGCAAGGGATGTAGAGTCACTGCGAGAAAGAAATTAAGAGTCAGGTGCATTAAGGTCAAAAGAATGGCCTTGGTGCACAAAGACGGGAAGTTACAGTGTTGAATGATTAGCTTCGGATACTCGCGTTTTCATGTGTAGAGTCGGTGTGCTTCATTTCCTATCCATTCTGGCTCAATTTCAATGTCCCAGCTTTACTGCGAGGCAGATCATCTTTGATGCGAAGGATAATTCCAACACATAGCCACGGTTCAGCATCGTCTTGTTGGTATGTATGACTTCACAGTCGTTTGGCCAAGCCTTGGAGTCGTGAAACAGAGCCAATACACATAAATGTTACGAGACCCATGCCTTCTTGGTGTCGTGACCAAAGTCCTATGTATGTAGGTAGCACCCAGGTATTCGGGTTACATGCAAGGTATTAGGTACCCACAGTATCAATATCGAGCCAGTTCGCTTCCCGCCACGATGGCTCGATGCCAAACCGAATGATGTTGTTGCGTTCATTTCCGGGTATCGGATGATGTAAACCCAGTCAAAGAGAAAAGTATTAGATATCCATTGGATGAGAGAAACTGGAAATTGTGGTACGGAGGACGGAGTATATGGGGGGTAGTTACACCAACAATCCTTCAATTCCCCCAGTGTCAACGAGCGGTAACTTTGACGAAACAAGTAACGAGAGGATCATTGCATACATCCCATGCTACCGTGACTGAGAAAACCGTAGTGTGACGTTTGATAGCGCGCAGGCTGTAGTAGCTACTCTTTTCACGTGCCAAAAGGTGCAATTGCGAATGGCAGGTTGTCGGATCTTTTGCCTCAATTCATTTTGAACTGGCATGTCACTGACCCTTTCAGAACGTCCTTCGGTCTTTTATTTGCTTCTGTCGATCGTCTCCAACGAATGATAGAGAAGGTGATTGAGCAAGACGGTATGGTATCGGAGTGTCTAGACTCTAGAATTCTTGGACGTGTCACTTGTACATTGAACATCATACGTTAAGATAAAATTGTCATAATTGGTCCCTGCGCAGCATGCAGACCCCACGAGATGCACATCCCACGTTCTTTTTGCTTTCTTGAACGGCGATCCAATGCCGTTTTAGGGAGGCCATTGTTCGTTCCCCATCCTATCATATCAAATCGCACCTCGCAAGTTTACATCCCACGTGTGTTTCCTTTTTGAAAGATGCGAAGTGCGAAGCAAAGGTAGAGATTATGGAAGACAACAACATACGAGACGAGGCAGAATCGACAGGGTGCGCGGAAGTGGAGCGAACGAGTCCCGGCTATTGGGAGGGTTTCCCCCCCCTATGAAAGCTGCAGATTGCAACAGACGCCTTGTGTTGTCACTTGCTTTGATTCGCGCTGCAAAAGGTGTTGATTTGCTCACTCTTCGCCAAATCATGTCATGGCCGTGCCATCCCCAACCTTACCTGTGCAGTACGACAATCCTTACTAGGGAAGGCCGCACACGTTTATGGATGGAGATAGTGGCACAACCTTGGGGCATGGCTATTCGCACCTCCCCGAAATACGAAATGCTCCGCTTGAGTCGATCAACGGCCAACGACAGCGAGGCAGGGTGGTAAAATTGAATCGTAGAAGGAAGGTTCTCCTGCACTGCTGGGGGATAGCCTGAAAAATTCCAAATGAACCACCCCCATAGTCAACTAGGCTTCATACAACCATTGCTTGAGCCTTGATCAGCACGCTGAACGGTTCGCCATACCACAACCAGCAGGCGCTGGTAAACTTCCTTAACGGGCGACCGTAAGGGCTAACACTGCATCTGACAAGCGGCCCGTTGCCGAGTCGGAAGAAAGTCGAATAAACGAGGGATTGAACCTATGGACTGTACGTGGTTCTACACGTAGGTACTCTGTACATACATACGCGCGCCCACTTTCTCTACCAATCCTCGACAGCTTACTGTGCTTGTTCAGGACCGCCCTGCATCTGCATTCGGAGCACGCGAGGTTTAATCATTGGTGCATTTATTGATTTTTCTACTACTTTCCCTATCATCAAGAAGATTTTCTTTCCTTTTGCGTAATTGCTGAGGCGCTTGCGTTGCATGTGGAGTTTTCATTGATCTGCTGAACGGTGAGGGAATCGTAGACAGGGGAGACAATCTCGACACAGTAAGACGGTTCGTCCCGGTTTTGCCGTCTTTCCATATTAAAATCCATCGGTTGATCGCGTGCATGCTTGCGCCGGACTTCTGTTCGATGAAAGAAGCTTGAGTAATGCTTGGAAACAGAGCGTGCGACAGGCACGTGACGGTTTGCGAATGCGAAGACGCGCACGCGTTTTGTACTTGTAGAATCCATCAAGCCGGAGAGGAGCGACCGAGGTGCAGGATTGGAGCATGGGATTTCTGTTGTGCGTCAATTCGTCGCGCAGTACAGCTGCAGCACATGTCTGTGCAGATGTTGCAGGGACAGTGCTGCAAAGTCCGTGGTCCTGGTAAAATGCTTGCAATAAACTCCGTCTCCTGTGTGTAACCAGCCAGACACAACATTGAATTTTGGAATTTTAACCAATGCGCCACCACGGCGAGGTAGATTTCGAGCTTATTCGGACCTGGCGAATCCGTACATACCTTGCCATGCAGGCGGGTATTTGGGCAGCAACACGGCGTAGGAGTGCACTCCTGGCAAGTTATTCGACCCTCTCCATCCGAGCCTATTTTGGAAGCTTCTGCGATGTTGCGAATTACCTTCCGTGCCGTGACTCGTCGAGACATTAGCTTACAGAAGATTCAGGACTGACTTCAACGAGCAGCCGTCCTCAATGGAATTTTAGAAACGTTCGCCAGAAGTTAGAGTAGTCCCGATGCATAGAATGCTGAATCTAGGTGTATGAGAACTGAATTGCATTTGATATGAACCTGGCAAAGGGACAAAAAAGGAGAATAGTAATAGCTCCCTGGTGGCGAATGATGACATGCCTCTAATACCTCTATAGTTAAAAGGAGTATCGAAAAAGACCGTTGTGAATCGAATAGGTCGATGCAGAAGAAATGGGGATCGTACCCTGTCCTGCAAGGTTGTAACCCACGTACAAGACATCACAAATCGTGCAAACATCTGCCAACTAAAGGATCGTACACGTTCTGTGCTTCTGTCGCCCACCCCGTCCACTTCTATGTCGTGGTTCTGTTCGTCTTCGTCCCCCTCTCTCTGGTGCGCGGTATTCTCTCTGGTCTTTGTGCATGATCTGCCTGCACAAGTCAACGAAGACTTCGTCGACGTTTGCTCTTCGCCGGGCGCTGGCCTCGTAATAAGGCACGTTTCCCCAATCTTGAGAGATCTTGAAAGCTCGAGGTCGAGGCACGGCGCGGTCTTCTTCAAGGTCTGATTTGTTGCCAACAAGGACCATGGGTACATTGTCGTCCTCTTTAATTCGTCGAATCTGTTCGCGGAGCTCTGTGAGTTCGTACAAAGAAGACATTGACGTTATGCTAAAGACAAGCAGAAAACCTTGGCCGGTCTTCATGTAGAGTTCTCTATACATTGATTAGCAAATTCGTCTATCGCTGGATTCCGACTTGACTACCTCATTGCAGCTATGTTTAGTTAGCATTGTTCATTTGCACGTGTGTCGTGTGACCTACTGAATTGTTCTGTGCCGGCCGTATCAAGAATTTCCAGTATAACGGATCGACCCTTAGTGATGCGTCAGCCAAAGATCATACAACACTTCATGGGAGAATTAATCACATCAACTTCAATATTCTTCCTATACGAATCCTCGATGGTAGGATCATAACTTTCTATCCAAACGTTCTGAACAAATTGAGCTTCTGGGTGTTAGTCTCGGTGATGTCACAATCCGCTCAGTCGGGTACGTACCTGTCAAACAACTCTTTCCAACGCCCCCTAGCATAGCACAATGTCAGTAAACCGTGTTCATCTGGCGAACGTCACGTATACATACCTGAGCCGAGAACCACAATGTGATACTCTCTTTGAGTCGACATGGCTTCGAACAGTTGTTGAAATGATTAAGAGGTGAGGGTGGTGCAATGGACCGTGACTGTTCGCACTGAATCCCTCGAAGCTTAGACGGTGGTGGTCCACGCTTTGGGTGGCCAAAGTCCTTGGAATCCGCCTCTGGCAAAGCTGAGACAGAACCAATTGGAAGCTCAACGTCAAGAAGACCACACAAACAAGATGTCCGTATCGGCACGAGCGTATCTTGTACGTTCGACTTGGTTTCGGAAGACGCGTGTTGCGCGCTCGCGCTGCTACGTCTGACCAACCACAACTGCGACACATGTAAGTCTATGGTACAGAGGAATGCGTCAGGGCCAATCAGCGGGGCCAGGGGTTTCTATTTTTTTGCTGATCAAGCCATTGAGGCGAAACAATTTGGATCACAAGAGAAGGATCGAGACTGACCTCCCAGTTGCGGCGGTGTTGGTGGCTTAGTGAAGGCCTTTGAAGGCGTGAGAGACTAGATTTTTTTTTCTTCTCCTTGAGGCGCGTCACGTCACGTCGTCTTATCGATATGGCCAAGCCAACGTATGGTGCAGGGCAAGGCAAGCAAAGAGGTTTTTAGGCGCAACGAGCTGTCAATAATTCGTTTCTAGAAGACCGGGGGAAAATTGGGAGCGTGCAGACGTAGTTTAGAATAAAGGTTATGGGCGACGCTCCATGATTAATAGCTCTGTCGGCAGCTCTCAGCGGCGTTGGCCTGCTAAATGGCTGGGCGATAGGCGAGAGAGCGTTAACTGACAAGGCTCAGCAAGGTGGGTGTGCGCAACATGCCTGCACCTCTGCGTTTCTGCATCCCGTCGGCTCTGCAGCTCATTGCAATTTGGCAGTTTTCGGTCCACTTTTGGAGCTTTTGTGCTTCCAACGATGCGCTGGTCGATATATCAAGTCAACAAGACCTGTATGTTCCAGTGCCAGTCCACATTCCAGTGTCACGCAAGCCAGACCTTTCAAACAAAGTAGCGGGGCAGAGGGACGATGATATTCGCCGTCATCGCTTGATCGCTGCTGAAAGGCACGGGCCTGGACCTGCACAGGATAGACTGGTTTGACCACGACACCACACGCCAACCACAGAGTATGACTATTGGTAAGTAGGGTTGTTAGTAGCTTGTTTATCAGCAGCACTGCAGCAGTTACAGCAACAATTGCTGTTGCAGCGTCATACTCTGTCTGCTGTGCACTCATCTATAGCATCATTCTTGACAGGAACAAGCATGAATCCTGAGGCCAGCACAAGCCCTCCGCGTCAAAGAACCCACGAACCCATGAACCCACACAGGCCAGGAGGGCCACTGCCAGCCCAAGGCGAGGTATGCCCTGAAGCTGTGCAAGGGTTATGGACGAGAAGAGACGGTGGATGGATGGGCAAAGCGGGATACCAGTCCGCTGGGCGGGGCCACGGCAATCCAGCGAGCCGGGTCCTTGCTAGACTTCTCTAGGCGGTACTCTAGGTAGGGAGTCGGCAAAACAGCCCACCAACCCCAAGGCGCCAGTCTGCTCTATGGGCGGCGCCGTAAGCCTCGTTAACTGTTGTCAGAACACGAGAGACTGCAGTGGTAACACAGGCATTCGGGGCCAGGGTGCTGAAATGAGTTCTCTCTGTTCTGTGCCGCGTTACTGATCATGCACACCGACCGAGGGAACGAGAGATGGCTACCCTTTCTAGTCCCATCAGGCATGCGTGCCGGCCCGAGTGCGAACAACGACTTGGTGCCCGTGAACATCATTCCGAATTCAAGACTGCTGTGCTGAGCATGGCACTGGCAACTGGCAATTGGCAGCTGGAATCGGTGCCAGACTAGACCATAAGCCTGAAAACGCCGTGTTGCGTCAAAGGTATATCTCTCCCAACCAGTGAAGTACAAAGGCCACAATATGTGATGATATCTGCTTTCGGTATGCGGAACGTGTGACCATAGGACGTACTCAATGTAAGATTCGAACGTGAGACGTCAGGTTGTACAGACAGTTGTACAATCAGCCCTGTCGGCATATCGACCGAGCTGGGCTGCAGGCGATGGCAGTCTGGGACACTGGGACAACGCATACTGCGACTGCTAATACTTTCGCACCGTAATATCACCGTGAGGTTACTCAGGATGCCCTGGAAGTAGCTTGGCATGGTGCAACAAGGACTGAAATACCAAACATGATATCACGACGCGACTGGGATAGTCCAGTAATTACGACCCTGCAATGGACCAACGTATTTGTTGCTGCATTGAGAGCCAGATACATGAGGTAGTGGGCTGTAACAAATTCAGCCATCGGAAAGAGATTGACAGCTATCTCCTGAACGGTTGTCGTCCTAGGGATTAACGCAAGATTGATTGCCAAATGGCAAGACCATGACGAAAGGTGAATTATCGCTCCAAGCTGGGTAGTTGCTGCAGTGCAAACGCAAGTATACGCGAGGAGCTTGCCAAAAGAGCTGTAAGCTGCTGAGGTTAAGTGTGAAGATTTGACAAATGCAAGGTACTGAGCTGCAATCGTCCCGGCGGGTGTATTCCGCATTCCCCATGAACGGCGCGCTCGCTTGGATGCAGCGATTCAGAACGGCCTCAATCCGCGGCCTGTTTTCTGTTAGAGGGCACACGGTACACCGGGTGAGCGCCTCGACTTGCGTCGCTCAATGGTTGGACGTGACGACATGAATCAGGGGCAGCGGCATCCTGGATGGCAAACGCAAGTTCGAAAGTCATCATCACTAATTAATGTTGGCTGGCCGGCCGGGAGTGGTGGTAGGGAGGATTGGATTTGCTGTTGACAATACACGGGAACGGGACGAGAGTGCAGGGTTGGTTGCGAAGGAGGATGAGCAGGAAGGGGGCGAGACTGAGAGGAGAGGAGTGGGTGGAAAGGGGGAAGAGGAAGTTGGGATTCTGTCGGAGGAGAATATGACGATTCTCGGCCCGAGCTTGTGGGGACCACTTCCGACCCGGATAGCGACACGTGACCTCTCGGTCCGTCTCTGTACCGAGCTTCCCCCCAAATCCAAGTCCGTCTAATCTCCATGTGGACGCGCCCAGGGTCGGCTTGGCAGAGAGCTAGGCCCCAAGAACGTTGTCGACATTCAAGCGGGCTTCCATCATCGCTTCAAGACGACAAATCATCGCTACGCCAGAACGATGCGTTTTCATGCTGCGCTGGCCCTTGCAGCATGCCTTGCCCCGGCTGTCGCCATCTTCGAGGACGACGCACATCACATTGATTTCCATCATGCCCTCATAGGCCGCCCGAAACACGATGCCACCTTCTTCCAGAAGCCTTATGCGGGTTCCAAAGCTTCCCTCCTCTACACCATCTCCCAAAATAACACTATTGGAGCTGTGAATCCCAAGGACGGAACATTAGTGTGGCGCCACGTTCCGCCAGCCGATGCTCGTGGACAGACTTCATTGAGAGCGGGGGAGGATCAAGACACTGTGGTGAGCGCAGTGGGAGACCGGGTAACTGCATGGAGCGCCTCAGATGGAAGGATAGTATGGGATGCAAGAACACCGGGTGCAACTGTTGAAGATTTGGAGATTCTTGAACAAGAAGACGGTATCACAAATAGCGACTCCAAAGATCCCATCGTTCTCCTGAGCGGAGCGGAGCAGGCCATCAAGAGATTGGACGGCAAAACAGGACGAGTGAAATGGACGTTTGAGGATGCGAGGTGAGACACCACTGGAGCCGCGAGCTACAGAGCGATTACTTAAGAGCTGACACAAATTTCACAGTGGGGATACGCCATTTCAACTTTCGAGTTCGCCGAGTACTATCTACTATATTTCGCTCCATGCGCCAATGCTCGGAGGTTCGAAACTGCGAGTGACATCGATAAGCCCTGTGACCGGCAAAAAGATTGATCAGTACACATTGAGCTCCGATGGCGAGATTCAAAACCGTGACGACATTCTGTTCGCTGGTGCGAATACCGCTGCTCCACTGCTTGCCTGGACGGACAAGGCGAGATCAGTCTTGAAAATCAATATCATTGGAACCAAGGGTGTTACCTCCATCACTCCCCCATCCGGGGAGCCTGTTCAGGACATTATTCTGCATGCCCCGAACCGTATCAATTCACTTGCCCACTTCCTCGTAGAATACAAGACTCGCAAGGGACAGGCAGCGGAAGTTTACCACGTGGACCTCAAAAAGAACAACATTAAAAAGGCGTACGACCTTCCAGGGCTCTTTGGTCGCGGAACCTTTTCGGTTAGCACATCCGATGCTAACGTTTACTTTACCCGCATCACCCTGCGTGAAGTGACCGTCACATCATCTGCATCAGATAAGATTCTTGGGAAATGGGAAGTAAAGGGAATCGCTAGCCTAGTCGGAAGCTGGCCTGTTCAAGCAGTATCCGAAGTTGTTGTTAAGGGTGGTTCTGCAACGGCAGTTAGGACTGCACTTTACTTCTCGAATGGACAGTGGGTGCTTATTCGCAATGGCGAGGTAGCCTGGGAGCGCCCAGAGTTCCTTTATGGTATCACGTCCGCTACATGGGCAGAGCTCGCAGAGCAGGAGGCCCTTGCACACGAGCTCGAGGTTGAAGGACACCAGAACGTTGTCTCGGCCTATGTTCACAGGGTTAGTAGGCACGTTCGGGACTTGGAGCAGTTGCCCGCATGGCTGCAAAGCATTCCAAACCGCGTCCTGAGCAGTGTCATTGGTAAGAATGACGAATCTGCCATCGACGAGGTTCAACACGACCATTTTGGCTTCCACAAGCTTGTTATAGTCGCCACGGAACAAGGCCGACTTGCTGCCATTGACGTAGGTTCTCAAGGAAAGCCAGTTTGGAACGTTGACTTGCACGATTTGGCACCTGGCGTAACATTCACTGCTCCATCCGTGAAAGCGTTCCGTGGTTACGTCGAGGTTAAGGATCCGGCCTCACCTAGCGCATGGTATGTCAATGCCACAACTGGAGGGCTTCTTTCCCCTGTGGATCTCAAGCATGAATCCCCAGTTACAACAGATAAAAACATCATTACTTTTGATCTGCTGGACGGTAAACTCAAGGGATTCTTGAACTCTGCTCAAGGCTCAGCAGAGCCAATCTGGACTTTCACCCCTCCTAGCGGAGAGCGTATTACAAGCTATGTCGCTCGTCCATCTGTCGACCCGGTGGCATCTATCGGCAGGGTTTTGGGTGACCGTCGGGTTCTTTATAAGTACCTCAACCCTAATCTTGTGCTCGTCACCAGTGTCATTGAGGCTTCGCAATCAGCCTCGATCTATCTTCTGGACTCCGCCTCTGGACAGCTTCTTCATGCTGTGTCCCATAAGGATGTTGATGTGACAAGGCCAATCCCTGCGACCATCTCGGAGAACTGGTTCAGCTATTCTTTTACTCTGTCATCGTCTGCGACATCAACACGTGGCTACCAACTCGTCATTTCCGATCTATATGAATCCTCTCTCCCCGATGACCGAGGTCCCTTGGGTGCTTCTTCCAATTCATCCACTGTCCAGCCCTCAGATGCGAAGGGTGATTCGAACAAACCTTACGTGCTGTCTCAGACCTTCCAAATCCCAGAGGAAATTTCTCATATGTCTGTCACGCAAACGAGACAGGGTATAACCTCCCGTGAGCTCCTTGTCACTCTTCCCAACTCCAATGCTATCGTGGGCATTCCACGTGCAATCATCGACCCCCGACGTCCGGTCGGCCGGGATCCTACTGCTCAAGAAGCCTCTGAAGGTCTTGTCCGCTATACCCCGCACCTTCTTTTCGACCCTAAGTGGCACCTAAACCACAAATACGAGCTTGTTGGTATCAAGAATGTGATCGCATGCGAAAGTGGCCTTGAGAGCACAAGTCTTGTCTTCGCTTACGGACATGATGTCTTCGGCACCAGAGTAGCACCAAGTTTTGCGTTCGATATTCTTGGAAAGGGATTCAACAAGATCCAAATGTTGGTCACTGTTGCGGCACTCTTCGTTGGAGTTCTTTTCGTGGCCCCTTTGGTAAGTCAATTTCTTACTCTATGTCAATCACACGTTTTAGCTAACAAAAGAACCTACAGGTTAGGAGAAAGCAAATCAACACACTCTGGCAGGCGTGATAGCCAGTATATTTAGAACAAGTCGGACACTTCTTGCACGAATCGTTTCATCAAGCATTTGTAAGCGTAGATATATACAAACAGAGTGGATCTCGAAGGTCAGGGGAAAAGAACCACAACCTAGAATAATCTCATGCCGCCGGCACATACTATCGATGCAACGGCTCAGGACTTCCGATCCGAAAGTCAGGTAGTGAAGGAAGTTATGTACATGTAGTTGTTGATGATACACAAAATACCCATTCGATCTTTGATCAGCTCTTTGCTAATTGATGCCTTCTCGGTGCATCGCGTGTCGCGGACATCTACTTTGGCTACATTCTCGACTACAATCCTTGGTAGCTATCTCTTGTCGAATCTTATGACTGTTCGGTAACATCAACCAGAACTGCCACGCCGATGTAGTCAACCTGTAGCATTCTCCCAACTCATCCCAACGAGACCACCCTCCCTCGCCATCATCATCAACCCTTATGCTCCCCCTTACACATATACTCCTCATAATCCAAATCCGGCTGACCCTCCCAGTACAGCGTCTCGGGATCACTCGAGTTCTCGAACGTATACCTCGCGCTCTCGTCCGGGATCAGCACCTTCTTAATCCCGTTCGCGGCCGCCGCCTCGGCGAGCAATTGGCACTGGCACGCGCGCTCCATGAGCGTCATCAGGAAGCACGCTTCGTCGACCGTCGAGCCGACGGTAAGGAGGCCGTGATTTTGCAGGATCATTGCTTTGCCTTTTGGACCTTTTCATCGCATCCTTTGTCAGCAACTGATGTACGCGGACAAAGGACAAGGGGAAGACTGGAGAACGTACCCAACGCATCTCCAATACGATCACCCTCCTCCTGCGTGAGCACCACGCCTCCGAAATCCTGTCCACGTCTTCAGCACTCACCCTACATCAAACATTTACTTAAGGCTGTGGTCGAACGCACCTTATACACCGCCTGCGCCTCACCATACACATACGCCGCATCCTGCGTAATCATCTCCACCGGCCTTCCGAACGCACTCCACGCCATGCCGTGGATGCTGTGCGTGTGGCACGCTGCGACGACGTCGGGACGCCCCCTGTGCACCGCGCTGTGGATGAGGAAGCCTGCTGCGTTGGCGGGGCGTGACATATTCCCTGCATAATCGTTACGCTGAGCTTCAGAGATGCAAAATGGGAAGGGCAGGGGATTCAAACCTCCGATAGGCACGCCGTCGTAGTTCACGAGTATCATGTCGCTGGCTTTTAGGAGGCCGAAGTGGACTGCTAGTGGGTTCTATGGTCAATCTTTCGATCAGCTTGTCACCTCTACCCACAGTGGATTATCAGAAATCATGGAAGACGTACAGTCCAAAACGTATGAATATTCTCCGGATCCCGAATCGAGATATGTCCCGCCATTCCATCAGTGTATCCCAAGCGTGCGAACACGCGGAACGTCAGTGCCATCTTCTCCAGCATCCATTGCCGGTGCGTGGCGAATGAGGGGTGTTTTGGTATTCCGGGGAGGCAGACGCCTTGGGATATTAATTGGAGGGGCGTCTTTTGTTGTTGCTGGGTGGTTTGGGATTCTTCTTCTGTTGTTGGTTGGGCGGATGGTGCCATTGTGGATATTGTGATTCAAGATGTCTGGTTTGGGGTTTGAGAAGAGCGGATAGATGAAGTCAACGACGACGAAATCAAGAGACCAACGGCTCACAGATGAATAGACACGCAAACTATAAACCCATCCGTTTATACCTCCCTCACCTCCCCTCTCATATCCAACAATCCATTCACCCATCTCTACCATACCCATTACCGCCAAGCCACGTCTAACCCTTCCAGTCCAAAAAGTACGATACAATCCCCTAGCACAGCGCTAGTCTCCTGCCCGTCCACCAATAACGACCATCTGATTTTAACCCAGACGCACATTTCGTATCGTTTGTCCGAATTGGCTCATGCCTACGTGGTGGTGGATGGAAGTTTTGTGGTATCAGTGGGATTTTGATTGATGGAGGGGTTTAAATGTTGCTGTGGGGAAATGCCGCGGTACTGTGTGGGACTGTGGTTTCCGGAGTTGGAAAATTGGTACGTGAGGGATGGGTAGGGAAGAGCTGGATGGGCGATAAGTGACGTAGTGAAGAAGTTGGAGAGGAGATATCGTACGGATTATGCGGATGGGGTTAGACGTTGCGTTGAAAGATGCCGTGGGGATGTTGGAGTGACATACGTGAACGTGTATGTTGGAATTGATTGATCGGATTTATAAGGCAAAGTCGTTCCTCGATGGGTCTCGTTTGATCAGCGTAGCGTTTTCATCAGAAAGATTGCGAGATGTATGGTTTACAGAGACAGGCGTTCTTGAACGCTGCAAAGCGTGGCAGTGGTTCTACTTCGTTCACGAGGGGGCTTTCGATTTCGCAGTGTGTGCCATTGCAACGCAATGTCAATCGGAGCAGTCCATGGACAGCTAAGCCAACTGTATGTTTCCCTTCCGTGGCCATATTTCAGTTAATGTACGCTGATATATAGTGACCATAGCAAAATTTGTTTCCACAAGTCCAGCGACCGAGCACCATCGTCCCACTTCGTTCCTTCTCCTCGAAAAGCACCTCGAACGACACAACCACCAATACCCCATCCCCTCGAGCCACCATCCCGCTCGACGGAAAACCCACCTCATTCTCCACGATCCTCCTCCGGGACGCATGTGCCTGCCCGCAATGCGTCCACGAATCCACCAACCAGCGGCTCTTCTCCACCGCCGACATCCCCTCCGACATCCAAACGGAATCCGTCGACATAGATTCCTCCACCGGACCTGTCAATATAAGATGGCAATCCGACATTCCCAGCTTCAAGGCCGACCACGTCACCACGATTCCTCTGTCTAAGCTGCGTCAACTCAGCACTGCGGGAGGACCGCCGAGGGATTCCCTCCCGCCGCGCGTGCTGTGGAGCAAAGAGCCTCTCAACCTGCCGGACTACGAGTACGGTGAATACATGAAGGACGACAAGGTGCTGTACGATCTCATGAACCAGCTCCACGAGGACGGATTGGCGTTCGTGACGGACGTTCCCGGCAAGGAGGAGTCTCTGGCTACGATCGCCACACGCATTGGACCGATCAAGGATACGTTCTACGGGTACACCTGGGACGGTAAGTCCCCTCAAGCCCACCTCCATATCTCTCTGCCATCATCATACTAAACCCCCAACCCTCAAGTCCGCACCGTGCCCGCCGCCATCAACGCAGCCTATACATCCCACGACCTCGGCTTCCACACCGACCTGCTATACTTCCAGCAGCCACCGCACATCCAGTTCCTTCACTGCGTGCAGTCGGCGTCGACAGGCGGCGCCAGCGTCTTCGTCGACGGCTACAAAGCGGCCGTCGACCTCTTCCACTCCGACATGGACGCCTTCGACACGCTGTCCACCGTGCCCGTCAACTACCACTACAACCACCCGGACGCGAATGTGTACCGCACGACGAAGCCGGTCATCGACTTGCGGCCGTTGTTCATTGGCGAGAAGAGGTACACGCGGTTGTCGGAGTATATCAGGGACTGGAATGAGTTGAGTTTGAGGAGTGGGGGTGAGGGATGGAAGGACGATATGTTTATCGAGTGCATGGACAAGATTAATTGGGGACCGCCGTTTAGCGCGCCGTTTTCGAGCCATGCGGTTTCTACGCATCAGGATCGCGTTGGTGAAGCGGACCTGGAGGAGTTGAATGATAAGGTGGAGAGGTGGCATGAGGCGGCGACGAAGTACAATGCGTTATTGCAGCGGCCGGAGGCACAGTATGAGAGGAAGATGAAGCCCGGAGAGTGTGTTTTGTTTGATAACACGAGGACGCTGCATTCAAGGCGGGCGTTCGATATGGCGGATGTTGGCAAGCCGAGGTGGTTGAGGGGGACGTACGTTGATAAGGATCCGTTTTTCAGCAAATTCCGGGTTTTGCAGAATAAGTTTGAGTAGGGTGTACTTTTGATGTACTTCCCGTCGAAGGGAGGACCGTGAATGCATTACTGCATGCAAGGTCATCGTCCATTGATTGCTCATATGATGATGAGCTGTGTAGATTTGAGGTAATAGATATAGAACTCTCAACGTTCTCAATATTTCCAATAATGATGGCACTCAATAGCTTCCTTAGCATTATTTTACCTCACCATGGCATCACCTCCAACCCCAACTCCGCGAAACACTCAAACCAGTGAGTCCCACCTGGGCCGGTAGTCTGGTCATCGTACTTCCTCCAAATCGCATTGACAAGCTGGAGAATGTTACCGCTCGATTTATGCGGCAGTGTCTGTTGTATATCATTAAGCCGCGTCCAGACAAAATTTCGCGCTTCTAACACCCCCATCGTAGATCGAAGATTGGGCGTAACTGGGTTATTTACAGAGGACAACTCTGTAATGTCGAAGTCGAGGTTGGGTTCTTGCAAGAAATCACCCATTTGGAGTATTGGGTCATGAAGGGAGAGGTCGTTAGATAAAGTGACGTCAGGGTCAAATATGTCAGGAACGTTGATGTCGTCTACTTCCGAAACCGCGCTATATCGCAGACCCGCCGCCGCAGAAAGGTAGAGCATAGGATGTATAGACCTCGACCCCGACTCCGGCGGTATCTGCTGGAGCATCATCACAAGCCGCAACGTTAACGCCAGCACAAACTCCGCATGTGCCTTCTCGTCCCCATTGTGATCGTCCGCGGGGGCGTACGTAGCCACCGTCTTCGGCAGATCATGGAAGGTTAGATGCAACTGCAGAAGCGCGGCCTGTCGATACGCCTCGGCGGTGTGCAGCAGATGTGCGACGGGCGTCTTGTCGTCCTGCGTTATGACGGGGTGTCCTTGGATTTCCTCCACGAGGACAAGCGTTCCGAAGTCCATGGCTAGGAGCTCCCGTTGTAGTTCGTGGCCAAGCGATATGTCGCACAGAGTGTCGCTGACCGTGTCGATGCGGCGACTGTTGCGGTCCTTCTGCCGATGGAGACATGTGCTTCGACACAGGGCCATTACCTGGCTGAAGACTTCGATTACTTCGCTTGAGAGACCGCACCAGGAGTTGGGTCGAGTTCCAAAGACCTCGGGGTCGGATTTCTGGGGTTGTGGTTCGGTGGGAATGTTGTCATCACTCCTTCCTGGTAGGTTTAATGCCCGGAGAAGCTTGCTTCGGTTCCGTTGCTGCTTCTTTTTGATCTTAGCTGGAATTGATCCGCGTCCCGTCATCGTGAGAAGCATTTCCCAATAGGTCAGAGCCCGCGAAAAGTAATTATACACCAGCCCGCCCGCTACGGAGGGCGTCGCCTTCCACGTCGACAGTAGTTCACGTGCAGATTCCAGGAACGGCGTTTCTGACATGCCGGGCGTGATCCAGTGTTGCGATGTCCCAAGGGAGAATATGGCGAAGAGCAAGTCTGCTGTGATGTTTGGTATTGGCGAGGACCTCACTTGTGACATCCCTTGGTTGATAGCCGCCAATGCTTGCGTTCTGAGCAGTGGCAATGTCTCGCTGAGTTGGGGCATGGTCTTCAGGAGACAGGCAGCCGACATAGTTTGCATAGTGTAGAAGACAGCTCCGGATGCGTTCCAGGAGGTCCATGCCATTGTGCGGTTGTAGTTGATGTCGGAATCGAATGTAGACCGCATTGGACAGATGAAGCGGAACCAGTATTCAATCAATGTAGTTGGTAAGTGGTTCGGTGTCTGTGGAATTCCTAGGTCCGGTATGGAGAAGTGATCATGTTGCGTGTTTGACATATCGAAGTTTTCGAGAGCCACGATCGAGTCGTAATCGCCTTCGACCAGGCCAGAATCCAGGTTGAGTTGCACATCCTGCCATGCCGAGGAGCTCACAACTGGCCAAACTGGATCCCCATCTACAGTCAAATCCTCTCGTGGTCTACTCGAGCCCTCGGCATTTCGATCTCTCTCTCCATCTCTTCCAGAATTCCACTGAAGCAAAGTACCATTTCCGTCCGCCGTCGTAGATAGCTTCTCATACTTCCTCGACCACTTCAACCTCTGTTCATACCCAGGACACACATTCCCACTCTTCCCGCAATTCCCACATCCCGGACGCTTCTCATCGCATTTGATCTACTAATCCCGTCAATCGAAATGACCAACGACCTAAAGAGGTTGCGACTGACCCGCTTAGTCTTGCACCTTGCGCAGCCTTGCCGTGATTTTGCGTTTTTCCGCCGCGTGCGCTTGGGTGCGGGTTGTTGTTGTTCCGGGGGCGGAAGAGTGTCTTCCATTTTGGGATGTTTCAAATAATGTGAAAGGGTAGTTAATTGAAGAAGAGGGAAGAGTTAAGGTAGATGTGAACAAGGTCGAGAACGCGACCGTAGCCCCGCATTAGTGGCATTCGAGGGAACTAAAAGATACCCGTACGGTGTACCTATGCCGAGATTGGAACTGTTAGCAAGCAAGTAGTCATGCAGAACCACTTCCGTTTCCGCGTTCATTGCGTCAATGTAGGATTACTTCCAATAGTGTGTGGGTTTGACTATGTTTTTGTTTTGTTTTTTACTCTTGATTAAAGGGTATATATCTAAATCCAGAAAATGTAGTACTTGCAACGATTACGCCTATGACGCGCTGTGGCAAAATGTATCTTCTGATTATGCTCCCTGCAAAACGCATTTGGGAGTGAAGTCAAATCCAAGCCAAAAGCCCAACCACCGCATATCTAACGAGTCTGGTGGATATGTGTTGAGAGAATCCTTTATATCGGTGCTGGGGCCGTAGTAGATATGCATACGCTCGTGTCGCTTTCGCTTGCTAAGATCTTGTTGAAACGCTATTCATGTGTTGTCCTGCTTTTTCTGTTCTTTCTTTTCGATTATGTTTCTTTTCCTTTTTTGGTCGAAGATCTCGCGGGCCCGCCCGCACAAAGGATCTTACTTATACGCGCATCTTCTCCCCCGTTTCGAAGCTGTTCCTCCTTCCCCAGTTCCGTGGCTGTCTCTTCAGGAACGCGCCCACGGATCCGAGATAGCCCTCGTGGCGCAGGAAGTACGCTTGCTTGCTGCCTTTGCTCCAGAAGCGGATGGCGTAGCTGAGGGTGTTCATGGTCTGCGCGTGGCCGCCGATGAAGCTGCCACCGAAGTATATGTGCGGGAGGTTGTGCTTCTCGGCGTGGAGATACGCGATCTGGCCGATGTTGTTGGAGACGGCGTAGAGGAGGGAGCGGGAGATGTCTTCGGGGCGGAACATTGAGGATGGGTGGGGGAGTTCGGATGTTCCGGAGACGAGCTCTTGCTCTGGGGTGTGTGTCTTGAGAGGGCCGTTGCAGCCGTCTTCTGCTTCTTGTTCGGCGACGCGCTTTTGTTTGTAGACCTTGCCGAATGAGGAGGCGATGTGGGTGCTCTTCAGGCCAATCTTGTTGTATGCTCCGCCGTAGATGTCGCCGACGAGGAGGTCCACTGTCGAATTGTCACCCTTTGCAGCGAGCTTGAGCATGTCGTCGAAGTTGCGCGCCCCTGTGAGGAGGGACAGGAGCCCCCATAATGTACCGCCGCCCAGTGATGTGCCACCAATGCGCTCGAATTGTCGGGGCCCGGAGACCTTGATCATGCTCACGCCAGAGCCAATGTTGACAAGCAGGTAGGGGTATATCGAAGGGGGTTGCGATGGTAGGTCCATGAATTCCATGGGCGAGTCTTCGCTGTAGGTGAAAACCTCCTTGGGGATTTCTGTGATGAAGAAGTCGAGGCCTACCAAGCAAGTTAGTCAATTGGCCATAATCGCGCACTCTGGTATGGGTTGCGCCATACCAATGATTAGACATTCCATTTCCTCCTCTCTAATCACCTCGACATTCAACGCTTCTCGTATCCTGTCGTAGTACTTGAAAGCACCACCGCCCGTTGCCATGACGCACAATTCCTCCGGCTTGGATCCATTGTTTCGCTGGTAGTCGGCCTGGAGCTTGCGCATGAAATCGATGCACGAGTCTATCCGGTCGGTTTCGAACTTGACAAAGTTGAGACGGCCGCCATCGGAGGTGGAATTGGGTTCACGGGTGAAATAGACGAGTTTGGCGAGGGAACCTCCGATCTGGGGGGAGAATGCATGTCAGCCTTGGAATTGACTAGGTTCGAGTTTGCGATGCAGGTGGGTATAGATTGAGGGGGCTGTGGATATGGATATGAAAATGGATATGGCAGACAGGCACGCGGACCCTGGTTCATGAGGGACCCTGAGGGTTCGGTCGCGTGCCGCCGCAAATTATTATTCAGGAACAGGCAGCAAGGGGGAGCTCGGCATTCAAGGGCCACGGGTTGCGATTGATTGAACAAAAAAAGTGACAATGGCACAGCAGCTTAACTTACATCGACAGCAATATGGCTCACGACTTCGGTGTGATGTGGGAGGCGGATTTCGTGGGGATCGTGTTCGTAGTCTTCGCTGCGCGGGGTTGAGGGTTCGCTATTGGTATCGTCGACGATGAATGCGCCCCGCACGTTGATGCGGACATTTCCTGGGTGGAGGATCGCATCATGAATGTCGGACTGGGTGGACAGGGCGGTCGTGCGACGAGCTCTTGTCTGGACAGCCGACGAGTCTGTCGAGACATTGCTGCTGTCGCCAGTGGCAGTAGAAATTACGGCACTGTCAGCGCTCAAGGTCGGGACATGTCGTCGCGACATGGATGCGGCGGAGGATGCGGAGGTTTCGGAGGTGGTGGAGGTGGATGCCGGGGGAGAGGTCACAGTAGTCGTGGTACTGGTAGTCGTAGTCGTAGGCCTTGGCTGCAGCCTCGCCCTCTTACCAGAACGTCTGTAGCTGTTGAAACGCCGCACTCGATGGACTTTGTGGTGGAAGTGCGATGGGAACAATAACGAGGAATGAGTCGAGGAGGTGGCCATCTCTAGCGAAGCCCCTGTTGAATGATCCATTTGTCCGTTTTCTCAACTGGGGAGACGTGATGAAGTTTTCGGCGCACAATGAGGGCCAGACGGTGGAGGGAGAGACACTGGAGAGAGGAGAGAGAGTAACCCTACACTATTGGGACGAGTAATTCCAGACAAACAATAGTGCAATGGTAGTCCCATCTACTAAAGAGTGGAAAGCTTACGGGTACACAACGATAATTATAATAAATCACTATCAATCGTCATGGCCAATCCAACCTTCGGTGCGCGGGGATTACTCCTCTTCATGGATGCCTCATCGGTACCTATCATCTTCAATTGCCCTCCACGTCAGCTCCGCTTCGGCCTCGGGCTTATGGGATTGTCCATATTCCTTTCTCTTTTACGCTCTTTTCTTTTTCCTTTCGACCACTTACGAGCCTGCGATGCGGAGCTTATCCGGTGTTCACTCAATGGCAGTTGTTAAGCTCGGTAATGTGCTCTGAGTGGTGGTGTTGCACCTCGGATCTGCCCCTGGCTGAGTGTTGGGAGCACGCTGCACACCACCCCAGACTACGAATATCAACGGCGCATCCAACAGCTGAGACAATGTTCTTCGGCGCTCGGGGCCACCTATTGCACTAATTGCCAGATTACTCCTCCCCTTCTTCTACTGGCGTCGAATTTTCGGGGAGGGGCTTCAACCGTCGAATGCCGGAAAATAAGTAATCATAGAATGGTCACGAGCGGTATTGCCGCAACGAGGCATCACTCGTGTGATAACTACCATGTCGACCAAGTGCAGTGATGAGACAATAATATTGTTAAATAATAAACCGCCTTAGATCAATTGAAGGATAATTTGGATCTATCCGTCGCCATACCGAAAAGCAACTACCCTATCCCATTGTGGTATCATAGAAAGTTATAAACAGAACGCCAGTCCCTTTCAACTCCTGAAAGCCCATAGGTCCAATGGTCGACCGGGCAGTCTTCGAGATAGTGGAGGACCATCGAAAATAATCATTCAGGCTCCTTTCGCTACCATGTGTAACCCTCTTCTAACAGTTCTCTGCCGAATTTACTTTCTGGAGTAATAACATTTTCGAAGCCCGGTTGTAGACCAGTTCCAGACCTATTCACGTCAATACCCAAGAGATCTCGAATAATCATTGATGGAAACGTACCTGATCATGGTCCTAGCCATGTTCCGAACTTTGTCCTTTAAATTCACTTGCGTTCGATCCTGTAGCAAGCCAAGTTCACGTGCGTCCTCCTTCAGAATCCTGGAGTATTGTTGGGGCATTTCGCGCATGTAATCCATCAATGCCTGCTCCGCCTCTGCTGTCCATTCAGTTCGAGTCTGGGCCCCTTTTCTTCTGCCAGTCGCCCGTGCTAGCTGATTGAGTTGTGACAGCTGCTGGAGCCCCTGGAAAGTTGATGGGGGTGGGGATTCACTGGCCCTCGCAGTGGCACTCACAGGCGGTGCCTCCACTCGTGCTGGGCTAGCATCGCGTTCTCGACGTTGAGTTTGGGGTTGATGGCTTGTTGGGGCCGAAGAATTGGGATCGAGACGAACCCTTTTCTTCACGGGTGCTTGCTCACGCCGTTCTCGGACCCTGGCCGTGCGATCATCTGCTTGGAAGGCATCGTCATCGTCGTCCTCATCGTCGTCCTCAACGCTGCGTTCAATCCTCTCAGATGCGTCATCCTCGTTGGAACTATCCTCGAACGGCATGCGGCGCTTCCGAGGCAAAATTGCCTCAGCCTGTTTTTGCTTTCCCTTCTCCGAAGGTTCTGGAGGCGGCGGTGTGTCATTGAAACCGGTACCAAACTCCACCTCACGAGCGTTCGCCTGGCGGTCAATGAAACGTTTCGGGTTCTCTTTATTCGCTGACCTCTTCCCGTTCTGGAACATGTCGGCCCAAGCAGCGCTTGATGACGGGGGACCTGAAGGCATGGCCTCGGGCACGATTACAGCCTCGTCCGGATGGTCTTCTGCTTCTTCTCTTAAGATCGGTTGGTAATCATCCTCTAGGTTCTGTTGCACTATGTCTTCCAATGTCCCGTTTGACCCATCGTCTTGATCTGGCTCGATTGGTTGCTCGAATTGCGGCTCCGGCTGCAACGTCTGCACCTGTTCCCGTTCCTGCACAGTGCGTCTTTTCTCTCTATCCAGCAAGGCATCGACACCGGCATCATTCGCAGGATCATCCGGATTGAATCTGCGGTTGCTTCGTCTCCGACCACGTCCGAATGAAGTTCGGCTTTTGCGAGGCTTCACAACGGGCTGCTCCTCTAAGGTGCGAGGTCGTTCCATTTCGAGTCGAACCTTCTCGACGATCGATGTGATGCCACCGAGTGACTCAACATCTTCTTGAAGTTCTTTGTGCCGTAACCGCACCCAGTGCAAGAGCTGCAGGATTGTTGATCTCCATGGAAATGCGGCACTGAGATATTCCTGATTAACAAGCTCCCCGCGTTCGAGTGATTGAGCATCAGTGGGGAAATATTGTCGTATCTTTTTCATTTGAGTAAGAACAAGGTCCTTATACTCTTGTGGGAGCCCACTGTCTTCTTCCGACAGACCAACCACGTCCCAGCCACGGATGAGTAGGCCTGGCCCACCCTCTGATGCCAAGAATACCTCGTCAAGCTCCTCATCCGGGTTGAATTTAGAGTTTCGTGATGCCCTTTCCATGACCAATATTGCTAGTTGTGTTCGTAGTTCCAAGCCCAATGTAAATGTTTCCTTGGCCAAGCCACTTTCTCCATGGTTCTTATCGCCGTTCCGGGATGCGCTAGTCAAGGATTTCATGAATAACGAAGGGAAAAGATACTTGTCGAGCGGACGAAGATCCTCCCATATCCTTTCTTGGGATCTGTCGGTTCCAATCATCTGCTTAGCAAAGATGGCAAGGTTGGCAAGGTAGAGAACTATATCGATCCCGGGTTCAACAGATTCGGGCTGACGATCAGGACCCACGATCGCCCGCTCAACAGCGCGCACATTGATGTAGCGCGTTGTCCCATCCTGCCGTTCCTCTGCGCAGTATCTACTCAGACGGAGTTCCAGGTCCGCATCGAAATCCCGATAGTCCTGAATAAAATCGGAATCAGGCTTTTGCATCTCCAGTATGTTGTGGTCGTCGTCTTCAATGCGACCATCCTTCGGCGCTAAATGGTGCAGAAATGTTGTCGAAACGGCATATAAGTTGGGGAGGTGGCGTACTATAAAGCGTGGTTCCAGCATTTCGGCTTCAGTGACGGACATTGAGGTGATCGCAGTTGTTCCAGACATTTGTGAAAGACCACCAGGAGAGCGATGAAGTTCCAAGACATCGATTTGAGGGCGCGGAGGCGTCTGCAAAGTGCGGTCAAGCACAATGGGCGTCTCCACTTCCTCGACAATTGTGAGCTCCGAGACCTGCTCCTTCCGTCCCTTTTTTTTTGTTATACGCGTCGATTGATCATCTAGACCACTGTCGCTAGCAACGCTGGCCTGTCGGGCACTGCGGCGCGTGGGTTTGACTGCTGGAACTGCTGATTCGATTTCACGACTGGCGCTCCGGGTAGTTCTTTTGCGCGACAGACGCGCGGATTGTTGGGATGGAGCGACATCTTGCACCTGCGGAGTTGGGGTAATGCGACGACTCGAAGAGCGCACACCTCTCCTCTCAGCCATTGTTGATCAAATCAGTGTTGCGCATAGGGTTGACTGTAATGACGAGTAAATAGAGAGTGCGGAGCATGAAAACGCGAGGGGTGTACTTGTGATGGGTGCCCAGACGTCAAGATCATCATCAAAACATTGGTTAGTGGACCAAAACATGGGGACAGCATCCGGCATTCCGCCATTCGGCAGTCCCATACGAGTACGGTAGGGGTCGAGGAACATGAAAACAAGACACACGGGCCTCTACATCAACCTCATCAACAAGCAACCCTTAGACGACAAAAGCAGCCTATTAACTATTCGAAGATTATATTTACTGTCTTCGGTTATATCTGCGAAACCTACTCCGTAGAAACTGTTTAAATAACAAGTTTGTTAATGATGTTGTAATGGTGGGTGGCCGCGCTTTATTTTCATGTATTTCGACGATAATACTGTACAAGCCTTAGGCACGACTCTACAATAGGAATAGTTCGGGCAAGGCTACGGATGTTGTCACGTGATGCTCTCGATTTAGAAACATGGGTCGCAGGGCGGGCAGGGGGCATCGGCGTTCAGGGACGGATTCACATTCGAGCATCTCCAAGTGTCACATTGCCCTGGATCGTGTCGCAAATTGTCCATGGCTACCGTGTTACAATTCTCCTCTTCTTTTTAATGAACCTTGAAATCTTTGTTCAGCGTGGAACTATCCCATCATAGTCGCACGTGCAAGGGCCTTTTTGGGAGTCCAGATTGGACACTCCTCGATATTTACTTATTCTCTCCTCCTCAACCACTACCGTGCTCCATAATCCGCCTTCTCCACTTCCTCGAACCCCTTTCTCGACCCGCCAGTGACATCGCCCATTGAAACGTTCTACCTAGATATTACGAGCTGTAGTGTTGGTTTTGATTCGTGCCCCTTGCGCGTATCCTCGTATCAGCCACTCGTCCTTTCGCCTTACTGTGTACAATCCAGCTCTGTACTACCACCATCTCTCTGCCACCTCCGTGCAATTTTGCGACGCAGCCTGTAGGCCTGTCGAAACTTCTTGTCGGATTCTTTGTCTTCTCCTCGACGTTATTTCTTTCCTTTCTCCATCACATTCTTTACCTTCCTTCAACTATTCTACCCCGACTACTACCTACTACCGATCCCTCCCCTGTCCACATTTCGCCATCACCATGAGGCTACGACACTCCCGAGGACCCGCGCTCCTCCTCCTCCTTCCTACACTCCAGGTTCTCGCTGCCTCGATCGCGAAAGACCTCGATATCGACGATAAACAGATTGCCCGTGGGCGCCCGGCCATACCAGCATACCCAGACCTCACAGCCCTGCCTTCCCCATCCCCGGCCCCCGCTTCGAAAGGAACAAAAGACGCTCCTGTAGATGGGTTCGATGGCAAGCCCCACGAAGGACCTTATGTCGAAGACAAACCCACTACTCCAAAGAACACGCCTGCCGCGATTGAAGAATTGCGTCTGGGGGCCACTCGTATCAACACTCCCACGAAGGAGCTGACAAAAGAAGAGTGGGCTACTCTCGGGGAGGAGGACGATGGGGTCATGAACGATCCAGACAGGAAATCACCTACGGGAAATACTGGCACAGAGGGTGGTGTGTCCGCCAAAGAGAAAGATCGAAAAGAACAGGAAGATAGGACAGGTTCGAAAGTGGAGAAAATCCCAGAATCGCCGAAGGAGGCTCCTGCGTTACCACACAGCGATCAGCAACAGCAATTCTTAGACGAACTCAACCTTCCCACGCAGACCCGGGTTCTCGGTGCCCAAGGACTAGAGGTACGTCGCATACATTCGTTTGTGAACCACTTTGCTAACAATACCAGAAACCTACTGATCTTCCCGAATCCCCCCACGATGACATTCCCAACCCATTGCCCCCATCCGTCCCTAAAGTCGATGGGCTCGATACCGAGTCTCCGAAGCACAGTACCGCATACGATGATTCTTCCGATAATGAGGATCCGGAGGGCATCATTCGACCGTTCCACTCATTCGTTCTCTCATTCACCATGATCATCTTCTCAGAGATTGGAGACAAGACATTCTTGGTCGCTGCATTGATGGCCATGCGTCACCCTCGACTGGTTGTTTTCACTGCCGCTTTCGCTGCGCTCATCGCCATGACAGTTCTTTCTGCCGTGCTCGGACACGCCCTTCCCGCGCTCATTCCTGAACGCCTTACACATTTCGCAGCCGCCGTCCTTTTCCTGGTATTTGGTGCTAAATTGATGCGTGAAGGATTAGCCATGAGCCCCGGCGAAGGTGTGGGCGAGGAGATGAGAGAGGTAGAAATGGAATTGGAAGAGAAGGAGCAACTTGCCCGCGCAAATGGACGACGAAAATCCTCCATCTCTCCATATGCCCTTGAATCCGGCCGTGCCCGACGGTCAAGGTCGAATTCCCGTCTCCCTGCTCCAGCACGTAGCCCCTCATCTTCACCTGCACGATCCCCATCGCCACATGGCTCATCGGTCGCAAAGGCTATGAGTGGTCTCAACAATCTTTTCTCTCTTCTTCTTAGCCCGGCTTGGGTGCAAACATTCATTATGACTTTCCTTGGAGAGTGGGGAGATCGCAGCCAAATTGCTACTATTGCGATGGCAGCTGGATCTGATTATTGGTGGGTCACCGGAGGTGCTGTCATAGGCCATGGTTGCTGCACTGCTCTTGCTGTTATCGGCGGGCGTGCCATTGCTGGCAAAGTTAGCATGCGTGTTGGTAAGTCTCAGTACATTCAAACTAATTAAACAACTGCTAACATGATATCAGTCACACTGGGAGGCGCTTTTGCATTCCTGGCATTTGGCATTATCTACCTTTTCGAAGCCGCATACCACGAATAGATGGTACCTTTATCGAGATATCAGCTCCTCAAGACATACCTGCCAACACTATATTACATACTCGGTTGCCATCGATCTTCCGAATATCTATCCCCGCTACAACCACATTTTCCTTCGATGCTGTAATATTAATCCGTCACCTCACAAGCATACACAAACACACGCTCTCTCTATCTCTTATTGGAATCACACATGGTACGAAACGGCTGTCAAAACGGGGAAATCTGTCTGGTGTTCTTGGGTGTTTTCTGTCCATCTCTCTGGTTGCACAATGCACATGCATCGAAATCGTCTTTTTGTACTCTTTAGGAACAATGATAATTAGTTGCTCCTCCCATGCGTACTACAGCCTGTCTTTGTGAGAGGAAAGCGATGGCAAGGCTGTAGTAAGTATAGGTTGCCATACACAACACTACCTCAAAGCTGTACACATTGCTCTCACGTCTATCATTTACAAGCCATGGCCTCCGAGGCAGGGCCAGAGGAGTAAGAATTTGCTAACACTAAATATAGGCTTCTTGATCCAAGAGCACTCGTGTACCTCTATTCTTTTGTGGAAGACGCCACCAGCTGCCACCCCATGAATGTCTCAGATTCTTGCCCATTTGAGTAGCACTCCAACGCCAACTACCGGCAGCACATTAACGAGTTACCCAGCAAACTCCGGTGGGATTCTCGCGCGAACGAAAGCCCCTGCTGCAAGCAAGATGGCGAAGACGTTATACACAAAGCTTCAGCCAAAGTTAAACACGATGCGACTAATCGATTTCCGACTGACAGCGATTGCGATTAAGATACCGGCCAGGCTCGGGCGCATGAGAACGACGTCTGCAGCAGGTTTGGCGACATCGGCTCCCTCGTTCATGTGGACGCCGATAGAGAGGCCTGTGCCAACGCGACTGCGTCGTTTGTCCCATCTCCGCAGAACATGACGATAGGTTTTTTTATGTGGACGACCATGAAGTCGTCACCAAGCCGCAAAATCGCAGAAACATCTTTTAGTTCAAGATTCTACGTACTTTTTCCCGCATACTTCAGATCATCTTTGATATTACTCTCGTACAACATATACGATATTAAGAACTTTTCACGTGTGCGATTAAGCAACACCCAGACCGACGAGCACTAAGAGCGCCACATTCATAACCACAATGACACCCCAAATCAGGAGTGCAAAAATCGTCATAACCCAGCCATTGTTCATCTGAACATGTCTTTCCCCCTCATCTCCCGTCCCGACCGGCCCATTCTCGTCGAGTATGTCCACTTTCATGTACTTCTCACGGCAGGTAAACCAGATTAAGGGAGCGCTGACAAAGGGTAGAATAACGCTCAGCGCCACTTGAGAACCCTGAAGCGCTTTACCAAGCCCTTCGCGGCCCACCGAGCCGGCAATGATGATGCTGGGCGTGATGCTAATTGAACGGGTGATGAGGCGACGGAGCCATGGCTTGAGTGACCAGTTGAGCTGGCCTTCAGAGACCATCTGACCACTGATTGTGCATACAATACCCGCCGAGGTACCTGACAGTAGCAAGGCCAATGCGAACAAGGTACCAGCAACGGGCGCAATGGACCGAGAGAGGAGGCTGTGAATCGAGAAGAGGTCCGCGTTATCGGCTTGGGGGAGGCCATAGAGGGATGCACCAGCAACAATCAGGATGGAGCTATTAACGAAAAGAGCAAAAGTGAAGAGAGTGAATGCTAGTTCGACAATGCTGTACAACATGCATGATTGAATAGCGGCCAAAGAGGGTTTGTACTTGATTCGGTCGTCAACAGAGTCCGTCTCCAGTGTCCTTGATGTGTTGTTGATCATATCGAATTCGCGTAGGCGCGGCTGGACAACGCCGCTTCCCAGGTAAAGACTATGGGGCATGACAGTAGCTCCAAGGATACCACAAGATTGGTACAAACTTATGGCTGTTAGCAAAGAGATGATAAGGCTGGTCAAGGCTCACCTACGCTTGTGACTTTACTAATGTAGAAGAGGGTAAGTATCCGCGGAAAACATCTCCAACAGGTGCTTTAATCTTGCTGAGCTCAAAGCAGAAACAAATGACGACTCCGATGACTAGGAGCATTACGAAGATCTCAAACGTTCTCAGAGCACGCATTGTGCCAGAAGGACGGTAGAAAATTAGAATGATGAGCACATCGACAATGGATATAGCGCAGCCCGCAACGAGAGGGACATCAAGGAGTAGATTGAGAGCAATGGCAGTGCCAATAACCTATTACAATTAGATAAGATGAAGCCTATAGAGAAACTTAGAGCATACCTCTGCAATATCGGTTGCAATGATTGCGGACTCTGCAAAGGCATAGAGGACATAGTTAAGCCATGGCGGGAGATTTGCTTTGCAATTCTCAGCGAGGTTCATTCCCGTGACAGAACCTAACTTGATGCACAAGGATTGGAGGAATATAGCGAAAATGTTCGACATTAACACGATAAACAGAAGTTTGAACCTGAAAGAAGCACCGGCAGCAACATCGGTCGCGTAATTTCCTGGAGCCATGATTTAGTAGATACCTTTGGGTAAATTGAGACATGAATGGTCCGTGTGAGACATTGCCTACCAGGATCGATATACGCAACGGCAACCATGAAACCAGGTCCGATGAATTTCGTATATTTGACTACCATGTTCGAAGCTCTTCTAGTGAGCACACGCAGCGAGGTACGCCAGGTGCCAATCACGCTGTCAGAATTCCTGTCTGGGTTGCCAGGTGCGTCACCATTGATGGTTCCCGAACGTTTGCCTTTACCAATGACATCGTTGCCCTGGCCATCGAACGCCTTCGACTTAACTGTACTGTCTGTTCCGTCAATTGTATGGAGTTCGGTCGGTTCTATACTAGATGCGATTGCATCCGTAGGGCCTATTTTATGGTGTCTTTGCAATTTAGCAGCTTGACTGTGGTTAAGGCCAGCCCTGGTCGTTGCGTCAGCAATGAGGGTAGTATTTGGGCTCTGATTCCAGCCCTCTGTATCAGAAGGATCGGCACGTGAGGGACAATTCATCACGAAAAGAAGAGAATGAAGTGATATTGAGTACGAAAATGTTTGAGGAAATAGTTTGGTTTGCCGGCAACGTCGAAACATGGACACCGTTGTTCTACTAGTGACATATCATTTTCCAGCAATTGGCCAATTGAATCGGATCCCGATCTTCCCGAACTGCACAATTTCTAGCTACCACCATCAATTACTTCGTACCCATGGGCAACTACTGCTCGAACCCTTTGCAGATGGTTTTGACAGATGAGCATTCCGCTTTAAGAATATCACCTGACATTCGCTTAGTCGTATAGTATAAATTTAATGAGTATTAGCTCCTATAATATTTTCTCCAACATAGGAGGTCCAATACTCCTTCCTGATAGAGTAATGCATATTCAAGAACACCTCTGCTACAAAATCAAAGTCAAATACAGAAGCTTTTCTTACATGTTACTTCAGGATCCGGACCTATGTCCCTTACTTTATCAAATGTATGGTGGTTCAATAATCATTCACCAAAATAGCATAATTAAAATTCAAAAGTTTTGAATTATCAATCGGCGGAGGGGTTCTATCATCTGTTGCGCACTTAAAGCCACTTCAAGAACACGAATTTCTTGCCAGCATAACACGGTTTACCTCTGAAGTACAGATTAAGAATATAGACACCATGAATGGTCTTTGGCGATGAAGATTCAGGTGCTGTTCAATCAATTGGAAAAAGATTTCCATTTTTAAACGTGCAAAGAGACTGCTCAATTTGCTGTTAAACTGATACATAACCCTCACTACTATTCATCCAGGCGGGCTTGTTGGTTAGAGGTTCTGTCACTGCAATTTCAGCAACTATTGGGCTTGTTCCCAGGGACAAGAAATCAACTATGAGAAGCAACAACTATAATAAGTTCTCAACGATTATCCTGTTTCTGAATTAATTATTCTTTTCACTCTTTCAGGGCAAGTACTACGGTTCCATAAACACTGATATACACAGAACCAAGCATCTCGGATTCACCAAAACTGACGCCAACAATTGCATTTCCGCCTTGGCTAGCACAGTCCTTGCACATCCTTTCAGCAGCTTGGTGGTGTGCGTTGTAAACTGCATGCGTTAAAGCCTTCGCACTGCTTCCATTTCCACCGAACTTGAGCGATGCTTTGATATCTTTGAGAACCATCGTGAAGCTGCCGTAAACGACGCCGATCGTTTTGGAAATATTATATCCCGCCAAGTTTTCCGTAGTAGAAGTCAAAATTGAGCTTGTCGTACAATGAGGCTCTGTGTCGGAGGATCGGTTTGAAGGAGCCCTTGGTAGACTATTTGGGTCGCCTTCTGGATGCATCAGCTGTCTTAAGTCGCGGTTTTTGAATATGGTAGTTTCTGGAATAAATGTAGCTCTCTGGAGTGACACTGGGAGGTGTCAAGAACGTGTTGTATGCGTGATTGAAATATGATCGCTAGAAATGTCGGAATTTGAAGACAGAGTGTTCAGGTACTTCTGAAGTATTGTTGCAGGATGTAATCAGCGAGCGTAATTTCTTAAATTACAGTCCTTGTTACAACATACTTTAAAGGCTAAACTGCAATATTTATCTTTTACTGTATTAGGAATACGTAGTATGAGGAAGGATGAGGTTTACAAAGCTGCACTTTCGATTTCTTTATCACATTTTGTCTGCTTTCACCCTGTAAGCCTTTTCTACATTAGATAACTTTAGAGTTTAATTTTATCAGCAGGTTAGTTCTATATTTTTTCATGCATTATCTACTAAACTATTCTACATGCCCTTAAATTAGTCCTCGTTATACAGGGCTAAGAATTCTTTCGATGTGTAGGATCTTCGTCAAATGAAGATATCCATCCTGTTTCAGGGCGTGGCCTTCAACAACAACATTGGTGTGGTGGGCTCGACTTTCTGAGCTTCAAGAGTTGGTAAGGTCAGTCATGATTGCCTTACCGGTGGAGGTCTTCTTTTTCTATCAAATTGCAATCATATGGATTTTCATCTTGATACAAGAAAAGCGCTGGATCGATTCTGTTTTCAATATCTAGAAAGAGGTATTCGAGGAGGCACATAGACCAGCCAGAAGGGGAGGTTTGAAAGCACGATTATTGACGAACTGTACGCAGCCTCTGTCCATTACAGGAAAGAATGTCGAACACAACGAGGCCTAGTCGACCGTGGAGAACCCAAATCGCCCATTTTAAAGCTCAGTATTCAGTCGGCACAATCACTCAAAACACTAATCAATAACTAGGGACTTCAGTCAGTCGATGCAAGGTTTGGCTGACAATCGGAATCCCCAGTCCACCAAATCCATCCGACTATGGAATCAACTCAATTCATACTTATTATGGATGAATTCGAGCCTCAAGACTAATGTCGAATAGGGATGTGCTCTACGAGTAAATATCATACGCGTCTAGGAAGATGATATTCGGCATTGTAGATTACGAGGTAGATTAGCATACCTCATAAAAGACGAGAGACTGATGAACTTGATCAGGTGAGGCAATAAACAATTGGTAGAATCTTTCAATGAACGAGCAAACTTCGACGCGTGAGATAAGTGAATGCCTTGCTGCTGCGCGTTCTACAGCTTACACAGCAGTTTGTTGTTACGTTATCGTTGAGCAGTCAAACGCATCTCTGAAGCGTCAAGGGATCCACCCTGGCACGCCTGGTAGAAGTGCCGTATACCCACCACAATCGACATTCGCTCTTCAGCACGCACTTCCACCATCGAACTCTACCATGGAAGATCTCGATCGGTACATATTTTAATCTACGATCGGAGTGCCTGCAATGCTTTTCAGAACATAATATGACGTCAGATTCAGATAAAAACGTACGGCATGAATCGATGCTGTCATGCCTGTGAAAGTGGAGTGGGAGACTCTCGATGAACAGGGACAGGGAGTGATGGGCCCGTGCGCTTTTCGCCGCCTCGGTATTATTGGCCGCGTGGAAAGTCATCGTCTTCACTTCACCATCTATTCACCCCATTCACCCAGAAGATATGCTAGCTATTGTACGACCGAAAGCTGAGGCGATCAATAGTATTGTTCACCACGACCTGCCGACCTTCTAAATGCGAACTGCGCACCTTTTCTCCACCCACCCCGTCCCCTCGACTTAGAAAACCTCACCGCTTGCCACGGCCTTCTGACGATTCTTCGACTGTCGCAAAAGACACAGCTCTACCACCCGCGATGGTATCAACTGCTATCGATACTGGCGCCCCGCGCCCCGAACGCCCCCGTCCACCGCCGCCTGCTGTTGTAGAGGCGGAACAGCAATGGCTTTTCACCGACGAAGAGCTTCTTCAAGCCCCCTCAATCGTTGACGGCATCACCCCCGAGGAAGAGCGAACACTGCGCCGGAAAGGTGTAAACTTCATCCTACAAGTAGGAATGATGCTGAAGCTACCTCAAACCACCCTCAGTACTGCCGCGGTCTTCTTCAACCGGTTCCTGATGCGCAACTCATTGAAGAATCGGCCAGGCTACAAAGCATTACATCACTATGTACGTGCTTCCTCATGGGTTTTGTTACTGTTCGCTGACTCTTGAAAAGCAAATCGCCGCCACCACTTTATTCTTAGCCACCAAGGTTGAAGAGAACTGTCGAAAGATGAAGGAGCTCGTCATTGCCTGCGTCCGAGTAGCTCTGAAGGATCCAAACAAACTCGTGGATGAACAGACGAAAGATTTCTGGAAGTGGCGAGACACGATACTTTACTCTGAGGATGTTGTTTTGGAGACCCTTTGCTTTGATCTCAGCGTGGAATCGCCATACAAGATCATGTACGACATGCTCAAATATTACGGAGTTGAGCATAACAAGAAGCTGCGCAACGCTGCATGGGCCTTTCTATCCGACTCATGCCTCACACAAATCTGCCTACTTTTCACATCTCGGACGATTGCCGCCGCCTCCCTCTATGCAGGCGCCCGCCTAGTGGAAGTCGAACTACCAAATGAGGATGGAAAACCTTGGTGGGAAGTGCAGCTGATCAAACTCCGCGACATTCGACGAGCCTGCAATCTGATGGCGGATATATATGAAGCATCTTCCAGCAAGGATGGAGAAGCATCTATATATGTAGGTTTAAGATCGCCTGAGGACGGGATTGATTTCGAGACGCCGATGAGCCTAACGAACAGCCAGGCTCCGGATCAGCCGCCCGCCAATGGCAACGTTAACAGCAATGATAACGGTAATGGCAATGGCCACGGAGCCGAGGAGATGAGTGAAGAGGGCGAACTGGACGGGTAGGACGGCCTTGTCTTTTAGTACTCCTTTGTCAACGATTCTCTCTTGCATTTTCATGGCAGGCTGGCGTTTGCGGATTGCTTATAACGAAGATACCCCTGGGCTGGCAGGGTCAGGATCCGCCTGTTGATATTCTTATCTTTCCAATTATTCTTCTTTTCCACAGATTGGCTCTTAGAGAGACGCACAAATCTATTTCTCTTCGTCCCACTTGCTTGAAAGCTTGCTAATACTAAAATTGTCATCTCCTCATTTCCAGTTACAAGTTATGCGTAATGTTTCAATTATTAAACTTGTTTTCCTCAACCATTAGATCCACTTTTCATTCATGTTCCCACTTTCAGAGCGATCTGGGTGTATGGTGCACGGACCATGCCTCCCAGCCTCATGAGAGCAACACCAGCCATCGACTTTCCTGCCATCACAATTATTGCATTAACAAATGTCACAATGTCTTTTATATCGCATAAGGCCATCGCGGGGTCGTATTCCTCTTCACTAGTCTACCTCATCGATCTCAACCTAGTCGGGACGTTGCCATTCATCCCCGCTGGTTAACATACAACACAACTTCGATCAACAACAACACAAAGACTTCAACATGTGGAACAAATCGCACATCTACTTCATTTTCTCGTCACTGGCTCTCCTGAGCAATGCGTTGCCATTTGAAAATGCACCCAACAATCGTCTCGTTGTTCCCCCAGCAAGATCATATTCAATTGTCAATGTGGACGGAGGCTCCACCACACCAACCCAGCCTGAACCGACAACAGTCGTGGAGACTGTTCAAGTCACAAGTGCCGCGCCGACAACAACAACCACGGTGACGACCACTACAATCCAACCAGCACCTATACTTTCTCCTGTTTCCACATCGACAATTTCAACCTCATCTACACCGACCACAATAACTTCGCAAAGCACTACACTTGCGAGTTCAACAACAACACCTACCACGACACCAGCACCACATGTTATAACGGTGACCGTTACAGACACCGCCGGTCCAACCGAGTACTATGACAACGGCCTTTGGCATACATACTATCCTGTCAAGACTTTTGCGACAGTGGCTGTGGTTTCAGCAGCAAGCTCTTAGTGAGCAACAATATCAAGAGTGTCAAAACGATACTTAAGCCAATGCGCATTAATAGCTTAAACCCACTGGTGGGAAAATCTGTTGCTCGAACCGAATTGGAAATGATGCTTTCATGTACATTTTAGATTGATTAGGGTATCGGTGTTTGTGAGTGACTTCATGAGGGCATGAGTATGGATCGCACGGAATGGAAATACGGCCTGGGAAATCGGAACATATTGCATTGGGTGGCGTTTCGAAGTGAACGAACACGAATTCTACCAGACACCTAGATATATATGTTCGCACAGCCGACTTAAAATGAATAAAGTCAAATCATTATCAGATCGTGCGACAGATAAAAACAAAGCTACAAGTACATGCAGGTCTGATCCGATATCGTTCCTGAGCTATAACGTGATGACGAAGCTCGTACCCTTGCACGCCAAGGAAGGTTGCTAGTACTACACTGCAGCTTCACCACCCTGCTACCTATCCGCCAGCTCTACCAACCCCGGATAACTTTGGAACCTCTGTCACGATGGCGTCGTCGCCGCCTCCGGTAGAAGATCAGGCTCGTCTGCTTGAAGATGCCCTGGGTGTCGTACGCCAGCAGACCATGCTCATGCGGCGGTGTCTCGAGACACCCGGCAAGTTGATGGATGCGCTCAAGTGCAGGTATGCGCATCTCCAGGGATATGGGAATTGATGCTTTGAACAGTACATCTTACTGATTTTTCTATGCGCATAGCTCCACGCTCGTCTCTGAGCTACGGACAAGCAATCTTGGGCCAAAACAGTACTATGAGCTCTACATGGCCGTATTCGATGCCCTCCGCCACCTCGCCGTGTACCTCCGAGAGAACCACCCCGTGAACCACCTCGCCGATCTGTATGAGCTTGTCCAATATGCTGGAAATATTATTCCGCGCCTTTATCTTATGGTCACCGTCGGCACTGTATATATGGCTATCGAGGATGCGCCAGTTAAGGAGATCATGAAAGATATGATGGAGATGAGCCGCGGAGTTCAGCATCCTATTCGAGGATTATTCCTCCGATACTACCTTGCTGGCCAGGCACGAGATCATCTCCCATCGGGCGATGGCGAGGGCCCAGAAGGCAACCTCCAGGACTCCATTAGCTTCATTTTGACCAACTTCGTGGAGATGAACAAGCTTTGGGTGCGCCTGCAGCATCAGGGACATTCAAGGGAGCGCGAGCAAAGAACGAAGGAACGACAAGAGCTCCAACTTTTAGTTGGCAGCAACCTGGTCCGTTTAAGCCAGCTTGTAGACCTAGAGAATTACAAGAAAATCTTGAACCCTCTATTGGAACAAATTGTCCAATGTCGAGATGTGTTGGCCCAGGAGTATTTGCTTGAAGGCAGGTGTTGCTCGATAACAGCTAGAAGCTTTGCTAACAGTACAATAGTTGTTACTCAAGTTTTCCCCGACGAATTCCACCTCCACACGCTTGATCAATTCCTCTCAGCTGTTGCCCGCTTAAATCCGCATGTCAACGTTAAGGCTATCGTCGTAGGTCTGATGGATCGGTTGTCGGCGTATGCCCAAAGGGAATCGGATGCAGAAAGTCCCGAGGACCGCAAAAAGACGGAGGAAGAGTCAATTGCAAACCTGCTTGAAAAGTTAAGGATAGCAAAAGAAAAGAAGGAGGCCGAGCCGACACCACCGCCAGAACAGAATGGGGAAGGCTCAGAAGAAACGCAGCCGGGTGCAGAAGAGACTCCTGAAGAAACTGAGGCAACCGAAGCCTCCGAAGCATCTTCAGTGACCGCTGTTACTAAACCAGAAGAACAACCGGAGGAGGTCGATACGAATGTCGAGAAGCATCGCGGAATACCGAAGAACGTCAAACTTTTTGAGATTTTCCACGAGCAAGTCGCTTCCCTTGTCAAGATGCAGCGATTGCCGATACAAGACACGATTGGCCTGCTCGTTTCATTGGCGAACCTTGCTCTGTAAGTAGCGTGAATCTTGACTAATGTATACCGCTAATTATGATAGTAATATCTACCCTGAGCGACTTGACTACGTTGACCAAGTCATGGGCTTTGCAAACCAGAAAGTCACCGAATATGCCAATAGCGCTGACCTCCATTCGCAAGCGACTCAGAGTCAGATTCTCAACCTGCTTCTCGCACCTATCAAGACCTACGTTTCTCTTTTCACAGCTCTCGCATTGCCGAATTTTATCCCTCTTCTTCACTCCCAGCCATACCCGACACGTAGGGCTGTTGCGGGCGAAGTTGCTCGAAGTCTGCTGCGGAACCAGACCCCTATCACGTCGGTAGAGAACCTGGAGAGTGTAATGGAGATTGTCAAGGTTCTCATCCGAGAAGGAATTCAGCAAGCAACTGGCTACCCCGGTGGCCCCATCCAGAGGAAAGCTATGGAAACAGATGAGACAATAGAAGAGCAGGGATGGTTGGCACGGATAGTTCACCTCATCCAGGGAACAGACAATGATACGCAGTTCAAGGTATGTGTGTACTGCATCGCGCCGACTTCAATCTAACATCTTGTAGTTGCTTCAATCTGCTCGCAAGGCTTTCGGTGAAGGCAATGAGCGCGTCAAGTACACCACACCTGCGCTTATCACGGCCTCATTAAAACTTGCCCGCCGCTACAAGGCCCGTGAACATTTTGATGACAACTGGTCATCTCAATCTTCCGCCCTGTACAAATTCATGCACAGTGCTCTCTCAACTCTCTACTCTCGCGTCAACGGATCTGCCGATCTGTCGCTTCGTCTTTTCGTCGCCTGTGGTCAAGTCGCTGATCAAAACGGCTTCGAGGAAGTCGCCTATGAATTCTTCGCACAAGCTTTCACAATCTACGAGGAGGCTATTAGTGATTCGCGCGCACAGTTCCAAGCTGTGTGTGTAATCGCTGGCGGACTGCATGTTTCGAGACATTTTGGAAAAGAGAATTACGACACTTTGATAACGAAATGTGCCCTTCACGGCAGCAAGCTATTGAAGAAGCCTGATCAGTGCCGTGCAGTTTATCTGGCAAGTCATTTGTGGTGGGCAACAGAGGTGCGGGCGTTGGGAGAAGAGGATCCCAAAGACGTGAGTTCACCAGCTACAGCTGTAGAGATAGGCTTACTGACCGACCATTCTAGCTTTACCGCGATGGAAAACGTGTTCTCGAATGCCTTCAGCGTGCGTTGCGCGTAGCGGATGCTTGCATGGACGCTGCTGTTTCTGTGGAACTTTTCGTCGAGATACTGAACCGTTACGTGTACTACTTTGACCAAGAAAACGACGCGGTATGTCTCATTACCCCCAATTCCATTTTTACCTGATACATGCTAATGCGATACAGGTCACAACGAAGTACTTGAACGGACTCATTGAACTCATACATTCTAATCTCCAATCAAACGAAAACGCAGCGAGCCTCGAGGTCCCGAGAAAGCACTTCCAGCGTACACTAGACTACATTTCCAGCAGAGAATACGAGGGTGTGATTACAGCACCCAAGTAAAGTACATTGTTGTTGCTCCGATGGCCGACCGGCATGTACTTGATATTGTTTGTTTGGGACTCCTTTGTATGATTAGCGCGAGGAGTCCATCTCCGGAGGCGTAGGGCGAGCTCGGAAACTGTGATGTTCGATATGCATGTAGTTAGATGTGTCTGCATCACACAACAGAGAATATTTTAATACATCACCTCCGCTGTTCATTTGCATACGCGTGACGTCAGATTGTCTAAAGCTGGTCGAATGAATGATAAGGTTTGAGCTCTGTTTACGAGAGCATTCGAGTACTAGCTTCACGTATAATTGAAAGTAATTTCTATAATTCCTACAAATAGTAAACTCTGGCATGTGCTGTCCACTCTGTGAGCATAGATAGGTAGATGCATGATGACGATGCCGGCTCGGAGAAACTGGGTCCGAAATTTGAGAGCATCGTCAACAACTTCCATTCCTTGAACACATATTCCAAAAACAAAAATCTTCATGTCTTCTTCCACGTTCTAATTTCAAAACCCTGTGTAGCCCCAAAATGCCGCCCAAAACCACCAAGCGTGCGACGAAAGCACTCCCCAAAGCCTCATCAGCCATTCCAGACCCATTCACACCTGTGCCAACCGAAATCCTGCCCCTCCTCGACACCCTCGACAAGGAAATTGTCTACATCACACATATAGACCACCATCCAGCTTGGTTTAAAAAGCGCGTGTTTTTCGTTCCCGTCGGCCTCAACGTCACAATTGGATTGGTTTTATTATGGAGAGCATACGCGGCATCTCCGTGGTACTGGTCGATCCTGATGTCCTTCCTGGGCAACCACAATGAGACGACGATATATTTCGCAAGCACACCTTGGCTACAACTCATATGGATGGTTTTGGTACGGAGTTCCGTGTTTCTGGTCGACTTCATACTGTTCCGCATAATTGGGCCTTGGCCCTGGGGTTTCTTCTTTGAGAGCCCAGGAAACCCTATCAGCTGGCGGTTCAAAACTGGTTTCAGGGACGAGGAGGTATATGTGAGGGAGAGTAGGGGCTGGGGTGCAAGAGATTTGCTCGGAGAGGCGGAAGGAAGTTCGGGAAGAGCTGGATCGGAAAGTCCTTTCTTCAAGACAAGGATTTTGCCTGCTGTGGAAACACGGAGACTTGCAGAAAAGACGGGTTATATGTTGATGGATAAAGACTTCGACCTGAGCTTTGCGGCCATGACGAAGGCAGCGCAAATGATCGACAGGAAAGAAATTACTCTGGATAACGTACAGAAGAGTGTATTCGTCTGGGTTGGTAGTCAAGAGACTGGGCAGTGGACTGTATGGGACTGCTGGAAGCTTGATGGTGGCTCAGAGACCGAGGCCAGGAAGAAGATCATGATATTCAAAGACCGTTTGACAGCTATGGGCAAGGAGAGTCTCTTCTTCCGATGGGTCGAGTTGATACAATTCGAGAGCAGTGCACCCGGCGGTTTCACCCAAGAACGACAAATCGAAGCTGCTAATAAGGCGAAGAAGCTTTTCGAGGACGAGGGTATAGATTTCGATACATTCATCAAAGAGATTGGAGGGTTGGATGGTCTGCCAGGCATGGAATAGGGCTAGGGAGAGCCAGTACATTCTAAAATTTCAGATACCCAATTCGTCTTATAGACAGGACACCAAATTTCAAAAACGGCTGGCTGCAACAGTTTCGCCAGAAATGGATTGAACTACATTATGATTGCGACTTTTCCTTGGGCTTAATATGCCTCGATGCGTATTCAATGGCTGCCTCATAGCCATACACTCCCAACCCGCAAATTACAGCCTCTGCTTTATCGCTCAAATAGCTGTGATGCCTAAACGCCTCCCTTTTGTGTACATTGCTTATGTGTATCTCCACAAACGGGATATCGACGCCCAGCAATGCGTCCCGAATCGCCACGCTTGTATGTGTAAATGCGCCCGGGTTGATGACAATGGCGTCAACGTTGCCTCGAGCCTCGTGGATGCGGTCTATGATGACACCTTCGTGATTGGATTGTAACGAGGCGAATGTTATCGATTTAGAAGAACATTGTTTCTCTGCGGCTTCGATAACTTGTGGGAGTGTGGTGCTGCCGTATGTGCCCGGTTCGCGGGTTCCGAGCAGGTTGAGGTTTGGACCGTTGATGAGGAGGATGGATGTGGCCATTGTGCAGTCTAGAAGTATGCTATATTGAAGCAATGCAATAACATAAAAAGGGTAATAATAAAATGTGGCTTCAAAAGAACGAAAGCACAGGCTTGAGATGTCAATTGATATTGTCAATTCGAGAATACAAGACAATTGTGTCACGGAACGCTTTCGGAGATCCCACCGGAGGTGACGCACGTATTGTGGATAAGCGTTTTGCCGTCATGTTAAGATCTCCACCCATTCATTCCCAATCACGATGGGTCACGTGCAGGCCACTCACCGTCCGGATTTCAACGGTCTGTTTCCCTTGAGTGCCCCTCGGTAGCCGGCACAGTCCGTATTCGAGCCTTTGGTGGGGGTAAATTCATGCATTTCAAGCAATTACATGTGGTGTATTAGCAAGTGAGATAGAGCCATACTCGGAATCTGAGAACGTCTATCAGCACGTGCACGGTTTGAAGCGGTCGTCTCGTTTACTAGCTACACTACTCATAGCGTACTGATAGCTTTTGGGAGTCATCTTTTTCAGGAAAAACACTGACACAATGGCGGACATTTCTCAGGATGAGCTTGATGACATCTATGCCTTCGCCGTCAATCTCGGCAAGGAGGCGGGGTCGATGCTGCTCGACGCTGCGAAGTTGAGGATTGGGGATAACAGGGCTACTCAAGAGCAGAAAGAACATGTGCAAAAGGAGAATGCCGTGGATCTTGTGACAGAGACTGATGAAGGTAAGCTATAAGTTTCGCATGATCACCTATATCACTGCTATTTTTTATGCTGTGTGAGCAGTATTAGCTGTATACCCAGTAGCTAAGATAGTTCTAGAACTTGAAGCCTTCATCAGAAAGGCGATCGCCGAAAAGTACCCCTTGCATAAGTGAGTGGCCCAAATACATGATCTATGCAGTATATTCAGGAATCCTTGAGCTTACAGTAGCATAGATTTGTTGGCGAAGAGTCTTATTCGAAAGGTGCATCCCGCGACTATCTCATAGACGATAGTCCAACATGGTGTATTGATCCTCTTGATGGTATGTATCTGCTGTGGCTGGTCCAAAATGGTCATTTGCTCACAGTGCTACAGGCACCGTGAATTACATACACCTCTTTCCTATGTTTTGCATATCGATTGCGTTCATACACAAGTCGAAACCGCTGGTCGGAGTGATCAACGCACCTTTCCTCAATCAGTTCTTCTCGTCCTGCTCTGGCCGAGGTGCCTGGCTCAACGAATCACAACAGCTGCCACTAATTCGAAACCCCATACCCCCAATGCCTGAAAAGGCACCCAGTGGTTGTGTGTTCTCATGCGAATGGGGAAAGGACCGAAGGGACATCCCAGACGGCAATATGCATCGAAAGATCGAGAGCTTTGTCAATATGGCCGCCGAGCTCGGAGGCCGACAAGGCAGAGGAGGGATGGTGCATGGGGTAAGGAGTCTGGGTAGCGCTACATTGGACCTTGCCTATGTGGCAATGGGAAGTTTCGACATATGGTGGGAAGGCGGTTGCTGGGAATGGTAAAGACTCTTCACTATAACCCCCCCTGTGGCTGAGCTAAACGATTCCAGGGACGTGGCAGCGGGTATAGCGATTCTTCAGGAGGCTGGTGGGTTGATAACCACTGCGAATCCGCCTCCAAATGAAGCTACTGCCCCTATTGAAGCGGTCAAACTCGGAAGCAGGCTTTACCTGGCTATTCGGTGAGTGACTTCAGCCCTTTTGTTTTCCTAGAATTGGGCACACTTCGTGATTACAGTGGCTAACGAAACGAAATTACTAGCCCTGCCGGACCGTCATCTACAGAGACTGCACGTGAAACTCAGGAGAGAACAGTGCGAGAAGTGTGGAGACGCGTGAGGAACCTGGATTACTCGAGACCTGGTGCATAGAAGCTAGAAGTAGATGCAATTTCTGGCCTTCGCGGCACAATTCTATACAATGAATAATAATGCTACATTGATCATCGCTCATGTTTGCCTCCCTTTTTTAAATGCCAAGTATATACATAAATCGTGCCTATTTAAACGCCGTCGTGAGTATTTTACAATCTCGATTCATTTAGTTTTGCTGCGATTGCTTTGTGAACGTTCTCTACTGGTAGTTCATGGAGCTCTTTGCCAGTCCAGAATTTGTCCTATTTCCTGATCAGCGTTCATTCGATAAAGGAGAGAATGTTTCTTACCTGCTCCAGGCCTTGATATATCATGGCTTCAGTTCCAAGTATCACTTGCCATCCCTGTTGTTTACTAATCTCTGCAATCTCTGTCCAGGGACTGGGATGATAGCACATTTCCAGGATAGCACCCTTGTGCTCCTTGGCCAAGAAGCATTCTAGCACGCTCCTGGCCTCTTTCTCCTCGTTTGTTTTGGGTGTGAAGTTCGGTACGCATGCTACAATGGCACCAACTCCCTCGAGCTGTTCTGCTTGCTCTACGGTTGCGACGTCCACTAAGGAGTCACCATATCCCCGCGCAGTGCATTCATCAATCACAGCCTTGACTTCGTTGCGATCCCTATTGACGAGGTAGATCTTGCTGGCTTTCATCCATGTTCGAAGCGCATAGACTGCGCTTCGCGCCGCACCTCCACCGCCGATGATGAGTGCCGGCCTTCCGTGGAAGGTTGCATCTGCGTTGGCAACATTCTGATAGAAAGACTCTCTGATTCCAACAACGTCTGTATTCGTGCCCATGAACAACCGCTTGCCAGTCTCGGGGTCCTCGCGAATGAACATAGTGTTCACGGCGCCGACCGAAGCACCTTCGGGGGTAAGGCCATCGAGATGCTGTAGAATGGTGACTTTGTGAGGCATTGTTACTGCAGCGCCTATGATAACAGATTATTATTTGAATCTCTGGGCGCAGTTGTAGAATACTTGGTTAAGTACGTACCATAGAACTTTGGGTCTTCTCTTAACCTAAGGAAAAGGTCGACATCTAATGAGTCAAGAGGAAATTGTGACCAGTTCAAACCAAGACCATCATATACAGTCTGGTGAAGCAATGGCGACATGGAATGTGCTATCGGGTGGCCAAAGAGATAGCCATGACGCTCGACTTGGGAAACTTGAGGGACAACCGTCTCAGTCTCCGTGACTGTCTCTGTCATGGTCGACATGTTTGCAAAAGATTTGAAAAAGGACTCGACTAAGTGGTGGTTTTGGAATAACGCGATGATAGCTTTGAGACAATAGGAGCCTGATGGGTGATATGAAATGTGTAATGGTCGTCGAGAAATAGTAGAGACGCGTAACTACTCGATTGGTATAGCCACGCTATATTTTGTTGAAGGCTGAAGACGTCGTAAACGTTTTTCCAATTGTATATCCACTTAGACTCAATGCCAAATGTTGTATTATCAATCTGGAGCGCGGAGAAGCTGCACCAAGAGTCTAAGACAACGAGATCTCACAACCCCACAAACTGAAAACGTGCGTATGTTAAAATGTTCTTCCGATGGGGATGCAATCTTGATATCTCCACTACTGCTAAGCAAATACGACTCAGAGACTGTGACGACTTGGGGCATCGGTCCGAAGCTCGGATGAGTAAAGACGTAGATTCATTGGTTGACCCTGGTCTAGAGATCGTCCTTTCAACCACCTCAAGGAATAACACTCTTCCACCCCCATGCTACCAACGCTCGCGTGAACGCTTGTCATGACGCCGCGTTTGGAACCAAATCTAGTTTCTAGCATTTTGGCAACAACGTGGAGGAATCCGGGGCATCCGTTGATGTCCAATTTACCAGACTCCCCACTGGTCGGTGGCGGCGATACATCGGCCAACCTACTTTTGGCGTCGTCGTAAAAGTCTTCATCCGGGGACCCTCCAGACTTGCTCGTCTATCTGCATGGGCGACGAGAAAGGATTTTCAAGCGAAACACCATTTGCTCTTCCATCCCCATGGGGCTTGTGGCTGATAAACCCTGAAGACAAGATTACCTCCACCATCTTGAAGATATATAGGTGAAGACTGTTCGCTACCCTTGTCCATCCCCACAGAGTTGCGATCCCATCTTCCTCTGCCCAACTCCTCTTCTCTTCTCCTTTCCATACTCCCCTTCCATCAATTCATCTCAACACCCATCGACAGTGCGTGATATACCAACACGAAGTCAACATGGGTATCCTCGCCTTCGTCGAGGACAGGCCGACGCCAAAGGAGGTCTACAACTGGCGCGTCTATACCGCTGCTGCAGTCGCATCATGGGCATCCTGCATGATTGGCTATGACTCTGCCTTCATTGGCACGACTCTAGCACTTCCTTCCTTCGTCGACGAATTCAGACTCCGTCCAGATCAGATGCCTCCGGCCAAATTGGCTACGACAAAAGCGAACATTGTTTCCGTTTACCAGGCCGGTGCCTTCTTCGGTTCTTTCGGTGCATACGTCTCTAGCTACTACTGGGGACGAAAGAGGAGTTTGATCGTTTGGATCCTTCTTTTCATCGTTGGTGCTGGTATGATGTTGGGCGCAAACCGCGAACGAGGATTGGGTCTCATCATTGGTGGCCGTGTTTTGGCTGGTCTGGGTGTCGGTGCTGCTTCCAACATGGTGCCCATCTACATTTCTGAGATGTCTCCACCGGCTGTACGAGGACGTCTTGTTGGTATCTATGAGATGGGATGGCAAATCGGTGGTCTCGTTGGATTGTAAGTTAGATGGAACCCCTTTTCATACTGAAGACAAACTAACCTCCCTAATAGCTGGATCAATTACGGTCTTCAGGAGACTATGGCACCATCGCATTCGCAATGGTTGATTCCCTTTGCCGTTCAGCTCATTCCCGCTGGATGCCTTCTCATCGGAGCTTTCTGGTTGAAGGAGTCCCCTCGATGGCTTTTCACCAAAGGCAGGCGTGACGAGGCGGTGAGGAACCTGTGCTGGATCCGCAATCTCCCAGCTGATAACCTCTACATGGTTGAGGAAATTGCCGCCATCGATGCTCAAATCGAGCATGATCGTATCCACATTGGACCCGGATTTTGGAGGCCATTCGCCGCGTTGAAGGATAAGAAGGTTCAGTGGCGTTTCTTCCTCGGTGGAATGCTCTTCCTCTGGCAGAACGGTTCTGGAATCAATGCCATCAACTACTATTCTCCCACCGTTTTCAAGTCGATCGGCATCACAGGTGCCAGCACAGGTTTTCTCACCACCGGTATCTTTGGAGTTGTCAAGACTGTTGTCACTTTCTTCTGGCTGCTCTGGCTCATCGACCGCCTTGGACGCCGCAATCTCTTGATGATTGGTGCAGCTGGAGGTTCCGTCTGCATGTGGATTATCGGTGCATACATCAAGCTCTCAGGAGCTGGCAAGACCACAATCTCCACTAACGGCAAGCTCCCACCAGGCGGCATTGCTGCAATTTTCTTCTTCTACCTCTGGACCGCTTTCTACACTCCGTCTTGGAATGGAACTCCTTGGGTTATCAACTCGGAGATGTTCTCGCAGCATACGCGTTCATTGGGCCAGGCATCGGCTGCTGCCAACAACTGGTTCTGGAACTTCATTATCTCCCGTTTCACCCCTCAGATGTTCAACACAATGGGCTACGGAGTATACTTCTTCTTCGCTTCGCTCATGATTCTATCTATTCCTTTCGTGTACTTCCTCATTCCCGAGACCAAGAGTATTCCTCTTGAGCACATGGATGAGCTCTTCTCTCTGAAGCCAGTGCACAAGGCACATGGAGTCATGATGCAGAAGCTTTTCGAGCGCGAGGAGGAGTTTAGGCATGATGCCGAGGGTGCAGGCTTGACTGTTGAGAAGACTAAGCAGGCCGAGAGAGTTGAGAGTGTTTAAGTCATAGCACACATGAGACTGTAAAAGCAGTGTATGAGGTGTGCATTGGGCCAGTCGCAGAGACGAATGAATCATTTCTTCTAGGATATAGGACATAGCATAATTAGTCTGAATCTAAGAATATCTTCAAAAACAACTTATTTCCAAAACAGTGAGAACAATCATAATGACTATCGGATGATTTGAATGATGCTCCAGAAGAATGTGTCTAAATATGATTCCCGTAAACAAAACTTTCAGGAAAGGGCTGCCACGCCCCTATCGTCCCACAAAGGAAGCATGCGCTTTCTATGGAACCTTGTCAGATTTGCACCAGCAAAGATCCTCACCAAGTCACATAATGATCCGAAGCTCAATCAGTGTTACTGGAACTCAGACGGAGTGATATATAGTAATTGCCCTTCATGTTGTCACAGCTAGTCAAAATGCACAGATGATTTGGTAGATTCATGTTACGTGGAAATGCTCGATGTATGGCAATATAATGGTGGTATCTTCTAAAAGGTAACTGAGTATATACATGCAAGCAAACGCTAGCTTAAAGTCTGGAATCATGATGGGCAATGTCTTGCCCACTGTCTTTCCTCTGAATAGTAGGTTGTGGCCGTTCAATCTTAAGGCCAAGGTCAGCCACCAACTTATGCCATCCGACCTTCGACCTCTCTGCCAGTTCCTCTACAACACCCTCGTCCGTCCTTTCCATGGCTCGGTTAAAGAGTTCGTTGCTCACCCAGCCGTCATATCCGATCCCGTTGATAATGGCCTCTGCCACGTCTTTGACAGGGAGGTAGGCCCCCTTGTCGCTTTCACCATAAAACAGCCTGCAGTTCCTGCTCCAGCTCATCCTGGATGGCTGCTCTGGTTTGTAGAATGGATGGCCGGGAAGTAAGGGGGAAGAGAGCTTTTCAGCGTCCACAATCTGCATGAAGAAAATCTTATCCTTAGGAGGCCCAGATTTTGCCAATAACCTCTGCACCGACTCGGCAACATCTTGATCTGCATTAGGTGTGCAGAAGGTGGGCGACTCAGGGTCGGCATATATACGACCAAGGATGTTAAAGGTATCAAGACAAAGACCAAAGTTTTCTCTGTCGACCCTCTGCACGATCTCCCAGCTCTGTTCCCACTTGTTGATATATGTACCCCAGGAAAGACTCTCGTACGCAAATCTTATGACGGGTGTTTGTTGGAGACCTAGGTCTGCCAGCTCTCGGAGGTCGGATACGATAAGGTTCATATCACCAGAGATCTCCTCCTTGGGAAGAAATGATGATGGGACTGCGATGACATCTGTATCAAGGATCTTCACCACATCCATCCAGACCTTTATCTCATCTATCCTTTCTGCGTGTCTTTGCCTGTCTCGCAGTCCTTCGTAGTGCATGAACGGTTGCAGACATAGGATTTCGATATTGAGCGATGTGCAAAGAGAACGAACGTATCTTGCGGCAGCGTAGAGGTCGGAGGAGTATCGACTTGTAGCAAGGTCTGCCAGATCTTCATAGAAGAGCTCGATGCCTTCGATGCCATGTTTTGCGGCCATGGATAGCTTGTGCTCGATCGAGTGGCCGGCATAGCACCTTCCAAGGGACATAGACGAGATTGCTGGACGGCAAGGCATTGTAGCTGATTGAAATCAAATGAAAATGCTAAGGTAGAAAGTAGATGATAATGCTTGAGACTTCACAGTACCCCGAGGAATGATATACTTTAAGAATATGGTGCAAGATTAAAGGATAGTTGAAAATTATCAAAGTAACTGCAAATGAATATCGTGTGTAAAAGGGGATTCATTCACCAATAGACTGTTGAATTGCGGGTCTTCTTGCTTCGAAACATCCTCCTTCCTATCTCAATGTCTTGTGCCGGAAGAATGCTTCAGCATCGTTGACGAGTATTCCTGTGCCCAGCCAACGCTTAGGATGACGTTGGCGTGCACGGGGTGGCCAATCGTGGGTAAAGCTTTATCCGGCGAAGGGGTCTTTGCCATCGGCCACTTTTATCGGGAGCTGCACCGAGGATTTGTCCATTTGCTAAGGGTCTCACATGATCTACTGACCCGGAAGAGGATTCAATCTTTATTGTGGGGGGTATACTCTGGGGATCGAGGTTGTGGGGATTGATGGAAAAAGAGAGATCCAGCAGATGTAGGCCTAATTGGTCGGTCTGCGTTCGTATCATCTGAGAAAAGAACTAATTGTGGACCACATAAAAGCAAACCCTTCAAAAACTACCATGAACCAGATCATCTAAGTCTAACAATTCGTCCGGATCCAATAATCATCTTATCCCAAGGGCTCGAGGTTCTGCGGACCAGCTTGCTTAATACTTGCTCTTCATTCAAGGCCTCCGATCCGTATCCAATATGTCTTCCCCTGGTACCATTCGAGTTGCCATTATTGGCACAGGCTTGATTGGCCCTCGACATGCTGAAGCAGTTGTCAAAGAGCCTGAGACCGATCTAGTTTGCATTGTAGATCCGAATCCTGCAGCAGCTAGTGTTGCACAGAGATTCGATTGTCCTTTATTTGGATCGGTCCAGGAGATGCTTGCTTCGGACTCGAAACCAGACGCAGCCCTAGTGTGCACACCAAATCACACTCATGTTTCCGTGTCGAAGCAACTACTTGAAGGCGGTGTACATGTTCTATGTGAGAAGCCAATATCAATTGATGTCGCAAGTGGTCAAGACTTGGTATATTATTGCTCAAGAACTACATTTGATCGAGGATATATTCTTACACGCTTAGATACGCTGCGCCCACAAAAACAATCGCCGCCTGCTGATCGGTCATCACCGTCGTTTCAATAAGTATGTAAGGGCTGCAAAGCAGGCAATCCCATCGCTAGGTCGCCTCGTTGCCGTCAATGGGTTGTGGACGCTATACAAGCCATTGTCCTATTATGATTCGCCAACGGAGTGGCGAAGACTTGACTCTGCAGGTCCTATCCTCATCAACCTCATTCACGAAGTAGACATCCTTCACTACCTTTTTGGTCCAATCGTTCGAGTATATGCCGAAAAATGTCTATCCCAGCGAGGATATGCGGCGGAAGAAGGCGCAGCAATAACGCTCAGATTCGCTAGCGGTATGGTAGGGACATTCATCTGTTCAGATGCTGTTGTCTCCCCGCACAACTTTGAAGCCGGTACTGGTGAAAATCCAACAATACCAAAGGTTGGCGAAGATTTTTACAGGGTTTTCGGATCTGAAGGAAGTCTAAGCGTGCCGGCTATGACAGTATGGACATATCCGGATGGGAAGCAGAGTTGGACCGAGCAATTGGAAAACAAAAGTCTCGAAGTATCTGATGACAGAGCACCCTTTGAGCTACAGATCAAACACTTCGCCAATGTCATCAAAGGACGAGAGGATCCTAGTTGTTCAGGTATCGAGGGACTTCGTGCGTTGGCTGTCTGTGACGCTGTTCGAACATCGATGAAGGAGCAAAGACCTGTAGATGTAGATCTAGAAGATACGCCCCTATAGAATATGGGCATTCTTAGGTGGGCTTGACTCGAACCAGTCATTTCCCGGGTAAATTCGCCTAGAAATTCGCCTAGCGACAGTAAAGATCATGTGCCTTTGCCTGATCGTCATATGTCCAGATCATCCTTCATTGAAGAAGGTATTTTGGTTGAAATGTGCACTATCTGGTGCATTGTGATGCAGATAGGGGGAGACCAATGGGTTTATTTGGCCAAAGTCTGAGGAAAGCAGGTCCGCTATGTTCGCGTCTGGTGCAAACCCAAGATTCTGCATGAACTGTGGCTGGTTCTCGAGACGCTCTGCGCCATCTAGGGAAGCCAGTTCGTCGAAGAAATTTTCGATATCCCTAGAGTTCGCTGAGCCGCGATGCTCCAGTGGTGGTGGGTTATGAAGATTGGTGAATTGTGATGTACTGTACTCTTGCATAGATTTATTCCCAGCGAAATCGAGAGACTGTGAGGGGGTAGCCGTCGCGTTCATGTCTGGAAGGATTTCATCAAGAAGATTGGAATTTGTACGCGGTCGGATAGGATCTACGTTGGAGAGCGGAAGCATGGTCGTGTTAAATGGGATTTGTATGGATTCCGGTGTAGGCATCTGAACATTGGCGGATCCGAATGAGGGAGCACCCAAAGACGGCTCCGTTGTGTTTGATCGACCTTGCCTGGATGAAGTGGGATCACCATGAGCCAGAGTCATTCCATCCCCTCCGGAAAGGGACCATGTATGCATGTGCTCGGTCCGTAATGATTGCAGACGGTTTCCACATCTTTGATCAATGTTTGCTATGTGTTCACTTTGACCAATGATATCAAAAAGACACTGAAGTACAGGGGGCATAGCTACGAGTCCCAATGTATCACGGAAAAGTTCGAGCGTATCTATCGTACGTTGCATCCATGTTTGTGACGAAAAGAGGAGTAGGGCGGAGCTTGTATAGAAGATCTGAAGTATCATCGCAGGTGGCGTCGGTGGAACGGGGATCTGTTCTGAGCGAATGTGATCGAACATCGGCTGCAGGGCTGCTTTCCACAGCTCCATTCTCCCCAGTGCTTCTTGCAAGCTGGTTTGCTGACCATTGGAGGCCACGGCGGACCCTGCTATACCAATCAATTCTACTAGGTGATTGAAAGAACTGAGGCTTAGAGCAGGAGTGCGCGAGGGTTGTCGCGAAGTATATCCCAGGCAACCCGACCACGGTTGCCACTCTTCCAGACCATCAGGAATGATTTTCCCAACACGCTCTATGTCTGCGATGCGTAAATAAGGCGATCGTTTGAGTTGCATAGAGATTAGATTGTCGAGCAAGAAACATCCAGCAAAGACGTGTCTTATTCGTGGATCAAGGGCCGATTCTCTTTGCAGAAGTAACATGAGAATACGCGCAGCATATCCAACAAGTAGCCAAGCAGACTCTGGGGCGGCCTGGCTAAGATTTACCATGGATAATAGTAGAAGAGCCTTTGCATGCCCGAGCTGGAAAACTCCAAGTTCTCGGGGAATCAAGGATCGAGCGGTATGATAAAGTTTTTCGGGTATGATGTCCTCTGGAAGTTCAGATTGCGAATCCTTCATAGTGGTACGATCTTGAATAGATGCAAGCGCCAGTATACTCCAAAGCTCAGCATGGTCACCAGAGTCTGGCATATCCGGAGCAAGATCTAGTCCACTTTCCGGATACGAGTATGTAAGCTTCAGTATATCGTGCTTCTCAGATATCGGAAACCAGGAGTGGGTGTAGCTGAAATAGATATCGAATAATCGCCAACGATTCACGGGCATGACCGTTGCCTAAAACAAAACAATGTTAGTGGGAATTGTTGAAAGTCGTCGAGTGCTTGTAGTGGGATTGACAACACAAGGGCCTATGGAGGGATATATCTTACTTGTGGTATAGTGGACTGAGATATTGCATTCATAACCCTGTGAGCCACCGGCGACTGTTGCGGAAGGACGATTGAGTCGAACTGGATGGTTGTAGATTCTCCGGTCTGGTCGATATCATCGTTTTCTGATTCTTGATCATCGCTTTCGGGTGAACGACCATCATCCATGGTGCCGATATCCCCTCCCGACAGAAGCTTGTCTACATCTTTGCAGAATCGACTCTTTCTCCAAGTCCGATGTAGCTTATTAGACTCCTTGGTCTCTCTGCCCAGTAGTACCGATTGCGCGCCTTCTTGTGCGAGTTTTTGATTAAGTAAGGCTTCCGCATCGGAATTATTGAAGAGCCATGTTAGAGCGAGTTCCAGTGTTCGGATATATCCAGGCTGGATGCCTCGCTTCTTCGGATTCGTCGTATACGTGCAAGACCTGTTAGATGCAGAACAAGTGGAGCATATCGGCTGTCCATCACATTTCTCTCTAGCTGTGCGGCATTGATCGCAGGCTCTTGATACTCGAGTTCGCTTGCCGGAAGTAGCATTCGGAGTGGAAGAAGACTCTGTCCGTCGTTTGGTAGTCTGGGGCTGCCTCGGCATAGTGTGAAATTCTGATTTCTGACAAAGTGACCCGTTTTACTCCTCTCTCTGAGATGGTTGTGAAGCTGAACAGGTCGAAAGCCTTTGCGATCCTCGGAGAGGTAGTCGGAAGAGAATACTCTACCACTTCATGCCGACGCAGGGCGAGCTGGAAATGGCCAATATCAGATTCCTCCGTCAATGATGTTGAGCGTATAAAAAATTATCTTAAGAGATGGAATGGAGGGCAGAAGGTCCGGTATACTTGACTGCTCCGACGAAATGCAGACTTAGATGCCGAGCTACTTCAGTTGAATGCTCCAAAACGGCCAGTTCCGCAAGAAAGGTGTCTTCCCCGGAACGCCACCACCCCGCTCTTTAGGTTGTCTGATTGGATTTCCAATGCTTCATTGAAATCCTTAAATCATAATGGTGGAGCAAGTTGACATTAGTTAGACTTGCTCTCCCTAGGACTATTGATACGTCAATAACACTTGTCAATGCTACCAAATCTCTCTGAAAACGTACGGAGTAGATGATGAAACAGAATGTGACCTCAAAGCAAAAGCAATGAATCAATCGTTATTTTGGTAATATGATGAAGCTGAGAGGTGCTTACAGTGTAGTGGACAGGCGTGGAGATTCTTGGCATCGAAATCTGGGGAAAAACGTGACCGAACTCGGCGTTGCTCGGCTTCCCCGGATATGACATTTTCCCTACCAATCACACCTCATTGCAGGTCATCTCCTTCATCCCGCAGCCACTATCCCACCAAGTTACTCGAAGATGCTACTCGGACATGTTAATCCATCTTGGCGACGACATTCCTCTTCAATTCTACCAGATTAAGCTCTACTACGACATATCGCATCTCTGATTGCCAAACCCGCACATGCTTTCCAGCAGTGGCCGACGCTAGCCATAGGCGTCCTCGCATGCAAACCACCTGCTCTGCGATATTTGTGTCTCCATACCCTGTGTTCTGCTGAGCTGTACGACGATGGCTACAGCGACGGCAGGGACGAAAAGGTCCTTCTCGGCAATGAGAGAAGGTGGTACGGGGGGGACGATGTGGTCTGCCGTTCAGCCAGTTCCAAATTCTCGCGAAGGAGGAGCGTCTCCTTTCGGGGGAAAGTCTCAAAGGCAACGAATAGGTAAAGAACAAGCCCTCCCATATGCTTCAATCGCTTCCGCACGAAGGCGCTGACAATCATCGAAGACACCGTTAATTCGAGCAATCGGTCGACACCACGCACGACGCCAACGTCAACACCTACACCCTCTGATCACCACCGGGCTTTGGAGTTAAACAAATCGATTGTCCTGATTGGAATTCGTGGTTCTGGGAAATCGACATTAGCTATTATGGCATCTGCTGCATCGAATCGTCGCGTTGTAGACATCGAAAGTCTCTTCCATGAAGCCACAGGATTCTCTACTGCGAAATATAGGAAGCAGTTCGGCGCCTCCAATCACAACCTTAGACAGGAGGAGATATTGAGAAATGCGCTACAGGTTCACGACACTGGTGCCATCATAGTATGCAATGGAAGCTCTCTGGAACGAAGTGGGCAAGCACTTCTTCAGGAATTTTCCAAGACGCACCCGATTATACATATTGTTCGGGACCTGGAGAGTGTCCATCAGTATCTTGAAGTTTTGGAAATGTCCAAATTACAAGACCTCGTCGCCTTCAGTGGACCAATATTCAGGCGTTGCTCCAACTACGAATTCTACAATATGACAGAAACGAAAGTCGCATTCTCTGTCGCCCCCGCCAATCAATCATCTGTACCTGCATTTCTCACGCTAAAGCGTGCTGAAAGGACCTTTCTCAAATTCCTCTCTTTGGTCACCGCTGAAGAGCACATAAAACAAGGCCAATTGAATCCCATGGCACCGTTTGAGCCAGGGTTTCCGCTTTCTGAAGTGGCTACGGAGTTGCGGAAGTATACATGTGCAGTACAGACACCGCTTTCTGTACTGCTATCAGAATCTGTGGATATTGAAGAACTTGAATTTGGTTCTGATGCGTTCGAGATTGTGATTGATCCAGTCGAACTAGATTCTCAATCACCAAGACTTTCGCTACAACGAGCGGAAGATATAAGTCGATCCGTATCCCGTGTCCGTCGAAGCACAGTGGTACCTATCATCTATCATGTCAGGCCTGTTTCGTGGCAAACGTCGACGAGGGAGTCTTATCTCGAGCATGTTCGCCATGGGCTTCGATTGGCTGCAGACTTTGCTACCATTGACCTATCACTTGACGAGGAATCCATCATAAACATAATCAAATTGAGAGGACCAACTAAAATCATTGGGCATCTACACGCTGCATTACCTTGGCACAACAGCTTCTGGACGGAAAAGTACGAGAATGCGATGCGCTTAGGTTGTACTGCTGTCCGCTTTACTCGACCGGCAAACTTTATGGATGACAATGCCGCCATCCAGAGCTTCAGAAACAAAATCGGCGAGCTGCCCAGGACCATACCATTGATATGCTTCAACACAGGCCGAGCCGGCCGCCGCTCGGCATGTTTCAATCAAGTACTCACAAGTGTCATCCCAGAGAGCCTGCGGGACAGCCCTGGGTTCGCCGACCTGGTGAAGCGCGATCCGGAGACATCTTGGCTCACAGCACGCGAAGCAACGCATGCATTATACGCCTCATTCACTTATGATCCAATGAAGGTACACATCCTAGGTGCCAGTAGCGGGTACAGCTTGTCGCCTGCAATGCATAATGCCGCCTACAAAGCATGTGGAATGCCACATAACTTCCGCGCGCTTGAAACAACTACCCTCAATTCTCTCCAAGAGCTCGTCTTAGATCCGCACTTCGCTGGTGCGGCGATCAGTTTGCCCTTCAAGATTGAAGTCATATCACTTACACACTCAATAAGTCGGCATGCCCGGGCGATTGGTGCAGTAAATACTCTTATACCTGTACGCCATCTCAATGAGGATAGCAGTATACCAGAGGATCTGGATCTCTTTCAAGAGCGTAATCAAGCTGGGCCCATCCAAGCTTTGTATGGCGAGAATACCGACTGGATTGGCATCCGAGCTTGTATAAGACGTGGTTTATCACCTGCGAATGCCGTACGTCCGAGTACATGTGGTCTGCTCATCGGAGCCGGAGGCATGGCACGAGCAGCGACCTATGCTATGTTGCAACTCGGGGTGAAGAACATAGTGATTTACAATCGGACATACTCGAATGCTGAGAAACTTGTTGCCCACTTCAGCCGTCTTACCTCGTCAAATTCCAGCACAAAGTTGTTTCCAAAAGCGTCCGGTCAAGGCACACAGCCAACCTTCCGTATTTTGGAATCCCGAGATTCGCCATGGCCGTCTGATCTTCGCAACCCGACCATAATCTTGTCATGCATTCCTACTCATCCTGTTGGCGATAGTCCTGCTCCGGAGTTCACTTTGCCCCCAGCTTGGATGCAAAGTAGTAGTGGAGGAGTGGTGCTTGAGTTGGCCTACCGAACTTTGAACACACCACTAATGAAGCAAGTGCGGGCCCGAAGTTCGCAGTCATGGATCTGCCTGGATGGGCTTGATCTTCTTCCTGAGCAAGGTTTTGCACAATTTGAGTTATTCACTGGCAAACGTGCGCCACGAAGAATCATGAGGGAAGAAGTGTTGCGGTCATGGAGAGACGAGCGAGGGCAATCTGATCCGGGTATGGTGCAGACAAGATTGGAAGCCATCGACGACCAAGAACCATAATGTAGATTCCTTTGCATACAATGACAACAAAAAATTAATAGTAAGCACTTTCGTCTGTGTTGCTTCCTTTATTTGAAATGTGTCTGGTGTTTCTACGAATGCAGTGCCACCTTAGCATTCAGGCAAGTATCATCCTGGTGCAGATCAATGGTCAGGGCGCACGTGCCATCCGATCTCAATTGCTATGACACGCGCGCGCAAGCAACAGAGCGCGTACACAACATTTTACGACTAGATATCACGGTATCTTCTATGCAACCAACGTCCGCCGCACGCGTTTTTTTATTATGCTCTCCTAAAATACCATTAAACTAGGCCCATGAGTGCGCGCCGGCCTCCCCAACCGATACCCCCGCCCTCAGCGAACATTGTTGATTCCGGGACAAAGTACAGGTACATCACCAAAGCTGGAGCCGATGACGACTTGGATGTCACCATGGATAAACAGGCACAAGACGACGACACGCAAAATTCCGGTTCAATTGTGTCCGGCCTCACATCTCTGGGAAGCGGCGACGACGACTTTGAGCGGCTCATGTTACAAAATGAGCGTGACCAAAGGCAGCTAAAAGATGCGCTGCGTGGCGACTTCAGACCATTTTCAAAAGCAAGATCACACCCTCATGTGGGCCTGACGTTGGACAATTTGGAGAGAAACAACGCACAACAAGATTCGCGTTCCGGCGCAGGCTACCTTGTCAAGAGGGAGAGCCCACAGAGTAGCAATGGTTCAGCACGAGCAGACCCTCCAATACACGCACCTAGGGAGTGGGGACGGAAAGGCAGAGTCAAACGGAATTGGCTGCGGGCTATAGCATCTGAGGACCAAACAAGGTCTCCAGAGGCCCCCAACCATTTCGCCGATGAGGAGACTCCCCGACAGTCGAGCTATGCGCCGGAAGATTTACCATTACCTTCGATAGAAGACAGCCCGCTTTCACACAAAGGTTCCTCTCGAAATACGCCGAACTCGACACGCCGAAAATCATTTGATACACAGGAGGATTCTGATCTCGATTCATCAATAGACTTCAACGAGGCATCGCTAATTGCTTCCACTCCATACGTCCCACGAAGTACAGTTTTAGATGATATTAGGCAGAGAGAAATGGAAACGCTGCGAGAGCAGGCGCTCACGACGAACCGCCTCGACCGAATCCGAGAGACCTCGCCTGAAGAAACCCGCCCGCGATCCTCGTCCAAACAATTCCCCGACCGATCGGAGAACTTACGGCCGGCACAAGCCTTGCGAGAGGGTACACCAGAAGCGAGGGTACGGATGAGAAGAAATTCATGGAAGACCATTGGAAAATCACCTGCAGTGATTGGTGAAGGTGGGCAACAGCCCACAATCTCCCCAATCACTGTTTACAATACAAACTCTGAAGGGATTGAGATAGTTGAAGCCCGCGCCCAAGTGAATGCGCGACCAAGCCCTCAACGTCCCGGCTCCAATAAAAGAGAAGATTCGCACGAACTGTTACGGCGACTTGCACGCGTCTCAAATACACCAAGCCCCGGCCGACCGAACGCTCAAAGACCCCAGACAGCACCCGCAAAGCAATCTGAGTCGCCCTCTCCCCTTACCCTACACTCTAAACACACCACCAATATATCACAACCGCACAAACATAGCCCAGAGTCCACTGCTGAGCCTATACCCGCTCATCAAAAGCGAGGTAGAGATACTCAGTCAGTGAATACAGAAGCGGGAGGTGGAGCTTCCCCGGTATCAATCAAAAGGCAGGAATCGGTGGACATCGAAGCCACACCTGTTCCAACGTCTTCGAAATTGAGTGCGACGACACCCAGAGTGACTGGTGCCTGGGTAGACACCCCAGCTCCTCGTACGATCCCGCGATCTGCTCGATCACAGTCTAATTCTCCTGTGAGACCACCAAAGCCTGAGGATCCAAGCAATTCTTCTCATGGAAAGCAAGGTCCTGAAATTGCACAGGCGGAATCTGAAGGTGTATACGAACTGGAAAGAACGCGACCAAGCATGCCGGGTTCTGCTCTTGAGGCTATCGTAGAAGAAGCCAGGGCGAACGGGAAGCGAGCACAGGATCAGGACAGCTTCGGAGATTCGACCATCAACTCATTGGAGGAATTAATCCGACCGGGATCGAGCGTAGACCAGGCTGGAGACATTGATGACGATACTTTACTAGGCCTCCAGCTTCCGACCGAGCCACCACGGAACGAGGCTGAGCGGCAGAGACAGCAAGAACTCACCCAGCTCCATCTAATGAATCAAAGATTACGCGCTGCGCGAACAAGTGTTCGGGATGCCAGCCGTGGAATGACGAGGGTCGAGCATCGCGTGGAACATATTGAAGAGAATGGTGAGAAGATTAGGGTTATATATCGTGACTGTCCCTGCGCTGGTCAAGGGCACCATGGTCCTTGGACTATTGCTTGGACGAATTTCAAGCACCTCTTCCGCGATCCACAAGTACGAAGGCGTGCTGGTCTTACCTGGCTTAGCATTATGCTTATCACACTATTCACGTGGTATCTGACGGAATGCATTGCATGGTATGTTGCCGCATGGCAGTCGCGACACTGCGAGGATAAGTTATACTGACATCGTCATAGTGAACAATATTGTCATAAGCTCTATGCCTCGTCAATGATAGGATATGGCGTCGATCCCAATGCCCCACGATTTCCTTTCGTGATTCCAACGCTTCTGTACCGATGGACCATCAAGCCGTGGTGGCCATTTGTCTGGTCTTACATTGGCCCCATAGTATTGGCCATCTACCAAACCATTATCGAGGACGAGGCTGTAAAGACTAGTGCAACAGCAACCGCACGTGGCTTTGCAACCACTATCCTCCAGCGTGCAAGTGCGACAGATGCCTTTGAGTCCGACTTCAGGATAAGCGACGACGAGATGATATAGGTATCTTTTGCTTAGGCAGCATTCGTTTCACCACCCCTATTATCTTTTTGCATATGGGCCGGAGTTTCAAGGGGAAAAGCTTGAGCGAGGTGTTCTGGGATTATTTGTTTACATATCCTTTTTGGCACCACTACAAACATTATTTGTACTTTGGTCAGGGTTTTGGGCATCAATTCGCGGCATACCAGGCGGCTTTGCATTATTGGCTAATTGCATGGCCGAGAGAGACACAGCATGGCAGAGCATTCATACTCGTAGCAATAAATTACTACATCGTATCCCCTCACTGCATTTCTATCTGCAGGCTTACAAGCAAGTACAAAACTTTGTCGATTGTCGATTTGATCTAGAACGTCGATGGATGGACAAAATGGAAGGTCTTTTGGGCTTAGCGGCTTGGCTACCGAGCAATGCTCGATTTCCCAATCCGTAGACGGGATAAAATAATGAATCAGAGTACCGTAGTCCCATAGGCCAGTGCGAGTAAAAGGGAATTGACTATGTTGTTCTTGTCTTGTTACCTCGTCCTCGAAATAGTAGGCATAAACATAGGAACCAGTTGACAGAGATTGCCTTATTCACGGCAAAAGTGTAAAAGCCTCGGTCCATTGCAGTGGCTGTTGTCAGCTTCTCCGCGCATACATGAAACGAAAAGAAAGAACGGTGACGATTACATATTCCACTTCAGGGCGATTTTCGCAAGGTGCATGCATAGCCCGCCATGCGGATCTCCGATTTGATTGCTCTCGCGAGTCTACGAGCACAAATGGCGTGCTGCATGGCACTCGAATATCCACCAGACGGGGCACAGCTCCAAGGCACGCCAATGAACCAGGACTCCCCGCAGATTGGTTCACCCCTCGCGATGTCGGCACGCACGATCCGTTCGACGAGTATTTGATGTGTGTATCGTGACTGTGGGCCGCGTAGGCATGCTGATGCTGGCTCGAGTGGAGGAGTTGATGGCGCGCTGGGCGTGTCTTGTTTGAGCAGATCGTCGACGTCTGCCAAGTTGTTCCAGGGCCATTTTACCCCACAGAAAGCCCCATGGACTGCATGTTTGGGTCCTTGATCCATCCCAACTCGGGTAGACCGGGATTCAGCTACCAACCTCACCTCACTCCATCATCAAAGAATTCGTCTGGTGTTTTGAACATTATCCAGACCCAATTCAGTGTTGCCAATGAAAAACACGGTCATGAATCTACGACAAAGAGAACAAAACTCGCCGAAGCCCAGCGATTTACTCACATAGCCCGGAGACTCCTGTGAGACAGGAGATGAGCTGATATATCCATACATCACCACTTCATATATCCGGACTGTGACGCAAAATCTTCGTTAGTTCCACCTGCAGTCCCGCAGCAGCGGGCCTAACCGTATGTGGGTCAGCATTATGAACGGATGCTCCTCTTAGCCAAGGGCCTGTCTTTCTTCATCGCCAGCATCGCTAGCACTTCACTGCCACTTCAGAGCTTGGCTATCAGTGATTGTACCCAGGTTAAGCGCAAGGATTGTATGATGAGCCATATGCCATGAGCCTTCGCCGATGGCTAGGCTGGCTCGTGCTTCACTCATTGGTGCATATCCGAAGGTTTGACTTGGACTTTGGATGTCGCCAGGGTGGCTAGCAGGCTTTGTCTTGGAGAAGATGGCGAAAGCTGGTTTTCAAGGAAGAATAGCATACTTAAGGTGGAATTCCCCTCTTTTGGAGCATCACCTGCTCAATTGGCCTCGTCCTTTGCCTGTCTTCCTCCATCGTGCACATTCTGATCAATTGACTCTCAAGGAACGTCCAATTGTAACACAATGCAGTTCAAGCACCTTTCTCTCCTCGCGCTTGCGAGCTATGTTGCCGCTCAGGAGAACAATCAAACTGTGCAGGATCTGAACGCAACATTGACTGGTCAGGAAAACCTCTCGAACTTGACTACTTTCCTTTCGGCCGATCCGCAATTGCTTGCGACTCTCTCGAACGCGACCAACATTACGATTCTTGCTCCTTCGAATGATGCTTTCAATAAGCTTGCAGAGTCGCCGGCATTCCAGGAGCTTGCCGGTGACCCTGCTGCCGTTGCTGCTCTACTCACCTACCATGTCTTGAACGGAACGATCCCTGCATCGGCAATCACAAACACTAGCACGTTCGTGCCGACTCTATTGACTGACGAAAAATTCACCAATGTCACCGGTGGACAAGTCGTGGAGGCTCTCGTAGTTGGAAACGAGACCGTCTTCTACTCTGGGCTTCTGCAGAATGCCACTGTCTCCCAAGCTGTAAGTTTGCGCACCGCAGCAAATACTCATTTCCAGTCAACTAATCACATGATTTGTAGGATGTTAACTTCACCGGTGGTGTCATCCACATCATTGACTCTGTCCTCACGCTTCCTTTGGATCTCCTTGACACTGCCAACGCCGCTAACTTGACTGCCGTGCGCGGTGCTATCAATGCCACCGATCTCATCGATGTTGTCAACTACACTCCCGATGTTACCATCTTTGCTCCTACCAACGAGGCTTTCCAGTCCATTGGCTCCGCTTTTGAGAATGCCACTGACATCCTCGGTTCGGTGCTTGCTTACCATCTCATCAACGGCACTGTTGGATACTCCAACACACTTGAGAACGGCACCTCCCTCCAGACCGCCAATGGCGCTAACCTGACCATCACAATCGATGGCAATGGCACTGTCTTCGTTAACTCCGCTCGCGTCGTCGTTCCCAATGTCTTGATCGCCAACGGTGTCGTCCACATCATTGACGAGTAAGTTTCCATTTGCCAAAATCTCCAATTGACTGTACTAATACACCCCCAGGGTCCTCAACCCCAACAACACCAACACCCCAGAACCCAGCGCCACCGAAGGTGTTCCCGCATTCTCTGGCACTCCCGTCAGCGAAGTCCCCTTCATCTCCGGCCAGCCCACTCCCACCACCCAGATCAACCCCACTGGTGAGGGACCCGGCCCTGCCTCCACCAACGCCGGTGAGACTTCTTCGTCAACTGGTGCTGCCATGCCCATGAAGACCGGTGCTGTTGGTGCGGCCGCCCTCTTCGGCGCCGTCGGTGCCGTCATGGCTGGCATGTAAGCATTTTGATGTGCTCGTACCCTAACAAAAGAGACAAAATGGCAAATTGAAGCCTTTTCTGGTTAAAAGGGAAGTGAGAACGACTAATGGGAATGAGTGATGTTGGGTTTCTTTTCCAATTGGATATTTGATGTTTTATTGTTTTACGATCGTTATGGGCTTTTTGTAGTATACCTTTCTCGTTGTAAATAAATCCCAATTTCGAACTATCTTCGACCTGATATAACCTGATCTGATATTCCTCTGTTTACTCACAATGAATCAATCACATGTGGAACCTCCCAGCCAACATATCTCTTCAATCCCTCCCAAAAAAAAATCCAAACCCTCAACTCCTGCGCCATAACAATCAAATAATCGCATCTGTCACATCGTCAATACAACCCCAATCCCAATCTCAAAGATCCCAAAACCTACCTCATCACTCTTAACCCTACATAATCACGCCAGCGTAAAAAGGGTCACTCATAGCAATCTGCCTCTCCGCAACATGCCTTGCCTCCCTTCTCCGCTCATTGGCGGCCCCCTCATCATGCCGAATGAGACACCGTGTGGACTCCGAGTACCGGCGTCGCGACAGCGCTTGGTGTCTTTGTTGCCGGCGGATTGTCGCGCCTCGGTATAGCACGAGGATGTTGGAGAAGACTTTGCGGACGGAGGCGCCGCGTTTTGGTGGCATTTGTTTGGTTGTGGGGTTTGTTTTCGTTTTTGGTTTTGGTTTCTTGTTGGGGGTTTTGGACGGTGGGGTATTGTGTTTGATTTTGTGTTCAGATTTGGAAGAGTCAGGATGGTTTGTTTACTTATGAAGGGAAATTCGCAGGAGACTTTAGAGAAGAGAAAGAAAGGTGTGTGTATTATGTGCATGTGTGACTGTGTGACTGTGCGCAAGAAAAGCAAGGTTGAAACCATGATTTAGTGATAACCATGGCTGCAACGTGGAGAGCTGCCATTGTCGATTCTCTATCGTCAGCTATGAATAGGGCTGGCTTGGTTAGCTGAGCACGGCGGCCATGCCGGCCAATTATTCATTTGTTGCGTTCTTAGGCGCTCATGGCGGGGAGAGTGAGACGATGTGAGAGGTTCAGCTCAGCTCTTGGCTGCTTCGCACGCCAGGAGATTTCTGGCCTGTCGTCGAGGTGGGTTCAGCCACGACTGCGACAAGAGCTGCTCGACTTTTTGGGTGGGGTTTGGGGTTAATATGGGGAGCGAATTGAGGCTTGGTTCGCGGTGTGGCTGTTAAAGCTGAATATACTTTGCTGTGTTGCTTACTAGAGATTCTACGAGCTGCGCAGCACGTCTTTGGTGTCTTTGGTGTCTTGGTGGTCGGAATGTCCGATGTAAAAAGAAGTCCAAGTTCATCCTGTATGTTATAAGGTTGAGTATTAAGACTTAACCCGCCATTTTTGATTAATTCGGTTCACTGCAATATCAATCTTTCCTTCCCGTTAATCAGTAATATAATCACAACATAACAACAAAATGAGTTTAGCTACATCATTACTGCTCAAGTCGCTATCCATATTGACGGCCTCAAGTCTAGGAGATTACTGCACGAATGTAAGAAATCAGACTTTTCTCTCTCTGTTTGGCTGTTGATACTGATTCATCATGGAAGGTGACAGCCGTCAATCCAGATATGCTCCCGCCTTCACCACAAGTTGTCTCGAATTACTCTTTACCAGAAAAAGAGAATGAACCAAGACATACAGAATACACGACACAAAACCAGCATGTATCAACTTAAGGGGTGTTCGTTACTTGGGGACTCCAGGCTTACAGGGCCGTAAAGGATGAAGAATTATGATCCGTAATCGAAACATGACATGGATGGATGTTGGTGACTACACAGTAGTTCAGGTCTTGCAATATGTGGGACGATGAATGAATAAACGTGGGAACTTTAACGTTTAGAGGATTTGTATGATGTACATGATAGCAGGAGTTATGGCGTGGTTCGATGATAAACATTTTTGCTATTAAGAACATATTAAAAAGCTAGATCAACCAAACATCTTAAAGACAAGTTTGGTACAAACTTGACAGTCGAAGTTATGTTCTTTTAATCCTTTACATTTGCTCTACGTTAATGTTGTGACCTTCTCCTCGCCCCGTGAGTAAGAAAGTATGGTACATTGGATACGTCCATGCTTGTTTAAATTGGCCATCACCGTCATGTCCATGCTCTTCAACGAGAAAGACAAGACCTCAATATGAAAAGGTAACCGGCTCCGATACATCAAGATATCCAGATATTATCCAAGTATTAATTTCAGATATAACCGATTTCAGAAATGATAGTTGGTTGTCTGTAGTATAGTCGCTTACAATTGTATATCGAAACTTGTTCCGCATCCGCAACTGCTCGTAGCTCCGGGGATCCCCGTGACCTTGAACTGACTACCGATCAACTCCATAGTATAATCCACGGTACTTCCATTCAGTAGCTCCAAACTAGATTCATCAATCACCACTTTTGCTCCTTTGTCCCCTTCGAATACGGTATCATCCTCCGCTGCTGGTGAAGTAGATAGATCTGTCAACGACATCAAGTACTGAAAGCCGTGACAGCCGCCAGATTCGACTGTTACCCTAAGCGCGGTATCGGGGTTCTGATCGCTGGCGGCGATTGCGGAGAGGCGGTTGACGGCGCGCGGAGAGATGGAGATTGACATTGGCGTTCCATCCTCCGCTGTCCTGGGATTGAGAATGGCGCGCGTTGGGGCGTTATACGGTACTGAGGAAGACGAAGACTGTTCGGGAGCGGCGGCTGCCACAGCGTAGTTCCGGTGCCATGTCTGCGGATACGGGGTTCGAGGAAGTGTCTTAGGAGATGTGCGGGTTGCTGAAGGTGCAAGAAAGTCCAGGTAAAGCGTTTGCGAAGGAGTGGCGGCGGTCATGCGATAGGCTCGCGATGAGCTGCGCAGTACGCGGGAGGATAGAGTAGTCGGTCTCAACGTAGTTCTGAGACATGAGGTGCACAGTGCAGTTGTAGGTGGCATTTTGTTGATGGGGTATAGGGTTCGATCGGGAGCCTCTCTCCAATAATAGAGGGATGATAGTTGGTGATGAGGAAGCTGGAACTTTTTTCTTTGGTGGTGGTGAGGTCAGAGCGACTAGGGTGGTTGGCGGTGTCAATGGTATGTGGTTCGGAGTAAGTTACGGAGTAAGAGACTAGAGAACAGACAGAGACAAATGCCAATACATTTAGGGCGGTTAGCGGCGGCAGAAGGTGTCAATTACATAAGGTGGATGCTTCCGCGTTCTAGCCCCGCCAATTGCCCCTCAAAACCAACCAAACAATCCGGGGGCATCTTAAACAAGCTCAACCCACACTCGTTTCGCTGCGTTATCTCTTTCTCTCAACCTTTCCTTCTCTTCCAATTCCAACAATTATAGCTATGCCGCAAGCACAGGATCCATTCGCCGACTTCTCAGACAAGCAATTGTTCTCTGAGGACTTTGCTCGCAAGGAAGATGCGAACGATCCTTTGAGCAAGCTCCGTAATGAGTTTATCATCCCAACAAAGGGCGATTTGAAGCATCCGGGCTATGGACCAGCACCCACCTCTGGTAGTGCTGACCGGAACGATACGGCACAATCTGATGATGCTGAAGAGGCAATTTATTTCTGTGGAAATTCATTAGGACTGCAGCCCAAGCGAACCCGCGAGTACATCCACAAGTATCTCGACACATGGTCGTCCAAGGGTGTTTTCGGCCACTTCAAGGAGCTTGAAAATGGTCACCCTCCATGGCTTAATATGGATGATGCTATGAAAGACCAGACTTCGAAACTTGTCGGTGCACTGCCCGAAGAAGTTGTAGTCATGGAGACCTTGACTGCGAACCTGCACTTCCTCATGGCAAGTTTCTACAAGCCGACCGCAACGCGCTACAAGATCATCATTGAGGGTAAAGCTTTCCCAAGTGATCATGTAAGTACTACGAGCAAATTTTCCTCACTTGTGTTACACCTGCTTACGGAAGTGTAGTACGCAGCGCTTTCTCAGCTTGCCCACCACAATCTACCGCCTGATGCTCTCGTGACCATCACTCCCCCAAATCCCGATTCACCCTACCTGTCCGATGAGCACATTCTTTCTGTCATATCTCAGCATGCGGCCAGTACGGCTCTCGTCTTGTTACCCGGTATACAGTTCTACTCTGGCCAATACTTTGACATCAAGCTCATAACACACCACTGCCACCTGAATGACATCACGATAGGATGGGATCTAGCTCATGCCGTTGGCAATGTCCCAGTCAAGTTACACGAATGGAATGTCGATTTCGCTGCTTGGTGTAACTACAAATACATGAACGGAGGACCCGGCGTTATTGGTGGATTATTCGTTCATGAACGCCACGGTAAAGTCGAATCTTCAAAAGCAGCCAACGGAGACGACCAACTGAATTACCGACCTCGATTGAGCGGATGGTGGGGCGGCGATAAGGGCAGCAGGTTCCGCATGGAGAACCAATTTGTGCCAATACCTGGCGCCAGTGGCTTCCAAGTCAGCAATCCGAGTGCATTAGATCTGACGGCCGTCAAGGCCAGTCTTGATATCTTCGCCTTGACAGACATCGATTCACTCCGCGCGAGGAGTCTCCGTCTCACGCGCTATCTCGAACGACTCCTCCTGTCCTGGCCCGCGGACACTAGACCTTATCGCCTGCTCACTCCATCAAACCCTGACGAACGAGGTGCCCAGATTAGCGTGCTCCTCAACCCAGGACTACTAGACTCTGTTCAAGCCAACATCGAATCTAATGGTGTCGTGGTGGACGAGCGAAAGCCCGACGTTCTCCGCGTCGCCCCCGCTCCTCTGTACAACTCCTTCTGGGACATCTATCGCTTCTACAAAATATTCAAAAGTGCTTGCGAGCAGGCTTTGGCCTCATCTAAAAAGAGCTGAGAGACGTACAGGGGGTAAAATAATGTTCACGCAATGTCGTACATGACCGCTCCACCTTTGCATACAGTTTAGATGAGTGGATGTCGCCATATATTGTTGCATTTTCCAGATTTCTCTTCTTATATAGCCGCTGCTTTTTCGCCCTTCCCCGCCTTCTACATTCTCCTGTTCAACTTTCCATCCCAAATATACGTCGGGAACCACCCCCTTTATACCCCGATAGCCTCAGTACAAAACAGATAACCTCCACATGATTAATACATAATATTCACTTGCTCAAAGATTATTCGGAATGCTTTTTGTTCTTGAATACGTTCCATGATACCATTAATGCACTATTCTTCGAAAGTACCGACGGAACAGAAAGAAATCTCCAATGCCAACTCGTGGATGAATCATTTACAGTAGACCAACCCAATATGCCACCCGCCGCCACCGAATACCCAAAAATTCTAACTCCCGCTGGAAACGAAAAAGGAAATCATGAACAACCGCCACTCGCCTACGCCTGCTGTTGCTGCTGTTGCAGGGCGAAACTGAAAATACTATCCATCTGCACCCACTGCCTTCCATTCTTATCCAACCACCTTCCAACGCAATCCTTGACCGTGTTAAAACGCTCGCGGTTCAACTGCGCGAGCACCTTCCTCTTCTCCGCCTTCTCGCTTTCGAGCTTGACGAGGTCGGGGTCCTTGTTCGAGCGATCGACGTCGAAGAGGCTCTGGAGGTATAGGAGCTGGTTCCAAACGTCCTTCTCCCTAACTTCGAAGTTCATGCGCCCGAGACATCCTGTTGCGAGGCCTTTGGGACCGAGGCACCGGTGGCCGTAGACGGAGATGCTGCGTGTGCGGTTCATGCATTGCGGTTCGTCGCAGCAGAGCCAGCCGGAGTAGTAGCGGGCGAGGTACTGTCTTATCGATGACTCGACTTGTGCGACGACGCTGAGGGTTTGGAGGATCTGGCCGCAGGCGCTGTTGGGGCACTGGACGCCGTCGTGGGAAACGGTGTCTACGGTCTTCGTTGAGCCAAGGGGATTTGAAAGGCCAGTGAATGGGAAGACGGTTGCGCAGGCGCGGCATCTGAGATGGAGAGGCGTGCAAGTCTGGAAACGAACGGAGTCTGGGATCTGGCTCTCGAGGGGGTGGATCTCGGTGTCTTGGGCAGCTCCAGAGCTTGAAAGGGTGGAAACACGATACTTGGATGTGTCAAGACCGAGACATGCCGCAAGCATTGTGATGTTTGTGCCTGAGATTGGCGCGCAGAGACGCTCAACTGGAGGCAAGATTTGCTTGTGCAAGTAGTAGTCGATGTCGGGCTTGAGCTCTGATCCAGGCTTCAGTAACTCGTCAACAGGGAATGCGTTCTTTGCTGCATTCTCTGCAGACCCAGAAGAGTCGCCCGTAATAACGAAGGACATGACATCCTTGGCCTTGACATGCTTTCCCTTCGCCATCAACTTCAATGCTACTTGGACCGACGGCATTGAGTTTCCATTGGGATAATCCTTGGGATTCTTGCCGAGCTGGGTGAAGATCGTGTACTTGCGCGTCGGAATGGCGTACTCACGCATCTTCTGCGAAAGTTCCCGGAGATGATCATGGATCTTCTCAACAACAACCTCTGGATCCTCTCCGGAAAGGAGGAAATTGAGTAGTTCTGTCGATGTTTCCTTGGAAAGCGCACAATATTCTCTTCGTCGCATGTCGAGACCCTTGACCTCGAGCTTCTCGATGTACTTTCCGTCAACTGGGACCATATTGATAGCAGCATACTTCTTCTTTGCGTGTAACAGAATGCGTCGGAAGACGTTGTCAATATCGATCTCGAGGAGCCTGTAGCTGTTGTTGACTTCACGTTTGAACTCCTCGCCAAGCTTAAGAGCGTCTTTGATGTTATCGACATTGGTGTTGATCATGACTGAGTCAGTGTCACCATAAATGACACGAAGCATCTTCTCTTCGGCCATGTCCTTGGTTCGACGAAGAATTTCTCGGCCTTTGTAGGTGGTGAGCATGGCAAGCGGTCGAGCATAGAAACGCGACTTGGTATATCCAAGACAACCATACATAGAGTTGGCAGTCAGTTTGAGGGCAAGCTGTTTGATGTCCCATGTTGTTATTTGGTCGGCCGTTGCTTTCTTGTCCTTCATGAGCTTCTTGACCTCTCGTCGTCGGGAAACGAGAGTTGCAATCAATCGAGGAAGGATACCTTGATCTTCCTTCTCATCTGGTACTTCGGGTACCTTCTCATCATCTTCAGACTGTGGTGATGTCAGTATCGTGTTACAAATGACTGTCAATAGTACGTACAATATCAGACCTCTCTACGGTCGTGAAACAAATGTTGAACTCCTGAATGATACTGGGATACAAACTGTTGAAGTCCATGACCAAGATGAACTTGTCATACAATCCCTTCTCTGGTTCGAAAACCAGACCACCTTTGTACTTGTCTTTCTTCTTTGCATCAGCGCCTTCTTCGCCTTCAGCAACATCATCATTCTTGGCTTTGGTCTTGCCCCAGGTCTTGTCGGGGCAGATGTACTTGTTCTTGTGGAATTCGTGAAGCAAAATGTACTCATTTCGTTCGGCACGAGTTCCACTTAAGGTGCGGGCCCAAGAGTTACCAGCAAGGTTAGTGAGAACCTTAGTCAAGGGAAGCATCTGAACCTTGATCGAGATAGCAGCTATGAAGAAGGCATCGGCTTGGCAGTGCTTCACGTAGTTCATCAAACCGTCCTTAGTTGATGCCCAAGTCTTTAACGCAGCTTCGTTGTCGAGTTCTTGTCGGGGCTTATTAAGTACCAGCTGGCACATTTCCTCAAGACTCCACGACTGACATTTCGTCATGAGCGACTTCCCCAAGTCGTTGGCCAAGTCACAGAGCAGACGTCCCGAGGCCAGCTGGCGTTCGACAAAGAAGCTTCCTCCACCCTTGCCAATGTTCTTTGGCCATTCACTTCTTCGTAATCGGCCAATGCGATGCCAGCCCGGAGTCTTTCGCTCACGCATACGGTTCAACAAAACGCTATAGTCGATATCGTCAAGACGATGGCCTACAAGAACGTCTGGATCATGTCTCTGGAACATGGCCATCAAGACACTCAAAAGCTCAGCCTCACTCTTTCGTAGCAGTATGCTGGCCTTCTGCTTCTCGGCGTCCAGTTTGAAGCCTGTCGGGAATGCATCACCATTTGGACGCATGATTGTGAAGCTTTTGCAGGGCAATTTCTCGGCAGGTGTAGTGTCTGTCAATGAGAAATTTTCGTAGACCATGGCACTAGCCATCAATATCTCTTGCTTGTTCTCCTTGGCATTGTATGTTGTGCGGAGCGACAAACTCATAAGGGTAAGGGGAGGCGCTTCTAGATTATCGGTGTTGTCGAGAACAGACATCAAGTTAGGCTTCTTGACCGAAACCTCAAGCTTGCACCAGGAGGCGTTGTGAATCGAACCACAGTCTGCGGCATCGATCTTGAGCCAGCAGGGCCCCATGATATTCTTCCATAGGACAAACTGTTCAAACAACGACGTGTTTGTGCCGAAGACATGCGAGAAGGTTTCACCGGTGAGATCCATCGCAAGAGGCGGGTTATCGTACCCATAAAGCAGTTTCAAGTACTCTGCCTCCCGGGGTATATCCGGAAGTTCGAAGGCGTACTTCCTGGAGCTTACTTTAACCTTGTGCATGGTGACGCGGTGCTTCGCCATTATGGCATCCACTTCATCAGACAAATCGCCCATATCCACCTCCTCGTCGGTAGTTCGTCCGTGCTTCACGCGGTGTTCCCGAGGAAGGAAGTACAGTTTGCGAAGGATGTTGTCGACTTTGACAAAAGTACTAGCATAAGCACCTGTCTGCTTGTCCTTAACCTTTCCGAACAAACATAAACTCCCGTTGATCTCGGTATAGTCGGTCCAGAAAAAGCGCAGACTGCCATCTTCTTCCAATGCTGCCTCAGGCTTGAGCTTGCCAACACCTGTAGTCGCTGGGGCGGGGCTACTGGTGACATTAAGTTTGCTCGTTACGTCGTTCCATGAAGATGCATCAATGGCTGATGCTACCGCGGGTCCAGCTGGTGACGAAGTAGCCGGAGTCGGGTAGTCCTGCTTCTTGATCTTAGGGACTGGACGTCTTCCAGCCATGTTCACGCTGGTAAGCTTAATCCCAGCCTGTCCGATTGGCTGAGCAACCTCCATGAGATCCTCTTCTTCCTCCTCTTCCTTGATTGTCGGTTGCGCTTTTCTCTCTACAGCTTTTGCGACTGGTGATGATGGCAGGGGATCGCTCATAGGCACATCATCGTCAGCTGTGGGGAGAAAGCCATCGTCATCTGCAAATCTGTCGTCTGCTGGTGGGGTATCGGGCATGTACGAATCCGAGTCAATTTGCTGTTTCTTCGTGGAGGCGGGACGATTCTCTGAAACGGGTGGAGATAGAACGCGTGTCTTCCTTCTTGTCTCCGTCTTTATCGGTCGAGGGGCGGGGCGGCGTGGGAGATTGGTGTCGACTTCACCGAGCAGATCGGCCATGAAGGCATCGTCTTCTGCAGTGACAACAGGCTATAGCTCTTGTCAATACACATAACCAATATTGCTGTAGATGCTTCCTACCTTTGGCTTGGGGGCCTTCACTGCGGCTTTGCTGTTGAAATACTTGCTAATGCCGTTGTTGATCTTTTCCTGCTTCTCCTTGTCCTCTTCGCGTTTCCGTTTTGCTTCTACACGTTAGATACATGTCTTTGAACCGTATTCAGGCATACATACAGGTTTTTCCTTTGGTAGTCCGCTCATCTTCCTCGCTTTCCGACTCTGCGTACCGGTAGCCGGAGTGTTCGCCATCCCACTCTTCTCTACCGTCGTCGGCATAGCCTTCACCGTTGTCGTCTACAATGAAGTCGTCCTGATCCAATCGATTTCTCACGACCTTTTTGTAACCCTCTTCGTCAACTTCGTCATACAGTTGCTCCTCTTCAGCGACCTCATATGTGGAAAGGCGCGTCTTGCCTGCAGCGCGCAAAGCTCGAAGCTCTGCCAATTTGGCTCGAGCAGCCATGGTATATGACAAATGTGAATGAATTACAAGAGGGTATAATTGTTAATAAACAAAATCGAATCTGCACCGAGGGGTATCACGATTAGGTTGAGGACGACGGTGAATGGGGGAAAGATTCAACATCAGGAGGACGGGGCACAAATAGCGTGGACGCGTCTCACGCGTAAATGGGTTTCTTGGCGCGACACCACCTTTGGCCTCGCGCTTTTGATGCTCCGTGCACAATTTACACTTTACGACTTGCGGGGGCGTGTCATTAATCCCCCACCCCGCCACGGCACGCCACTTTTGGATCCTGTAAAGCGAGATATGGCCTCCAAAGATCCTTTGGTCTGGATAGACTGTGAGGTGCGATCATTGAGCCCGTTCACGGCGTAACTGAACCCCTATAGATGACCGGCCTGGACTATGATAATGACACGATCATGTCGTTTGCTTGCTTTGTGACCGACGATCAGCTCAACCTATTAGATGAGCGTGGCTTCGAAGCCATCGTCCACCACAGTAAAGAGCAACTTGATCGCATGGGGGAGTGGTGTACCAAGCAGCATGGGAAAACTGGACTTACGCAAGCGTGCCTGGATTCTACAACAAGCCCCCAGGAAGCTGCCCAGGGTCTATTAGAGTATGTCCAGAAATACGTCCCAAAGGCTCGCACCGCCCTGCTAGCCGGCAACTCTGTACATGTAGACAAGGAATTCTTAATTAAGCCGCCATATAAAGAGGTCATCGATCACCTTCATTACCGGATCCTAGATGTCAGCAGCATTAAAGAAGCGGCAAGACGCTGGGCACCCCCGGACGTACTGAAGAAGGCTCCGAAGAAGAAAATGCTACATGAGGCACGGGAGGACATCCTAGAAAGCATCAAAGAAGCTCAATATTATCGCGATGCATTCTTCATCCAGGGTTGATGATAATGAACACGAAAGCCTGCCAAGACGATCCTTTGCATGTTTCAAAACTTTGGATGGAGCAGTAAGCATTGCAGTCTGGCCAATAAACATAACTCCCAATGCTGTAGGATGAAGTCAGACACCTTCAATCGCCTGCGAAGCCACCTCTCCGAATAGTAAATGTTTCATGCAGCGGACTTCGCCCACAGCGGCCAATCATCGCCCTACGTGTCAAATATATTCCCAATCAAACATGTAGCCGTTATAATCTACGTCTTTGCCATGCTGTTCTGCAGCTGGCCTTATCGCATTCGATTAGCGATGTCAGTGAATTTTGATCAGTCTTCAACTTGTCGAGGACGACCGTACAAACCTCCATACATGCGACTATGACGGAGCAAAATCCGACTATTCGTAGTGTCCAGGTGAACGACACCAGAATAATCCAGGGCGGAACATACGAAATCACCTTCGATACGACACCTAAATTCATAAATGTGAGTATTCTGGAAGGACCGTCGAAAACCTGCGAGTGGAAGCTTACAATTTTCAGTACATGCTTGTGTTACAGTCTTCACAAGAGCAGTATGAGATCCTCAAAAGTATATTCACACACATCTTCTCCATTCACCCTTAACTAAACGATACAGATGATGCCACAGGTGGCAAGTTTTTATGGCGGCTCTCCAATACCCTCACACAACTTCCCGACGGATGGTACCAGATCGGATTGGAGCATCGGGCTGTCGAAAATCGAGTCCTAAGTCAACCCTTCCAGTTATTAAAGACCGACACAGAACCCCCCGTTGCCAAATCGTTACCCTATTCCTCCACGTCGAACGAAATCATCCCCAGTATCCAGCCTCCCATACCTCCTCCAACACCGATACCACCAGTAACCTCGAAACAACAACTCCAAGACCCGAACTTCTCGAGCGACACCTCCTCCTTAGATTTCTTCCCTACAGTATCAACAAATTCAACAAATACCTCGACCAACACAACAGGCACAACAAGCACAACAGACCTCGCTCCCTCGACATCCACATCAACAACACCCACATCAATACCCGTTTCGACCGTGAAAGTCGGCATGGCCGCTGCAGAGAAAGTCGGACTGGCAGTTGGTATAGTCGTCGGCGTAGTACTCATAGCCCTGGGAGCTTTCGCGCTGGGGAGAAGAAGATACAACACCGCCGCTGTCCCCATCATGCACGAAAGACCCCGACAAAGCTGGTGGTACTGGCAGCAGATCGACGGCAACAGGATCGTGCCAGTTGGGACGCCTGCCAGCATAAGGACACCGCAACTGAGGCAGGAGATGATGGCAGCCGAGAGAGAGCGCTACGAATTGGAGTCGCCGGAAGACACGGTACCGGTCTTCTCGTTCTCTGTGCATGAGCTCCCCGCAGCTATTCCAGGCTACAGGTGGAGTGCGTCGACACAGGGATCGGATAGGGCGAAGTTTAAGGAGAGGCGATATCGATACGAACCGTGAGCGTTGCGGATTTCGGCAGGGGCCGGTTGATTCATGTTGTTACGATACCCAGCATCTTTTTTTGTTGTAATTACACATACCCACATTAGCATTTGAATGGGACTTGCATTTTTTTCAATACTTTTTTTTTGTTACGACTTTCAACGCGTTATGACTGTTCATGTTAGTAGAGATGCACATACATCACACTGACCAGTCACAGAATATCTGCATTTCAATCCAAGGCGCCGAAGTCGCTTTCATCATCCAAACGCCATCCAATCACTCTTTCATTCGTTGATTGAATCATATGAATCGTAAATTTCCCAAAGCTAGAAAACCTATTCTATTCTATTAAGCCTTCGACCAGCCCTCGACAGCAGCATCGATATCCTTCCTGTACCTCTGCTGGCTCTCGCACTGCTCGAGGAAGACCTTATACTTCGTCTCGAGCAACTTCTTCAAGTTCTTGTCCTTGGACGGCCTGATCATCTTACCAGCCTTGCTGTACCGGTCCATGATGTCCCATAGGGGCTCGCTCTTGCCGTCCTTGTCGGTGGACGCGGCCTTGGCACCCAACATGGCGGCTCCGTGGACGACGGCGGCGTGCACATAGCGGGGGATGAGGACAGGCATGTTGCATGCGGCGGCGACGAGCTGCATGAGGATGTCGTTTTGGCACTGGGAGCCGGACATGAAGATGGAGGAGATTACGTGGCCCGAGTTGTTCATCGCGGAGACGATCTGGTGGGTCTGGAGGGCGATGAACTCCATGGTGCCGTAGTAGTGAAGGGCCAGTCCGTCAAGACTCTTGTCGGAGCTTAAGCCAATGAGTGAGCCCTTCATGTTGGGGTCTGCGATCGGAGAGCGGTTGCCGAAGAGGTCGCCGTAGAAGAAAAAGTGGCGTCCGAGCCAGGAGATGTGAGGGGCGCCCTCCCTGTCTGCCATCTCGCGAAGATGTTCGTTGAGGTAGTCGTAGATGTTGGTGTTGAAGGTTTCGGCGACGGATGAGGCCTCATGGAATGCCGGGTGCGTTTCGATAACGTGCTTGAGGAGCTCTCCTGTTGCGCTTTGTCCTCCCTCGGCCATCCAGTAGTCGGGGAGGAGAACGTCCCTGTACGGTCCCCACACTCCATTCACGAACACAGGCTCGCGAGACATTGCAAGATGGCAAGTCGAGGTACCAGCGACAGCTGCGAGGCGGGTGAAGGCTTGAGAAACATCGTTCTTGGGTGCGTCCATATCCAAAGTATCCTCATCAAGCTTGACCTTTGCGCCAACGGTACCAATCCATCCAGCATACGCATCGATGACACCGCTACCAACAGCGATTCCGGGCTGGAGTCCCATGTCTGCGGCAGCACGCTCGCTCAATGTGCCGACGAGTTCACCGGCCGTAATGTAGTTTCCGTTCTGTACACTAATTAGTCTAAACATTCTGTTTAAGAATTCAGTCGGACTTAACCACTTTGTCAACTCCACCCATGCGCTTGAAGTTATCCTCGCAGAGGTCCTCGAGACCAATCTCAGTCAAGAAATCTTCTTGCCAACCCTTCACACTGCCATCAACGCCGACAGGGACAAAACCCTGCTTGCACACAACACTGCAGAAGCTGCGTGTTTCGCTGCCAGTAGCAATGTGTGTCAGAGCGTCAGTCAAGTCATAGAACTTGCATTTATCGAAAACCTCCTTGGGCATGTTGTTCTTCAGCCATAGGACTTTGGGGATTTCCATCTCGATTGACATCTTGCCTCCAACGTATCGGAGAAGGTTGTGGTTGGTAGCGTTGATCTTATTGGTCTCGTCAACAGGACGGTGGTCAAGCCAGAGAATGACATTACGGTCGTTGCCGTCCTTGTTGTCGAAGTTGGGGCCGGTGACGCAGACGGGCTCATCTGTATCTTGGGAAAACACAGCCAGGGAACAGGTCGCGTCAAAGCCGATGCCACGGATCGTGGACCTATCAATATTGTGTTGGTCTAGTGCTCGGCGGACGGAGGAGCAGATGCATCGCCAGATATCGCTTGTGGATTGTTCCTGTCCGGGATCAATTACTGCTTTTCGGACTTCGTTATCTCCAAGGTAGAAATTCACTGACATAGTAACCGGTTTGGGGCTGCCAAAGGCCAATGTTCTCCGAAGCCAATCCAACAATGTCTCCTTGGTCGTTCATGATACAGGCTCTGGCACTGCCTGTACCAACATCGATGCCGATGTAGTGGTCGACGTGAGGATGGAGCTCATTGCGGGGATCAGTGGAGAGCTGCCGCGAAGGCTGCCTGTATGGTTGTCTGAATGGAATAGAAGACATTTTCACGATTCACAAAAGGGTAAATAGAAAGGAGAATGAAACGACAGGAGAGGGATGACAAAAAAGTGTGTAGGTAGGGGTTAAAAAGGTTGCCCCGCGTGAGGACCCTGAAAAGCTCCGATAGTCGTCGTGTTGAGAAAGAGGAGCTTCCGCAGTAGAATGCGCAATGAGCTCATCCGAGCTCTCGAAGAATTGCTAGCACACGGTGGGGGTGGGGTCCTCTCTGCTTAGTGACCCCAATGGAGGAGCGAATTGAACGTTGACCATCGCAATTCTTGCCTTTTGCCCCTCGCTTTTGGCCTCTGCGCCGTCATGTTGTGGAGATCGTGAGGTTGTCGGCTCCACTTATTTGGGAAATCCGGAAGTTGGCGTCGCACATCTCACACCAGAAAAAGTATTTTGTGTTGCCGACCCTTGGGGTGAGCTCGGCTGCAGGGCTACCAGCGACCAGCACTCGTATGTCTTCGCTGTTCAAGTAGTGTACCATGATCCTTTGGCAGATGCAGATACCAATGATTATTGATCTCACTAGAAGTTCGCTGACCCGATTAGTCCTCCAACATCTGAGAAGTTGAGGCAGATCAATACTGATCAAAGACATAGTGTCAAAAGCAATATTGCCCCTCCATAGTTAGTGCTCCCCGAGTGATCCTACAAGTATCGATCATGATACGAATGCTATTGAGCACCTCGGGACACTCGTTCAGGGATTCAAATCTGTGCAATGGAGATGTTGTATGCAAACTTGGCCAGGCACATCACACCTAATGAAGATGTTTTGGACTAGGCGTAGAGTCTGAAGACCCTTTATCCGAGCTTATTAAAGAGACTGATCTCAAGTTGGTATCGTGTTAGAAGAAAGAATCCGTCTAGACCTTGGCCGATGAATGCACCGAAGCCACCACGTTAGATAGATCAGGTAATTAATCAATTATCTGTTAGTGCTCGCTGTAGTTACCGGGATAACGGGCTGGTGGACAGTAGATACTCCTACTTCCCAGCTGGGTTGATCGGCAGAATATTGTTCCTAGCCGAGGGGTTCACCGAAGCTCGAACCTCCGGTAGTATGGCAGCGCAAGTTGATCAAGCATCCAGGCCAAAGTTATAATCAACCATGCTTCTCTCCAAGCTTCTACTGCTGCCCTTTGCAGTCGCATCCACAGTCACTGTCTATGTCCAATCTGTTCCTGCCTCAGATAACTCAAAATCGCCCCTCCCATCCTCCACCCCTCTCGCCCAGATCGACTACGATGAAAGCACGTCAACAGGCACTCTCGCATCCTACACGGCTCCCGTAGGAGCATACACCCCGGATCATCTCCTGCGCGTGGGACTCTCCGATATTAGCTCAGGTTCTTGGAGTGGTGTGGTCACTTCAGCAGCGAGCTTTGCGGAGCAATACAAGAAGAAATTCGTCATTCACGTGGATGAGAAGGGAACGCCGTACCATGTTGGTTTTGGAACAAGCGCGAGAGGAAAGGGTAAAGAGATTGAGATCGAGATCGTCAAGCGAGCCGCTGGTCCTGCTCCAGCACTGAACAAGCCAATTGTATTGAATGCGGACGGTAAAATTGGTGAGAAGGAACCAGAGAAGACGTTTTTGCAAAAGTAAGTGACGCGCTATCACATCACAAATCCGGGTATTGACCAAGTCGTTTTTCAGGTACTGGTGGGTGGTTGGGCTTTTCGTCGTCGTTCAACTTGTCGCAGGTGGCGGAGAGGAGAAATAATCAGGAGGCTTTGAACGTACCCTCATCGAGCATCGTTTGTAACGGATTTCTACCACGGCTACCCAAGAATGGGCGTACCTAGTGCAGCTCGTCCAATCGGGTGGTCTCTTGTACATGTAAATGATACCAATCGAAGACATCACGTCAAAATTCTGAATACTGGACCCGAGCTTACACTGCCCGTATGCCTCATATTGCATGCTGTCTCCACTCTTGGATACGAATTGAATGATGCACAACTTCATTGGAATTTTGTCCATTCTGAAATTCTGGAATCTGGAATCTGGAATAGGGGTGCCCCACCCGGGTCTAAGCAAAAGCCCAACTTTTCCCCGGTCATGGAATTATGCAGGGTATCGTATCGTACAAGGAAGTATGGAACCACAGATGGAGCTGCTGTATGTCGCCTGTGTCATTTTGGATTTCCGCTCATGAATTGTTGATCTTTGGGATTGAGATAATATAACGAAAGTGAACGCGTCCATGTAGTGTGAAATTAGCCCGCCCCAGGTCTTTACTCAGGTCAAGGTGCCTAAAATCGTCTGCGCGGACCACGAGGAGGGTCTCTCCGGCCACCCTCATTGAACCCAAACCTACCATCTTGGAAACTTCCACCTCGTTCACCACCATTGGCGTCGATATCCAGGTTGTCCATTGTTGATTTTCCTTGGCGGGCTGGAGGGCGGCTGCGAGCAGCGCTCTGGTTTGGAACACTCTTCTCGTAGACGTAGAGATCTCTACCATCCGCCTTGTTCATGTTAGGAAACACTCGATCGTACAAGCAAGAATTCACACACCTTCTGGCCATTGAACGTCGCAATGACATTGTTGGCGCCGCTCCTGTCGCTGCAGACCAATTCCACCACCACCGTCGGGCTTGCCGTTATCAATCTGCAGCTGATAAGTTCCCCTCCAGTCTCTGTCCGTGCATGGTCGCGCATGACAGCCTCAATGTCTGCAGCAGTAGTCCCGGGCGCAAAGTTGCTAGCAATGACGGTCGTAGGTCCTCCGTTCGCAACACCCTTGATGCTGAAGCCAGGAGCCTCTGCATTCCTCTCCAAAGTTGACTGGAACTTGTTGAATGTTCGAGTGTTACGGTCCACCTGTGATGCAGAAGCTGTCCGCTTGACCTGTTCTCTCCTCGCTGGGGGTCCTTGTGGGTTGTTGATGTGGTGCATATCATGTTGCCATTTATCGTTGATGTTTGCCGCAGGTTTTGCCGATGATGACCTTGACTTGGACACACCACTGCTGCTGCTCATGCGACTCAGCAAGCTCGGTTTCTGTGAATTCTCGCGGGTATTGGGTCCGGAACCAGGGCCATTGGATTTGCGCCCTCGGCTCCCTAGGAATTCCTGCGCGATAGCTTGCTTCTTCTTCTGGTCGCGAGACTGCTTGACAAAGTCAGCAAAAGAGTTATTGGTCTCCGGCATCGTGAAATGGTAATGACGGAATTGTTTGAGGGAAAGGTTGTGCGAAGGGAGTGGGATCGAAAAGGGAGAATAGAGCGTCGGCGGGCGGGCGGGCTGAAGTTAGGAAGTTCGAGAAGCGCGGGCTGGGAGCGCGTTCTGAGTGTGTCCGTGCACCCTTTTCTCCCCAGTGGAGTCTTGGCGCGAAAACTTATTTGAACGCTCAACTTTGTTTCTGTTTCCTTCATCCTCAACCAACAACAAACAATCTCTGCAGGCTGCCAGCTCTGAGAAGCAATGCTCTCCTGAAAGTATCAGGAGAGTACTCCATTCATTATATTGATGTGTTTGGAAGATTCGGAGCTGGCAACTGCAGTCATGTGTCAATGGTAAGTTCATTTTCTCACTTTCTTCCACATTCAAAACTTTTTTTATGATGAACATTCGTGTCGCCCCTATCTTACATTTCATGGTGATCGACCACCCAAAGCCAAACGGGATAACTGAAATAATTGTCTTATCTATACTTTTATTGCACTGTACAGTCTTCGACCGTCGCTGACATCGCAAAGATTAGGAACAAATAACCCAATACCGAACGTAATGATGTATACAAACGACAGGTGGAAACCGAACCACAGTTTATGAACTAAGGTAAGCTCAACATCCTCTTCGTTCATCCACACAATTCCATTCATCTCTACGATGATGACAAAACTTTTTGTACTATCAAATTCCGACCTACTCCTGGGGAATAAAAATTGGTTCGATTACCTGAAACCGTAGAATCACAACAATCTTTTGCGTCAACTGTTCTACAACATGACCATGTTCGCTGACAATCGACGCCTTAGATTTATTCCATTCCCTTGATCCTTCTCCATGTCCAGAACATCCGACTTACTTTGCCTACGGCAACAGCATTGCCCAATCCCAGCGCTTTCTACGCGAACAAGGTACGACTATACACGTTTTTTTATTATTCTGCAGACATGGATTCCCTTTCCGTTTCTCTCCCAATACTCTGATGACGACCTTATATTCCATGCTAGCACTGACGGGGTTTACCCTGGATGCTGATCAAATATAAATGCTTTTCATCTTTCGGCTGATTTAGTATTCTTTACCATTCATTTGGCGTTTTGTCCCATTTGTTTCTTATTTTGACAGGATTTGCTGACATGTCAAAAAGTGACCATAGATAAATTTTCTTCCTTTCATGGAATTGGTACGATGATGGTAGTACACTTCGATCGTTGGGATCGTAGGAGAGGTTCTTCTATAACAACACATCTTCCATAGCTTGTAGTATACCCAATAATGATTTATTTGCCTCTTACCCAACCATCTTCCAAGAATTATCATCACCATCATCAGTCACTCCTGTGAAACATGCCTCACGTCTATAGAAGTCGCACCACTTATCATATATCCATCCATGTATTCACTGAGCAACTTCGTGCCGTATTGAATATGCATGTCATAGATGAGAATCATGGCTCATATTGTAATTGCCGTACCTTCCACCTGCATACGTCCAGCAAATCGCACATAACCTTTTTTTTTTCTTTTCGACCACATCCACTCATTCATTTCTTGTTCATTCAATCCCTCGTTATATTCACACCACCATCTGAGTCTCGCATGAAGGGGGAATTTGCAAAAAGAGGGGAGTAGGGGTATATTCGTATTTGGGAACCTTCTCTTCTTCAGTTACTGGATATATCGCGACCGGACTTTATAGTCATTAGGGAAGTAATTAGGGGAATAAAACGCCTGCTCGCTGTATCGCTGGATCGCTGGCTCGCTCATAGGAAAACCACCACAACGACACTTCTTTTGTCTCTCTCCTTCTCTCATTCGCCATTGGATATCGGGGATTGGACATCAAACACCTCCCACCACATTACCGCCCCCGCCACTGTCTCTCCTTTTCCCCTTCATTCCTCAGTTCGAATTCACGAACCCCAATCCCGCCTGCATACTCGCTGGCCCGCCGGCTTGGCTTAGCCCAGCCTACTGCAGCGCCATGCCCTCGCCGACCTCCTTGAGCTCGGCCCTGTCGCCGCCGTACTCCTTGGGGATGTTCTTGCCGAGCTCGACGGCGAGCTGGTCGCCGTAGCTGAGGACGGTGAACTTGCGGGCCGTCTCCTTGGAGATGACGAGCTTGACGGCGGAGAACACCCAGCCCATGATGGCGGGCACGTTGACGAAGAACTTGCGGGAGAGCGTCTCCGGGTAGTAGTCGCCGAGCGTCTTGATGACTTTGTTGGTTGCGGTTTTGACGACTGTGATTCGTGTGTGTTAGTTTATATGTATGAGGGAATGGGGGATATGTATGGGCCTTTTTTGTGAAGCTAGATGGGAACGTACCTGGATCCTGGCGGATGAAGGAGACCTGGAGGTAGTCGTGGATCTGCACGCCTTGGTAAGGATCGGGGCCCTGGCCGTAGTCTGGGATGGGCTTCGTGGCAGAGGCGAGGTTGAGCTTCTGGACGGAGCGCTCCATGAGGCCTACGCGCCACTTTAGGAACCTATTCTTGTTGTCAGTCTCACTTCGTCCCTTACTTTCGTTTTGGTGCCGCTCAATGTCCTTCGTCTGGAAAGAGAACTGGGATGCCGTACCTGTCCAGGTCACCAAAAGTCTTCTTATTATCCTTGACCGCGCCGTAGATGTTAAACGTAACGACATCCTTCTCGTTGGCGCTCTCGGGAACGCCCTCGGCCTCGATGATGTATCCGAGTCCCTCGAAGACGTCCTTCTCGTACGTGGCCTGCGCTGCGGCGACGGGGTCGAATTCCTTCCTCCACTTGAGCGTCTCGGAGAGCTGGTGCTTCGCCTTGGCGAGGTCGTTCTGGTTGGCGCGGAGGAACTTCTGCAGGATGAGCTTCGTGTGGAAGGCGTTGTCGGCGGAGAGCTGGATGCCCCAGATCTCGCTGTGGGCGGCCTCCTTCGTGAGCTCGGGGAGGTCGTTGAAGAAGGTGGTGAGGGGGTGCTCGGGGCCCGTCTCTGGCCATGTTGGTCCGGAGGTCGAGGGTGCGACGGCAGCGGGTGCGTCGTCAAGTTTCTTGTCCTCTAGCGCAACGGCGGTGGGCTCAGTCGTCTTCTCCTCTGCTACGGGAGCTGCTGGTGGTGCGGCGGGAGCTTCACCAGCCTCGACTTTCTTGTCGCCGTCATTGATGTTGAGCTCCTCGACCTTCTTCTCCAAATCAGTCGCTCCAGTCGCCGGGGCCGTCGCGGGAGGCGCCGCAGCATCCACAGGCTTCTCCTGCGATGGAGCAGCTTGCGCGGCTACGAGACCAGCATCAGGTGAGCCGGGTTGAGCAGACATCCTTTCGTGAGATTCGAAAACGCCTGCAGAACTTGAAACTAATCTCGAAGAGAAAGACTCGGGGTTTTGCGCGAAGTGGGATATCGAATCGTGGGTAGTGAGTGTTATGGTTGTGGTTTGTTTGTTATTTTTTGGCTGGTTTGAGTGCTGGAGCAAAAGGTTTATCAGATCACGCAACACCGCGTTATCAAATCTCCGATTATCGCCGTGGGGACTATGGCTTGGCAGCACATGTCGCGTTCGATGTTTGTGATTGCATGGCCATGCAGATTGTTGTACATGAACTTTGACACGTCAACTAACCCCTACAACCACCACTTTGTAATAAAACTCGACCACATCGGTCATGTAAATATGCCGGTCATGCCTTCTTACTACCTATATCTCAAATCTGCAGGCACTTTGACATTAGAAGCCACCTGCTCTGATCGAAACTACCGTTTCTCATATTCATATCGTGCGGCAGTGACCCTTTCTTCCTTCTTTCTTCAATAATGAGTACTCGAGTTTGTGCTCAACTAGACATTGGCGTGTTCGCCTTTTCACTTCCCCTCTCTCTTCCTCTCGTAACTTTGTATCAGCCTTGATCATGGACTCGAAGCTGAAGCATTTCAAGAAGAAGAACTTGTCGGCGTTCTTCGACTCCTGGAATGAGTACATTCCCTCCAAATCTAACACTCGCCTTATGCCCTTTCGCTTGTACTGAACCACCCTACAGAACAGCCACGAGCGACAAGCAACACGTACAGGAGTATGGCTCTTTTCCAACCCGCAAAGATGACCTCTTTACGCACAATAACGCCAATCAGATACCTGAAGGTTGCAGTCCTGGTCGTCGTCTCCGCTTGATGGGATCTATCCGAAAGCTGAGGTCTAGTCTTGATTTGAGCAGGATTGTAGCTCAAGGTGACGCGAGTCCTGATGTATGTTTAAGATGGCAATGACCTTTTCTCAAGACCTGCTCCGTTAAGTCCCACAACAGGCTTCACCAAGATCAGTCAGGTCAAGAAACTCGCTACCACTCGGGTTCAACCTTTCACCGCCCACCAGGGTCTTGTCTGGTTCAGGAAGTTTCAGGTCGAGATTTGGAAATTCCAGTATTACGCATTCATCGCCTATCGCAGTGTCAGCTAGTACGAGAATTGGCCCCGATGTTGGCAAGAGTACGCCTCCTAGCACAAACACTTTCGAAGTAGGCACGGTGCCAGTATCTCCTTCTCCTCTCACGGAACCAGCGGTACAGAAGTCTATCATCATCAACGCTCGTCCCAACCCCTTCGCCCATAGCTTGACTAACGGTACATCGGTCGTGTCAAACGGTAATTTGAGCTCCGTTCCACTGCCGCGAAATAGTCTTCCTCTGGTCGATGGGAAGACACCTGACATTGTGCTGTCACCAGCATCTCCGACCTCGGGGAATCTTGATTATTTTTCTTTACCTGATACGAAGTTGCAAATCAGCGATGAGTCGCCAAACACTGCGTGTATCTTTGCGTCGCCTTTTGATGGCATGCCAGAGAAACCACCCGTATGGCCACTTGCAGACAACTATTCAGGATCTTTCAATCTACCACTCTCGAAAACAACACCTATTTTGACTTCGAACGAGAATCATTATGGGAAGAGCAGGCCGTTGGATACTGGTGATCAAAAGCAGTCGAGAAGATATGAAAGCTCACAGGTATCAGAGGCCAACACCATCGAGTCTTTGAGAAGAGATGCCGATGTCTCGGCGTATCTTGCTCTGGATGCTTTGCATAACGAGTCACATTTGTCTGCGACTGGATCCAACGATCAGGGTAACAGCCATGATGGAATCTCTGGTATCCCTGGCGCTTTGGATAGACCTTTGCAGACCATCGTTGGAGAGAATAGTACGCAAGCAAGACTTTGTGTGCCCGAACCTACACGCATAGCTGCACCGAAATCGACAATGTCTCATGTTGGTGATGAGATTACCACTGCAGATATGGAGCATAGTGGCAGCAGTGGAGAACAGGCGTCCAAATCTGGTCCTGAAAGGGCATTCGATGAGTATGTCTTCTCAAAGACTACAGGTCTCGTGAAGGTATCTGATCTCGTTAGCGCCGATAGTAAGGAGCAGGAGGAGGCCCGACTACTGGAGGGAGGTGAAGAAGATCCGGAAACTGAAAAAGAGGACGACGCATTACACGACATGATTTTGTTGCACAGGGTCGTAAACAATAGTCTCGGTGGATGATTACTTCGGGGTAGCATCCAACCGAGCACCGAAGCGCATCCCCACAATAGTCACCGTGCATCTGGGCCAGACCTCTTTGGGTGGACCCTTCGCTCATAAAAACTTTCTAGGTATTATTGTTAACATGGTTGGTTAAAAAAGAATAAGTTTTGGCGGCATGGAGCAGTTGTTGAGTGTTTTCTGGGTCACGTATGATGGGACTTGGATCAAGTTTAGCGAAGTAGCTTTAGAAGACATGACCAATGTACTCGTTCATTACATACAGTTGAGAATGACCAATGTGCTTTAGGATGGCAATACCTTTGTGAAATCTGTAATGATGAGCGAGAACCGTTGTTGCGCGACGTTGGTATAGTCGTTCTACAAGAATCGCAGAGTTGCAAATTTCGACAGTAAGAATTTGGTATATGTATTTTCGTATCCAACAATGCAAGTACAAAATTTAGTCTGGAAAGCAATCGACTCTCCGCATACAGTTATATACAGCGAACAAATCTAACGCTAAATGTCCTCCATTTGCTACCTCACAATTTGGCCTTCTCCTTGGGACCAACCAATGGATCATAAACATTCTTGCCCAGGGTATCACTCGGCACCACCGCAGTGTGCATGCTCAATCCCCGCGTATCAAGCAGAGTAGGGTTGAGTTGAGAGATATCCGAGGCGCCGATGAGTCGCATGTTCATTTCCATTTCGTCCCTGAGGAGTTGCATGGCGCGGTCGACACCAGGCAGGCCGTATGCAGACATGGCATACAAGAAAGGCCTTCCAATACCAACACCCTTTGCGCCCAAGCAAATAGCCTTGAGAATATCAGTAGCACGGCGTACACCACCATCAATGTAGACTTCGATGCGATCTTGCCAGCCGCGCTCGCGGAGAGCGGGCATAACTTCAGCGAGGACTTCAATGGCCGACGGAGCGGTATCGAGTTGGCGACCACCGTGGTTAGACAGGACGACACCTTGGACGCCAGCCTCGACCGCGCGGAGGACATCCTCGACGCACTGGACGCCCTTGAGGATAATTGGCATTTTCGTGATGCTCTGGAACCAGGGGATGTCCTTCCAGCTGAGGCTCGGGTCAATGAATGACGAGATGGCGCGGGCGGCGCCCTGGCTCCGGTCGACCTCTCCTCCGGAGGAGCTCTGGACGCTGGAGCCCACGTCGGAGAACTTGGAGCGCATGTCCTTCTCTCTGCGGCCGAGCTGGGGCGCGTCGACGGTGATGAAGAGGCCCTTGCAGCCGCGCTTCTCGGCGTGCTCGACGATGCGCCGCGTTACCTTCCTGTCCTTGTTCACGTACAGCTGCAGCCATTGGCACTGGCCGTCCTGCGCGGCGTCCATGATCTCGTCGAACGAGCACGACGCCAGCGTCGGGATCATCTGGATCACGTTGTGCTTGCTCGCGCCGCGGGTCAGGATGACCTCGCCCTCTGGGTGGCCGAGCTTGCCCAGCGCCGTGGCCGTCACGTAGAATGGCATGTCGACTTTCGTTCCGAGCATCGTGGTGGAGATGTCGACTTTCTCGACGTCGACGAGGATTCGGGGCCGGAACCATATCTTGTGGAAGGCGTTGTGATTTTCTCGCATCGTCTGGGGGGGATGTGTTAGCATTGGCTTACTTTCAATGGGTGTCCATTGGTCCTTACAATCTCGTCGTCGGCACCGCTCGAGTAGTACGCCCAAGCAGTCTTCTTCATGACGGACCTCGCGACGGCCTCGAAGTCCATGAGGTTGTAGCACTGCTCGAGGATAGGCATGCGCGCGATGCGCTTCTGCCTGTCCTCCTCGTCGGGATCCACCTCCTTCTCCTCGACCTCGACGGTGCCCATGTCGACCTCGCCGAGATGTTTCGACTTGTCGAGGTACTTCTCGAGGGTGTCTGGCGGGTGGATGGGCTCATACTCCTCCGTGGCGTCCTTGCCCGCGTACTTGAGGATGATCTTGGGGCCGCCCGGGTGCTCGGGCAGGAACTCGGTGACGTCGTAGGCTCGCCCGTGCACTATGACCCAGCATGATTCTCGGGAGTTGTGCTTTGCTATCTCTTCGCCTGTGAGCTTGACGGGCTGTGTGTCGTTGCTGTCGCGATTCATGGTTGTGGTTGAGGGAGTGATGTGTAGATGTGTGGTGTGTAGGTGATCGTATGAGGGAGGTGGTGCGATATGTTTCGAGTAGGGATGGGATGGAGGAGAGTCTGGGGTAAAATAAAACGGGGGAACGCGACTTCGTGCGAAGGCGAGGAAATGATCAAACAATGATTTGAGATATGTACGAGAATGGAAGATATTCAAGCTTCCGCTAAAGTCGCTATGAATTCGATCGACAATCCAATGAATGATGTTCCTTTTCTCCAGATCCGAGGAAGACTGAAGACACGGATTGTGCAGGATGATGACGGCGAGATTTTATTGTGAACGAGTAGCTCGGTTTCGGCCCATCTACCCCCGCAGTAGGAGAATGGCTTGTCGATGAGCAGAATTGAGCCTATCCTGTCCTGTCTATTTACTGCCTTGGCCCTGGCTCGTAATCAAGTACCCGGCGCACCGGCAAACTTGTAATAATCAAGTAGCCATCATTAGTTCGTTGTTCTCGGATGGCCTCTCTCTCTGTCTTCGGATAACGCATGGCGGACGACGGAGCAAATGGAGCCAATACAGATGAGGTTAAGTCAAAGGCGGGATGGGCACTCTACTGTTGCGGGCTTGTCCACATTGGGTATCCCGGCAATCGTCTTCAGCATTGCTTCGGTCATTCTCATTTGTTTTCTTCTTACTGGACAGCATCTTCCACCGTACTTATCGTATAGGGTACGGTATTCGACGATTGTTCTACACAGGCACACAGGTTTACTCGTATTTGTAACTGTTTGTATCTGTCTCGCTTGACCTTCTCTCAAGAATTTGACTGGAATCCCGAATTTCAAGCCCTCCTACTCGGTAGATATTGTCTCGAAGTACACTACTGTGTCTGTGGGCGACGAGCCATGCTCAATTCACAACAATAATGTTTGGTATTGGAACCTTGCGGTACACATTCAATGGCTTTGAATTTTGCATTCACCTTTAGGTGACCACGGGCCATTGTGTCTACTATACTGGAATCTCTCGTCTTACCTTTACAAAGGTCAGACATTATTGCAAAGTGTTCTCAGGTAGTCTAATCGAGCTTTTGTGCAACGCCTACGAAGGCACACAGTACGCTCACCGGGTGAACCAGTTGGAATCATAGCACAATGCATGCAAGATACTTGTACCTACATACTCGACCCTCCACAAGAGAATGGAAAAGGAATGTCTGCTGCAGCCTCTCCGACTTCGCTGATGTTACAAGCAAACAATTATTGAGTCAGGCGCGCGCAACCGCATTTCCGGGCCACAAGCATGTTTCCATCCCATTATGGTCTGCCACTCTGCCCACTCCACCGTGTCCACGGTGGCCACTCTGCAGGGAACGAAAGGAGGAGGAGGACAGAAAGTCGGTCTAGGCCAATCAACCCATCAACCATGACGCGGTTGATGCGTTTGCTGGACGGACGTCAAGCGCTAGTAATGTTTGTGCTCTTGCGGTCAGAGTTCGATAAAGTAAACAATTTCTGGGCGGTCACGGCGGGCATGGCGGTCATTTCGCAACCCTTCAAATTCCCCATCCTCCCACTTTGCGACGACGGCCGTATGCCATTCATTCATCACAATCGTGTTGCACGCTTAAGATCGTCATCTAATGTCTGCCATCGGGAGGGGGTCACATGGCCCCTATGGCTCGGGGGCCAAGCCCGCCGTTGGGCGCTGGTCCATTCCCACTATGTCACTGTACTGTCACTTTCACTGTTGACTTTCCAAAAACACTACGTCAAACAGTGTGAGACCTCTCACAAAGTTTCGCTGCCACCTGCGCTTGCGACACTACAGTTATTTTCTCTTTCACTTTTGGCATACATACATAGCGTCATGCGACTGGTATTACGACCACCTACATACCACTCTGTTGTCCAACCCGTTCGCTCAAGCCACCTCTGTGGCAACGGCTCTCACTCTCACTTGAAGCCAGGTAGCTGAAGAACACCGCATACCACCAACCCCGGATCCCCGAAGCACCGACCGCTCTTCCACAGTCACTACACAGGTCACAGCCGTATACGCAGGGAAAAATAAGAAAATTCAAATCTCTCCCACCACCATGACGAACAGTCTAGAGGCGAAGATAGTGGTACTGGGGAGTCAGGGAGTCGGCAAAACATCACTCGTTCATCGTTACGTCAGGAACGCATTTACACCCCCGACAACAGCATCGACAATAGGGGCTTCTTTTCTCACGAAGCGCGTCACGGATATCGACACATCCACCACAGTGCGCCTGCAAATATGGGACACAGCTGGACAGGAAAGGTTTCGCTCGATATCGAAACTCTACTATAGAGGTACGTCTAGAACGGAAGCATCCGGGTCGTGGCTTCACAGTCACAGTCACGGATTGTACCACAGCTCGTTGCAGCAGTTTGGGTCTTGTTTACGACTCGAAAAGTCGAGATCTGTACATGCGTATTTTGTCTGTAGACGATAGCAAGACAATGTTTCAAACAAAGTTTGAATCTTGACGCGCATCGCAGCCTGTGCGCGAGTCTAGTGTTATTACCCATGTCCTCGAGTCGTGTGTATTCGGTTTACTGACTTGAACTACTGTACAGGTGCCAACGCCGGTGTCCTTTGTTATGACATCACAGACGAAGAATCGTTCCTCGAGATGGGCCGGTGGATGAAGGAGCTAAAAGATAACCTCGGAAGCGACATAATATTACACGTGGTGGGCACCAAATCCGACATCGTCGCCGAAGACCCCTCGAAGCGCAAGGTCCCATTTGAACGCTGCATTGCGTACGTCGCGGAGCACCTATACCCACAGGCACAAAACGGACAGCCAATCCCTTCAAGCAACCCCGGGAGTGGGTTTTTCTCGGCTACCCATAATGGAGGCATGGCATCGCCACAGAGCAACCGATCGAGCGGGTTTTGGGGCCAGGAGATCGGGTGGGACTGTTGCCACGAGATCAGTGCCAAAGATGGCGAAGGCGTCGACGAGGTCTTCCGAGTGATAACGAGAAAGCTGGTAGAACAAGAACAACGGAAGTTAGAGGAAGAGTACAAGCAACTTGCGTTAGCTGGTGTAACACCCGGTATAAACCAGGGAGATGTACCCGGTTACTTCGACTACCCGGGCAATGGAAACGGGAGCTTCAGAGTCGGAATGGGCGATAAGAGGAGAAGTTGGCTAGGATTCCCCACCACGCCAGGAGCAGCAGGAGGGGAACAAGGCCAATGGGAAGAAGACGTACAGAGGTTGAGGAACAACAAGGGAGGCCGATGTTGTTGAGCAACGTCGTTTGGATTTTGTCACCTCGAGCGGCTTCTCAGGGGGTGGTATCTTGGATAGCCATTCCACCGGGCTCTTCGTCACCACCACGACCGCATTTCGCTTCTAATAACCCACTGGACGTTTATGATACCCCTTTTTACTTTGGATATTCGAACGCCTGATGACCTTGGATCTGATAATGAGGCACCCCCGATCATAATACTTACTCCTATCCTCCTCCACCATACCGAACCACAACCACCTCCCCCACCCATCCCCGACACACAAGCAAAGAAACACACCCAACCCACAAGACTACTCCCATTCGATGCACGGCACAGCAGCATTAGCAGCAGCAGCATCATCCATCGTTTTCCCGATTTCTGCATATCGACACCCATCAGCATTGGCATTTTTCTTCCCTTCGGCATCGAATGTACTTCCTCCTTTCCTCCTTTCTTCCTACCTTGTCATCCGAACATCTTCTCTAGGGGCGGCATTCTCTTTTTATGTCTTTTTGTTTTTTGTTCTTGGGTAGTCTATGTTTCGAGTGCATGTCTGTAGTATACCAATTGTCTCTTTTTTTTTCTCTTTTTCTCCTAACTCTTCCTTTCTTGGTGATGAGTAAAGTAGATAAGAGTACACGAACGAATGTCATCATTGATCCTAATGCGTCCTATTTTTTTTGTCGTTTGTGTTGGGGGTGGGGGTCTCTTTATGGCATTTGTACGGTACGATGCGATACGCTGCAATGGAAGTGTAATAGGGAGTTGTGAATTGAATTGATATGCATCGAATTGAATTGAATTGAATTGAACTTTTGCGCTTTCGATTGATGAACGAACGAAGCGGAGTAGGTAGGTGTGGGTATCTCAATCTAATTTTCGTTCTTCTAATGATGGTTGGTATGAAAACGACAAACCATGGGCCTAATCCAATGTATATGAAAGTGTGGGCGATTTTGGTTTTGTTAGGGGGGGTTCTTCCGGACTGAACAATCGAAGGGAAAAGGAATATGCAAGTTCGAGTGCTGCGAAACAACGACGCCTTGAAACCCATTGCAATGCCAAATTGCTCCTACTTCTTCTCGAAGACCTTTTGTCCAAATTTCCAAACCTGGTCCACGACCAATTTCTTCTCCCTCCTGCTCTCTCCTAACCCGTCCTGCAGGTCCAGCACCACGAGATCCGCATCCGCGCCCTCCCTCAGACACCCCTTGACGTCCTCGCAGCCCAGCATCTTCGCGGGCGTCGCGGTGACGGCCTTGAGCGCCTCGCTCACGCTCGCGCCGGTCCAGTTCAGGAAGTTTGTGACGCACTCGACGAGCTCGATGCTGCTACCCGCGATCTTCCCGTTCTCCTCGAGGGTGAGCAGCGCGCCGTTCTTGACGATTCGAGACCCGTTCGTCCAGTCGTAGATGCCGTCTGGCATACCCGCGAGGCGCATGGCGTCGGTGACGAGAATGAGGCCCTCCGGGTGGGCGTGCCACGCGATCTTGATGGACGTCGGGTGCAGGTGGATGCCGTCGGCGATGATGCCGAAGTAGGGTTTCTGAGCGATCGAGTGCGAGGTCGAGCCCAGCAGGCCGAAGATTCCCGGGTTGCGGTGGTGCAGCGGTCGCATCGCGTTGAAGAGGTGCGTGATCATGGTCGCGCCGGCTTTGACGCTGGCTTTGGCTTCTTCGTAGGAGGCTTCGGAGTGCCCGATCGAGACGACGATGTCTTGGGATGCGAGGGAGGGGATTGTGGAGAGGGCGGAGGGGAGCTCCGGGGCGAGGGTGATCATTTTGATGGGGGTGAGGCTGCCGTAGCATGATTGGAGGGTCGGGAGGCCGTTGTACGGGGTTTGGAGTACGTCGATGTTGTGGATGCCGTTCTTGGTTGGGGAGAGGAAGGGTCCTTCGCAGTGAGCACCTAGGGACTCGGAGCCATGTGCTGGGTTTCGAGGGCTTCCTGAAGGTCCGAGGAATGGAAGTGCCTGTCGATGATTAGTATTGCTGCTGCCGATTGGAGTGCACAATCTGTATGGGTTGTGTCCATTGTGATGTTGCAGGAAATGGTGTACAAACCTGTTGATAGACCTCGGGCCGCTGCGACGTCAAGGTAGGCAGATAAGAGGTAACGCCAGTGGTCACCAAGCCCCGATTCACTCGGTTGACTCCCTTGCTGTACGCATTTGTACCTTCTTCAGGTATGACGGAGAAGTCGAAGCCATAGGCACCATTGAGTTGCACATCGATGAGACCAGGTGATAGGATGCGGCCACCTAGGTCGATGATCTCATCCGGGGCTGTCCGCTGTTCGTAAAGGATCTCTTGCCCGTTCAGAATCTTGCCGCTTATCGAACTGATCCAGAGATCTCCTTGGATGAGGTCATTCTTTTGTACGAGGAGGCAGTTCGTGAATTTGATGACGCCACTGCCGTTGGTAGTGGGGCCATGGGTGATGGTGGGGATGGCGGACGGCATGATCCTAGTTCCAGGAAGGGAATCAAGATATATAAGAAGGATGAGGTAGGATAGGTAAGTATAATTAGAGTACCTGGGCAATCAACAAAGAGGTTCAATACGAAGGAGGTGTAAGTGTAGATGACCGGATTGGGAAAGGAGGCAGCATCGAGTCCAAGGGTGTGGTTGAGACAAGCTCAACATCCTTTACAAACGAGCAGCGACCCATGATGGTTTTATCTGCGAATGATTAATTCTCGAGGCTTGCCTAGAAGTGAACTATGACGCCGCTATAGAGGTCATCAGGGTCTAGTTGTCCGCCATGAACCGCGATGTACCTGTCTGGAGGGTAAAATGCAGCAGCAGCATCATCACCTGTAGGTTAGAGGTCCAGTAGGAAGGCGATGTGACAGCACATGTGAGGATTTACAGTTAGCTTATCGAGAGAGAGAGAAAGATAGGATAGGGCCGAGTTGATTCCCAGTTGCAGTGACATTCAGTAGGTGGCGGATGGGGTAGTAGTATAGTAGTAGTAGCAGTGGTAGTTGTGGTGGTATCGAAGAAATCGGGTGAGGTGAGGTAATCCAGTAATACTCCGAGTAGCTACTATGTACCTAGGCACTTACTGCCGAGAACTTACCAACCAGGGTCCAGGGATACTCCTTAGCGCCATCCCGCCGCCCGCCGCCTCTCTGGGGGTCCGCGTGAATGCTACCGTTGCAGAACACAAACTAACTCGTACTCTTTCCCCAACTTTCTTTTTTCCCATCATCTCTCTGGTCTGGCACGTCTGGCTATCTATTGTTAACCTTGACCTTGCTACCCCGATCCCAGAGTCACGTTCGCGAGCTCCTGCTCCAGCAGTTCTCGTCTCGCCTCGTCACGTCACGTCACGACCACACAACCTAGGTCCGACTCTATCGCTACCTGTACGCTGCGATACGGTACAGTGCGGTGCGGTACGGTACGGTTCGTGTCTCGACACTCGCGCAATCCCTCGTCGCGCCCGTCACTATGGCGAGTAAGGCCGACAAGCTCGATCCCGTATGGGACGACCTGGATAGGTATGCATCTCCGTCACATTCCCTTCCAACTGTTGTACCCATGTGCAAGATCCCCGACTGACCGGTTTCTGGTGCAGGACGATGGTGGGTCACCCGTTAAATGTTCACTGTACCTGTGGACCGTGCTAATACAATTCCGTCCAAAAGGGACAATTGTTCATGATGGGATTTGACGGCACCTCAGTCACCCCACAGATCAAAACGCTAATAGAGAAACATCACCTGGGCTGTATCTTGCTGACTGCCAAGAACCTCAAATGTACGGCCTACCTACATGTTCTCAGAGACCAAAAACTGTCTCTGTTCTTTGTTAACATTGTCTCTGACTAACATGTTTTAGCTGCTGAGGATGCTACCAAATTGTGCTATGAACTACAGAAGATTGCTCACGATGCCGGCCATCCTGTTCCCTTGGCTATTGGCATCGACCAGGAGAATGGAGGTGTCAACAGTCTCTTCGATGAGATCTATATTCGCCAGTACCCAAGCAACATGGGTGTCGCCGCCGCTGGCTCCACAGAACTCGCCTTCGAAGTCGCAAAGGCAACGGCGCAAGAGATAGCAGCTTGTGGTATCAACTGGATCTTCGGCCCATGTCTTGATGTTTTGACCAACGCTCGAAATCAACCCCTTGGAGTGCGCACAGCAGGTGACGACCCTCAAGAAGTCTCGGCTTATGGAATTGCCTTTATGAAGGGCTACAAAGAGGCAGGAATCGTGACGCTCGGCAAGCATTTCCCGTCCTATGGCAACTTGGAATTTCTCGGTTCCACTCTCGACGTTCCCATCATCACAGAGTCCCTTGAGCAACTGAGCCTGAGTGCCCTAGTACCATTCCGCAATGCTATTCAGCAAGGCCTTGATTCCATGATGGTTGGGGGCTGCGCCATGTCATCTGCTGGTCTCAATGCAATGCACGCCTGCTTGTCCGAGGAGGTGGTCGATGGACTTCTTCGCTCTGACCTAAAATTCAACGGCGTCGTTGTTTCTGAGTGTCTAGAGATGGATGCTCTCAGTCACAATATCGGCGTCGGAGGTGGAACCGTTATGGCTGTGAATGTCGGTTGTGATGTAGTGCTCCTCTGCCGGTCCTTTTCCGCACAGCAAGAAGCCATACGAGGACTGAAGACGGGCATCGAGAACGCGATGATAAGAAAGGAGAAGATCTACACATCGTTACGCCGAGTCCTCGCCATGAAAGCAAAATGCACCTCATGGGAAAAGGCTTTGAACCCTCCCGGTATCAACTATCTGGAAAAGCTGCAGCCTTCACACATTGCGCTATCGACCAAGGCGTACAACAATTCCATTACGGTGGTCCGAGACAAAAATCGTCTGCTTCCGCTATCCAATATCCTAGACAGTGAGGAGGAGCTGCTCCTACTTACTCCTCTCGTCAAGCCATTGGCTGCCTCGGCTGCGTCTCGAGCTTTATCTGAAACTGCTGCTGAAAAGTCACCCGAGCCTGCCGTATGGGAAAGAAGTGCGTCGGTAATGAGTGGCGAGCGAGTCTTCCGAGAGCTGGGAAGGTCGCTAGCGAGGCAGCGCAGTGGACGTGTATTGCACACGTCGTACACGGCGAACGGGGTCCGCCCCGTACACGAGAATCTGATCAATAGGGCGAGCGCAATCATTGTGCTTACGGCTGATGCCAATCGCAATCTATATCAGCATGGTTTCACCAAGCACGTTTCCATGATTTGCAATATGCAATACACGACAGGCGGCGAGAGACGCGAGAAACCACTGATCGTGGTAGCCGTCAGCTCACCGTATGATTTCGCCATGGACACATCGATTGGAACATACATCTGCACATATGATTTCACAGAGACTGCCTTAAATTCGTTGGTCAAAGTATTGTACGGAGAACTTTCACCGACTGGAACATTACCTGGCACGATTAGCAAGAGCCAGAAATTACAGCATTCCAGGCAACATTGGCTGGTCGAAAACTTCAACGAGGACCGAGATGCCAATGCGTTGGACACACTTATCAAGGCAGTGATGGAGGGAACGCCACCCAACCAGCGCTCTGAGTTGTCGAGCGCCACTTCCAATTCGTTCATCCTACACCATCCAGAGGTGGAAGAGTCTCACTTCGTTGTCCGAAACAGCAGCACGCAGGCTTTGTACGGCTTTTGTTCTACCTACTTCTTCAAGACGGCAGGCACCGGGGTCATTGGGGCCCTCTTCGTTGATCCTTCGAGACGAAAGCTTTCTATTGGACACTCATTGCATAATCGAGCGATCCGAACGCTGCTCCAAAAGGAAGGCATCAAGCGTTTCCAATTAGGCTCGAGGCTGCCAAGTATCTTCCTCGGTATTCCAACCGGACACGGAGCTGAGCGGAAGCGGCTGCGATCTTGGTTTGCCAATCTGGGATGGAATGCAGCGCTTTCCCGGCCGGTGTGTAATATGGTCGCGCGCAACCTTCTGAACTGGAACCCTCCCGAGGGCATGGCAAAGAGTCTATCCAGTGCAGGAATACAGTATGATCTCGTGTACGGGTGGGATTATGCAGGCCCTATTTTGGACCATATCAAGACTAGCAATCGGCAAGGCCTAGCCGAGGCGTACAAGCTTGCACTGTCTGACCCTTCAGCATGTGGCATCATTCGGGCCAAGCGACCGGAAGACGGCGCATTGGTAGGTACGGTGGTGCTCTACAATGCTTCCTCGCGACTATCGGAGTTCATCCCCCCACTGAAGGATTTGAAAGAAGCAGCGGGTGGCATATCCTCGCCAGTGATATCGCCAAGTGCTGGAGAGTATTCCACGCTGCTGCAGGGACTGATTCTGCTGGGTATGCGGCAGATCAAGCAGCAGGGGTGCAATGCCTGCCTGCTTGACTATGTAAGTTGCACGAGGACCCTACTAGGGAGACAGGGAACACGATCTAACAGTGGTTATCACAGATGGACGGCGATGGAAACTTTGATGGATTCTCCGCCATGGGCTTCGACGTAATGCACAATTTTGAAGAAGTGAGCTGCGATGCGGCGACGTGGACGCTGATTCCTCCGTCTTGAGGGTCTGTGAGCACAAGGGCATGAGCGGCTCAGAGCACACACCACTGGACCGTGTTGGACATACAGTAATAATCGGACTACGATAATGATAATGAGGATTCTCACATGGGACAAGAGTTGGAAGGAGAACGGGAATACAACGATGTTGGACAAGATTTATTGGTTTTGTTAGATATAAGGGGAGAAACCTCATTGGGGAAACTGTCTGATCTGGTCCATATTCTGGTGTTTTCTCGTTCAGGCACACCCTTCTTTTGGGATAATCACGCTGGCGCTAGGGGGGCCAGGGGACGAAAGAGAGGAAATGCAGCTGCTGTGTAGCTGCGCTTGTACGACAGGAATCTATGGCGATGCTTGGCGAGCTCTGAGGGGGAACCAATTGCGATCTGAGCCGTGGGCACGGAGGCAATGGCGACTAGCCGACTCCTTGCGTTGGAAGAGAGGAAGAAGAGGCCAGAAAGGAAGGGGAAGGGAGGCACTGGTTACGGGTCTGGAACGAAGCAGGGTGGTGGTGGTGGTGGTGGCGGTGGCGGCGTGGGGGTTCAATTTGGAATCGCATGCTTCTGTATTTGGGGATCTATGGTTACTGTCGTCTTGTTGGGATGTCGGATTTGGGAAGTTACTGTGTTGCGAAAGGGAGGGATGATTACCCAAACAAGACTATGCACTGCGAATTGTATGATGGAATGACTATATTGTATGAGGGTTATGTCAGGGTTGGGTAGTTCGGAACCCGATGAGGAAGATAGCCAGGGTTCAAACAACACACATGGACACAAACATAAGTGGACATGCTTTGAATGAATGTACGAATGAATGATTGAATGAATAACTCAAACTATAGATCATAGGCCGCGGCAAATGATAGAAAGAACTCCGTACTTAGGCACGGAGTATTCAAGCGCACGATCATGTCTTCAAAGCGAGAGCGAGCTCGAGAGCGGTGGTGGATGGGAAAGAGATTGCGATCGCTGGGCCGCCGAAGGGCACTTGATTCACAATCATACGATTTCCTACCCTCGTATATCTTGATATGGCGATTGAGGCGACTATTTGAGAAATTTTCTATACTACTAGAGGTGAAAAAAAGACCGAAAAGCATACCGCGCGTTGGCGCAATTGTTCTTTCAGATAGGGCAATCCATCGTTTTTCACCGACACTACTAACTCGGAGGCATGGTACGAGTACCATAATGGCAATTGTCGAGGGAATACAAAAGCAAGCAGACAATCAGCATCGTCCGGAGCATGGGCCGGAGCAAGTTCATTTCGGCCCTTTTTCCCCAAAGAATCGGTGGTTTTTTGTTTGAAACGCGAAAACGAGCGAAAAAGACGGGAGGGCAGGGCGAACCGAGAGAATGAGCCTATTTTGACTTTAGAGCTTACTGTTTTTTGTTCGTCGCCGGCGCGGATCCGAGCGCAATGGACGAATCGAAGTCGAGGGTTCAGTTCGAGTTAGTTATTATTCTGGAGCTAGTCAGGCATTGCGCGCGCGCTCCGAACAAGAAAACAGGAAAGGAACTGAAGAGAGGGATTGAAAACAGGTGGATGGAATTCTGGATGGATGATGGATGATGGATGATGGATGATCGCTGATGGATCGACCCTTAAAACATGCACTGGCCCACACCATCATCCATGGGGGAAAAGCCAAGGGAAGCCATCTAAACCTCTTTCGAGAAGCCTTCCGCAATGAGGCTCTATTCGCTCTCCACTTCCAACCGTTCCTCTGCCGCCGCTATCTCGGCTCTGACATGCGTGTCATTTCTGCTTTTCTGGAGCGTCAATCGGTCCGTTTTTCGCCCTTACTTTCTGTACCTACTCGCACCTTACCAACGCGGAGGGTATGGAAATGTTGATTGTGCGATGAAGAATGCCATCCATATGGTGAATGGTATGGCACCATCAGTATGTGCGACGAAGATGTTGGGATACAATACGAAGGAAGGGGAAAGGGGGGTATCAAAGCGTCACGTGTGCTATGGTGGGTGGGTACTCCCATCTATCAATCGTCGTACAAATACAAAGTTAACTCGTATGACTGGTCTCTATCTGGTCTATCTCGTAAACACAGACGTATAGTTACTTTACTCCGTGCGCCTGTATGTATGTATGTATGTATCCGAGTACCTAATGTATGTTTGTATCGAAACTCTCTTTTTATCCCCTTCGACCCTGATTTGCGTTCCCCGTCTTGCATCGTTTTCTCGCCTACCTGCAGTGCCGACCGTACCGCAAAACAGAAAAGAATGGCGACCTGCATTCAAATACCTACCGCCACAGTGATGAAAGCGCCGTTAGGTGACTAGCTCTGCCTCCGCCGCGCATGCGCATCGCATTGCCTCGCATTGTTGCGCGGCCGTTGAAGGTATTACCCCGTCCGTAGGTACCTATTGTCGGATTTCGAACGGTACAAGTCAGTCAGGAATAAACTTTTCCTCCCCCTCATCGTTCCTCGCAGCGCTAGTCAAGTTTCTTACTTGATTAGGTCTAACCGAGTGCCTAGTTGAGAAAGGCTTCCGCCGCCCGAACGGAACACATCTTCTTGGCGGGATATAGTCAGTTCCCCTCGCCTTTTTTGCTGCGTGTGATCTGTTCGGGGGTGCGTCGCACAGCTTTCAACAACGACCAACGGATTGTTTTCGACAGGCGAGCAATGGTCAAGAGGATCATGTAGGAATTGCACGGGAGTGGACATTGAATGGATAGACACACATACACATGACGAGGTGGGATGATGGCGGCCTCGGGGACGCTGAGACACGCAGCCAGCCGATAACCATACATAACATACGTCGTTCCAATTCGCATCACAAGTCACCTGCAGAAGCTTCTTATTGATTACTCGTCCCAGTTCTGAATTGGAAGATGATGATCATGGTTATTCCTATTTTCTCTGGCTATGTGTCTGTGTGTGTTGAGTATACGCAGCTCTCTCGCTGCTCTAAGGAGGGGACAGGACAAGATACGAGTAGGTTTGAATAGGATAGGATAGAATGGGACAACAGATCAACTACCTACCTGACCATCATCACACTGACTTAGATTCCTATCTTCCCTTGTCCCTGTCTGTCATCATCCCCCCTTCGTCCTCTTGTTCTTGTTCTTTTGTTTCCTATTGTGGCTCTTTGCCTCTCTCAACCTTCGTGCCCTTCGTGGACCATATCCCCCACTTCTTGCCTTGTGAATCCTTTCATTTTTCCCTTTTATTTGATGATACGGATAACGGCCAAAACCTCTTACAAACAATCTACATAACACAAATACCAAAAGATCTTTGCCTCCCACTACTGATAAACACTTCTGTTCTACTCTACTCCATATCATAAGTGTAGGCCACTCCACTCCGCCTCCGCCTCCATCTCCGCTGACTGAGCGGAGACTAACATACTATAACTTTTAGTGACAATTACACGCTATTATACGCGCCTCCGCACACTCGCACACACACACACACACACACACACACACACACAATACACAGTAACTACACATACACACACACTGTTACTGTCTCCTCTTCTTCTCGGAGTACGAACAGATGGTTACTCCACCCATCCAAAAGAACTCCGTGCATACAAGCTTTTGCCAGCCGACCCTAATTCTTTCTACTCCTTCTACGCAGTCTTCTGTTCTTCTTCTCTTTCCGACATTGATTTCCTTTTCCTATTCTTACTGATCTGCACTGCACTACCTACTCCGTATTACCTCGTCCCTCTGTTATTGTATGTATGCACATACATTAGGTATTACCTACTCTTACATACAGTACAATACGGAGTAGATACCCGACCCTCCCCTGCCCTGACCTGAGCGGACCTGACCTGATTTGGTGATCCTCTCTGCCCTGCGATTCCGCGCTCGCCAAAGCCCGAACGCACCCCAGCCTCTCTTCTCTCCAGTCAACTACTGTGCACTGCGTACCTTCACACACTACACAGTAACTGCTCTCGCTCTCGCTCTCTCTCTCTCCACCCCCAAGCGCATCCTTCTCCACCACCACTTACATACCACCACCGCCATTACCGCTTCCACCACAAACCGTTATCCGCTCCTCCCCCAAACATCGCCAGCCGCTCCACCTCCTCCACTTCCTCCTCCTCCTACTCCGCCCTTATTCGCTCCAAACTCGCCCTCTCGCTTTCGCCTGTAATCATCTTGCTGCCAGCGGCACCTCGCTCCATCTCATGCGCTGCTTCCTCGCCCACATACCTCCTCCTGTGCCCGCCCTATCCACCACCGATGAGCCATGGAGGGCTTCGATACTCTCACCATGTCCTACTTGGCGGCCCCAATGTCACTTCAGAACGTAACGGGCCCTGACCAACAGCTACCCGTCGGTTTCGGTCCCCTCGACCAGCTCGATCAGCGCTCAAACTACGACGCAGAGACCTTTGCTGGGTAAGCAACCACCTCATTCCCTCCTCCTCGCCCTCATTATTTCGTGTCTTTGTTTCCAAATCAAATTCTACAATACCCAACTTCTTGCTTATCCTCGTGGCCGTGGTCGCGGCCATGGTCCCGCTCTTCGACGCCCTGCTCACTTTGTTCGCATAGTAGTGAGGATGCCACCTACGGGCAACACTCCATTGCCCATCCGCCGTTGAAACGCTTCTCCAGTGCCTACGATGACCCATTCTCCGATGTTCTGAGCGGCTATGACCCCTCGGTACACCCTGAACAGAATGGACAGGCACCCGAAAGTCCAAACATTGACCGCGACAACAAGCTCCTAAGCTTCTCCCTACCGAACATACCCTATACGCTCCTCGACTATGCCGGTCGCCGCCTTATCATATCCATGAACTCGCAGCTTCATGGCATGTTCTTCCTCGCAGAATCGCCCTGGGCTACCGCCGGCGACGTTGCGGTTCCCCCTACTGAGCTGACCTGCTACCGGAGGAACCTATTCCAGATAACCGGAACGATTACGGTACCACGGGGCATTCAAATATTATTGACAGAGCAAGGCGAACATATACCTATAATCGGGCTGGAACTTGCAATATCCGCTACCGAATCTCTGGAGGGAAACCCTGTGAAAATCATATCAGTGCCTTGGAAGACTCCAGCGAGCAGTACGACAGCAGTGGAGGACAAGACCGAGAAGGAACCACCGTCGTATCCTTTGGACCTATCCCAAGGCCAGGACATGGACTCGGAATACGTCAATTTTCCAATCAGCTGGAAGAGACTACAATTCCGCATTGCCACGGCAAACAATGGACGGAGAAAGGAGCTACAGCAGCACTTCGTCGTCCGGCTCAAGGTTCTTGCGACGCTCGCCACAGGAATGAAAGCGCCAATCTGTGAGGTACACTCGGGCGCCATAATAGTTCGCGGCCGCAGTCCCAGAAACTTCCAGTCCCGTAAAGATCTCCCCATTAGCGGTGGGGGCAATCCGCGCAAAGCTTCACACCTACCGCAGCCATCACGAACGCCTACCAACGATACCAATCAGTCTGCCAACCACAGCAATGCCCAGGGCAACAGTACCGCTACAAGTAAGCCTATGGATTCATTGCAGCTACCCTTCGATTTCACTCCAAACGATCTACCGGTATCCCCTGACTTCCTGGACTGGAAGATACCGACAACACAAGCAATGACGGTGGTTCCGGACACCCCATCCTTCCAGCATCCGGCGGCCACCCCGTATGCGCAGTCGACACCAGAGATTACGAGAAACACATTACCCCAGCGATCTTCGGCAGCCCCGGTGTCGTTGTCTCTGACGGACGACGAGCCGAAGAAATCAATGTCGCCGTCCGAGCCGGAGAGAAAGAGGGCAACCCCTCATAGGCCTCCCTCGTTCTCCCTTAATCTTATCAACAGCCCAGATGAGAGTGCAGACCTTTTGTATGAATACTTCCCACTGGGTCTTGATGACTGGATGCCACCGGTTGATGCTGTATATCGACCACATGTTGTACATCACACAAACCTGCCACAGGATCCCAAAGCCATCGCCGTGAAGAACAAATCAAAGCGATACTTTTCCGATACCTGGTGATTGTGACAGAAATTCCGGCACCCATTCTACTACGTCCGCTTCTCTTTGGAAGCACCGACGAGACAATCATGAACTGAATCGACCCATCGATTTCTATACTTCGAATCAATATAAACAGCCCCTCCGGGGAGCGCACGATGACACCGAAGCATGGGCGTGTAGCTCCCCTCGCATGGCGCTCGAGATCGGGTGCCAGTACATGCATCAGTAACCCATTGTTGTAACGGTCGGTTCGTAGCACTCCTTCCAGGGCCTTGCACCGCAATTATCCGAGACATCCAGGCGACCATTCAGGCGGGGCAGACGAGTAAGACCAAATCGATGGTCTTGGGTTGAGGTATTACTAACGAAGGGATCGAGCCGCAGCCGATTCTATGGCAACGGTTCGCGAACGAGTAATGAGGTGGGAGGAGAATTGGAAGCAATATGATCCGTTGAATTTGTCGCAACAAACGATGACAGGACGCAATCTTTTTGGGGAGTAAGAGGCGGAGACGGAACAAAATATCGATGACTGGAGTTTTAGGCGCGAGGGATTAAGGATCAGGCGCGTATACCATTTGGCGACTCTTTACGGGGATAATTTGCCTTTTTGCGCCGGGTTTTCCTCTTCTACACATCTTTTTGTATTTTCCTCTTTCCATTAATTACGCAGCAAAGGGTACGATATACTTTACCAGCACGGCGTTGCACTGTTGGCACGATGTAGGGAGATCCCCATCCCCAGGAAACGACGAACGATGAAGGGATTATTTGGTGAGATTGGGATATTCAATCGAGTGAAGAGGGTTTGCGAGAATACAAAGGACAGGCAGATATAAGACGGGAACGGTGGGCCATCAAAGGATATTCAACAAATTAGCGAGCACCACCATGTTCCCGCAGATCTCGGCTTCAGTTCAGCTTCAGCCATCTTCCCCCTTTTGAATGGAAAAATGTCACAAATCCAAACTCTCATCGTTGCTCGATACATGCTCAATGCCCTCCCTGCTACCACCATAGTCATATATATGTACATGCACGTCAGACTCCCCTCCCCGGTATTAAAATACGAACCACAAAAAAAAGTACCCACTTCAATCCTACCTCACCTCACCTCATCTCACCCGACCATCCGATTATTGATTGACAGACAATGAACAAGAAGCAGTAACCTGCCGCTTTCGTCAAAGGAAAATAGGGATGATTACGAGAATGTAACTCCCCATGCTTGTGGGAGCGTTAAGGTGGGGTGGGGTGTATATGGATCTAGAGGTTGGTTGTTACTTTTTACTGGCACTGTCAATGATCGATCGATTGGTCTTTTGTGCTTTGTTGACATTTTTTTTAGTGGGTTTCTGTATGTACAATTGTTGATATACACACGGATCCAACCCATAAACATCAATCCCACCCAGAAATACATTTACCATTTAGACATGTCATCATTGACTACGTACAAAAATATAGAAGCGGAGCATACCTTCTCTTTTCTATGGTAGACTTTTTCTATCGGTGAACTTGGAAGGAAGGACGGCGTGTCTTCGTTCGTTTCGAAGTCGAAGTCGAAGTCGAGGGTCGTCCAAAAGCTCTTTTGGAAGTCGAGTCGAAGCTCTGACCAAATCTCTCAACGCAACCAACCCACGCAAAAACAAATAAAACACAAACAACCAAACAAAAAACGCTCGGCATAGTTTATTCACCCCCATCACGGATTACACGGAACGAAAATTACGTGCAAAAGAAAGGAACCTTTACCTTGCCTTTCATTCTTCTTCTTCTTCTTCTTCTTTGGGTTTTCTTTGGTTTTCTTTCCAGAAGATGATGAGGAACATATCTCTGTGGTAGGTGTTTATGGTATGATTTGATGGAAAAGAAGACATGAGGGAATTCCGGGGAATTTGAAGAGGAGGGGAGAATGGGCTAAGGTATGAGGTAGTTTTTGGCTGTGTAGATTGATCGATTCATGGGATGCAAAATGGAAGAAAAGGTTGTTTTCTTGGACGGAGGGGAGTAGATTGATCGTGGTTGTCTGGAATTCGTGCATGGTTGCTTGGGGAGTAGACGTTCTTTGCAGGGGATTTTTTTGAGAGTATTGAGCTTGAGAATAGCAAATGTGCCTGTATACACCACACTGTGATGTCAATCATGAAGGTGTCTATAGTCGTGCAGTGTTATGCTATAGTTATTGGGATGAGAAAGTGGGCAAGGTTGAAGGTGGCTTATCACTTGTACCTTCCGTTTCCTCCAATATACAGAGAGAGGAAGAAGACGGAGTGCGTTTGTAGATGTCTTTCTATCTATGTACATATATCTATAGTGTAGACACGTGTTTCCCAACAGGCTGTGTTGATTTCTTTTTTGTTATGATGTACCGATCAACTCTGTTTGTACGCAGTCTATTCTTTGAGCGAACTTGTTTGTTTCACAGACACCAAGTAGATAGGACTGGGTTAACCAGATGTTTGAAATTCTCTTTGAGAATTCCAAAGCAATCTACAGTACTCCGTATGGAGTAGACCTTTGGCATTGGTATTCGAGTACTTCCACTCCTCCTAGCAAACGCCGTGCAAAACCGTCGCTTCATCACTACAGCACTATCCAGCACACGCCCATACATCAAACTTTCCAAACAATCACATGCATCGTAATCCGTACATACATAACCGTCACTCTCACTGCAGCTATACTGCATGTTCTCGAAGCTACCTCAACAGCCATACATCCAAACCCATACAGACGGTACACACACACACCGATAAGATAGGCACGTAGGATGGCAAGCCGCAATGCAACGTCGAGATACACCGACACCACACACCCACAGTACAGTACATATGTACAGCACACTGCACTGTAATGCGTGCATACGCGCCGCGCCCTCTCACCCCTTCGCTCGTTTCATCTACCGTCGTGGAGTAAGGTAGAGTGAGGTAAGGGTTGAATGTGGATGGAGAGCTGGAGAAATGTGTGTACATTGCAGTAGTCCTTAATTCTTCTTCAATTTCGATTTCGAACACAGCTGTCTCGTGATCTGAATAGAATGTTGTCTTCCCACAGATATCGTGTTTCCATCGATGTCGTCTCCTGTCTGGGGTAGGTGAGGTAAGTTCTCGTCTAGTTGGTAACCCCGGTTGATCGTCTTGTTTGTGTACGCCCACGCCATGCTACCATAACGCACCACTTACTCCGTACGGTACCTCTCCCCTTGAAGACATAATCGGAGCGTGCACGATGCGATGCGCTGCGATGCGATGTCATCATCTCACACAGATCGGATGTGATCGGATCTGACCAGAACAATCCCCGAGCAGACAGAGTCAAGTCGACACCCCTTCGGTATGAAGGAAACAATCTCACTCGTTGAGTTGAGAAACAAAGTATCTCGCGATGACGATTGCTTCCACGATCATGTCTACTCACGGAAAACACGCATGATTACGGAGTAGATCACCGTTGAAAAAAAAAAAAAGAAACTTCAAATTTCTATCTCTTCGTGCAACACACGATGCTCCCCTCTCCCACCCCCCCCTGAATTCTGCACCATTTGTTGTCGTTGGTTACACAAAGTCAAGTAGCGCGCACGTCGAAACAAGAAGATCGGAAAGACCGAAACGAAGTGGATCCCCCTTTTTTCGTCTGTGGTACAGGATGTACTGCAGTTGTAAATTGCGTGCATGAAAGATCGAGGCTGTTGTACTACGTGTCTCTTTTCTTTCTTCATGCCCCTGGTTTTTGGTTTTCTTTGTGTTGTTGTTGAGGTGTGTGTGTGTGTGACGGGGGAACAACGTGAGATGGGGGGTTCTTTGTCTGGTGGGTTGCTCGTGCTGGGTGAGGGGAGAGACATTGTTGCTCGTGCTGGGTGAGGGGAGAGACATTGTTGCTCGTGCGAGCGGACGGGGGAGGGGGTTTTGGATGTTAGATTCGGGATTTGGGTGGATGCGTTCGTTGGAGTATAGGTACGGGTCGGGAGGTGCTTCAATTAATGTGTGTGTATACAGGAAAGCTCGAGCGATAGGTAGACAATATACTCTGTACAGTTGCAGATAATCTCATCATGGTGTTTAAAAATCATGTCTAGTTTCATTTCCAATCATCTTTTTTAGGAGGAAAGTCGAAGTCAGATAAAACCACTACGATCAAGTACCAGATACGCATAATACAAAATCCTGTCAAACTAAAAGACTGAAAAAGGGGAATAGTGCACTACGATCGAGAACCAGACTCCCCATTCTCTCCATAAACTACAGATTTCCTACCGTGATAATCTCATCCATGAGAATAACCCATGGACTATATGTTTAAAAACGACGCAAGAAGAAGTGCGTGACATGTTCCCCGGAACGCTCATCCCTTTAGTATTATCACACCACCTAGGAGAAGAACAGTACCATCTAAGTCCTATCATCTAAACCTAACTCACAAGCAAGCGTTCATAGAGAAAAGAAAAGGAAAACCCAGATCTAATATACGCACAGGAAGTCACAAAAGTTCAGGAAACGTAGGAAGCCGCTCGTTCGTCCATGTCACCATCCCACTATCTCACTCCCTCAATATATATATCTCCCCAGAACGACACCGTGATCAATACACTACAGCCCGCCGTCTCATATCTCCTCGACGACAAGAGGGCGGAGGGATAGTATACATATATATCTGACTACAAGCACGACGAAAACTCAGACTCCAATGTAGGGTAGCATGCTATACACATTCCTTTCACCCCCTTCAGTAGTTACCCTACCTAAAGAACAGTGGCTCACGCGCGCTTACGGAAGGGAGAGAGATGTAGATTCCTAGTACCAACGTGTGTACATATTTGCTCGCCCCCTTTGATCTGAGCCTGCCCTACTTTGAGTCACATGTTGGGATATTTATTACGTTGGAAGAACGGAGGCATGTAGGGAGGGAGAGGGGTGTGGGGGTTATCGATTGCTTTGGATTTCGTTTGTCAGGCTATCTGGTGAGGAGAGGTTTTTCTAACTGTTAGTAGGGGGGATTATGAAATCGCAATGTAGTAACATGTCTTTCCATTTTGAAGGATGGGAGAAAGGGGGAGGTGTGGGATCTTGCTCACTGCACGTTCTTTGTAGGATGGACTAATGGAGAGTTCGTGAGCGTGGGCAACATGATGAAGAGTGAAGCCTTGCAAATTCAGCATTTACGAAGGAAAGTCATAATAGTACTGCTGCTGAGTTTGAGAATCCAAGATTTGTATTCATAGACCACACTCCTGCAATGTATATGCGGGGAGGTGGATGATGATATATATGGCGACCATAGATTACCCTGATGCCTTATCATGCTCCTCTCTTTTTGAAAGAAAAAACGCCGCAGTTCGGATACCGTCTTTTATAAAGACCAGCCAAATGAAAAGAGGACGAGAAATGAGGAAATAAAAAAAAATATGTATTCCCAACGCCGGGGGGAAATCGAATGACTCCATCGATCGTTCCCCGTATGCTTTGCAGTATTCTTTAGTATGGTAAAATATGATGAGGTTCATGACATCCGTGACGCAGAAGCAGAAAAGCCCGCGATCCCCACTCTTCCCCCTTGGTAGAGGAAAGAAATGAAGATGAGGGATAAGAAGGCAACTCTTTCTAAAAGCCCACCCGGCTCAAGAAAGAGGACGAGAAAACACAAATGTATATACAAACACCTAACGCTCCAAGGGTATCAAGCAACACTCTCCTCGTCAATCAGGTCGACAACGGTCCTCTACAGTGTTGATTAGTCGAGGCAGCAAGCAGCAACTGCGGCACCGAAGATAGCCGACTCGACAGCGATCTCTAATGATATTGCATGGGGTTCGGCCCCCGAGGCAGTAGTGAGCTCGTCCAGGTGAGACTGGCACAGTTCTCTGAAAAGGGGGTATTTCTCGATGACGGAGCCGTTGCAGCCAATAGCTATCCTTCCAACCGTCGAAGGACTTAAGCCTTCGGAGGTGGTTCGAAGCTTCCACAAGGAGTGGATTCCAGCGGCTAGGTACGCAGCTGCACGGTGCGAGACCAGCTGGGCTACTTGGCGGACAAAGTAGATGTCACGGTAGGATGGCGGCTTGCTGAGTGGGTGCCGAGACTGGAATAGGGCGATGGCCTTGGAGAAGCCTTTCGACTCATCCATCTCCATGGCAGCGAGTGTTCCTGTGTCCAGGGAGTATGCTTCAGATAGCTTCTCTGGGAGTTCACCACTGAACAACCCAGCGGTACGCACAGCCTCTACAAGCACCAATCGGACAATCTCACCAAGGTACCGCCCGCTGATGAGTTGCTCGAAAGGTTGGAAGTCTGGACGCACATGGGTGGCGTTGAGTTGATCATCCCACCGTGTGGTAGGAAATACATTTTTTCCGAACATGCTCAATTCGGTGTTGACGAGCACATGCTCGGCCTGATCTAACCACTTGCGCGGGTAGCCTTTGTACTTGGGCGCGGCGAGCGTCGAAATTGGCAGGTGGGCGGCAATATTGAATCCGGTTCCTAAGATAACTGCAAATCGGGTAGAAGGATCCTCGTACGCACGTGACAGTAGTGTTGCAGAGGAATCGTTGACGATGGACTCCATACGAACAGGAAGGTTCTGGTGACACGGTCAGTATTGGATAAACGCAAGCAAATGGAGCCGGATAGCTTACCCTTTTTCTGCATGGAGCCATGACAAGCTCACTCAGGTCTTGTCCCAAGGTTCCCTCTGTCGCGAGGAAACCTTTACCCATGGGCAAGATGTTTCCGCTGTGGATCGAGGTTTGCCTGTTGTTTCGTTGTCAATAGATTGAAACATGAATGAATGCGTGAGACGGTCAAGACATACTCGATGGGGAAAGACCAGGCCAACCCCATGCCAAAGACCTTTGTATCATTGATACCTTTGACTTGGGGATCGTTGATGGCCGTCTCAATTCTCTCGGCCATCCAGTCGAAGAAGGCGGTGCCTCGAAGGTATCGAACCGAGTTATCGATCTTGTAACTCTTCATGTTCACGATGCGCATACTCTTGGCACCGGGTTGGTTGCCATTCAACTCGACAATGGCAACGCGGAAGGTGGAACCACCAACATCCAAGGCAAGGTAGGTACCGCGCTCGAGGCCGGTAGGTAGCTTGTCGTTGTAAGAAGGTAGCATGCAGATGTCGCTGTCCTTGAGCTTTGGAGCGAATTGGTCCTGCAGCTTGCCGGACATTTGCAGAAGCTGTGCAGGTTCGAGTGGAGCCTCGAGGAGGCGCTGGACTTCTCGCAACAGATCGTCCAGGGAGCGGTCGTAGGTTCGCACAGCATCTCGCATGCGTTTTCGTGAGAGCAGGGAGGGAAAGACGGAGTGGATCATTGAGGGAAGCATGGCGATGCGCTCCAGAGCCGCGAGTAGACTCTGCCAGAAGTCGAACATGGGTTTTATATACCAGCAATGGTCGTGTTGGGTGGTGGCGGCGGGAGAGTTTGTGTCGCGGGCGCAGTCAGAGTCCGGGAGGACGGTCAGGCGGCGGCTTTTGAAGCGTTTCAGCAGCAGGGAGGATGGCATGGGAGGACAGATGGTGAATATTTTTTAGATGATGGTGACAGCGGGGCCAGGTCTTGGGGAAGATTCGTTTGCAGCTGTATATCAGGCTTGCAGTGCATTGAATGGGCGAGTGATGGGTGAACAACAATGTTGAGCACTACTACGGCACGCACCGACTCTGAGGGACGACGGCCGCCGCAACGTAGGTAGACGACGCAGACAGGCAACGCAACAGCAGCAGCAGTAGTGGTAATGGAGGTAACAAGCGACGCAGACTATGTCGAGGACAGCAAACGACGGCAACGGAGACAGCGACGACAGCAATAGTAACGGCAACAGTGAGAGCGACAGCAACGGCAACAATGCACACAGGAAAAAACCCTCAGGCTGGCTGGTGGCATTCGTCGAGCATGCGATGTCGCAAACGGCTCTTAAGCATGGTGGTACGGCCTGTGAGCATACACCTAGGAGAGAGAGGGTTGTATCCGCTAGAGGAGAGTGTCCCTAGGAAAATCCTCCGGCGACTGGGAGCGTAATTGCCCACTGCTGAGGCACGGCAGGCGGGCAAGGTAAGGGTGGCTTGCGGGGACCTGGCGGATACCTTGGATACCCACCATGACCATGTCCACCGAGACGAGGTGCTAATGAATGAATGAATAATAATCGATCAATGGATGAGAGAGCATGGAAACGGATAGAGAGTGGGATTAGGATTGTGAGGGGGGCGGGGCCAGGGTCAGGGCGAGGCCAGGGGAGTTCCAAAAAAAAAGAAGTAAAGATGATCAGAAGAGAATAGATGGCATTCGATGGTACTGTGAGAGGAAGGGGAGAGCTGTGATAGGTGAGCGGAAAGGGGAAATCGACGACAAGGAGACAGGGCGTGGCGATTGAGTGAGCACCGAATGTTGGATTGAATGAATGAATGATGACGGAGGTGACAGGGCGTAGTGGGGGTGGAGAGAGAGAGAGCGAGAGTAGAGCTCGTGAATGTGTGTAGTGTAGTGTGTGTAGTGTGTGTATGGTGTGTATGGTGAGGGTGAATGGGAGTGTAGAAAAGTTCGTGTATTGTTCTGGAGACGTTTCGTGAAAGCAGATGTGACCGTTACGTCCAGAGGTGATGCCCTAGTCCCGATCGGGTAAGGTCCATGTCTTTGGGTTGATCAACCAAAGTGCTCGACATGTTGAATTGCCCTCTCAGGATCCCCAAAATTGACCGAGATTGCAAGACTGCCCCCCCGGGTGGCAATCACTAGACCGGGCAAGGCAACGTTGTTTGTTTAAGGATTGCAACCGCAATCAGTAAGCCTGTCCTGTCAAACGTCCTATGATCCCACTCGTCGTGTCCTATCCTGTTCTGTCCTGACTTGTACTTTGTTCTGTACAGCAGATGGACGTTGCAGGCGTGGTATTCGTAACTCGTAGTTACAAGTCGTGGTAGTAATCGTAATAGTCAGCCGTAGTTTCTCCGACCGGTGTATCATTCTGTGTACGAGGTACGGAGTACATCCATTCTAGTTACGGGTACTCAAGTACAAGGCACTCCGTACTGTACTCGTACACAAACGACACATCTGAGTGGTATCTAGCACGCAGCATGTGGTATCGTGGACATTGGCCCTACCCTGCCCCTCACTGTCCTATCACATCTCGCCCTATCCTATCGTTTGCCATGGCATCTGCCGCGAGAGAGAGAGAGAGAGAGAGAGAGCGGAATCTCCATCGCAGGTCTCATTCATCTTGCCTGGTCTCGTCTCGTCTCGTCTCGGATAGGTGCAGTGCCATATTGGACCGCATATGTAGGGAGAATTGCCCCGCGGGATCGATGAATCATTGGACTGGAATGAACAATGGAAGGTTATTGCAGGACTTGAGATGCGGGCATGGACATGGACATGCATGTGGCCGTAACGTCGTGATGCCTTTTGAGTAGCACAGGATTGTGAGTTTGCCCGTAGCTGAGCTGGACGGACTGGACTGGACTGGACTGGACTTGTATCTAGTTGTTTGTCACAAGTGTGTACGAGTATGGGATGGGTGCAGAAAGGGTGGTTGGGTGCGCGGGGCGGGCGCTAATCGGCCAGGACGCCGCCAAGATTAGATCTACTGCTACTCTACTCCATACTTGCTTCGTACTCTTGCCTTGCTCTCGTACTTGTACTTGTACAATCTTCCAATCTCGACCTTCTTCTTCACCTTCTCCGTCTTCCTTCTTCTTTGGATTCGAATGGATGAATGTACTCCGTAATCCGTACTCCGTAGATAATCTAAGTATGTAACTTGTGCTAGGTGGACTAGGTACCGCAACGTACCGGTAAGGCAAACCCAAAAAGACCCTGACCTCATGCTACTTGGTAACTAACGTCCGCCTACCGAATCCACCTTTCCTCTACCAGGACTCAACCTCCGTCCGACCATGCTTTCTGTCGGTTGTGGCGTTACAGCGCACGACTCAGTATATTCCACCCCATGCATGCCATCCAAGTCGAATACAACGACGTTATTATCTAACTTTGAGCCTATGTATCCATCTCATCATACATCTTAAAGTTATACCGTACCTACTGACCACATGTTCATGAACACACCACCACCACCACCACCACCAACAATCAATATTCAATCGAATACGAATACCACCACCATTACCACCATCACCACCTCCTCGCCAACAATCTAGACAAACCATCCCCTAAATCACCAGACCTTCCTCTGTACTCGACCAGCCTTGCACAATGCAATGCAAATCGGAGATATTAATATCCATGAAACCAAACCAAACCAAGGCAAAAACACAACACATCTACCATACCATACCATGCACCTGCTCACTCGCTCGCTTATCCCATCTCTCCATCTCTCCAACCCTCTCACGCGCTGCTTGCTGTCTGTGTGTGCGAGTACTACATACAACACCACCACCTCAGTGTAACCCCAATCCTTCCCCCCTACACACTCCCCCCCCTCTCGCGAGCTTAGTTGCCCTCGAGCTATTAGTTGTATGTAACACCCCAGACACCAGACCCAGGGTGCCCCACATCACCCGGGTCCTATCTATGGCGTAACAACACTGTATGTACACAGTGCAGTGCGTACGAGCTCCATACCCTATCATATCGTGCCCATATCGCAGGACAGGGGAGGGGGTGGGCCTGGCCAATGAGCGCGTGGCTAATCACCAACACCCATGACTATTTGTAGAATATGATGCCGAGTTGGAGATGAACTGTGGTTTGCGTTGCCGCGACGCGGGTAAACAAACAGATAATCGTGAGTAGTGAGTGATAGTAGATAGATGATTTTCGTGGGGAGTGGTTTTGAAGGGTGTCTACGGTTCGGAATACATACTGTGTAGATGGATACCTCACGTGTGGGTTTTATAGCTAGTATTGAAGAGAACAACAAAAAATGCTAATATCGTAGAAAACGGTGTTATTATAGTAAATACATATTAGCAACAGATTCAGTATCTCTTCCCTTTTTTCGAGAACATTTTTCAACACACTGTGGCTTTAGTTTTTTCTTCCTGTTCTAAAGAAAGAAGGTAAAGGGGTAGTCCTTGTGACGGAGGGTGTCGCGCGCATTAACGAGATGGTAAACATAAAGGTAATTATCTTGCCGTTAGTATGACGGCGTCTATGTCTCTCGAGCGCGTGTGAAGAACTGTTTATGTAGTGATGACAGTTATGATAATGGCTGGATTTGACATATGGAGAGTAGATGAGAGGGGATGGGGCAGAACGGGCTTATGTGGATCATGTTCAAATTCGCCTTAAGGTGCGCGGTGAAGAGTGAAGATGAAGTGGAGACGAAGTGAAGGTGAAGGTGAAGGTGAAGGTGAAGGTGAAGGTGAAGGTGAAGTGAAGATGAAAGTGAAGCAAAGACATGCATTTACACATTATCCCTCTTATAATTTTCACATAAAGCAAAAACATCTATCTAGACCTCTTCTTCTACGTTTGATTATGTAACTTTAACATACTTCACCTCTATCAGAGCAGGCACATCTGAACCAGGACAAAAATGTAGAGGGTAAATAAATAGTAATATATAGATATGGATATAAACATAGATAGATAGAAAGGAGGAGCTTAGGACAGGGGGATATCGTGCAAGCAGAGACCTGGCCGAGGTATAGGCAGATAGAAAAAGGTAGAGGCCAGGCATCGTAACTCTGCCGGAAAAAAGGGGGATGTACATGAGAACGAGATTTGAAAAAGAAGAAAGGTGTTCCCTCGTTATCGAATGATGGCTCGTGAAGACCAGATACCTTCATGCAACTCGCTGGAATCGGTCAAATGTCCCAATCGGTCAATCATTTTCCCACTTTTCTCTTTCATGAAAGGGTATAAACAGATGCTATCGGAACGGTATGTTGGTTGGGGTGATCATCTACTATAGGTATTGGGAACCGTCCCACCGTCCTTCCTTTTCCTCTTGTCCATCCCCATTCCCTCCTCGTTCGCAGAAATAGAAAGTCATGATGCATAGACAGTAGAAAGGGTGGTGCATTAGGTTCAAGAAGAGAATTACTTATGTAAAGTTGCAAGACGCCCGCTAGACGCCTGCCAGACGCCACAAACCATTTCCTTTAAACTTTTTCATCAATGGTCTCGCCCGGAGCATGGACGGCCGCCTTGGGAGCGACCTCTTCAACGGTCTTATCGGTGAAAGCCACGTCCTTCTCTAGAGCGACCGAGTCCTCCACTTTCCAGAGAATGACGGGCAGGGCGATGATCAGACTGCCGACGAGGAGACCCCAGTTGGAGGCGAACATGTTCATGTAGGGGATGCCGATGTCGTCGAGGCGCCACGTGATGGCTGCACCAGCGGATTGGATGCCCTTGTAGAAACCGGCAAAGTTGGCGAGCTTGCGGCCGTTGTTGGTCAACGCACCCATGAACCTGGAATGGAAATTAGAGAATGGATCACCTAATGTGGGCCTCAAGGTGATGCGACTTACCAGTAAACGCATGTCTGCCATGCAGCATCGGAGAAGCCGTAGAACATGTACAGAACGAAAGGTCCGGCAAACCCAGGGTCCGACCAGTCCTTCTTGACCGTCGACTTGTCAATGGCCCACTCACGAGTATACGTGGTCTGGAACTTGTATCCGCAACCCCAGACGATCATCATGAGCACGAAGAGAGCCGCCCAGGCGGCCTTGGCACGGACAGTACGGCGGACGCCCTTGAGATCGAGAGCAAATCCGAAGATGTAGGCACCGAGGATTTGCATCAGGTAGTAGACGACGCCGTTCAAGGCACGGGTGCGGAGGTTGAAGTAGGCGGCATTGACCTCGGTGAAGTGGTAGACGTAGAACCAGTTGGATGCGATGAACATTGGGAACAGAGCCAAGATGTAGGTGTCGGTCTGGAAGGTCTCCCACAGTCCAAGGATTTCGGATTTCCATGATGGGTGCTTCATAACGATGACCTTGGAGCCATCGGAACGGATGACATCCCTGGCATCGACAAGCGTCCATGAAAGAGCAGCTCCGATGATGGTGAGGACGAGGAAACCGATGTAAGTGCCATCATTCACATCCGCGGGCTCGGTAGTGTGAATGTTCTGTCCCAAGGGAATCTGTAGCGACCGATACGATCAGTCAACCATGTCAGACGCTCGACTAGAATCTCGCCACCACAACGCGAGCAGGATGGGAGGAGAAAAATTGACGGGGACTTACCAAGCTGCCAATGACAGCACCCAAGTTGAAGATCATCCAAAACCAGGAGATGTAGCGACCCTTTGAGCTCTCGGGTGGGTAGGACATCATGATAGCACCCTGGGCGCACCACAGCAGACCGGCGCACACACCGAGGAGGGCGCCCGCAAAGGTGGTGAAGCCGAGATTCTTGGTGTGGTTGTAGCTGAGGTAGGACGCGACGTAGATGCAGTAGCCGGCGCCTCCGAAGGACAGAGCGGTGCGGATTCCGAGTCTGTTGGTGAAGGAACCCGCGAGGAAACCGACGACGGCGAAGGTGGAGTAGAGCGCGGTGTTGGCCTTGCTGTTGGCGGTACTGTCGAGTTGACCACCTCCACCCATGCCATTGAGGGCATTGAACATGCCCGGGCACAGGAAGCAGACCAGGGAGACAATGACGAGCTGGACGGGAGGCGAGGCATACCAGGGAAACTTGAAGCCGAACAGCTTGACGCGCTTGTATTTCCACGAGTTTGGAAGCTGGAGAGTGCCGGTAGGCTCGTGGGTAGAGAGTTCTGGGGCGTCGACCTCATGAGAAGCCTTTGCACCCTTATCGTCGGGGTACGCAGAGGTGGTGGTGGTGGCCATGATCGTTTCGAAACCAGCAGGCGCGATAGGGGACCGCTGGAGTGGATGGGCACAAGTGTTTTAGGATGAAAACGGCGACTCCTCGTGCTAGTGAGAGGGCGCGCAGCGGAGTGGAGTGGTATTTGGTGGTAGTAGAGGGATGGGTGGAAGATTGGAAGTGAAGTTGACGTGGACGTGAACGGAGAAAGTGGTGCGACCCTGATAAAGGGAAACAATGAAGGAAGGAACAGTTGGTGTTGGTGGTGGTGGTGGTGATAATGTGAATAAATAAAATATGTCGAGACCCTTTTTTGCGCTTTTGCCCTTGAATGAACTTTCGCGTTAAATCCTTCACAAACGCACTCAATCACACACACGCACACTCGTACTCGTACTTTATTTAGACCTTGACCTCGTGCACCTACAAACTCTCGGGGAAGAGAATCGAGGGTGGTATGACAATTGAAAAGGCACGACCAAGACCTAGCGAGATGCAGGATCAAGATCGAGTCCAGGTCAAGAGGTTATAGGTTTTTGATAAGTCGAGACTCAAGAAAAGGTATTGGTATTAGGTGGTGGATTTTCTCGGTAGAGCGTGGGCCCGCAGCCATTTTAAGCACATGTCAGCCAGGGCTTCCTCAATGGCGCCCCCCAGTGCCCCCTCCACACCCAGACTCCCTACCCTACCCTACGGGTCCCTTCCCTACCCTCCAAGGGTCCCAGCGCGTGCGCGATGTCGGTTTGAAAGGCTGTTAGTTTGGTCATCTCCTCTTTGGGGGGAGGGGGGGGGGTAAACTAGGCTAAGGAAAGAGGAGGCGAGGGAAGAGGGGGGTGGGCGGGTCCATGTTTCCAAACGGCACTAACTTGGCCGACTGGGGGAGGGAAGGGAAATCAGAGAGAAGAGAAGAGGCGGATGGGCGTGTATACGGTGAATGTTGGCGTCCATTATGGTGGGAGGATCGTCAAATGGACGAATGAGAAACCAGGGAGGAGGGAAGCAAGAGAGGGGAAGGGGGTCAGATCCAACTCCACTATTACTGTCTACCTACTCCGTACCACTATCAACTATCTAGTATCTAGTATCCGAATAGTTATGCTAGGTAAGGTATCTATCTATCTGCTATCTACTACTACTACCTACATACTACACTTGATTGCACAGTTCACATTACCAGGATAGAATACTACGATACAATCAATACAAGCATCTCCCCATCCATGTAGTGTCATGTCATGCACAATCTACCCGTCCAACCATTCAACCAAATACGTACCTAGATAGACTGATAGATGACCGGGACAGTACGAGTACGAGCAACACCTGGGAGTACGTGTATGTAGTATGTAGTATGTAGTATGTAGTAATGTACACGGTGCAAGTACGATACTCCGGTTACTGCAAATAGATAGAGATATTGATAACAAACGAACAACAGTCACGATGAACCATGACAATCGACAAGAAGCTCGAACAACCTGCAGCACGCGACACACAGGGGCCCCCTCGGGTGGAGCTGTGTCCCCGAGCAAGCAAGTACCAAGTGTACCAAGTGGAAAAACCCTCCTCCCAGCAATTAGTTTAGTTCGATCTCCAGGAGATTACAAGGTACCTACCAACGAGTCCATCCCGTCCCGAGTAACAGCTGGAGCTCCAACGCAACGAACGACCGGGCTGCCGCATGAGTTTGAGGAAACCTACCTGCGCAACCTGAGAACGCCTCCCGAGCTTGAGCGAGGAAAGGGAGGGCACCTAACGGGTTGGAGTCGATGGAGGAGGGGAGGTGGGCCACTTGGGGGCGCCACGAGAACACGACAATGCATCGTCCGGGGAGGGGGGCGCGGCGCGGTAGGCTGGGGTGGCTTTTCTCTTAATGCTTGGGGATCGCTCACCACTGGCACTGGCAGTTTTCATTATTGCTGGGTGGCTGAATGGATATGCATGCAATGCAATGCATCTACTGGGGTGGGAGGGGAGGAACGGCGAGCCTGGAGGGATGCGCCGTGCGGTGGGTGGTGTCGTTCTTTTGCCATGGCCACCCGCAGTCGCGGTCACGGTCACGATCACAATCACAATCACGATCAGGATTACGACCTGTTTCCTATGCTGGTTAATCGGCAGAAAGGATATGACACGCCATGGGGGAGTAGCGCAGGGTTACGGGGTGGGAGAGAGATACGGCACGGGACTAGGGCCAGTGGGATAGCGTGCAATCCTTCAGGCTTCTCATATCGTTCAGTCAAGCATCAATAATCAAGCATTTCAAAGTCAGTCGACGGTCTGTTCTATGTGTGCAGATAGATAGCAGAGCGGGGGCGGGAGCCTGAGTCTGACATGACAAATGGATGGACGGTGATAGCGATGGTTGGCCTTACTTTGTTACCTCTTTGTTGCTGTTGCAGATGCTCTTGTTGGTCTTCTATTCACCACCACCCAGTTAACTAATGGGCAAGGGTGGTAGGGTGCACACCAGTGACCAGTGACCATACACAACACCAGCGCATAGATACTCTCGTGCTTCTACCGGGGCTGACGATCAAGGGTCAAGGGTCAAATGCTCGTTTGAATTATTTGATGGTCGAATTGGTGCTAAACGATCATTTGATAGGATTCAGCAATAATAGCAAACTGTCCGTAAGCCATCACCTAGGTAGGTATCTTTCCAACATCCTATCGGATTCTCATCTGGCTGGATCGACACTTATTTGTGACCCTCGAGATGAACCCTATCCGCCAGGGGGGAGAGGCTGGAATTATTCTTGAATATAGAAAAAAGAAAAAGAAACAATCAGCCGCAGTGTCAAGTTAACTGCCCCGAGATCCTCTCATCGTGGTGGTGAACTGTGAGAAACGACGAGGTCCTCCAGCTATCCAACGTCCAACAGGGATCAGGGGATTGAAATGCTCCTGACTGGCTGCACCAATACTCTGCTAATTCTCCTCCGATAAGGCTTGTCTACGCCTCAATTCTCTGCTCTTCTTTTCTTTTGCGGGATTCCTCTTCCAAAGATCCTTCTGGTCTTCCTCCATGTTCCTCTCTGTCCAATCAATTCCACATCACTTGACACCTTCGAGTCCACTACCCACAAGCAACCATTGCTCCCCAACTCGTACCGAGGCCGAACCCTAAATTAGTCCCGAGCTCCTCATTCAACCATCTTCTCCGTAACTAACCTCCGAGAATTAGTTACTCGCTTGTACCGATTGAACTTGGTACATAGCTACGTCAATGTAACCTTGACTTAACCTGACCTCAATCCACTTACCTATTCAATATCCCTCTCCTCTCCTCTCCTCTATCAAATCACAATATCTTCACCTGCCGCCCTACCACTCTGCTATCATCTGCTACTCTGCTGCTACCATTCCTACACCCAACATCAGTATCATCACCACAATCACATGCCTTGTCCGCCTTGTCGTTCCAGTGTGCGCCTCTGCATCACGACGCTCTCTCTATCTCTCTCTATACCCCGGCTTTCCTCCAGTACAACTTTCCCTTCATGGCTAACCCTCCCAAGCCCACACAGGGTCAAGAGTCGAGACCAGTGATAGCATGTTGTATAGCTTCCTATCAAGTCATGTCAAATCATAACGATTCACACAAGCATGCCGCCTTGCCCTTTGAATTATGTGGCTGTCTCTTTCCACACACTCTCATGATGACAGCCGCAAATGTGAGTGTGCTTGTGATCTTCCTCTTTGCTGTTGTAACATAGCAGCATGGTCACCGCCGTAGATGCATCCACAGATGGGTCGTGTTGTACTACCACGTTAACCTCGCCCTCCCAGTATTCCACCGCATCACCACTTGGTACATTCATTTCGGGCCGGAAGCTCTTGACCTAACATTCACATCGACAACATATCCCCAGGTGGCATCTATCCGATACTCCATGTCCGATGCCACGCTATCTTCTGTTCGATTGGTCGAGGCTCGGTGCTGCCCTGAGATTTCGCGTTGAGGGAAGCCGTCACCCACATCTTGGGTGACGGTGTACCTGACAAAGAAGATGGTGACGGAACCCTGGGAAGAACGAGCATCCAACCATTGCAGCATGCTCTGCCACTATTCCCATTCCCCTTACCCTTACCCTTAGATCCCCATTAATCCCATTGCCACTACTACCATTACCACTACCACTCCCCGTCCGCAACCAGTGACGTTGACCAGTCCTCTGTATAGCTACTCTGCCACCCGATCAGAGAAAACTTCCGTCGCCGCTGTTTCTGGGTGCTCATCTCACACCAATATATTCCCCCGCCTCTCCTGTGCTACTCTAATCGTCACCGAGTCTCTTTCACTCTCCTACTTCATCAGCAGAAGAAAAGCAATTACACGCTCTACATAGCACTGCAGCTAAGGTCAAACGAACAACCATGTATGTACGCTCATGCACACAACATGCACGGAGGTCCGACATTATCCAAGCACACCGCTTACCGAGTCTAGGCGTCTTATTATTCGTGATGATCCGCAGGATGCATCAAAGTATATCGCGGACTACATCATTGGTTCGTCCTCCATACTCCCTTGCACTCCACTCCCTACACTCTTCATAGATGATAATATACACTACCCTTTGTCTTGCCCATATTTCCAGCCCCGACTGACATGGCCAAACACCAGAGCGCATCAACGCCTTCAATCCAACACCTACGAAGCCCTTCGTCTTGGGGCTCCCCACCGGCAGCAGCCCCATCCTGATCTATCAACATCTGGTCCAAAGGCACAAAGCAGGCGCCATCTCCTTCCGCAATGTGGTTACCTTCAATATGGTAAGATTCACACCATTGTGCCGACTCCCAGCAATCGGCCGTCCCCCTTACTCCGCAACGTTACACAGCATCAACCTCAGTTCTCTTGTCTGACCAGTCTCGTAGGACGAATATGTCGGGATCCCGCGCGAACACCCTGAAAGCTACCACAGCTTCATGTACAAGCACTTCTTCTCGCATGTCGACGTGGATCCAGCCAATATCAATATTCTCAATGGCAATGCCCCTGACTTGGAGGCTGAATGCCACGAGTACGAGGACAAGATCAAGCGCGCCGGCGGCATCGAGCTATTTCTGGGTGGTGTAGGCCCCGATGGCCACATCGCCTTCAATGAACCAGGTTCCAGCCTCAAATCTCGGACTCGCGTGAAGACCCTTGCCTACGACACCATTCTGGCAAATTCCAGATTCTTTGGAAATGATCTCTCCCAAGTCCCTAGGATGGCACTGACGGTCGGTGTCCAGACCGTGTTGGAGGTTCGTGCTCACCGAAATACAATACATGCTACCCGAGACCACGAGCTGACAGCTATAGGCACGCGAGGTCGTCATTATCATCACTGGCGCACACAAGGCTCTCGCCTTGCAGAAATGCATCGAGGGCGGTGTCAATCATATGTGGACTCTCTCGAGCCTTCAATTACATCCCCACCCAATGATTGTCGTTGATGAAGATGCCACGCTGGAATTGCAGGTCAAGACTGTCAAGGTGAGCTTCACTCGGGTCAATTCTCGACTCCTTATGTTTCGTACTAATCCACCTTGCAGTACTTCAAGAGTATCGACAGGGTCGCCACTGAGTGTGGGTTCCGGCAAATGCTTCCCAAGAAGCGCGATTCCGTCGTTGAGGATCAGATCCACTTTCCGGGAAACAACTTGACCAACAATGTCAAGCTAGACATCCCCCAGTTCAACCCCTCGCGTTCAGCAAGCCCGATGCTGGAGGCTATGAGCGCACGTATTACCGACGATGGAGATGGTACGACAATATACCGAAACGTCGACGCCCTTGAGGAGCCACAATTGCTCGCAATGAGTGCCCGCGTCTCGTGAACGATCTACCATCATGATTTCATCACGTTTCACCACTCGAATATTTGGACACTCGTTTTCTCGGGACTGGCTGCATTCCTGTTTTGATTGTTTGTATCGGCAAAAGGCGTTGAGGGATTTTGGGAACCAAGTTGCATGGCTGAGAATGTTGTATAGCGCAAGGGCTTTTTGTTTTGTTTCCGCTTCTCGAAGACATTCGTTATTTTTTTTGTTAGAGAAGAGAACTCCATGATGAGATGAAGACCGTGGCAATTAGAAGCTAGACGCATGACATCAAGATACCCACGTATGTTCTCCGTAATACATACTCATCCCATAGACTTGTATATCAATGTATACGTATTCTCGTATCCGTGTTGTTCAGTGTAATTCGTGTGTACTACTCCGTGTATATGGAGGTAGTATATGGGTGCTGGTGGCATCCAGTGGATTTGGTAGAATGAATGGTCTACTAACCTAACCTCACGATGCACTGGACAGTGATTAGCGCAGCTCACACGATAGATGGGGTTTAGAGCGTGCGAATAAATGATCAATCAGACTGCAATGGATTACTAGGCGATTACAAGTAAGTGTCCCTACATTGAGGAGTTCGCACGTGCGATTCACAGGTAATTGACATGGGGACCGGCCAAGCCGAGGTCCGTCATCCCCAGCATCATGAACCTTGAACCTGGGGAAAGGCTCAGGGCCTAAACAACTAGCCTCCGCTTTTTGTTATTACATATGTGCACAACGACAAACCTTCTCCACCTTCTCCTTTCGCGGGAATGATACATGCGACCGGAACCGTAGACAGCATCGTGGCTACCCAACATGTCGTCCTCCTCGAGCGCGTCGCAGCCGTCGTCCGGCAGACCTGAGAGAATCGACCCCGTCTTGCGCAACGCGCTTCGATACACAGTGAGCCCGAGGGAATACCAACTACTCCATCAGTACCTCCTTTCCCGCGCACCGGCCGTACGCAAGCGAACACTACCTCCACGGAAGTACGATGCCATCGCGAAAGGATTAGACGACTACAATGCTGCCGCGATCCGCGCATCGTTGCGACTCGCCGTGGTGACGTACTCGGGCCTCAAGGCGTGGGACCTCATCAAGTCCAAGCTGCTGTCGCGAGGGGCAGCACCCCCGAGGTAAGATTTCCGAGCCTCCATCGAGATATCGCAGGATACTGATCATTGTGTGATGTGTGCAGTTCGCAACGCCGGACAGCTATCTGGAAGTCGCCCAATGTCCGTCTGACATGCTCTCTATCCCTTATTCTCCTATTCCATAGACTGTTGCGCCGCTTCTTCACACGCCTGCGCGAGAGTCTGCTCACCAACGAGGCAAAAGCATTTCGACGGCGCAACCCCCGGATAGCAAAATCATTGACGTCTCGTGTTGCGCCCGCAATTGGATCGAGTCTGGCGGGTTTCCTACTCGCCGTGTGCCCCGGAGACCAATTGCGAATCACGATTGCCATCTATGTCTTCACACGAGCGTTGGAGTTCTGGTACAACTACCTCGACGACCGGGGCTACTTCAAGAACAAACCGTCGTGGTTTGGATCCTGGATGATCATGCCCGTGGCGTGCGGCCAACTGCTCCACGCCTTCGTCTTCGACCGGGACTGTTTCCCCAGCGCATACGGGAAGTTCATCCTGAACAACTCCCCCGAATACATCCAAAAGAAGCCGCAGGACTATCCCCCGGAGCTGAAGTTCCCAGGAACCTTCGACATCGTCGACAGCCTCGCCCAGATCTCCAAACTGAAATGGCCCGCCTTCGTCTCCCCCATCCTGTTCCCCGTATCCGAGACCCTCCCCCGCAGCCTCACATCCATATCCCCCATCACCTCGCCCGCACACCCAGCCATCAAATCGCTCTCCTGCGCGCTCCTCCACCCCAACGACCCCTCCTGCGTCCGCACCTACATATCCTACTGGATCCAAGCCTTCCCGAAAGTCGCCCGCTTCTTCACCATAATCTACGCCGCCATGTCCATCACCCGCTGGCGCTCCTTCCTCGACTCCCCCGTCACAGCCGTGAATCGCCTCGCGAAGAGCATCCTCCGCATGTCGCTCTTCATCTCCGGCGCCATCGGCACAAGCTGGTCCTCCATCTGCCTCTTCCAGCGGCTCCTGCCCCGCAACTTCCTGCCCACGCAGCGCTGGTTCCTCGGCGGCTTCCTCGGCGGCCTGTGGGCGTTCCTCGAGCGCAAGTCCGGCCGCAGCAACTTCCTGTACTCGGCGCGCATGTCCATCGACTCCCTGTGGAAGGTCGGCGTCAAGCGGGGCTGGTGGAAGGGCGTAAAGAATGGTGATGTCCTGCTCTTTGCCGTCAGCCTTGCGACCGTCAACGTGCTGTACGAGATCTCGCCCCGGTCCGTCAACAGTGGGGTTGCGAGGAAGGGGTTGGGGGTGTTGAGGGGGGAGGGCTGGGTTGACAGGGCGGCGCTGCCTAGGAGGGAGAGGGAGGCTGCTGAGGAGTGATGTTTACATTACGTACTTCGTACTTCGGTTGTTTTTGGTTTTGATCGAGGTTGAGGTGGGTTGAGGTGTGTGTTTTGCATTGAAAGGATTTGAGGAGCGGGAGGGGATTGCATCTGTACTGTGGGAGATATATATCAAGGCGTTTTGTTTTGGGAACGAGGGGATTGTTGATACGATTGATTGGATGTTTCACATGCCCGGCTCTTTTATGAGGAAGTTTAGTGTAGCATGTAGGAGCGCTGTATTTAGGTAACTGTCTAATTCTATTTGATGCCCCTTGGGTCTTACTACTTGATCACTGTAGCTGTAGCTCAAGTTCGAGATATTGCAATTGATGTCTTGAAGTCTTCACTTGTTGGCTATGAACACGATCGAACCAGCCTTGTAAAGAGATTTTGTAGAATCCCGGCTTGTTTGTCATAGTAAGAGACCAGTCATCAATTAAATAGAAAAAAACAAATCCTCGAAACAGTAAACTATGTAGGGTTCAAAAATCCTATTAAGATGCATATAAAGTTCCCAAAGAATGTCTGAGCCGCGTTTGTATTATCATTGAGCAATAATCGCATTCAAGGGATGAATGTCAGTAACACGTGATCGCTGGCATGGCCTGTGCCACCCTTGTTCTTCACGTCGTCCAGAAAGTCGCGACCCCCAACCTCAACACCGTTTCAACATCACAGCTGTGCGCAACCCTAACACCTTCAACCTCTCCATACCGAAAGTCCGCGGCAATAGGACCCCCGTAATTGGAACGAATTAACTCTGTCCATCGACAGGAGTGAGGGGTTTGGAATCCTCATCGCGCAACCGCAATGGCGCGCGGCCGTCCTTCACGAGCTGCGGCTCGTCGCAGCACTCCCTTGCGAGTAGCCACCCCACCGCCGGACTCGGACGATGAAATGATTGATGCGCCAGAGTCGCGTGCAGAGACTCCAGCCGAGGAAGAGGATGAGGCCGCGACACCGGCGCACGAGAGCGAGGAGGAAAAGGCGCCCTCGGAGCGATCATCACCACCGGTCGTTCAACCGTTCCCGCGTAAGAAGCGCCTCGGTCGCCCACCAAAGAATAGGCCGCCGGACTGGAACGTCATTCCTGATAACGTCTCCGAGGGCGGCACACCCATCAAGCGCAAGCGTGGCCGTCCTGCTGGGGGAGGATTCCGGGGCCGACCCCGAGGAGTCCCAGCTGGGCCAACGCGGGTTGCCATCGACAAGGAGGGGACGATGATGGATGTTGTAAATGACGAAGTTGATCTACCGGATGACCCAGAAGGAGAAACGAAAGTGGATAAGATGGGAAACCTACAGGGTGGCCGAGATTATCGTGTGCGTGTCTTTACCATCGGCGGAAGAGGAGACCGATTGTACATGTTGTCGACCGAGCCTGCCCGTTGCTGTGGATTCAGGGACAGTTATCTTTTCTTCACAAAGCACATGAAGTTGCATAAGATTATTATCGACGACACGGAAAAGAGGGATCTCATTGATCGCGAAGTCATCCCACATTCTTACAAAGGCCGAGCTATTGGTGTCGTCACCGCGCGATCGGTATTCCGAGAATTTGGCGCACGCATTGTTATAGGAGGAAAGAGGGTCATAGACGATTACTACGCCCAAGCAGCGAGGGAGCGAGGCGAGATCGAAGGCGAGATCGCGGAGCCCCACGATAAGCTACCCCCTCCAGGCGAACCCTACAACAAGAACCAGTACGTCGCGTGGCATGGTGCCAGTGCTGTGTACCACACAGGCGTGCCTAGTGTTCCCATCACCAACGGAAAGCTTCCTGTCGGTCCCAAACGAAAGGTCAATATCACTTCAGCCAACTGGCAATTCGAACATGCCCGCTCTGCTAGGTAAGTTGCCACAACCTTCGTGAAAAACTCTAGAACCGTAGCTAATTCATGCAGTCGCTTCAACTCCGTACTATCTCAAGTCCGGAAAGAAAACATGCAAGGCATCTACGATCCCCACACGAACTTAATGTGCTTCCCCAAGATCACCCAACCGACTCACGCCCGGTGGGAAGAGGTGCCCCCCTCCGAGTCCGACGTGCCCAGCATCGTCCGGCGAAACTACCTCATCGTCGACCGCGTCTACCAAAACCCACCCTTCACCGGTCTGGGCAATCCGGGTGCCGACGCCGACTTCTGCGACATAGGCCCGAACGGGCTCCCCAAGGTCGACGACGAAGATCTCGAGAAGATGACGCCTGAGGCGCGCGCGGCCTTTGTACAGGCAAAGAGCGCAGAAGCAGAGTGGAGGAACCAGTGGCAAACGGAGCACGTCGACGGGAAGCGAGCGAAACTCAAGATTGCATTCACAGGCGTTCCGGTCTAAGTTCGTTTCAAACTGCCGCTCTATCATCAAGGCATAAGAAAGAAGTGTGGTTTTTTTTTTCATTTTCTCCTTTTCACATTAATGTTGGGGGCGATCAGGAATACCAAAGTTTCCAAACACAACAACGTGTATGTGTGTATGTGTTTGTGTGTATCATTATAGGTAGTTATAGGATAATGATTTCGAATGGCTCACGGGGTTTTCTCATTATTTACTGTTCTCTACGTCCAGGGTCCGCCACATCAACAACCATTCGTCCAGCGCTTGTTCCCTTTGCTCGAAGAACAACCAACATCATTGGACAAAAATGCTCGAGCCACACTTCCAGCACCACTAGTTATAGTTAAAACAAGCCCAAACCCGCGGAACAATCAACCCCCAACCCCCCAAGGACAAAGGGCGGTGCTCCCCGCCATGGGCAACCAGACGATCCATAGGGCTGACACAAAGCCAGAAGACATCTAGAAAAGCGATATTGAATCTTGGCGTCGCGCTTGAGATCTCCCCCTCCCCTCCAACGAATACTCGATATGGGATGGGCGAGGGGGAGCACTTGAACACTTTCCTGTTCCAGACAAAGCGGGATTGAGGGCCCTCTCAATGGTAAATGCTATATCCATTCATGTCTCCCAGAATGAATGGGGGTTTTTGAAAGTCATGAACTTCGCAGCGTTGCTGATATTGTGCTAGGGTAGGCACACACGCACGACATACGCTTCTGGTCGACATGGAGGAGGCAAGTTCTGTGCTTCCAGCTTTAGTAAATGCGACGGACGCATGCCCGGAGCCGTTGCTTGATCAGTCGCTCTTTGGAGTGAAGAGAGGATGTCAGTTTTTCCCCGAAATGAGCTGAAGAAACTCAACTTAACTTATGATATCGTCATAGATCAAGCCGGACGTTACTGCGGTCTCGGGGCATTATCAGATGGAAACACATGCTGTTTGCCATGTCCGATTCAAGACTGGGTATATCATTCAGGTTCGCTGAATCCCCTCAGAACCCATTATCAGCAGACACTGAACTATATTACGCAGAATGGAAGCAACAACTCCGGATCTCAAACTACCTCTCCATCCTCTCAGTCGCACTCTGTGTCTTCCTCCTCCTCTCCTTCGCCGTGCTCCCGGCGTCTGCAACCCGCCGACACTACCTCTCCGTGGGCCTCCTGTTCCCTGTCCTTTCCATCAGCCTCTCGTTCGTCATTCCCATCGGCTCGAACCCGGACCTATGCTACGACGCCATCACGCCCAACGACATGAACTCGTCAGCGTCCTGCGCGTGGACCGGCGCGCTCGTCACGCTCGGCGGGCTCGCCAGCGTCATCTGGGTCTTCCTTCGCAGCCTGTGGCTGCACGTCCGCGTCGTGTGGGACGTGGCGCCAGGGAGGGGGTTCAAGTGGGCGAGTATCGCGGCGGGGACACTGTTGCCGCTGGGGTTCCTGGTTGCGATTCTCGTTCGCACGGGGTTCTCGTACCGTATGGGGCGGACGTGCTTGCCGAATCATGAGGATGCGATCGTGACGTTTTGGGCGTGGTTGATGGCGTTTGCGGTCGCGGCGTTTGTCCTGCAGTTCGTTACGACGGGGTACTGTGTTATGGTTTACTTGAGGACGCTGAGGAGGGAGAGGAGCCGGGCGAGGAGCACGTTTGAGCGTGGAGGTCGGGAACGGCTCGATACGTGGCGAGAGGTTAAGAAGATGCTGGTGTTGCAGTGGAGGAATATTCTTGTCAGCATCTTTGTGTTGGTAGGGAGTGTGGCTTTCTTTGTGGTGTTCTGGGCTCAGGACTCGAAGCTGGGCCGAGTGGATAATGAGGAGGATCTGGTGGCCGTGAAGACTTGGATTGAGTGTCAGATGGCTAGTCGTGGGGACAAGGCGCAGTGTAGGAAGTATGTGGAGGGCTTGACTGTCCCTTTCGCATCTGTACTCACGGCTCTGATCTTGGCTTCCGTAAGTTCAATTTCACTGCTCTCTGCAGTCTGCTTTCCCTTCGTTTTCAAAGGCATTGCCGGGATCTGACAATCTCAACAGCTGGTCGGTGTAGAAATATTCATCCTACTTTTCCGTCTTTCCATGCTCAAGGCATGGATAACTCTCTTCCGTTCTCTACCACGTCGCCTTCGCAACATCTACGCCTCCATACGGCGCCCCCCTTCCAACGACCCAGACGAGCTTCCCATGACCACCGGACCAGAGACAAAAGAGAATAAGACACCCTATATCCCACCAATCGACACCAAAACTCCAGGCCCAACACCACGAAGCAGCAGTGTGAGCGGCGTAATGGGACCCACGTACATAGAGAACATATCCCCGATTCTGCCCCCGACGGAAGCCCACGTGCGGTCGCCAATCTCGCCCGTAGAGTCTCTTCCGTCTCCAGTGTCAGAGTGGGAATGGAATGTTTCGGAGATGCGGGAGAGCATGCGATCGCCGACTCTGAGGCCGAAGGTCGATGACTCGTTCACACCGCATCGCAATCCGCCCCCGCCGCCTTCGCGCAACTTTTCTCTGCCCGGGGCGTCGAGACGGCATAGTCTGTTGCGGTTGTCGTCGACAAATTTCATTCCGTTGCGATCGTCTATTCAGAGAACGAACTCGGCGAGGATGAGGCTGAAGTCGAGGATTAGTGATCCTGTGCCTGGGACCTTTGTGCATGTTGCTGGAGCATTTATCAATGATGGGGAGGTGGGAGATGAGAATGAACACATGGAGAGTTGAGTTCACGCGGGAGTTGAGTCTGATTGTGCATAATTGTCACTCTTTCTTACAGCCTTTTGGCACTCGCGGATAGACCTTTATAGAAATGTTGTACTCTTTTACGTTGTTCCACAATTGCTCGCTCGTCAGTGAAATTCTTTGAGGTTGATTCCTTCACTATCAACCAGGTGACATTTCACTGCTGAAGCAGGAATTATGGTTCTATACGCGCCGTGGCCATTGTTGTTCGGTAAAAGTCGACGAACTTCGTCGTCCTGGACGATCTATATTTGGCGTTCCTGCTTCATCAATAGGCATATCCAATAGCTCTATGTCGTTATTCGGCATGTTCATCGGCCTGCCCACCGGCACAACCACCAGCGGCAGGTTCCGTTCCCGTCGTTTTGCGTTGAGGTAGAGAGCGAGCAGCGCAACACCCAGGACAAGGATTATGCCAATGATTGTTAATCCAAGAATCGCCAAACCCATGGCTGCTGGACCTTTTTGGCTTAGAAATGACCTAGACCCCATTACAGCGGAACGCGCTACATTCCCCAAGGTCTGTCTCGCTTCGGGTGTGGTTGGGCTGAACAGCAAGTGGCCTCTCGGGTTTTCTAAATGCTTCCGGTCGGCGACGGAAGCGTTATGAGAAGATGGGTGATGGTTCGTCTCTGAAGATAAGATCGGAGCATTATATGTCTCTTTGACTACGTGGAATGGATTTCTTAGCAGAGGCCTTTCGTCGGCATGGCGAAGTGCTATCTGATATATCTCGGCTGCGAGAAGGTCTATGAAGGGCTGGCTGTCCCAAATATATGAACCGCCCGTAACATGACCTATCTGACTTAGAGCGAGACACGAGGTGAAAGTACAGGGAACTGACGAGTGAGTACGATAGAATCATCGTTGAAGACTAGCTCGATCGTGTGCTGCGGACAATTGTCAGATATTGAACTATTTCCATGGATAACACCATCTGAACATACATTGTTATCCAGAGGAGTAGCATTGAAAGAGACGTGATAATGCCCACCAGGCATTATGACATCACTGATCGAGATGTCATGGAGTGTTGGTATCTGCGCAGTCATGGTGTGGGATTGAGTAATAGTGTGTTGATTAGTGAATGGGGTAATGCAGCGAGCGATTATGAGATGATGGAGTAGAGATGGGTTTGACAATCAAAGTGAGTGCTAGACAACAGAAACAATTGAAGTAGTAGATAAAGTCGGATGGAGCATGTTCCTAGGAAAAGAAAGTGCCATCATCGAATGGGAGGTGCGTTTCCGGTCGTGCCTGGGCCAATAAGGCGTTAGCAGACAATTCTACATTCTGTAACCATGTAGCAACAATCCGTGTTCATTGCTTGACAATATTATACGTGTCTATGGAGATCTTCTGCAGTGTTCTATGTTGTTCATTTTTTCCTTGCAGATATTTGGCGCCTGCGGAGCAATAGCCTTAATATGTCATATAGCTATAGAGAAAGCGCAACTAAGAAAGACGGGATCTCTAGAGTTGAAAGCTATGTAAATTATAAAAGAAAGATAACGGAAGAGTCCTGTGCAAAATCCTCAGTCTATATAAATGCTCTTTTAGTATACTAACAACGTACAGTGTTGAATTCTCTTCAATTTAAACCTCGTGGCTACTTTATACATACCGACCTCAAAGTTAAACTAAGTACAACATAGGGCATAACATGTGTCCTCGAGTGTGTCCTTCGTGCATCTCTGCCCACGCCACGGTGCCTCCAAGATCTAGGCATGCGGGGATTGTTTCTCCTTTCATGCGTTTACTAGTACAGAATTTTGCAGATAAAGCTAGCTAAGTACTGTAACAACAGAAGAGCTTGCGTGTATTCGAAGTACAATGTTACCCAGCAGACCATACGAGGTACAAATAGCAAGGTACCATATATCAGCCCCCGGCTGACGGTTAATAGTGAGCAGAGAAGGTATAGAGTCGGCAGTGCACGACCCCTAAATAAGTACACCCGCAACTATAAGCTCTACTTATACATGTCAGATTTGATAGCATTTGAAGACCGATTTCACTCCCCTTTCTTGCCTCTGAGCGTGACCAGTCCCATACCTTCTTTTGCACATGCACGTAGGATCGGCTTCGCTTCCAAGCTGGTGCAGGATGTCGGCCTGCAATTGGATCCCCACACTTGCAGGACGAAGCTCGGATTATCTAAAGGCCGATATGCCAACTAACATGCCAGCCCACGCCGCACTGAATTAAGAGAAACTTATCTCTTTGGCCCTCCGTGGTCTGTCGGTTTAGATGATTTCGTCAACGCAAGTGGATAGTCTTTATTCACGAGTTGAGAAGTGCAAGGAGGAGGATAGGAAGCGAGAGGAGTTGTTGGATGTATGTAGGGGCCCACTTCATTGAGATGATCGTCGAGCTAAACTGTTGCAGGAACTTGTGGCCAAGTTACAAGCTACGACAGAGGAGCTAAAGAAGACAAAGCTAGATTTGGAACATGAGATCTCTGCGCGACGTGGGCTGCAAGAGCAGAACAATGAGTTGTCATCAAAGTTGACGGCGAAGCCATATGTTTTGGTAATCGTCGATGCAGATGGGTACTACTTTAATGGCTTGAATGAAGGTGAAGAAGGGGGTAAAAAGGCTGCGGATATGTTAGCTAAAGCGGTAAAAGAACACATTAAGAGCTTGGGGAATGATTTTGATCAATGTGATATCGTTGTCGAGACTTACGCCAACACGGAAGGTCTAGGCAAGACACTGGTCGACAACAGTCAGGTGCGGTCAATTAACGAGTGGAGACATTTTTGGAGTGGCTTTGTTTGTCGGCAACGAATGTTCGCCCATGTAGATGTGGGTGGAGGAAAGGAGCATGCTGATCAGAGGATTCGTGGTATGTCCTATATCCTTCAGCAATCAAAATCTCAAACCTACTAATCTATCGACAGAGAGGGTAGAATTTCACAGTCGTATCTGGCAGTGTAAGCGAGTGTTTCTCGGTTGTTGCCATGATGCAGGCTACGCGACATTTCTAGGCCAGTTTGTTTCAACTGGAAAGATTACCTTGTTGAAGGACGGGGTGTGTCATCCAAAGTTGGAGGCTTTGGGTCTCCCGACAGTGGAATTTCGCGGACTGTTCACCGGGCCAGTGGCTTCTGGAGTTTCCGGTGCGTCTAAAGGTGGAAAACGCTTTCAGAACCCCTTTGCTTGGCAAATGAGGCTTCTACCAGTTAGGATCGATAACAAGAGTGGACTACGTTATGATCGGCCGGTCACCGTCACGATAGAAGATGTGAAAAGGATTGAGAAGATGAGGCTTTGCCACTGGTTTTATCTGACTGGTGCATGCAAGGGTTGCGACCGGGTACACCAGGTAGAGCAAAGGCTAACCACTGACGAATTTGATTCACTGTGGACAATCGCTCGAAGAGGTGAATGCTATAACAGCAGGAAGAAGAAGGTTTGCCACGATCCTTTATGCATCTATGGCCATAAACCCTGAGCGCAGTGGGATAGGATCCCGGGTTTTTCTGCTAATATCAAATGTTTATGTGAAAACGCAATGATCGCTTTTGCCAGAGGCACTAGGGGATGGAGTGCTATGAAGGCTGGCATATATTTATTGGACAAATTCAAGTCTCTTGTGATTGATTTCAACTTCTCGACAAGTATTAGAACCTGCTCGTGGAGCAGCGAAGTGACCCTGTACGCAACGAGGAGACTTGTTATACCGTGAGTGTGAAAAGTTGAGATAGGAAGGGACTTCGAGATTGTTCAAAAGAATTATAGCAATCACTGGTGTGTTTTGATACTATAATCATCGTACAAAAGGGCTTTTTCTGGCCCAATCCTAGCATTTATCATTGAGGTGGCGAGCGATAGGGTTATATCGTGATTGAAGTGAATGGTTTGTCATTCCGATATCTAAAGTCAAGATACTCTTTGAAATCATAGTTGACATGATACCCATCCATCTATTCTCTTTATAATTACACAAACTCCAATATCTATTAATTCAATCATGGCGAATTACAGTCATGTGACTTCGCGCTAGCGCGTTCCCCTTCGTTTGGCCGAGCTGTTTGGGACTCATACGCCAACCGTTCAGAAGAACCCCTACTGCATCATCCTCAAGCAACATGGCACCCGGCGAGCGATCCGAAGAAGTATGGGCCTGGTACACGGCCGTGTACGAAGCCGTGCAAGAGATCCCCCGGGGACGAGTTACGTCATACGGACACATAGCACGGCTGGTCGGGAAGCGTAAGGGAATACCTCAGTACGTGTCCGCAGACCAGGACCGCGAGACTAACATTGCATGCAGCTGAATGTCCGAGGTATTTTTGTTTCCTGACTTGAAGAACCATGCGTGTAGTTGGATTCCGAACTGATGAGGAGTGTGTGACGATCGAAGACAGGTTGGGGTGGTGCTCAAACATCTCCCCTCTCGGTCAGTAGACCCGAGCAAGAAGAGCGCGACCTATCATGATGGGAACGTGCCGTGGCAGCGCGTGATCAACGCGAAAGGGAGCATCAGCCCGAGGTTAGTTTTCAGCTGCTTTATTTCACGATATGACAAAGGCATGTTTGTATTAATGAGACAAAGGGGCCCCACGGGAGCCAGCAGACAAGCAACAGCACTAAGAGCTGAAGGGGTTGAGGTAGAGCGAGGGCCGATGGGGGAGTACTCAATAGAGCTCTCAAAGTATGGCTGGTTTCCAGACGAGTTGCCAAGCGAAGCTGGCCTTGTGGAGAGCGAAAGCGAGGACGACGAGGGAGAGGAAGAGGACGAAGAAGCAGCTGCCTACCATACCTGAATGATCATGGATGTCGAACATGTGTTCGCAGCTGATAATGGGTTACGAACACGGTAGCTGACAGTGAAGACTGGAGCTGACGTGTTCGGGGGTTAGAGACACAGACTGAAAGCAAATCTGTCACTGTGAACGGCAACATGTTGAGAACTGATCTGATCTGTTCTATTCTCTTCTGGACTTAGGGATAGTGGATGGGATATTGTTGCGAGGTACCCGGTAGATAGAGAGTGGGAGGGAGTCTGGGAGATAGGTCTTCGGACATCCCAAGTAGGCAATGGATGTCTGGGGGTGGGATAAGATGGAGGGGGACGGCCGAATCCGGGTTCTTATCTAGACTGCGTGCCATGGCGACCCCATGTCATAAGCTGGAATGCCGATAGGAGGCACTCTACTTACTCTGTACATACTACACAGTATGTAACTCATATATATTAGTAACATACTCACACGCGGGAAATACAATAGATGCTATTTGTTGAGAAGGGCGGAGAGATGAAAGTTTAATATGACTACTGTACGGGATGTGTGAGTATGCGCACCGCAGCTCCGTGACTGTTCACCTATGTCTGAGTGAGAGTTGAAGGTACTGTACACTGCAAAGGACCACAGAGGACAAGGGGATACTACCGAGATAGGGAACCTTTCAGTGGAGATTGTGGAGATTGGATTGCGGATCATTTGGTCGCGTCAGTGATGTTGTGCATAGACGCAATACAATAGTTGCAAGACTATGGGGATCGAGACCAAGCTGGAGGTAACAAGTCATTAACAAGTTCGCAGATAGCTTCCCATGTTCCGACAGTAATAACTCATGACATGACTATGATAACCACGTTTTGCTCCGAGGTACAAATAATGATGTACATATTATTATTGTTGTTGTTCGTCTGTTACAGAGGCGTGAGAGGGTAGCAGCAGGGCGCATGATGATGATGACGGTGTCATAATACACTCCCAAAACCTGGCCTAGACGACGGCGGCGGCGGCGGCGGCGGTGTCATCATCACCATGATACAACCTGGTGGCCTTGAGTCTCGACTATTGAGCCTTGAAGCCTTGACTTGACTGACTCCTGGAACCGGGAGAGGGAGCACGCAAGATTCCGGTTTGAAAAGGGCAGCGTCGGCCAATCGGGTTTCTGTCACGAGGCTCGTTTCCATTCCATCATCGTTGACCCTTATCGCATGCGCCATCCGTCTATCCATCCATCCCATACCATACCATACCATTCACCCCAACCCGCCCACTCTTTGGCGACCTCCCCTCACCAAGGCCTGCCTTGAGCCGGGGGTTCAAGGTTTATTCCAAGAATGGCACATTACGGGTACGGGTACGACAAAGGCAGCAGCGCATGTGGGGAGTGGAGGCACGGCGAGGCGAGGCGTTGCGCCCTTCTTTGAATCGGGGATCTCGTGGTAGGCGGGTGACTCCCTCCATAAAAGGGACTCATTGTCCACTTCGCCTCCGTGCGCAGCAATCAAAGTCAAGTCAAACAGTCACAAGCCAGTCAGTCACAGTACCAGTTACTTGCCTGCTTGCTACAATACAATAATCTATTCAACCTGTTCTTCTACCTTCTTCCATACCTATACTCATACGCGCGCGAGTTGTGGCTGTTACTATCAATATCTCCACTACCTCCGAGGGTACCTCCATAACATAGCCACTATCTAGGTACTCACATCACAGCTTACCTCTCAACCTATTCACTCATAAGCTACAAGTACCACGACTGAGTCACAGCAAACAAACACCGGAGTCATCCCAAACATTCCCTGGAACCCTCCAGTCATCCGTCACCAGTCACTAGTCACCAGTTCCCCCTTTCGGCTTCTACCTCTCTTCCAAACCTTAACTACCTATACCTATCAACACCTTCCTGTCACACTTGACTTACCTTACATTTCTTTGTACTTGCTGTCGACTTCCTTTATTCCTTCGCATATACAATTACTTGTCCCTTAATCCCTGGGTGCCTACCTCTACCTACCTACCTACCACTTACCTCCCTGCGATCCACTTTTGTACTTCCCAACTTTCTTCCACAACAGTCATCATGTCTGCCGAACAAACCTTCACCAGCGACCTCCGCAGCGAAGCCAAGGAGTTCAATCGCGACAAGGACCACCGAGTCAAGTGGGCCCATGGTCAATCTTTTGGCCCTGGACGGCGCGTCGAAGATGCTCGGCCCCGACCTGCACGCATCGCAGCAGTCCCCAAGTGAGCAAAAGTCTCCGTGGCAGCTTACAGTGGCAGTGAATGACTAATAGTGTATAGAGCGTCATCGAACATGAACAAGGCTCGCACTTCAATCAGGAACGACATCGCATATGCTAGTGGCGACTCTTCGGCCGATGAGGACGTTGAACCTTCCTCCGCCGCCCCGGCTCCCGATGCTGAGATCACATATTCGTACGATGCCACAAGGGGACCATCCCAGGGCAGCCAAATCCTCGGACAGGCTCTAGCCCAGGCCATCGAACGCTTCGAGGACCGCCAAACGGATACGCTCATCAAGCGGGAATATGAGGTACTGGATGTCCACGGCGATGCTCTCTCTCCAATGCCCAAGGTCAGCAAGAAGAAGGTCGCTCCAGAAGATGAGGATTACGAGTTCATCGAGGCTTAGTCCTTGCCACCTCCACGATTTCCTCTTCTTCGATTCCATTAGCGTACGGGTAGGAGCTTCTCCGATGGCGTTTTGATCCCTTGTGGCATTCATTCATGAGATTGACGATACCACCTACTGCAATACCACCGCAGTAGGGGCTGGATCTGATTTCGTTTTGGGTTTTAATTAGCATTGCACCGGTCACCATAGCAGCATCAACAGGCGAGCGTTTGGCGCTTTCTGAGGACTTGAGCAGCTGTACATCTGCTACTGCAGCACGTCCCTTGTCTTTTTTGATATGATTTTGTTTTGTTCAAGAGAACTCTCCGAGAGCAGAGCGGGGGGGTTTGTTTCCATGGGTCGTACTTATTCCGCATGCCGACAGATTGGTTGCCGGCCCTGCTCGATAGTCCTATTGGTTATGAATGATTACTCAATCATTGGGTTGCATGAATTCATGCCTCCCACAAGCCTGAAAGACGGTAACAACATGCAAAATCGTGATGTAGGATGCGATTGTAAATGAATGCTTACCTTGAATCGTCATAGTTGACAGGTAGAGATGGCTGAGTGGTACTTGGCGAACCCCGTCAGATCCCACCGATCGGGTACGTCATGGCCACGCGTAGGCTATGTAGCCAACAGCATCGCGTCTCCTTTCCAGGATCCCTCCTCTGCCAATCTGTAACCATCAGCCAGCCCGCACTAGATCACTAACCCTCCCTTTTTTACTTCTTGTCATTCTCTTATACGAACATCTACTCGCGGGAAGTCCGCCACCAGCGTAATCAAAATAATTGCAGTACAGGCCTGAAGGGCTCTACCGCTGTCCTTCCTATGGCTTCTATCTAGCGAACTATTTCACATTCCTCCCACACCCACGTCCACCTGCGCAGACTCGGGATATCGTCGCACGACGCTCGAGAGCATTGCACACCTCACACAATTCACACACGATGCCAGAAGGAACATCCAGGCCACGATGGGTGCTTCATATCCAGGCCCAATTCTGGCGCGTCCTAATGGGCATCGGAATGATGCTCCATAAACTCGCCAGGCCACTCCCTCCCAAGCCTGCCTTCTCCCGATATATCGATGCGACCGTCTCCCCGCTCAAGGGTAAAATCCGACTCCAATTCTATACGCCGAAAGGTTACAAGGCGAGCAAGAAGCTCAAGGCCGCTAAGAGATATCCTGTTGTCATAAATTTCCATGGAGGGGGTTTCGTCTTGGGCACTGCGAGGGACGATGCGCGGTGGGCAGGTACTGTTGTAGACCAGGTCGGCGCCGTGGTCGTCAGCGTCGACTATCGTCTTGCGCCAGAATACCCATTCCCCACGGCCGTTGAGGACGGTGCAGACGTGATCCTATGGCTGGCGCAGAACGCGGAGGAATTGTACCTCGACTCGGACCGTTTCGCGATATCTGGTTTCTCCTCTGGCGGCAACATGTCGTTCACCGTGCCACTCTGTCTCCAGGGCGAACTCCTCGACCGCTCACCCTCCGGCGCCAAAATCCAAGACGGACGAGCAGGAAGCGTACCTCCCCAGGTCCTCAGCCAGCAGATCCAAAACGTCCACACAGTCAACTCCGCCATCTCCAACACCTCCCTCCCTCACCCAGCAGGATCCCGCCTTCCTCTCGTCCCCCAGAAGTCCCGCCTCGACATCTCCCCCACCTCCTCGCGGCTACCCCTCGTCCGCCAAAAGTCCCGCCTCGACCGCATCGCGATGCTCCGCCAAACTGGCGCGTCCTCCCTCTCCCTCGTCTCCTCCTACAAAGAAAACGGCGCCGTGTCCGTCATCACCGAGGGGTCCTCCCACCTCGCCAAGATCCGCGGCATCGTCTCCTTCTACCCACCGACCGACTACACGCAGACCCGTGAGCAACGCCGCGCAACCTGCGCCCGCACCGACCAGCAACTCCCCGCCGTCTTCACCCAGCTCTTCGACGACTCCTACCTGCAACCGCCCGCCCTCGACCTCGCGCACCCCTGGCTCTCCCCCGGCGTCGCGCCCACCGAGATGCTGAAGGCCCTGCCCGACGACATCGTCATCTTCTGCTGCGAGTGGGACATGCTGCTCGCCGAGGGCGAGCGCTTCCGCGACAAGCTCAAGTACGATCTCGGCAAGCGCGTGCATTACCACTGCGTCCCTGGGGTTCCGCACGCGTGGGACAAGGCGCCGAATCCGCTGCGGGAGAGCCCCGGCGCGAGGGAGCAGTATATGGTGGCGTGTCGGGAGCTCAAGCGCATGTTTGAGATCGAGGACGACGATGCGAAGTCTGGGGATGAGGTGTAGATCTGATGTGCTTTTGCATGGTGTGGTAGGGGGTTTATCTAGGGGGGTTGTCTTTTTTTGTTTTCGGTTCGTTGATTGGCATGCGCATGGCTACGTACTATTTCATCTGGGTCATCGGCGTTTTCCCCATTTCCTCCCAGGGGGGGTTATCTTTCTCAGTCGCTTTTATTCGGTTCAGAGGTTCACAAAAACGTCATCTATTTACCTTTTCTTACCCCACATGCGTAGGGATATGGGGAAAGGGGCAAGAGGGGGAAAGTGTATCTCCCCCTGAGGTTTCTCTTCCACATATTCGTTTCTTCTTTTTTTCTTGGGGCGTTCTACTACTACGAGGTATATACATAGACGCAGATGGCATCCCGGACAGCATACGTGCATGCATTGGATGGTAAACAGCGTCATCGTCATCGTCGTCGTCGGATCGAGAAATGAAAAAGGAGATTCAAAAGTGCAAGAAGAACGAGATTGCTGGTTCGTGTGAGTGATGTTTTGATTATCTTGCATTGCATTGCGTGTCGAATGAATATTCCACCGTATGTGAACGCACGATGGCCGCATCCATGGAAAAGGTCACCGATGATGAAAATTATGTGAGAAACATGCACATCAATGGAAGTCAATGTCGCCGCGGAATACATGTAAGTGTACATTATACAATTCATATTTTTACATTTTCTATCTCAAAATATCCCCAGCATGGGAATTTGCTAAAAAGGAGTCGTTGTGGCCCTCTAAGCATCCTTTGACAGCCTTGGGAGGTCCCTCTCCGCGAGCGCGTACTCGATGACCTTCCACCTGCCGACCTCCTTCTCCTTCTGCACGGGCGAGATGCGCTTGCCCTGGAACCTGACGTTCGGGAGCGCTGCGAGGGTAGGTTTCTGGGCGGCGTTTCGGTTGTTAGATGAAGAGGTAGAGGGAGACGCCGACTTCTTGTTCTTGCCGTGCTTGCTGCGGATGTGCTGGAGTTTCGCCTCGTGCTTGAGGGCGTCGCGGACGGTGGTGGGTTTCGGGCGGGAGGCGGAGACGAGGGCGGAGAAGAGGTCGCCGAGGTTTTTGGCGGAGTTGAAGGTTGGGTCGGGGATGCGGTGGCCGGTGAGTTGGAGGATTCGCTTCGTGATCTGTTGGGGGGATTGAGGGTTAGCTTTTTGATTGAAGAGTGGGGATGTGAGGGGTGTGAGGGAAATGTGGGCTTACGGCAAACTTGACGGCGAGATCGTTCAAGGCGATGCCGCCGTATTTGGCCTCGATTGTGGACTCAAGAACGGAAGGGGAAACGGTGCCGTGTACGGATTTGCGGAGTGCAGCAATGGTTCGCTCGGAGGTGTTGGCGGCGGCGAAAAGAATGTCGTGACGGTGAGAGGACAGCTCCTTGTCGAGGGCTTGGTGAGCAGACTCAATGAATGCCAGACCCTGTGGTGCTTCGGTTGTCTCAACGATCTGCTCGACCTCCGGAACGGGCTCGTCGGGCTTAACGCGCGATACAGGTCGGTTCGACATGAAGTCGAATGGGTTGCCTTCGGTCTTCTTGGCTGCGGGGGATGCCTTCTTGCCTTCTTTTGCAACGTCAAGCTCTGGAACGGCCTCCTCGACGGCCTCTGCGGTGGATTCAAAAGCCTCGTCGATTACGAGCTCGTCGACTGCCTCCGCGATTTGAGCAGCTGGATCCTCGACAGCGGCCAGGAATTGTTCAACGTCCTCCGGTTGGACATTTGAGAGGACCACACTGCCGGCCGGTGAAGCATGTAGCTTGACATTTCTTGTCCATGCGGGGTCTATGTTGGCAAACTGTGGGAAAGCAATCTTCTTTCCAGATTGTTTGAGCGTGAAGACCTCGACAACGGCTTGATGGAAAAGCGCTTGCAACTCTTTGAACCTCTTGACCTTCTCTTGCGGAGCAAAACTTCGCAACAATTAGCATACTTCTTATCATGTTAGGGGTGGGAAGAGCAAGCCATACTCGTAATTCACAATTTCGCCATAGGTATGTCCTTGTGGCGCCACTAGGATGTTAAACCTCCGCAAGAGTAGCTCTTCCTCCCGCTCTTGAATCCACTCTTTCCCTCCAACCTTTGTCAGACCTTCTCCCGTTTTTGCAGGCCGGTATGGGGCTCCATATGACTCTGACGCCGATTCTTCTATCGTCTCAACCTCTTCTCCAGTTTCCTCAGGGCTGATTCGAACGGGGGACGTCGCATCGTAGGGATCCACGTGGGCGCCAATTGGCTCCGAATCACCGAGCAATCTCTTCTGCCATTTCCTCACAAACGCCTGATGCTTCTTTTTATCTTGTGTGCCCCCAAGGATGTTGTAGCGCGAGGTGGTGGAAAAGCATGCGGTGGTTGTGCGAGCGAGGGGGGAGGAGGTAAGGGCGGAGCGACAGACGTGCGATGATGGTACTCTTGAAGCGATCATGCTTGAGGAGGGAATCGATGGGTCAATCGACCGCGAGGATCGCGGTATCCGGCGCATTTTGCTGTGAATGTTGATGATAGCTCACAACCATGATGAAAAAGATAGAACGAAGACTTGAGAAGTCGGAGGTTCGGCGATTAGCGTTGACCAATCAGATGCATTCACTCATCTGGACAATTGTTTCGTCACGTTCAAAGTTTACCCTCAGCTTTCCAACATTGATGTACAGTCATTACTATTACTATGTGATGTTTTTACAAATAATTTCTTACGGTTGACTCGCTAGAGGCGTCCTATTTCTCGCCTCCCGCAAATCTTTTCGCTAGCCAGGTTGCACCCTTCTCGTCATATTCGGCTTTTGTAACCAATACACTTTTCAACAAGCTGGATTGGCTTGCGAACCGTGCAGCTCCCAGCCAAGTATGTTTGATTGGGTCATCCGCTCGAGTGACGTTGAGTAAATACTGTGATGGCACCATTACTCTTAGTTCAGATTCTAGCCTCTCCATGAAACCTGATATCAAGGAATTGCCTCCAACAACGACAATATTAGCGAGCATTCCAATTTTGAGAGCCTCCGGAAGAACAGCCAGCGACTCCATAATCACTCCTGGTAGTCCAGCCGCTTGCATACCAATATCTGTTGGGTTGAATAGCAACTCTGGCACCGCAAATCGTTCGTTGCCAAGCGGGAGAACATCTTCTCTTGGTCCTTGTAGGGGCTGCAGCCCTCGACGCATCTTTAATTTGGCCGGGTCATGTGGTCGTGCGTACCCATGGACAGACTGCTCGTAGTCTGGGAGCACATAATCGACAACTATATCAGGATCCAAAGTTCTCTTGTCACCCAAACGACCTTTCCATGTCCGGTCCAGGTCCTTCGCGAATTGATGCGCAGACGGCGAAACAAACGAGATTGCTTCTTTTATTTCGTTCAGCAAATATGTTTCCTCCATCATGTTGTAATGTCGAAGCGAAGAAAGCTCCTTCAGGTAATTCGTCATAAGCTTTCCGCCAACCTCCAGACGTCGCACTGCGAGCTGAATGAGCTGTCCAGAATATATCGGCAAAACGGTTGTATCGGAGTAGGATGTGTCGATGACGAGGAGGCACTCTTGTGGCAGAGATGATAAGGATGATGGTTCCGAAGGGTGGTAGGAGTTCAAAATCGGTCCTAACCAAGCAGATTAGCAGTCTGAACAAGTGTGAAGGTCGAAGCCCATACCGACGCAACGATAATAAGCCGCGAACTCGAACTGCTCGAAGACAATCTCGTCGCAATTCTTCTGCAACTCTTTAGGGCAATTCGGCTTCTCCGTCAATAGCAGATTTGTCTCTTTCGGTTCACACTATGCACCACTGTAAGTAAAAGTCCCTCTCAATCTGCGACAAAGACATACCCACCCTTAACCCCTCCCCCGCGGTTCCCAGGAATTCGTGCTCCCATATCGCTTTCTCTGCCTCCCAATTGACAATAAACCCCTTTTCGACTGGTCTCCTAAAAGCCAACTCGCCGAAGTCCTTGCATTCCGCGAGCTCAGATGCGACGTACGTCAGTCTATCTCGATTGCTGCGAGCGACGCAGTTGGGAATGACACTGCAGTCGTCGATAGTAGGGTTTGCTGAAGTAGTAGGTATCAGACCAGCTTTGATTGTGTATGCGCCATTATCGAGAACCAAAGTCTTCGCAGGAAGCGCAGCAGAGCCTTTTCTGCCCTTTGGAGGCATCGTAGTAGAGGATGGTATATTGTAGGAACGACGATACCAATCTCAAAACGAACTAGTAGGCTAGCTTAGTCATCAAGACAACTTGGTACCCGTGAAGAAACATTCCCAGAGCTTCGGTATCCTACGACTAACTACGAAGTTTATGATTCAGACTTAAGTGTAACATTTCCCTCTGCTGTACGAACTGCATCCGTCCTGCAGGGTAGTCTGCATTTGACGTCTGCAAGGGCAATAACCAGAGGACTCGAGAGCTCTATGACGTTTATGCTTAGACCGTCATCATTATTTTTAACCCAATTTCTGCGTTAGGTGTATTTCTACAGCAACTCGCTTTCTTTAGGCTAACATCTTCCTGATTTCCATCCAACCCGGCATGAATCTCGTGTGCTTCACGCGAGCATTCTCCTTGCGCTACGACAGCTCTCGCGATCTGGCGGATCCTTACGAGTCAAGAAGCGCATACCCCGCATTTCCATCGACTCGTGGGCCTTACAATTCCCCAGAATCCACTTCCCGCACCCAAGTCTGTCGCTTGGTCGTCTACAAGCATTTCACTACCACGTGCAATTGTAACCAAAACAGCAGTCACTTGTATTCTGCTTTCATCTCTCTTCTATATGGTGGGGATCTCTGGTCTCTCAGGAATACCCAGCTCCAGTTCAGTTCGGTGTTCATGATAAGGTCAAACAAGATCCGCTCTATGAAGGTTGGAACAGAATAAGCCCTCGTTAATTCTGCCATAGGTAAGATGCCTCGTAGGTCAGAGCATCCGACAGGTACACTCATCTGACAACTGTCCCGGGTTAACTTCGTCTTCCATTCGATCTTTACATCTGCCCATACTCCTACCTCGTAGCATAATTGACGAGTGATCGCTCGTAAATACTGAGCACGCGGCGATTCCCTTGTTCTTTAGTCCCAAGACCGATCTCGAAGGCCTAGGCTCAGATCATTTGGCTTCGATCGAGAGATCTTTTAGCTCTCGCTCAAACGGGGTGTTGCCTGTATCTACGCCCTCCTCCTTGTTGCGCGTTCTGCTTCTGCTTCTTCTTGATTGTTTCACAAAATGCTAGATGAAGACATAAATTCCAGACGCACGCTTCAGTGGCTCCACGTTGAGGTGTCGGATATGCTCGCATAAGACCATATTTCGATAACAAGATTGAAAAGCTGAGTATGCCTCGTGCGCAGGTCGCAGGTCTACTTCGGCGAGGACAGCAAATGTATGCATTGGCAGCATCTTGTGTAACAGCACAGATCCGATACATTACATCGAGCTTCGAGAGTCTATCTCAGAAGGCCTACTATCTCAACAACTATCCTATCGAATTCACAATGCTGCTTATAACATTACCAGCCTCCACGGTCTCGAACAACCTTTTTAGTCTTCCTGGGTGGCTCTAGGTGCATCCTCTGCATGATTTAGCGTACAAGTGAATAACGCCGGAGATTTCACCGTTCCAATCGAGCGAATATCACGGCGAATGGGAGCAAGCCAGTTCCAGCCACTAATGCTTTTCTCGCAGTTGGTACCCCCTGCTAAATTCCCAGTTCTAGTCATCACTCCCCGCCTCAACGAATGAAGTTGAGCTGGACCTATGAGAGATGGTCGAGGTGCTGGACCGAGTTCATTGAGGCGTTTTTTTACGACAGGCTTGCGGTAGACGAAATCCGAACCTCTCGTAGCAACATCGTGCAACACTTCTCGAATGAGAGGTCTCTTTGGTCTATAGGAGAAGTCCGACGACAGTATATCAACTTCCAATATCCTGCGCATTTCAGAAGGCAGAGTTGATGTGCATCTGCGAGCGTATTGCACTTTTGCGCTGACCCTCCCCAGGTAGGGTCGATACTTCCTATTCTTTGTTCACACCCTGGACAGCCGTAAAATTCGTTTGACCATCGTTCTTCATACCACCTCCTGTTCTTCGATTCATGGCTTCGGAGAAAGAGTCTGTGACTATGGCGGAAACTGTGGAAAAGAACGAAACCGAATCCGCACAACACCTTGAAGATGTCAATGTCGTCAAGAAGGTTCATGCTGATGGGCACGTTGATCTTGTCGATGCACACGCAATCGGCGGTGCTCTAGATAATATGCCCAAGGGGTATTACTGGAGCCCCCAATTCATTGGCACTGTGACTGTGCGTTTCCCGTGGACAAGTCCATCACACTGGGTCATAGAGCTTATATTCAAAACAGGCAGTCTGTTGTGGTAGCATTTGTGCCTATCTTGGCTGGGTATTGCCAGCAAATACCCTGTGAGTACTGATTTCTCTACATTATGTAGCACTTCATCGATCAACTACCCGATTACATTTGTTGGCATATTATGAACCCTTGTCTCTGACCACTTAACAGTCTACTTATCAATGCCGACATCGGCCCGTCAAAGAACCTCAATTGGGTCGCTACTATTTGGACAATCGGTTCTGCCATTGGGTTCCTTCTTGTTGGGCGTTTGTCTGACATATTCGGCCGCAAATGGATGGTTTTGGGCACCTCAGTGCTCGGTTTGCTAGGGTGTATCGTTGGAGGAACCGCACAGAATATCGACACTCTGATCGGCGCGAATCTGATGAACGGAATCGCTGCTGCAGGCCAACTATCATTCGGTATCGTACTGGGAGAGCTTGTGCCAAACAAGCATAGGGGTCCAGTGGTGACATTGGTCTTCCTTTCCTCCCTTCCTTTCGCCGGTATGTGTATTCTTTCTTCCTCTCTCAGCATGCACAACTAATCAAAGACGCAGTCTTTGGCCCAATCATTGCTCGACTCTTCATCCAGAACACGGCTGCCGGCTGGCGATGGTCCTATTATCTTGGCATCATTCTGTCAGGCGTGACTATCATCCTCTACCAGTTCCTCTACCATCCTCCCACATACGATCAGCTTCACGTTCAAGGAAAGACCAAGTGGCAGCAGTTTAAGGAGCTTGACTTTGTGGGTATCTTCCTCTTCATCGCGGGTACCGTCGTCTTCCTCATTGGGTTGTCCTGGGGAGGAGGAACATATCCCTGGAAGAGTGCCGCAGTTATCTCTGCCCTAATCCTAGGTGCTCTTACCCTGGTGGCCTTTGGTTTGTACGAGCAATATGTATTCAAGGGACAAGCAATCATGCCACCAAGACTCTTCAAAAAGCTTGAGTATGTGGCTATCGTCATGGTTGCAAGTATCGCAGCAATGGGTCAGTATTAATCACCTGTCCTTTTTCTACTATCAGCCTCGTCTAACATCTTAGATAGTGTACTACGCCCTTACTGTTCTATGGCCTACAATCCTCGGAACGATCTACACTACTGATTCTCTTAAGATCGGATGGGCGTCTTCTGTCGTTGGCGGTGGCATCCTTCTCGGCCAGACATTCGGTGGTCTCGCGATTTCGTATCTACCGAAGGCCAAGTGGCAGACCATTATCTTGTCAGTGATGTGCACTGCATTCCTAGGCGCTGAGGCTGGCCTCCAGCCCGATGGCTATGCTACCTTCATCACTCTAGGTGTTCTAGCAACCTTTGGTATGTACATCAACAATATCTCTACTCTTTCGTCCAGTACCTTCGCTAACGCCGATTGTCTCCAGTTATTGGCTGGGTGGACAACATCGTTTTCCCAGGCGTCACTATGATCTACGAATCCCAAGATATTGGTCTTGCCACCGGTGTTCTCGGTTCAATCCGAGCCATTGGAGGTGCGGTCGCTCAGACGATCTACGTCGGCATCCTGACCAACAAGCTCAACACCTATCTCCCCGAATACGTAATCCCAGCCGCGACCTCGACTGGCCTACCGGCGTCATCACTCCCCGCATTGTTCGAGGGAATCACGCTCGGCAATTTCACCGCTGTTCCGGGCATTACTCCTGCAATTATTGCGGCGACTGGTGCGGCTACGCAGAAGGCGTACTTGGAGAGTTTCAGGATAGTGTTCTACGCTACAATACCGTTTGGAGTGTTGCTTATCTTCTTCGCTTGCCTCTCGCCGAATTTCGAGAAGTATCTGAGTATGAATGTGGCGAAGAGACTGCAAATGAAGGGCAACATGCAAGGCGTGGGCAAGGAAAACGAGGGCGATGCAGTATAGTCGTCTACCAAGTATGTTTCGCTTGCTTCTAGTTATCGGGTATCAACTCTACGTGTTAATGATATGTAATATTCTTATATGGCGTGGCATCAATAATGATACGGGAACAACAAATGTGACTGTCGGTGAACACATTCCATCTTTGCTCATAACAAGACCAAAAGCTTGAGATCGGCAGAGTAAACATTCAAGCGATGCATCATTTTGGGTTGGATCATTTGAGTGCCGGTTTTCCGGATATTGAGTCTATTACTTTCCAATCAATGAAATGTCTTTGTGTCCCAGTATTACAATATGTTTGTCTATAGTTTTTGATATGTACAGTCATAACTTCGTAACATGTGCTTAGCTAGCAACAGATCTTCGCTCCCTTCTAGACTGGTGACAGCATTAGGTGCATTCAAGCGTTCAGCTAGAGCCTGTCGATGTTTGAATCTCCGCAACCTAGGCCGACCTGGGGGGGTCCTAGGCCAGGTGTAACCTGGGGTGTCTGCGCCCACCTGGGCTCTGCATTTGTTGATGGTTTTGGATAACCGCAGGCGTCGGCAGTCTATGTCTCTTATGGCTGATAGTCATGTCTAGCCTGCCGCTCGGATTGTCAATGGAAATACTGTCTTCGTCCCAATTAACTGTCGAAGCCCCCATTCCCTTATCTGGGGAAATGATGGCCGCTTTCTAAGGGAGCTCATATCTGATGAGATGCGTATCACTCTTATTGCTCGCGGTTCCCCAAGTTTCCGCCGGGCTGATAGGCGTGGAAGGAGTCTTCCATTCACCAGAGTCGAACCTCCCCATTCCCTTCTCCGGGATTCCCCCGTCTAACTCATGTCTCTGTGTGCCTTGTCCTATCTCCACCTGCACGGCGGGACTCTCAAGTTCGTGCCTCTCCTTCCCAGGAGCGATCTCCAGCCGCGCGATCGGGGTTTCCAATTCGTTCGCAAGCGAAGCACTGCTCTGGTTACGCCGTGACACATCTGCAACTTCTTCGTCGTGGTCTTTCGGCTTCTGTTCGATTTCTTGGACTTTGGAGCGTATGCGGTGGCGGAGGTAGAAGCTCCCGGCGACAAGGAGGATGAAGAAAACAATGACGAGAGCGACGGCAATGCCGATTTTGCCTCCCTTGGATAGTGTCGGTGGCTCTGGTTTGACGACTTCAGTTGCTTGGGGGCTTGTCTCGGGGATAATGGTCTGGGTGGTGACGACGGTGGGATTGGTGGTGGAGCCTTTGTTTGCGTTCGCCGTGCAGTCGTAGTGGCCTTGGGATTCGAGTTGCTGTAGGTCGTTGCAGAATGAGGCGATGTCGGACGTGGAGCGCACGCTGAGGGCGCCGTTGATATACTTTAGAGCGGGCATGGAGATGTTGCTGAAGTCGCCGTTCATTTGAACGAAGCCGCCAATGGTCTCGAGGGAGTCGAACCGGACTCCTGTCAACACATTGTCTCCAGATATTGCTAGTCCACCATATATGCCATTGACCTGCGAAAGGTCGAGGTTCGCCATTTTGCTGTTGTTTGAGAGGGTTATTGCACTGCCTGTGTTAATCTTGCTGTACGGGATGCTGAAGGTTTCGAGCGCGTAGTTGTTGCTGATGTTGAGTTGAGAACCAAGAGGCCAATTGATCCAGTCCAGATCCGTCAGAGCGGTGTTGAAAATCGTGACATCGTCGATTTCCTGGGAGACTCCGCTGGGCGCAATTATGACTGATTTGAGCAAGGGTAGGTTGTACCACTTCAGTGACGAGAAGTTAGACAAAGAGGCAAAGCTAAGGCTTGAGAGCTGCGGGAGATCGTTGAGGGTGAAGCTCTGAACTGTCTGCAGCGTGTTCGATGTGAGCGATCGCAATTCGGCGACGTTTTCGATGTCGAGATTGCCTGAAATCGTCGTGATTCCGTCCAGAGCGATTACTTCCGGGCCATCCGCGGCGACGACTATGTTCCCAATGAATTCCGAGCACGTCAATATATCAGTCACATCTTGAGCTGTCTTTATTGTGAACGTCGACGATGCAGGCGCGCAGTCTGTAAAACTTGTGAGTACTGTGGCTTCTCTCCCTGTGGCAGTGCAGGCTGCTCACCAACGGCGTGCACGACGTCGAAAAAACATGAAGCTATCCACAACCCCCAAAGGAGCGGCACAAAGCAAAAGCTCATGCTTTCATCTGTTGCAGTCGCGATCTTCAGGTCAGGAATTCATGCCTCTAAGGCAACTGCAAATGTTCCCCGCTGAGAGAGAGAGGAAAAGACCAAAGGGTGGAGCCACGCGTCCCAGCACAGAGACCAGTTTTTACCCAACAGCAGAGAAACACCGCCATACCGCATCTGAGATAACGACTCGTAAGAGCGTTCAAGGCCCCGATACGAATAACGTAGAATACGATTCCTTTGCTCCGCGCGACCCGAGCGGACGGAAGCTTCAGTAGATTCGCCTATCCATCCAATAAATCCTATGATACTCTCCTGACCCCTTGCGCTATGGATTCGGTCTATGGGCTTGGAGTGGCCCTGAGCGTCCGAATATTGGCCGTTTGTCAACAGGCCGTCGTCATTTTCGCCGAACCTTTCAAGTCTAGGTGCTCAGTATTTACGCACGAAGTGGTTGGCCAGATGCAATTTTGGTTCAGGGGTTTCCCATCCACTTAGCGCAGAAAATGGTGGAAAACCTTCCATGTGATGGGAGTCTAACGAATAGATAGCGTCCCGAATTCCGTTGAAAACACACAACTATTGGAGTCATGATTATTCCAGAACAGCATGAGTCGAATGTCTGTTCCTTCCACTTGGCGCAATTTCAATCTTCTTCGTTGTCCATGCGATCAAACACTGACCCTTGTATCACCAAGCAGTAGTTTACCATCAGACCTAGGATGAAAACTACCTTGCGAGTTGGTTTTCTTCGTAATGATCTTTTGGCCTTTATTGCTATTCGCTGGATTACCATAATTTCCAAATCTGGTTATCGGTTTGTTTTGAACCAACATTCAGCACACAACCCCTCCCATTATTGAAACGCGTTGTCAATGCTGTAGTCATTTCCAGCGTGCATCAGCCCACGAACATCTATCTCTCACATCAACATCTGTCCGCTCTTATCTTTACCCAGTCGTCTCACTTGCATGTTTAAATTATGGCAGATTTAACCCAGTTGCGTCACTGCGACCCATGCTAGCACGCGCGGTTGCAAAAACGTTCCGCTGCACTGATGATCACCAACTGTGCGCTGTATGATTGATCGATCGTCGATCGCGATTTTCGTCATAGGTTTACGAGGTCTGCATGTACATCATATCATATGCTTCTTTCATTCGAATTTCGGATTGCGAACCTAATTGCACAAATGATTGATTCCAACATGTTGACACCAAAACTGAAACGTCATTTAGCTCTCATTCCAAATGGGAACATCTTTTAGGACCCTTTTTAGGAACATGCGGTTCTATCAAATTACCAATGCCAACTACAGGGGTATTTTAGCGATTCTATGCTGTAATGGGAAGACTGTTTGTATCTATTCTATTCGATCTCGACAGATTTCAAGTTATGAACGCAGCATGGAGAAAGATAAGTACTAGCCATATGCGTTGATGATAATATCTTGAAATGCATTGATATTTGTAGTCATTGTTTAAAAGTTGATCTTTTAACTGAATATATTTGAGTTCTTCCTGGATTCGATGTGGTTTCTCCATAAATGTATGTGTCAGTGAGTTTCCATGAGATTGAGAGTTGTATTCCTTTGACAATGTCTCATACTTAACCCAAACCTTTTCTATTGTTCTGGGTAACTTCATGTACGACGAAATTGGATCATGAATGTTTCTCTCAAAAAGATTGATTCCTTACTTGTGAATTAGATATGTGCTCTATGTCTGTCTAAACCCTATTCACTGTCAGATGACGAACAAGACTCATCCGATGAGTCTGCATGCTGGGTCTCGAAGCGAGAAGGCTCCTCCGTCGTCATGCTATGGGTGCTCTGGTAACCAACATCCACCATATCTGAATCCTGTTCCCCGGCAACATTGCTCGTGCTGGCGTTTGTATCTGTTACTTCTGAAGTGAATTGGTGCTGGGAAAATTTAGCATCAAGATACGCATCTATATCTTGAATTGCTAATCTAAGCGCATCACCATGGGCTTCACCTCTTTCGATATGCTCACCATAGAATTTGGTGCACAGCTGGTTGTGTGTGAGTGCATGCTCATTAACATTCCTAGGCTGAGCGATATTCTTTTTTCGAGGCTTCCACGATGTTATACCTTGTGCTTCCTGCCTAACGACTGAACCCGGCGGCATGTAGAAATCCATCTCCTGCCTCTTTGCCTGGCTTGATTTGCATGTTCCGCAGCCAGGGCAGCTGCGCTTGTCGCCAGCTAGGTAGTATCGTCCAAGAGCGTGCGCCACATCGCAGCGCCAGGCATATTCTTCATGGCGGTCGCTTTTTTCAAAGTAATGACACGCGGGAATACCTTGCCCATGCTCCATTGTCTTTGAACCACTTGGGTGAGGCCCCATATCAGGTGTAGGCTCAGGCGTGGGCTCAAAATCAGGCACTGTTGGTATTGGTTTTGGGTTCGGCTTCGACTTCGGCTTCAGCTTTGGCTTGAGACGCTCCAAGACTGCATCTTTGGCAATTTGAAGTGCCTCATGATCAGAGGACCCAGATTGCAAGGCTTTCCAGTAGTGCAGCTTCGCGATGCCATTGTGTGACTGTGGCGCGTGCTTCAGTTTCTTTCCCGTTGGCCTGCTGGGCTTCCACTTCGTGCCAGTTGTAGGTGGTGAATCTTGATAACTGTACATGCCGCTGGGCAGGTAGAAGTCCATTTCTTTCGCCGATTGGTTTTTGGCAATGTTAGTATTGCAACCTGGGCAGGCTTTTCGATCGCCTGCATTGTAGTAATATCCTAGGGCATGCTTGATCCCACAACGCCATGCAGGCTTTTCCACAGAGTCCAGTGGTTCAAAGTATGCTGATTCTGGTAAGATCTGATGAGGATCCAGAGTTTTTGATCCACTGGGATGAAGTGGCAATGACTCGTCTCTGGCGATGGTTTTGTTGTATCGACGATAGTCTGCTGCTGTCCGCAGTCTCTTCTTTGGCCTCTTAGTCAGAGCTCCTGCTGAAGAGCGTTGTGTGTGTGCTTTTCTCTTCCTTTTCAGCAGTGGCTGCCTTAGTGAGGGCAATTCTTCTAGGCTACCCGGGTCTGGCGTTTGTACTGCAGCGTATCCATTGAAATACCCGGCTTCCTCATCCTGAAACACTGGATCAGGTACAACATGTGGCCTTTCGAAGTTGACATGAATTTTGTCAATGCGCCGATAGCTCTTCACGATACCCGCTGCTATAGCTCGCTTGATGATAGCTTCGACATCTTCGTGCTGTCTTATAGCTAGTCGTGCTTTATGGTCGTTGATGAGTCGCTTTCTCCAATGTTCTTGGTAACGTTTCGGAGCTGCGACTGAATATTCAGTATTTGAGGATGTATTTGATACACGACGGCTCGAATCGGTTAAATTTACCGCCCAGTAGGGGTCGTCACTGCGAGTGCTTCTCGGGCTTGAGCAGGTTACAGTGTCATCGTGTATGTCATCGAATGCGTCTCCTGTTTGAAAATTGTCACCGGCTGAGAGTCCTCCATCGGAACTGGGCTGTTGATCGTCCCAAAACCTGTCTGAAAACTCTTCGGGGAGCTCGACAGAGGTATCGAACGTAGGTGCTCAACAAACATTAGCTGTGAACCTCCAACCAGACATCTAAACGGTAGAGTACTTACACTGTACCCCGAATGTAGGTGTAGACCTTCCTGTTCCTGAAGGTGCAGCAAATCCAACTTGGCTAGAATAACAGGCAACAGGTCCCGGTGTCAAGCATATTGACCCATCGCTCCAGTCGACCTCATCTTCAACAGCAAACATCTTGAAGTCGATATATCCAAGCTGCCTAAAAACAAAAGGCAAGAGTCTCTGATCGATGTAGATGTTCGTAATACTGAACCATCCCAAAGGCACAGTTCAGCTGCAGTGCGAGCTTAAGCAACCCTCCCAGGCTCAACAAGCCCGCCGCGTCTCGAAAGCTGGTCACGAGACTCCATGAGTTGCCTGGGCCGTTTACAACGGTGTAAGAATGGTGGGTGGAGAGGAATGCCCTTGCCCTTGCCCGTCATTTCGATGTGGCTGCGTGATGGGTTCGTTTGCTCCGTGGAGGCAGCGACGGACATTGTTGGGGTGTCATGGGTGCAGGTTTTGCGATGGGACTCTCAGCAGACTTGGGTGTGAATGCGGAGCGTTTGTCCACCACAGAGAATATGACTCTGGTCTTCCAGGCAGAACATGCGTCTAGTTGGTCGAAGCAAGGCGAGCGTGGGGTGCAAACGTAGCTTGCTTAGATTTGAACTAATGAGCGTTAATGGCAGTACAACATGTCTGCAAGAAAAAGTCATGTGAGAAGATAGTATTTGAGAGTGAATTGAAAGCGCTGCCCAATCATGTTGTGCTTCACATGACGGAGATAAATCATCGTGAAGTGGTGTCAAGAATGAGAAGTGAGAAGTGAGCTCGTATAGATGACCTGTGCATGACTTCTGAATGTTAGTTAAATTTTATGTGAGTTTGAATTCCATGTAAAAAGGCTCTGGTAGTCAGGCATGAGTCCTGGAAATAATAAAACCATGGTAGCTCTTTTCTTCCGAATTAAAGTTGTGGTGTTGATATCAATCATGAAGGCACTCACGGTGGTGGTGCAGTTCGGATCAAGCCCAATTCAGACTGTTGTTGCTTCTTACTCTGAGTTATTTAGAAATCTAATGACTTCTTTTGGAGGAACGAATATTCATTCTCAACTTTGTTGAATAAGTTCAATTCTCATAGACTGACGTCAAGTTCTGAGGTTGTCATCGAACAGCAGCTCCAAGACACGGATGACTAAGCTCACGGACCTTGACCATTTGGCCTGTTCAATTGGACCCCGGACCCCCAGTAGGCGAATCGTGGCATAACGGTCTCCCCAGACGCCGCAGCTTCATTCTTCAATAGATTCAATTCCAAAAAAGATGGGGCACACAAACCTCAGCACGCTCTCACTCGTCCTCCCTCTCCTCTTCTTCTCCGCCAATGCTGCCTCCGAGGCCCCTCGACCCCGCGGCGTAGGCCCCGAATGTACGTTCATTCAAGTTGCAAGCTTCCCTCTCCATTGAAGCTTCCCTTCCCAACCCCGATCGAATTGCCCACGCCCCAATAACTAACCACGAATTATATTTATAGTCGCGAAGTTTTACAAGGACGCCGAGACATTCACTTGCATCTCGAACCCGTCGATCAAAATCCCCATCGCGCGCGTCAACGACGACTTCTGCGACTGCCCCGACGGCTCGGACGAGCCTGGCACCTCCGCATGCTCGTACATCTCGCCGCTTTCGCCGCAGCAGCCCCCGAAGGTGCGGGTCGGCCAATTCGTGGAGACGCTTGCGCTGCCCGGGTTTTACTGCAAGAATAAAGGTCACCAGCCGGGGTATTTGCCGTTTACGAATGTGAATGACGGGATATGTGATTATGAGTTATGCTGCGATGGGAGTGATGAGTGGGAAGGGGTTGGTGGGGTGAAGTGCGAGGATCGCTGTGCGAAGATTGGGAAGGAGTGGAGAAAGCAGGATGAGATTCGTCAGAAGAGCTTGAATGCTGCTAACCAGCGGCGGAAGGAGTTGGTCACTGAGGCGGCAAGATTGAAGAAGGAGGTAGAGGACCGGATACAGACCCTCAAGACACAGATTCAGGGACAAGAGATCAAGGTTTCAGATTTGGAGAAGTCCTTGGCGGATATCGAGAGGGCAGAGAAGGGCAAGGTCGTCAAGAGTGCTGGAAAGGGCGGCAAGCTAGGAGTCCTGAGCAGCCTCACCAAAGAACGCATTGACGAGCTCACTCTCAACGTTCAGAGAATCAGACAGGAGCGAGATGCTGCCAGGTCAAGTCTCGACGAACTCGAAGGCATCATGAGGCGCTTCAAGGAAGAATACAACCCCAACTTCAACGACGAGGGCGTGAAGAGGGCCGTCAAGGCCTGGGAGGACTTCGCCGCTCAAGACAGGCCTGCACCTGTCCCCGCCCACGACAGAGATCTCGACGAGATCCTGAACCCAGAGTCCGAAAGCGCCATCAAGTGGGACGACTTCTTGGATACCGACGAGAGCGACGTCGACGTCCGTAAGTACATTTCCTCACCCCTCAGCACCATACAACCCCGCCTTTATTCACAACATCACAGTCTACCAATTCGAAGCCTACCTCCCGGAGCCCGTCCGCAACTGGGTCGACGCCAAACTGCGCGACCTCCGCATCATCCTAATCGAAAACGGCATCCTCGCGGACCCCCACACCGACAGCGCCGAATCCAAAGCCGTCACCGACGCACGCTCGCAGCTCACAAGCGCACAGGCGGAACTCAGCTCCGACAAGACGGAGCTCACCAACCACGAGGAAGACCTCGCGAAGGAGTACGGCCCGGACGACGTGTTCCGCGCGCTCAAGGGCCAGTGCATCGAGAAGGACTCCGGGGAGTACACGTACGAGTTCTGCTTCCTGGAGCGCACGACGCAGAAGCCGAAGCGCGGCGGGGGTAACACGGGGATGGGCAACTTCGTGCGCATCGAGAAGATCGTCGTCGATGAGGATCTGCCTGCCGATGGGAAGGGTCTCGGGTCCGGCGAGCGGTACGCTTTGCAGTACGAGAATGGTCAGCATTGCTGGAATGGACCGAACCGTAGCACGCAGGTTGTTCTTGCTTGTGCTGAGAAGGACGAGATTTGGAAGATCATCGAGCAGGAGAAGTGCGTTTACAGGATGGAGGTGGGTACTCCTGCTGTGTGCGAGCCGAAGAAGGCGGCGCAGGGGAAAGGCCATGATGAGCTATGATGGCGTTGATCCCCCCATCTATCCATCAATTCCTCCCCGCGTATAAGAATACATGTAAAAACGAAAAGAGAGAGGGGTCGTCGGGTCGGCTGTTTGAAATCTAAGAGCAAACTGTCATCGTTTTCAATGCTGTAGTTAGAAAAATATAGACATGTGTACGGACGACGACAACATCAGACAACCAATCAATGAATCAAAAATAGGCAGCTGGAATGCCTGCCACTGGTCAAAAGAACAGAAAAGGAGAAAAATGAGAAATGATTTCGAAAACGGAATGACCCAAAACATGGGTTTATGTGAATGCATCTGCGTCGAGGAGAGTGATCCTCTTTTGACGACGACATGTATTGAGTAGTAGAACCCACGCTAGACGACAGCTATATCGAGTACTATGCCTATGCTCGACGACAACGATGTCAGTTGAACATCGATCATGATCTACCTTGCTGCCGCGTTTCTGTCCCAGAGGGAAGGAACGATGATGCTACAACAGGATGGCGTAAGTGATCCTCGAATTCTACGGATCCTTCGGTATCATACAGCGAGATCGAAGCCAGGCATATGCCTCACCTTGGACTCGTCCAGTAGAAACGTACGACAAGGACAAGGAAAAATCAACTACATACGGATTTCACTTAGCAATTAGCGTAACGCCTCATAACCGGAAACGGTCGGGCCCAACGTCTTCCCAACGAGAAATATAGTGTGAAATTAAAATTAGACAGTGGTATTTGTTGTTGGTGGTGGTAATGATGGTAGTTAGTAGTGATCGTGATCCTGGGGTTTAGATTCGCATTTCGTTTTTGGGGGTTGTTCGTGACGAATAGGAGGGCGAGGAGACAGTGGGAAATTTGAGGCGGACAGGCAAACGCGCGCGCGGGCTGGAGAGAAAGCGAAATTACCGGTAATTGATGAAATGATGGAACGAATGAACTCAAATTTGCGGTTCGGAGATTTACGCCGGCCTCTGATCTGACACCAAGTTTTGCGTAGATCAACTGGGGAAGAGAGGGAGCATGGGTTGTGGTTTCGATGGGGTGATGGATGTTGGAGATTATCGACTTGCTGATGTGTTGAAAGGCACTCAGACTGCGATGGGTGAATTAAAGATGACGATGCTTTGGAGCAACTGACGGGCATGGATGCACTCTACAGGTGAATTGAACGAGGTTCCATTGGCTTCTTCAGGTACAACATAGTACCTCCAGGGCGTACATAGATATACATACAATTCTCAAGTTGAGTATCGTCAGCACCCCGTACAGTCAGCCACGAAATATTCATATGCAAGGCGATGTGGGTAGCATTGCTAATTCTTCGGTTCTCGATCGATCCTGAAGCCGCTTCGTTTTGTAAAAAGTTCGCAGAGGTCCCGGTTTTCATTAACGAGCGTTGACAGCTGTTGTGCCGCCTGCGACTAAAGGTGCCCAGAAAGGGCACTTTCAACATCATCGAGATCGAGAGTGGGAAGAAGAAGTGGCACAGACACGGTCGGATCCACTTTGCATGCAGGTACGTGCCGGCGTCCACCGAATGTTATGACTGTGGAGTCAGATGCCGTTCGTCTGGCATGGGCAAGGTGTTCATTGTTATGTCGTGTGTCTGTGGCAGAATGGGATTTTGGCGGAGATCCTTGTGCCAGGGTACTGTGTAGAACGACATTTTGATCATTGTCAAGCTCCGTTACGAAGATGTAATGTTGGGATACGAGATGAGGGCGAATAGAGCTACTTCTTCCCTTTCAAGAAGAGAACCTCACCGTCGAGATCATGTTATCCAAACTACTCTCTTGAAGCGTCACTGGAGACTGCACTTGAACATGTACTCCGTAAACATACATGTAAACAATGGCGTACAGCGATGATGCCTCGAGATTCAAGCCGGACTGCCCGCCAATCTCCCCAATGCCGCTGTACGGATCTGTCGTTCACGATGGCTTGTTTGAGACGTTGGAGACTATTCCAGATACTGAATTAGTTGGCGAGTCGCCAGATGCAGCATTGCAACTCGTTGCGCGTGTCATTGTTTTGGTCTCGGATCACTTCACGAACACATCGCGACCTCGCCGCGTGTCTGGAACTCCAAATGGGGTAACCAAGCGGCGCAAGGCTGTAAAGGTGTAAATATCCTTGGAAATCATTACGACAAGAATAGGCAGGATCATCATCAGGTCTTCCCGCGGATGCGGGTGCGCTACAAAACGGACGAAATCACCATGTGCTGGAATTGGTCGGGGCAGGAAGTGGAATTCGCGATTTGAGGCGACCAAGTGCAAGCCATCTTTTGGCCACTAGCCTGGCCTACACTCTCACGGCGACCAGGTCTGTGGGAGGAAAGGTCGTATTAAGAGGCGTTCTAAGCTGTATCATTTCGGCACATCAAGTGAGAGACCAAAGCTGCCAGTTCAAGACGCAGTTGCAGGCTTCATGAGCCGTTGGCAAACGCATGAGTCGGCTCTTGAGTATTGTTTTCCCGTAGTATTCATGCAGACGTCGGCAAGTGAACAGAAAGCTGTACAGAGCCGTGCTCAAAGGGGAAGGAAATGCAGTTGACGACAGGTTTTGATCAGTCAGGCTGAACAGACTGCAGGGTGGTGCTTCGAGTTACCGCGTGCTGGTTGCGTCGGGCAGGGAATAGGCATGCACGAGCGAGTAGACACGCGGTTTGCTCTGAGAATACGAGACACAAGGGTTGTGTCCACGCACACTGTTTGGTTGGTATGATCGAGTTCATTGCAGAGTACTCGACATCGAGGAGCACAAAACAATGGGAGATTATCGTGTGTCTCGAGCTGAGAGTATGGAGGATGCTTTCGTTGGCAGGCAAGACACACCGTGGGAACACAGAAGGCGAAGTGTGTGCAGCAGAGCGCACGCAGGTATTGTATTTAGTAGGTTGGTTGTTTTATCCTCTGTTGAGCTGGCTGCACCAAGACAGGAGACGGACGGCTAGTGAGGACGAAAGCGTGCTAGACCAGGAGAACGGCGCGAGCGTCCGTATTGTACCTGGCTCCCATCATGGCCCATGAATTTGGTAGGCGGATGATTCGCTCGCTTGGTGATACCGACCAGGTTAGCACAGTGAATTGGGCCATGCAGAGGCGTTTGGCCATTCTCATGGCCATCCAGGGGCAGCGCCCATCTCCCCGCAACGCCTGTCCCCTATTGTCTTGTAAGTGTGAAACCTCGACTTGAGCGACATTCGAAGACGAGTGGCACGATTGAACCCGAATGAAGATGCGAGGAGACAGAAAGTAGAGCGAAGAAGAGTGGTCCCCCTGGAGTTGATTTGGCTGCAGATCGGGTGCCACGCTGATGGTGATACGGCAGGCTGCTGAGAGACGAGGGGGGAGTGGAACTGGAAAATCATGGTGGTGCGGCGGCGCGTGAAGCATCAGATCGCCTGGAAGCCTCCCGTCCCGAGGCGAGCCACAACGCAGTGAGCCGGTACCTGCATCTCGCCGCGTCATTGGCTGTCATACCTTTATTTTTGACTCCTTGCCATAGTGAAATTCATTCTGCATCCTGCCCAACGACTGCATGCAGAGTTAGACTGACCTCGCCAGTGGGGATTCGGCGAATGCCAGCTCGAGACGGCAGGATGATTCCGTGATTGCTCGACAGGAAGCGCGCAGCCCATCAATTGTTGCTCGAGAGTGAGGAGTGAAAAGCATGGGAATGCAGCAGAAGCAAAAAGCTGAGAGTCAGGACTCAGGAGTCGGAAGCAAGCTGTGCCATCGATAATGCTTAGTTGGGGCCAGGTAGAGGACTGCCTGAAGGCCCGGCCCCGGGGAACAACTCCCAGCACACTTTGTTCGCATCTCTAACTCAACTAGTGCCCGTTTGGGCATTCCCATTTGCTTTTGTCGCGACAACGATGTGGCAGCACTGCAGCAGAGGGTCTTCCAAGGCGCGCCGGCGTAGGGGGGGTTAGAAAAGGATATGATGGGCAACCCCCACCCACTGTTGTGCTTCTCTCCTTGCAGCTGTGGATGGGAGGAGAACGAGCGGCGGGAGGATATGTTGCATGCTGCACGCTGAGACTGGAGAGCTGGTACATGATCGTGAGGCATTCACTGAATGGGATGGGAGCACGATGGACGGGGGTTGTGCCGTTGTGAGCGCCGTCATGTCGTGGAGGTGCGAGGGGTAACCCTGCCGAACTGTTGTCATTGATGATGATGATTACGGAGTATGTGTGGTATAGATTGTAGGGTAGGTTAGTAGGTAGGTATAGGCGTAGCCTTGGAGGTATAGCGAGTGTATTGTATAACCCTTAGTCGTGAATGTTGTGGGCGTTGTTTTTTGCGTGTACCTAGTTACTGTGTAGTGTTGTGGGAAGCGCCAATGCGGAGATGAGCTTTGGAGATGGGAAATTTGACCCTTGCTCCTTCTCTCATTCGCTGTCCAACCCAACCAATTCAGTTGATTCCAGGTACCTTACAGGGCTACAGGGCCATACTGGGTGACTGGCTAACAAGACAAGCTACAGGCATCCTTCGATTCGCTTTCACTTTTGCTGTCTCTCTCCTCTGAGTCTCTCTTTGCAATCAATTATTTCAATCAATTCCTCATCCCCATGCCCTTTCCCTTCCTCCCCTCCCCTCCCCCCCAGTCGTTACTTCCGTAATTTAGGTATTAGTCTGGCCCAGAAGTGTTCAAGCCTCTTCTCTCCCTCTCTAAACCACCTAAACTACTCTCCTCTTCTCGGCTTCTTCTCCTTCTTCTACTTTGTCTTCGTCTTCTTCTTCGATTTGCATTATTCTTCGGTCCTTCGCTCGGTCTCTCCTTGCTCCATCCTTCCTTTCTCTGACTCTCTCCCCTTCACTCCATCCTCACTCTCTCCGTCACTCGACCCCCGCGGATCGCCTCACTTCACTTCACCTCACTCGACTTCACTTCATTTATTCATTCCTTCCGTCCACCAACCAACCAATATTACAACCACTACCACCACCACGCACTCTGAGAGAGCGCCGGCGGATTGTCACTCTCTACACAGCAATCGCTTTCACTCGCATAAACCCACGCTCCTTTAGAAAACACATTCGACTCGAACTCAGTACCTTCGAATCCTCCCGTCAATCGATTTAGACCAGCAGCATCGACAAAAAGTATCACTCCTGAGCCGTTCCCTATCTTCAAATTACCAAGCCGAACGTCTCGCTCTAAGCGTCTCACCTTCCGTTCCTTCGACACTCGGCTTTGCATTCCATTGCTTCTGCCTCAAGATATTTCCCCTTCGACCTCATCCGCTTTTCCACTCGTCCTTCACTTGGTTTATGGAGCTCGCCGCCAGCTCTCACTATCGAAGACTTCACCAACTGGCCACGTCCACTCGCGACCTGAACGCTTCCACAACTACAGTTACTACCCAGAAGTACGTTCATGAAACATTCTTGTTGTGTTGTGTTGTGTTTTGTTTTGGTCAAAGGGTGTCTCATTCCTGGAATGCAATTTAGGGGATAACCTTCAGACATCTCGCTAACGGCTATTCTCCCAGATAGGAAATCCGATTACACTCTTCTTTCACGGTCGTGATTCTAGTCGGTGGTGCTCTGCACAGTCTGCACAGCACGTTAGCAACAGCGAGCCTTTGACGGCTTCCTCCTTTCTAGCAGTCTTGCTCGCATTACTTACACACTAGGTATGTCCATCTTTACACACCAGTTCGCGTTTTCTTTTTTTTTTGGAAGGCTCTTGTCTGTTAGGCAATGGCAGCTGTGTGCCTGGCATCGACTGACTTTGGAACTAGACACCATGAATCGATTTCTAACCCGCCGTAAAGGCGAGAACAAGAAGAAGAAGAGCGAGCCCGAACCCGAGCCCAAAATAGATATCGCAGTAGCATTACCTCCGAGCGACGATTTTCGAACGAGTTTGATCATGCCTAGTTTGTCTACAAGGTTTAGCATGCTTCGAGAGCAGGATGACCCAAGTTCATTGATTGGAAAGGCAAGCGACGACAGTGTCCTTGCTCCGAAACGACAATCTCGTCTCCATGAATTTGGGTTCGTGGCAGGGGGTCTGTCCGATATAGCCGAAGTATCATCGCTCAACGGCTCTATCCGACCACCATTCGCAACAGAGAGGTCTGATTCATTCGATAGTTCGGATGGGTCGGGAAGCATGATGAGTCGTGCAAGACCAGGAGAAGGAAATGTGTTATTCGGTGGACGGCAAAAGATTTATAAGATCTCGAACGCTGCCTCTTCGAAGAACTTGGGGAGGGCCCTATACGAAGATGACGTTGCCATGTCAAGCTGGCAAAAGTCTCGAGCAGAGGAAAGGGAGCGACAGCTACGAGAAGAGCAGGAGGCACATGAGAGACAAACGCTTGAAAGCCAGATGCTCGACACCCAAACAATCGAACCTATAAGCCCAGTGAGAGATTCTCCTTACTCACCCTCATTTCCTAGTTACGACCAAAAGAGGGAAACGTCGTCATCGACCAACTCTGGGACGGCGAATACACGCACTTCGACCGCTGCTACATCGATTGCTTCTCAAGGAGCGGGCTCCATCCCTGCACCATCCCCAGCCCTACCTACCCACAATGGCCCCGCCTCTCCGACTGATTTCAATCGCGCTGCAACCAAAGCTCGAAGACTATATGATCAGGGTCTGGATCAGCATATGCAGGATCAGCAATCATCTGCTATGAACCGTTTGAATTCGATCCAAAGGACGCGCGCTCCGACGGGACGTTCCACTCCACCGTTACCATTCAACCAAACTCGTTCAGCAACTAACTTGAATGATCGATTCAATCGAAGTCAACCGCTTCGTACGGAGAGTCCTGCTCCAAGTGGTAAAGATGTCCATTCCAATAGCTCGAGCCCCATCATATCACGGCCACAATCTCCTCCGCTCATGAGTCCTGTCGGAAGTGACATCGAAGAAGCCCAGACCCTAAACTCGGCACTACAGCCAAACGATCGTGGTAAAGCGACAGCCTTGGGTGCATTCAACAAACCGAAGCAGGCTTTCAATGAGCAGCAGTATGCAGAACGTATGAGGCGTCTACAGCAAGAACGAGAAGCCCCAGTGGCGGCTCCTGTAGCGGCCCCTCCTGCAGCAGCCCCGAGACTAGAAAGCCCAAGCAAGCCAGCTCCCCGGGAGCGCATTGAATTAGGGCACGAACGGCAGCCTTCAGCATCAAAGCTCGACAAGCCAGCGAAGCCTTCGTTGAGGGAACGTGCAGAGCAAGAGCGCCGAAAGCGAGCCGAAGCTGGTGCAGTGGAGCGACAAAGGTCAGGTTCTGCAGCCGATGAAAAGGAAGCAGCATCACCATTCTCAGTCTTCCAGAAAGCCGCAAATCAAATGAAGGCCACTCCAGTGCTACCCCTCAGCCCACTTAAGAAGACGGAGGAGCACGCTGCTCAGAAGGTCACATCTCCACCAGGGACCACATTCTTTGCATCGCCTGGAAGCAGTGACGATGAAGACGACCAGCCTCAACCACTCGCCATCAAACCGACGGAGCCTGAGCGGCGACCACAAAATATACCGGTCGCCAGTGGTCCAGCCCCGCCAATCTTGGAGCATCCGGCATGGCGCTCTCGAAGCAACTCGCAGATGGATGATTCTAAACGCTTAGCTCCTCTTTCTCGGGGTAGCTCAGAGGATGAGAGCTCCATTCACCCTGCTCTCCGATCCCGAAGCAACTCGAGGCCAACACCAGAACGACAGCGCAGCTCCGAAGATGCTCCTAGAAATGCATTGCAAACCGATATCGCGGAAGCTAAGGAAGGCCCGGAGATTGACTCTCCTACACTGGGAGACAACGGAGGACTCAGTGGACTTATTCGTCAGCATCTTCGTAACGTCAGCAATGTTTCCTCAGACTATGGCGATGGGAACCAGGTTACAATGAGCCCACCGGCAACTTCTACCAACCCTCCCCTTTCATTGTACACCCAGAATGTGGCTCCACAAAGGCAACATCCAGCGTCAGAAACGGACACGCCTGCACATTCGAGCTACACTCACTCGAATCCCTGGGATCTGGATGATCTGGACAATCCATATTATGGCGAAAGGGACAGCACGAGCTCAACGAGCCCCGTGGAGGCACACAAAACGAAAGCACCGAATGCACCTTCGTCAAGCATTGCTCAGGCTTTGCAGGATGATATCAGCGAATGGGAAAGAGATATGAGGAAGACACACAAGCGTGAGCCAAGCGTTGAAGAACGCGAAGCATTCCAGCGCGAACTCGCACTTCGACAACGGGCAATCCAGGATAGTCTCCGTGGTCAGCTTGGTCAGGATCACAGCCGGGCGGCACCCGTGCCAGGACAACCCCACGGCGGCCTCAAGAACGCACTTAATATGCTTCGTGCGAAGTCAAGCCGGGAATCTTTCGCCACTGTCAATGAACAGCGAGCGGGCCCCGACTCGAAAGCGATGCGTATGCTTGGGATCGGTAATGCAGTGAACGGCAGCAGCACGTCTCTTGCTGGTCCGTATGGAGGTGGTGATCATTGGAGATCAGAAAACCATCTCGGCCACCGCGAACCTCCCCTACGTCAGAAGCCTTCGCGGGTTCTTCAACAGAGCGAGCAGGATGCCCAGCGTGAACTCGAGAGCCGCCTTCAGCAGCGCCCATCAACAGATGACGTCCACCGCGACAGCAGATCGAATGGTAGAACGCCAACCTCAAGTCGCCCCTCGACTCGTGACCGTTCCAGTTCGGAAGTATCTTCTGGACGTTCACGCAGCCGACCTGGCCACTACCGTGACGATCTGGAACAAGCCATGGCTGAGGGTACTGGATCAAGGAACACTGTTTACCCAGCAAACACGATGCCCTCCGTACCTGGCTACGTTGCTAACCCAACACAGCCGCTTCCCAGTGAGCGCTCTTCACCAGAGAGCCAGGCCCGCATGAGATCTCGCAGCAACAGCAGGACAGCTAAACACTTGCAGCCACTACATACAGGCATCAAGAATGGTGCCTCTCCCCATCTATCGCCTGCTGGCACCAGCCCAATGCCTCCTTTCTCACCTGGTCTTCCCGCGTCACCTCGCCCTTCCCCTGGCGCAACTAGCCCGAATCCTAATGTTTTCCGACCCCATCCTTCGCCCGTGCCTCCCTTCGCGGCAAGCAATACGCCACCCGTATCGGGAAGTTCGACACCGGTCGCCGCATCATTCAATACCAATGCCGGAGCTGGTGCCATCATCCCATCTACGGCTACGCTTCGCAAGAAATCTATCAACAAAGCCGACATCTCAGAGCCCATCTTCCTATCTACCACTTCAGTCATTGATACGGTAAACTTGCCACCGGGAGCATCCTTGAAGAACGGGGGCGATGCTGCTCCCCCGGTCCCACCCATCAATCCCATGAGACGTCGATTCGGATTCGGGCGAACTGCCAATGAAGAGCCAGCAGTCCAAGCACCGTTCCCTCCTTATGCCGAGCCCATGCGAACCAATTCCTCTGATGCACTGGCAAGCCAGAACCCTCCTCCTCGCAACAGGCTGAGGAAGACGTCAAGTGCAGGCGATGGTCTCCACAGCAAGGCACAGGCTCAAATGGGAGCTAGCCCAGCAGTTCCACCAATGCCATTTGGCCGCAAGGGTTCCTCACCACCTCGCCCGATCAACGACCGTCATATCCCTCAGGCACAACACAATATGGACGGTGCCATGTTTTAGATTGATCTCTATACATCTCAGGCACCGCGATTGTTGACTCTGATCACTTTCTTGGGCCAGCGCACAACTTCTAAAAAAATAGTAACTCCCTTTTTAACTTCTAGTGTCTCTTTCTAAATTTCTTTCCTCTTCCGCGACCTCGGATCAATTCACTCTTCTCACTACGCTTCTACGGCCTGTTTTATTGGAATTTCCATTTGATTGATTGGCATCAGCAATATACCTCGGTCTCTTTCTTTCTTTATCTGTATTCAAGGTGTTTTTTTCTTTCTCAATTTTCTTGACGGGAGAGGAGGTAGTGTTCAAGTGGGTTTTCCTATTCACATTTCATTGCGGCGCATGGAAATGCACACAGACGGTGGGCTGGCCAGGAATCTCTCTCGGGAAGTTTGGGGATGGATGGCCAATTTTCTTTTCTCACCTAGACTGCGGGACCTCCACGGGACATGCAAGCATACGCACCGGCATATATAGCTGGATTATATGGGACCGGTGTTACTGGACAATGTCGGACGGACGGGCATACAAGCGTCTGGGGGAGGGACCTTTCCTTACAACCATCCACTCCCAATTTGCTCTCTCGAAATATCTGCTGGAGGCAGATGAAGTAAGAATACATGTATAGGTCTGGAGGACCACCTTATAAGATAGTGTTGAATTGTCACACCTGAACAAGGAACTACAAAAGACTCCCCAACGATCGTGTACATATGTGATGTGAATGGTGATGTTCGATCTCATATAATAGTGACTCTTGCACAACTACTGAATCTCAGATCTAGACTTGGCCAATCCTCATTGCGAGAACAAAATCGATTCTGATCCCTCTTCTTAACGAGTTCGGAGAACTCATCATACCGTGTAGGTATGGAAATATCGTCTTGCAATATAAGGTAGGCAAGAGCTAAGGTACGAACGGGTAGTACCGCACCCGCTTCTCGGGCGTATCGACCAAGCCATCGATTCGTCCCCAAGGCTAGGTGTCATTATATTCATTTATTACTTATGACTGCACACGGTACAGCGGATAGCATGGTATCCACCTACCTATTTAGTATACTGTACTCCAGTATTCATCGCATTGTACGGAGTATGTATCGCATTATATACACTCGCATCATATAGAGTACTATCATATCACAAACCACAAGTCGGAACCTTCATCTGCCATCACATCAATATGCATATGCAATAAGCGAACCGTGGCTGGGTCAGGTACTTGTGAGTGTGAGTTATTGATCTGCATGTCGAGGTTAAGTGGCGTTGGGGTCTCATGTGTACCGTGGTGAGCTGAGGGGGAGCTGAGGATCGAGGATGTAGGGTATGGTTATATGCTTTGTATATTTGTATCTGCTAGGTCAATGCTAATACCTATCTACAAAGGTCCCATATGTCGACCACCAATATCGATATGTATTTAAGCAATTATTCCCTCCGACTTTATTTACTCGGCCTTAGCCTCCTCAGCATCATCGCCCAGCTGGACCACCAAGACGTATTAATCGAAAGTCAGCGGTACGATAGATACGGCAGTCGGAGGCGCACCGCACACACACACAAGGTAGCCCCTGATCTGCTGCTCGACACCCCTGCTGTGCGGTGCGTGCGTGCGTAGCTATGCGTGTGCGGCGCAACGAAAATTCTACGCCGGGCGCGGGCTAATGCAAGGGTTTGGCGGCGGCGGTCGGCGGGTAGGCAGGCAGGGCAGGGCAGGTCGTCTTGGGGCTGAAACACCTGGGCTGGCGCTGGGCGCAGGAGAACTTTCAATACTTTAATAATTATTTGGCTTTTTCTTTTGAGTGAGTGAGAGGTAGTATTGTGTAGGGAAATAGTACCATAGACTTGAGCAAGTAGATGAATAGGTTGAAAAAAAAAAAGGTCTAGAATATGAGAAGATTCTTACGACTACATAAGTGGGGAGATGGAGATTCTGATCTACAGACGTGCTATGGTTCGTTGGATACGTTGGGGTTTCAGAGTTGTCTCTACTCCAGGTCTTTCCTAGGAACAATGAGGGACTTGAGAGTTATCGTACGGGGATCATCGTCGAGGGTGTAGTCGAGCATACTCCTATGGTATGATTTCGGATTGATTGATTGTATTTGTAACTGCAACGGGAACGGCTGCCTTCTTGACGGGTGTCCTGGTGTACGATTTGCGTTTGTGTTTTCGTGCATGTGTGATTGTTCCGAAAGCGTCTACATGTCGACTTGTACAAGCAACAATCAATGGGAAGATGTGACAATACTAGGCCCTGATACAAACAGTCCGATTGCCTGACCTTCCCCCTCCGTCTGCCTTATCTGTCTGTCAGTCTGGCTGCTATTATGCCTTGCATATCGGCTCTCGGCTACCGTCAAGCAGAGTTCGAGACTTTTCGAAAGCGTCGAACTCAATTCCCATGGGACGGCTTCAAAGTTCAGAACCTCGAAGTATCCCTCTATGGAGCGTTGTTTGGTAGATAAACGTCATATTAGTGTACCCCCGGGCCCAAACCTTACGTCAACAACCTTTGCAACGGCGCATTTCTCACTGTTGTATTTTAGCACTTTTGACAAACTCGGCGTCGAATCCCCAATAGTTGTCCGTCCCACGGGGTTTCGAGGGCTTTGCGGTCTGGTTGTGCTCTTTTGCGACTCGTACCGTTTGGACGGCCCTTGAGGAAGATCCAAAGGTCCGATGTCACGCTGCACCGGCGAAGAGTCTCGTGGCCTGCGCAGTTTCGTAGAGGTCGCTTGGGATTCCGTTAATGTGATGCAATAATAAGAAATAGGATTGGATTAGATTGGATTTGGACGCCGTACTCGTAACTAGACGTCTGGGTACTCGTAACTAGACGTCTGGGTACTCGTAGCTAGAGGGATGTGCACTTGGCGGGTCTCCACCATTGTGACCCTTAAAGCGGCTGTCATTGGGGGCATCGATGGACGTTTTAGGTATTTGAGGGGGGAAAGCTTACGCTTACTTGGGTGGCTAAGTTGGAAGAATAATGGACTGACGGGTGATTGATGTTACTTAACTATCGTTGCAAGTGGATTCGTGCAGCAAGTGTGTGATGGTTGTGTGCTGTGTATGCTATTGCTGGCTGGCTGGTTGCCTCTGGTGTGTAATTGCTGGAGGGTGCTCAACTGCTGCGCCCCGGAGGAGTCCACGCCTTAAACCGTATTTAGACACAGGAAGAGTATCGAGTATCTGTTCAGTCTTGGGAAATGATTGGGATCCTTGCAATAATGATGACCGTGTTCGATGGCGCGCCTTGGGGCTCTGCTCTTCCTTCTGATTAGACGGGAGGTGGAGAGTGGTAGACCAAACGGTAGGCCAAACAGCAATAGAGTAGAGTACGAGTAGTCCGTGTCCTCCTCAGAATACTTGTATACTACTGTATCATCCCCATCTCTCCATCTTCTCTCTCTCCACTTGCCTTCATAACCTTTTTTAGACTTCACGCTTGTCTTCTTGTCCTTTCCTAACTTACCATTTTACTTTGCCTCTACCTTTCCTCTATTACACCCGGTCGTTACCCTTTCCCAACTTTATATATCCATACACACATATAACTCGAGTCAAACCACCAACTCCCAATTTCCTGTGTCTACTTCAATTGCTCTCATCGCCATACCTACTCGTCGCATACACATATCACATCACCTCCAACACTCTACCAACACATCAAAATGAAGTTCTCGCTCTCCGCCCTCACCTTCGCGGCTTCGCTCGCCGTCGTCAACGCCCAGATCGCCGGTCTCCCGTCCTGCGCCGTACGTCACCCACCCAAATAACATCTCACCACCCACTCCCCCCAATGCGACAAACCCACTGACAAGATTCCAAATCTAGACTTCCTGCCTACTCTCCGCCATCGGCTCCTCCTCATGCGACCTGACTGACCGCAAATGCATCTGCACAACCGGCAAGGACAAGGTCACAGAGAGCCTCACAAGCTGTCTCCCCCAGTCCAGCTGCACCCAGACCGAGCTTAACAGTACGTCTCCTTCCCTTCCCCTCCGCACTCCACCCACATATACTAACAGGTTTTCCCTCGTAGCAATCAGCAACGGCGTCAGCGCCTTCTGCCAGTCCGCAGGCGTAAACGTAACCGACATCCCCTCCATCGCGCTCGCAACCAACACCGCGAGCGCGACCTCCTCGCCCACGAGCTCCCCCGGCGCTGCGGTCGTGAACGTCGCGAGTCTTGGTGCTGTCGCGATGGGTATGGTTGCTGCTTTTGCGTTGTAGATCGTGTAAGGGTGTAGGTCAGGGGGGGGGATAAGCGCATACATACTCACTCTTGGCTTCTTCTTTTTTGGGGAGTGAGTAGAGCTTTGGATCACGTTCATTCATTCGTCGGTGGAAGCTTGGATTTAAATCGTTTCGAGAAGGAGAAAGGAAACATTGTTTGACTTCTGGGTCGGCGTCTTCACACAGGCATAAGATATCTTTTGGGACAAAACAATTGAACAAGAAGGAAAGGGGGGAGCTTCGACCATTTGGCGAAGCTTGCCTGTTCACTTTTCCTCACTACCACAAATGATGCACTGGAGCAATTCTTGCAAGATGTGTGTGTCCGTGATGTTGATTGTCCCTTTTATATTCTTCTTTTTAGATTCGTTTTTAAGTTTGACTTATTCTATTATATGGACCATTTTCACGCGGCTTCGAGCGCGCTGATGAACTTCCCAGCCCATGCCGTGAACTCGTCGTCTTGTCCGGTCCAGCTCTGCTTGACGATCTCCGCTGCGCGCTTGGCCTCGGAGCAGCATTGGTCCAGCGTCTCTTTGGCTTCGTCTTCGTTGAGGTCGTAAAATGCGCTTGCTAGGTCGTCGATCGTGTCTGGTATCGTCTTCAGCAGGTCCATGAGCTGCTCCAACTTCGTGGTGGGATCTGTCTGCGTTCCGTCTGCTGTCTCTCCATTCGTCGCGGACGACGTGGGACTGGGGAATGTCTTTAACCTCCTCTTGATCAACGCCTGGTAAAAGATCCCCACCATCTTCAGTCGCTTGACACTCGTGTCCAGCAGCGCCTTAAGCTCCTTATCCCCCTTCCCCAACTTATTCGCCGCCCCGAAAATTTCATCTTCATCCGCGAACTCATTCCCCCCCTCGCCGTCGCTCCCCTCCGCAGCATCCCCCTCCTCATCATCCACATCCTCCCCCCACTCCTTCAATTCCTCCACCGCATCCAGCAACACCGCCCTGAACCCCTCCGCCTTCCTAACCACCACCCCCACCACCCCATCCTGACAAATCTTCAACAGCGCATCGCACGCCTCCCAAACCACACCCGTGATAGACAGCACCTCCTGCTTCTCCGCCTCCGCCTCTGCCACGGCCCCCTTCTCCGCAAGCCGCCCCACGAGCGCAAGAAGCTTCCCCCACGCGCTAAGAACCCGCCGCACGCCCGCCGAGACTTCGCTGCGCATCAGCGCGCCCATGCCCGAGGGCGACGCCGCCGCGTTGACCATGTTGGTCAGCGATTTCATGGTCACATCGCTGAGCTTTGTCGCGACGGCCGTGGGCGTGAAGGGCGGGGTTAGCAGGAGGAGGGAGAGCGTCGTCGTGTGCGAGCGGAGGAGCGTGGTGGTGGCTTTTATGGTGTCGAGGGGGTTTGATGTCGTTGTTGTGGAACTGGAGGAGGTGGAGGAGACATTGGAGGAGGAGGAGAGCTTCGCGGGTAGGAGGGAGGATTGGTAGTGTGAGAGGAGGATTTGCGTGGATTTGGTGAGGTTGATTAGGGGCCGGGTGTCTGGGGGGTTGCTGGGTTTGGACTTTGGTGGCATTTTGATATGTCTCTTTTATTGTCTTTCTTGGGCTTTGTGGTGGTGAAGGGTTGTTGATGTGAGGTTGTAGGTTTAAGGTATGTCGCGTTATATCGAGATATAACGAGAGCGTTTCGTAGGAAAACAAAAACTCTGTGTATGTGCAGTTGGGAGGAGGATATGTAAGTGGTGTTGATGCCTACGGAAATTTTTGAAGAGGTTCGCGGGGTTGGGAAGGACCAAGTGGAATATTTTTGGTCTTATCGATAGAGGAAGGGAGGTGTGGTTATGGTGGGGCTACTACTTCTACTACGAGTCTACAGCTGCTATAACTACTGCCTAGAACTACTGCTACAACTAACAACCAAAACATACCGCAACAACCGGTACATTGATACGAAATGACGCTCTGATCAATCTCTCCGGCTTAGCTTATATGAATGGTTGCTCACCCACTTCGGAATTGCACAAAGAGAGCATGGCATCAGCCTTCCGACCTCGCTCACCGTCCCGGCAGATTTCTGCCTTGAGTCCTGGTTCCTACTTGCATATGCAGGACTTGTATGATGACTCAGGCGACGATATAACTAGTTACACGGGCAGCTTACACTGCCCCTTCATTCTTTTCTTCGGCGTTCTTGAACGCATTGTTTCCAATCGCTGCAATTTACTCACTCTCTTGCTCACTGACTACTGGACTCCGCACCAACTGGGAACATGTGCTTGATATGCGACGATATATCGAAGGCCATCTCCAATTATCGGCAGAAGCTTGATAAGGTCAACGAGGAAGTTGTTTGGGAGCGGAGTCCTCTGAAAAACAGTGAAATTTGTGCAACCATCGACAGGCTCCTGCATCTTTTCCAGACCCCTCGAGAATGTTTTGAAGACACACATCACATAACATTGACGTCAATAGGCGTTAATTCATTCAATGGAACTTACATGTGCAGCGGGCATGGGCTCCAATATGGTCCTGTAAGATTTCTCAGTGCCCTCAAGAGCAGAGCTAAGATACTCTCTTCAAGCATTTTAATGGCGCGATACTTCACGAACTATCTTCTGACTGGGACCTTTGTAATGGCGACATTTCCATCGACCCACATTGGATTGACCTTGATCGTATTCGTGGTTGGATCACTGATTGCAACAATAACCATGGCGGAATATGCCACTCCATTAAAGATGAGTGGCGCACATTGTCGAGCCCCCCAACGGAAATACTATTGATCAATGTGGTTCGGAAATGCCTCGAGTCTAGGAGGCTTCCATGCAGCTATGTAGCTTTGAGTTATGTTTGGGGAAAGCATGCAGATGCATTGAAGACTCTACTCAGTAACGTTTCGACGCTCTCGGTTGAGGATGCTCTTGATGCACCATCGATTAGAGCAAGATTACCGCAAACGATCCGTGACAGTATGCTCCTAACCGGGTTGTTGGGGTTGGAGTACATTTGGATCGACCGATTTTGCATTGTTCAAGACGATGAGGAAATGAAAGCTGAGCAGCTGGATGCTATGGCTGCGATCTACTCCCATGCTTACCTGACTATCATCGCACAAGATGGGGATGATTCCTACGGACTACGTGGAATTGATAGGAAAGGACAATCGCGCTCAGCTAATCTCACCCCTCTCCAGTTTAGCTCCTCTTGTCGTGTGGTTCCCGATACATTGGAGAATGTTTGGTCCCTCCATGAAACTCGAGGCTGGGTATGATATCTCCGAAGACTGTGATTTATGTGCGCTAATATGTTCAGACATTCCAAGAAGAGCACTTGAGCAGAAGAGGGCTCCATTTCAAAGATGACATGGTGAAGTGGAGATGCAATCAGACCACTAGGAGGGAAAGCTGTCCAAAACCACTAAATACATGTCCTTGGGTAGTCTTACCAGCACAAGACGATCTATATTTTGCTTGGCCATATATCGACAAGTATGCTGATCTGGTAGACATGTATTCGTATCGTTACCTCACCCTACCTACGGATGCATACAATGCTTTCTCTGCCATCGTGCAAACCGTAAGCCGCGCCATGGAAGGAGGCTGTTTGTTCGGCATTCCTGAGATGTTCTTTGACGGATGCCTTTTATGGTACCCTCGCATAGGTGAAGGACGGCGGAAGGACGCCGATGGGCGCGTCTTGAATGCTTTCCCAAGCTGGTCCTGGCTAAGTTGGGATGGGCCTGTCAATACAACGATGTGGATCCACACACATCCGTATATCGACACTGGCAAAAGAAGAGGGGTTTGTAATTTGGATGTGGTTGTATCGCCAACAGTATCCTGGAAAAAAAGGAACTTATCGACAGGTTTACTTGAGAACATCTCAAACACATACTACAGATTCTCTCAACTCTCATGGGAGGGTGCTGGTATGACACCTGACTCTGGCGTCCTACCACCTGGTTACCGGTTTCGTCAACCAGTCCCTATACCTTGTCACCCTCTTGTTCAACCGACCCGAAGGTACAGTCCAATCTTAGAGTTTCGTTCGCAGCGACTATATCTTCGCCGCGGGTACAAAGTCGAAAACAGATTCATCAGAACTCCATACCTATACAGTCTGATGGCCACTTCAGATGGTCCCATCAGCGGTGGGATTAGTTACGACGCAGACCCGGAAAACACGAGCGAAGAATGCGAGCTTATCTGTATAGGTAAGGCAGAGGTGGATGGCAGTAAAGTGGAGTTTTTTTTCAACCGGATCTTTGCCGAATACGATCATTTGGGCCGGGAATCAGGAAGGCATTGGAAGCCCGACGATTCAGTAAGAGCGGACAACGGAAAGTATCGATTCTATAATGTGCTTTTGATCGAGTGGAAAGATGGGATTGCGTACCGCAAGGGGCTGGGGAGAGTTGAACAAAGCTTCTGGGATGGTGCTGAGACGGAGGAAATTGACGTTCGCTTGGGCTGAGATGCCAGATAGATGATCACGAATTGTGTGAGTCTGTCTTTGTATGGGGCTGATGACCCGACGTTCGAACGATATGATAAAGATACAAGGAATAGAATGTGGTGTTTTTGAAAGCCATGGTAGTCTATTATTCATTACATGCCTACTTCATATCCGGGTATAAAAGCGGCCTCTCCATTTACGGCCTGCCCCTTTCGTACTATCACTTTACCTACTCATATCCAACGAAGCAACGAAGCGGACCATCATATAATACCACGATACGTAAAGCCCATGTCCCAAACCCAGCTACGAAGCCGAAGCCAAAGCAAAGACGATTCAAAAACGTATTCTATCCCACCCATCACCTCTTCAACCCCACCATCGTCCCATTCCGACTACACAGCGTCAACGTCAACGACTCCTCCCAAGGCCCCTGATCCCTACTCTCCAGCTCCGCAAACTCCTGCACCATCCTCACCAACACGTACCCCGCCTCCGTGAGCGCATACTGCTGGCCGAGACAGATCCTCGGCCCGCCGTTGAACGGAAGGTACTCCCACCCGGGGCGAAGGTGCTCCCAGCGCTCAGGGCGGAAGACCTCCGCGTCGGCGCCGTAGTAGTCGGTGCGCCGGTGCATCGAGTACAGGGAGTAGGCGACGATGGTGCCGGCGGGGACGAATAGGGAGGATGTGCCGTCGGGACCGCCGCCGAGCGGGAGGACGGTGTCGCGGGTGGCGAGGCGGGAGTTGGCGGGTACGACGGGGTTGACGCGGAGAGCTGCAGGTTGCGTTAGAAGGCTGTGTCTTTGTTGGGAAATCCGGGTATGACAGGGGGAAGGGGGGCGGGGAGGGACGAGATGGGAGACTTACATTCGTTCAAGCACCACTTGACGTACTTGAAGCTACGCAGCTCCTCGTACGTCGGCAAGCGACCCTCCAGTGGTGCGACCTCCTCGCGTAGCTTGGCCCATATGCGGGGGTCCTTCGCGATGTAGACGAACATGTTGCTGAGGAGGGAGGCGGTGGTGTCGCGGCCGGCGAGCAGGATGTTGATGAGCTCGTCGCGGATCTGTTTCTTGTCCTTGGTCTGCTTGGCGAGCTCGTGGATGAAGACGTAGCGCTCGTCGACTTTGGCGTCGGCCTTCTCGGCGTCGCGGTCGCGGCCCTCGCGCCAGCGGACGGCCTCGTCGACCCATTTGTCGACGTACTCGTGGCAGATGCGGTTCGCTTCGTCGGCTTCCTTGTTCTTGCGGAAGTAGGAGAGGAAGCCGAGGCGGGTGCGGACGGTGATGTCGTCCTGGGCGGTCTGGAAGGCCCGGGCGAAGATGTCGTCTTCGTTGGCGACTTGGTCTCGCTGGCCGACCATGCGGAGGGAGTTGGTGGAGTGGTTGAAGAGGAACTCGGTGGCAGAGTCGATAGTCATGCGGAAGAAGAGTTCCTGCAGGTCGACGGTCGCGCCATCCTTGGGGATCACCTTGAGGAGGAGCTTGAAGTGCCGCTCAAGCATACTGAGGTCGGCCACCTGGTCGCGCGCGAAGTTGGGTCGGAGTAGATGTCGAGAGTTGGCCCATCGGTCGCCGTCTGTCGTGAAGATGCCGTGGCCTAGCAGCGGCGTGAAGGCCTGTCCCCTGTGGCCGATGGAGTAGTCCTTAAACTTGAGACTCAGCACCGTCTTGATGTTCTCTGGCTCGACGGTCACGATGATGGGCTGGTTCACCAGTCGGGAGCGGAATGTCTTGCAGTCCAGTTCGTGGAGGCGCTCGAGGTTTCGCTCCAGGATCTTGTGTTCTTTGGCGTTCTTCGTGTTAGACCGGAGCACGTCGAGCCCGAATATAGGGTCCTTGTTGTAGATGGCCTTGCATGGTTTGCAGCCATGATCTTTCATCATTCGCTTCCGTGCGAGGTAGAGCATGATTTGTGTGTAGACGACATAGGAAAGAATCGCACCAGCCACTACAAAGACGAGTGGCGAGTTCTTTAATTTTCCTCCTTCAGACATCTTGAAGACGAGCGATTGCAATTGGCGCCGTGGATTGCGATGCGAAGCGGTTTACCAAGGTGCGTAAAATGCAGCGGAACCAAAGCTTATAGATTGGTTAAACGTATTGTGTACACCCCGTACGACACGAGATGCAATGCAGAACGTGGCTGATAGAGCGAGCTGAAGGGAATTCCCCCCTCCTCGTGATGGTGTGTAGTAAGGTATCCCTTTTCGTCCCAGTCCGGATAGGGTATGCACTCCGAGTGGTAAATCCAAGAGGTCCCCTGGTCGTTATTCCGAGAAGAGAATATGGTACTTTGTTGTCTCAGCCTTATTATGTATATACTGGTCGCTTGCGATTGGAACGTTGGTGTCGAATGAAATGAACGGTTCCGAGGCCTTGGTCTCTGTAAGCGACTTAGTTTCTTACTCGCAGGTGCGTAGTGGATACAACGTAGTAACGTACGTATGTACTCCGTATGTACACTGCTGCCGTGCCGTGGTTATTGTAGATGGGATGAGGCCTTTTATTGTGAGCGGGTCGGACAATGGGAAAATTGAGAATCTCCAGGCAGGTGTCGTTCAATGATGTTATACATGTATATCTCTTTCCACTAGTAGTCCACTTGATTGTTACTGCTTATTATTTCACAGTCGTCATTCCGTTCGCAACCATATCCCAAAGTGGATGGACTTGTTCTCCCGTGTACCCTTGCAGTACCTTTGTGTGTCTGGCTCGGCTGCTGTATTCCGGTCCTTGGATGAAAGGGATATTGCGGGGAAGATTGGCACTTTGAATCCCACGTGGCGTTGGCCGTGAGAAGTCACGAGCGGCAGACAATTGAGTTGTGTGTGATTGGAAGTGAGGAAGTAGAGAGCTCGGAGGTAATTGCTGGGCAGCCAGTAGTAGAAGAACTAACGACTGTCAAATGTTGCCTCGGTCAACCATCAAATTCAAATCAACTTCAAAATCCAATCGTGGACGGGGCAACTGTCGACTCCGTGCCCGCCTAATGTATCCCAATTCCATCCATATCCCTTCCTTACCATCCTATCCCATCCCATCTCGTCCATCCCAATCCGGCCCATCGTATCTACCCATCGAGCCCACATTTCGCCCTTCGGCGTCGCCGTTGATCGATGCGCGGCCAGTTATAAATTGAGTATCCGTGGCCTCTCATTGGACACCTTCGAGTCTCTTCCCTGCGACAACTCGCATATCAATGATCCGCCGTAACTCGTACGTTTCTTACGCCCGCATCGCTGTTTTATTTTGAGACCGAGCGATTGGACTTTCTCCGACCGGCAATAGTAGCTGTGTGATGTAGAGATCGGAGCTTTGGGTTCGCCCGCGCGACCGCCGATGAAAACACCGAGAATTGATGGGGTAACTATGCGCTAGGTATGTACTGACAGCACTACTGTACTGTATCATAATGTACATAAATGTAGTTCTTTTATGTGTAACCTCCGGGAAGTAGTTATATGAAATATACTATACTCGTAGAAGTAATACGATGCTCACCGGTGCATGCAAGTCATAACCTGAGGATCCTTCAGCTGATGAAGCATCACTATGTTGTCGTACACAACGACCATCATGACTCTTGTACACACAGTTACACAGTACACAAGCACATAAATCACACCCCGGAAGACAAGGACCCAAAGATCCAATCTTGAAATAGTAGAATTCCATTTACGGACCTATTCATCTAACCACCAACCGGACATCCCGATGCCTCGCAATCATATCCACTTATTTTGATCAACCGCCTCCCGATTCAAATACTCAAGCACTTCCCCATAATCCTTACAAACATGCTTCGCATCCCAGCCATCACTACCACCGAGATCCTCGCCGTCCTCTCCGAGCGGGAAGGTCGTAGCAGCGCCCTCGAGCGCGACGTCCCCCGTACACATGATCGCCTGCCGGATGTACTCGAAGCAGTGGGTGACGTGCCAGGGATACTCGATGCGAGAGGGGTCCCGCGTCACGTTGAGCGTGGTGTACGCGTCAATTATAGTGTGCAGGCAGTGTAGTTGGTGCGTCATGGAGGTCGTGAAGACGGCTTGGTCGGCGTAGTCGTGGATGGGGGAGGGGAGGTTGTCGTGGTCTTTGGTGTTGTTGATCCGGACGTAGCCTAGAGCTTCTGTTTGGAGAGAAGAATGGTATGTTAGTGTATTTCTTCTTCTTCATCTTTTTCGGCATCTCGATGTATTCATTCGAGAGGGGGTGGGTGAATGGATGGACGTACTAGGAACAATATCGAGCCATGCCTGCTGCGTCTCCGAGCTCCAGAACTCCGATGCGTTCTCTGGCACGAATATCGGATCCGGTTTGAATGTCTTGATTTGCTGGGAGACTGTTCGAAAAACTCAGTAACCATTCATGCCTTCTCTCCCTTTCCCCTCAATCATGAGATAACTTACACTTCGGTGCAAATCCGGTCACATCCCCCGCGAACTCATATCTATGCGCCCGTCGATGGGACCACCTCTTCTCGAGTAGAAGCCCAACAATGACGAGCAGGAGCGCTGTGTCGACCACCCATCTATACTTTTGAATCTTCGCCCAGACACTCCCTCTTCTCCTTCTCCATTCCCTGCTCTTTTTTGACGGGCAGTTGAGTCGAGAGTCTGATCCGGCTTCTTCCTCGTTGTCCCCCCATTCCTCATCAACTTCGGTACTGCTCGACTCGGAATGGTTATCGTCCTGGTCGTGGTTGTGTGTATTCCTGAGAGCGTCGTACCGCCCACTGTCGACCAATTTGTCGTCCAGGTGGCCTGGCATTGTTAAGTCGTGCGTTGAGCGAAACATGTTTTGAATCCAGTCTCCGACAGGAGAAAATTATAATTCCAGAACCAGCGGGAGAGAGAAAATAAAGCGAGGTCGTGTATTAAGTAAATCGCGTTGTTGTATCGTGTATATTCTGTCGTCCCGACGACTCTTTTACCAAAGCACCACCCAAGCTCTTTTTATCAACGTGGAAGAAAATGTAGTGTGGAAAACCACATTGCTGGCAAGGAACATGGGGAGGATGGTGTCCTCATTATTTGATGTTGGTGACCCGTGGCGTGGCGTATAGCCAGATGTTGTGTGTAGAATCCTAAAACGTATCCTGTAACGCCAAGTGCGGCATTGGGGGCTTCATGACGCTTGGTCGGACTTTTTGCACTTTCCCAATCGCTGTTTTATTGAGTCGGGAGCAGAGCCAAGGGATACTTTGCGACGCCTTGGGGCGATCGGAATAATACTTCGTCGTTGTTGTTTCTTGAATGTATTGTTGTGGCGAGTTGATGGGTCGATCGTAGGTCAACCTAAACTATGGATGTAGACAATCTACGTCGCTGTATGCGCCCCATCCATTCCCAAAATTGATCTTGCTCACACCATCTACAGCCAAGGGACAATGTTCCTCATAATTTCTTGAACAAGCAATCTATAAGAAAAAGTACATCCGCCGTATAGAGCAAGCCAACGGACAATTTGCTCTTGGGAAACTTTAAATTCCCCGGGGTTCGCGCTTCGTCGATCGTGGAGGACCCCTGAAACATCCGACCGACTCAGACGAATTTTTTCATGTAGGCACTGGAAGGTCGAATGATGACCGACTTCTGAGATTTAAATTCACTGGAGAACGAAACAGGAGAGTATTGTGGTTGTTGCTGTGTTTCGATCATAGTGTCTCTGGAATCGAGTCTTACATTTTTGCGTGGTCACCTGCATCTAGGTCTTATAGTTGCTTTGAGCATGGATTTAGCCCGTGAATTTTGCATCACACAAGATCAAATCAAATTGAAAGGACCTCATTGGAAATTTCGTTAGTGATTAACGTGAATTTCACAATGATAGCAACGTCTGTCATCCTCGGATCATTTAACATTACAACCATGTGCCCCTAGAACCCTATTCTGAACAGCACTAGTCTCAATCCTCCTCTTCAATGATGACGGCCTGTATGCTCGGAGGAGTCAATTTCGAGGTATTTGCTCGTTGAGCCAAGGGTAGAGGTTCGGAAAACTCGATACTCGAGGGGGGATTACTTCTTGAGGCTGGTATGGCATGATGTTTCTTCATCTGCATTCGTTTCTTCGCTAGTGCCACAGAATCTCTGTGCATGAAGAGCTCTGGAGAGACGCCTCCAGCATTGAAAACTCTCAAGCGAGCAAGTGCCATAGAGTCACGGTGGCCGCGGAACTTGATTTCGGAATCCTCCATGTTTGATAATCGACGGTCGGCTAGAGGATGTTCTGCATCACTTCCTATGCCGAGAGGGAAGGTCATCTTGTCGTATGCTCCTATTTTGCTTGCTACGTTTGATGGGGACTGGTCATGCTGTGCTCTAGATGTTGGCTCGTCTTCAGACTCTGAGCTGGATCCCGTTGCTCTGGTGGAACTGTTCCTGGACGGCCGCATACTGGGTGGATGTGAGTTGTGTCGTGAGACATCCTTGCTCGTTGTCGTGCTGTTTGGAGGTACTGGGAGAGATATTGTGCGCTCCCTTGTCTCGTGCTCAAGCTCCGCAAAGTAGCCTTCATCCTCATCCGGGAATACTACGATTCTCGGGGTGGATATGGCATGGGGGTTGCTGTTCTTCCACCACCATTCCAGCTTAGAATTGACTTGGTCCAAACCTCTGGCACCAGAAGTTAACGAGGCGGTTGCGTTAAGACGAGACAAAGTCTTTGCTCCAGGGAGACCGACACGTCTATCATCTATCAAGGGCATATCGTCCCATACCACCTCGTAAGTACCATTGTCAGATTCAACAACTTGCATGGTCGGCGTAGGTGAACCTGCATCTTCGATGTTATCATAAAGTCTCAGAGGGACTATCGAAACTACATGCACGTCTGTTCGAGTCATCGCGGCGTCGGCGGGCTTGCCCTTTCCATCTGTGGCCTGCGAAGACATAACGCCAGGGAGCATTCCACGATGTTCGGAAGTGGCGCTACTCTCTATATGTGGAGAATTGCCCTTCAGTCGTTCATTAGTTGCTTTGTTACCATGTATTGACCTGTTTTGTAGCTTAAAGAAGGTGAAGAGATCCACTGGATCCGCATCGGTCATATCAAAACCGACCGTCTTAATCTTCCCCGTAGCTTTACTTCCTTGAAGCTCCTCAGTCCTTTGCTCTGGGGGAGTAGTAGAAGCACTCTTTGACTTCTGCTTCATGCATGGCTTCAGAGGGATATCATGACCCCGAGTAGTGACGCTCTGTTTCTTTGGAGTCGACGGAAAAGAATTGGCGCGAGCTGGAAACCACTTGAAGCTCACTCCACCAAAAGCCTCTCCTGGGGATTTCTGTGAAGAGCCGACGATTGGATTATTGCGGAGCAACCGCCATGGTTTGCGAGTTGTTTTGACAATGCGTCCGCCCGCCCTTTTGCGATTCGGTGACACCGGCTTAGAGGACTGTGGTCTCCTTTCCAATCGAGAATTGCTCGATGAACGACGCAATATAGATGGACCGGGAACCACTAGTCTGGCCGTATCTTCCGAGGAAACCCTCCACTTCTTGTCCGCCCTCTTCACCGTATGTGCAGCATCTGCTGATGCAACACGTCCGGCCAAACAGGGCCTCAGACCTCCCCTGCTCGACGGCTGCTTTTCTCCCGAAAACAAAATCTTCCGTTCGTTCGGTTGTGTTGATCTTGTGCTTTCGGAGCTTTGGGGCGCATTTAGCAGATTGTCGTGGTTAGATTCAGTCGAGAGCGTTTCATCGTTTGGGGATTGCAAAGCGAAGATCAAGGAGCGACGTTTCTTCAAAAGTGGGCCGAAGGAGTCGGTACTTGTATCCGTGCCATCATCCGATGAAGGTTCAGGTACGCCATGATTGCTTGTCAGATTAATTTGAGCTTCGGCTGACATCGATTGAAGATTTAGGGTGGGTCTGATTCTACCAAACGATGCGTGGAGGTTGGCAGATCGCGGGTTGCATGTGTATGTGAGAACTCGAGATGAATATGTAGGAATAAGAGGTAAAGTAGGAAAAGGTTGTTAGGTGTGGTCACTATGACCAAAGTTGAGGTGTGAGCGTTGGAGTATCCGACATGAGAAGAGATCGTTGAAGTAAGGCGCACCTGCCCTTTCCATGGTGACGATAAGAAAGATTTTGCTACTGCTTCCGGATTACGAAGGTTATATGAGTTTAAGTAGTGAGATTGAATATTGCCTGCAGATACTAACAGATATCATCACATGGCACTATATAACTCGAGCTGGCGATTTTGCAGGATAAAAGAATCCTAGAATTCCGTTCAGCAGTACCTGGCTTATCAATGAGGCCATGACGGCTAAGAATTCTTGTCACATTGAGTGTGAGAAAACCATTCACTTGAGCTTGTCTTTAAGTGTCCCGTATAATCTCACCCAAAACCAACTTCAAAGGGATAGGGCTTTTGTAATCATGATCATTCTTTGCAATTATATTTAGACGTCGCCTTTTAAACCTCGTGTTCGGCACATTACGTAAGATTTAACGTCACCAGATTGTTAAAAAGACTATCCTAAGCGTTAGGATACTGCATTTTCTCTAATATCCATATATCCAAGCAAGACCAGGACACCTTAACCTATACACTTGGCAGCGTTCACAGAGGATCAGAACCCTCCGGCAAACGAACTTTGAACACCAGGACCTGATTGTCCAGATTGAATCCTGATCCATCCGCATACTTGTTCTTCCCTCCATTGATATATCCTAAGCATAGTCGATCAGTCGAACAGAGTTCGTAACAAAAAGGTCCCAGGACTTACCGTTTTGCGTTATGAAGTCATTATCAGAGAACGATATGAGATAGTACTCCTTGCCCTCGCCCTTAGTAGCAAACTTCTTATCCACCGGCCCCAGAGCGAAAGACTCCCACTTCTCATTCAACAATCCGGCATCCTGCGCTCCGCCATTATGGGCGCCGAAGCGGCCTAGTTGGTCGTTGTTATTGTACGACAACCAAGGACAGTACTCCGCAGGCTTGATATCCGCGTTCAAGGTTCCATTTCGGCTCACCACTGCGCCATCGAAGGCGTCGTTCTTCTTGCTCTTGATGTTGGTCGCTTTGGAGATGTCGAAGACGTCCGCATTGCGGTACTTGGACTCGGATGCATCTTGGCCGTGTCCGGCTCCGGAGTCACGGGATAGGACGAGGAATTGGGTTGGGGAGATGTAGTGGATTTCGGATTGGCTGGCGACTCTGCCCGTGCCTGGTGTGAGTGGTAGCTGGACGATGTATTCTTCCTCGTAGGAGATGGAGTCTTTCTTTACACGATACTTGAGGAAGCGGGTGTTGCGGCGGGTGGATGACTTGTCGCCGCCTTCTTGCATACTACTATAGTTCAATTGCTGGTCTTTCGGATCGAAGAGGTCACTTTGCTTACGTAGAGCTCTGCAGAAGAGCGTATAGATACTTTCCATCCGGACTGCTGGTGAGGGCTTCAAGACCTTGATTGTTTGACCTTCCTGTTTTTGGATCTTTTGGTGATGTTTCCAAATCGGGGTTATAGATTGGTGGCGAGTTCGCATTGAAACTAGAGACCAGTCAGTAGTTATTTAGCTAGGTCTCAGTCGTGATGAAGTACCTTTGAGTTCCATTACGGATTGGAATGAATGCATCTGGGGGTCGGATTGCGCGAACCATCTTTCCGCGTTTGTCGAATTGATAGATGTATGGCCCTGGTATGGTTCAGTGGGTGGAACATGCGTTTGATACCAGAGGATTTCTACCATATTCATCGCTCACCCAGAAGGTGCCGTCATCTCCCAAGACAAGTCCTTCCGCATCGATTGAAACTCTCTTGCCACCCGGACCTTCTCCTCCAAAGCCGTCGCCAGTGTCTTGTCGTCGTTAGCTTAATTCTGCTAGTAACAGACAAGATTGCACTTACAAATAGCAACTGGTAGATCAGGGAAGCCTTTATAGGATGCCACCTGACTGACATCCGCATCAAGACCTGCAAATTCAATCAGCCTCACACCAAACAGACATCACCAATACACTTCCTTACCTGTCGTAGGTGTACCATCCGGACCAAAGAGCAAGATAGTATCCAGATACTCAACGTGAAAGTTCGGTTTCGCCGGATTTTCAACCGTAGCACCATCTACAACATCCAAAGTGACGCTAAACTTATGAATGCGACCCTGTGTGTTCTGCGTGCCCTCGGTATTCCAACCACGATCGGGAAGGCCGTACACGACGCCCGTGTAGGCTTCCTGCTTGCCGTCTTTCCTTTTCCATGACTTCTTGTCAAGGGCAATCGCGCTTCCAATGCCGCCGATGGTGTCGCCGAACTTGTCGCGGGCGTCGGACGGTAGGAGACCCCAGCCTGCTAGCTCTTCATAGATGTATGTCTTTCCGTTGCAGTTTGTTTTGTTTACCACGGAAGTTGGGTGTCCATCTCGAGAGAGCACGGGAGTAGCTGTTGACTGGCTCAAGATTGAGCAGACGGCAATCGCGAAAGCGAACAGCATATTGGCTACCGAAATTAGAAGCTCAAGTTCCCTGGTCGAAAGGTCGACGAGACAGGAACAGACTACTAGCACTTATATGAAGCAGACCTCTGCTCCGAGAACCGGGGTGGAAATTTGCGTGATTATAGACCTGCCTATTGCATACCACACGTGCTGGGATTAACGGCGTAGGGTTTCCTGTCTTTTAGGGTTGCTTGAGGCGTTCCATATTTCACTGGACTGCCACTATTTGACAGGGCGATGACGACAGTTATTGAGAGGCGCACGGCACAGGAACAAGCTGAATGAGTTTGGCTGATCCTAATTCCATTGTGAGTACGATAGATGCGCAGGTAAAGTGTAGAAGTTGACGCATGTACTGCACGTGTATGCAACTCTGGACTGTGAATGGTTGCTCTGGGTTAAGCTAGGACGAAAGCAGTAGGTACGTGAATGAGATGCGAAGGGTTCCCCGCGATTTCAATGGCCATTGGTAGTGGCCATTCTCCGTGATCAAAGTAGAAAGGTAGCTAGAGCATGCTGGATTGACGCATGTTCGCGTATGTATTGGAATTACGACATTAGGCAGAGCTGATTGAGCTCTCCAATTGAACTCTAAAGACATACTACCTAGGTAGTCGAGCACATCCATTCCCAGAGAAGCTTTCACCTATCACCAAGACAGAGAGGTCCTTCCAGAGGTCCAGATGGAACACACATTAAACATAGTGACGTCAATGTACAGAAATTATTCCATTAATTATTCCATTAATTATTCCATAGGCATGTATGGAGGCAATTACATCCCTTTCCATCCTTCGGTTCGTGCATTGTATACACATTGTCGAACATACTGTGTAAGCAAATGCAACCATAGAACTACTGATTCTTCAACCAGCAAAACTCCCTCTGTCCTATGTTACCTGCACATAGTACTCCGTAATTATGTGTATATCTGAAGCAATGCCTATCCAACCGCATGCAGCTTTGACGACCAGTCTCCCCCCTAACCGGGTCAGACTCAGCAATCAACTTCCAATTACCTGACTTGCCGTTCGCGCGATAATCGAAAATCACATGCAAATTCAAACAAAGGCTCGCGCCATCAAAAACTTTTTCCATTCACAATTCCCAATCTCCACGCAAACTTGTCGTGATGGACTCAATTGTTTGCACTCTTATTTTCCAATAATCCATATCTAGGATATATTCGTAGACAACTGAATGCCTTTCCCTTCTACAGAACAATTCGGGAGCCTACAATGGCAATCGCAATCCAGTCACGCAATGATTCAATCCATCATCGTATTCCTAGCCACCCTCAAAACATACACATGTTACACTTTGTAAACCATAAACTCACTGTTCATAAAAACACGAAATCACGAGTTCACGCGCCATCCCCCCTCCACCCTCCGTTCTCTCAAAGCTTTAGCCTTACCATTCATACCCCCGGCTCCCATTGTCTAACTACCGCTTCTCGCACCGCACCGCACCGCACCGCACCGCACCGAACCGTACCTTTCTATTGCACACCCTGTCATGCAAGCCCAAAAACGACAAAATCCTCCGTGCCCTCCGATCCACTCCAGGGGTGCTACGGTGCCTGCAATCTGACATGTGAAAGCCGCGAACCCAGGTCCCAGGCTCCCAGCTTCCCAGGTACCCACTCAAAAACCCTACACTACAGGTTTCTTCTGACATGTGAAAGGTACCCACCCACACCCACTCGCACCACCCCCAACCCAACCACCATCCTCCTATCCTCTCGTCTCCCATGAAAGTGAGAGTCCATGCGCGGAAAATCATGCATGACATCGTCTAGTTACCTGTCCCCGTCCCCGGGAGCGATGGGAGCGCGAGTCCATGCTCGATACCGTCACCCGTCCTCGTCTCGCATCGTCTCGTCTCGTCCCGCACGACGGGACCCAGCGATCGTGCATGCGGGAGCCAGGTACGCGGTAAAGCTCACCGAGACGACCGACCGAGGCTGGGGGAGGGGGGAGCTTCCTTATCTACCGTCGTGGTTGTGCTTATCGCAGCTGGTTGCTATGAAGCCATTCACAACGGTGTACCCAGTTTATGTAGATGGTAGAGACATGTACTTATATACACCGTACCCCGTACGGAGGACACTCTCAACAACTCAACCATCTATCTGTATCTATCTTATCATCCCCCTTCCCCGCCCCCCAGGTACTCAACACAAACTGAACAGCTATCTCCATTGAAAACCAACCGACCCCTCAATTCAACAGTCCGTCCTTATCTCGTCGTTCCCCTCCATATCCGCTAGTCCGTCCGGGCGCTTCCTTTTGTTGAACTGAGATAGAGTTTCTGTTGGGACGTCCCTCCCATCTCTCTTTCTTTACGAGGTTCGTTTTGTTGAGCGGGGAGGATTTACTAGTATGCTCTAGTGAGCTTGTTTGGTTTGGGGTGTTGGGTGCGGGCTTTGTATGCGGGCACGTTGTTGAGATGCGGGTTTGCATACGTGAGCAGGGGAAGCTAGGTGCCATGCGATGTATGCATGCATGATGCTGCTTGAACGGTACTACTGTGTAAATAAAGAACATGTTGTGTATTTAATTACTAATAAATGCTGTATCGTTTTTCCGATTGATTGATTGTTTTTTGATTGTTTTGTGTTCTGTCGATAAACAACAAAAAGTATCCCATTCGTTCTGTTCCAAAAAATGCGTTTCTGAATTGTCATCATCAAAAAGTCGCTGCTCGTTCCATAGCCTCTTCTTCTCCCTCTTTGTCCTCTGGATGTGTGTATGTTGGGAAAAAATGCATTTCATTTGTTATTCTCCAGAAAAACAGTGGAAGAAAAGAGTCCTCCGTCATCGCTGCGCAGAAAGACCCAACCACTATGCCCCTCCCCCAATTCTATCCCGTGACGGAAAACATGAAATTATACAATTGGTATCTCTTTTTTTGTTAAAGGGGGGGTTTAGAAAGTGGCGACTGCGACTGCGATGGCTTGCTCGTCGGAGTGGCTGATGCTGATGGTGATGTTCTTGACACCCACCCTCTTGGCCTCTGATTCGGCGAATCCGTGAAGCTGCGTTTCAATTAGCATTTCGTCGCATTGCAGATATCATCAGAATGAATATAAACGTACCTTGACGGTTGGTGCGCCAGCCTCGTCGTTCACAATCTCAATCTCCTTCAAGCCGGCGCCGGCGCCCTTGCCCTTGACTCCCAGTGACTTGAACACGGCCTCCTTTGCGGACCACTTTCCGGTGAAGCTGGCCTGCGGGCTGCCGGCCTTCTCGCAGTAGGCGATCTCGCTCTCGGTGAAGTTGCGCTCGAGGAAAGTGTCATTCTCGATGTTGATGGCGCCAATGGTCTCGACGTCAACGCCAACCTTGGTGTTCGCACCCGCGGTGGACTGGGTGAGGGACTCGAGCACCTTCCTCGTCTCCTCAGCCTTGGGATCCTTCTTGGGCGCTGCCGGGGTAAGCTTCTTTGGGTAGCTGTACTGGGCAGTCTTCTTGTCGATGCTGACGCGAGCCTGGGGGTTGAGGAAGACCTCTTGCATCTTCTCATCTTCGTAAGGTGCCTTGTCCTTGGCACGGAACATGGTGTTGTTGATGAGACCGTCGTGGAAGTAGCGGTAAGCCTTCTTCTGGCGAGCCTCAACCTTCTGCTTGTACGTAGCATATTGGGTGTGGTCGAGGGCGGCGAACAGATACTTGGGATGGATACCGATGGCCTGGGCACCCTTCTGACCGAAACCGAAAGAGGTGACGGAGAAAGCCTTGATACCGTCGGTCTGGATCGAGCGAGAGGGGTAGACAATGTAGTCGAACTTCTCCATGACCTTGTCGACGTTGTCGGCGTTGCGGTTACCGGGTACGAGACCAGAGTTGAGGACCTGCAAGCAGCCGTTGAACATCCAGGCACCGGCCGCACCCTTGGGGTGACCAGTGAGATACTTCTGGAAGATACCCATGAGAGCATTGCCCTTGCTTCGGCCAAGGTGACGCATCTGTTGGCAGATGACGTCGGACTCGTTCTTGTCGTTGGCAACGGTTGAGGTACCGTGGAAGGAGGCCACATCGAGGTCGTCGATGGTAAGTCCCCAGGTGGCGAGGGCACCACGGAGAGGTGCAATGCGAGGGTCCTGCTTCCAGAAGTTGTTGCCGAGGCTGTTGAGGGCATCCTTCTCCTGTCGCTTGGCCTCGCGCTCAATGTGAGCAGCACGCTCCTCGAGGTACTCGGACTCGTTGAAAGACTCGCCGGCATCCTTGATGGCTGCGACCTCTTCCTGAAGGTAGAGGAGCTCTGCCTCCTGCCACTGCTTGATCTGCTTGCGGCGGAGATCCATCTGGCGCTTCCTGTACTTGATGTCGAGCAAGGGAGAGGGGAACTTGGAAGGCATCTCGCGGGCAGTGGTGAGAACACCCTTTCCAGGAGCAGGAACGGAGCGGCCGATCTTGTCGGTGGCCGTGGCGGTGAAACCGAGGATACCGTAGATGGGAACACCCATATCCAAAGCCAGCTTGGCGTCCATGATGACTTGCATACCGCAACCTTGCGATTCCATGAATCCGTTTCTGGTGGTTGTGGTGGGTCGGGACATTTCTTTGGGCGTACGTCCGTGCGCGAACTCGTCCTCAGCATTGCTGGTAGCCTTCATGTTGGCGAACTCGTATGAGCCTTCCTCCTGGAAGTCATCGAAACCACCGACGAAGCAGACACGGGCCTTACCCTCGACAATGGTGTCGTAACCAATGTCAATGGACTCAACAGCCGTTGCACAGGCACCGACGGGGGTCTTGATGGGACCAGTCGACGAGATGAGCAACATGTTGACCCAGGCGCTCATGGTGTTGATGAAAGACTCCTGGAGGATATCCTTTTGCAGAGGCTTGTCAAGGAAGCGATCCTTGTACATACCTCGGAGAGCAGTGGTACCACCAATACCTGAACCGACACAGTTACCGACCTGCGAGATGTGGACGTACTGGTAGAACTCGTAAGGGTCGGTAATACCGCTGGACAAGAGAGCCTCGGCGGTGGAGACAAGCACGAAGAGTGTGACGGGGTCGACTTGAGAGATGATGTCGTCGGGAACACCGTACTTCTTAGCATCCCAGCCCGTGGGGATCTGACCAGCGACCAGGCGGTCGAATCGCAGAGCCTTGGGGATCATGAGAGTGGCACCCTTCCTTAGTCTGACAGTGAACTCGCCAGAGTCGGGGATCTCGAAGACCTCCACCTTGTCGCCATGCTGGCGCTTGAACTCATCGGCAGTCTCCTTGGAAGCCTCGAATGGGTCAAGGTCCTCCTCGATCTGGATTTCCTGAAGAAGCTGCTTCTTGGTGGGGTCGTATCCATTGAAGAGTTCGGGCTCGATCAGGCGGATACCGGAGTGCTCGATAATGTGTTTCTCGTACTTGGGCTTGACGTCCTTATCATCGACAGGCTCGCCGGACTTGGCATCAACCCAGCCAGAGTAGCTCTTGCCCTTGAGAGGACCGTTGTGATTCTTGATGAGACCCATGATCCAAGCCATTTCGACGCATCCCTCGAGCGAGAACTCGCCGTACGCCTCCATCTCCCAACGGGTGCGGGAGTTACCCCAGGGTCCGACTTCAGCGAAACCGGTGACGACGACAACCTTCTCGAGGTCGACCATACCCTTCAGATCGCTGTTGAGAGGCTTGACCTCGGTATCCCAATCAGGAAGCTTGGGGAATTCGAACTTCAAGTTGGCACGTGGCTGGACAGTGGTCTTCTTGTAAAAGGATTCGCTGGCCTCGCCGTTGACGACCTTGTTCTCGATGGCGTTCTCCTTGACGACAGCCTTGCGGACCTCGCTGGTCTCCATGTGCTCCTTGCGAAGATCGGTCATGAGGTCTTTGAGGTTGGGGATGTACTGGAAGCCACCGTTGAGATCGGCCCACACGGGCTCGATCTGGCAGAGGTTGACGATTGGTGGTGCCATGAGACCGAGCAAGTTGAAAGCCATCTCCTGCTGCGAGAAGGTTCGCACACCGTACTTCTCAATACCCTCAGCGACGATGTTGTTACCAGCCATAAGACCAGTACCACGAGTCCAACCAATGACAGCTCCGCAGATGGTGAGGAAGCTGCCCCAGCTCTCGGAGTGCCACCTGGAGAACAGGGTCTCGAGAGCAATCTTGGATTCGGCGTAGAGACCATCGTTACCGAAGGTACCATGGTTGGGGGAAAGAGGAAGGATGACTTGAGCAGGGCGAGTCTCGTATCCGTTGGCTTGCTTGTGCTTCTTCACCTCGCCGAGAAGTCGGAGAAGGTTAGTCAACATGATACGATGAGCAAGCTCAGACTTCGAGTCGATGCCGTCAATCTCACGACCATTCTCGGAGATGGCGGCGAAGGGGACGACATAGTCGAGATCCCAGCCGAGACCCTTCTTGGCGTCGAAGATGTACTCGACAAGGCCTTCGACATCTTGCTTGCTACCCTGGTTGAAAGGCACGACAATGAGCTGCGAGCCGCGGGCACCATAACGAGTGTACATGGACTGGTAGTACTCGTTGACCTCACGCGAGAAGCGGGAAGTGGTAACGACGACCTTGGCTCCACCACTGATTAGGCCTTGGAGGACCTCAGCACCGATCGAGCCAGCACCAGCACCAGTCATGAGGGCGTTCTTGCCCTGGAAGCTAACACCGGACTTGGCAGCATTCTCAAGACCATCAAGGTAAACTCCGGTCAATTTCTTGCTGTATTCCCAGCCATGGTCGTCTTTCCTCTTCAGGTGGAGGAAGGGAATTGTCTCGACCTTGCCCTGCTTGGTGGGTCCGTGCACACGACCATTTCGTCGCTTAGGGTTGACTGGCTTGCCATTCTCGCTGGGAATGATCTGGCCTTCGTTCATGGACAATGAACGGATGACATTGCCGTAGAGAGTCTTGATCTGGAGCTGCGAAGACTTGGAGAGCTTGTGTTGCTGCTTGATGAGCTTGTAGATGCGCTGCAAGTCGTTCTGGACCTTAGTGCGGTTTCCGTATTCAGAAAGCTTGCCGCCCTCAGCCATTTCGCGGACGTAGTGCTCGAGCTTGCGAACGCTTGGTCTGGGAACTTCGGAGTAGTTCAAGTTGCCCTTGCTATCGATATCAAGGTGGGGAGCAGTGGGGACGGCAACATCCTTGAAAACAGGTGCCTCGTTGAGTACATCCTTGCAGTTCTCGATGAGCTGCTGGCCGAGCTCCTTCGCGAGCTCGTAGGTCTCACCACGCTCGGTGGGGCAGTGGTCAATGTGGTACTGCATGAAGTCGAGGAGGAGAGGGTTCGAGCGGTTCATGATGTTGATGCAGCGGCTTACAATCTCGCGATCTACCGCCTTGAGACGGCCGAAAATGATATCGTAGTACATGCTCAGAGCATCCTGGCGTGCCCAATTCCATGACGAATCGTAGACACGGGCCTTGAGGGATGTGAATTGGGGCTCAATGCCTGCGGCGTAGAAGTCACCGTGCTCGGAAGTCCATAGATCGAGCTGGGCTTGGAGAGCAGAGCCGGCCTTTTGTGACCCGACAAACGCCTTGTCGCCTGCGCGAAGATCCATTTTCAGGTACCTCGCGAACAGCTCCAATTGCTGCTTGAAGAGCATTCGCTGGTCCTTTGTGAGAGCGTCGATTGCGGCGGGATCCATCATCATGCCGCCCGAAGCACCGCCAGCATCACCACCTGCGGTAGGAGCAGACAAGCTGATTCCGGCGATTGTTGCGTACTTGTTGGAAATCTCGTCCAACCAGGCCTTGGCGTCGTTCTCTGAACCAAGACGAGCAGCAGGCTCGTTGGTGAGGGCGAACAGGAGAACACCATCTTGACGTCCCTGTCCGAGTCCCCACCTTGTCTCCAAGTGCTTTCGCACTGCAGTTATATTGAAACCACCGGGCATCTTGGAAGACACCATGCGGGCAATAAGCGAGGAGGATTGCTTTCCAAGCTGACCATTGAAGGTAGCCTGCATTGCCGCACCGAGCTCGTCGAGAGGGGTATCTTCTGGCTTCTCTGGGGTAGAACCGAATTCCTTGCCCAAGTCGCCGAGAATTTCGTTCTGGAGGGTGGATTTGCCTGTTGTATGTTAGAATTTTCCTTGAGAGCTTGCTGGTGCCTTTTCGTGATTTTGAACTCACCTCCAACCAAATCCTTGATGGCCTTCTGCAAGGGAATGTCCATGAGAGGCTTCTTGAGCTTCTGGGCCACCAATGCTCGCACAATATCGGTTGCTGTGACTGGTGCATCAGGAACCTGTGCTGCCGGGCCTGCACTAGCTGCCGGGGCGGCGACTGGGGCAGCGGCCGCAGGAGCTGCTGAAGCTGCTGCGGGAGCATCTGAGCTGCTGGGTGCAGCTGGTTCTGGCTCCTCCTCTACTGGGTCCACATCGTAGTAGATGTCCTTTGCGTCCTTGTTGTAGCAGAAAATTTGTCGCTGTACCGACTTGGCAGCATCGTGTGCCTCGTATTTGGATGCCAACGTTCGCTTTGCCATGACACCGAGAGTGTCGGCAGGACCAATTTCGACGATGCGCTCAGTGGTCTTCTCGCCGAGGATGACATCTTGAGTCTCGATCCACCTCACGGGAGAGGCGAATTGGTATGCGAGAAGCTCAATGAGCAGGGTGTGGGAGAGCTCCTGCTCGACTTCGGGACGCATGTTGAGAGTAGTTCGGGAAGCTTCGCGTGGAGCGATTGAACCGTGGACAATAGGTGATAGAGAAATGTCTATTAGAGACTCGATGGGGTATCTAGGAGTCGAAAAAAAAGCGGCGGAGAGGGGGTATCAATTTGGTATGAAACCAAAGGAGGGAAGGAACAACCAGCCGTGAGGGAAGAACGGCGGTCTGTGATAAATTATTACAGTTGAGAGGGAGAGAAGAGGGTAGTTGGTGAGAGGAGGAGGAGGATAAGGAAGAGGGAGAGAGGGAGAGAAATGATGAAGTAGAGATGGGGAGGAATTGGGGGTGGTTTAGGGCGGCGGTGGAGTGGGAAGATGTGCCGTGGTAAACGATCCCCGAATCGGGCTTGTTAGTAGCAGCAGTGGTGAATGGGTAGTAGGCCACAACCTGAGGTAAAAGATGATGAGAAGGAGGACGAGAACCAACGCATTGACTGTTTATCTCTTGAGGGGAATTGGATTGGATAGGATTGGAGCGGAATGGCACGTCAAGAGAGGGAGAGAAGAATACGGAATAGATACTGTACTGTGCACCGACAATAATACAGCTTTCTACTAGGAGTGTTGTGGGTTGCGTTGAGAAAGTTCTCTAGTGGTTGTCCTGGGGGTCTAGGGCACATCCTTACACAGTAGGAAGAGAACATTGGGCAGATTATTTTTCATTATTACAGTGCAAGTGTCAAAATACCCACCCCCCAGCAGATAAACATTACACATACTCTGTCTGTAGATACTAGACCGTAAGCTATAACTATGTTTTGGTGGAGAGGTGGTAGAAAGTGCAGGGTATCAAAGCTGTGGACTGATGATCCCTGCATTGACGAAGCTTGTCACTATTCGATCCATTCGACCCAACACAAATTTCCCTTATCCCATCCCATCCTCTTCCCTTCCATCCTTCCATTCTTCATTCTGTATTATTCAATCAATCGTCCCAATTAATGATCTTACGAGTATGATTACTATTATTTCAAAGTCACCAACTAATCAGCCAACGAATTCACCATGTAATTGCGAATCTCAGAGGGTCTAGGTGCACAGAATGTATTCACCGTATACTCTAAGACCCCTACTCAGTGTAGACGAGGGAAAGAGAAAAAAAGGGCCCGGTTCCGGTCCAGGGCCAGCGGATACATCTTCCAACCATTAACTCTGTACCGATTTGGTCCGACTTGCGAATGTTCAACACTTGTTGCCAGTGCCTCTCAACACTAACCCGCCGCTCTCAACGGCCTTTTGTTGAACAATTGCATCTGCCTAGAACAGCTTCTGTCTGACCACCATTCATCGTCCATATTGACTCTGTTGACTTGTTGACAACGCCTATCTCTTGCAGGTTATTCGCTATCAACGGTATCATGATATCAATGGTATCAACAAAGTCGTCATCAGGGACCACTACCCAGGCAACGTCCCAGCGATCCGAACAATACCAAACGTGTTTGCGTATGCGTGCGTGTACGTATACAGTATCTTACCGTCCCTTGGGCCGTGGAACCGCAAGGAACCAGAATTACTGATCGGGTGGGATGATGAAGCGGAGTGGAGAAAGTAGCATTCCAAATGTCGATTGTGTTGTATGTGTTCTGTTCTCTACCGCCACTTCAATTTCGCCGACCGCCTTTCGAGTAATGATACGTACACAGTATGTACTTGTTTTGGCTAGGCACTTGAGGCTGCTACGTACCGGAGCCACGAGAGAGAGAAACCCTCCGGCTACGAGTTACGAACGAAAAAAAGAGAAAGGCTACAGGGCTCGCCTCGCAACCCCAACCCTCATCGGAACCCTGACGACACGAACGAAGGAACGAACGAGCAGGGCCACAGAGGCTAAGAGAGACACGAGTTAGTGTGATCTGCCGTCCCTCTCCGCTCTTTTTTTCCTCTAGACCATCATCCTTCCGTGCCTCCCTGAGGTCCCCCCGTCCCCCTTCTGCGGCGTGCCCCCCCCATCAAACCCCTGCCCTGTCCGTTGAGCCGACCGTCTCCCGGATGTTATGTATGTTGAGCACTGAGCACTGGGGAGCAGCGTGGCGGGCGGGCGTGCCTGGAAGCTGTTGGTAAGACTATGCTATGGATTGGTGATCGAATTGTTGAATAGATGCTGCATTGAGTTACTTTGCGATATCTGTAACCAGTCAATTGTACTACTCTGTATCTATGTCTATGTTGATAGTAGGTACGGAGTACTTGTAAGTGTCCTCTGGCATGTATGTAATGGCTTGTACAAAGTACACACAGTAGATGGGATGATTATGATTCTTGTCATTTGTCGAGTTGTTTGGTGGTGGTTCCGCCGGAGGGTTAATTTTCAACGCCAGAAGATTGTTAGTGGATGGAAACACACGCCAGTGACACCAACGACGGGGTTAGCGCATCAACCTAGACGGTCAACTAACATCCCCTGGTCTCTGTATGGGACCTTGAGTACCTTGCAAAAAGGGTCGGTATGGGCTGTCGGTATGGGTCGCTAACCAGCTAGGTATTTGATCGTTGTATTCTATCATAGCTATGAGCTATGGGCATCCTAATCGTCCCGGCTCTGCATCCATTGCCTTACCCTAATCGTCTGTGCGTTGCCTCTCTTTTTTTGCTGGGTTGCTAGGTTGCTGGGCTGGGCTGGGTTGTTGTCCATCATCCAATGTCTGCATGGTGGGAATAGTTGACTTACCTACTGTGTACCTACCTACGGATTGACGGTTGAGAACGTTCCTTACACAGTATTCCGTAACGAAAAAAAGTTCCTCCACCATCCATCCACATCCACGCACACACATTCTCTCTATTCTGTTGTCTCTCTTTCTCCCACACAACTAGCTAGCTAGGTAGCTAGAGATACCCTTACTGTACGAGTCTTCTCTTATCCTCCGGTCCCTCGATAATTATTATTATTCCTCCTCCTCGCCTGCACTGCGCCTTGACCGCTCTCAACACCTTACCTACACTTCTTCCCCATCCTCTTCCCTTCTCTACCTACATCCTACCTCTACACTTCCCCTCCTCTCTTCGCGCCGTACTCAATTAACTCTACATCGGCTCTTCTACATCAGCTTCTCCTTTCCCTTCCTCCATTCTTCTCATTGATACCCTAATTGCTTCTTGTTGTTGTGCCACTCTTCCCCCGTTGGCATTTCCGCAAGCTCTGTTCATCTCAGCAAGGGAGCTGCCATTAACTTAGCACTCCTCCAGTCAGATACACCAGAAATTCCCCGAGAGCATTGCTGGTAGATTAGCTTCTACCTGCTCAGCATTCTCTGCAGCATCAGAATAGGTACCGTATCCCATTTTCAGCAATTCGTGGGGGTCGAGGAGATAAACCCACACATCCAGATTGCATAGCTCATCCCTCGTGTAACTCTCAGAAAAGAGAAACGTAGAAGGAAGGCACGGCTAACGCTCTGCAGGTTCAATTGCTGCAAAGAATCCGCGATAGACGAGCCCTACTCCCTTTGGTAGCTTCGGTATGTCCTCTTCCGCCCCTCCCACGCTGCTTCGCGGCTCCAGCACCTTAATTCCCACGATGCTACTGTGCCCCTCCATCCATCGGTGCGAGAAGAAAACACAATACTCACAATGGCTTCCACAGATTCATTTCGGCAATCTCCCAGAATGTATGGCTCCGGCCCTCAGACGGGCATCTCCACGCCCCGCTCGCAAGCCTCTCTCCGACCCCTCGTCCTCTCCCATGGCTCGCTCGAGTACACACTCCTAATTCCCACCGCACTACACTTCAGTGCCCAACAATTGAGGGACACCTTCAAGTCGACCCTCCCCGAGCCCACCGACGAGCTCGCTCAGGATGACGAGCCATCTTCCGTCCCCGAATTGGTCGCACGATACCTTGGTTTTGTTGCGCAGGAGGTGGAAGAGGGAGACGACCCAGGGTCGTTTGAGGAGGTGCTCAAGCTGGTTCTTAACGAGTTCGAGCGAGCTTTCCTCCGCGGAAACGAGGTCCACGCCCTGGTCGCCTCTCTTCCCGGCATCACCGAGAAGAAGCTGATCACGGTTCGCTCGTACTATGCAGCTCGTGCCGCAGTGGAGCGTCCCATCAAGCACCACGAATCAGCTCTCTTCCGCGAGGCTGGTGACGAGAATGCTTTCATTTACGCCGTGCTCGGTGGGCAGGGAAACATTGAAGAATACTTTGATGAGCTACGGGAGATTTACACCACATACCCCTCCTTCGTTGAGGATTTCATTGCCTCCGAAGCGCAGCACCTCCTAGCTTTGGCTCGCGACCCTCGCGCGGAGAAGCTCTACTCCAAGGGTCTTGATGTCATGCGATGGCTCAACAACCGGGATTCTCAGCCCGATACCGATTATTTGGTTTCTGCCCCAGTCAGCTTGCCATTGATCGGTTTGACCCAGCTCGCACATTACGTGGTAACGTGCAGAGTTTTGGGCAGTCACCCAGGCCACATCAGAAGCCGACTTGCTGGTGTCACTGGTCACTCGCAGGGTGTGGTCACAGCCGCCGCCATTGCTGAGGCAAAGGACTGGCAGACCTTCGAAGTTGCCGCCAAGAACGCAATCAGCATCTTGTTCTGGATCGGAACGCGAAGCCAGCAAGCGTACCCAAGAACTTCGCTCGCACCATCTACTCTGCAAGATTCTCTTGACAATGGCGAGGGAACTCCCACACCAATGTTGTCCGTCCGAGATCTCTCGCGGAAGGCACTCCAAGACCACATCGATACTACCAACGCACATTTGCCTTCCGACAGGCACATTGCCATTTCACTCACCAACAGCGCACGTAACTTTGTGGTCACTGGTCCGCCCCAGTCCCTGTACGGTTTGAACTTGCGTCTCCGAAAGGTCAAAGCCCCTACTGGTCTTGACCAGACAAGAATCCCGTTCACAGACCGCAAGATTCGCTTCGTCAACCGCTTCCTGCCCATCACTGCTCCTTTCCACAGCCCCTACCTCGCCAAGGCCAGTAAGGAGCTTGAGGATGATCTCAAGGACATCAAGATCCCCGCCAGCAGCCTCGCTATCCCCATGTTTGACACCAACACGGGCAAGGACATTCGCGATGACAACGCAGACAACATTGTTCCTGCCTTGGTGCGTATGATCACCAATGATCCAGTCAACTGGGAGAAGGCGACCGTGTTCCCTCAAGCCACACACATCCTTGACTTCGGTCCTGGAGGTATCTCCGGTCTTGGTGTTCTCACCAACCGCAACAAGGAGGGTACTGGTGTGCGTGTCATCCTCGCGGGCGCTATCGACGGACAGAATGTCGAGGTCGGCTACAAGCCTGAGATCTTCGACCGTGATGCCGAACACGCAGTCACCTACGCAGTCGATTGGGTCAAGGAACATGGTCCTCGCCTCGTCAAGACCTCTTCTGGTCAGACCTACGTTGACACCAAGATGAGCAGGATGCTCGGCCTTCCCCCGGTCATGGTTGCTGGTATGACCCCTACTACTGTCCCGTGGGACTTTGTTGCGGCCACCATGAATGCTGGATACGAAATCGAGCTTGCTGGTGGTGGTTACTACAACGAGAAGACGATGACCGCTGCCATCACCAAGATCGAGAAGGCCATTCCCGCCGGCCGTGGTATCACGATCAATTTGATCTATGTCAATCCCCGCGCCATGGCCTGGCAAATCCCGCTCATTGGAAAACTCCGAGCTGATGGTGTACCCGTCGAGGGTCTTACCATTGGTGCCGGTGTACCTTCCATTGAAGTTGCCAATGAGTACATCGAGACGCTCGGTATCAAGCACATCGGCTTCAAGCCCGGATCCACTGAGGCAATCCAGCAGACCATCAACATCGCAAAGGCAAACCCAACTTTCCCCGTGATTCTCCAGTGGACTGGTGGCCGTGGAGGTGGCCATCACTCTTTCGAGGATTTCCATCAGCCTATTCTGCAGATGTACGGCCGCATCCGAAAGTGCGAGAACCTCATCCTTGTCGCTGGATCTGGTTTCGGTGGCGCCGAGGACACCTATCCCTACCTCACTGGTGCTTGGTCCACACGCTTTGGATACCCACCCATGCCTTATGACGGTTGCTTGTTCGGTAGCCGTATGATGACTGCAAAGGAGGCACACACCTCTAAGAATGCCAAGCAGGCCATCGTCGACGCGCCTGGTCTTGAGGACGGTGATTGGGAGAAGACCTACAAGGGCGCAGCTGGTGGTGTCATCACGGTCCGCTCCGAAATGGGCGAGCCTATCCATAAGCTGGCCACTCGAGGTGTGCTATTCTGGGCCGAGATGGATCAGAAGATCTTCAGCCTCGACAAGGCGAAACGCATCCCCGAGTTGAAGAAGATGCGCGAGTACATCATCAAGAAGCTGAACAACGACTTCCAAAAGGTCTGGTTCGGCAGGAACAAGAATGGCGAGTCCGTTGACCTCGAGGATATGACCTACCAGGAGGTCGTCCAGCGTATGGTCGACCTGATGTACGTCAAGCACGAGGAGCGATGGATCGATGCCAGTTTGATGCGACTCACCGTCGACTTCATTCGACGTCTCGAGGAGCGTTTCAGCACGGCCGATGGCGAATCCATCATTCAGAGCTACGACGAGCTCCAGGCTCCTTACCCTGTCATTGAGAAGGTCTTCAAGGCATTCCCCGAGGCAGGAGAGCAACTCATCAACGCCCAAGATGTACAACACTTCCTCCTTCTCTGCCAGCGTCGTGGCCAGAAGCCCGTACCATTTGTTCCCGTACTTGACGACACCTTCGAGTTCTTCTTCAAGAAGGACTCCCTGTGGCAGTCTGAGGACTTGGAAGCTGTGGTAGACCAAGACGTTGGCAGGACTTGTATCCTGCAAGGCCCAATGGCCGTCAAGTACTCCAACAAGGTTGACGAGCCAGTCAAGGACATCTTGGATGGTGTTCACCACAACCACATCAAGTTCCTCCTCCGGGACGTGTATGGTGGCGACGAGTCGAAGGTTCCTGTAATAGAGTACTTCGGCAGCAAGCTCCTTGGTACTCACGAATCGGTTGAGGTCGACGGTCTCACCGTCTCCCAAATCGAAGGCAAGACCGTGTACCGTCTCTCCACGGACCCCAAGGCTACCCTTCCAGCCGTTCAGGATTGGCTCACTCTCCTCGCTGGCGATGCTTACTCATGGAGGCACGCTTTCTTCACAACCGACATCTTTGTGCAAGGCCAGAGGTTCCAGACCAACCCGGTCTCGAGGATCTTTGCCCCAACTGCAGGAATGATGGTGGAGATCACAAACCCCAAAGAGCCTGCCAAGACTGTGATCATTGTCAAGGAAGCCTCCCTCAGCGGCAAATTCATCAAGACCGTAGAGGTCAGCTTGTCTCAGGACCGCGAGATTGTTCTCAACATGTTCGAGGAGCGCACGGTTTTGAAGCAGCCTGCGGCTTTGTCTCTCAAGTTCACTTACCGCCCTGAGATCGGATATGCACCCATTCATGAGGTTATGGATGCCCGCAACGACCGCATCAAGGAATTCTATTTCAAGATCTGGTTCGGCAATGAATCTTGCCCCTTCGATGCTTCCGTGACTTCCAAGTTCGACGGTGGACGAGCCACCGTGACAAGCGAAGCTATCAACGACTTTGTCCATGCCGTAGGAAACACCGGCGAGGCTTTCGTCGATCGCCCGGGCAAGGAAGTCTTTGCTCCCATGGACTTCGCCATCGTTGTTGGCTGGAAGGCCATCACTAAACCAATCTTCCCTCGTGCCATCGATGGAGATCTGTTGAAGCTTGTCCATCTGTCCAACGGATTCCGCATGATTCCAGGCGCACAGCCTCTGAAGAAGGGCGATGTCCTCGACACCACTGCCGAAATCAACGCCGTCATCAACCAGGATTCTGGAAAGATGGTTGAGGTCTGCGGCACGATCACCCGTGACGGCGAACCCGTCATGGAGGTCGTCAGCCAGTTCTTGTACCGTGGAGCCTACACCGACTTCGAGAACACCTTCCAGAGGAAGACCGAGACACCCATGCAACTCTCTCTGGCAACCTCCAAGGATGTCGCCATTCTTCGCTCGAAGGAGTGGTTCAACCTTGAGGAGCCCGATATTGAGCTACTGAACAAGACTCTGCTGTTCAAGCTCAAGAGCTTTGTGCGCTACAAGTCCAAGACCGTCTTCAGCGAGGTCAACACCATTGGAGAGGTCTTGCTCGAGTTGCCTACCAAGGAAATCATCCAGATTGCTTCCGTCGAGTACCAATCAGGAGCATCGTATGGCAACCCAGTCTTGGACTACTTGGAGCGTAACGGATCTGCCATTGATCAGCCTGTCAACTTCGACAACCCTATCCCTCTCAATGGCAAGACTCCTCTGACTCTCAAGGCACCTGCATCCAACGAGAACTACGCTCGCGTCTCCGGCGATTACAACCCTATTCACGTGTCACGTGTCTTTTCCAGCTATGCCAACCTCCCTGGAACCATCACTCATGGCATGTACTCCAGCGCTGCCGTGCGCAGTCTCGTCGAGACCTGGGCCGCCGAGAACAATGTTGGCCGCGTCAGAAGCTTCCACGCCAGCCTTGTTGGCATGGTTCTTCCCGATGACAGCATTGATGTCAAGCTCCAGCACGTCGGTATGGTTTCCGGACGCAAGATCATCAAGATCGAAGCCAGCAACAAGGAGACTGAGGATAAGGTGCTTCTCGGCGAGGCCGAGGTTGAGCAGCCTACTACTTCTTACGTCTTCACTGGTCAAGGATCCCAGGAGCAGGGTATGGGTATGGATCTATACAACAGCAGCGAGGTTGCTAAGGAAGTCTGGGACCGTGCCGACAAGCACTTCATGGACAACTATGGTAAGTTTCCTCATCATCTCCAACTAATCACACATTCTAATTCAATTTCCAGGCTTTGCTATCACCAACATCGTCAAGAACAACCCCAAGGAGCTCACGATTCATTTTGGTGGTCCTCGCGGCAAGGCCATCCGCCAAAACTACATGTCCATGACCTTCGAGACTGTAAGCGCGGACGGATCGATCAAGTCCGAGAAGATCTTCAAGGAGATCGATGAGAACACCACCTCCTACACTTACCGCTCGCCCACTGGCCTGCTCTCGGCCACTCAATTCACACAGCCCGCATTGACACTCATGGAGAAGGCATCCTTCGAAGATATGCGTGCCAAGGGACTTGTCCAAAGAGATAGCAGCTTCGCTGGACACTCTCTTGGAGAGTACTCCGCGCTCGCGGCTCTTGCGGAGGTCATGCCCATTGAGAGCTTGGTTTCCGTCGTGTTCTACCGTGGTTTGACCATGCAGGTCGCCGTCGAGCGTGACGAGACCGGTCGCTCCAACTACTCCATGTGCGCTGTCAACCCTAGCAGGATCTCCAAGACATTCAACGAGCAGGCTCTTCAGTACGTTGTCGAGAACATCTCGGAGCAGACTGGCTGGCTTTTGGAGATTGTCAACTACAACATCGCAAACATGCAATATGTTTGCGCTGGTGACCTCCGTGCGCTTGACTGCCTGACAAACGTCACCAACTATCTCAAGCAGCAGAAGATCGACATCCAGGAGCTCATGCAGAGCATGTCCCTTGAAGATGTCAAGGCACATCTCGTTGAGATCATCAAGGAGTGTGCTAAGCAGACTGAGGCCAAGCCCAAGCCTTTGGACCTCCAGCGCGGCTTCGCTACCATCCCCTTGAAGGGTATCGATGTGCCCTTCCACAGCACCTTCTTGCGTTCCGGTGTCAAGCCTTTCCGAAGCTTCCTCCTCAAGAAGATCCACAAGACATCGATCGATCCCTCCAAGCTCATCGGCAAATACATTCCCAACGTCACTGCCAGGCCCTTCGAGCTCACCAAGGAGTACTTTGAGGATGTGTACAAGCTGACCAATTCCCCCAAGATCGGCAACATCCTTGCCAACTGGGACAAGTACGAGGATAAGGACGAGCCGGCGACGGCTACTCAAGCAGCATAGAGTGCTTGAATGTCTTCATGATCAGGCGGAAATCATTGTTGGCGTTTTTTTGGCACTTTATGTAGATTAGCGATATCCGAGTTGTGGCATGATGCCTTTTTGGGGTTATAGACTAAAATTCTCTTTCCCTCTATCTAGTCATTTAGTAGACAAGTAATAACAGAACAATCACTTCACTCTGTGTGCTATGCTTTGTTTCCCCTTGTGAACATGGTAAACTGAGCTAGACGATTCTCAGTTTCAAAAGACTGGGTGTGAATGTTGGAGCTGGGGCGGTCTGATTTGCTTCACTGGCTATGTATGTATATGATATAAACCCCATTAAGATGATCGAATATAATCAACTCGACTTTGCGGCTCATCGTTGAAGTCTACTTTGGTCGAGCCCTGGTCACGTGGTCATCACAAGCCCGTTGTCCAAGGACGGCGCCACAGCACGAGCCACGAACCGTCTCCGCCGAAACTCCGCACCAGCATTTGTTTACTGTTCGCTGGTCCTAGCAACAAGCGTAGGTATACATCTCAACCTCACGCATACTCCTCCCTAAAATTACAAATCAGTCTTCCTTACTTCCGTATCATTGCATTGGAATAATCACAATGTCCTGGCGGCGTGATTCCACCACGCCGATGGATTATGAGTGGCAGAACAGCAACGGGCCCATAGACGCAAACTCCCCCTTCATCACCGCAACACAACAAGCCTCCCACAAGAAACGTATGTGTGCTGATTTCTTCTCTCTCCCACCTCTTCTCTCAGCCATAACAAACAAACCTGCCCTCACCCCATCCACACCTAACGTCATCAACAACCGCAACCCCAAACTGACTCTTGGCCAACAACCCTCAGGCCCACATTCAGTCCTCGACACCCCCTCGAAAAGCTTCCCCAGCTTCAACACACCGAGCCGATCGCAATCGTACATGCTATCGCCCGACCACAAGCCACTACCCGCCGTACCGCCGCACGTCTCCCGAGCGAACACCTGGGAGCCGCGCACGCCAGCGTCCGTCTACGACTTCAGTTCCGGAGGCGAGACGCCGAACACCCCCACATTGAACGAGGACAGCGACATCGCGACGCCGGACACGCAGATGTCGAGGCGGATGGGGAACCTCATGAGCGACAACGACCACGTCACCGTCCGGAGCAGGAGTCCCAAGAAGTCGAGTCGGCGCGACAGCTGGTTCAAGAGCATGTTTACGTCGAGTCCCAGCCCCAGCAAGGAGAAGGCGGCGGCGTATAGTAATAGGAAACCGGACGACCGCGACAGGGTGAAGAAGAGGAAAACGAAGCGCGCGAAAGAGCTGGCGATCTATGAGGAGCCGGATTCGCCTGATGTTACTGGCGTCCCAGGTCCAGCACGTGTGGGACCCAATGCAGCAGCACAGAGTAACGGTCAGACCGATGGATATGCGGCCAAGGCGGCGGGTTTCTTCGGCTGGATCGAAGCACATCCTGACCTCCCCGCTGTGTTGACTTTTTACCTACAATTAGTCGTCAATGCCTGCATGGGGGGGACGTTTCTCTGGATCATCTGGAAGATGTTCTCTGCCATCATGGCGGACGTCAATGTCGAGAGCAACAAGTTCATGAACGAGGCGATGGTGGAGATCACATTCTGCGCGAAACAGTATCAGGACAATCGATGCGACCCAAAGACTCGCGTGCCGGCCATGGAGACGGTCTGTGGGAATTGGGAGGCGTGTATGAACCGCGATGCTCGACAGATCGCGAGGGCGTCCGTGGGCGCCAGGACGTTTGCATCGATTTTGAATTCATTTGTCGAGCAATTGAGCTATAAAAGTCTGGTATGGTTATTCTCTCTTTTTCTCATGCCCTTTTTATGCTGGTTCAGCTTTCCGCGTAGCCTGACTGGGTCGTGTGAGCATTCACGGCACGGAAATGACTATTCAATATTCTCACAAGATCATCACTCAACCCCAACCCACCTCTATCAAACCCATCGAAAACCCAGCTAACCCCCTGCCCCACCACAGCTCTTCACCGCCATACTAATCTTCGGCGCCTTCAGCCTCTCCAACCGCTTCTTCGACATCGTCCGCTCCAAGACCGCCCACCCGCACTCCCACTTCCAGCACAACGCCCCTCCACCAGGCGACTACTTCCCCCCCGCGACACCGCACCGCGTCCCCTCGGGCGGCTACATAGATCACCAAGGCTACTACACTCCGTACGGCGCCGCAGCCATCCAAGGGACCCCGTACGGCATGCTCGCCAGCCAAAGCATGCCCGCGCTCCCCGCACCCTCGGACATCGAGCCCGTCGATTCGGGGACGGGGACAGCGAAGGAAGCGAGGAGGAGTCCGAGGAAGAAGTTATGGGGCTGATGATTACTTTTTATTTTATTTAAAACTAATGCCTTCTTTTGCATTCGATTCCATTCATTCTATTGTCGTCGTCGTCCTCCTTCCTTCTATTCTTCTCTCTTACGAGTTTTTAAGCTTATCTATCAAATTTTTATATTCTTTCCTCCCTCGCTCGCTCGCCTGATGTTGGAAGGGCGTTGGAAAGTGGGAAATGAGAGGAATCATTACTACTTCATTCGCACGCACACCAAGCACACACACACGCACGCATGGCCTGGCTCGTTATATCCATCCCTCCGTCTCTCCCTCCCTCCTTTCGCCTTGGTTTCCGACTCCTAGGTCTCGAACGTCAGTCATCTCATTTTGTATCCAGCCAGCATCCATCATCTTCTCGTCATTTCCTCCTCTTCTACTTGCTTGCTTGCTTACTTGATGTTTGTTTGGAGTGGAGAGCGAATAAAATCATACACGAGATAGCTAGCGGTTTTAACGAATTTCACTTTTCTGAATGATGGATAGTGGATGGTGTGATAGGTTTTTCTTCTAAGGATTGAGAGATGTGGATGGACAAGTACAGACAGATAGAGAGAGGGAGAGGGAGAAAGGCGTGGTATAAAAATGAAATGACTGAATGAATCAGATACATGAATTCAACGAACGTGAGTGACTACTCGCATCTCTCAGATCGTCTACATGATATCAATAATATACGTACATACTACATTCAAGACCCCTACCTACGTACGTAACCATCCATCCATACATTGACCACCGGTTGGTTGGTAGTGTCATCATGTCAGAATTAAAAAAAAAAGCAAACCCCAAGCCAAAAAGTAAAAAGATCCCCTTTTCCCTAACCAATCCACGGTAAATTGGCTAGGGAAAGGGGGGTGCAAAAAAAGAATGGTCAGTACGGGGGTCGAACCCGCGACCTTGGCGTATCATAGGATGAATGCTATTAGCACCACGCTCTAAACCAACTGAGCTAACCGACCTTTGTTGTTTTCTTTAATTTGATGGATATTCTGGGAATTAGAGGGCTCATCTACCCATTGTCATTAATGTTGTCTGCATAGATGGTTGGAGTGTGCAGTTTGAGTGGTGTTTTGGTGGGTGGTAGTTACTCGGCGGGGTACAGAGATTTTTACCTTGGGAGATCGTGGTGGGGTGGGTCGAGAGAAGCTGGACTGTGATGGTAAAGGACGGGTCCCTAGGTGTGGGATGCAGTGAACGAAGCCCATCGAAGATAAATTATAGTTTTTGCGACTTGCTTCGAAGATATTGGCAATCCCCTCTTTTCATTGACCCGCAAGACATATCATTGTATTGTTTGTGAGGTGGCCGTTCCATGGTTATAGGATGCTTTGTAGTTGATACACCACGTGCCCACGCGCGTCCGCGTTCAAATAACTTTTCCCCGCGTTGCACGGTTGTTCCGATCGACCTCCACAAAACGCTGGCCATTCAGAACACATCCGAAGATAGTAACATCTACTGACTTATCGAGGCCCAGGTAGTCTTTTCAGTCAAGATGTCTGACCTAGAGATGGGCGACGGCCTATCAGACTCGAGTTCTTACAACAATGCGCACCGCGCCTTCCTACAAGCGTTCCTCGCAAGATCCGTTATGACCACAGATGAGATCAAGCCGCTGCTTGCTGCGATCATGAGTGCACATGGTAACATTTCCCCGAGCAGCCCTTTCTTTTCTTATCAGACTGCTAACACCGTATCCAGAGCCCGACCGACCTCTGTTAGTAGGCGACATAACCCCACCGGACATCACCAACTTCATCCAGCAAGTAAACATCCGCATCTCACCATTGGACTACGAGATCCGCTCCTCGCGCTCCCAAACCTCCCGCGTCCTCTTCTACAGTCTCGTCAACACGACTTCCGACTCCCTCACCCACCTCGCCACCACCTTCTCCCACGAAGAAATCGCATACATAAAACGGCTCCTCGACTGTATGTTCGAGACGAACAACACGCGGAGCAGGGAGATCATGGCGGTGTCGAGCATGGAGGCAAGCCGCTTGACGAAGGCGCCGAGGGAGAACCGACAGAGCCTCGCGGCGGCGAATGGCGATGGGGAAGACGGTGCGCAGAGCCAGGCAGCGGCGGCGGTTAAGGGGATAAGCATAAGTGAGAGTGACAAGGTTCTTGCGCAGCTTGTGGAACAGCACTTCTTTAACAAGTCGAGTCGGGGGTATTATTCGCTCGCCCCGAGGGCGCTCATGGAGTTGAGGGTGTATCTCAAGGAGACGTATAACGAGGCGGGGGATCCGGAGTATGAGGACTCGGAGCCGATTGTGCGGATTAAGGACTGTGAGGGGTGTAGGGAGATTGTCACGGTGGGTGTGAGGTGTTCGGATAAGGAGTGTAGGGTTAGGTTTCATGAGCAGTGTGCGGTGCTGTATTTCAGGAATCAGAGGGGAGATACGCAGAGATGTCCGACTTGCAAGACGGAATGGGGTGGGAACTTGTTTGTGGGTGAGAGGGCGGTATACCAGGGGGAAAGGAGGGCAAACGGGACGGGTGCTGGGAGGCATTCCTCAAGTCGAGTTCAGGTGGATGATGAGGATGAGGATGAATAGAGAGTTGTTGTACTGAATGAATCACGATACCCTTGGTCGGAGTAGTTGTTTCTTGAAGCTCGACAATCAATATCAAATTTTACAAAGATTTAATTAAACTTTTGGTCCCTGACCATTCGTTATTGCCATTTCCCTTTTATTGGGTAATTGTGGGGAAATTCTAAGATTATGAAAGGAAACAATTGTGTAGAAAATTATATTTTTGTATAGTTACTCAGAATAATACAACAAAAATATTTTTGCAAACAACATTCATAAGGCCACGACGCAAATGTCAATGAACTTAGTTGAGAGACGGGAATATAATTCATGCAGCAATTACATGGGCTGGAACCCGAATAAGTACTATTTCATCGTCTAGAGGGTGGACATCAAATGGCAAATGCCCTTCAATGCTGTTACCCCTTTCGTGCCTGGCGATTTTTTAACTGACACGTTTCTCTTCTTGCTGATCATTTATGGGGTCACCTGTACCCTGATCTATAAGTTATAAAGAATCGTGAGTTAATCCTTTTATCTTGATATGTAGTTGCCTTCCCACGATAATTCACTTCACTTCACTTGCGTCATCACGCATGCCCCCACTCCAAGGACTATCTACATATTTTCACTTTCACCACAAAGCCCTTGAGGTTCAAAGAATTTGCTCATCTTGATCAGGCTTCCCTCATCTATCGTACCGTTCTACTTTATAGGGCTACAGACCACGATCTTGCTTCAACTTGCTCAAAGCCAGTACGATTGGTGGCAGTTTGATCCAACAGGCGAGCCTCTTCGAACTTTGTCGCAATAACTCAAAGAAGTGAGCAGCCTGAGAATGGTGCACGCATAGCAAGCACGGTAGTGGGCACTTCCTTTGTCGCCTCTTCTATGACTTTCATTGTTTAAACTTCACCAGAGTTGCCCTCGTGGGGATCGTCTCACGGACTAGGCTCTCACTGTCGACTAACCACTCATCATTATCACCTCATACAGGCCTACTCATTCCAGATAAACAATGCTCCAGGTATCGAAAGACTGTACTACAGGATTAAGCCTGGCCTCACGCTTCCGCACATGTAACAATGAATCGAACAAAGGATCACATTCCACCACTCCACTTTTCTGGTTTCTGTGAGCCCTCATAACCCTCAACTCAATATCCCACAAGAACTGGCACAACAGTGTAGGCATACTGCCAACTCACTTTGCTGGATATATAGCTAATGCGCCCACATCGAGGAGCTCAAAATCAGAACCAACTATCGTCCAATCATCCGACAAGAGATATCTGAACACCACGCAAGAAGAGGAGTTGAACTATTCAGTCGAAAGGCCAGATGATCAAGGTAGAAGAGGCACAACGAAAAGAAACCAGACGACTGTCTACGGATACTACGTCAAATTCTTCAGTGCGCTCACCCATCCTGGATCAAATGCACAGAGCTACACAAGTGGAACAGGTGTCTTTGAAGTCGATATTCTTCTAAAATGTGCAGATACATGAGCATCACCATCTCTTGCGAATTCGATCGTGAGAGACGAGTTGTTTTCGGTCCGACCTACTTTTAACTCACGGGATGGGAAACTCACACTAGAGAGAACGAAGTGAGCCCCTCCATCCTATCTCGAACCCACACTAACGACCACCACCCACAAACCCACCCCACTTCGTCATTTGCAGCCTACAAGTAGCACCACGACAAATTTTCCAAAGCACAACTTGCCGCCCTCGAATTTTGGCGATATAAACTCACAATCTCAGAAAACTTCCATCAAATAAGAACAACAGGTCGGTTAGCTCAGTTGGTTAGAGCGTGGTGCTAATAGCATTCATCCTATGATACGCCAAGGTCGCGGGTTCGACCCCCGTACTGACCATCCTTTTTTTGCTCTCATCTCTGCTTCTATCTAGGAGGCTGGAGGAAGAGCAATGTCTTTTTTTGCTGCTGAGCATGGCCTAGATGGGTCGGTGTAGACCGCAGGTGAGGCTGCAGGCAACAGGACCGGTAACGACAAAATATACTCAAGATAATGGCAGTATTGGCGCACCGAACCAGGAAGACAGAAGACATCCTGCATCAATAAAGAAAGGAAATAAACTGGAAGGCTTGCCACGGATAGGAGCAAGGCTGTTGCCAGTATTGAGATCTCGACTTAAAAAGTATTAACGTAGATTTCTATCTACTGGCTTCATTAAAGATCGTCTGATAGAAGTATATATTGTTTAACCAAGAAAAAGAGCCACAGTCAGCTCTACAAGAATTAAGCTATGTAGCAATTGCAGGTCTTATTTTGCTGGGACAAGCTGCAATTGGTGCGCATCTCTGCCAACAAACATAAATAATTGTCTCTCCATTACGTAGATGCAATATTGCTATGTAGGTCTGGTAAAACTACATGTAGTCATGACATCTGTGTCTACAGGTGCCTTCAAACTGACGTCCATGAATTTGATGAGACTGACATAAACCGGCCCGGTGCAGAATGCTTGAGGCTGTACCTCTACAGCACCTGAATCTAACAGGACCAAGCAGCCTAGAGGTAGAGTGCATATCTTCTCTTTCAGGATGGATAGTGCTTTCTTTTCCCAAATCCAAACAGATTAGAGAGAGATCGAAACAGATTTTCATGTCAGCTGCTTCAAGGGCCAGCACTATCTCTGCAGCACATTGGAGTGTTATGGAATGATTTCATTTGGCTTCTGCTTTAATTTCTATTTTTCCTGATTCCTGGTAGCTACATGTAAGATACATATGCATAGATAATATGCTAGTTGATATGTTGTTTGTATAATTATTTATTGTTGTTATTACTTGTTAGAATATAGTTATAAATGTATCTAGTTCTTGATTTGTAGTATTGCTTTAACATTAATGTCCCTACACTACGTACACCTTTCTGATGGCTCTACTATACAGAGAAGGTTATGGTAACCAACATATATAAAGTACAGGGAGCTAGTAGTCTATATTGCTCACACTTCTACAACATCATCGACTCAAACCATAAGCAATCTGCTCTCCCCTAGGTCCAACAGAACTTGTAATGTCATTACCTCCTCCTCTCTTGAAAGCCCAATGCCTGCAGATGCTATCCTGCTCTTCTATTACCCCATCGGCATCCCCCAAGTCACTCTCAATCTTGATGCCCGCGTTACTTGTCATCTCCAGGGGCCAAGTCGATGCCACAACGGCTGAAATCGAAACCCCCATGGGCCAGCATTGAATCTGGAGAGAGCTACATATCAATACAAGGTCCAAGAAGACACAGAACAACAGAACAAAATACAGCAGACATGGTATAACCCAAATCATGATGCCAATGTAAGAGACACATTAGTAACGAGGCAGCGATGAAACATTGAAATCTGCCTTCCCTTCCCCTCTGCCTTAGTCCTTAGAGAGGGTGCAAGAAGTAACAAACTTGCTTGCTATTACCTGCTTTTGTCTACTTAAAACTACCAGTCAGTTTAACAAAGTGGGCTGTAGCATAAGGACGCCTAAGATAACCCCAGGGAAGGGAGGTAAGAAGGAGTAAGGCATGCACGAGTTTTTTCGCATAGTTACAAGCAAGAGGCAAGCAGAATAGGTATGGCAAGCTGTATGATGCGTTGTAATATACGTGTTGCTGTAGATGTATTTGAATCGTTACAGATAGCTAGTGTTTGTTGTTCTGTGTCTGTAGCAGAGATGTTGGAGCATTTGCACTGTTCTTCTTAGCCTCCAGTTTCTAATTTCCTCACGCTAAAAAATATATATATTACGTAGCAGGGCCCCTCAATCCATCTTCTCACCACTACTGCCCCGCTGACCACCGACTTTACTTCAACTCCCCCCTCCACCACCACCTCTACCTACAATTTAAAATTTTCTGGCTACATAAGTTCATAAATTTTCAAAACTTTCACAAAAGAAAACAACAAAGGTCGGTTAGCTCAGTTGGTTAGAGCGTGGTGCTAATAGCATTCCATCCTATGATACGCCAAGGTCGCGGGTTCGACCCCCGTACTGACCATGTTTCTTTTTTTGTGACTTTTTTTTTGCCATCCATCATTCCATCTCAAATGGATGGGTGGGTGGGTGTATAGGAGGGAAGAGAGAGAGAGAGAGAGAGAGAGAGAGAGAGCTAGCGAGAGAGGAGTGGGCGAGCGGTGGCTTTCTTTTGCTGGTTCGTGGGTTTGGTTTGCTTTATTGCGCTTCTCTCTCTCTCTCTCTCTCTCTCTCTCTCTGTCTTCTTTATTTGGACTTCATTTGGCATTATTATGGACTGAAGAGGCAGGCGCGGATGCAATAGCGCAGGCGCGGATGCAATAGCGCAGACAAGGACGAATCAACCAGTCTGTCTGACGATTTCAAACTATTGTTATGTAGCATGGCAATCAAAAACGATGTTGGGTAATTGAAACATGCTTCCTTTTTTCATATGTGTGATTCGAACAAATGTATGATTTTAAAAACTACTCGTACCTAATACCTTGAGGATACATGCATACTACGCCAGCCACATGTGCGCTACTCTGCTTTGCCGCGAAAGAAAACCAAAAGCCAGAAGTGAAAAAAAGGAAAACAGAAAACAAAGAACCCCACCGTGTTGTATGCTAATATGCTTGCGTGCTTGCTTTGCTTTGCTCTATAGAGGGGAGAGAAGAAGTGATTCCCTCAAAAGCAGAACAGGACAGGAAAGTGAACCGTTGTGGAAACGCCACCCAATGTTAGCGCGGGAACGAGAGAAACAAAAGAGGAAACAAAACAGAAAAACACCAATTATGTAAACCAAGAAAGGGGGGGAATTAACACCAGTCGAAAAAAGATACCGCTGACAGCCCCCCACTGCCTGCCTGAAATGAAGATATGCGCCTTTCGTTCTGTCAATAGCCAATGCTTTGCGCTCTTTCTTTCGCTCATGTTCGTTCTTCTTCTTCTTCCGAAGGAATTTCGTGACCTCAAATCAATCAATCGTCAATGCCCCGGGATCCGGCCCATGAATTCGTTCGTTCAATAAGAAAATATATGTGTATGCTCGTCGAAGGATTATGCAGACTTGGGCTGCTGCTCAACGAGCCACTCGAGCACGCTTTCGTAACAGAGCACAAATTGCCGCAGGCTCTGTACCATGCTAAGGCGCTGCAATCTGAAGTCTTCGACGGTCTTCGCGATCAGGTCTATGTCGTCACGTGTCGTCCAAGAAGCGTCCATGTTATCGTCTTGGCTTCCCTGGCTCGACCTGCGGTCGAGATCCATGGGAGTTCCTTGACGTGCGTTGCGGTTTTGTCGTTGCCGTTTGAGCATGTCAATGACGGAGTCCACGGTGCAGAAGGTGCCGGTACGACCGCAGCCCGCTGAACAATGGACAAGGACAGGACGTCCATTGGGCGGATCCGGGCCCGTTGCGGAACCGCCATTGACCTGCCGAACGACGGAGTCACATTGCTCGATGAGGCCAAGGAGATGTGCCGGGTGGGCGGGGGCGCCGAAGTCAGGCCAGTGAGAGTATTGTAACTGCGTGATCTCGCGCATCCGTGCGAAGGGCTCGTCGGAGTTCGATAGGGTGAACTTGCGGACGATGACATACGGTTGGTCTCCGCTCGGAGAGGTCGTGCTGTTCTCCCTTTGGAGTTCACCGAGGCGAGGTGGGTTGGTAGATCGACGCTGGCCTAACTGGGGTCGACTCTGCTCGCGGTGGCGGTGGATTCTTGATGGCTCTAGCGATGCCCTGCGCTCACCTAGCGGGTTCAAATAGAAATGGCCGTACTGTCTGTCGGACCAATAGTCGTGAGCTTTGACCTGGCCGCCTTCTTTTTCGGCAGTCAGCATGACGATGACACGCACGTCTTGTTGCCAAACAACATTCCAGAAGTCCTGTTTGAACAGTCAGTATCAGTGGGGCAAGAAGATCTTGTGCTAGTTGCTGGACTCACCTTGAACGTTGCAGGAATTGGACCCTGTGTGGCAATGTACCGCTTATTCGACCATGCTGCTTGTACGTGGTTGGCATTGACATAATCACAGGCTCCCTCTGGGATGCCTTGTAATTTGACTCTTGTGTGCTCGTAAGGCCAGATGTTGTTGTATCTGTTCTTGGAGCCCTTCTCGATTCCAGCAATCTGTATGCAGTCGCAGTCTGCCGATGTTCCATCCGAGTTATCATACACCACCTTTCCAGACAAGGCCTCTTGCATTCTCTTCTGCTCGCGTTTCTCGATATGAAGGAACCGATCCGACACAGTCTTTCCCTTATCTTTGACGTCGGAGGCGTTGTGAAGCCACTCCGGAAGGTTCTCTTCAATCTGCTCTGACATAGTAGCGGGACGCTTGATTGGCATTTGTCCGACGCCACCGATCAAGTCCATGTTCTGGCGAATGTTGCCAAAGAAGGGATTGGCGGCATTCTGAGTGGCGGGCATAGGACATCCACCAATGACTGGCGCAACAGAGGGCCTGTCGGAGCCGATGGACAAGGCTGCGGTGGCAGATGTCGGACTGCCCAATGGGCCTCGTGTCGTGTGCTTGGAGAACTTCTCGGAGAACTCAGAGAAGCCTCCGCGGATGATGTAGGAGCCACCTGTCCAGCCCTCGGATGCGAACTTTTTCAGGGTATTGATGCAAGTGGTTGCGTCCTTCATTTGAGAAGAGCTGGCATCATACACGATGATGTGCTTGCAGCTCCTCCATTTCTCGAATTTGGCTCGCTGCTCGTCGTCCTTGAATGTCTCGGCCAACTTTTGAACATTGAAAGAGGGTCGCTTGAGGAGGGTGGTAGGTATGCAAAGGCTGAGTGCGCCGGCTATGCGGGCCTTTGCGTATTGGGTGGAGACGCGGAGGTCCAAGAGAAGTACCTCTTCGACGGCGGACTCGAGTATGTTGACGACATACTGAGGCGTCACCATGGCTGGCCCGCCAGAGGGATCTTCGACCTCCAAACTTGTGGGGAGAGTTTCGGCGCGTGCGACCACAGACTTGTGGTGGGTGGACTTCCTGGGTGGAAGAGATGGCCTGGGTATCCTGCCCTCTACGAATTCGGCCAGCTCATCTGTCCTTCCAAAACCTTCTTGATCGAGGAAGCTTGCTGGAGAATTTCGCCTGGGGCGGTCGGTGAGTTGACTCGGATCGGTGGAGAGCATGCGCTTTGGCGACCGCGGTTTGCCTGAGCTGTGGTCGCTGCCATCGTCTCGGCCGTCCTTGCTGCTGCCATTGGGACTCGAGGTCGTGACCATGGATGTAGGCGATAAAGGCGTTCTGAGTGCACCGAAGATGGAACCACGAGGGACGACAGAGGGAGATGGGACTGAAGCGAAGTCGAAGTTGCCTAGATTGAAACCCCTGTTGTTTTCGGATTGTCTTCGAAACTGTTCAAATTCGGGGTTCTGATCGACGGGGATGACGTGGGGTGACGCTGCAGCCGTGGAACGGATGTTCGAGGACGGCGGACTCCAATTGCCGCGAATGTGTTGGGCGGCGCTGGAAGCGAAGACATCAGCGTTCGCATCTACCTGCAGACCGAAGTAGTTGGGACTGGGAGTCTTTGCAGTCTGTGCCATTGCATTTGTAGTGACGAGTCCTGGAGTCTTTGCATCGTTCATGCGACGCGGCGTCAGCAGAGTCTGAGGGTGGGCGGCAATGGGCGAGCGTGTATTGCTGGATCGTGTCTTTGGAGTTGACCTGGAGGCGCGCGATGACGACTCTCGCGGCCTGGGAGAGAGGACAGGGGTGGACATGAGGGAAGTGCACAGTGCGGTGCGCAGTGGACACTAGAGAGTAAGAACGTTGTGTATGCCGCGACCGTGCTGTGAACAAGCACTGTCCGACTAACTGAAGTAGGTAGGTAGGATGGGATGCTGGTAGTAAGAAGATAAAAAAAGAAGACAAGAGCCTCAGCGGATGCTGGAAGGGGATATCAAGAAAAGAATTGTGCTCCAGGAACGAGAAAATGTAGGAGAATCGAAAAAAGGGAAGAGAGCAGGAGGTCTTCTAGATCGAGGATTTGGGGGGTGTTCAGAGAGACATGATTACGATGGTTTGACAGGGAAGTGGGTGCAAGGATAAGGGTTCAGGGTAGGCGGGTGGGGAAAGGTTCGTAAAAGGTCGTAATAGGTGTACCTAGGTAGGTGGCTAGGAAAAGAGGATTGGTGAGCAATTTGCAGTTTGCCGCGTTGAGATGAAACGAGAAACGAGGAGAACGGAGAATAGTCGTAGTATTCGCACGGGAGTGTGTGTGTAATTGAACAACGGCGGCGGGATTGTAAGAGGCGCGAGATGGCTTCAGTCCAAAAATGTTCTAGGGGTTCTAGTTTGCGATGGGTTGTCGTGGGAGTCCTGGGCTATGACATCACACAATCGCCGCAGCCCGCTGAGTGGAGGGTGGTGAGGAGAGGTGATGAAAGGAGGGCACTCGGTGCCTATTGTTTGGGTGGCTCGACAGGCTCAGTGTGGAAGGCGAGGCGAAACGACAAAACGTTTTTCTTGTCCACGGTTCGATGACAAAACCAGAACCAAGAAAAGTAAGGCGGTAGGAATGAAGGATACGAAGCGTCCAGACTCCAAAAGGGGAGGGAGAACAATGACCGGGGAGGGAGGAGGGATGGTCCGACAATTGGTGACAGGACAGTGATGATGATGATGACGATGGATGAGACGGTGAGAAACAGCCCCGAGAAACGAACGAAGCGAGTCCCAGCGATGTCCTGATTGGGCACGTGCCCACTTTGGTGTGGGTGGTGGGTTAGGGAACGGCGACGTGTAGTTCCTTCCCTTTCTCTCGTTTGTGTGAGAGAGAATGTACAGTACAGGTGCAAGCTGTGAATACTTTGCAAGCAATAGAACACGATCCAATACAGTACCGTACAGACAGTATCAGTGTATGTAAGGATATGGATTGATTGATTATGACTGTGTGTGTGTGCGCGCGTGTGTGTGTATATGTGTGGGCGCACTATACGTGGAGGTTCCTGCCGAGTATTGGTAATCGACGTGTTGGTGACCTCTGTTTCCCTGTGTTTTGCGGTGCAAAAGCAGGTTCAGATACAAAGACCGAGCAGTAGCGTGAGGGTACCTGTCAGGTATTCCTGCTTTGTGCTGGGGTGGTTGGTGTGTACTTCGGCTCTCTGACTCTACCTACTCGTAACTTCTGCTCTGGTCTGGCTCTGCTCTGTTCCCGTCGCCAAGTGGTATGCAGGGTCCCGGTGAACCCTGAGAGAACTGACAGGACGGGCACGAAGCAGATAATTCAGGGACCTGTAGGGCTGATGAGAGGGGAAGCCTTTTTGGGGAAGAGACGCTTTGTTGGAGGGGCGGAATCGAGAGATCGAGGGATCGAGGGGGACGATGCAAAGGGAGAGAGAGCGGAGATCGAAGAAGTGGTCAGAGTTGTGGTACGGCGGATCGAGAGTTTATGAGAAAATCGGAATTATCAGGAGGGCGGGACTCGGTGCCAGGCTGGGCGGGATCGACACAAGCTGTTGGGGGAGCAGGGTCTCCTTAGAGAATGGTTGGAGAGGGGGAATGGTGATAATGATGATGACGATGATGTCGACTGTGGGCCTGAAAGGGGAAAACGAGCGAAGCAGGAGAAAGGCTGGATTCACTGCACTGCACTGTGGATGGATGAATAGACCCGACAACCGTCATTGCAGCTTCAGCCTTTCACCCCCTTCTATGAGTGATCTAATTATTTACTGAATCATACCCGCCCGTACTTTCACCGAGTGCTTCTTTTCTACGCGAGTATCATGATGTACGACACAGATACATTCGGAGTGCTAGGTACGGAGTAGATGCTGTATGACACCAGGTAACTCGTATTGTGCATCCAGATCGTCAGTTCTAGGCTGTGTGACACCATCCCGTCCTCCATCCCTTCAGCCCTTCCCTGCATTATCAGTCCCTTGTCGTGTACCAGGCTTACTCTTCCTCCTACTCGTAGTTACTGTGTACAAGTAACAGCACATACGCACGCTCTACGCTTACTTCTAAAACAACGTACGAGTCCCAACTACCGGATATCCACATCTTAAAATACACATCGCGTCCACGAGGTAGGACGTCAACATCACCAGACACTCATTAATTGCTCGTATATACTCGAAGGGAGGTGTCGTTCCAACTTTTGCGAGTCGCTTCCAGGTCACTCTGAACTAGTAGATCACAAGTGCCAACCCATGACGACACTGACACTCACTCGGGGGAGAGAGACAAGCGGTGGCGGGCGGCGGCGGCGGCAGTCCACTGATCTGCACTAATCACCAGCAATCAATCAATCAATCAATCAATCATTCAATCAATCAACTCCAGGACGCCCACAAATCCAGCCAGATTTCCCGTTCGCAAGCTACTGTATCCACGACAAATAGTTAACAGTCTGTAAATACAAATAGTAATCACCCTCATAATGAATTGACGACAGTACGGAGTTACTCTGCTCTGCACAGCCAAACTCCTCCAGCTAGTAGCTACCTACCTACTCGCCTCTCCCCCGTATCTCCTCTCCGGTTTCAACTCTACGTCCAACAAGTAGTGCATGCCCCCCAGCCCAAGGACACAAAAGCCCGCCAGCCAGGCAGACCCCTTCCAAGAAACATCTTCCCTCTCTTCCTCTCAAACAACAACACCCCGTGGCCTGTACGGAGTACTCCATACAAGGCAATACCTCAGACAACACATCCCAATACAAGCACTTCAACATCCATTCATCCAACATGTGACTCGGGTCAGAGCAAGGTAAGTCCAAGGCAGAAGAGACAAGCCAGTCGCCCTTGGTGCTCTCGACGACCCTGTTTTTCTTTCGGGACCGGGCACGCAGGGAAACTGGACTTATTCCAGGTCATTCACTTTAAGGAACGAACGAACCCAACCCGTAACTTTACAAAAATGGCGGTGGTGGTTGATCGGGTTTCAGTTGCCCCACCACCACCACTACCGCCGCCGCCACTTGTTCTGTTTGTAGATGATCGCGCTTCTGACTTGGAGGGGGAGAGTCAGATGTATGGTATGCACGTATGCAACTTTCCCTTTTACAATTGCTCTTCATTCGAGCACAAAGGGAGGACGGAACAAAGGGACCAAATATCAATTTTTGGGGACTTTGTGGACAGGACAGGGTGGGGTGGAAGAGTAGACCCTGGCCCGGCCCTACATGACCCTTCACCACGACCCTAATCAGGGCCCTAGACGACGACGATCCTGACCCTGACCTCGCCTCGCACACCTCGGTCCTGACCCACCCGCAAGAACACACGCGTACACACGAGAGGAGGAAAAAAATCTAGTTGCAAGTGAGTGGGAACTTGGGTTCTAGGTGTGACTAGGAACGAGATCTACATGCGTGTCTACACATAAATGCCGAGGAAGGTGTGTATGTGCGAGGCGGGGCGAGGTACGTACGAGTAATGTAGATGGAATGAGTGCAAGTGCAAGATCGCGTATCTTGCACTTTCACACCGTCTTCATGCATGCGGCTGGTTGGGGGATGGTGTGATCTTATCATCATCCTTAGATGCCTAGGTATCTCAAGTTAACTCAATTCATCCTCCTCCTTTTTAGTTATCGATATTGACCTTGGAAAGATTATCGTGATGGCAACACGGACTTGATATATCGATATCTCAACAACCTACCCAATTCCTTCATAGCCTCCACAACTTTCCTCTACTTACCCTCCAACTCTCCTACACACTCTTCTCCCATATACTCAGCATCTTCAAACCATCCAAACACATGATAAGAAGTTAGAACTAACCAAAAGCCCAATCCCTTTCCCCATGACTCCCAAAATACCCACCGCTGCATACTCCCTACCTAGCGTTGACCCCTTCCATCCAAAACTCCACACACCGCATCGCACCATACGACAGACAGCACACAAAAATAACCCCATACCCTTCGCATCCCAGCCCAACTGGGCATTTACAACAAACCACCTTGCGGAAAGTACGGAGTCCTGGGATGTGTACACGTTTGTTAGAGAGTGCCTACAGGGCTGTGGACAGCACACTAGCTAGTGGTTTGGCAGACCGTGTCTGTGGGCATGAGATGATGGTATCTGGAGTGATGGTGTGATTATTACTCCGCCGTGGGAAGATGGAAAGGAAGGATCGGGTTTTACGTGCTTTGTGTTTGGGGGGTTCATGTTCGTTGGTTTTGGTGTATATGCTTGTGATGTATGTGTGTGTGAGGGTCTTGGAAGTGTACGTGAGCTCTGAATCGTAACTTACGTCTCCTCCTTCATGGAGGGTTTTGGGGCTGGGGAATCATGTTGTTGGTTTATGGGCTGGGGGAAGGTAACTACCTAGGTAAGTAAGTAAATAAGCAAGTGAGTAGATAGACATGAAGGCAAACGGATGATTCAAGACAGACAATTCAAAAAAGCACTTTTCTCCGAGACATTTGTTAGGAAAGAAGCAAAACGTTTGTAGTAATGATGTCGAGATTGAGATTGAAATTGATATAACGCCTTCCCGCAAGTGTTTGTTTAGTTCCACGATCCGACTCTGGACTGCCCAATCATCCGTTCTTTGGTTGCGAACGATGTCGATCAGTTCCCGAGCCATAATTCCAGATAAAATAATGCCATTGAATAATTGAGGAAGCAACATGAAAACCATTATCAAACCGTTCCTGCTACCTACCCTGATAGAACGAAAGATCCCACGGAGAAGGCCATCAATGGGGTTAAGCACCCGAAGAAACGCTCCTAGTAGTAGTAAGCATTCCCGCAATCGTGCTCCTTGAGATAATCCCCGCCCTTCTCCATGAACTCGGAGCGGGACACGAAGTACTGTTTCGACTTCGAGTTTGCTGCCCACTTAGCTGCACCCTTCCAAGCGTCCAGGACGCTGTCCTTGGCCCGTCGCACCTTCAGCGTCTCCTCCGCTGGCAGCACGGCGCGGAGCTCGTTCCTCAGCCTGTCCTCGAAGCCCTCGAAGAGCGTGTTCCCGCCGGTCAGGAAGATGTCCTGGAGTACGTTCTTGCGGTAGGGCGAGTCCGCGAGGCGTTCGGTCAGAATGCTTGCGGCGATCTCGACGATGCCCGCTTGGTCTAGGCCTGCAATCGTCGGCTGGAAGACCACCTCTGGGCATCGGATCCGCTCCACGTTGAGGTGGATCTGGTTTGCTTGCCGTTGGCTTTCGGGGTCGAAGGGGTATGGGCCGTAGAGGAATGCGTGCATGATCGACTTGGTCCAGTCTGTTTGTGCTTCCCGTGTGGAGTCTTCGGTGAACGATGGGTCGTGCTTTAGTAGTTGTGTCTCGAGGTTCTTGAGGTCGCGGTTGAGATCCTCTTCTTCCTCATCGTCGGATCCCTCGCCCGTTGCAATTGTTCGATAGACACCCCAATCTGCGTCGTCGGCACCAAACGTATCGTCGTCTCCGCCTCCGCGTCGCCTCTTCTTCGTTGGGGTGTCAGCCGCAAGATTAGCAATCGATTTCATGCGCATCTGGTTGGCAAGCGACTTTCGGTTTCCGAGCTCAGCCTTAAGCCGTTCTCGGTCTTTCATCTTTTGAATGATAGCCTACAATCGTTAGTACTCATGCGCCTTCTACTTGAGGGAACTTAGTACCTGTCGAGCTACCCTCCTCTCTGTAACCCAGCCCTCAAAGTCATTCTCCCTTCGCTCATCGTCTAAGCGCTGTTCTTCTGCGAGACGTGCCTTCTCCTTTTCCTTCTCAATCTTAGCACGCTGTCGAGCTTCGTAGTTTGATTTCATGAGCCTTTGTTGCCTCTTTTGCTTGATGCCTTCTTCGTCTAGCTGATCGTCCGGCGTATCAAGTAGTGGGAATGTGGGCTCCTCCTGCTGTTCCTCTTCAACCTCGCCAAGATCCTTGTTTCGAGCCTTCTTGATAGACTTCTCTAGCTCCCGGATCTTTTTCTCCAGCTGACCTTCGTCATCGAAATCGTTCGAGTCTAGAAGACGCTTAGCCTCTTTCTTGGTGGTTTCCTGGATCTGTCCCTGAAGCTGTTGGTAGTATTCGAACTCCTCTTCTTTGCGCTTCAATTTATCGAGTCGCATCTTTGCCGCTTGTGCTTGCAATCGCCGTCCGCTCTCCTTTCGCTTTTCGGCAGCGGCTGCCAGCTCTTCCTCGGTCTTCTGCACAACCACCTGTTCCACGAACGGAAACTGGACCGTGTGATCTCTGTCCTCAAGGCCCGTCCAATCGAGATAATGGCTGAGTTCGTTTTCGTAGTCTTGGCTTATGTAGCAGTGCTCCCGTACCAGATCCTCAGCTTGCGGGTCGCTGATCTTGCCGGGAAACGAAGGGTATTTCAGCCTCAGAAGTTTCAGAAGATATTCTACGGACTGGAATCGTCCCCAATTTAACCTCGTCGCTTGTGAAAGTATTGCTTTTGAGTCGACCACCGGGATCAAGTGGGTGGAGGTATACGATGAATCGACGACCAGGCCGTGCTTGCCTCCGTTGTATGAGTAGGAGAAGAGAGAATCGATTCCGTAGGCGACAGAGGGGGCTCCGTAGCACTCGAAGAGGATTTCGGACATTGCTGTAGAAATCAATTAGCACTTGAAATGGTAGATCCGTCTTTGAGCATCCCACATACTTTTGCGCGAGTATCCCAGATTTGCGACAGGCTCCGTCATTACCACAGGCCTATCTATAGTTCCACCCTTGCTCTCTATGCCTAGCTTGAGGAAGCAGTAGTCTAGCACTCCCTCCATTGCATCCCAGTTGTTGATGATGTTACTTCCGGGTTCGTAGACATTCTTGGCCTGGCCACGCGCTGTACCGTCGGCATAGATGTCAGAGCCAATGAAGGTAAAGGTTCGTCCAACCTTGCGATCGCGGTATCGAGACCAAAGGGGAGGAAGCGAAACGCGCGGTTTGGAGTCGAAGGACCAGCCGGCGCGAACGGTCGACGAGCCTGTCAAGAAAGTTAGATGTCATCTCTTCGGATGATGAAGCTGTTGTAGAACTACCATTGTCAATCACGATGGCCGTGTCGCCAGAGCTACGCGCGTAGCCCTCGTGGTCCACAGGCTTGAAGCCCTCAAAGGGCGGCTCGTTCACACTCCATATCTTCGTCGGAGCGGGCTTTGGGGAGTTGCGACCAGAGGGCGGCACTTCTATCGTTGCTCCTGGAGCCATGTCGAATTCGTGTCGTAACCTGCGAATGGAGCTGCCAGGGAAATCCGAGAGACCGTTATGACATGTCGTGCGAAGCTGATGTTAAGTTTGGTGTTAGCGTGAGCTTTGCGACCACAATTGTTCTCACGTCGTCTGGACCTGCATCATCCTCGGTGGTCCGCGCGCCTCCCGAAAAGGGTTGACCTCACTAGGTTGATATCGCGTTCGATTACTCTGGGCATCACAAATTATTTGAATTGTGTACAATGAATTTATAGAAGGCTTAAGATCTAATCATTTACAAGGCATCGTCCTTATTGAACTCCCACTTTGCTCTCGATTTCACTCCAAACTTCAAATGCATTCGAGTGCGTTGATCATAATAGTCGTCTCGATTGCTACTATCTCAGCAGTCAATCCACATTATCCTTTTCATGATGGATCCTTCAGTGTGTTCGTAGCTGTAACATGTTAGAGCTTAAATTCAAGGATTGCTTGTTTGTATTTTCATCCAGTATCTTACCCTCTAGGTGGAATAACACGTTGGACTGATAGTTCTTGAACATCTGTGCCACAAGCTCCACGTCCATGTTCTGGATGTTGATCTCTTGCAAATTCTTGTTGAGCATCATGATCGCTTCATTCAATTTCTCCTACACTGGAATCAGTTCCTGCCCTTGCATACTGGAGGGGTATATCATACAACGTTGACTATGATGCGGGAAAGGAGCAAGCTCTGCTGATGTTCATGTGGGCTCTCCTATACGAGATCAACATTCAAGAGTCAATTTATCTTCAAAATGGTAGTCTTACCATGTTGCTTAATCTTCGAATGTGGTTGTATCTGCGATTCTCAAACGCGTGTTGCGGGCGTTGTTTGTGAGTGCCAAGGCGCGGGTTGGTAGGGCTGAATCCCAGCAAGCAATGCGCTGCTGCTATAACCTCCCAGCTTCCGGCATTCGAACGTTTACGCGCAGTCTTCCATTCTCCCTCCGCCTCTCCAGATTGACTTCTACCTGACATCGCATCTCTTCGTGCCATTTTCCGAATTCTTCCTCAAACGTGTCGCAGAAGCTCACGCTGCACCAACTCAATACAAGATGGCGCCCATAACAACAGCGTCCGACGAGAAGACGCATCAAGCGCTCCTGGACAAGCTCGACATCCACGGCGTTCATAAGCCATACCGCAACCCTCACTGGAAGCCGCCACAGCGCCGAAACAAGAACGTCAGGCAGATCGTCTCCGACGCAGCGCGCAAAGAAGCTTCCGTCATGGCTACCCAGAACAACAGCGGCGTCTCGACTCCCGTGCTCCCTCATTCCGAAGCCTTGACCCCAGTCAACAGCAACTCGCGACAGGCGAACATCGCGCAAGCGGCACAGAGCTTGAGTACATTGGTATTGGAGAGGAACAGCCGTGCTGCTATGGCGAGTGGCCCTGCTGCGACGTATACGAACATCGAGTCCGCTCCTAGCTTCCATCCGAGCAGCCAGAGGAGATATTGCGATATCACAGGCCTGCCAGCCCCATACACCGATCCGAAGACGAGGTTACGGTACCACAACAAGGAGATATTTGGAGGTATTAGGACGATGCCGCAGAACGTATACGAAAGCTATCTAGCAGCTCGAGGAGCCCACACCGTGTTGAAGTGAGCGATGTCACGTCGGTCGACATGGGACGTCACAGCCTGTAGCAGGCAACGTCTATTATACCCAATCTATATCGGTTACGGAGTTGGTTTTTGAATGTATTGAAGCAGGATCCTTCTATATCACAATGGGAAAGCCCCAGCATTGGAAAGAGATTCTGGGAATGGCATGGCAATGGCATACGAAAGCAAATTCAAGCATGTCTGAGGCACAAAGTCAAACTCAATCCACCCACCTTGCCCCTTTCGAAGCAAGGCTCAAGACTGCGCTCCGGCTTAATCGGCACTCATTTTTTGTTCTTCGCCAGTAGACAGGATACCAGGAACTCAGAGCAAATCGTTCCTAGTTACAGCAGCATGAAAAGCGTACTGTTGCCAAGGCGGTCCGTTGTGTTACCTCTCGCAAGAGGCGTTTATAATACAGACTATTTATTTTAGTGATAGATCAATGGTAGCATCTACACGTGAACAAGACGTGCGTGAATCGTGATGCTATGTCGCTGCAACATTGTGTGTGGTCAAAGTCTGCAAGCAAAAGCTCCCACAGAAATCGAAACATTTGAAGGGAAGGGGGCCGCCAGCGGCGCATTGGGCGCCATGCGATCCAGCACCACCGACCCGCGCTGCGCCCGTCACGTCCTCCCGCCGTCGGTCGTTCCCAACTGGACACGAGACAGAAATATAAGAAACTCCCCATCATTTGTTGTACATAGTAACCCGCGATAAGCTCGAACCCCGAACCCACGTACACTCCTCCAATCGTCAAAGAAATTGATCCTACGTAAATCCTCTCGTCAACTTCAATCTCCCCCCTTACGGTCTTACGACCCGCACAATCCGGCACGATGCCTACAATGTGGCTCACAGACACCCAAAGTACGCAATCCCGTTGCGCAATCCAGCCTTGTATCCCTTCACGATCGCTAACATTTCCTCAACAGAGATTGGGGTCGCTTTCTGCTCAGGAGGTATGCCAACGCCCGCGCGCGCACACAGATACACACGAATCGTAGACACTTGAAACCCGGAATCGCATTTCTGACTGGCTATGCATATAGGCGGCTTCTTTCTCATGGGCGGCGTGATGATGTTTTTTGACCGCTCGATGTGCGTATTCCCCTTACCCCTGGAACTACGACGAAGATGCTGACTTGGGACGGTATAGGCTGGCCATGGGCAACGTAAGAGATCCCGATTACCCTCGATACTTGATCCGCGAACCCCCCTAACCGCTAATCGCAGATTCTCTTCCTAATCGGCCTCACCCTGATAATCGGATTCCAGAAGACAGCCATCTTCTTCGCGAGGCGTCAGAAGTGGAAAGGCACGGCTGCTTTTGTAGCTGGAATCGCACTTATTCTATTGCGCTGGCCCTTCTTCGGGTTTTTGATTGAGTTGTATGGCATCTTGGTGCTGTTTGGTGACTTCTTTGCCACGATCGCAGGGTTCGTGGGGAATATTCCTGTGGTTGGGCCGTACATCGCGCAAGCGCTTGAGAAGATCTCTGGGGGGCCGAGGAACGCTGAGTTGCCTGTGTAACGGAAGGGTATAATGTTGAAGACTTACAAAAGCATGGGTGGAATGGCGTTGAGATTGGGAATGATCTTGGTGGGATTTGGTGGCACTTTCATGATCACAAGGAGTTTCACTGATAAGGACATGGCGCCAGAGACGAGGGTTGAATGCATTACTAAGGAATCCTGCATTGCAATACATAATGTTCATTGCTCATTCATATCTTCAATACTTCATCATCGGCATGAGCTCTCATGGATTCTCAACATGGACGCTCTGCACTGACACCCATGGCATTTCCCCGTATTTCGTTTGATAGGATATGCTGTTATAAGTATACTTGCCGGGGTGTAGCGGATGAAGCGAATGCTTGGTGATTTTACAGATCAAACAATCTGTACGTCAAGTTGACCTGCTCTTGGCGCTGTTGCTGTTTCATTTCTTCGGTGCATGGATGTCCATGGGCGAGATCTCGGTCTTCAATTCGCGAGTCCTCTTTTGCTTTGGTTCGGGTGCTTTCTCATTCTCCTGTACGTAGAACTTTCGGAGGAGCATTATGGCCTCTTCACGGAAAATGCCACCATGGACCGGATATGGTTTGTCTACACTGATACTGTTGTAAAGTCAATACACGATACTCATTTGCGCAGTACAGATCACTCACTCCGAATGAATGTTCAACACACCACCAGTGCCGCCGAACCTCTCATTCCAGCAACCAAAGTAGACAGCTCGGATCCCATACTGTCTCAGCATTGATGCACACATGACACAGGGCTCGACCGTGACATAGAGGTCGGTTTCCTTGAGGATGCTGATTGGAAGTTTCGACAGGATACCCGCGAGGGCCACGAACTCGGCATGCCTAGTTCCATTCAAAGTTCTATTGGTCTCGTTCATGCCCCTGCCTATGATCTCGTCATCTTTGACGAAGACACAGCCCACGGGAGTCTCGTCACTGCGCAGTGCAAGTTCAGCCTGCCAATCTGTGAGTAGGAAGATCAAAAGAAAGTTGAGTCAAGGTTTAATCACCATTGCAATGGCTTCGCGCATGAAGCGCTCATGATACGCTTTCTTGTCAGGATTCATTGCGTAACGGTCATGATCTGCGATTTAGGCTTGGCAGGGCTGTTGCATGCTGATTGGGGAGCTGGAATTTCCGGGAGTATGGGTTATGGTGTGGCGGCGGATTGTATTGTTAGGTGAGATTTCCGGAGGCAAAGCCAGAAATCGTCCAGCAAGCAAGGCGCAGTAATTGTGTTGGAGTTGTGGATGATAGGTCGGTTGGAAGGTAAATGTCTGGAAGTTGATTGTTAGCCTATCTGCTCTTGCTGTGTTCACTTTTCTGCGAATTGAGCAAGTGCGAATCTGCGACAAAAATAAACCTCTAGCCACTCCCAAACGTCCGTCAGTGCTGATGAGTGGACTGGGTGAGTGGGTGGTTGCGGCTTGGTGCGACGGGGTCTTTCTGGAAAGATTTTAACCGAGAATGGAAGTCGCACTAGACCCTTTGTGGACGAGCCGCGACCGAACGACGTGGAACAGCGGACAAGCCATTGCTATTGCGACGACGCTCATCATCTTCTAGAGGCAACAACAGTTCACTATCACTCCCCAAAGCAACTATTCACTCTTACAGTGCACTCAGTATCTTGCATCGCCATATCTACTCCATTACGTGGTCCTATACGCAACGGCCCCCCGCGGACGCACTCTTCAAAAGTAAACTAGATCGCTGCCTCGGACGGTCCGCGTCACCCGACATATTTCTCGGCGCAGCGCTCAGCTTCCCTTCTAACACCAACAAAGCTGCCACGATAGCTCAATAGACACCTCAACACACCTTGCTATCCACGAATCTCAATTCATACCCATTGTCACAACCAAACAAACAATACCTTTCACGATGGGTTTCGGCGAAAACATCTCGGAGGAGTTCAAGTCCAGGAACTTCAGTAAGGAGACATTCCCGCGCTGCCGTAGAGCTTATGCTGACTTCATATCCTTCTAGGTATCTACGGTCAATGGTCAGTCACCCTTCCCAGCCATCTTGATGTGAGGGCATTGGATAGCACGAGCATGCGCATGTCATGAATCGAATGCACAGTGTGGAGAGACGATCGGCACCCCGACCTGGCGATCAAAGAACGGAGCAAGCTGCGGGCATCGTTATCGAGACAAAATATCACACACAACGCAGTATCAGTACTGACTCGAGATAGGACCGGCATCGTCTGCGTATTCCTTTGTATTGCGCTCGGAATCGCAAACATCTTCCACCTTGGACTCCTTATCTTGTTTAGCATAATATGCCTGTTCGTGTTCCGCTTCCTCCACGTTTACATTCCTGAGCAAACCTATTGACTGATCATGTATAGCGTCTGTGGATTCATCATCATCTTCATTGAGATCCCTCTTCTCCTCCGCATCTGCCCTACCTCGCCGAAATTTGATGGCTTCATCCGTCGATTCGAAACGAACTACATGCGTGCCGCAATCTACCTTCTCATGAGCGTGATCCAGTGGATCAGTATTTCCGTCGACGTATCCTCGCTCATCGCCGCCGCCGTTGTGTTGCTTATTGCGGCATGCTTCTATGCTTTGGCTGGCATCAAGGGTCAGGCCTTCCAGGGCAGCAAGACCTTGGGCGGCCAAGGTGTTGCGCAAATGATCATATAAGATCAATGATGCAATGTTTGAGCAGGAGAGACAACAAGAAGCGTGGCAACGAAGGAGATGCTGGACGGGACGAAGATTTATATGGACGCTCTGACTCACGCTGTCAAGTTGTTGGCGCTGTAAATCTTAACGGACTGCAAGAATCAGTGGTGGAGAATCCGTTGGGGAACTTTTCATCTACTTCTTGTATCATCAATGAATAGCTGGGCGTTTTGGTTCGATTATCACGGGATGAAAAAGAAAGGCATCAACTGTCTAGTTTTGTTTGGCGGTGGCCCTACGGCACGATATCATAGCAGGAATCATTATGCTAGTACAGGAATTTCATCAATTGATTTGACGTATCGCAGTCGAGGACCTCTTGGTAGCAGACATGGCTTCCTACATGATTATGTGCATATGCTGGATGATGTAATTATAATAACTCTTGATGTCTCGTCCGTGGGGTGTTCACCCACGTAAAAGGTGGACTAATACATCATTGGGAGGAGGAGATTAGAGCATGGGGGATGCGGTATTGTTGGTCTTCAATAGACCCAGATATGACGAAATAGGTACAACCTGACTGCTTCCCCACGAAGAACAGAGACGATGTTCTTTTCAGACAAAAGGAATCAAAGCAGAAGACATACAAAGCATAGCAATTGAACCTCAATTTGCTGTTCGTCTGTTCCTGAACCATTGAATGGGCTACGAGCTAGCTGCAGGGCTACGAAGAGACTGGGGTTTGTTCTTCACAACTGATCTGATCACGAGGCTCAGCTCAGAGCTCAGCGCGGGGAACCCAAGCTAGTGGCGTCTGCAAAGCAAGCTCTTGTTCGAAGCTGTTCATCAGAGTCTTCACATCGGTCCAAATCGAGCATTCAATAAACCCCCGCGGAGATCACCAAGTCACGGACTCAATCGTGATCATAAGCCAACTCTTCACTGCATCGATATAATCGATACAATACAAGATCCTTTCAAACGATCTCCCATCAATAGCTGTAAGACAGGTAGGAAGGATGAAACGTCGATTGACTGCAATCAGGACTCGCCCTGATAAAGGCTAGTAGGTAGTGGATGGGAAAGCATTCAGAATGACGATCCCATCACATCACCCAGCCCATCAAGTATCAGCATCTTGCAGTTACAATAGACAAAGTGCTCCATATGCCGTGCAATATGCAGGTATGTGGGCGGATGATTCAGGTGTGCCAGAGCTATGCATTGGCAACGCGGGATTTTGTATGCGAGGCATGGGGCCTGGCGCTGTGCCATGTTGCTTGCTATCTGCTTTAGTTAGTGGCAGAAGCTGTAGAGTCGGTTTCATGGCCGCCATGTGGTTGAATGGGATTGTGACAGATGTGCGGTAGCTGTCGAACAGCACAGGTGGCCAGGGTCCGCGAGGGAAGCCCCAAAATCTATGCTCGCGTCTTGCTGAATCAATAACGAATGCCCTTCATCTTATTCGTACAAGTAACTCATAGGGAAGCATATTCTCCACCAAGCCGTTGATGTTGAGCGTTTTCTCTTGTCTTAGCTAGAGGTATGTATGTATGTGCTTGTGCCGCCCTGGTTGTTGACCTATCCTGGCCCGGCCTGGCGCCATCGTGAGGTTTTGCATCATAATGCGGGTCTCTCCAAGGTCTCCAAGCTGCGGGCCCTGTACAAATACCCTTCGATCGCCCGCATTTCGACCCCCCGGCTGACCTTTATGGGACTCGTATCTTGACGAACCGGTCTTGCAGCCTCTTTTCTGAGCATTATTTACAGCTGAACCCTCTCCTACTTTGTACCATCTTGTTTCCTCTACATTGCCACCATCTTTGTTAATACACAGGTAGCAGTTGATAACTGACTACGTACATATATCGTTTCATCGTATCACATCATATCACATCACATCATATCATTAGATACCTATCCTGCCTGGTACCTTGAGATCTCTGGTGAGTTCGTTCGTTCGTTCGTTCGCTTCGACTCCAATCTAGATCCGCTCCTTTGTCCCGCCCTAGCAGCGTCATCAGGTCTTGCGGTCAATTGTCGCTCGCCTGATTGGCCAACTTGCACTTCCAGCCTGTTTTCCCGGCTGCCGAGGGGAGCTACGCTACTTCAGTCATGCGCAATTGAGTGATATCTACTCTGTACACTGACTGGTCTTGCTCTGCCCTGCGTCAACCCAACCTTACCCTACTCTACTCTACTATCTACCGTATCTTAATTGATAGCGGTTATCCTCGCACATCTTTTCAAACACTCATCCCCCTTCTTATCACATCACCTCGTCTCTTATTCACCTTTCTCAATTGTCAATGGCTGCTCGCTGACGTACTGACCCACTCTATAGCTTCCTCAATTGCGATCCAGAAAACCACACCCACATACCGTACTTGCACTCAACTTCACTGCGCCTTCCATTATCACATTAAACACATAAACTACATCCAACCATGTCTACTCCAGCCATACCTCCTCGCCCCAGTCGTTCGCAGAACCAGACTCCAAGCAGCAATACACACATGGACGTCCCCAAGGTCCCTCCCAGGCCCGGCCGCCGTATCGACCGTTCCGTTTCTCCCAACCGCGATACATACGCCCCCTCTCCGCTCAACGACCCGTCTTTCGTCCATAGCAGGGACCAAAACAAGAGTAAACGCTTGAGCACTGAGGTGCCTGACCGCCCGCCGAGTGTTTCTCTGCCCTCCCTCGGCCAGGAAGGCAGCGAATACGCAAGCTTCGACGACCTGTCCAAGACCCTCTCGCTGGGCCGATCAACCTCCCCACACCAGACAAAAAATGTAGCTGGTGACCTGCCCCTGCATGCCCCAAGGGCTTCGGTCCCCAGCTCTACAGCCCACAGCAGGATTCAGACTGTCACCAGAACTGACTCTTCGCAGGCAGTAGCTGCTGGAGTGGGTAGCCTAGCCCCGGAAGACAAATCGGCCACTACAAGTGAGCATCGTCGCTCGGATTCTTCGACCGACGACCGCTCGCGTCCTGCCTCGATGTACAAGGAGGAGGAAGAACAGGGCATACCTGAAATCGGTGTACAAGTCCCCATGTACCCGAACGCTGGAGACGTTCAGGCTCCCACTCCAGGCCCTCAGGAACTGAGTGGCCATGCGGCTAACCTTGGACCTTCTGAGAGACCCCGACATCACGGACGTACCAAGAGCGGAAGAGAAATCTTCCACGGCCCTCCTGGTAGTTACGGTCTCCATGGACACGGAGTAGGCCCAAAGAACGAATTCGACAAGCAGTGGTACGCAAAGCATCCAGAGGATGCCAAACGTGAAAAGGCTGGAGAATACGGTCCACATGTCCAGGTTAATAGGAAGGACTATCACTGGATGGGAGATGATCTAGTCAAACTCGTTCACTCTTCAGGTGCTAAAGGCGTTGGCATGGGTAGGTTGTCTCTGCTGATATGAACATCGGAGATCTAGCTGACCAAGAGATACAGGTACGTCCAGGGAGGCCGTTGGAACCCCGGATGAACAGATTGGCTACATGGCCAGCGAGGAATTCGCTTCCAGAATGGCATCAACGTCTCCTCACCCAAAATCCTCCAACCGCCCCATCTCCAGTGGCAAGTCCGCTGTTAACGTCGAGTCGCCGTTACGCCACTCCGACGAAACGGGAGAACTTGGCGGGCCAAAGACGGATGGCGAGTCGGAAGATGTAATTCACATTGATCCTCCCACCCATTCTTCAAGCAAGATTCATGGTGGTGGTTACGACCCTCCAACCCAAGATTTGGGAGCTCATGGCGGGAACACGGAAGAAAAAGGTGGTTGGGTCACTGAACAAGGCCATGGCACACCCATCCTTGCTTCTGATGAGCTCAAGAAGTATCCAGGAACAGAACACAGACAACCTGCCGTGGACCCTGAGCTCGAGCGTCGTCGAAGTGGCGAGTATATCGTCAATGAGTCGCTCGGCCAACCGGCCTACATCACCAAGCAGCGAACTCATAGCAGGAGTTCAAGCAGGAACAAGAGCATTTCTTCAGCCAAGAATTTGCAGCGTTTTGCAAGCCCGACCGAGCATGACCGAAGCGGAACTCCTTTGGAGTCTACTAAGGAGTATGAACCCCTTTTCCCCGATGACGACGTCGAGAACAAGAAGCCAAAATCGGAGAAGCGTCCCGCGCATGCGCCGCGCCATCATTTCCCCAGCCAGGATGTGTGGGAGGATTCACCCAGCAGCCACCATCTTGAGACTACCGTCGACTCCCCACAACTTCCCGAAGAGCCTAAGGAGCACGAAGAGCCAATTTCTGCGACACAGACCTTTGAGAAGCCAGAAGATGAGGCTGCGCGTAAAGATTCGACCTCCAAAGAAGATAAAGAATCCTTCCTACCCGAGCATACGAAACATCTCGCCAACAAGCATCTCAAGAACGTCGATGTGCCTACTCGCCCCGGTCTGAACCAGCGCTTCCCTAGCCACGATATTTGGGAAGATGCCCCTGATCATGGTCAACTAGTCACTACTGTGTCAACTCCTCAATCGGAAGATGTCAATGAATACGCCGATGATTCACCGATCGTGGAGAAACCGGCTGTTCCCTCTCGACCTATCATCCCCGCTAGGCCGCAAAAGCCTAAGGATCTGTCGCCCGTTGACAAGAAAGCGCCAGTCATTCCAGATAGGCCGAAGCCACAGGTTCCTGCTCGTCCTACGAAGACAATCTCCTCGGATAAGGTACCGACAGTTGAATCGCAAGGAGAGGCTCCACCGCAGCCCAAGACAAAACCACAAGTTCCCGCTCGCCCTGGCTCTTCTAAGATTGCTGCTCTTCAGGCTGGCTTTTTGAAAGATCTGAACAGCAAATTGGGTATTGGGCCTCAAGCACCCAAGATCAAGGAGCCCGAGCCTGAACCTGAGGAGGCACCAAAACCACTTCAAGATGCTAGGAAGGGACGGGCTAAGGGTCCTCAGCGTAGGAAGCCACAGAGTTCGCGCTCTCCCGCAGCAGCAGAATCTAGCGTGGTGTCGGAGGTTGCAGTTCCCAAGGCTGAGTTGAAGCTTTCCAGCGTTAGCACCATCTGGAGCATTGGATACGACGGAAAATTGGATGCACCAGCTGCTCAGATGGCAGTCACATTGCAAGAGGCCATCAAGCCTTCCTCCAAGACCGAACCCGCCGTTGTTCAGACAGAGACCTCCGATGACCTTCAGCCTGTGCAATCAAACACCTCCGTCAAGAGCGAGGGCGCTGTTGCCGACGCCGCCTCTCGTGACAGTGTAGAGGAGACTGCCGCGCAGGAGGATCTAGCTCCTACCACCACACTAGAGTCGAATACTTCGGCTGTGTCCGCCGAAGACAAGGTCGATGCACAGCCCGAACTCACCGCTACAGGCGGTGTTCCCCTCGAGACAGAAGGCGGCCCTGAAGTCACGCTCCCAGGCTCGAGCGCAGAGACCGCCAAAGAGCAACCAGAGCTCTCGGCGACTGGTGGCGTGCCGCTGTCGGTTGAGACTGGCGGTCCCAGTGTCACCCTCCCCGGTTCAACAGGTGAGATCAAGTCTCCTGTGGAGACTAAGCTCGCGGAGACAATCTCGGAGGAGCTAGCCTCTCCCAAAGCCACTGGACCAACCGAGCCCATCATCACACAGGAGCCTATTGCTGCCGAGCGTACAGTTGCCGCGGCCGAAGGTGAAGAGAAGGAGGTCGGCCAGGATGCAAAGGTCGTCACCTAGTGGACCTTGATTGCTTATCGACCTCTGAGCGTGGCTTTAACAGCACAGAGATGATGACATAGACGACACGAGAGGCTTACGCCGACCCGAACGAGAAAAAAAGACCGTATGAAGGGGCAATGAATTGTTTTTTCTTTCAACCGTATAATAGGATTATTAGTATTCTATCAATCCGAACAAACCACACCTCTTTTACATAAGTAGTACAAGAACGAATCGATTGTGTTTATATCTCTATCTTTGATGTGTGCCTCTGTCCCAGGACCGATGACTTTCGATTCCGCCCGTCTCGATTCAACGTGATTATATGCATACATGTACCGTTCATTCATCCTTGTAGCAACTTACCATCATGTTCAGGACCCGTCCGCCATCATCCCCCAAAGAGAAAGAGGAAGAGAAACAGAAACAAAATCCAGCCCCACGGGTAAGGCTTTCGAACGCCCCATCTCACGTACACGTACATAAGATGAACATACATTTGAGGGGTGTAACGGGAGTGACGGGTAAGCCACCCGCAAGCCAGCACCCGCAGCACACCCCAGAGAAGTCATGAACTGCGCGTCATGCGTCTGTACAAAAATCTCGATATGGGAAAATCGAAATATCATTAGTAAGAGAGAAAGAGAGAACGACAGTCATTTTCCCTCCCGCACTCGTCACCTTGCTCATTTTAATCTCCGTTCTTGGGGGTTTCGATTCGTTCTTTTCATTTTATTTCTCAGAGAAGGAGAGGAAGGAAGGAAATGTAGGAGCACATCTATCTTCCCTTTCTTCTTTTTGATATCGCGGGTTAAATGCTTGCCTAGGTACATAAGTTGTAGGTGCAGTTTGTAGATCGATGGCTACCTAGGTACGTTCACCACTTCACCGCGGTTCTACGTGGTTGTTTTTATACTATCAATCTCGTAGATAGGTTCTTGCCGTACTTGTACGAGAAAAATAGACAAACGGAAACAAAATAAAAGTCCGGGCTCCGGAGTTTTTTCCTTCTTATATCGTATTTTCGTTCCGTTCCGTTTCGTTTTTTCTCGGTTTTTTTTTTTAATCATTGTCCGGTTTTCCGTATTGTCCGTAGCGGAGATTTCTTGTGGCGCAGGTAGATCTCGCAGTTGTAAGATCTAAGATTTGAGATTAGGATTTAGGATTCAGGATGACGGGGGCAGGGGGGGAATTGTTGGGTGGCGGGCGATGATCGCCTGTGTATCATCGTTTTGGGGGAGGGGATTGGGCACGGGACTGGGGACTGGACGGCGGAGCGGAAGAGAGTTGGTGTTTTTTTTTAATTCTAAATGTTCCTTGATGGAATATTATTTAGTTAATTATTATTTGTGAAGACAGTTTTCTTGACGGGACGGTTTAGAAAAGAGGTTTAACTAAATTCATGATTGGAGATGATGATCACGGACTACAACGTGGGTCACGATATTGGGTACAAGCGCGGGATTGTTCAATATTTTTTTGTTTAGAGAGACATGTCGATTAGACATTTTAAACGTTTCGAAGACCGTCTTCGCTGAACGAAGACGATAATAATAAATAAAACATAGTGATGATATACATTGCCACCACCATGCCATGCCTATCGCTAATGAAGCGATTCCCGAATGCTTTCCGCCTTTTGCGTTGGGGAATAAACGATGACGACGCGGTCGTTCACCTTGGGTGGAAAGAAAGTAGCCGCCCATGCTCAATGAAACTCCGGTTATGCCTCTCGTGGACAAATCAATGAAAACTGCGCCGGGACCAGATCATCGTGGCCGCTCATAATATACAACGTGGTTATAAGATTTCCATCCGATTCATGCGCCCGTAACCATCCAATTCAGTAGTAAGTCGTAAAATAGTAAGTCGAATGTAAAGGGTCTAGGGCAGGAAATGCGAATAATGGCCAGGAACCCGCTGTCTGCACTTTTCGCAATCGTCCCTGTAGCCCATGCTGAATCGTCCCTTGCCGGACAGTGCTCCACTGCGTTTGCGTCCGCGTGACGGAGTCGTTAAAACACCCGGCGGTGGCGGCAGTCCATCACTACTCTCCTGCGACTCCAGGTCCATCCGCTCAGCATTCGACGTCACACTAAGACGCGAAAGTTGCGACTGCGTGAGGGCGGTGGGCGTATCTGGGATATCTTCGTCCTCCGAGATGGGCGACGGCATGCGGCGACTGCGGTCGTGTTCTACCTGCGCCTGCTTTCGTATTGTCGGAGGCTTCTGGAGGAGTGGGTTCTGGGGCACGCCGAGGTAGCCGTTTCCGGAGTCCATGCTCAAACCACCCGCCAAGCCACTGCTCGGATAGCCGACTCCGCCCAAAAGACTCGTATTCATGGGCCCTCTGGGTCCGTTGAAGGTTGGGAAAATGGGCGTTGGCAATCGTCCTGTGTTGTTTGCTGCTGCGTCTATGCTGCTGAATGAGTCGAAGTTGAGCTTCGCGGGCCTGAGGAAGTTCGATATGAAGGGAGAATCTGGCGGCTGGCTGCCAATGATGTCGAAGTCGTCTTCCTCCTCTTCCACCTCCATGTCCATGTCCATGTCCAAATCTGCCTGCCGTGGAGAGGAAAATGTCGGCTGTTCATCTTGCACTGAGACTGGAGAGTTCTGCTCGGACTGGGCGGGCGTCATGGCTCCTAGATCTTGCATGATGTGAGGCGGCGACGGTTGATTGCCAAAGTTTGATAGAGAGCTGAGGTTGGCGTTGACATTGTGAAATCCATGGAAGGCGAATGGACGTGACTTCTGTAAAGATATGTTGTCAGTGTTTGGTCCACAGTGAGGAGCGATGAGCCTGGTGGCAGCACGTACTTTCAAGTACCTGTCATCCTCTGAGTCCGAGTCATCGTCTCGTGCACGCTTCAGAGGTTGTTGAAACGCAAACATGGTGATGTAGTTATCTTGTGACGGAGTGGGTGGTTTGCGACAGGCGTGGTCAACACGTCGGAGGGGGGAGAGGGATAAGGACAGGAAGCGACCGACGAGGGACGGGAACGGCGAAGAGGTTGAGTTGAGATGTTTTGAAGAAGTCACCCAAGCGCAGTGCGCATTATGTTTAGGTCATGACCAAACGGAGGAGGGGGTAGCCGTGTGGATCAGGGGAAGTCGCATGTAGGCACGACAGGGTAGAATGGTGCGTTTCAGGCGGCCTCGGACGCTACAAACTCTTGCACGCTCACGCCCACACTGACCCTACAGGTAGGTAGTCAAGTACAGGCTGGCACGCTCATACGCCCGCTAATAGACTAATACTACTCGTATCTCTCTATCTGCACCCAAGGAAGAGTCGACGGTGGTCCCGCGCGCCACCCTTTATCGATAATGCGAGCGATGTGGAGTCGTTGGTGTTGGTCGAGGCGATGGTTCAGCTCTTAATTTGGTGTGCCTGGGCTGGCCCGCTTGCAGCTACACACTGTACACGGTCGCCAACCGATGACGGAGTAGATAGATTGGTATGCAGATTGTGGGATACGCGCTGGCACACACTCCGCAAATGACGATGCTGCAGCACTGCGTCGTCGAGTGGTCAGCCGTCACCAGGATGGGAGATGCGAGGGTCACATTGCAGTTGCGCCTCGGATGGGCGCCTCCATGGGGATGTTGCGGCTTAGAGGTCGTATTTGGTGAGATGAGAAGGGGGCAGACCGGACAGTGGACAGGCTGGGGTGTAGGTCTTAATAGAGCCAGTTAATGTGTGTGTGCGACGTGGTGGCGGGTGGACGTGAGTAATTGAGTGCTGAGGAAGGTTGAACGATGGAGGAAGGGTGATTATTAGTTCATGCAAATATACTCGGTACCACCACCACCACCACCACTAATACCTCCTAGGAGGGAGAGTTGATGGCTACAATTTTGTTGTTTTTGTTGTTGTTGATTTGTTTATATGGAGTACCATATTTGTAAACATGGTGAAGGTGAGTTCAGGCCATGTTCACTGTTTGTTTACTTGTTTACTTGTTTATTACAGTGAAAGTGAAGGTGAAGATGATAATTAATTGAGGTGACGCTGTTGGCCAGATCCGACTTGTAACTTGTAGAATGGATGCATTCGTCCTGGCGCCTATCCCAAACAGGCTTAGAGGTTTCGAAGGCGGTGAATGTCCCTCCCCTCCTCCGTCAACCAATCAGGGGTCAGCATTCACTTCACTCATCGAAAAATTATTATCTTTTTGTGGAAGCTTTGTGACTCCGCTCCGTCTCTGGTCTGCCTTTCTTGGGTTTATGATACGAACAACTCACTGAAAGGATCAACAACATTACATCAATTCCTCTACTATCCTGCAGACTCGCTTTCCACCCCGAATTTGGATTCAATTCTCTTGATTATCCTGATCGTCTGCAATCAATCGGCTCCGCAAACCGGCCTCAGTACTCCGTACGTTGTGCTCTCTTTCTTGTGACTCGGCTGCCCACCCCCACCAAAACCTGAACTGGCTCCAAGCATTTACAGGCATTAATAAACCCAGATCGTACATCACGCCAGTAGCCTAAAATACTCTCGAGTATGTTGAATAGTCGAGCCAGTAATATCAATATGCTGTGCTCATGCACGCCCTTCACTTGCTGATGACAACTTGTGGTTAGGTATTTAACACATTCGGTCCCCGGACTTCCACACAATGGCATCACAAACCTCAAATAACATTGACAACATGCCTGAGCAAAGCGACGACGTGCGTGGTAAGTACTCCGTTCATTATGCACTATGTTACAGTACGCTCTCCCTCTACCCTCTGCTAACCATGACTCCTCCTAGTCCTTGGATACGATCCATTGATCCCGCCCGCACTCCTCTCCTCCGAGATCCCTATCCCTCGCCATGCTGAAGAGACCGTGATCAAGGGCCGCAAAGGTGCTGCCAACATCATCACACAGAAGGATGACCGTCTCCTCGTCATGGTCGGACCCTGCTCCCTCCACGACCCCGCCGTTGCCATCGAGTACTGCCAGCGATTGAAGGCCCTCGCCGACAAGCTCGACAAGGACCTCCTCATCATCATGCGCGCCTACCTCGAGAAGCCCCGAACAACCGTCGGCTGGAAGGGCCTGATCAACGATCCCGACATCGACGAGAGCTACCAGATCAACAAGGGTCTCCGAATCTCCCGCAAGCTCTTCGTCGACCTCACCTCCCAAGGCATGCCCATTGCCTCCGAGATGCTCGACACAATCTCCCCCCAGTTCCTCGCAGACCTGATCTCTCTGGGTGCTATCGGTGCGCGAACCACCGAGTCTCAATTGCACCGAGAGCTTGCGTCTGGTCTCTCCTTCCCCATCGGCTTCAAGAACGGCACGGACGGCGGACTCACCGTCGCCGTGGACGCCATCGGAGCCGCCGCCGCAAAGCACCACTTCATGGGTGTCACCAAGCAAGGTCTCGCAGCCATCACCAGGACGGCCGGAAACGAGCACTGCTTCGTGATTCTCCGCGGTGGAAGCAAGGGCACCAACTACGACAAGGACAGCATCAAGTCCGTCAGGGAAGCTTTGAAGAAGAAGAACCTCCCCGAGGTCATGATGGTCGACTGCTCGCACGGTACGTCATCCCGATTCTGCTCACACTACAACCCCAGCTAATCAGATCAATCACAGGCAACTCCAACAAGAACCACAAGAACCAACCCCTCGTGGCACAGGACATCTCCGAGCAGATCCGGAACGGCGAGACCGGAATCGTCGGCGTGATGATCGAGTCCCACATCAACGAGGGCAACCAGAAGGTCCCCGCCGAGGGCCCCAGCGGCCTCAAGAAGGGCGTCTCCATCACCGACGCCTGCATAAACTGGGAGTCCACTGTCGAGGTCCTCGAGAACCTCGCGGCCGCCGTCGCCGAGCGGAGAGCGAACAAGAGCAAAGCGAATGGTGCCAATTAAATGGGGCGGCTCTTTCTATACGTATAGACGAAGGATTGGTAGATGCATCAAAAGGTCGGGGAAAACGCGCGATGAAACGAATATTTACGTAGTAGGGAGTCTTATGTTCAATTGGGTACATTTGGAAGGGAAACTTGGTCATATGCGGGAGTCCTGAACAAAAGCTCAAAAATTGTAATTCTTTAAAAAGAACTATTTTGGCATTAGCTGTTTTCTTCCCAACGCGCAGCTGTATCTGGTGCCCCTCTTGATGAATAACAAATAGCCCAATGACTGACACCCACAACAAGATGACAATCAAACTGTACATATATCTGTCAATCGTTCCAGGTGCTCGTATTAATCAAGTTCCAATGTGTACTCTAGTGTAAGTCACCATTAAACCAGTGACTAAAAAAACAGCAACCCCTCCTAATTTTTACAGGTTTGGCTGTCACATGCAACAACAGCCAGAACAACTAAGAGCCCCACCCACTATCGTCATACAGAAAGTAAAAAACAATGCAAAAAAAAAACACCAAAAAAAAGCAAAAATGGACGGGTAGGGGATCGAACCCTAGACCTCCCGCATTGTATACATACTCCTTGGTGGAGTCGTTGCAAAGCGGGCGCTCTGCCGCTGAGCTACACGCCCTGATATATCATCGTAATTGATTGATGAGGGTATTCCAATTTCGATAGGATATATAGCTATGCAGATAATTGCTCGCATCCAAATGTGCTTGTTCCTGAGCCTATGTATGACAAGCGAAGAATTCAATTAATTAGTGCTTCGTGTGTCAGGATTGAGATCCACGGCACAGCCTTAGTCCCGTTTGTTCGCGGCGGGTCAGCAATTAGCGGCACAGACACAAACACCTCCGCAGCTCCGCTTACAGCCAGTGTTTATATACTGTGTAACCACGCCCCGCCCGCTCTTGCAAACAAAGGTCAGACTTGGGATCTGATTCCCCTTTGCGCGAAACAAAACTTGCTTGGAAGAAGATTCGGGTGAAGCTTTTTGCTATAACGTATCGATAACGATTCGTCGAGATGGCACTTGGTACACATCTACCGTTCTGGCCGGCGCTGCTGTTTACCTACCTGGAGCCGATTACTTTGTAAGTTACACAATATGCTTCTTTCTTCTTATGGTAGTTACACTGCGCGTGGATGTGTGTCCTATTGCGCGGTTACAATTCAAGACAGTGGCTTGTTGTGCAGAGTACTCCGTACCCATAGTCAGTGGAGAGAACCTACATCTTGTACCCACCTGCGTTCACATTGTACAACACAACCCCATCATTCCACACCCAACCACTCCCTATTTTGACCTCCACATCTAACCCTCCATCCTCTAGAATCCTCGGCTTCAACGCCGCCTACACCTCCCCCTCCACCTTCGTAACAACCCAACTCCCGACCTCGTCCCTCGTCCCCGTCCCCCCAGCCGCCCTCATCCTCTCCTACTCCCTCGGCAACATCTTCCTGCTCCTCGCCGCCCTTGCCGTCCTCTGCACGGCCATCACCCGCGACGCCCGCGTCACAAAGGCCTACCTGCTCATCATCGCGGTTGGCGACCTGGGTCACATCTACTCGAGCTACGCGGTCATGGGGCCGAAGGTGTTCTGGGAGTTTGGCGAGTATAATGATATGATGTGGGGGAACATTGGGTTCAGTGCGTTTTTGCATGTTAATAGGATGGCGACGCTGCTGGGGGTTTTTGGGAGGGTTGGGTCGAGGGGGTAGGATGTGGTGTTTGGTGATGGAAATGGATGTTTGGGAGAGCTCTGAGAATATGACTTTCTTCCTGCTTTTCTCAAATATTTGTTAGATTGTAGGAAGGGTTGGGCGGTCGTGGTGTTTACATATTCCCACGCAATTGAGTTGGTGGAACAATGGGTATATACACTTGTACAGTTTCTTGTATTTTATCTATGACTATGGATGTTTGTTTCATAAACAAGAAAGTTACCTCTAGTAGCTTCTATAGCTGTGATCACTCCGAAACTATCTGAAATCTTTGGTGCCTATCAATTGGAATCCACAGCTATATATTGCAGATTCATCGTTCCACACTTACATGCTAGCGCCTACATGTAGCTATAGCTCTATCCAGTAAACACGGAAATGGGAAGCCGTAGTCGCGTGTAGCTGCCAAGATTCAGGGACCCCCGACTTTCCGAATAACTTCCTCCGCGCCCAGCAATATGTACGAGTTCCTTCAAAGAACATTTGTACGGGGAGAAGAACCTGCGGCTCGGTATCCTGAAAGATGAGATTACGCGGAAACCAGATATGGCAAACTGCTGCGCTTGTCTGCTTGCTGAGCGGAGCTGCCCATGCTTCGCTCGGGGACAGATTACCAGAGTTCAAGACATGCGTCGAGGTACGGAGCTTTCTATACGACTTACAGGATTCAAGATATTCTGACGTACATTCAGACATGTAAAGAAGCAAACTGCGGCGCAGATGCCGTACCAATTCGTACGTCCACCTCAATTCCAATCCATTCCCGAAATCCACTGAACAACAACAGCTTTCCACCGCCGCATCCTCCTCTGGGACTGCCCCTCCGAGTGCGACTACACCTGCCAACACGTCGTGACGGACAAACGCCTAGCACGCGACCCTCCATACATGCAACCGATCCAGCAATTCCACGGCAAATGGCCCTTCTACCGGTTCATGGGGATGCAGGAGCCCTTCTCCGTCATCTTCTCGCTGTTCAACTTCCTCGCGCACGACTGGGGTATCCACCAGCTGCGCGAGAAGATCCCGCCGTCCTACGCCCTGCGCAAATACTACATCGGCTTCGGGTACTGCGGCCTCGCCAGCTGGATCTTCAGCATGATCTTCCACACCCGCGACTTCAACGTCACCGAGAAATTGGACTACTTCGCGGCGGGCGCGAGCGTCCTGTACGGCTTGTACTTTGCCCCGATCAGGATATTCAGATTGGACAAGAAGGACCCGACTAGGCAGTCTGTGTTGCGGCTCTGGACCGCGTTCTGCATACTGCTGTATGTCCTACACGTTTCCTACCTCTCGCTCTGGTCCTGGGATTACACGTACAACATGGCGGCCAACGTGACCGTCGGCGTCATCCAGAATATCCTATGGAGCGTCTTCTCATTCATGCAGTACAGGAAGGTGGGCAGAGTGTGGGCGATGTGGCCTGGTTTGATCGTGGCATGGATTATCATGGCAATGAGCCTTGAGTTGCTGGATTTCCCGCCGTGGATGGGCATGATCGATGCTCACTCCCTGTGGCATTTGGGAACCGTGGGCCCTACTGTTTGGTGGTACAAGTACGTTCACCCTCTCTCTTCCATGTCGAGTGCCAATGCTAACGAATACGTCAGTTTCTTGATCAAAGACGCCCAAGAGGATACCGCAGGTAAGAAACACCATTGACATACCTACCCATCCTACCCATCCCAAAGGAAACACATTCCCGCCTCCATCATTTCCCTCTTGCTTTTAACCTCCCTACCCATGTCCTTTCGGATATCCGATCCCCAGCTTTGCGCTCTTCATCGCTTACCAGCTCCTCGCCAGGCAAGCTACCCACGACTGATATGTTCTCTCTAGGCACTCAGAAGGAGAAGGAGTAGTGCATTTCCCCCACTCACTACGGATGAATGAATGGGAAGGCACGTCATTGTTTTTCATCACCACCAATCATCCTTTTTAGTACATAGTTACACTCCCGCCGCGTTTCAATCGAGCGAGTCTCGGGGACGTTTCGTTGCAAGGTTCGATATTCTTTAGGCTGGTTTCCATTCTCCCCTCCCCGCTCTCGTGTAGGGGAATGGTTGTAGGATAGATAGGTAGATAGGTGGGGGGTCTGTGATCCCTCGTGCTTTGCATTTTCTTGGGCGCTGGACAGACATTACTATTCAATTTTTTTGTTTTTGAATTATGCCCAGAAAAAAGAACATCGTGCAAAGGGAATTTTTTATATATGTATCTCAAAACATACGAAACTCTATATCAACAAATAACAGAAACGAAAGCAAATCGACAAGTGAACCAACGATACCAGAAAATAAACACAACATGTTGAACCGCCGATGTGGATATACGCCAAATAACATCAAATAGAAAAAAAAGACATCCACGGAGGCTCTATTCAGCCAGCGCCTCCAACTCGCGCTTCAAATCCCGCATCAACGCCTCGCCATCGACCAAGCCCATCATGCTCTCAGGCGCAAACACACCCACGTCCAAGGCCTGTTTCCGGATTGTAGCTTCGACGTCGATGCCATGCTGTGAAAAGAATATCAGTCACACTGCCCTCATCATACAATTCAAGAAGCAAAAGAAAAGGAAAGATCGACTTACCAAATACACCCCCCGAACATCCTCGCCCACAGAGAGAGTGGCAGGCGTCTCGAACTCATCATGCGGCGTCTCGACGATCCTAGTGACGCTTTCATCCCACTGCTGCGTCTGGGTGATAGCAATCTTATCTGCATCCAAGCTATCTTTATCACCACCACTCGCTTCGGGAAGTTTGAGGAAATTGACAAACGTGTCAACTGTGACGCCAGCCCATTCCTTGATCTCCCACAGGCTGACGGATGAGTTTGCAGCGCTACTGATCTCTTGGACGTCGTGCTGAATCTGCGCTGCTGAGGCCAGGGTTTCAGTGGTCAGGGGTGCGTTGATTCGTAGGGGGACTATGTTGACGGTTGGTATGGGGGATGTGGAAATGTCTGCTATACTCGAGTGGGAGCGGTTGGCGAGGTAAATTCCGATGACGATGTCGGTGGTGGCTGGGGCTTGAAGCATTCTTGCGTACAGGCGTGCGTAGAGGGCCAGGAAGAGGGATTGGGTTGATATGCCGTGTCTTCTGGAAATGGACTCGATGCTTTGGATACTGTTGATGAGACGCGGTGTGAAGATTTCGGTCTTGGAAGTTGGAGTGGACGATGGTTGGTGGAGCTGGTGCTTTTCGATGCCGCGTAGGTATTGCGTCCAGAAGCCCTTGCGAGTCTCGACGGATGTTGGCGAGCAACCTTCCGCGATGAGGTTCTTGAAGCCATCAACTGAAGGTGGAGTCGAAGGTAGGCTGTTGCAACGATCTTGGAGTTGCTGTACCAAGCTTGGTAGACTAACTCCATCGTAGAGTGCGTGGTGGATTGCCAACTTCAAGTCCCAGCCTGTTGGTGATAGACGTACGAAAAGATGAGCAAAAGGCTGATTTTGCTTCACACGACCTGATACTGCGGTTGTCTGGTCCTCATCAAGGTTGGTCAGGTCTATAATATATGCCTGGTGTTCTTGAAGCACTGCTTGGGTAAAAGGTGCATGTGATGTGTTTGTAGCTAGCAAAGCCGTCCGTAGGATAGGATTGTCGTCAACCGTCGCTTGCCAGGCCTTCGAAAGAGCTTCGAAAGAGATAGAGCCAAAGATCTTGTAAGAGAAGTCAGGGTAAAAGTTGGTCCCTTTCGAGTTGAGCCACATCATCATAGTGAACATTTGGCCCGCTGTTGCCGGGAGCACTTGCTCAATATTCTTTATGTCGAGGCCGGCACCTTCCAACAGACCATTAATCGGTACGTCTTTCAAGAAATCACTGATGATGGCATCTGAATTTGCCTTGTCTTCCTCAGGCGTCGACGACCGTTCATCCACGAGCCTAGCCATATTTTCTATCGTTCCAGCCTTGAGCATCTCACCAACACTGAGAATGATAGATTGCTTGCGTAGCAACGAGGAGACTTTGATGGCACTAATTGAATCCAGGCCGATATGGAAAATTGTCATTTCTGCCGTGATCTCTTCCTCGGGTGTCTTAGACACGAGTGCGAGGACTTTGCGGATGGTTGTCGCCGTGGCCGAGTCGGTCTCTACTGAGCCACTTCTAACATTGTTCTCCTCCTGTTGCATGGTTTTGTCATTGAAATGCGGGAGCCCGCATACCGAAGTCCCACTTGACGTGAACTCGATTGCAGGAGCTTGTGGTTCCTCGATGATGCGCCGTAACACTGCATCCAGATTCTTCAAAAGCTCCTCCACGCCGTCCTGATTGAGCGCCTCCTCTTCAATAGCACACCTCCAAATGAGCTGTCCATCGAAAACTTCCATCTCCACGCATACGGGATATTCCACATCACTGTGGCCCTCAACGCTCTCATATAATATCTTCTCCGTCCCATTGCTGTCGTTCAGTCTCTTTTGGTAGATGAACAAGTTGTCGAACAAGCGACCTTGTGCTTTAGCAAGTGCCTGAACTTTGCGCAGCGGGAAATGCTGATATTGTTGGATTTGTGCGAAGTTCTCTTGCATATACTGCAGCATCTCCAACCGGGTTCCGTGCAAGATCGTTCGAATCGCTACAGTATTCATTGTTGGGAATAGCAACTCGGCTGATCTATCATCATCACGTCCGGATAGGACAGATCCAAAAGTCACATCGAGTGATTGTACGTACGATGCCAGAGCGAATGCGTATGCAGTTTGACCAAGGGTCTGGAGTGTGATGTTGTTGCGCTTTGCGAAGGTTGAGATGAGGGATGCAGTCATGTCGCTGACCTTTTCCTTTCGAATCACCACTGAGCTCGCTTGGTTGGTATCTGTCGGTCGTTTGAAACTTGTCGGCTGGGACCCTGAAAGGAAATCTCGCCAGAAGGCGACAGCATCTGCACCTGATGCAGTGAGCATCTTACGCAGAGTGTTCTCATAGTCTGGCCTGGATTTTGGATGCTTCTCATATGCCCGCCGGATATCAGTGTGCAGAAGGCCAAGGGACCAGCCATCATACATTGCATGTGCAATTGAAAGAACGAGATATCTATCGGATGGTCCCTGCAGCATATGGACATGGAATGGTGGCGCACCAGCCTTGTTGATCGTTGCTTTGCGGATGGTGTCGAAGATTTCGGGGAAGTTAGGTTGCGCATCCCCAATGTCGAGTGTTTTAACCTCGAATCTTGTCCTTTGAATAACTTGAGCGAACGAGAAATCGATATTCGGGTCGTCGATTTCGATGAAAGATGTCCTCAGGATCGGAGACATGTCAACGACTTTCGTGAAAGCTTTTTGTAGAGAATCTATATCTACGTCTGGTTGGAGCCTAAGCACGTCATGATTGTAGTAGTGCTTGTACTCGGATGCGATCATTTCAGCCACCATACCCTCTTGAAGGGGTGTCAGTGGAAGAATGCGCTCGATATCGTCCGTGCTAGCTAGATTGTGTCGGGCATAGTCTTCCAATCTTCTCTTGTGTGAATTGAACACCATGTTAGATGGCGGTGGCTGCTGTTTGATTTTGCTATTGGGTATCTTGTCTACCATGTTCTTGATGGTAAGGCTGCGCATGATAGCACTAACGGGTAGCTCGATGCCGCATTTTTTGAGCTTTGACGAAAGTTTGATGGCATCGATGCTGTCTAATCCGAGCTCGAAGATGGAGGTTTGTTCATTGATGTCTTGGATCTCGACGGAGCTCAGACTCGCAATCTCTTGTCTTATCTTTTTGGCGTTGTCCGACCAGGTGAATTCTGTCTTTGGGAGGTCTGGGTCAGTTTTCTGTGTGCCAACACGCTCCTCAGGGGAAAGACTGCCAAAACTCGTTGTGACGAGTGCTGCGTGGTCTTTCAGGAGCTCTCGCATGGCGGCTTCGAATTCGTCTAGGAGAGTTTTTGATGCTTGTTTGTCCGCTACGTGACCGTTTGCCACGAGGGTGACCCTCAAGCGATCGTTGCCATGTTGCTCAACTTCGATGGCCAAAGGATAGTCTGCATCAGCATCCCCATCTTCGAGGCCCCAAGCGTCGTTGTTAGACCATTCCTGATCATCGACACTAATCTGGTAAACGAAGAGAGTCTCAAAAAGTGGCTGATCAGGTGACCGCTTCAGCCATTTCATAATGTCGCGAAGTGGAGTATGCTGATAGGAATGAGTTGCCACATTGAACTCGTGGGTGCGCTTGATGATAGACCTCCAGGTTTGCTGGCTTTCGAGACGATGTTGGTATGGTATGGTGTTGAAGAGAGGCCCAATGATACGTTCGGCACCTTCGAAATCGATACTGCGTCCGGATACGACCATTCCAAGTGAAATGGGCATATTGGTGTGCCTCTGCAGGACAGTCGCCCAGCATGCTTGTGCAATGGCTTGATGAGTTACACCCAACTCCCTTCTGACCGTCTCGTATGCTGCGAGATCATCCAAGTCCCGAGCGACAGTGGTGGGCTCGACAGTTGGAGATATTGCCATACTTGGAATTGCAGTATAGCGAGAGTTAGAGAGATGTCCAAGCCAAAATTCTTTGGCACCTGCTCGGGACCGCAATGGCCCATGGGGGAGAGCGGATTGGAACGCTGGTCCTGTTGACTTGGAGAGCCTACCATTGTACGCATCCCATACAGCCCTGAATAGCAAATCTATGGCAATGCCATCATAGAGCGCATGGAAGATGTGAACAACTAGAACCTTCTTGCTTGGGGTACTAATGAGGTGAAGTTCGAATGGTCGATCGATGACCGTTCGATTATGCTGCCACCATGATTTCCTCAACTCTTCAACTTGCGACTTGAGAGATTCTTCAGTGCTGGTGTGAACATTCCAAGAAAGTTCTGCATGCTCTACGACAGCTTGTACAAACCCGTCGTCGGTGTTACAGAATACTGTCCGTAAAATCTGAGTTTCGTAGAAGACCTCTTCCCAAGCAGTCTGGAGTTTTTCGAGGTTGACCGATTGTGCGAGATTGAAACGGAAAGTATTGAAATACAATCCGTTTTCGCTTTCCAGAGATCTTGCAATCATGCCTTGCTGCAAGGGCGTACATGGGGCAAGTGCAGATATCTCTCGAGCATCTACTCTTATGACTTCAGCAACACCTCTCCGATGACGATGTTGCGTTGCTGTGATCAATTGTTGGGCAGAGACGACCGATCCAAGATCCTCAGACGAAGGCGCATCTTCTACCAAAGCCTTTGACAACCTGCTAATCGATGTGTTCTTCATGATCGTGGATGCGGCAGCATGTTTGAATCCGGCCTGTTTCAGTGCACTGGAAAGGCCAATGACTGAGATGGAGTCTAGGCCCAGCTCGAAGATGTTGGCAGATCTCCCAATATCATCAGCCTTTACTTGTAAGACATCTTTTAGCACATCACGAATTCGCAACTCGGCAGGCGACCACTTCTCCTCCTTGCCGCTTGGAGATCCGGAGAGCAATTGCAAATCGCTCAAAGACAATGCATAGTACATTTCTCGCAATGTTCTGTTGTCGGCCTTGTTATTCGCCGAGAGAGCCATGGCGGAGAGTGCGATGAAATGTGTCGGTACCATGTATCCTGGTAACTTTTCTAGACATGCTTCTTTGAGGGTGTCCATCTCAGTAGTCTTGTCGAGCAGCACCTTCGGTTTGCCTTTGCTTCGAGTTGTATTTACGACGAATGAAACAAGCTGCTCCTTTTGTTGTTTGGGGTGTTTGAGAACTAGTGTTGCTACATCCGAGACTGCGTTGCTAGCTTGCTTGATGACTGAATTGATCTCTCCAATCTCAAGACGCTGTCCTCGGAGCTTCACTTGATCGTCTGCTCGACCCAGGAAATCGAAAGTGCCATCATGAAGTATCCTGACCAAGTCTCCCGTACGGTAGACTCTTTCTTTCAGGCTTTCGATATAGGGGAAGCGTTCTTCAGTCAACTCCGGACGATTCAGATATCCCTTACCCACAAGCTTGCCAGATACGCACAGCTCTCCCACGGCGCCCCGCAAAACAGGGATGTCTGTTCCAGGTTTGAGAACGAGAGACCCCACGTTGAGAAATTGAGGTCCGATATTTGATGGCTTGCCGTTTGATGGTACTCGTGGATACATGGTAACACCAATGGTCGCTTCAGTCGGACCATAGCCATTATAGATGACGCCCTTAGGACCCCACACGTCAAGAATCTCTTGCTTCAAGCTCTCTCCACCTGTGATGAAGACGCCCCTACAGAGACTGGGAACATCATCTGGGTGTAGTATCCTGGCCAAACTAGGGGTCAAGTCGATGTGTGTAATTTCCAAAGTCTTGATGGTTCCTGCGAGATCTTCGAAAATCACATCACGTGGAGCTGACACGACACGAATGCCAACATACCAGCTCCAATATTGTTCGAGAACTGAGACATCGAAATGGAATGACGCGAATTGTAGCCAGCGAGAATCCTGGTCCCAGTGTCCGGAAAATAGGTGCTCAAATGCCAACATAGCTTGGACCGCATTCTCGTGGGTGAGCTCGCAGCCTTTTGGAGTACCAGTTGTGCCCGAGGTATATAGGCAATAGCTGCGATCCTGTGGATTTATGAGGCGTTGGAGAACAGGCTTATGAACGGAGAAAGGACTCAGATCAAGAGTGTCAAGGTTGAGAACCTGCGGCTGTATGGTGTCCGGAAGATCATGGGACTGCGCTTTCATCGAGAGCACAATCGGGAGGCTGGCATCTTCGACTATGAAGGCTCTGCGTGCACTCGGTGCTCCGGGGTCAAGAGCAACGAAGGCACAACCAGCCTTCAGAATGCCTAACATTGCAATCGATGCCTCGGGACATTTGTCGAAGCACACTCCCACCAAACCCCCTGGCAATATACCTCGAGATATGAGTAGGTCTGCGATTCGATTCCCTTCAGAATCAAGCTGTTCATAAGTCCAAGTTCGACTCGTGTATGTCCCATCCGATATCGAAGTTGCAAATTCGAAAGCAATCTTTTGAGGGTATTTAACGGCAGATGCCTCGACAAATTCGTGAAGGAGCTTGATATCAGAGGGCAGAGTGGGATCCTGAGGCGGTGTGTCCGAGTATAGAGAACGATCCTTGGAGATGGAGCTGGTTGACTGGATTCCGGGCAAGATGAAGTCGATCAGCAGATGATCCAGCTGTTCCAGGATCAGTGCCGCTTGCTCCTGTGGCACCATGTGAGGCAAGAATGTCAGTCGCAGCTCAAGCTTGTCATTCTTCGGCTCCAACTCAATGGATATCGGATATTCCGAAGTTGCGTTTTCATCTATGACCTCCCATGGGCAATTCTGACCCTCTCCATGCTGAATCTTTTGGAAAGCAAATAGAGTGTCGAATAGGGCTTCGTTGGGGTATCCGACAAGCCTCTGAATATCATTCAGTGGAGTAAACTGATGCATCTGTATATTTGCATTGAGTTCATTGACATCCTGGAGCACTTGTTTCTTATCATCCTGTAGAGTTACCGCGAAGGGGATAGTGGTGATGCAAGGGAATACAACAGAATCCGCATCTTCAAAATTGCGTCCAGACAAGACGACACCACAAGTAACTGAAGGTTCTCCCGTATAGGCCGATAGAAGTGATGTCCAGCTAGCGATACCGGCAGCTTGAAGTGTGGTGTTTGACACCCGACATCCCGCCTCCAATTCGGCCAGGGGTATCGAAGCAGGTTTTGCGAGAACAACGGGTGCTGCAAGGTTGTATCTCAAAGGTGCAAGATTCGGGAACTTTGTCGGGACCATTTTGCTTGCCATTCCTTTCCAGAATTCCGTGCTTGAATTGCCTGCGGTGCGACTCTGCTGGATGATCGAATTGATGACTGGTTCAATGGAAAGTGGCGCGGGAATTTCCAACCCATTGTATGCTGCAGCAACGTCATTGAGAATGAGCTGCAGACTTTGTGCGTCGAACAAAACATGGAAGAGTGCAATATCAAGCTGTGCGACATCAATTTCGCTGGTGATTCTCATACGCCATGGTGGCTGATGCAGACTCGACAGAACTTCTCCTTGAAGTACCTTAAGCCATTCATCTATGCTCTTTGGGCTTTTCGACGTCTCTTCCCAAGGCACAGCGAAAGCCCCGGGGTTGTAATGAATCATGGCAAATGAATTTTGGGTGTCTTTGACCTGAGCAAAACCGGTTCGGAGTATCACATGTTTGTCGACGATACTTTGCCATGCACTCTTCAGCTTGTGTATGTCGACTCCCTCGCTAAGGCGTAGCTGGATATGATTGAGATACACAGCACCTTCTTTCGTGATGAACTGCGATAACATGCCCTGCTGGAGTGGCGTACACGGGTGTGTCTTCTCGATAACTGAGCCAGTAGAATCGTATTTTGCGGAAAGTGCATCCCGATGTTTGTTCTCAAAAGCAACAAAATCAAAGCTCTCTGGCTCAGGGGTCGTACGAATTGGCGATTCATCGATGTAGGCTCCCAGATCAACACAGTTCATGTACTTCAAGACATCAGTTGCATTGACTTTGAGTCCTCTTTTCCGCAGTGCCGTGGCCACCTGAACAGCACTGATGCTGTCCAATCCTAATTGGTAGATCGAGGTATCTGGGCCAATGTCTTCTGGGTGTACGTTAGCGAGTTTGGCAAATATCTCACGGACAATGCTTTCAACATTCGTCCATTGATGCGTTTTGTGTGCTTCTGATTCCTTTCCGGCAGATTGCTTTACATCTTCAGATTCGATGAAAATGCGTTTAAGAGCATGCTTGTCGACTTTGCCTGCAGCGGACTTCGGCAGACTGTCGATGATGATAAGAAATTGAGGGACCATGTAGGATGGCAGATTGGCCTTTGCTACTCGTTTGATAGCATGTTGTAGATCACTCCTCTCTGTGGGACCTAATTGCGCAGTGGTACTGATAAACGCAACAAGCTGATCTTTTGAACTATCGTCGATTTTCATGATCTGCGCCGAGACAGAATTGATGCGCTCATCGCAGCCTTGTAGAACATGCGAGATCTCCCCCAATTCAACTCTCTGGCCCCTGATCTTCACCTGATCGTCTGCTCGGCCAAGGAATTCGAAGTTGCCATCGGCGAGCATGCGGACAATGTCACCACTCCTGTAGAAGCGAAGACCATTCCTCTGCACGAATCTCTCTTCGGTGAGTTGAGGGTTGCCATAGTACCCTCGTGCCAACTGAGTTCCTCCAATATAAAGCTCACCTTCGCCAAAGACAGGGAGAGTGCGATCACCATTCTTGGAGAAAACCGCAAAAGCGGTGGAAGGAAATGGTTTCCCGAAAATTGCCGTTTTTGTGTCCTTAGAAACTGGCATTATAGTCGTACAGAACGCAGCCTCTGTAGGTCCGTATGAATTGACACAGTCATCGCCCCATTTTTGGACTACGTCTGCAGTCATTGCCTCACCAATGCAGTACAGCCATTTGACACTGGGAATTTTCGCTCTTGAGATAGATCCAGCAACGGAAGGTGTCAAGTCAAGTAGATCGACGGCGAGAGAATTGATAATGCCAGTGAGATCATTCAACATGGCGTTCTGCTCTGCAGCACACAATGTAAAGCCAAACGTCCATGCAAGGAAGCAGTCGTAATAGCACATGTCGAAGCTTACAGCAGCATACTGTAACAAGCGGGAGTCGTGATTCCAAGGTATGAGTCTTCTGGAGCTTTCAATGGTCTGCATTGGAGCTCTGTGTTCCATGCTTACGGCTTTAGGAAGGCCAGTTGAGCCAGAGGTGTAGAGACAATATGCCAGATTGGTTGGTTTCAATGCCACAGATGGGTTGTGATCAGGGTATTCCTGAACATGAGTCACATCCAGTAATGATATATTGCTGCACCAGTCCAAGGATTTGCTGCTGGCACACAGAACAACTTTGGGCTTCAATTCGGACAACATGAACTGCTTTCTCGCGATTGGTAGGTCGTGATAGATCGGACTGAAAGCACCTCCTGCTTTCATGACGCCTAAGATGCTTGCATAATACTCCGGGGATTTCGAGATAAGGATCGGAACGATATCTTCTGGGCCTACATTGCGATCGACGAGGGCATGCGCAATTCTATTGGCTTCCTTGTTCAGAACTTCGAATGTCCATGTTGTGTGGTGATCGTCGTCATGCCTGAAGTCCAGCGCAACACGATTGGGGAACTCTACGGCATTGCGTTCGAAGGCAGAGTGCAACAATGAATGGTCAGCCGAGTCGTATTCCTTGAATTTCAGATTACTTTCAGCGAGTAAATCGCTTGGAAAGCCAATGGTGTCTCTTGCTGCTGATCTAGGAAATTGAACAAGTGATTTCAGAGCATGGTCAAAGGATTCCAAAACTCGCGTGGCATCTGTACTTGCCAGCAAGGAGGTCCTGAAGTGGAGGGTAACACTCAAGGAATCGGTTTCTTTGTCTTGGGATGCTTCCAATACAATTGGTAAATCCATGGCTCCACTATCCAGTTTCAATGTCCAGATGTCATCGTTAAGTTGTAGCGTGTGTTGTTGCAGGATAATCATGGTGTCGAATAACGAGCCTTGGCCTTGTCCAACTTTGGATTGTATCCGTCGCAAAGGAGTCAGTTGAAAAGGAGAAGATTCCACATTAAGGTGGTGTAGCATTTGGATTAGATCTGCATTGCTCTGTGCAAAATCGAAGTTGACTCGAACCGGCAGTGTATTAAAACACGGTGCTACAAGGCTATCGAGACCCTCCTCTGGCAAACTTCGTCCGCTGGCTACATTTCCGAAGCTCAAATCCTCTTCTCCCAGATAGAAGTGGAGAATTTTTGCCCATGCGCTTTGGACGACAGGAAGGAGGGAGACGGAGGAGTCGCGAGAAAAGTCTAGCAACTGCTGGAGGGGAATGCTGCATTGTTGAGTGATTGATCTTGATTCCGGTGACGCAAATATGCTTCTAGTCAGACTGGGAAACATTGCCGGCTCCAGTCCAGACAATTTTGATGCCCAGAATTGGTCGGCAGCCTCTAGATCTTGGTGAACCATGTGTCTGAGATATGGCTCATACGATACCGGTGGACTCAATTCGAATCCAGAGTAGAGCTTCTCGATTTCACTGAGCAAATTTTCCATTGCAATGCCATCATAGAGAGCATGATGGCAGACAAATACGATGTCGCAATTGTCGCGCATCGCGAGCTTCACGGGCGGTTTTGTCGATTGGAGCAAGTTCGCAAGAACTGCACGAGAATAGGTATCAATATCCTGATCGATTTGTATTTCATCCCATGGAGTTTCATTGTGATCCAGGACGAGTTGTACAAATGGAAATTGTGGGTGATCTGTTGCATGAAAAGCAGTGCGGAGAATCTCGTGTCTGTTGAACATATGAGTCCAGACTTTCTGTACTTTGGGCATATCGCTATTGATTTTGAAGATCATCGTGTTGGAATACGCGGACTCTCCAGTACCAAAAGTAGAGGAAAGCATGGCTTCTTGAAGAGGCGTGCATGGGAGGATCTTCGCTGCATTGATGCCACGCTTGTCAAGGTCCAGACGGATACTTGAAAGAGTATCTGATGGGATGAGCTCAAGTTTGTCAGAAAGCCCGTCTGAGGTGCTTGGTCCCGAGACTGCCTCTGTGCCACAGGCCGCGGAAAGTCTTGCCACAGTAGGATTTTTCAATACCAGTGAAACAGGCACATTGAGTATACTGCGATTTCTTAGCCTGCGACAGAACTGTATCGCGGAGACGGAATCCAAGCCAAGATTGAAGAACGATGAATCTCGTGAGACATCCTCCTGTGATATCTTCAAAGTCTCTGCAAGAGCCTCAACTATCTCAGTTTCTTGACTTGAGAACACAGCGGGCTCTTCCGTGTTAGACGAAGAGGAGGTAATAGATTCGAGGTACTCCTTCGACAGTGTCTTATACGCGGCGAGTAATGACCGTTTGTCGATCTTCGTCTGAGAGGTCAACGGGATGCTGGTGATTGGTATGAGGTGCGTTGGAACCATGTAGCTTGGCAACTTTGATGTCAATGAATCCAGAATGACAGACAGTGTTTGTAAATGCTGGTCTGGTGGCAATATCTCGAAGGATGTTTTCGATTGATTGACTGGCACCCAGAACAGAACAAGTCTCTGTGTAGAGTTATCCAAATTGAATAGCTGGGTTGCACAATCCTCAACATTTCGATCATCGAGCACGATGGATGTGATCTCTCCCAACTCAACTCTCTGGCCACGAATCTTGACCTGGTCATCTGCGCGTCCGGTGAAGAGTATGGAATCATCCGGGAGGAGTCGACCCATGTCGCCAGAACGGTATATCCGGCCATACAGAGGGAGATCGATTATTTTCTCCGCGTTTAGTTCGGGCCTGTTCATGTACCCACGGAAAACCTGTGCGCCGCCGAAGCAAAGCTCGCCGACTGCACCGCGGGGTAGGATTTGTTCGTTGCCAGGATCTAAAACAAAGACCGAAGTGTTGCTGAAAGGGGCCCCGATATTGTTGATCAGGTCTTCGTTGCGGACAGATGCACGCACTGTGCAAATATTCGTGGTCTCGGATGGGCCATAACCTAGAGTCGCGTTAGAAGTAGGTCACAAAATCTCAGATGATAACTTACCTTGGAAGAGGCCTCTTCCCGCCCACTGCCTTTTGACATGCTCATTAACAGCCTCTCCAGCTGTTACAAGAAATTTAACATTAGGTACATTATTAGGATTAATAAGAGAAGCAACGGTAGGCGTCAAACTGAGATGAGTGACATGAAGCTGGTTGATGGAATCTTCGAGATCGCGGTAAAGATCATCCTTCTTCGCCGAGCATAAAGACATTCCGGCATACCACGCAAAGAAGATTTCGAAGACTGAGACATCAAATGCTTGCGAACAAGACTGAAGAAGTCGGGAATCAGGAGTGGTCGGGTAGAGCGTGAAGAGTACCTCCAAATTACTCATCAAATTATCTTGCGTAACTTGAACACCTTTTGGAGTACCAGTGCTTCCAGATGTGAATACAGCATAGGCAAGGTGAGAGCCAACATATTTGATGTCTATATTGTTTTCAGAATGCACCGAGAGATCCAAAGCGCTCGGTTCCAAGATTAAGCATGAAGATTCGGTTCGTAACAGCTCTGCTGTAGCACCTTCACTAATGCAGACTTTGACACTGGCATCAAGCAGAACACTGCGGATTCTTTCCAAAGGTGTATCTGGAATGAGAGGAAGATAGCCACTCCCTGTCTTCAGTACAGCAAGGATGGAGACATATAAGTCGATGGATTTGTCGATGATGACGCCGATAAGATCGTCTTTCCCAATCCCCGCTGCTTGGATAGCACGAGCGAGCTGGTTCGCTCGAGCATTCAATTGGCCATATGTCAAGACGTCCTTATCGAATGCCGCGGATTTATTGAGAGACCCAAATACTAGGGCTTCCTTATCGGGTGTTTCCGATGCCCATCGTTCAACTGCATGGGCGGGGCCATGCGAGAAGGTCTCTAAATGGGGAAATGGATTGGCCATGGAAAGACTCTGTGGCCTGAAGCATTCCTGTATAGCCCCCATTTTCCCATCGATTGAATGCAAGAAATGATTAACGAGATCATCAACCTGATCCAACATGTAACGCACTTGTGTTTCGGGCAATGCCGAAACATCATAAGTGGCCTTAGAAAATATGCCGTCTGTTCGTGGTTCGAACTCCAGAGTCAACGTAAATTCCAATTCATCAGCACTGTCCAGCGTCCTGATTTTGGAGTCCGAGATATCATTCGTTTGAAGCGATTGCTGCCAGACGAATAGTACATCAAACAAGCGATGCCCTGGGTAGAGACCACTGAGCTTGACAATATCTCGAAGTGGCATTATACAATGCTCCAGCATACTGCGGTTGGCGTTCTGAATCTGGTTGAGAATAGAATGCACATCAGAGCATTGTGCTAGATCAACACGCAAAGGTAGAGAAGCTATACAGGGTCCCATGATGTCTTCAATACCTGTGACTGGCAGCGTTCTTCCAGAGGTTACGGTGCCAAACACAATGTCTGACGAGTTGTAGTATGAACCCAGGATGTATGCCACAGCTGCTTGGTAAAGGACTTGAGGATTGGTAGCAAGTCTATCCGCACAGTCAGAGAGTGCTATGTGGTCAATCGAGGACTTCAAAGAGACCGTTTGGAGCCTTCCAGGACCCAAGATTCTGCCATGATAGTTTGGTAGCGAGTTTGGCTGATAGTCCTTCAATAATTGTGCCCAGTAAGTCTCACTTGCACTCAGATCTTGAACGGTATTGTGGTGGTAGTTCACCACCTCCCGATACTGGGCTCTGGGCTTCGGCTGTCTTTGATTCATAACTTCGGCCAAATCGCGCAAGAGCAAATCGAAAGTCCATCCATCATACAATGCATGGTGTATCTGGAACAAAAGTCTTGGTCGATCAAGCTTTGGTTGGATTTGTATTGTTAAAGGGCGGAGAAGGGATTCGTTTGACCCAAGCGTATAACGCCTGGAGAAATCTGTGACTTGGATGAATTGAGATCGATCGAGATCCTCCCAAACTATCTGTGCAAAAGTTCCCGAGGATGAAGAAGTTATCATGAAGCCTGAACGCATGATTTCATTCAATCTGGCCACAGCCTGGATGCTAGCCACGATTGTTTCCACTGGGTACGACTCCTGAAGTTCGAGTTCAATCCAGTTACAATAGGCACCTGGGCGTATGATTGTCTCTGTAAGCATTGCTTCTTGGAGGGGGGTGCATGGGATAACGTCTGCTATTTGTTCGCCGAGGCTCTTCATCTCTGGGAGTGAAAGAACAGATTCTCCGAAACCACCAAAATCACATTTTATATGGTCCTTGCCATCATGGTTCAGTCTGGCTTGACATAGATCGATGAGATCCTGAACTGTGGTAACGGAGAGCACATCTACAGCCCCAACACTGAATCCCTCTTGGCGTAGTAGCGATGAGACTTGAATGGCACGGAGCGAGTCTAATCCGAGATAAGATAAATTCCCATTGGATGAGATTTGCCGATGAAGAACTTGGTTGATAATTTTCGGAATAGGCGAAGCATTCTCCGTTGGATCAGATCTACGTGAGCTATCTGACTTCTCTCGGTTTTCGTTGTAGATCGACTCGAGTGCTCTCTTGTCAATCTTCCCCGATGGTAATTGAGGCATGTTATGGAGTATGATAATATCGGATGGTACCATGAAGTTCGGTAACCATTGTCTGCATGTGTCAAACACGCTACTTTTCATCACGCTGCCTGTTCTGACCGCGCAGAAGCCAACGAGCTCATCAGAGATAACCAATGCTGCAGAGGTGTGGCAACCATTGACTTTCGCTATGATTCTCTCTATTTCTCCAAGTTCAACTCGTTGGCCGCGAAGTTTGACCTGTCCGGAGACAATACGCCCAAAACACTCAATGCTGCCGTCTGGCAGAATGCGTGCTTTATCACCAGTCCGATAAAGGTGGCCATATTTATGATGATTAAGGAAGGCGGCCGATGTGATCTCAGGACGATTGAGATATTCATCAGCAGTCTGTAACCCGCCAACGACAAGTTCACCAATTTCTCCGATGGGAAGAATCGTGAGAGAAGTTGGTTTGTCGCCTTCTGCAATGGGTGCAGCAATAAATGCTGATACAGTGTCTAGTGGAAAGCCTATGTTGTTGACAGAAAAATTGGAATCAAAACTTGGCAGCAGGGTGCAATGAATGGCGGCTTCTGTAGGTCCATACATGCCCCATAGTATGCTTTCCTGGGAATCATTGCCGGCGAAGTCGTCAACGACCTTGCTGGTCAGCATTTCCCCTATTGTTAACAAGAGTTTCAGTGTGGGAACACTCTTGCGTCCTTGAAGCAGATTGGTGACTACCGTAGGTGTCAATTCTGCAGCATCGACCTCTAATGCCTCCATTGTTCCAGGGAGATCATCCAGTAGCCGTGATCGGCTACATCCCACCAAAGTACATCCTCGATAAAAGGTGAAAAATATCTCGAATATCGACACATCGAAGGTAGGTGCGGCAAACTGTAAGAACCGCCTGAATGCTGGAATATGTCGATCGTGTGCAAGGAGGCTCTGAGTGACGGCTCGATGTGATACGCTCACGGCCTTTGGTAAGCCCGTCGAGCCTGATGTATATAAAACATACGCAAGATCAGTGCCTTGAGTGCACTGATCATTATCGGGAGTAGAAGCATTAAATCCGGACAGCTCGTGGTCAATGGGTAAAACATGTATCGAATCATTATGAGCGAACTTTTGCGCGTAAGACGTGCTGGTGATCAAGATGTTCGCGGATACATCCTTGAGTATGAAATCGAGACGATCGATAGGAGCATCTAGTCCAAGGGGACAAAATGCCTTCCCTGCCTTCAACACCGCCAATAACGCAATGTATAGCTCGGGCGATTGGGGCAAGAAAATAGGGACTACGGCAGAGGCATTTTCCAGCCGTGCCGAAATCGATTTGATTTTGTGAGCCAAGGTGTCACTCAAAGCATGTAGCGACTGGTAGGAGAGTTGCCGCCTCGTTCCATCTTCCAGGAAATCGATTGCAGAATTTGTTGTAGCCGCAGACCTTGGAACAAGGTCGTGTAGTAGTTCAGGACCATTGATGCGTTTCGGATCGGGGTTCAGAATCGAAAGCTGGTGGTCCAGTTCATAGAGCATTTCGCAAGCTTCCTAAATAGGAAATAGAGCTAATTCAGCGTCGACCAAAGAATTCTGGTTCAGACCAGAAAGTGTTGCAACCAGACAACTTAATAGGATAATAGAAGTGAGCCGACGACTTCAACGAAGTAGAAATAGATATTTTGAAATTCAACTGTTGATTTCCTGAGGTAAGAGGGAAGGACCTCAAAGATGTACGAGAGTGATGAGAAACTGCTGTGCAGTGATTGGTCGAGAAACAGACTGTCTACAAACCGCCCCTTCTCACAGTGGGTGATGCACGTGACGGCAAGTTCCCTACGAGTAAGTGAGGCGCGTAGCCAGTGAGGAAGTAGGAGGTGCGTGGGATTATTCGTGTGTAAACGGGAGACTCGGCTTTTGAGAAAATGTTCAAAAAGGTGGATCGTGAAGTTACAATACGCCAAGTTGTTAGGCGCAGCGTTGGATTTCTCGACCAAACCCAGCTTTGTAACATAGGAATACGATCATTAGATAAAGAAATATTACCTGACCCTTGTGGTGCACAATACTGTTCTACTTCGACTTCCACCGAAGGTTTCCACACGTCTTGCGCCACGTCCTACTGCCTCGAAGGGTGGGAGGTTGAGGAATCTAATCAGATTTTGCTCGTCGTCCGAGCCTAGCGAGCGAACGCCATGGGTGGGGGCAGGGCAGGGAGACAGATGAAGTGAGACGCAGATTCCTTCTAACGGAAATGTGGTATTATTGAACAACGTTGCAGGAGACGGGAAGACAATAGGAGGGAGACGTGTCTGGTCTTGTTAGAGGTACTGATAGATACCATATTGCGCAAAACATTTCATAGCTCTTTCTACTAGGAGTTACTTTGATTGTCCGGAGTGTACCGCTGGCTCGAATTTGGCACAAAAGCCCATGGTGTGCTAAAAGGGACGGGAGCGAAGAGAGGAGGGGCAGACATGTGCTCGTCGTATACCAGCATACCAGACACATCCATGCCAGAGCAAAGGTGGTGTTGGTATTAGTGGGTATGCCCTAATAGGCATTCGTAAGTGTAACAAAAAGGTGTGCCGTTCAAAGGCAACGGATGGTTGCGTCATGATTGATCCGATTTGGCTTGCTGTCCCATTTCCGGCTCTGACATGGGTGGGTTGTTGCCTATCCCACGGCACCCACGAGGTCCATTCTCTGTGTCAAAGGCTCATACGTTATGAGCATAATTGTTATTAATGTTATTGAATTTTGCGTAAAAGTTATAGGGTGAGGCACAACTCACAGGTTCGAGATCAGAGCCAGAAGGCCGTCCGATGGTCGGAGGTGCTACCACTCGCAGTTAGTGCCCCCCTTGCTTATATAAGGCGGATCTGATAACCTAAAATGACCCCCCCAGTAATTGATCGCTGACTGTCCCAAACTACGAGGCATCGTTGATCAACAGTTACCTCGTAATAACCGTTAAACCAAACAACCAGGAGAGTCGTCGAGCCACGAGAGCATCTCTGAAGTTCAATAATGTAACAACACAGCTTCTGTACGGGTAGGTAGCAAACTTATTTGTGATCCATCGCGCGCGGCTGGTGGCATCTTTATCCGCTTTCACGCGCTACTTTGCCGAGGACCATGATCATTTAGGGGGAATTTCATCATCACCACCCGTCTGGCACACTGACCATCATTGTGTCTCATCATGCCAAGATAGTCCACATCGTGGGAAGACCCTCCATTCGTACTTTCCCCTTGTGCTCCCTCGCGATCATTTATCATCTCTAAATCGTTCTCGTCGTCTTCTTCTCCGGCTCCTCATGTTGTCCAACGGTCTCATTATTCCTATCGCTTCTTAATTCGCCATCCGGAAGGAGCCCATCGGCGCGTGATTGAAGCCATGGAATCGTCTCCCATTCCCCCGGCTATTCCCCCAGCCAGCGCCACAATGGAGGAATATCATACCCAGGATTCTTACCCGCCTCACGACAATCGCGTTTCTGATGAATTTGAAGATGCATCATTACTTCGAGGCACACAGGTAGATCTTACGTCCTTGGCGACAGCGGCGCCACATCATCGCTGGTCCACGGATCTTGCTGCGGTGCGCCAAAGTGTGATACGCCAGGTCTTGGGACTCAACCCATTCAGGACCTCATATTTTGCTCTCTACCGTCCTCTAGATGATTGGCAATCCCGATTCATTCTGGTCTCCGGATTTCTCCTTTCTATTGCCGCTGGTTTTCCTCTTCCCGTGATTGGGGTCATAATGGGGAAGATCATCAACAATTTCCCCCCCAACGAGGAAGACCTCAAAATTAGACTGTATCAACTTATGGGAACTGCAGTCGGATACTTCTTCGTTACCTGGGGTTGGTCCGTTTGCTGGGGCATCGTCGGAGAGCGAGTATCGCGTAAGACTAGAGAGCAATTGGTCGAACGTGCCTTGGGCATGGATATGTCCTATTTCGATACTGTCGCACCTGACATGACCAGTATCCTCACGGAGAAGACTCAAACGATCCAATTGGGAACTTCAGAGAAGGTTGGACTGTTCATCACCTCTATAAGCTACTTTCTCTCTGCTTTCGCCGTTGGCTTCATGCTCAATCCCAGGCTGACAGTTGTGATGTTCGTTACTGTCATTCCATCGATGACTGCAATTGTTTATTTCGGCACATCCATTGTATCACGTTTATCCAAATCAGCTGCTTCGTTCACTGAGCGGGCCACTGCCGTTGCTGAGAGCGCAATCCGCGCTATCCAGGTAGTTCAGGCTTTTGGCGTCTCTGAGAGACTAGCTCAGGACCACGTGAAGCTTCTGCAATCCGCGTTACGCGCCGGAATCAGAAAGTCGATTGTGGGTGCACTCAGTCTAGGCAGCGTGTGGTTTGTTGCCTACTCTACCAATGCATTGGCTTTCTGGTATGGAAACCAGCTACGTCTAAGTTCGGGCAATCACAACGGAGAAGCAGGTACTGTTTACGCCGTGGTGTTCCTCATCCTAGATGCCTCATTTGTCTTGGGCCAAATTGGCCCGTTCATTCAGACATTTGCCTCCGCGGCGGCAGCAGGACAAGCAGTGTTTGCAGTTCTGGATTATCCACAACCAGACATTGATGTCTATTCTTCCGAAGGGAAGATGGTTGATAAAGCAGCCTTCGGAAATAGACTAACTCTTCGAAATGTCTCTTTTGTGTACCCTGCCCGACCCACGGCAAGGGTGCTTCAAGGCGTAAACATACAATTTGAGGCGGGCAAAGTCACAGGCGTAGTTGGACCATCCGGATCGGGCAAGTCGACAGTCATATCCCTAATGCTTCGCCTCTACGACCCAGTCACCGGCCAGGTCATGCTCGGCGAAGAGGACCTAAAGCATCTCAACGTAGCCAGCCTTCGTTCTCACATCGCCCTCGTAACGCAATACCCCACACTATTTACTGGAACTATCCTGGAGAATATTAAGCATGGCATTCCCGATCATGAACAACTCACGGAAGAAGAATTACTACACAGATGCGCATCTGCAGCCACCGAGGCGCACTGTGACTTCCTCGCGTATTTACCTGATGGTATCAATACTCGAATTGGAACCGGTCATCATTCTCAGTTGTCTGGAGGTCAAAAGCAGCGTATTACACTCGCTCGAGCATTGGCTGGCAACCCATCATTGCTCCTTCTTGATGAGTTTACCAGTGCTATGGATGCAACTAGCGAGGCAGCAGTGCTAGAGAACCTAAAGCGCAGCTCGGCTGTATCTGGCAGAACTACTATCATTATAGCTCACAGATTGGCAACAGTCAAGGATGCCGATCGTATCCTCGTTTTGAAAGAAGGTACAGTTATTGAAGATGGTAGCCATCAGTCGCTAGTCCGACAGAATGGGACCTACGCAGAACTCATCAAAGCTCAACAATTCGATAAGAAGAGCTTATCATCTACTAATTCATCTGTCATCTCAAGCAGGGACTCAGTAAAGCACGAAGAGACCTTCTCTACAAGAGAAGATACTCACAGCGATGGTGACAGTGTCAGAGCATCAACTACAAATCAAAAGCCCCAGAAAAGCGTGCTTGAGCTGATCTCCCGGTGTCTTAGGCTGAACCGCAAAGAGACCCCTGCGATTGGGATCGGTCTTCTTGCTTCCATTGTGAGCGGCTCCACAATAATAGGAGAAGCCATAACATTCGGAAACCTGGTCGAGTTGTTAAACGACCAATCAGGTTCCTCCATCCTAGAATCCAAAGTGTCTAAATTCTGCTTGATGTTTTTTATACTCGGCATCATCACACTCGTTTCCCATACCTGCAGCGGGACTGCATTTGGCATAGTGTCAGAGAACTTGATCGTCCGTGTCCGAGATGTGTCGTTCCGCACGATTCTAATGCAGGATATTGCATGGTTCTCGCAGCCTGGCCATTCACATCACAGTCTTATGTCAAGACTCAACTCGGTAAGCCCTAGAGGTCATGTGTCCGAGCGAATCGAGACTAATATACCATACCATAGGAGAGTGGACATATCAGTGGTCTCTCTGGCGTCATTCTCGGGACATTCTTCTCTATCGCAACTTCTGTAGTTGGGGGTATTATCTTAGCCCATGTTGTAGCATGGAGAATTGCTATTGTCTTGCTGGCAGCAGTGCCCATCATGATCATGGCAGGCTTCACAAGACTTAAGATCCTCGCTGTCTCTGAGCAGCGACGTCAAGGCGCGTACAACGAAGCTGCCGCACTAGCTTCCGAGGCCTGCACCGCAATCCAAACGGTAGCGTCTCTAGGGCGGGAGAGAGACCTACTTCGCATGTACCAAGAGGCACTTCGGAAGCCCTACGAAGAGAGCATGAAGTTCACCACCTGGGGTAGCAGCCTTCTCGCCTTCTCGTTGTCCATTACATATTTCGTTTATGCGCTTGCATACTGGTGGTGCGTAACCCTTATCGTCCAACCTATCTGTGATGACATGTGTGGTATTCTGACAATGTAACAGGGGTTCCAAGCAGGTTCGTAATGGGAATTACGGCCAACGGGCGTTCTTTACAGTTCTCCCTGCCCTCCTCTTCTCCGCCCAAGCCGCTGGCCAGATGTTCAGCCTAGCACCCGAGATAACGCGAGCGCAAACGGCGGCACAGAGTATTTTCGCCCTCCACGACGAGAAACCTACCATCATAAACGATTATTCCGACGTAAAACCCGGTGGTAATCAAGGCTCCAACAACGGAGATTCAACAACAACAACCGTCCGTGGGGGTGGTTCAAGGTCCCAAGCGACATTACCAAGGAGAGGAGAATTAGAGTTTCGGAATGTCAGTTTGAAGTATGAGTCCAGGCCAGATGTATTTGCATTGGATGGCGTTTCCTTTTCGGTCAAGGCAGGCGAGTTCGTGGCCTTCGTCGGTAGAAGCGGTGCAGGGAAGTCGAGTACCATGCACCTCATCGAAAGATTCTACGACCCTACCAGCGGGTCCGTCTTGCTGGACGGCCGTGATATTCGCGGGGACTTTGTACAGGACCATCGAGCGAAGCTGGGTCTGGTCGAGCAGGAGCCTGATCTTTTCCCTGGTTCGGTCAGGTTCAATATTGGTCTAGGGGCAAGACCGGGAATCGAGGCAACGGAAGAGGAGATTGTGGCCGTGGCCAAAAAGTGCGGCCTGCATGAGTTCATTCTCAGTCTTCCCGAAGGCTACGACACGGAAATCGGTTCCCATGGTTCCAAGGTGTCTGGAGGTCAGCGGCAACGGCTTACAATTGCGAGGGCTCTGATTCGCGACCCCGAGGTACTTCTCCTGGACGAAGCCACCAGTCAGCTGGATGCAACGACAGAACAGGCAATCCGGAATGCAATATCTGCGGCATCTTCTGGCCGGACCACCATCATGATCGCACATCGCCTAGCAAGCGTCCAGCACGCCGACCGCATCTTCGTATTCGAGCGAGGGAGGATTGTAGAACAAGGGAAACATGAAGAGCTGGTGGCTTCCGGTGGTATATACGCTGCTATGGTGGCAGCACAAGAGTTGGAATAGAACTGCATCTAGAATCCCCTTCCCGCGTAGACGTCATCGCCTTACCCCGTATTTTTCTCCGTGTAACACCTGTAGGCATATTGTATTCTTATATACCCTTTAGAGAGCGATAGATAGCATCTCACAGTTACGGACCGGTCCCAGTGGACTTGCAACCCTCTCGCATGGAATCCTCAAGGGTCCTTCACACCCTCCTGCGTCTATTTCGCCACTGTTGCTGGCAGTAGTGAACTTCAATCCCTTCACCCTCCCTCGGCCTGGTGGATGTCTTGCATCTGAAATCCCAACATGCTTGGACAGCATGCATACACAGTACACACACCCTGAGAGATTAGCAAGAAACAGCGAAAACCATCTACTTCCACAACATCTAGCCCAAACCTTATTATTCCTCCGTCGGCGGCGCGGCGCCTGGGGGAAAAGGAATATCTCGGGTGTGCCGTGCCCCCTCCCAATACTTCCCCTAACCTCTGCCGAGCCGAACGGGTAGGTGTAACCACGTAGCCATCCATGTACAATATGTACACAGGTTCTGCAAAGCGAGATGTGCAGATCCGTTTACGAACGAACCACTGTCCATGTGGCTCACGCCATGCAAAAGCTAGAGGAACTCTGCTTGACGCCGTTCGAAGCCTCCAAGTGAGAATTCTCCTTCCGCAAGAGGAAGGCGAGGTGTGTGTGTTGGACAGGGGAAGGGGGATATAGAGTAGGTCCTCGGTAGATGGATGGCTGCTGGCTGCGTTTGATAGAAACGATATCCATGTCCCATAGCTAGAGGCCAGAACCTTTTTCCTCGTGTCTTATTCTTGCATCCGGGTTTTCGATCGAACCGTTATTATTGATGCTGTGACATTCGAGTGCTGCAAGAGAAGCAGGGGAAGGGGTGCGAGGGCATATTCCGCGTTTACCATGTGAGCGAGTGAGTTTGTGACGATGGTATGCCCATGCCTGCCCACCCACTCGAGGTGCCTCGTGCGTCATCTCCCGCATATCGAAGGGGCTTAGGCTGAGGGTCTACATAAAGAACGAACAACGGCCGGGGCATAAAAAACACAATCGAAGATCGGTAAAGCAAGCCCTTTACTGCTAACAGCAACTTGGCCGACGCGGCCCTGCATTCGCATGGGGGTTGGAGGTGGAGGGCGGACATGGGCACTGGTGATGCTAGGAAGGGGAGGACGAATCAGATCTCCGCGCGGCCCGAAACTCGGAGCAAATTTTGATTGATTAGATTGATGGATTTGATAAGATTGATAAAAAGAAATGGGGACATGGCATGCCTGGCTTCATGGCTAAAAGGTCGCCTTACTTGTTGCGTACAGTTAGAAGCTAATTATTCGGCTTCCCATCTTGCCCTGCTCATCTTTTAACTACGTAGTTGTTCTTGACTTTGTGTGGTACGCAACTGGTTGGTTGTTGGCACTCCCTCCTACAAAAGTAATACTTGCCTAGTGTCCACCTGAGTGTCAAGTCCAGGGCAAAACCGCTTCCTCCCTCCCTCCAAGTCCCCATCAAACGCACCATCGTAAGCGCATCCCGCGCTGCATTACAACATAAAATGTACCTAAACACGAAGCCTTTTTGCGGGGCTCTTGAAAAATTTTCACGCTCCTCTGCTGCGGGTCTTAACCACTCTGGGCTCGACACAGCGAGCCTCCCATGACGCTTTTTGTTATCAGATCCGAAGATAATCTTGCCAACCCTTGATCGTGCTGGCTCCAGGCCATCCCGCCTGCTAAGAGGACGGCCCGTCATGGAGGCTTCACCTTGCTGGGGACGATGATCGAACCACCTCTACCCTGAGGCAGTTAGCACCGGGGCAGCTATGATGAGATTTTTCTTCCTCTCATGCTGCGAAGGCGCAAGTACCGTACATAGTCGGTGTCTTGACCAATGTGGGACACATGTAGTTTAGCCACAGATGTCAGGGTCTTCTGATGCCATCTAGTTGATATAATGAGCGGGCGGCAGCATCATTCCCGCAATTCATGATATTGTTTTTTTCGCCGCCCACTCCTATACCATAAACCTTCTCTCCGCAGTGGTTACTGTCTGTCCGTGAAGAAACGCCTAGTATTTTCAACAAAATATAGGGTAAGCATATTTCTCACCAACCCCACGGAAATGCTCGATCCAATCCCAAGTCGCGCGGCCTAGGGTGTGGATGATGACGCACATCATTCACACCTGTGAATTCGCCCAAATCTAATGATAGCCACTGACGAGCGCATTTCATAGCCCAGCCTATCCTCGTACTTCAGCGGACGAGCACCCGGACCTTTCCACATCTCCGATTACAATCCGCCTTGTCCTTTCCCGTCACGCAATAGTTTGGTCGTCCTGCCTACTTCGCGAGAGTACTTGGAGTACCACTTTCGGCATAGCGGCACCAGTAGTGAGCAAACAGCGAGCCAGTTAATTCTGATTACGCGGTTTCCAACGTCGATAAATTCAGGACCATTTTTCGAGGAATTCCCATCTTCCCACTCCAAAAATCATGGCTCCTCACGCTGAAATTCCCATGTCTGAGAACGAGCAGTCTCCAGCTGTCCAGCAAAGTTTCAACGGTTTCAATGCCGATAGTTTGGCCCAGCATCAACTACCAGAACTTGAGAATGAGAACCGATCACATCTGCGATATACCCCCACCGATGAGTTGCATGACTTAGTATGCGTGGGCTTTGGCCCTGCATCTCTCGTCATTGCTGTGGCTCTGCATGATGCTTTGGAGGGAAATGACCCCACTCTCGATATCCCCATCTTGCAAAACAGAAAACCAAAGGTCGCTTTCCTCGAGCGACAAAGCAAGTTCGCATGGCACGCAGGAATGTTGCTTCCTGGTGCTAAGATGCAGATCTCTTTCATGAAGGACATGGCGACCATGCGGAACCCAAGAAGTGAATTCACTTTCATCAACTATCTCTTTCAGAAAGACAGGCTGGTCGAGTTCACAAACTTGAACACATTCTTGCCGGCAAGAATCGAGTATGAGGACTATATGCGCTGGTGTGCTGGTTGGTTCGACGAGGTTGTGCAGTACGATCAAGAGGTCGTCAAGGTCATGCCGGAGAAATCTGCCAGTGGTGAAGTCACTTCGTTCGTTGTTTCGTCTCGGAACAGGCAGACCGGAAACATTGAATCTCGACGTACTAGGCATGTTGTTATCGCCGGAGGCGGTCGTGCAAACATGCCTAAGCCGTTCCCCAGCAACCACCCAAAGATCATCCATTCATCTCAGTTCGCCAACATAGCGCCTAAGCTGCTCAATGATCCCCAATACCCATACCGAGTTGCCGTTATTGGAAACGGACAGAGTGCGGCCGAGATCTTCGACTATTTGCACTCGAACTACCCCAACTCGCGAACACGCCTGTTGATCAAGCAAGGCGCACTTCGTCCCAGTGATGATTCACCTTTGTAAGGAACACCGGTCGTCCCCAATCAGAGCATTTACTAACAGTTCCAAACAGCGTGAATGAGATCTTTAACCCCGAAAGAGTTGACTGCACATACGCTCGTGAGCCAGGCCTACGAGCGGTTTCCCTTAGGGAAGACAAGGCCACCAACTATGGTGTTGTCCGCCTAGGATTGCTAGAGCGCCTCTACGAGACACTCTACACCCAACGCATTCAATTTGGTAACGGTAAAGCAGAAGAGCAATGGCCTCACAGGATCATGCCCTACCGTCTGGTGACAGACGTCCAGGCCTCTCCAGTAATCAAGGACGGAGTCCGTCTTGAGATTCGTGACCAGAGCCCACTCTACTTTTCCAACATTCCCAACGACCGCGAGAGAACCGAAATTGAGGACTTCGATGCAGTGTTTGTCGCTACCGGATACCAGCGCGATCTCCATGAGACGCTCCTTAAGGATGCTCGACACCTTCTACCAGGCGGAGAACTTGCTGATACGAAGTGGAGTGTCCAGCGCGATTACCGCGTCAACTTCGTAGAGAAGAAGGTCAGTGAAGATGCCGGAATTTGGCTGCAGGGTTGCAATGAGAAAACACATGGCGTAAGTGAATCAATCCCTTCTCGGGCGGTCGCCACATACTGATACAGTTGCTTTAGTTGAGCGACACGCTTTTGTCTGTCTTGGCATCCAGGGGAGGAGAGATCGTTAAGTCCATCTTTGAGAAAGGTTCAAAGTGGGAGGCCACCAACGGAATCAGCTACGAAGAACTTCGTGGTTAGATGCCTGATGAGGATTGATGGAGGATTGAAAGCAGTTTGTGCGCTTGATGCGTCAGCCGCACAACGTCTCGTATTTGTTGCCCATACCTTGAAGGTGTGGCTGGGGTGGCGGGGCGAATTGATAATGCATTTCCAGTAAGGGGGACAGCCTCTCGGCATAAGAGCCGTGTCAGTAGACATTTTGCCTTCTCTTTGGTACATACTCCATCCGTAATACTTAAGAATTGTTCCATTAATGAGTGCCATGCCGGTGACCTTGTTTAGGTAGGATGTTTCATCAACAGAAGAGCAGACAAAGCCGAACTCGAAGCAGCCATGTAACATTAGGTTTTCATTCTTGAGTGAGCGACATTCCTTTCTTTGGGTGCAGGATTGGTTGACTAGCCGGTTGGGCCTCGAGTGGGCTGAAACACTTGCCTATGCGAGCACAGCGCGACAGCGGGTGGTTTCATAAGACAATATTTAAAGCCGGAAATGGGCACCGTGAATTGACTCGCTCCAGCACAGACGCGGTGATTACCAGCAAGACAGTATGTACTCCGTACGAGTGTCACATGTACAAACTGCACAATGGATGTACGTACGCCGCACTTAGTACTCGATGTTGCCGCCCATATTTGTTTGGCATCATTGGGGGAAATTAAGGCAGCACGATGGCACTGCGTACGAAGTGCCTGATTGATCGCTGTGGTACAGGCACTTGATGGGGATTTTCAGACCAACGACGCCCAATGGCGCAAGATTGGGCTTGCGCTCGTGTGTGATTAGTCCGTGTTCCTTTCCCCAGGTTCTCTGCTAGTTACCTAGGAGTGCTAGGTAGCAGGCCGAGAGCAGAGGATGGAGCGAGCAACAATAGAATCGATACTATTGCCCTGAACCAGACATATCCCCTGGTGGAATGGTATGATTCAACTGCCTTGACATCAAGATTCCTAATAGTTGGACTCTACTTCGTCTCTGGTAGATCCGAATGTGCGCGCTTAGAGATACGTGTCATTCGGTGACAGTTGTTGCTGCTACAGCAGTGCTGTCCTTCGAATTGCTGTTGGTAACTTGATAATTCAATTGGAAATGATAAAAAGGGAATAAATGACAGTCATTGGTAGCCTTATTCTAACTGGTCCTCCCGATGCTGGGATGCTGGAATGCTGGTTGACGGATGATGGATGGTGGTGTTGGACCTGGATTTGGACATCCTCTGCCAACAATTCTAGTAGAGGACTGCCAAGCCATGCGCGCTCCCTCATCCAGGCCGATATCCTTCATGTTGTGACAATTTTCCTTACTCTACAACCTCACCTCACCTCCTCCCCTAGCGGCCAGCACCGCTGTTCATTGCTGCCGCGTAGCTGGCTTCGACGTCTGCTACTGTCGCCAGCACCTTACACCCCCTTCGACCTCATCGTCCGCCGTCGTTGTCGCCGTCGCAGCCTCGTATATGAGGTCAGCCCCTCTCCACGCACGCACGCACGCACGCATTACCCTAAACTCCCGACCACATTCGTCGATCTCGAAAGCACACTCACACAACGCTTGTCCGTAGTTATCGTCGCGACGTATCCTTCTCGTTCCCATCCTTCCTAGTCTCAGGCTCACAGCGTGCCTCGAACTCGAACTCGCCCTCGTCAACACCAGCAGCAAGCGGCGCAATCTCGGAATGCCCACCGCGTATTGACCTGACCAACCGACCAGCTGAACAGGCTGCGTACCTATATCGCTCTCTTTTGCTTCAACGATACACTCTTCCTACGCTCTCTCCCGCGCTATGGAACAGCAGTGGTCTAACTACAACGAATCACCGGCCCCGAACCGCCAATCACGGTACACTCCGCAACAAATGACCACCCCCCAACACCCGCAGAGGGACCCAACCCTCCCCCAGCAAAACAAGCAAGACCCGTATGCGACACCTTCAGTGCCATCCAGATCAGGATCAATGGCCCTCGCATCCCCTGCTGGTTCGCAGAGTCGGGGACCCGAATTTAACGATGTTGACGGTGACGTACCCATGGAAGACGCCGATCCTTTCAACAAGCCCAAATATAGCGCATCCCGCGCAAACCACCAACATCGGCATTCGCAGCAATTATTGCAGCAGGAAGAGAGCGCAGCTGCGCGAAGGTATTCGCCCATGAATTTGTCGCCGACGTCACCATACAGTGGAAGTACCCAACAAGGTGGGCAAAGCTACACAAGCTTCAATCCCCAAACCCAGAGCAACAGGCAGAGCCCCTCCAAGAATAACCCATACATGTCACCGCCAAATAGTTATTATTCGCCTCCCGGTAAGCCAAACCCAATTTTGTTGTGATCCACGGTTAGCGCCGTATTTCTAACATGATTCTTCTTCAGCTTCGCGACCCCACGCACCTCAGCTTCCCCCTCTCCAATCGACTATGAGCCCGGAGACTTTCTACCCGCAGAGCGCAACTGCACAGCTCAATGCCGTTTATAATCGAGAGGCCAGATCCCCTCGAGCCCCAAATCCAAATCCCCCTCAATTGCCTTTAATTGGGCGCGGATTGGTGCCCAAATTTGAGAAATGCACCAACACTGCAGATTTGGTGCCCAAGATCAATCTCCAGCCACCGTTCCGCCGTGCTGCCCCCGATGGTGGATTCATAAGTGTGAGTTTCTACAGGATTGTATTAACACAATTGAATGAACTCTAATTCTCAAGCATAGCCGCTTCAAGCGCTAACGACACACTTGCCTTCCACGTACAGGATATGCAACCCGAGCTTCAAATATGAGTCCACTCGAAATCCACGCCGAGTCCTTACAAAGCCAAGCAAGGGTGTCAAGAACGACGGGTACGACAACGAAGACAGCGATTACATCTTATACGTGAACGACATCTTGGGGTCTGAGGAGTCGGGACACAAGAACCGGTATTTGATTTTGGACGTTCTTGGTCAAGGTACCTTTGGACAGGTTGTCAAGTGTCAAAACTTGAAAACGCAAGAAGTCGTCGCTGTGAAGGTCATCAAGAACAGGACTGCATACTTCAACCAAAGTATGATGGAGGTTTCGGTTCTGGATTTGGTGCGTTTTGCCTCCCTTGTTGCAAGACGTCTCTAATTTATTCCACAGTTGAACAAGCAAATGGACAAGAACGACGATCACCATTTGTTAAGACTCAAGGATACATTCATCCACAGGCAGCATCTCTGCCTAGTGTTCGAGCTTCTTAGCGTGAACTTGTACGAACTTATCAAGCAGAACCAGTTCCGAGGGCTGTCAACAACGTTAGTTCGAGTCTTTGCACAGCAGTTGATCAATGGGCTTGCACTGTTAGGCAAGGCAAAATTGATACATTGCGATCTCAAGCCTGAGAACATTCTCCTCAAGAAGTAAGATACAATGCATGGCATCTTCAATTCCAGTCACTGATTCAGGAACAGCTTAGAGAGTCCGATTATCAAGATCATCGATTTTGGTTCAGCATGTGACGAACGCCAGACCGTTTACACGTATATCCAATCCAGATTCTACCGGTCGCCCGAGGTCTTATTGGGACTTCCGTATGTCAACATTATATTCCAACATCTGAGGGTTTAGCTGACGTGATGTAGTTATTCTGCGGCAATCGACATGTGGTCACTAGGCTGCATTGTTGTCGAATTATTCTTAGGACTACCCTTGTTCCCCGGTTCGTCCGAATATAACCAGGTTTCCAGAATCACCGAAATGCTCGGTCTTCCACCATCGTGGATGCTGGAAATGGGAAAGCAGTCTGGAGAGTTTTTCAACAAGGATGCTGATGAATACGGCCGACGGACCTACCGGTTGAAGAGCATGGAACAGTACTCGCGTGAGCATGGAACGAAGGAGCAACCGAGCAAGAAGTATTTCTCCGCAACGACGCTGCCTGATATCATCAAGAATTATCCCATGCCGAGGAAGAACATGAAACCGGCAGAGATCGAACGAGGTAAGTCAAAAGCCGAAAGACAGGAAGACTGTCACTAATGTCAAATAGAAATGGCCAATCGGACATCCTTTATCGATTTTGCCCAAGGTCTGTTGAACCTGAATCCGCTAGAACGATGGACGCCCAGCCAAGCAAAGATGCATCCCTTTATCACCCAACAAAAGTACACTGGTCCTTTCGTGCCCCCCATGACCATGCGCTCCGGTTCCAACAGATCTCCTGCGCCCGGTGTACAAGAACAGCAGCGCTTCGAGGGAATGAGCAAGCAGCGCGCACAAGCGCAACAACAAGCCGTTGCCCAGCAACAAGCACAGGTGCAAGCTCAGAATGCTGCTTATGCGAATATGCAAATGAACCCATATGCAGCTTCTCAAGGTCAGCATGCTCAAACGCCAAACATGTACAACAACATGTACAGTCCGAATCACCAAGGTGCCCCTCCACCGTATCCAGCACAGCCGGGCTACGGTCAGCAGATGAACATGATGCAGCAACAACAAGGACGCCAATACAATCAACCTCAGAACCTGTATGCTCAAGCTACTACCCGTGCAGGGCGACAGCGAGCATCCACCATGGATCAACAACCATCGGGTATTCCCCCCGCATTGCAGAGAGTAATCAGTCACCTGGACCCGAACGCTCCGATTCGATTACAGCCTTCTCCTGCATACTACCCCCCACCTCCTGACGGCGCGCCAGAGAGTGCAAATGCAAGGCGGCGAGGATCCAGGGCTGGCAACCAGCAAGGTAGAGGTCAGCGAGACTTCATCAGGACCCTTGAAGATCGAACGCTCGAGGAAGGGTTTATGAACCAGTCCAACCATTGGCAATGAAGTGGTAGATTCTTTTTTGGATAATCTTCCCCATCAGCTGTCGGTGCTGAAAGCCATCGCACCGACCGCTTCAACGGCTGACATGCAACGGCCAATCCCCATCCCCCTTATTCCGGCGTCAATTACGGATTGATAGTTTCTTCCCGCATGCGTACAATGAATCATATCCAGGCTGCTGCTGGCCAGAAGGAAGGATGAACACAACCGGTATCAGATTGCATATTTTTTAATACCACCCCCAAGACGCTTAGCGAGAAGAGTCGGAGACATGCAGTCTGTTGTTACATTATTGTTTCCGCAACAAAACGGCGACGATAGCTGGCTATGGTGCACAGAAGTAACGTGGCAGTAGCCCACCATGTTGAGAACAAGATTAAGTCAGCAGTACGCGCCGCGCGGTCAAATTGTATGCGCTGTAAGGTTGTTGGGTGGAGCACGCAACCGCACGCGGAGTGTAAGTATTCCACTGCGTGCGACGCAAAGGGAGGCAGCTTAGGGCTCTGTTCAATGATCGCGGGGTGGCTTGTAACTTTATAGCATTCGTATAAATCTTTTCCAATCGCGTCTGCGGCGACAGACGACGGCCTAGATGTTGCTCATGCCAAGTTGTGATACGAAGCTATCTCACTCGAATGTCGATGAGTCATGGACTCTCACATGAATGACCATGTAGGACAGGACGAGAAAGGTAATTGGCATTTTTCTGCCTGACGAGATGCGTCACACCAACCCAAAGGATTTGGGAGAATACTTGTAGTATTCAACGATTAGGAAAACAACTTAGTTGAATCGAAGTAACATAGATTGTAACCCGCAGCCTTGGTAGATACATAAATTCCAAATGAACGCCCTGTCGCGACAATTGGGTGCTGAATTCCTGGTATGATAGGTCGGGTAGTAGTGAAAGGCTACTGCACGTGACCAAAGAGCAACATATGTGGGTCCACGTGCCTCGCATCCCACTTTCAACGCCAAGGCCAAAATTCCCAATACCACAAAGGCGAGTCGCGCCCCACGGTACTTTTCGCTTTTGCAGGAAACTTACAAAAGCCCTCCCACCCTCACAAACCCCCCAGCGTTAATCGCCCCAGAGGTCGCCCCGCCCGCGAGACAGTATCTAATTTTTCGTTGCCAGTCCCGGCCGTACGTTACGAAAAATCGCCCAAGATGTCCCGCTTTTTCACCGCCAGCGACAGCTCCAGCGAGGAGTCCTCGGAGGAGGAGCTTTACAGCGAGGAGGAGGAATCCCAGGAGGAGGAATCCGAAGAGGAGTCTGAGGAGGACTCGGATGACGACGACTCTGACTCGTCTGGCTCTGAGACCGGTGCAAATCGTTTCTTGAGGGATGCCAGCGAGAGCGAGGAGAGTGATGACGAGGACCGGGTGAAGAGCTTGAAGAGCGCAAAGGACAAGCGATTCGAAGAGTTGAACAACACAATCGGCGCTATGAACAACGTGTTGAAGATTAACGACTGGGCCGCCGTTTCAACTGGTGAGTTTACACCATGGAAATCTTGGAGATCGGGCAGTGGGGAGTGGGGTCGCGGAGCGAGGCTAACAGAACGCAGAGTACGACAAGTTGCAGCGTCTTATCCCCAACTTGATCAAGCAGAACGATGGAAAGGTGCCAAAGCCGTACATCAAGGCTGTCGCTGATCTTGAGGGTACCGTTACCGAGACCATCGAGAAGCAGAAGGTCACCCCGAAGAAGATGAACGCCATCAACACCCGAGGTCTGAATGCCGTTCGCCAGAAGATCCGGAAGAACAACAAGGACTATGCCAAGGACATCGATGCGTACAAGGCCGATGAGGACGCATTCATGGTCGAGGAAGTTGAGGACAAGCCCGCGGTTAAGAAGCCCAAGAAGTCCGACACTAGCATCCCAATCAACGCTGTCCAGGCGGATGATGAGGGTGATTTCATTGAGGTCCGTTCCGGAAGGGCTGTTCAGTATACTCCTGAGAGCATTCTCAAGCATCTTCGATCAATCGTCGAACAGAGAGGACGTAAAAACGCCGACAGAACGGAGCACATCCGAACACTTGAGAAACTCTTCGAGGTTGCCATAAACGACTACCAAAAGGTCCGAGTTCTCCTTACGGTCATCTCGACACGATTCGACTTGACTTCTGGTACCGGATCCCAGATGGCTCAGGAACAGTGGAAGCTGTAAGTAGATCTATCTCTTTGCTTAGACCCAGCATGGTAATTAACACATCATCACAGTGCGGCCTCGGAATTCGAGAAGCTCCTTCAGCTGCTAGAGAACTCCAAGGAGATTGTCGTTGTTGACAATGCCGAGGAGTGGGAGGATGACGAGAAGCTCCCCACCATCACACCCGGCGAGACCTTCCGCGTCCCTGGCAGCATCGTATCATACGTCGAAAGACTTGACGACGAACTTACTCGATCCCTACAACACATTGATCCTCACACTGCCGAGTACGTCGAGCGGTTGACAGACGAGGGCTACCTTTACACCATTTTGGTGCGCACATTGGCGTACGCAGAGACTCTCAAGAAGAATGAGAAGCTTGAGTACTCGCAAGATTCCCTCAACCGGATCGTGATGCGACGATTGGAGCACGTCTACTTCAAGGTATGAATTGACGCACCAACAAGAACCAGCCTGTTCAATGCTAACTGTAATAGCCATCCCAAGTTGTGGAGATCCTTGAAGCCAACACATGGAAGGCCCTCCCAGCTAGCCTCAACTCCGATATCACCCCACGCTCCGAATCCACCGAGCCCACTTCCTTTGTCCAGACTCTCTGCACATATCTCTTCGGTCACAGCGAGGGCATCATCCGTGCACGAGCAATGCTGTGCCAGATCTACTTCCTCGCACTCCACGACCAGTACTACAAGGCTCGTGACATGATGCTCATGTCTCACTTGCAAGAGACCATCAGCAACTTCGACGTTAACACTCAGATCCTCTTCAACCGTGCTCTCGTCCAGGTTGGTCTCTGCGCTTTCCGCTCTGGTCTCGTCTACGAGGCCCAGACCTCGCTCCAGGAGATCTGTGGTAGCAACAGGCAGAAGGAACTCCTCGCCCAAGGTCTTCAGATGCAGCGATACTCCCAGATTTCGCCCGAGCAGGAACGCCTCGAGCGCCAGCGCCAGCTTCCCTTCCACATGCACATCAACCTCGAGCTTCTTGAGTGTGTCTACCTCACCTGCTCCATGCTTCTCGAGATCCCTCTCCTCGCCCAGATCGGCTCTTCTCCCGACATCCGGAAACGCGTCATCAGCAAGACCTACCGCCGTCTCTTAGAGTACCATGAGCGCCAGATCTTCACCGGACCCCCAGAGAACACTCGCGACCACGTGATGCAAGCCTCCAAGGCCCTCTCTGCGGGTGAGTGGAGGAAGTCGGCCGACTTCATTAACTCCATCAAGATCTGGGACCTGATGGTCGACTCTGCCAAGATCAAGGAGATGCTCTCCTCCCAGATCCAAGAAGAAGGTCTGCGAACCTACCTCTTCACCTACGCACCCTTCTATGACACCCTCGCCCTCGAGACGCTCGCCGACATGTTCGAGCTCCCCGTCCGCAAGGTGCAAGCCATCGTCAGCAAGATGATCTCGCACGAAGAGCTCGCCGCCGCCCTCGACCAAGTCAGGTCGGCCATCATCTTCCGCAAGGGCGTCGAGCTGTCTCGCCTGCAGAGTCTGGCACTCAGCCTCAGCGACAAGGCATCCGGCCTCATCGAGTCCAACGAGAAGACCCTCGAGCAGCGCACAGCAGGCACAAGCAACGCCTTCGAGCGACAAGGCCACCAAGGCGGCCGTGGCGGACGCGGAGGCAGGGGTCGTGGAGGCGGCGCCAGGGGCGGCGGCGGTCGTGGCGGAAGGAACCAGCAGTTCACCGGCGGTGCTCTCGGACGTGCTATCCAGGCTTAAGAGATCGGCTAGCATCTCTGACAGGAGTCTGTGTGTGGTTTTTCCCCCCCTTACAATTTTTCTTTCTGGCATTTTGGGGTTTTTTTCTCGAATCGAAATAGAGAAGAGATGAAAGACGATGATGATGAAACAAACTCCTCGTGTGTGTACATGCGTGTCTTAATCCCCATCACAGCGTCCCCGACAACGGGGCAGTTGTTTTCGTTCACGCTCACCTGGTCATCTTTGTTTTGTTTTTTCCTTTGTGTCTATTCCCAAGATGAGAATCATGTTAAGCAGGTACCTACCTAGCTTCGAATACGAAGCAGGCTGGACGGTAGTTGAGAAGGAAACGCAGGAGAGAAAGGGAGACTGTGTATGTATGGGAAATGACAACCGGGCAAAAGGAAAGTAAATGAAAGGGGGTGGCATCCATGAAAATGGGAAACAAGTGATGGATTGGAATTGGAATCGAGAGGAATATGAAATAAAAGATCTTTTTTTTACGTTACATATGCTGTTGATCGTGTCTTTCTCTACGTGGATATTTGTACGTTCTACAATGATACAATAACAAGTCTCGTCCAACGCCAGCGAACTGCCTAAGTATTGAACGCAGATAAATGACATGTAGAAGATACAATAGTTACAAAACATCCCACACTGTTCCAAGCCTTTCGTAGACGGTGGAAAGAAGAGGAAAATTAACTTAGAATTATCTACCTACACATCTCTCTACCTACATATCTCTCTACTTATATATCTCTCTACCTATATATCTCTCTACCTACCTATCTATCTACCTCTACACGTCTATCTACACATCTATCTATATATATATCTATATATGCACATAAATATACATACACATACTCCCCACCCAACCCCTACCCTACAACACGGACCACACAGTCCCCACTCCTCCATACACCTCTGACCCTGACCCATCTTAAAGGCAATCTGAATCCAATAAATGATCACTTTCCCTTACTCCATCTACCCTAGTCGAATGGGTAGTAAGTTCGATCGAGAAAGAAGTCTATAAAGTCGCATAGACACACTCCAACGCCGATTTTCTTTCAGTATCTAGTTCACATTGCCTCCCTCATTTTGGTCCTAACTAGCGAGCGAAAGGAAAGTAACGTACCCCAAACAGGGACGCAGAATTCACAATGCAAAGGAAAGACAAGGCGAAGGTAGTTTCAGAGATTATAAATTCATTTATTTGATATCGTATAATTGTACAGAAAGGTCAACCAGTATAACTGCCTGCCCAAGGAAGAAAAAAGGCTCCTCGAACCATTACTGACTAATTGTGACTGGAAAACAAAAGGTGGTATCGTTCAAATGCAAACTCATCGTTATCATGAATAATCCCAAACTCCCCGTGGAATTCTTGACGACTTCTTTTCCGTCCACGTGTTGGGCTTGCTTCGCCTCCCCGTAAACATTACTTCTCCTGACTCCTCTTATAATACTCCCCTACTTCGTGGGAGAAAGGTCAAAGTGAAGACACTTAGACCATCTGGTCAGGATGGGTGTGACCATGGCTATGACCATGAGTATGTCCGACATGGTGATCACCAACTGGCTTGCGGTTGACTGAGTGCTCGCCACCAACACCGACAACGCCGCCGTGGGTACCACGTCCGTTGGCAGCACCGTGAGTTGCAGCTCCAGTAACAGCGTTAGCGGCCTGCGCCATGGTGCCACGAGGGCCATCCGATGCGTCACCTGGGGCACCACCCCAAGCACTGCCGTCGTGAGTTCCCCAGCCGGCCTTGCGGGTGAAGAGAGCGTCATGGAAGCCGTCGAGGGTAGATGGGCCAGCACCGTAGACGAAGGGAGTGGTGCGGAGGAGGGGAATGTGGTTGACTGTTTGGTGGGTTAGCATTGTAGATGCAGTAGCAGGAATCCAGATCTACTTACATCGGAAATCCCAGACGCTGGCATAGACCATGCGATAGGAGCTGAAAGCCATGATGGAACCGATAGTGGCACCAGCGGCCAAGTCATACCAGTTGTGGTACTCGTCGATGGTCAACGCACCTGCAATGAGGCAGGCTCCAAGCAGAGGCGCGTAAAGGGCGGCCAGCTTCCACATAGCAGGGTGGTAGTTGCTGAAGACCTTGAGCTTAGCATTGAGGTACAGATACAGAAAGACGAATCCTGCAAAAGCAGCAGTGGTGTGACCAGAAGGCATAGACTCGAGGGCATCGTTGATCTCACTTTTGTCGCCGGTGCAGACGCTGCGGTCGAACATAATCTGGCGGTAGCCGTTGGCGACATTTCCACCAGTATTAACGTTGGCCCTGGACAAGTCTGGCTTGCAGACAGCGAGGAAGTGGGGTCGGAGACCTGATGTACATATTAGAACGACAGACTAATCAGTGAAGGTTATACGTTATATACATACCACCAATAAGCCACTTAATAAACACCTGGAAAACAGCAGCTGTGATGAGGGAGTAAAGTAGACCGATGGTGGCGTTGTTGATATCCCAGAAGCTGCGTGCTCGGATCTGCACGATCAAGAAGACGGCAAAGGGAACGAAGAACGCAATGAGAGCAGCAGCCCAGATGGGGACGATCTCGTTTCGCAGGGGGTATGCGAATTCAGGGTAGACAATTTCGCCATCCTGGAAGGTGATGGGGAAGCTTCTGCTGGGAGCAGGATCCGCCATGTAGACACCGAGACCAATGGCGCCCAAGATAGCCATGCTCACGATATCCAGAGCAGTGGCCTTGATCCATTGGCCAAAGGTTGGACGTGAGTTCCAAGCATTGCTACCATGATGGCCGTGGTGGTGTGCGGTCTTCTCGCCCCTGCGACTGAAGATACCAGGCTTGCGTTCGTGGGTGCCAGTGGCTGTGGCCGTGTTGGCATCGGCCGGGGCAGTACGCCTATTGAAGAACCCCATGTTGAAGATATCGATGTTAAGACTGTGTTGTTTGTTTGTGATTTGGTGAAGTGTCGGACTGTTTGTTATAGAAACAGTGACGCAGGTGAAGTGCACTTGTCAAGCTGATATAGGGGAGTTGCAACCAAATAAACAAACAAACACCAGGTGCAAAGGTGACGTAGCGGGACCTCACTCGCTAGAAATTTGAGGCTGGTTAGATACTGAATCGAAAGAGAGTATTATCCAGAGCCAGTGTTCACTCCCATATATACTGTGAGACACCAACACAGATCTTGATCCAGCGTCACACACATGAGTACAACTACATCATACCTCCCTGCGTGGTCCACTCAAACGTCAAGCCACAAACAGGCTGAAAACCTTGCATCGTCAAATTGGCTGGTGATCACAACACGTCTCAATGATGAGCACTGAAATGGGACGAAGATTATTGCCGTAATGAGTGAAACAAGAGCGGGTTGGAAAAGTTGGCACCAAAGCTTAAAAAGCTTGTGATGTGGCTCGACACTTGGCATGAATGAAACGGAGGATTTTGTGCGTCGCCTTCAAAGAAGTTGATCTATTTAGCACAATAAATTGTATAGAATTTGTGGGCTCAGACATCTGTTGATAGATAATTGCTATTCATGGCTGTTTGTTGACTGAAGGTAGCGTGTTTCATATGACGTCAGAATTTGTGTGATCGCAAACTTGCATCAATACGGCACTGGAATGCCGAAATGCCATACACGCGGTTCTAGATTACGGTTTTCCGCCAGTCATTATGACATCGAATTCTATCATGCTCGTTGGCCCAAGGACTAGGCATGGCACCTCTTAACCGCCTCGCCGTGCCGGCATCCGTGGCTCAGTCTGCCTTGGTGTTCTGCTCGTACTCTTGTAGGTTGATGCTGGTCTTCAGTATGCTGGTCTTCAGTATGAGCGCACAACTGCCATTCGCGTGTGTGTACCACCCCACGCACGCATCGCACTAAGCCGAGGTGCTGTGGCTGATGCGTGGGGAAGGATACCAGGAAACCCAACGTCTGGTTCCTCTCCGCTGGGGGTATTGGGTGTTGGTGTGTTGGTACGTATATTGATCCTCATGCGCCATTGTGACGCTTCAGTTCATCCATTCCCCACACCAGCCGCTCCGATAAAGGCAGGACTCCAGTACTCGTTCTCGCCAGCCTGAGTATCAACCCAAACCAATGAGTCCGTCATCAAGTCCTCGATCACTGCAACTGCTCTTGGCCTCTCCCAAGAAAGGTTGAGTTGAAGCATGGAGACGGTGACATAACCCAGCACTTGAATGGCTTCAAGGACTGTGCTCTGATCTGTGTTCAGATCCTTTGGCACGCTGCGTATCAAACTCCTGTGACCGAGCTTCATTATAGAGAAGCACGAGCCCAAGGGAGACAGAGATTCCACAGCCCGTGTGATATCGTCGTCGGAGACCTCCATACCACCACCGATGCCACGACCCCGCTGAATGCGCTTCTTGACCTCGGAGACGGATATGAGGCCGCCATTTTCGGCGCGCGTAGAGCGACATTCTTCGACGATGAGGACACCGAGGTTGAAGTAGAAGTCGTTGACGCTACCGCCGAGCATTTGCGCCCATATGCTGCCTGCATCTCCGTCCTTCCCCTTCTCTCTGTGGTGACTAGACGCGAGGAAGTCGACGCCAATTGCACTGCACATGCGGGCGAATTCGGCGCGGAAGGCGGGATTCGCACGGATGTCTTTGGCATGGGTTACGGCGAAGTTGTGGAGTAGGGATTGAAAGACGGAGAGTTGGGTACTCAGCGATTGAGTATTCTGGTTACGGAGAGACGCGCCGTGGGAGGCATATTGAGAGGAGGAGATGCGGGAGGTAGTTAGGGAGGAAAGACCTGGGGTACGTCGAGAGCGGTCAACCATGGCGGCGGGGAAGAGATGGTGGGTGAGGTAGCTGTCTATGCTCTGTACCCGTACCCGTACCTTGATGAGTGTAGATATGGTATTAGGGTATCGTGGCACGCGTGGTTAGGTAAGTGTACAGGGTAGTGTGTTGAAGGTTAATAAGTAGGTGTAGGTGTAGGTGTACACACTGCACACACAGTATGCGTAGGTGTAGCATGGACAACCTGGGCGGAACAAGTGCGGGGCCGTTAACGTTCAAGTTCAAGCTCAAGAGTGCAACCAACCCACCAACCCACCATCCACCTCACGACTCAGGTACTTATTCATTGTCTTCCCCTCCTATCCTTCCGTGCACTCCTATCATAGTTTATCTCTTCTTTGCATAGCTAGAAAGAAATGTCGCGGATTTGTCGCCGCAATCATCAATTCGCACAAACACCGTCTCATATCTCATCTCATTCGGACAACTAATTCACCATCTGGCTTCTTGATTCGCGAATCAACAGGACATCTGCGTCTTACTGCTTGCATCATTGCATCCACAGTCTCTACCTATCTACCTGCCTACCTACCTACCTAGGTAGGTAATTACCTTCTTGCAGGTGCAGCAAGATGCAGGCCAAGTGAGACGTAGCGGGGCCAACACATCGCTCACCCCTCCCCGCCCACAAGTGAATACATACGAGATAGATGTATCCTTACTCGTACAGATGCAGACTGGGATACAAGACTAACCATCAGGATACAAGACAAGGAAGAAGCGGATGCATTTAGATACACATTGACAGTCATCAACCGAAAGACAAGACGCAGTGCAGTTACCTCGTCTGAGTGAGAGAGCTACGCAACTGCAACACGGCTCTATCTCGCTGCTATTATCGCCATGCCATGTCCCGCAGTACCTAGTCGCTAACACAAGTAATACTTGCACTTGTAATCCATTGTTTAATTAACCCTTAGCTTTCAACAAAATCCATCCGAAAGGTCTGGAAGAGGCCTGGTAGATCAATCGCCCTTCTCATCTAGTCTTTTCCCTCGTCTCACCCGCACAAGCGACCGGTTACGGATCCTATCTTCACGCGCCGCCACACCACTAATTAACACTTGGATACGGCCTTTGGTTATTTGTTGTTGTACTGGTGTCATTGCTCTTTGGTTCTGCGATCTTCTTCTACTCTCAACATCAACTCTACTGTTGTCGACCCTCCCTATCTGCCTAGATACCTATTCATCTAAGGTACTTTTTACTTGGGACACCTGAGGGTACTTACTCGAGTGGCACAGAAGCTGTGCCATGTATAGCTTCCAACCTTACAGCTCTCCATCAGTCTAATTATTAACGTTTCCTTCCTCTCTCATCTTTATTTTCTTCTACTTTCTTCTACTATTATCTTCTTCTTGCCACGGCGTTTACACTTCATCCTTCCAGCCTCAATAGAGCTCTTATTACAGTGCTGCAGCTGCCCGTTGACCGTCGCTGCCGCCTCATGATATACAGCCCAAGACCCTTTTCCCGAGGCAACCCACAACCACCCTCAAAATTCTACGCTTCACAACTTTCGAGGCGTTATTCCACGTCTCCAAGATGGATCCAGCCACGCAGACACATTGTGTCCTGCTGCTGGATCTGCCTCCATCCGCTTTGGGCGGCATCGACCTGCTCTCGTTCACCACGACCCCGCGATTCCGAGGTGTGAAAAACCTCCCACCAGGCTTGCACTTTGTTTTCGCCTCCAGTGATATGTCGCTTTCCGTCCGTCACGGCGCATGGTTCTACGTGTCCCCTGGAGGTGGAGCACCACAGGTCTTCATCAAGAAATGGAGTCCCGCCACCGAGGAGTTGGTGGACGAGACTTCGCAGACCTCCGTCATGCGTTGGAAGGCAAACTTGGGTCAGATCTGGAAAGACGCGCTAACGCCATATCGCCAAACCGTGCCATCCGGAACGTCAGAAGAGGACGACGCAGCAGAAGAATCGGCAGATTGGAGCAGCCTAACATCAAGAATAAATGCGACCCTGCTCTCGAGGATATGTGGTCTAAATCCAGACCACTGGAGTTTAAGTTCTTCGTCGTCTGCCGCCCAGGATCTCGAGAGAATACCGGGCCTCGACTCCAGCAACAGCATAATCAATCCCGAGAAAGAACTCAAATTCCTCCCAATCGATCTGAAGCGGACATGGAGAGAAGGTGCAACGGGCAGGGAGCGAACAGATGCCGCGCAGGACCGGTCATGGGCGCTGGGGGAACTTGTGGACCACCATTGTCAGGGTTCAAATCTGCGCATGCGCGAATTCGAGATTCTGGGTGAATTGCAATTCTGCTTTCTCATGGTGTTGACGCTGAACAACAGCTCTTGTTTGGAGCAATGGAAACGGCTATTAGGCTTACTACTTACCTCTCGTCAAGCGATTAGGGAGCGCTCGCAATTGTATCTGCAGCTGCTCAAGACGCTGAGTTTGCAGCTCACGCATTGCGCCAGCATGGAGGCAAGCATGTTTGATATGCACGAGGCCGGTGGGGGTTTCCTGAAACCTCTTTTACGAAGATTCAAGAAGAACCTCGATGAATTTGACGGCAAGTGGAAGTCTGATATTGAAGAGGAATTCGAGGAGCTTCAGGAGTTTCTGCAGCAGGAGTTCAATTGGGAGCTGGACGATTCCTACGTGAAGCGCGGCATGCTCGAATTGGAAGACGGCGAGCGCGTGGAGATGGATATGAACGGCGCAGACGAGGACGACGAGACGGGCGAGTATGCGCCAACCGTTGTTGAACTGAGCGCATCCCAAATGAAAGAGCTGCGGCGGTCTGATGTTAGGCAAGGTGGAGGGGCTCGTGCAGCCGAGGAAGACGAGGAAGACGCAGATCTTGACGATATGGATACCCGATACTGAAAGTTTCAGGAACGGGCGTTGGTAGACCGGTGAGTCGAAAACGGGATGGATAACTTCCACCCTTGGACTTTGGGTCTTCGTTAAGGAATCATGGGTGTGGCACCACCATCAATACTTGAATTTTTCGATGTCTTGAGAATGTCCGCCATTTGACAATTTTGGAGGGAAAAAACCCGATCTCCCCCATCGAGCGAGGACAGGCTCCTGGGATCTTGTATTCTTGCGCTGTCTTTGCTTTCAGCGCGACCTGAGGGCGCAAAGCCCGTGTCTCGAATCTCATCTCGAAGGGGGTCCAACAGGCGACGCCACTGCTCGGCTAGGCTAGGTTAAGCGCGATACAGATTGATGTGCATTTTCAGAAAAGGCACAGGGAGGGACGCCTTGCCTTGCCTCGACACATTGTCAAGAATAGAAACCCAGGCATAGTGGCGCCTGGAGCAAGCTACGACCAGTCAGAGGCAGGCAGTACATACACAGTAGATACCAGCTTGCACTACCTTTCCACGGAGGATTTTAGTCGCTCCATATTTTAAGATGATCATCACACAGACCGTCAGTGTAGCCCGGCTCTGCGTGTTCTATTCAACAACATCAATTGTGCAACCATGGTTCGTAACGAGAATATCCCCAATTCTGGGTTCTGCTGTCTTGATCTCACGAGGTGGTTCGCTTCAGTTCTGATTTGTACCCAACATCCTACTTGTATGTACCCAAATATTGCCATGAAGCTTCGCGATCGGAATGGGAAAACCGAAGAACAGCCAAGGAGGCGAAAATCCGCATTGGAAGCCAATAAATACGAGCAGCCACAGCATGAAAGCCTATGGAACCCGAACAACACAGGCAGATAATGGCCCCCAAAAGGGAATATTAGCATAACTGCAGGGGAGAGGCTAGTCGGCAACAGGCAGTGATAGCCTTGGCTCGCTCTGCCCTGTCCAACCCTAAACCCCAGGTCGACTGGCTAAGCATCGAGTATCGAAATGGGGCCAGCGGTGGGAGAAGAATTTGAGGCTGAAGTGTTTGAGTCTTGCTCGGTGGCGGCGTAGTGTTAATCTCATTGGTGCAGGAGGCTCAGCTGAGGGTTAAGCGTTTGGCGTTTGGCAATCTCCCCACCGAAAAGAGGTGGAAATACATGAAAAGAAGACAGGAAGAGGAGGATCTTTGGTGGACCAATTCACTATTACCGTTAGCTATACTGACCATAGGCCATAGGTAGACCAGACTTTGGCAGTAGAGGGCAGGGAAGGGCAGGCATGGGTGGGCTGTGCACCCATACCAAACCAGGTACACACTACTTTACACATTTCTGCGGTCTTGCACTTGCACTGGCACCCCAACCTGACCAACCCCTTGGCCATGGCTGTGTGCTTCTCGCCCGCTGACTGACTTTCTGTGATTCATTAAAATCCAATGCCCGCTGCTCATTCTTGACCTTTTTTCTCTTTTGATTCCCAGTTTGCGCTTCAAACACTGTTCCTCAAGTCCAGATACTTCATCCACTTCGTCGGTCCCTTTGTTTACATAAGTCCCAGGACTTTACTATCTAATTACACTTTCAACAACAACCACGATACCCACTTCTTTTCTAACAAAGTAATTCACAAACCGTCACAATGGAGAAGCAAGGTGGTATGTATTTTCTCAATTGTCATTTTTTGCAAATTTCATCTCAAGCCCGGTTTCCCACGAGCAATTCACGCGTTTTGTCTGCGCGCCTCATGCTTCAGGTACCGAAAACCCAGCTTCAGCTCTGCGTTTGCAGACAAACGGGCTGAAGAACGTGGCTTAAATCAATTTCCCCCAAACCCTCAGCTCACACAATGTCCCCCCAATACCTCAGTTATATCAACCCCCCAACTAACCCAATCCACTCCCAGTCCCCCTAAACCAATACCCTCAATCCCCCGATCTCGCCCACCAACAACCCCCCGTCTACGGCCAGCAAGATCCCTCGCAGCAGCAATACACCCAGCAAGCCCCCGTCTACGGCCAACCTCAGCCAGGCGTCCAGAGCCCCCAGCCCACCGGCCAGCAGCCCTACGGCGCAGGATCCCCTCCCCCAGGCCAACCGCAACCCTACGGCCAGCCCGGCGCCGCCCCTCCAGCCGACCAAGCGCAATACCAGCAGCAGCCAGGCCAACCCGGCATGCCTCCCCAGCAGCAGACCGGCCAGGTCTACCAGAACGCTACCCCCATCGCCAACCTCGGTCGCGGACCCGCGCCCGCTGACTGCCCTGCCTGCGGCCAGCGCTCCATGACCACCGTCGCGTACGAGAGCGGAAACACCACACAGTAAGCCTGTCCCTCCCCTAACCCTCTTTCCCCAAATGTGGCTAGTGAAGACGGAATGGAATGCTGACGAGATTACCCACAGCGCATGGGCAGGCGTCCTCTGCTGCTGTCTCTGCCTCGGCTGCATCCCCTACCTCATGAACTCGCTCAAGGACTGCTCGCACAAGTGCGGCCGCTGCGGCGTCTTGCTCGCTACCTGGCACCGTAGCGGCACCACCGAGGTGCACATCCACTCTTAAACAGCGAAAAACCAGACAGATCGATCGAGTGTACACAGACAGTCCAGCGCGCGCATGCATACATCGTGGGGCGCGTCGTGCGAACGAAGAAAGCCATGGCGGGGGGCGGAGGGAGGATGTAATACCAGAAGCCGCTGAAGCGTCTTGAGCCAGTCATAGAGAGGAGTTTTTTGCCTTTTTGCATTCGAGGGGTCGGAGTTTGAACACCCGGGGGAGGGGTGGATGTATGAGCGGGAGGGCGATGAGAGAGAGATATCAGATACCACTACTTCCATTCAAAGCTTTTCTATTTTCGTCTTCCAATCGTTCCTGATCCATGGGTGGTTTTTTGTGCTCGTGTGATGTGTGGTGTTTGTTTTGTGTGCATATCCGTGCTATATATCTCTTTCTCCATCTTCGCGGGGGTTGGTTGACTTCTTTGTGTTTGTTGCGTTGTGAATGTTGTTGTGTATCCGATTGGATAACATGTCATGCCAGACCAGTCGGATTCTCGAATCATTCAACGGACAACGGATGGAATGTGCCTGCCATATAGCTTCGCAGCATCAGCATCGGCGTCGTGAGCGTGGACTTGTTGTCTGTCTTCATCTTTTCATCGTTCAGCCCCCAGCGCAGACAATCAAACAAAAAAGAACTTTCATAAAAGAAGGCGTGATCATATAAACAAATGAATATACGGACGGAGGAGAAGAGAGGAGATTGGGAGCGGTGGAGACAGACAGATATATAAAGCACCACCAACTTAGCACCGTGATGTTGAGGTTTATCCCAAAACGGAAATATACGTGCATAGTCTTAGCCGTGCCCCCCCCAAGATCCAAGACTCAGGGTCTCGGGCTGTGCTATGAGCTTACATGGCGCATTTTCGCAGGATGAGATTGGTTTATATTTTTCTCAAGGAAAGGAGTGTAGGTGTGTGTGTATGTGTGGGTTTGTCTGTTTGGGGGGGTATTTTGCGAGGTTGGGTTTTTGTGTGTAGTGCACGGTGGGTGGTGAGGTGGGTGACTGGAATGGGAGGGAATGGAACGGTTGATATAGTGCTTATGTTCGATTCGTGTAATTGATTTTTTCTGAATGATTTACATCGTGCTATGTTACATTGAAGGTAGACTACATCTCGTCTCGTCTCACCAGAGGAACTCTGCGTTCACCATTCTCGTCTCCTCGGTGTCCCTCCAGGTGGTTGTCTTGGGCAAGGGGAGCACTCTTCTGTTCCACATCCTCGCGAACCGCCGGGCGGCGTCTTCGTCGCGGAAGTCGACGATCCATCGGTTGTACACGCGATTCATGACCATTTGGCTGACGTTGGCTCTGGTCTCTGCTGCGTCGGTAGGGTTGAGAAAGTCGAAGGAGGGGTCGTGGTCGGGGGCGGGCGTCGCGTCTACAGCAGCCGTCGCGGCACGAGGGTTCATGGATGAGATGGGGAGGAGCTTAGACTTGACGTCGACGAGGTCGCGTAGTCTGTGGATGGCGTCCTCCCCGTTGTGGAATGGCCAGGTGAGACCGCGGTCATAGGCGTGACGCATGAATATGTAGTACAGGTCGCGTGGGCTCGGTTCCCAGCCTTCGATGTGGAGGAGAACTTTGAAGAGCTTTCGGCCGTTGGAGTCTACGCTCGGCACGATGGGTTTGTAGCCGCCGTTGTCGAGCACTGCACGCAATGCTGGATTGTACGGCTGCATGACCATGTTGAGATTGAGCTTCTGGCTTGGTGTTTTCAGGAGATACGACGAGGTGGCAGCAGCGATGTCTTCGCCATCCTCCAGAAACCCACGCGGAAGCGGAATTGCGGAGAACACGTTGCTGGGTTGGTGGAGCCCACTCAATTTGTGCAATCTCGCCGCGTTGTTCTGGTAGGAGAGCGCCGCCTCGGGTGATTTGAAAAGGAGGTAGTAGAATGGAAGGCGCTCCAGGCTTAAAGGGTCGCGTCCAGGGATGACCTTCTCGAATTCACCGTCGCGTACCCAAGCCTCTATGTGCTTTCCTTTTGGCATCAATTGGCGGAAGTCGGCCTCGGTAAGTTCAGTACTGCAGTTGACCAACTGGAGAGCTGTGATCCTTTCACCCTTTTTGTGAAATGCCTCGAGCATCAGTTCGCGGTACGATTTCTTTGGGCCAGCATCGTGGCGGCGAACTAGAGGCGAGTCCTTTGGTAAATCTAGCTTGGGATACGGATGTCTCGCTGGGTAGTGTGGCTGTATATATGTCGATGCCTCTGGAAATAGCTCCTCTAAAAGTGATTGCTCGCTCATTTCTTGCGCCCAAGACCGCGTGGTAGTATCGCCCTTACTTCCGCTCTCAGAAGGCCTGCGTGGGCCTCTCTCAGGCTTGCCACCTGGCTCGGAACCCCTTGTGGGTCGGTCCGCACTGCCAACTCGAGCCGTAGTGTGAAGACCTCGAATCAACCGCTGTCCATCGGTCGGTGTTTGCTCAAATGCTGCGGCGAGGCGGGTTTGTATAGTTCGAGACATTGACTCCTCGGCAATAGCATCGGTGATCGATGATGTCGTGAGTTTTGAACTGTCCGAACCATTGATAGACATCCTGTGATCACCTTGTGCGTGCGCTCGCAACTCCTCCTGTCTTGCTTGAGATCTGACTACGGTTTGCGTAGAATGGCGAGCATTTGCGTCGAGGTCAGAAGGAGCGCGGCCTACCACATTGTTCGGTGATCTGGCCAATGCCGCCCTTGAAAGATCACGCCCTACGACATTTGCCACATTTGCGACCGAGCTCGAGAGAGCATCCTTATGATCTCCTGTGTGAGCGAGCCGCGCAACTTTATTCATATTGTGGAAACTCAGTTTACTGAACGATTTCTGTGATCTCCAACATGAGGTTTCGGGGAGTTGTGCCTCGAGGCATTGAACATTTGCAACATCTTCCTTAATCTTGTCCAGATTCATAGCGATGCGATTCGTACGTCGTCGGCCCCTTCTCATAATTTGATTGGGTGTTTGAAAACTACGGGAAGTGTGTCGCGTCGCGATGATTCGAGTTGGAGTGATCTTTGTATTGTCTGGCACATTCGGCTTTGCAACCGAAGGTTGCTGGGCATCGACTAAGCCTTTCAACCTCTTGACTTCGGCACGTAGCGACTGTAGTTGTGCTTCCACATCCTTATTCTGCCTTGACAGTAATGGTTCGACGTTGGCCTTCACCGTATACGGGCTGTCTTCCACCTCCCTACGCGGATCTATTGCTGCTTCCGAGCGCTTCGTCACAGCATTGATTTCCGTTGGGAGAGGTACATTAGGAGGCTTATTATAGGTCTGGTCGGTTTTGGTCGGTTTCGTTTCGCATTGCTCCAAGGATCGTTCGGGGGCGTTCGGTGTCTCTACCTTCCCCAAACCGCTCTCAACCTCCAGCTCCCTTGGTTGTGGTTTTGGCGACCATATTTTCCCCACAGTAGACGTCCACCAACCTGCGTCCAAGGTGTCTGACCTCGACGGTCTCTCAATGTGTTCTTTGGGGGATTCCGCGGGCAATGACTTTTCTTTTGAGTCTATTATAGAGTCAGTCATTGCATTGTTATTGATTTATGTTGGCTTGCTTGCCTTGCTTCTTAGCAGGTTGGCCCTCCCGCGGTGGAGGGCTTTTTACAGCATCACTGTGACCATGTCGGCTAGGCGCAGCTATGCTGCTATCTGGCGCCCAGCGACTTTGGACAGCACTCCACGGGGGATGACATGGCCGCAGAGATGGTATAAGGCGAGGCGGTGGCATCAATTGGGTCTTGCAGGTCACATTGTAGGAGTTCGAACATGTAGACCAATTGAAATGGGCCGAAAACTTTCAGGAGCTTGAAATTGCTTAGTCACCATTGTCGCCAATCGCTACTGCCCGCTCACATATTTTTCTCGAAATAGCAACACCAGAAAAAATCTCGAAGCATTTTGGGATTTAATAATAACCAAGATATTTTTTGGCCTTGAAGGCTTTTCAGATCATGTCGTCAACCTTCACCTTACGACCCACCGAGAGAAGTCCACCTGGGAATTTGCTTGAGGGGTCTTTCCGTGTTCAAATAGCACCCAAAGAGTTCAAGAGTTTCGGCTTCTCAAATGGAGAAATAATAAGACTGTCGAGCGTAGCGTCCGGCGCTCGAGGGTTTGCTGCCGCCTGGCTTGGAAGCCAGACAAACGCAGGGAATAAGCCTATCGCAAAAGTGTCTGATCTATTAAGAGAAAAATATGGTCTTTCTCTGCACGAACCGACTGTAATAGAAAGAGCCACTGAGCCACTGAAACCTATAGAGTTCATTGAAGTCAGTTATCCTGAAAATGCGACCGCCGTCGGCAGCTATGAATCAACGGAGGAGCTTTTGCATTGGATTCGTTGTAGTCTAGGTAAAACCACGAAGATCTCAACTATAGGACGAGCACTGACGGGGATCATTAGTGGATCTGGATATTATTCTTCCAGGATGTACATTCGATGTTCAGCAAAAGGGAATCAAGTCCCGCCAGAAGAACACCAAACTCCGCGTCACTGTAGACAAGATTCAACCTGCTCCAGGCACCGAGAACCCTCTGTACTTTGATCCCATCAAATCACAAGTAATCACGAGTAATTCACCTCTCAGCAATCAGAAACCCGCAGCTCCCCTAACTAGATCATTCCGGATCAGTAAGGAAGGCATCGGCGGACTATCTGAACACATCAGAACTATTGATACCAGTGTAGCTTTCCTGATGAATGACGCTCTCGCTCTCGCAGACTCACATCTCCTTGGGCCTACAGCGTTTCTGATTCATGGTCCGGAGGGAACGGGAAAATCCATGCTACTCAACCGGATTGCTCAGTGCGACTGGCAACAAGTCTTCACAATTAATCCATCAATGTACAGCTCCAAAAATATTACCAGAGATGTTACCGAGACTTTCGAGCAAGCTCGCCAGACTCAACCGAGTGTGATCCTCATGGACGACCTAGATAGGCTTCTTGGAAAAGCAGAAACTCTCGTATCCCAGCTCAGAGCTGAGATGGGTAATTTAGAGGGTAGTAGGGTTGTTGTTGCAGCTACAGCTCGCAGCGTCTACGATGTCGATGCAAGCCTTCGAACGAGCTCTGCATTCAAGACCGAGCTCGAGATCTTTCCACCAAATGCCAAGCAGAGGGAGGACATCCTGAGACAAACACTTGGACTTAGCCGTTCTACCAGCAACGTGGATTTTACCCGTTTAGCTGAGCGAACCCATGGGTTCGTTGGTCGAGACATTCATAAACTATGCGGCCTTGCAAGGAACCGACGGGTGCAAGCCATTTATCAGACCCTGGAGGATGGCAATGAATCAGTTATTGCCGAAAAACTGAAGGAAGGGGATTTTGTTAGCCAGGAGGATTTCGATGATGTTATTGACCAAGTGCAACCAACCGTACTGAAAGACAGCATTCTTGAAGTGCCGAAAGTGAGATGGACGGACATTGCGGGATTGGATCATGTTCGTGAACTCCTTGAAGCTATCACGATACGCCCATACAAGGTAAAAAAATATTCGACAATCATTGGGTAAACCCTTACTGACGTACTGCAGTATCCTGATCTCGACGTCAAATTCGGCGGACCCCAGTCCCGTAAAGGAGTCCTACTGTATGGACCCCCGGGTTGCGCAAAGACATTGATCGCTCAGGCGGTTGCCACTGAATCTAATCAAAACTTCCTCGCCGTGAAAGGGTCGGAGCTGATCAAGATGTACGTTGGAGAATCGGAGCGTTCGATTCGAGACGTGTTCCGACGTGCGCGTGCGGCGAAGCCCTGTATCATTTTCTTTGATGAAATTGATTCCATAGGCAAGTCACGCGAAAAGTCACAAGACAGTGGGTTGAATGTAGTTGCGACTTTGCTCAATGAGATGGATGGAATCGAAGCGTTGAAGGATGTCTTCATCATTGGCGCAACCAACAGACCTGATATCCTTGATTCGGCTCTGATTCGCACAGGCCGCTTCGATGCGCACATCCATATCGGACTTCCAAACGAAGAGGCGCGGAGACAGATCATTGAGATCCACACAAGGAAAAGACCTCTAGCGAGTGATGTCGATCTTACTCTTCTGGCTTCGAGTACAGAGGGAAGCAGCGGTGCTGATCTCAAGGGCCTGTGTGCTGTTGCAGTAGAAATGGCCATCTCAGACTACACCCAACATCCAGAAAGTGTACCAGAGATCGGTATGCGCCACTTTGAGCGCGCATTGGCACAGCATGTGCCACACACTGATGCGAAGGAGGCTGCTAGGTATGAAGGATGGAGACCTGGGAAATCGCTATCGTCACCCGCATTCACATTCTGATCAAGCTTGGTTAAGCGCATATGTTGACGGAGCTCGGAAACCGGAGTACGCTCTCAATCATCAGGGCATGCGAGGGCTATCGAATGCATTCGGAAGCAAAAAGCTGCTCGAAGGCATAATGTTGTGAATGAGGCAATTGACATGTACGGATTATCCGGATGCACCGCACGAACATGTTCGAGCATTCGATGGGATTATGTATATACCAGTTCTTACAACACCTGGAAGGCGAGCATTTGCAGTACAAGCATGTTGAGGGAAGGTCGAGCCTATCTAGGGAATTTCGGGAAAATACCCGTGTCGCGACAGTGACACAGTACGTTTCCTCATCTCCGCATCAGCACATCAGAAGGCCACGGGGACGGGATGGCACTGATCGTCCTGGTAGCCGCTGTCAACATCGGCTATGGTTTCTCGTTCCGCATTGTAATATGGGGCCATAGGGGCCTTCGACTAATCAGCCCCCGCGATCCCATCGTTCGTCTTGAAGTCTTGCCGCTGAAAAGGCTGAAGAGGCTCAATTCAAATTTCATGGAAGCAGCCAGTGTTACCTGTCGATCCAATTTTGCAAGGAGTGCTGGGCATCAAAAGCGAAATTGCGGGATGACAAGCTTCTGAAACGGCGCTCGAGCTCGGCCCTTCAGCGGCATCGTTGCGCGTCTTTTGCAGGAAGAGCCGCCACGCTCCAGCTTGTAGCAGTTTAGCTCTTTCGCTGGCTGCAATTGTAATTGCTCTCGAAATCACCGTCCGAGACGGGGATTCCGTCAAATCTCATGGGTACCCGTTGTCGCAAACCTACCATTCGTCCAATCAGCGCGCAATAGTGCCTTGTCGCCATTTCTTTTACTGCAGCACATCTCTTTTCTCCCCACCCTACGTATACAGTAATCTCGTGCAATCTGTCCCTGACAGTCTTTGGTCGCCAGTCGAGGCCTGGTCCCGTAAAATGACCATGGTTACGCTTCCTCTTCGCGCTCCTGTTCGCGGGAACATCTTGTTTCCCAGTAGTTAGACGGCTGCGTTGGCGCATGACGCTTGCCCGTAACTTCTTCACCCAGATTCCTCCCGTCTTCCACTTCCTCACTTCCCTCTTTTTCTTACTCTTGTCTTGCGCTCGCGCGACCATCTGGCTCTCAGGAGAGCTGTCCATTCCTTAAATCCATCTCTTTTTCTATTCCTGCCACTCCTTCACCAGTCCCTTTTGTGTATATCTTGATACTCCACTAGCAGTTGTGAAACCGCCATGGCCAGGATGCTTGGACGATCACGGTCGTTGCGGATACTGAGAGGTGGGCAGAAGGAAACCCACCAACAGGACCAGAGCCCTCCAGTGCCACTACCCTCGCATCCTCAGGTAGACTCCGATAGATTAAAGGCATTCACGCCTGATACAAACGCAGACACTCGTGTCGAAACGGCCGATATGTTGCAACGACCCAAGACATCAGGTGGACCAACGGACCGCGGAAGGCAATTCCACAAGAAAACTACTCCCGTCGCCCTTGACTCTAGTCAAAACTTGATTGCATCTTTCCCTTCACCAACCAAGTCTTCTACCACTCTTCTCTACGCCGCTGAGATCAATGAGTCGAGGGAGGGTGTGATTGGAATTGCGCTTGGTAGTCCCACAATGGCTTCGCATTGGAATTCTCCATACTCGACCGATTTTGTAACCAGCAACGCCGGAACTGTCACTCAAATAACCTCCAATTCACCTGTTGCTGGATCAGTCGAGGTAAAACAAGACTATCCAAAACCTAAACTCAGCCGCTGGAAATCCATATTCAAGAAAGTTCAACCGCCACCTCAAGAACAAAAGCAAAACTTTTACCAACTCGCTCGTTCAGTCACTCCAGCTCGTGCAGACAGCCACCACGATGATGAATCCACGCATTCTAGCACAACGACACCTCCCGAGGAGTTTCGAGATGATGCTGGATCCTCATCGCCGCCTGCATTCAAGCCGGAAATCAGAGAATCGCGAAAGGTTGCTAAAGGCCAAATGCAACCCACCACCGAAACTCGACCACGCGCGCTTACCCACGGAAATTTGGCAACAAACCAGACTCCCAAAACTAGGACTGCTCTATCTCGCTCCAGTTCAAGCCCTCAACCCCCAATGAGAGATCCCCCACCAGTCCCACAGTTGGTCATCTCTGGGGGCACTCAGAATCCCCCGGGTCCTTTGTACGCCTCACCCACTTCGCTCACCGATAAGCCACTTCTAGATGTTGCAATTCCCACTATCAAGATGGAACGCTACAGTGTCATGTTCGGCAATCTCCTCCAATCGAGTCCGGATGGAAGTACAGCTCAGTCTTCATCGCTTCTCATGCGACGACAGGGCAACGGTGAGAAACTGAAGCCTCTCAATGAGCTGACTGTTAAGGTTCGTTGAATGATCAGAAAAATGAAATGCATTCCCCGCTGACTTTGATGTTAAAGAACAATCATGCTTCCCACAGTTCGGAATTAAAACCACAGCGACGGGCAACTTCTCCATCACAGGCTCCGAAATCACCATCAGTCACTCTTTCATTGTTCCCTCAACCTAGCGCCAGTAGCAGAGCACCATCACCACACGCACTCTCATCTAGTCGAACCGGCCGACTGCAAAGATCTAAGACAGCACCCGCCGTTTCTCCAAATCGTCGTAGCTTTTCCATCTCAAACGCGCCTGAAGTCGATGGAAAGGACGCTACCCAGGATGCTTCCGTTTCAAGAAAGCCTCAGGCTTCTGAGAAAGCGGAAAAGTTTCAGGAGGTGAAAGCCCCAGGAATAGATCTCAAGGCGACCTCACAATTCCTCTCGCCAATGTCAATGTTGAGCCCCAGTAATAGCGATGGTAGTTCACAGCCTCCGATCAGTCCGAATGAGCCGGTATGGGAAATCGTCTCGAAGCCACTGGCCAGGAGGCCCTCTCGCAAGGAAATGCGTGAAGCGCTGTCATCTCATCCGGCCAACGCAAGCATGGAGCAGAGCAGTCAACCCTCGTCTGCACCCCTGGTCTCTTCACCTATGTCGTTAGGCCTGAAACCCCAGACTCCACTCACTGCCGACGGCAGGACGAACATGCCGCGATCTGCAGACCGCCTACACACTATCTTGAGTCCAGCCAAACTTCAAGGTTCCCCCAGAGAGAAAAAGGAACACATTGCGACCACAACCGTTGGGGTTGCAAGGTCTGTCTCGGTGTCTCGTGCAAGCCCCAGGAAAGCGGACCTGCTAAAACCTGTGTTGATTACAAAAGGGGCAGAGGGCTCAGAGCGTTTGGTGGAGAGAAACGCGCTTACACCGACATTGGTGGAACTCACAAATCGAAAAAGCCAGAGGGTGCAATTGGTGGATGTCGAGGATATAACACCCCAGACCACACCTCAATCTGGAAAGTTCAATCATCAAGATCATGCATCTTGATAGTTTTCTACCCCGAGTAGGGGAAACATGGGACAGATTGTCTCACATCATAAATAGGCTAGAACTATTCTCTTTTGTTAGCTTTTGCAAAGCGTTTTGGCGTTGCGGCATTACACCCACGGTCCTCTTGGGACGTAGGATGTTTCGATTTCGCGATTATCATTGGCTTTGGATTGGGGCATTATACGGCTTTGCCGGGTTACCGTGGTCGGAGTACAACAGGAACAGGATTCAACCATGATTAGATACCACTCCTACTTTTGTTTTTTTTTCTATATACTTCTTACTTCCATCGAATAGCATCGAATTTCTACCCCACGCCTGCAGCCTTACCGCCTTGTTATAGGAGGACGCAAATCGAACATTTGGCATGTATGAACAAGCTTATTTGGCACGGGACGATAACGATAGGCTTGACCAACGCGTGTTGTACCTGACTCGGCGAAAGCTTCGAAGGCAGCGACAAGAGGGCTATGGCATTTATTCTTTTCTAGATCGTTACCTTCGCAGTTGTCTTTGCGGTAGTGATTTGACATTTGTGTCACCAACTCACGCGATAGGGTGCCTAAAGCGTGGCCCGCGGCCCAGCACCTCTATCCTCCATTGTTCAGCAAACCTCATCACATGCCATATACACTGCCGCCGCCGGCCTCCTCATTGAATAATTTAAAGTTGTCTTGATACTGAGTTCCGTGAGAATCCCTTGGACGCCATTCGATGAATCCTCATGATTGATGCGTTCGCTAGAGATTCGCACGCCAAATCACGCAGTCACAGCCCCAATCCATGGGCCATACGATGCAGCCTGCAATCCATCCGTGAAAGGTGCCGCAGCAAATCCACCCTCTTATCACACTTATCAATAAGACAACGTACGTCAAATGGCGCATCGGTTTCCGCAGCCGTCCTGCATCATTAATTGCCTTGCACGACAGCTGCACAGTACGAGTAACTTGACTAGAGACAAACTGCTGCTGACCTCGCGTTCGGGAACCCGGCTTGCTCTGATATGCACACAGCCCTTCTCCAAGGGGGATAAGTCCCAAGCCACTGTCCACCCACGCCTTCTGTCATTGGAGTGATTTTCGCCTGCTGTACTCCGCGGTCGTGATGGATTGGTCTCGCTGTAGCCTGCTGTCTGTGGCATCCCCAAGGCTAACCTCAATCGTACCCGGTGTGCAGCTTTCGCGGGCGAACGAAGAGTAGACCAGAAATGAGCAATAGTGAGGCTTGAAGCTTAGTACCACTGCCTCTTCGACTTTCAGCCTGTTTTCAGATCATTTCCTTTCTCTTGTCGTTACTCTTGTTATTTCTCTTTTTCTCCCACTCGCTGTTCATGTTTGTCCGTCCAGTTGCCGCCACATTACACCCATTTACTGCATCAGAGAGCTTGGAAGCTCAACGGCAGGTTTGAGATCGGTCGAAAGGACAGTGGTAGGATTGGCAGCCACTTCAAATCTTAACAATGTCTGGTCTCGAGGTACGTGTGACCCTTTCAGAATGCCGATTTTCCTCAGCTCGTTTGTTCACGTTGTAGATAGCCACTTGCAGTAAGACGTACCCCGCAATGCGATTTCAGAGATCCGACTCTCAACTTCATGAACATGAGCATGAGCTAACCTACCCCACCTGTTAAATAGGTCGTCGGCGCCGTTGCTGCCGTTGTTTCGGCGTTCCACGGTGGATCAGAGCTGGTAGCTCATATCAAAAGAAGGCACCGGAGACGAAGCAGTCGAACGCAGACTCAACAAGATTTCGAGGAGAAACAGCTTCAAGACTCTCTTGAGACGGGAGAAGTTCAAGTTGCTAAGCGATATGCTGCTGACGTTCAAGATTTCGGAGAAATTGTGCGGATCGGTGACAGTGAGTTCATCAACCGGTTCCGAAGTCCGTCAAACAAGAATCCTTCCAGCTAACAAACGTGACAATACAGCCATAGCGCGCGATCGATTATTGCATATTGCCGTAGTTATGCAAGCAGAAATTATCAAGAGCTTGCAACTTGCTGTCAAGAATGAAAATGCGGTGCTGAATCTTAGACTCCTCCACGAGGCGTCCATCATGAATCGTAACGAATCTATCGTGACGTTGGATGAGATGAAACAAAGGATTCTGATAACACGCCCCCTTAAGCGGACATTGTCAACGTCGCCTCAGGATCGGCGAGATTCCAGAATCTCTGTCGAGACGGTGCAAACAATTCGGCCTGGAAATAATCCTCCTGTGCCAGATTCCTATGCCCCTTCTGCTGTCAGCAACCCTGCGGCTGTGGAGTCTAAAAGTGCAAAGACCGGTTTAGCCAAGTATCTCAGTATGAAACGCAGTGGCAGCCAGTCTTCTACTTCTAGTCAATCCCCTCCACCTGTCACTGCTTCTGGAGGTTTTCCATTCAGCCCAGCCCTACAGCAACTTCTTCAAGGTCCAGATCGAGTATCTATCATGAAGGACATCGACGAGATAATCAGCTCCTACCAGGGATTACACATGGACGATGAAAGACGAGACACTTTGGCCATGCTTCATGGCGGGCATGGAGCGAAGCGAGATACACTGGCGGTTTTGAATGCTGGAGATAGCTACCAACGCGACATGATGGGCATGAACAGAGATGCAATGCAGATGTTGAGGAATCTTCCACCCACACCAGAGGAGGCGCACGAGAACAAAGAATACCCAGCATTCAATCATGATATATTCAATCCCCAGCGAGCTTATGACCAGTATTTTAGCAAGCCGAATCCACCGCCACAGCGCCAAACGTCGACCGAATCAAGATGGTCAGCCTCCAGTTCTGTATACTCAGATACAGTGCCACCATCTCTATATAGCCACGACTCAGCATCGTCAAGGGAGTCACCTACGCCGCCATATGCCAATGACTTCCATCCAACAGGATCCGCACCCACTCAACACTTCTCTCAGCCTCACCAATCTTATAACACACCTCAACCACAACCATATCATCCAGCGCCCCGGGACCTACCGACTTCATCCAATGCACCTTTCACCATACCACCACCCACCCGCACACCTCCAACACGCGATGACCAGAACACCAACAGGGCTGGGAATACGCGCTTTCATATCGTTCCCGATGGCTCACCTATCTCTTCCGCGTCCTCGACATCTACAGTTATCGCTCCAAGCGGAGGAATTTCAGCTCTTGCTGCAGCCGCATCCAGCACTATGATGGCCACATCTACCGTACCACCACTTCCTCCCCCGAAACCCGCCTCCCTAAACTCGAACTCGTCGGATCAAATATCCATTATTCGAGCCAATCCGAACACTATCCGCACGAACACTATCCAAGGCCCCACTGCAGCCCAAGAAATAATGATGTCGGGCCGGCCATGCAAAGACAACAACTACTGGGGCTTCTGCAAGGGCGCCTGGGCCGTCCGCGAGGAGCTCAAGCGGGGGCTACAAATCCAAGTCCGTCCGGACGGAATGTACAACACGCACCAGGTCTGGCAGTGTCGCCACTGCCACTTCACCGGCTCGACGCACACCGCGATCCACGCGTCCCGCAAGAACAAGAAAGAAACCATCGTCGACCCCTCGGTGCACACTTCCGCCGCGGGTATTAGGTACAAATGGATCTTCCTCGCGAAGTCACACGTCAAGAAGAAGACGCTGGAGAATGCGCGGAATCCGCTTGCGAGGCGAAAGGGCGAGCCGGAGGAGGATTGCAATTATGGATGCGTGATTTGTTCGGTGGAGGGCAATGTCACTGGCATTTATGGAAATGTCGAGACGCTCATGAATCACATCTTCATGCAGCACACCCAGACGATGAGTGAGAGGACGATGATCAAGAGCAGGTGTGTCAAGGGTAGAAGGGCAGGTGCTGACGAAGAGTGGGATATCAATATCCCCATGAACGAAATCGTACAATTCTAGAAAGGAAGATATACAGTGTCCTTTTTTTCGGCTGAGAAAGGCGGCAAGACTTCTTCCCTAAAATCAAGGATTCGCCGTCTGTTTTTTCTTCTCTGGGTTCTTGCTTTGAGCATTTCATCTACTTTCTTGCTAGCGATATGAACTCGTCGATACCCTAGTTAAGCTTTTTTTTGGCAAAATATTCTTCAAGTTTCTCTCTTCCCATATTCCTTTTCTCTTATTTTTTTCCCTAAGGTTTTGGAATGTACACAATTTTTGGGATCGATTGGCGGGACAAACAGGGGTGGGAGCTTGTGTATCTAATTCAGCGATCATGATAGTCGTGAAACATATTTAAACCCAACATTATCATTCATACAAGATCAAATTGTGATGGCGATCTCTTGAGATCTCGACAATAGACGAGCCACTCTGACTGAGGTCTAACGTGATCGAAAAGCTAGGATACAGGAGTACTTGAGAGACCTAGGTGCTAGCCCCTTACATTTTTACACAGTGTTACTATTGACTGTTGCTCAATTGCTCAGAGTTTATTCAAAATCTGTTTGATCGGCTCCTTTCACGTAGATGGCTAATCAGACGCGGCCAAGAGACGACCATCTAATTACCCCGGTGGCCATGTTCCCTGAGCTCTCTGATCGTAGGTCATATGTACGACCACATCACGCCTGACAATACAAAGGAAAGATGAGCGACCACAAAGTCCAGTAGCCAGATTCACATCCATCACCACATGAAATCACAAAAAGACTTTTGTCATAATCACTCATTATTAGAACTGGTAGGTACAATTTGCAGTGACAAATTTCTACCGAAACATGGACCCGCATGCTTGACTCCTACACATCGATTCGCGAATCATACCGATACATATCTTTCTCCGTCCTCATAAGATCATCTAACTGAAGCGCCTTGGGCGGATATATCAAGTTATTCTCACTCGAATCGCGAGTCCCCCTCGACTCGGAGCTCACGCTACCCTTGCTCGTCTTGCTGGCAGCGGATGAGCCGTGGCTGCTGCGGATGCGGAGGGCCGAGCCAATCGAGCTTATGATGGGTTTCTGGGCCTTGAAGAATGCGGGAAGGAAGGTTGCGCAGGCACATGCTAGAGCGATGTTTGCTTCGAGGATCCTGCTGGTCATTAGTGATGTGTTCTGTGCAGGGTGGAGAAGAGTGGGGGATGCTCACTTGAAAATGACAACCCAGAGTGCGAACCAGAGTTGATCTGTGAGGGCGAAATGAATGGCGCTGAAAATGAAGTTCGCAACGCCGGCCACGCAAGCACTGTGGGCATTGAAGTTAGCTTGACATGTTGTGTGGGCGTATGGGGGGTGATCAGATAGAACTTACAGGAAGCCCATGGCAAAGACAAAGCACAGGTAGTATTTCTTGGTCCTGTTCACCTGCAGATTGCGTACACGAGTGATTGCAATGGAGTAAATGAACAGGTCGGTAAGCACACCGGCAACCGCGAAGGCAATGACTGGTGCGCTCGTCGACTCAGCGCCACAATAGGGGTCCATCATGGAGGCAATGAAAGTATTGCATTTGGCCATTCGAGCAATGCTTACGCCCACTTCGGGAACAACGATGAGCACGGAGAGAACATAGCCCACGTAGATGAGTTTCCGGGAGGTGTGATACACTTCGAACAAACGGTGATAGAGAGCAAGAACGGAGACCCGGACCAGGAACATGTTGATCGAGACGATGAGATTGGCAGCAGTCATGGTGAGAAGCCCTGATGTTGAGAACGAGAGTGCCCGAATGTTCCACATGTGCTTGCCCAGTCCATAGTCAAGGTTTTTTAGGGTGACGCATTCGTGAGCGATAGCCGCGATAATGGCAAGTATGCAAGCAACTGACATCATGTTAGCTTTGTTTCGTAGGTTCAGTGAAGTATCGCGATTCTTACAATCATCCCATGATAGTCTTAGCTTTTGTATGACGCGCTTCGCCCACAGTCGCATGACCACGAAGCAGAATGCAACGACCGTTGAGCCTACACCAAGCACCCATAGTGTCGTGGCGTCAGGCGCAGGCGCGTCGAAGTTTGATACTTGACCATTGGGAGGAGGCAAGGCAGGATAGTTTGCCAGTGCTGCCAGAACCGATGGATCCAAGTTGTTCAAATCCAACTGACTGAGCTGTGAAGGGTCCATGATGGTATCATTTACAGTGTTGCACAACTTTTGGTATGAATGCAATGAAGAGCGTTGGCCTTGTTCTTCATCCGCTGCAACAAGTCACACAGCCATATATGAAGGTCAGGCTTAAAGCTATAATGGCCCAGGACGGCTCGGGCATTTTCGCCATGCTCGCTCCCGGATGGTCGCAAATAGCGGTTCGCGTGGTGTGGTGCAGATAGATGTCACGCTACGGGAATCAACTGAGGTTTAGTTACAGAAATTCGGGGACTTAATTGTACCTTGCCTATCAACCTGCGTGCCAGAATACGAGGTGATATCCCTCGCTTCGGCAAGACTAGGTATAGCGCCAACATCGTGATAGTGTTCCATGTGGTTGAATTGAATAATTGATTGGGTGCAAATAGTTGCATGGCGCGGTAAACCCAAGAACACGATCATATACATGGGAGATTGTTCAATGGCTGATAGGCTGTACGAAAAACAAAAAGGATAGGCGTTTTTATCCCGCACTCGCATTTCTCTAACTGCAGGCATGAAGCTGTTTCAGCACGTGTGGTTATACGTTCGCTCTAAATGGCAGTCTTGACATATGGAAATAGCGAAACAGGTTTTCGGGATGCGAAAGAAAAGATCCCCCATTAGTGGTTCCTGAACGAAGAAGGGATCTCCTTGAATATCCACTTGTTCCTGCATGCTTTCACATCTATCGTCGCGTGATACACAACAGCGTGCTTTCAGGGTCGGCACGCAAATGATAACTAGACTTTATCGAGAGGTCAAGCTTGGGGATTCCAGGGAATTATTGTATAATCTTTGACAATTCTGTTGAGATTCCAGATTTAGATAACTTAGGCAGAAAATTAGATATCAAATAACTACACTATCTACACAGGCAAATTATTGCCACTGCGGTCTCGTAATTACAACATCAACATCTCCCCCTTCCACGGGACCCATGATACCAATACACGGCGTTCGAACATTCATATCAGGGACACCTTGGCTCCTGAAGCTATCTTGCTGTGGTAGCCTCACCTGAAACTTGCCAACAGCAAGAGCTACAAAAGTTAAAATTTCTTTCTGTGCCACCATCCTCCCCGGACACAAAGTAGAGCCGCCACCATAGGGCTTAAAACTCGGGCTCTTGGCTAGGTTAGGATTTTGTAGGAATCGTTCATGGTTGAATTTGTGTGCATCATGTCCAAAGGCTCGGTCGTCTAACAACATTTGTCGATAGGGGATGACCATTCTCGTGCCCTTTCGTAGTTTCAAGCCGCTAATGACTGCATCGTTCGTTACAACACGGACAGATGTAGAAGCTGCAGTCAAGCGCAGCGCTTCGTGATACACAGCCATTAGTGTCGGGCAATGCTGGCCCAACGCAGTTGCAAGATCGTTTGCAGAAGACGAAGGCTTCGTTGATGCCGAGACATAGGGTGAAATCTCGTCTACTATCCTGCAACGCAAAGATTCGTTGTTGACTATCTCGGACAGCATCCAGAATGATGCTTTCCATGCGTTTGCATTGATACTAGGAATAGTTAGCATATTCTTGAGCATCCTATGAGTCTGTTCCAACTTACACCCAGTAGAACATCAACACCAGGACTCCCATGTCCTTGGGGGGAATGCCGTTGGCACGCATTGCCGATTCCACGTTTTTCATCAAGTCAGAAGTATCGGGGCGCTGTTCTATGGGCACTTCGAAGTACTTCTGAAATGCATTTTCCGCAATTTTCTTAGATCTCTGGACATCCTGAGCGAAGGGCCCTGGAATTTGGTATGAGATTTTCCAGCTGTTCTCGTCGAATTCAAAGAAGGAATCAAAGAGATCAGGCTGGATGTCTAGAAGTTTGCCTCCGAAGAACGATCGCGTGGCGCCCTCGAGCAGAACCTCTTGGGACCATTTTGCGAGTGATATGATTTGCTCATTGCCGCCTTGCCCGGCATGGATCAGCTTCTCTGGAATAGCATCCCAGTGCATGCGATCATGAATCGTTCCAAGGAGGACCTTCAAGATCTCATCTGATTGCTGTCCAGGGTTGAGAAAAGTCTGGAACAATTTCACGCAGACCTCCTTGAGAGGCTTGTCTTTCCAACCTTTCAGCACAAGGTCGAGTGGGCTTTGTCCTTTCTCTGCATCGGAGATGTTGCTCCACATGGCTTTGACGGAGGCAGGCGAGGCGCCAAAATTGCCCATCAATTCCACTACCCAGGGATTCATGGAGAAGTAGTCATCCTTCTTGTAGACAGAGTTGGTATCTTGTGCGGAAGTGATCACATAGACCACTTCGCCCATGATGATCAGCTTGAACGGTGCTCGGTTGTTGTTGAAATATAATCTACGGACTATCAGCTTTACAATCTTTTGGGAACGCATGCATGTATACTGACCGAGCCTGTTCCATTGTACGCTCTGCATTGCTGAAGAAGGAGAGGCTATGTCCAATGACTTTGGGATGCTGGTTAGCTTTTGCCGTGATGGTGGTTTGATAGGCTTACATGGTATCCAGTATGGGTACGTTCGCGGTTCGTCAGGATACAGTCGTGGGTAGATGGTAAATGTCCATATTCTCCAAAAGATAAGAAATGTGAACAAAGAGAGGAATGATAGGGCTACTAAGGAGCATCCCGTTCCCGGAAGCTCCAAAAGACCAAAAGCATCAAGAAACATGATGTCAATACAGCCACGAAGAGAGTGAAAGCTGTTTGGCAGTTGGCAATGAAGGTGTGTACTTGGTGGAGGATCCAGCAGGACTATATCTTGCCTAGCCCTAGTTCAAATACTCAAGCTTCTCAACGTACGTGTGACAGTGGGCCCATACAGACCATACTCGACTTTACAATTCATAAACGTGGTTCTGATTCCAGACGCCGCTGCATTCCTAATTGGTGTTTAGTCTTTGCTCGCCATTCAGGGTACATAGTACCCGGAGGCTTGGGCTCATCGCAGTATCCACATTATACGAGGTCATGCAGGCGATGAACGGCACAGACTGTGCTTCACATGCCCATGAACTTTCAGGTTGTATCAATTGAGGATTGCCATCCGTTCCTTGATGTCGATTGAGCTGAGCATGCCTCTTGGTGAACAGAGCTTCAATGCAGTTCAGAGTGCCACCATTTGAGCATCGAATGATGAGGAGCGTCGAAAACAAAAGAAAAACTACCAAGAAATCAAGAAGTATAGTGGCTAGCCGATGACAAAATGCCGAAAAGTTTCTCATATTCTGTATGGACAGAGAGCCCAAATGACGCTCTTCTGTAATGGCAGCGATTTAGTTCAATACTCTGCTTCAAATTAGCAATGACAGCCGATGCCATTAACGGAAGCTGCCGTTAATATGCTGTACTTGTATTTCTGTGATGTGATGGAGCTATGCTCGTATAACAGGGAGATGGTCCCCGTAGCGCGCCATTGGGTAGGCTTAGTGTGGGCGCCACATAGTGATGAACGTGTTTACCCCAGGCCTCACCCCTCAACCTCACGTCAACGTGCTCAATGCTTTGGAAGATCTCCTAGTGATTAAACTTGAAGTTCAGACGAAACGTCGTCAATGTAGTCCAGCCATCCTTGGCGACGCCCCCACATCAACAAAAGTGCCCGTCCCGTGTCTCCACCAAGTAGTTTACATTCTGGTGGCCAATCCCTCCACGACGCTTGCATGCACATGTTCAGATAAGGTACGAAAGGGTCTTGACAGTGACGACACGCGAGCCGATGAAAATTTGAGAAACCTGCAGAGACGGGTCGTTGATTCCCGGGGGCTTGCGTACTTTCGGCCTTATCTATACGACGAACTTCTTCAATCTCATGATCCAGGCCATTGCCACTACCACATCGTAGAAGCCATGTCAGCTGCAACGGAACAGCAGTATCTCGGTACAGTGCTCGTGACGGGGGGCGCCGGTATCGTAGGCTCGTTTCTCGTCGAGAAACTTGTCAAAGATCCAGCATGTGCGAAAGTTGTCGCGACATATCACAGCGAAAAGTCATACCAGCATCGTTGCGAAGGGGTCGAATATCACGTCTGTGATATCACGGATCCCTCCGACGTCAAGAGGCTTCTGGATCAGACGAAACCGACCATCATCATTCACACGGTATCTCCTGGTCCTGACGCACCATACGAAGTGCAATACAAAATCAACTATGTGACTACGAAGCAGCTCGTCGAGCAAGCCACTGCACATCCGACAGTTCAGGCATTTATCTACACATCTTCTTCAGACACCATTGCCTACCGATCTGGAGTTAAGGACCGACCTTTACTAGAAGAGACCTGTACGATACATGATCTGGACACGAAAGTGGGCGCAGGAAACTACGGCCGCACCAAAGGAGCCAGCGACCGTCTGGTTCTGGCTGCCAACACTGGACGCAAATCCCTTGCAGAGAATGGAGACTATGTTGGCCAACTTCTCACATCTACTCTACGAATTGCTGGCTTGTACGGCGAGCGCGATTTGAAGACCATTCATACGATGTTGAAGCTGACCAACACATCCGCAACAAAATTTCAGATCGGCCCTGACACGGCATTCCATGAATGGCTCTTCACAGACAACGCGGCGCAAGCGCATTTGCTCGCCGCCAAAGCCCTCCTCGACGGCAAGCATACGACTCCTGACACGAAAGTCGACGGGGAATCCTTCTTCATCACCGACGACTCTCCAATGCCGCTCTGGCAGTTTTCCCGCAACGTCTGGAGAGCAGCTGGAGATAAGGCACACTCTTCAAAGCAGCCCCCGAGCATTATCATTATCCCCTTTTGGCTCGTGATTGCTGTGGTCGGGTTTATAGAGTCTTTCAAGCGATTCTTCGGCATCACTACGAGTGATATGAAGCTCAACAAGCATCGTCTACAGGTCATGCAGGCGGGATCTAGGCTATCGCCTGAGAAGGCGAAGAAGAGACTTGGGTACCGCCCTCTGTACAATACGGAAGAAGGAATCAAGAGATCTGTAGCATGGTTTCAAGATCCAAAGAATGAGGAGTGGATAAGGATGAGCGCAAAATAGGAATTTTTTAGAAGTTGTATTTTTTTGGTCATCAAATTGGCCGTTGTAATGACTGACAGTCCATAAATACCTAGAGAAAAAAGGCATTTCAAAGAAACCAGTCCAAGAATGTGTGCCATGAAAGTTTCTTATATGACAATCGAAAACTATTCAATGATAAAGTCTCAGTGTCTTTTTCCAATTTACTCTATCTAGATGGCTTTCGTTAGGCATATTTAAAGCATCAGAGGTGAATTGAGACCTCACGTGCACCTCGGCCAATCCTCGGAACCAGCATCCCGCGCCATGCATCATCCAAAAGTTTCTTGAGCTTCAGTACCATCAACGTCACGACGTCAATACTCACGCCCCGACATCACCAACACTTTACAGACAGTGTTCCTTAATAGTGAGACCTCTCCAATCCCACCAATACACATCCCGAATCCTAACCTTACCTCCAGCCACCCTCACAACCACCCGCCACAATGCCTCCCAAAACCCTCAAGTCCCACGGCGGCCGCACCCTCCAGGAGCCCAGCTTCGGCCGCAGCGTCGTCCAGACCTTCACAAGCTCCGAGAACAGGCCCATCGTGACTGCAATTGGACTCTTTGCCGTAAGCTGATACCCATACCCTCTCGCGGGGTCCCCTCCAAGCGCATGGCGGGATGTCATGACAACACAGCAGTTGCTTGCCTAGACATCTTCCATGCGCTGCATTGGAAGGACCTGGATGTTATTTTTGGTTGCATTGAATAAGAAAGGCGAATCGGAGCTAACAATACTGGTGCAATAGATCGGCGTCACCTTCTTGCACAGCAGCTGGAGTGAAATCCTCCTGCCTATGTAAATGCGCTTTTTTCCACGACGGGGGAAACCAATGATAGTACAAGACGGGTGGATGAGGATTTGCAGCGAAGGATGGACTTGCTGCAGACGCGCGCCTACATACAACACAACACAACAACAACACAAGCCCATGACGGCGATCGCGATCGAATGGAACGATGTCGGAAGCACTTTAGAAACGGCGTTTAGGCAAGGCTGCGGCGACGACGAACGTTAATGGCGATGATGGGATGGGTTGGATGGATGGATGGGGGCGGATTTTCCGACAACCACAACGTGGGTTCCTGTCCAACCATTCCATTTCCATTTCCATTCTTGAAAAAAGAAATCGAATACCACCACATGTAAAAATAAAACTGTACAATCAACCAACCAACAACAATTACTGGCATAACTACTCCGTACCTGTAGTATTCTCTCTCTCTTCCACAGCGAGCGCCGCCCCCGCCGCAATCATCTAATGATCTCACATCTCCAGCTCACTCACCCATCACCACATCACCACGTGAATTTATACCAACTCACACAATCTAAGAACAACACCACAAACGATATCTGACATCACATCACCCCTTCCATACATACCCTACCTTACCTTACGTACCCACCCTCCCCTCCCCTCCTCTCCCCTCCCGTCTCGTCTCGCCCCCATCCTGAAACACCAAAACCCCAAACCCCAAACACCACCCCCCGTCACCTCCCGTCGTCACCTCCCCTCCCCTTCTCTCTCTCTTGCTCGCCGAGCTCACCCCAAGACAAACCAAGACAAACCAAGCTCACCTGTCACCCGCGCGGCGACGGCGTGACATATTGCTTCGTCTTGCTTTGCTTAACACTCCCTTTTCTTGGCCTTTCACCTCCTAAGGCCGACTGGGCGGCCGCCTCTGCGTCATGAGCCTTGTATCATGAATAGAAGGGGAGAGCGAAAGGGATGTACGACGTACAGCGTACAGCGTATACTTCACCCATGTTCAACCGGTTACCCCCGTATGTAAAGTGAAGAGTGTAAACTTACCTACTACGGTAGAACGAAGGGCGGCATGTTGCATGAATCAAATGAATCAAAACTACATCAGACCACTTTGATTTGAATCATGAATTCCCGTCCCTCCCCAACCGTCTCTCTACTCTGCTTCAAACACACACACACATATACACATCTCTCTCCGGTTTGCTCCTACGCTGATAGACTCCTTCATGTGCATGTATGTGTGAACGTCCCCCTTTGAGATGGATGGAAAAGTGATGTCCTCCTCCGTACATCTAACCCCCCCCCC